TTGCTTTTTTCTCTTTCTTTTTCCCTTTCGCCCTCGAGGTATGCCTTCAATCATCGCATCATATCAACAACGGGCATATCTCTGGTTGGCTAGACCCACAACGTATTGACTTTATCGGCGTTGCGCCGGGCACCGTTGAACTCGTTGGTGTTGGTTTACGGAGGTACCTGCTTGAAGCGCCTGGTCTCTCAGAATGGACATCCTCACGAAATTCTATATCCTGCCGCCGCTAGCTGGCTTTGCTAGCCCTCTATTAAAGACTCAAATAAGGAGAAAGGTGAATTGTGTCATCCGGTTAACGCCAGCCACATACTATGATGATCCATACATTACCAGGTAGGGGGCCGGATAATTGGCGATACTACAGGTTACAGCTGCGAGCTGTGAGGATGCTATCACGGCCAGTCACTGTGCAGGGCTCGAATAAAAGGACTATTGAGGATCCCTAACGACTAGAATGCTCACACCAAGCATACTATACGACGGGGGTTGCCCGATGCGCTGGAAAGGTGAAATCGTCGGGGACATCAAATTAGTCCGGGCCAGCTGACATGGACCGGCCCACATTGCCCGCTTTATTGGAGCCGACCGGTACCTGTCATCACGGCCGAGGATATTGAATCTTAGCCAATGACTGTTCTGTACTCTATGATTACTTAGAAAATACTGCTATAGTGTGGCTGTCAGCTGTCAGGAGGTAAGGCTGTTCAGCCAATATATTGTACAAACGGGGTAGACCCAAATCTAGCCCTGTATCAATGGTAGCCCAGCTCGGCAAATAGAACTGGACTCCGTTACGGAAGACATTCGCACGACTGGGATGTTACAGATGGCCGGGGGGCTTATCATGTGACGAGTGCTCGTGACCTTGCCACAGTTTTGAGTGCTTCTCCACTCGCCCACTTTCTGTTGCCCGCCTCACCACTGAGCATCCCGTCTCGTTCCCCCCGGATTACGCGAGATCGTACCGACTGCACCAGTATTGAACTTGCATAGCTGTACGGAGTATACGGAGTACTGTATGGAATATCGCTTCCGCGGGGGCTGTATCATCCCCTCTGACCTGATCGACGAACCGGACCGCGCTCCACGGCGCCTTCCCTCGGAGAGTCAGCTGTCCATCTGTACCCGGTCTCCTGTATCTTCTGATCACGCCTCGGCCTCACTGAAAACTCGCGGCATTGGTGGCGGCTGCACGTCTACATGAGATCCTCCCGTTGCGGTTACGTATGACTTCCGCAATCCACGCTCGCCTCGGCAAGCATTCTTCCGGGGTCGGCTCTAAACCTCGGCTCAAAATAACTCGTGGAGCGAGGCGGGAGGAGCATGATAGATGCCATTGACGTTCGAATTCCGAATATTGAAATTTTGAAAACATGACCTTGGTCAGCATCGGACAGCATAACTGCTCCGTGGTCGGGATTTCGGTCAGAGTACGAAGTAGTAGTAGCGTCGAGAAGATAACCCTGTAACGCTACTAGGGATAGTCATTATTGGCAGCCTTGCTGGAAAGATCCTAGTGGTCCGTAGGTGGATCCCCCTTTGTTGCCAGCGTTGATCGGCCCCTTCTGCGGTACATACTTGCAGCATCAAATTGCCACCGTCTGGTACCACCCGAATTACAGACACGGTGAGACTGAGAGACCGCTGGCTGAGTCCATGGGCATTACTCCCGGCTCGCTTTCTGAGGTCATCACGACGAAGGAGGGGAGGAATTTGAAGAGAACGAGAGTCAGGAGCTGTCTGTGGGCTGGGGAGGAGGCTGAGGATGACCCGTAGAGATGATAGCACCACTGTCATGGTCAACCCACCATGGTCACCAGTTTGACGGCCATGCCGCTGCAAAGTGAAATGCTTTGCAGGCTGTATGTGATATCCGAAACGGTGTTCTACTGTACACTACTGTACATTCAGAGAAAAGTCTATGACCAGCAAGCTACAGCGGACGAATCAGAAGGGTGGCTCGGGTAGGTGGACTACAGACAACGACCGTGTGTATAGACTTTGTTCTCCATATTGAACCATAATTGATTAACTTGACCCTGGATATATTGCGGCGGTTCGCTAGCCTTTGCCCCGTTCCAACCGGACATCGTGAAGGGCCATAGTAAAGACTGGCCTGGTCTCGGGGAAGGTGGAGCCGGCGAAGGTTTCCTGGGTTGTTCGACCAGCAGGACTTCTATCATACATTTTACCTGTTCAGATTAAGCATAAAGAAGCAGGAGCGGTACAATACAAGATATAAATTCAGTGTATACTATAGAATATGTATACTGTCTGGACGTGAGGAAGTACTTGCGAAATGCTTATGTCACGGTAGAGACCCGCAAGTACCCCGAGTGACTCGAGTTCTCCCCGCAAAAGCTTTCTTGTTTCTCCGCCCCACCGGGATCCCCAGATGATCCAGAACCACAGAATAACACACCGAACAAGAGGCAATACAGATGGAACTCCACATTCCCGACAACCGCTCGTTTGACGTGGAATATCACATGATGGATGAAACGTGCATCTTGTGCGATTCCACGTCCGCCAGTCGATCGGTCCAGTTAGCGTCGCCTAATCCCGGGGGATTAGGCGACGCTAACTAGAGGGGGTGGGCTTAGGGTGAAGTGTCTCTAATTCCTTTGGGGCAGGGGAAGTCTGGCGTGTATGGGCTGTATTTACTCCGTTTACTTGACATCTTGAATCATCCACCACCTCATATAGTTTGACTTTCGTGGATAACAGGAACTGGCAACGAAAAGTTCATTCTCTAGGTTAGCTCTCTCGTAATTGCCTTCCTGATCTTGACCGTCGGTTGCTGATCACTTCGTCATAAGAGAACAAGACAATGCCAACTGGCAGACTCGTGACTACGAGGCTGTGACACTCGGGCTACCAGTGTGCTTAGAGGCCCAGCAGAGTGACCAGGATGTGGCATCTCGGGAGGTAAAGGATGTGAAGGGGGCAGTCAGTCAATGATCAGTGTGAAAAAAAGTCCCGCGCTCAAGTCCCGTAGTCTGTCTTGAGTTTGTTTTTTGGATTTAAACTTGTCTTTTGACTTTCTGGGGCTTTGTTCTGGCTGACATGTTGGTTATTTTCGTCATCCCAGCTGATGCTTGTTCGGATCAGAGCCTGAAAAATGGGCTCGGGCCTTGACCGATTGGGGGCGTGGAATGCATCACTTTGTGCAATGGAAAGATGCAGAAGCGACCACGCCTCGAAATTACGGGCTGGGCCAATATGCACTTTTACGAACTCCCTCAAAGGGAGGGTGATATGAGGAAATATTGCATAGGTTCTCATAGGAGGTAGGTATGCACCTGTACTAGAAAGAGCAAGATTTATCCAAGATCGGCTATCCCTTCTTGCCGGGTAATAATCGCTGAGTGCAGCCACGCTTTCAAATACTTTCACTGCCGTATTTCAGCCGGCATTTCTTCCAAGGCACTAGCGGGGAAATACAAAAAGGAGTAGGATATCGAAAAAGTACATATTCATTATCCTAGTGGATCATGACAGGCAGAGGTCACGATTAAAAGCATCCACTGGTGACCCTAGTCTCCGGGATATATGGAGAACTAAAACCTGGGGCAGAGGGTTTCGCCTGTTATGCCATATTTATCCGGCTATTAAAACAATCGGCTGTTCAACTCCAACAAGCAACTAATCCTAAAGCGCGTAGGGGAGGCGGTCCTCCGGGAATCTGTGACCTCTCAACGTGGCTTGGAGAGATCTCGGGGAAAGGACAAGGCGATCCCTCCTTGCGGACGGCGGTGTCCATCCCTCCACATAACCCTCCCCCCAGAAACAGCCCCCAGTCCGTGACGAAAATAGCTAAACCACGAGATGGAGGATCTTACGGATAACCAAAGTTCCTTATTCCGCATTTAGATATTTGGTTTACACTTACTCCTTAAGTAGGTAAGGCATGTCCAGTCAGATTATTTTGACCATGTAGAGAGGGAGAAGAGATTCTTTATTTCCCTAGTGGGCGAGAGTCAGCCGGACCCGGGGGTTGTTGGGCGGCCAATAGCTGACGGTGCGACAATTCACCAGTCAGTAGGCTAGCTGCTTCGTCTAGGATCATTCTTCTTGAAAACGGGGGATCATCAACCTCCATACAAAATGGTAATCGTTAACTATGGTGGCGAGGGTGATTGTTCAAACGACATGGCCGGAGGCGTGGAGGATTGGACAAGGAGGCCTAGAACGGAAAACACCTCTTTATTGCGCTTTAGTGACACTCTCTGAGTAGTCCATTCAAAGTCGAGCTCATTACCGAAGCCCATCTCACTGTTCTCATGCCATCCTTGTAGTTTTGATTTGATTTGTTTTCGTTGGGAGTTCCCCCTTGGCTGATGTGTTGGTTTGCCCCCAGATGGTCACAAGTCCTCATCGACGGCTGCAAAAAACCCCCTTGAGTCTTTCTCTGTGATGAATACTGTGGTCTGATTACAGAGTACACTTCAACCTTTGACTATGAAGGAGCACAGTACTCATTGCTCCATATAACTTTACTCCGTAGTCCTACGAGCCCTACGAGCAGTCTCCAGTACCAGGTCCGGAAACAGAGCAGTAATGTACCATTCATCGCTGGCACAATACCCGCCCTTTCACTCCTTTCAATACCACTCGGGGCGAATTCGGAAGAATGGCCCAGTAAAATAGAACAGTAATACGGGGAAGATACCGGGGGCCAGCCGATGACAGTGGAAGGAGGGTGGGTAGAAGGGCGTACGAGGAGTGTACCGTGGATGTACTGGACTCCATAAAGAACCGGGCCCCGTGATGCGACTGAATTTTCTTCACCGGCCTCGGCCTGTGGGGGCCCACTGGGGTTTTTTCGGGATTTTTGACTTTGGGTTTATTTTTTGGTACGGAGGCCCGGCTTCTCTCCTTGTATTGTCGTATTGTTACCACCATACCGATTTAATTCGATTTTCTTTTTCTTTAAAACTTCCCCTTTGGGCCTTTTTTCGCATTTTTCGCATTTTCTTTTTTGTTAATACACAACTCCCCCTCTCTGCGCTTTCCACCATTCACTCCACCCACTGCCGCCCCCGTCATTCTTATTATCGTTCCGACTGCCTTCTTCTCCATCTCTTCCCTCCTCATCCTCCCCTTCCTCACCAACCTTCAACTCTTCATCTACTCTCCCGTCACCTCTCGTCAACATCGGGAACGCGTCAATCCCTCTTTCGAACGCGGCAACCCCGGACACTTCTACCATCTCCGCATCTCACACTCCGGTGGCGCCCTGACACAATCTTGACGAATTTTGGCTCGCCAGGAAAACTCGATCTCCCTTCAATCCGCCCTTCGCCTCCACGCGTGATCCGCGACATTTAGTGCCCAAGCATTTAGATTGCAGCCCCGTGGTGCCCAGAAAATTCGATTGATCCATCTCTCTGCAGCATTGTGCAGGGTCCAGACTCGAATTTCCAAGGCCTCTTTTGTGATCCGCAGATCATTCGTGAATCCTCAACTCCAATTTCTACGCGCCGTACGACCACTCTCGGGGAAGACGGCGACCCCGGAAACACCACTTGCACGATTATTCTCATTTCCACTCTGAAAAGCCTAGCTGTGGCGCTTTCACCATGCCTTTAACAACACCGGTTTTGACGGTGGACGCGGATAATATTCACAAGGTGGATACCGCAAATGCGCAGTCGCTTCATGGGATGTGGATGGGTAAGTTGGGGATACACTGAATACGCTGGCGAGAATCATTGACTGACTCAAATTGATTGCAACAGTATTCTCAAAATGTGCCGACTATATGGACCAAGGCCGACGCCTGGAAAACTTGAGCTGGCGCCTGTGGACCCACGAAACCTTCTGCGTCGAACCCGAAAAGTCAAAGTTCAAATCCAACCATACCTCCGTCTTGCCGAAGCTGCGCTCCGAGGCAACTGATCTTCCGGAGCTCTCCGCCAGTGTCGAGTCGGCCGCGTCCGATCAAGCCGAACGCATTGAAGCACACATCAAGCGACCTCAATTCTCCGATTATCGACCTGCCGTGGTCCGTGAAGACTCCTTGGCCAGCCTGGGTCGTGGCAAGGAGAAGCACATCACCTCGCTTGACCTGGAGCGTATGGTCCTCAACATCAAGGAGCGAAAGCAGTTGCAGCCGATTGCCCCTGTTGTTCAGCCTGCTGCCCCCGTTGTCGACATTACTCCTCGTCCTTCTACTCCTACTCCCACCCCTCCCTCCGTCTCTACTGCTCGACAGGTCCCAATTTTCCCTCGCCCCTCTCCGCAACCCCGTGAATCGACCGAGTCTTGCTCCACCACCGCCCCCGAGGGCAACGAAAGTGACTCGGCCAATGCTACTGCTTCTGACACGAGCGTCTCTTCTTCTGGAGTGCTTCCTAGTCGAGCTGAGTTGATCAAGTCGCCGAGCATTGTCCGCGGATTTTCGCCTTCTCACATCTCGTCCTCATTCCGATCCCAGACCAACCTAGTGGCTAAGTCGAGTCCCTCTGGCGCCACCGTCCAGCAGCTCAAGCCATCTCCTCTTAAGAAGAAGGGTGGCATGTTTACACTGGGCGGATCCTCTGGTGACGACGATGAAAGCTCTTTCGAAGATCGCATGGGTCTGAAGGCTCCCCAAAACAACCCAACCGTTGGTGGACTGAAGCCGGCGACGAGCAACCCCAGCCCCTCCAAGAAGGTGGCTTCCTTCAGTGACCACGTCGATACGATCCGACCGTCAAAGAGCCCCCTTCGCCCCGACGAGGACGCCATTGAAACCGACGATGAGGTCTCCGAGAGCGCCATTGAGGATGACGAGGATTCGGACTGGGAGGATTCGGTAACTGAAAGCGGCAAATCTAGTGTGGACGAGCGCCCCGAGCTTTTCCAGCGGGTCGATTCGCGACCCAACCTGGTCTCTCGTCGGTCGCTTTTGACTATGATGATGCACCAGCCAGGTCGCATGCAAGGAAACGCGTTCCGGTCCAGCCCTGCCCTTCAGCGGTCTCGTTTGACTTCACCCAACGGTCCCTCCATTCCGGCCTCGCCTCCGGAGAACGATGAAGAGAGTCTGACCATGCGCGGACCCGACGTTCCTCGATCGAAGCCCATTGTCATGAAGCCGCCTCACCCGCAGTCCGTGGCGCACTCACCTCGGACCACCCGCCGTAACATGCTTGCCACCGAGCTGACCGAGTCTCTTCGCCGACACTTGCTCTGGGAGCGCCAGCAGAAGAGCGCGACCGCCAATGCTTTCCTCAAGCGCCGTCACACTGCCCATGATGTGAAGAATCTGCAAGAATACCCCGGACCAAAGGGACCGCATCGGGCTTCGGGCGCGCCAGGCCCATCCACTTCGGGTGAAAACCACCAGGCTCGGGATAAGGATCTCAAGAACGGATCCTGGACCAACTACACCACGGACTATGGCCCATGGGAGTACCATGTTAAGGGCTGGTAATTCGAACATGAGCCTAGAGTCTCCCTTGGATTCTCTCATTTGCCCTCCACCCTCTTCTCACTCTTGATATCTCGTCTCGCGACCAAGCGACTCTTCTTTTCGACACGTACGATCATGATCATGCATTGCATCTAGGCGCACACTATGGATTTGCTTTTTTTGTTTTCTTATTTTCCACATGTGAACTGTTATGGGGGGCAAGGGAGGTCGGTTCCAATCGGTTCTTGGGGGGTGTTCGGGGTGTACACCTGTCATAACATTCAACTAGGCGTTCTCCCTCCCTGGATTCTTCTTTCTGGCAACCACCTTTTCCAATTCTTCCTACTCTACCATTCCACCCTGTCCGATCAGGAGGAGGGGGTAATCGTGTGTCCCTTACGAACTTAATTCATGTACAGCTCAAATATCCCACATCCGATTATTACATTCTCATCATTCTCATCCCACCTCTACCTCTCCACGATTCACTTTCGGGCGCTCAAAACGGTTGATGAAATAATGGATTCTATCCTCCTTCATTCTTCCACAATACAGTGTTTCCCGTGAGCATCATCACCAGTCTCCTACACCTGCTTCTTATGGCTGGAAAGCTTTTGCACCAAAAATGTTCTATTACAAAAACTGGGATTCTTTTTCATCAGCGTCTTCTCGTATCTCGTCTCTGTAGCCTCTCCAGTAGATGGCTCGCAGAAAATGGGACACAATCCCCTCTGGTTATGACCAGGACGAAAGTCCAATCTCATTTTCTCATCATTTTCTTTCTCGCTGTTTTTTTCTTTGGCTTTTCCCTGATACCAGATACCACGCGCTTGTCTTCTGGCTTCCCCGTGCTCGAGGCTTGCATGCCTGCACTCTTCCGGAGCAACCGTCGAGACACCCTTCCCTGACCTATGTACGCTACATACCCAATGAACAGGAAACAATATCCCAGCGCAAGAACCTGCGATCAAAAAAACCCTGGCACTGGAACGCAAGACCTTCCAACCTTGCTTTCTCATGCATACATCCCCTCGTATTGGACTCCTGCCTCTTGTAGAGCCGTAGACTCGTAGCAACAAGAAACCACCTATAGCTTCAAGCATGCGTGAAAACGAGAAAGCCATAACATGCAGACTCTCAGATCATGGCTTGCGCCATGCATGGGAGTGTGAATTGGCGGTCTGGAACATTGTAGTGGAAAAGGGTGAAAGAGGGGCGGAGTCTGCTCCCCCAGAGCGCGGGGCGCTGGAGCGCTCTGGAGTGCTGCAGAACATTGAGCGTTGCGCTGTGGCTGGAAGCCCGGGGGAGGGTCATCCCTGTTCTATGCACCGTGATTAGCATATCATGGCAGAAGGGAGAAGTATCATGTGGGATTCTTGGGTGTTGAGGATTGGCTTGGTGGGTGCTGACACGTAAAACGGTGTGACTTGGGGGTGTTTTGATGGTTTGTGGGGTCTAGACGGTTCTGTAGATGATTACGATGCATGTCTGGGGGTGACTGCTGTCTAAGGTTACTGCTGTCTACTTGGCACCGTTGGGAAAGTATCTGGAGAGGTCCGGGAGGGGAGCTTGGGACGGAGAGCAGAGAGGGGTGGCAGCTTTGTGCATATAGGTATGTACATAGATAGGGCTGGATTGTGTACTTTCTGCGCAGGAATATACAGTGTATCCTGTATGGTAGTAGAGGTAGTGGAGCATCCATGTTTACAGTGAGATAGCTAGGTATGATTGTGCGACTTAGTTTTCGAGTGATTGTACCCATACTACCTGCCTAGGTGGGCATGGGCCCTTTCATGGGACGCCGAGGCACTGGGTTTAGATCTGCCTAGTGAATTAGCTTCGGTCCCGGATATATGATGTTCTTAATTAAAGTCAGGGAGCTAGAGAGATAGGTATCGACTAAGGCTAGGCACCAAGGGGGCGAGGAAGGGTCAGGTGGGAAGTGGAAGGGGGATAGAAGAGGACAAAAGTACCGAGTGGCTAGGGGGCCAGGATAATTGTTTGGAGGCACCGAGTATTAGATTATGTAGCTTGCTGGGAAGATTTGATACGTAAAATATGCCAAGGTACGACTATTCATGCTCAAGCTAACAAAGACCGTGCGCTTATGTTGATTAAAAGTCCCGTTCGATATTAAATCAAGATTCTAGATTTCTAGAATCTGATATCCTGTTCCCAACCCCCCTCAAACCTGGTGAGCACTGTTCGCTTCACATGCGGATCCATGACATCGACTTGACACTAGCCCCTCCACCGCCGCTGGTCTACGGGCAAAGTGGTGGTAGTGGTGGTGGTGGCTCTGCTACGACTCGACGAGATAAGCGCTCAGATCCTGCGCGGTGCACGACCCGGATAGAAGAGACAGCTATGTATACAGCTCTGCGCTCTGCAGCCCGTGTCATTGATACCTTGGCCACGTCTTTGACGATCGGGAACGCCGATCGATTGGCGCGAGGAGGTCTAGGCTCGGGAGGACTGGAGGTTGACTAGGGTAGAGTAGGTGTGCGAAGTTACCAAAATTAGGTAGGGTATTGGTTAGCTATGGACAAGCATATGCTAGTGCCAGGGTCAGGGAATGGGAAATGTGATCACGAGTAGCCTCATCCTGCTCAGTATGATGTAGGCGCTTCATCATTTTCGCGGGTGATGGCGATCGTTCTCGGATACTTTTGGAAATCAGCTGTCAGGCACGGTCTTGGTAACAATTTCCAAGAGAAGAAAATCGGTTCAACCAAACTGGCGTGGTTCAGTTACTTTACTGTCTTTGCAATGTGAATGAGAACCACGGCTGATTCTTTACTCTTCTGTCATGTCCGCCTCGGTCAGGTGGATCAACACATGACCGAGCACATGACTCCTGATTTCGTCGGTTCCTTCACGTCCGCAAACTATGGTTTTGCCGTGTCCTGTACGGAGTACTTTTCCAGTATCGACTTTACGTGTCCGGCACTTTGACCGTTTTCGTGCAGGCCCAACCTCGATAATCAATATTCAACGCTCGAAGGTTATACCCCAATTCCCCGAGCCAACTCCCCGAGATCCTCCCCGGAGCATAACCTTTCCTAATGACGTAGACATAGCTCTCCGGAGCGTACCTTCCTAGTCACGAACGGGCCTAGTGATCACTAGTTAGACGGGAATCTCTTTTCTTCACGGCCATATGCACCACATATGTACGTAAGTAATGAAAGTGCCTCAAACGCACAAGAAACAGTCAGGTCCCACACCGAAGCTTCGACGCCTAAAGAAAAAGCACGATTCACAGATTTTTAATGCTGCATTCCCCACACTTCCGTTCCTAAAACGCCCGATGCTGGACCTCATTTCTCCTCTCTTTCGAGCCTCCAGTTCTCCAGTCCACGCGAGCTGACTGGATGTACAAAATGGGGGCCCTCCGACTGCCCCCGAATATCGTGGGGCGTGACTTGCAAAGTAGAAAAGACTTTGGTGGGCGGATGAAGCGTGGTTGGTACCTGCGCCGCAAACTGTGATAGTTCTTCTGAATGGGACAATTTGAGGGTCCGGTGGTTTTGTCCGCAGGGGGTTCTTTGTAAGCTTATACTTTGTGTACGTAGATCGATGGCAGCTTAAGATAGCGGCTGTGCTGGTGCCTCACTCGCGCCGCCTGACTTAATGGTACGGAGTAACTCATCACTTCATTTTAGGACCAGCGTCCAGCCACCTCCAGATTGCTTGTCACGTTATACAAAGGGACCCGCAGGCTGGCATGTTAGGTATTACAAGCTGCGATCTCAGCTCTGCTGGTCTCCCACCATGTGGATATACAGTGGAGTTAACCGCACACTCCAAGCCTATGATGAGTCGGCCAGCGTCCCAGGCTCGTCTCACCGGTACAGACTTGTTTTACAGTGACATGTTTTTGGGGCTCACTTCCCCTCCGTACTCCGGATGTCCGCCGTAATTCCCCCTTCTGGCTGATTTGGGGTCTGTCAAGATGGATTAAGTGGTTCCGAAGCCCACTCTATGGGTTTTGCTAGCCCCCACGAATGAGAAGATTCAAACGGCGAGGCGTTTGGAGCAAATGACAGTGCTTCGGAAAGTGGGCATGATTCATTTTGTGCTTGACGCTCTGACCATTGGACTTCTTGTTGATTGGTCTGAAGGAGGTTGGATACCTCGTCGGCCCTGCCTATCGGCAAGCCGATTGCTCATGTTGCCTCATATCTTAAGCCAAGCCTAGAGCGAGACATTGAGACACGTACGTGTTTGGTGAATGCGCCACTTTTCTGTGGGAAGTAGATCTCTATCGCCTTCTGATTTGCCCCCATGGCTTATATGTTGTTCTTCGGAGGACTCGGAGTGGTTTAGTCCCTGTTCAGTTGACCAGAAGGTGTGGTAGTTACGGGTATGCCGTGAAACTTGCCATCAGTCAAGCTCTGCATTCTGGATCAATCCTCCACCGGTGAACTGATCGACCGAGCAGCGATCAATGCGGGTTTCCTGTCTGGTCGATTCAGCTCTAGAACTGATCAGACCTCAAACCGGTTTATCGGACAGGATCGAAATCCCTGACTCAGGGGGCTCAACTTCTCAACGTGTTCAATAGCCTTGCGTTGTCATTTCTATTTCATCTACAATTCTTCATAGACTGGGTTCAGACCCTTATTCGTGTCAAGTTGCCCGTCGAGGCTGTCATTAGAGAGCATGTTAAACGCTATCCCGGTGCCGATAATTTCGGCTCGGTGGGATACCGAGTTATTGGGCACGAGGATTGGCTGCCCAAGACTAATGAAATCCCCAGAAGAGTCGTGGGGGTGAACCAGAGTGGACAGAGCGCACTGTATGAGGGTTACTGTGTGCCCCCAAATTCACGCGATGGGCGCGACTCCGCGACGAGATTTACATAGCTACTGATTGGTCGTGCCATTTTCGCCTCGTGGGCCCTCACGTGCATCCTCATCGGGGAGCGCTGTCCTCCGGCGAATCACCGCCACTTGAGCCCACCACACGCTGTGCGGGGGAAAGATATCATTACATTAGACAATTCCACGACCCCCGCCGATGAGAAGGGGAGGCTATCTGAAGCTGCATTGAACTTGAGAATAAAACAACATGCCGGTAAAAGTGCCGAGAGTGCATCCTTGAGTTTTGCCCTGTGCGGCGCCTCTCCGTGGTCGGGCGACTGACAATTCCGTGGTCTTTGCGGCGGTCTTCTGGAAGGGGTGGAAGGGTTCTGGAAGGACGATCCGGTTGGATGGTTTTTGGCCGCAGATGCACGCTAACCTTAAATTGGGTTAGCCGCGAAATACGCAATTACCTAGCCATCCCGATTGGGCTGTTTTACATACCGCTAGCGGCATTCTGGTATTACAGGGTGGGGTCAATGATACCCGCTTACACATTCGCTTCCGGAAAAGACTTGTCTGTTATTATTGTATTACGGTGCCATGGTTGTTATGTATCATGAGCTAGGGATGGCGACCAAAACTAACGAAAGAAGCAACGAGTATGGATAGAACAACCATTATCAACTTGACGCTGTATGCGCCCGATAATTATAGAAAGGGCGCGACGAAGGTCGTGCAGATTCAACAATGCAGTGGAAAAGTATCGCCTCCCCCTCCCTCTCTCCCTTGCAACCGTTTCCGATATGGCCGCGAGCAGGGCCGAGCTTCCCCCAGTCCTGGGATTCCGACCGCTGCAGCTAGCAGAGTCTATCAAAGCCACCGACAGGGTATGGACCGGGGTCGGAGAGGCTGCGTGACCGATTCGATTTGCTCTCATTGCATCGCTTGCATACCCGCTCCTTTCATCCATGTTAGCCTGACCCTTGTCGGGAAAGACTTTGGTGTGATATGATAAAACTTTAAGTGCGATGTCTGATGCTTTCGGAGAGATCTCGGCAGCAGATGCGATGGGCAATGTGTTGGAATATCAAGCCGCGACCAATCATTTTCTTGACCATTCAACTCCCTTATATAGGTAATTTTGGTGGGAGTTCTCGAAAGTACATTTTAGTAGACTCTTTGTCCCTTTTTATTGATCAAGAGAAGTCCAGGGTAATGCCGTACTTTTGGCTTGAATGATGTGCTTTTCCTCGGAGTTCCAAGAGCAGTATACCGGGTACTTGGCAACGCTGCCCCTGCATGAACATCGTATACATGCGCGGATTTTATTGCTATCATCAGAAGTACAACATATTATGTGGTGGCGATTGCCTCTGTGTGGATCTTCCATGTGAATCAAAATTTGCCATCCTATGGTTGTGTTGCATAGATACTGTATGCATGTTCCCACTACAACATTCTCATTGTATACACTCGGCGGTGGGGTGAAAGTTGAACCCCTCGCCATCTCTACGAATCCTTTGAATTGGCCAGCGGAACAGGCGGGAAAGGTATACTTTGCTAATCAATGATTGGTACGGTGTTATGAAGCTCTTTGGTGATCTGGTCGATGTCAAAAAGAGCCGGTCTTCATGTAACTATCATGGAGGAACATGGATACCTTGTAGCGGAGTGCGTTAACATGCTGAATGATTGGTGATGGAGTCTGCTCATCGATAAATATAGGATGACATTAAGGACACGACAGAAAAGTTCACTGGCATGACAAGGCTAGTTTTAATGGAACCCTTGTCTCGTCAGTATCATCGGTGACTATTTACGCCAGCATCACGTGAGCTTTATTTATCTATCTTCTGTGAGATCTCTGCGAAGTTAGGTGAAGTAGATAGCTATGAAAGACCTTGGAAAAGACCTTAGGAAAGGGTGATAGTAGGAAGGGAAGCAGAATGATAAATCAGTCTGTTTTGAGGACAAACAATTAGGTGTTGCAAATACATTAATGTCACCCTAACTATATATAATCAAGCTATGATAGGCGAATCAAGCGTCCGCACGATTCAGCTATGATTTTGCGCGTAATTTCGCCTGATTCGATCTGATTCGATCCGGTTCACAGTGAGTCACTAGCTACCGACTCATTCGGAGTCTTCTTTCTCTGTGGACTATGGTCGAAGGGCGAGAATACGACTGTTAGTGGATGGAAGGTGAGTCAGATTGAATCACGGCCCACATCCAACCCCGCGGTGAGATCACTGCAGTCCACAAATTCTGGGAAAAGGCTTGGCACCGCCCGGCCATCAACCTCGATTTGTATTTGCTACTTAAGAACTATAACTACAACAGCATCAGCAGATAGCAAACGATACAAAAGGATACAATCTTGTTTTCGATTCAAAGAAATCACCCGTTTCTTCTACTCACCTTCCCTCCTGGGAGCCGGTACTTATTGCCTCCCCCCTCCACAATATCCTTGTGCATCGCGGCTTACCCAGAACTGCGCACCGCAGATCTGGTCCTGTCGATCCCCGGGGCAGGTCACCCGATCTCTGCGTTGGCATCTCAGACGTCAGTTCGACAAAGTCGCACTCCCCAACAGTCTAATTAGGCCTACTCCCGCGACGGGCCCCGATCCCTTCCTACTACACCATGGAGAACGGGTCAAATGACAGCCCAGCGGGTCTAGAACCCCAAGTTCAACGTGAGTTACAGCCCTATCTCCATTCACCCCGGGCACACATGGTGCAAGGCCATGGCAGCGCCCCAAACTTCCCCGTGGGTCTCATCCCGTGCTATTTGTGTTTGGCATGCTTTTGGCCTAGCCCATTCGCAAACGGAGAGGAGCATGTATGTCCATTTCCATTCCTCCAGGCCGGACATAAACCTTGCAAGTGGCTGAGTCCTCACGATATCGCGGCCACGCATGCCTCTCACCGTCGCCATCTTGCCCTGTGGGCCTGTTTCCATCATCCCATGCCTCGGGGCGGACCCAACGGCCCGCAACCTTTTTGATCACACGCTCACCACGAGAACCTGGTATAGGCACAGAGAACCAGCCGCCTATCGATGGTGATGCGCTGGCAGGGCCGGCACGAGCGCGTGGCGCTGGATCCTCGCAGGAGGCGAATGCGCCGCGCCAATCAGCCCCTAAGAAACGGGCTAAATGTCGCTATTTTGCTTCCAAGAAGGGTATGTATCCGTTGAGAGTTTATGCTGTTTCATGTTCGACCAGTGCAGTCTGTTCTTGCACTGCCATATTGATGGGCGAAGATCATACGCACGCGTCTCTCGGGTTCGGGTCCTCTTCAGGCAAGCATGTACCCTTTGGGGATGGCTATCGCGTGTCGAGCAATAAGGCTGGAGGATAGCCTGTGATCAGGTAGAATGAGCCTGTACTGTAGAGCGCGTGCTTTTGTATTATGACTGCTGGCCCGGCTTTTATTCATTACCATATGTTATGATGATGCAAGATACTAACGTGTCAGTCTAGGTTGCCGTGCTGGCGCGGAATGTCCATACATCCATGATGCTGCTGCCGTTGAGCAGAGAAAGGCCATATCCAGCCAGTCATCTGGACCTGAATCGTCGACTAATGATGCCCAGGCCTTAGATGCCGGCATGGCTAGTGCGGTTCAGGGCATGAAGATTGCTGAAAGCGTGTCTAAGCAAGCCGTGACAACGCCTCAAGTGGCCCAGACCCCAAGACCGGTCTCAAAGATAGAGAAGAATGACCCGAAAGAGTTCCAGCTCAATCAATTGAGGCGACGGTTCCGTCCACAAGAGGAGAGCGACGAGAACGGATCGACTCTATCGTTTGGGCTGGCCCCTTCAGACCCCGATTTTCCTTTCGAATTGGACGCCTTGCAATGCGTTCTTCATGTGCCAAATACATACCCTGGCAAGGGACGGCCTAGACTCACTGTGACCAATCCTGAAATGGAGGCTGCCTTTCAAGCCAATGTGTCTAGGGGTTTCGATGATATTGTCGATTACGCGATTCGGACTAACGCCCGTGGAACTTTGCTCAATTGGGTGAACACTCTTGATAGGCAGCTCGAACGGCTTCTGACTACTCTAGAAAGGGGTCCTAAGCTTACATTTGTGGCTAATCTTGGTAGTGGTGCTGCGAGTCCAGTACCGGCGCAACAGCAGCGGCCCACCTCAGTTGCGACTGTGCAGCCTCGGGCGACTCCTACGGCGTCGGCTTCTACTACATCATCTGCAGTAAGCAAGCCGCCTGTTCTTGCTCCAAGCTACACGTACGAACAAAAGACCCAAGCCGAGAAACGGAGGTCAATGGAGACGAAACAACTTGAGGCCCGACTTGGAAGACTCCCGTTGTTCCAGAAGCGGTCAGAAACCACTTTCAGTATTCCGATCCAACCCGCTAAGCAGGAACGTCTACCGAAGTCGCTTCAAAATGTGAAAACAGTGAAGCTCATCGTGCCTCCCCTGTATCCATTGGAGCATAGCTCTATTGAGATGCATGGCGTGGACAGCCCCGAAGCAAGATCCGTAGAAGCCGGATTTGCGCAATGGTTTGATAAAAACTCCCAGATGAACTTGGTATCACAAATCAATTTTCTGGCAAGCAACATGCATAACTTTGCCAAGACACCTTTGCCTGAGGTTGCAGAGCAAGCTCAGCATGAACTCATCCAAGAAGAGGAAGATACCTCTGCGCAGCAATCTGAAGATGGTGTCCCCCTCGAAGCTACCGGAGATAAACCTCATTTGCATGTTATCCCCCGTCCACCCGAGTGGTCTACCCCCGGGCAACAAAGCGGCAGCGACATGACAGATGAATCCAGCTACGAAGAAGACTCGGAAGAGGACGAGGAGGCTCAAGACTCTGAAGAAGGTGGTGCTCCTGTCCCCGCGGTTCTGGATACACCAGGTCGAGGCGTTGCACTTTCATTCCCGTTCCTGGAGCTGTATGGCATCGAGTTGCTGGAGATAGCGCACCTCGCCATCACTATCAAGTGTGACCGCTGCAAGGAATCAATGGATATCAAGAATGTACAGCAACTTGCAGATCCCAAGGATATGCCGAAGGTCGAGTCGTGCAAGAAATGCGTCAACTCGATGAGCATTGGATTTAGGAAACAGCTGATGCATTCGCACGCGAACCGGGCCGGGTACCTTGACTTGGATGGCTGTACCGTCATGGATCTTCTTCCAAGGTACGCGTTATAATTTTCCTGACATTTAATTACTGGCTGACTCTCCCTCAGCAATTTTATCCCGACTTGCTCCGAGTGCTCAACCACCTACCATGCTCCGGGTGTATCAGCCGTCCGCGGTGAGAGCGCTATGGCAATCTGCCGGCACTGCCATCGTAAGATGGTTTTCAAAATGCCCGAGGTCAAGTTCCTGGTCGTCGGTACAGCGGCGATGTCCTCCCGTGCTGCGCTCCCATTGAAGAAGAGGCCAAAGGAGGTCCTTGGTATTGTTGCAGGACAGGAGCTTCCCCGGCGCGGTCGATGCCAGCATTACGGGAAGAGTTATCGTTGGTTCAGGTTTAGTTGTTGCGCAAAGGTGTTCCCTTGTGATAAGTATGACATCCCAAACCTGCCCTGGTGATGAGGTCTGGATATTTTATTGACTTTCTGGGTTTTAGATGCCATGATGCGGAGACGGATCATCCTAACGAACACGCCAACCGTATGATCTGGTAAGTCACTCAAATATGAACGGTCTGCGAAATGCAGTTTACTGACATAAGCCAGCGGCTTCTGCTCCCGCGAGCAAATCTACAGACCAGAGAATTGCGGAATCTGCAGAGCCGTTCTCATCGGCAAAGCTGGTAGTGGATTCTGGGAAGGAGGCAAGGGAACGAGGAACCGGGCTCTTATGAGTCGTAAAGGTAAAGAGTTCTGTAAATCCATACTATGTAGAACCTGAAGCTAACGCGTATCAGATCCCCGCAAGTATAAACGGCGTGGGGGAACTGTGCCTGGTGGATCTAGCTCGAAGAAGAAGTAGAGCTTTGGAGCAATTTTTACAGGGTCATTGGGATATAGATTATTGCATAATGCATGAGTATGTAGTGTCTACCTAAGCATTTTCGTTGATGAGCAAATGCAGAGCAATATTTACGATGAGATTCAAGTACACTAACGGAAATGACGTGAAACTAGCCCAAGAACAATTTCGGGGCTGCTCCATTTGTACTCTTCTGGAACATTGGCCAGTGAATTGACGCTGCGGGTATCTTGCTATTTGGTTATGTACACGAGACATATTTAGGAAGGAAGATTCCAGATAAAATCCAGCCCACCACCTTCATAAATCGGAAATTGACCATTATTACTCATTCCGAAAGGTGCCATTGAAGGATCAAATGGCAATGAAAGCCAGTCATCCGCCATATCATTCAGAGATGGTATGTATCCCAAATCAGACGTCAAATCTTGTGACAAGGGGGTGTTGGCTGTATTGGAGCGGTCGGTATTTTCTGGCCAGGGAGGAGGGCCCATAGATGATCGACTAGTAGCAGTTCGACTATTGTTAAAATTGTTGTTGACATTGTTTTTAATAGCCTTGGAGGAAGCTAGGAGGTTTTGTCGGAGGCGTGAGACATGCATGTCTAGGAGTGTGGCGTAGCGAGTGCTTAGATGGACGTCGTCGAGTGCATTAGATTTGAGAGCACTGATGCTCCTCTCGAGGACTTCTAATGACTCTCGGAGTGTTGCTTGCCGGGTACCCAGGCTGAGTGCTTTCATTAAGAAAATCGAAGCGCTGGTAATGCGAAGGACGATGCGGACTGGCGAGAATCGTAGGGCGCCCACCTCTGCGAGGTGTGTGACCTTTTGGAGTATTTGGCAACAGCCATCAATCACTTCTTGGATATACTCATAGTCGGTCGGGTCGATGGTCATCGGTCGGACGTCATCGAGGTTGTTGAGATCGGCGTCTGCTACTGCACGCTCCACAACGGCTTGCATGCCGACTGAATGGGTGTACACGCGGACGAAATGGTACTCAATGAAGAGATCATTGTAGAATGCCGTGTCGAGATTATGCGGCTGGAGATATTTGTCCTTCCATTGATTGAGCAGGGGCCGGAAATGCTCTAACAGTCCGACATAACGACCACTATGAAGTTGCTGACGAGCAAACTTTGCAGAGGGGAAGAACATGTCTGTGACGGATTGCGCCAGCTTGGTGAGTTCGATCCAAGAATCCATGAATATCAGCCAGGTGCTTCCAGGTTGACTTAGACCGCGAGGCTTACGCCCGCCTAGGACTGCATGGTTGAGTGATTGAGGAATTGGGGACATGCAGCCAATCCGCCAAGCGAGTTGATTGATATAGACATAGAGAAGCCGTTGGACTCGCTGTCGTCGGAGTTTGATTTGTTCTCTCCATTGTTGGTCATCACCAGGGTTGTCGATCTCCTCCGTCTCAAAGATACCTAATTCATGTGCTAGAGAGAGCGCGCATCCAAGCAGCATCCAGGACATTTGATCGGACCTCCTAGATGGCTCGATCATATCCTCAACCCATCGGTTTGCTGAGGTATCTTGAGACTCGGAATGATTTGCAAGTTTAGGATCTACAGAGATCAGATCATCATCCCAGCCATCCGTTTCAGGAGGAAAGTGTAGAGAGCGAGGATGCCATTCAGCCATGAGCAAGAGGGCTTCTACCGTGCCAAGACTCCTGATCTTAGATTTTGTAGACTTTTCTTGCCCGAAAATGAGCCGCATTGTCAGTTGCTGGCAGTGTTGCCAGAGTCGATGATGAATGAAGAAGTTCCTTGACTCTCCACCTGCGCCTGGAAGAACGTGATAACGTGAAGAAATCATAAGGATCGTTGAACACAATACAGGTTCGCGGGTGATCATCGTAAGGTGATTCTGGTGATTGGCATAAAAGTCTGTTAATATGGGTGATAGACAGGACATGTTTTTGTAGAACCTGTTTCCTGTTAGCGATACACCCCTGTAAAGGCAGTATGTTCAGGGACGATGACATACAAATCAATGAAGGTTACCGCTTCCCTCGCAGTGAACCAACCCATCTTGACAAAGCGGCATGCCTCCCATATCTGTAGAGTTTCGGGTGCTACCTCTGATATTTCCACTGGGCGTTTTACCCGTGAAACGTTCTCAAAGGCCGCCGGACTTTCAAAGTTCTTTGGCGTTGCTCGTTGATGACCGTTGGAGCCACCTGATTTCAATCCAGCTCCACGAGGTGGACTCTCATCACTTGGTTGATTGTCCTCCTGACGATTTGCTGCTTCAAACAGAATACTCAAAGCATCGTTACCACTCGCGACGACTGTTCGCATCATCGAGCTTGCCAAATTAGAGCTAGAACGATGCCGATTTTCTTGATATGAATGAGCCGGGGAAGTTTGCGCATGTATACTGGCATCGGCCATCGGTTGGGGACTAATGCCGATCTGAGAACTATGATCATTGTGTGGCGATGGATTGGGTCGCGCAAAGGTCCATCCCCGTTGAAAGGGACTCGTCGAGTCCTGCGGGTACTGAACAGTTTGATGGCCTTGCGGAAACTGCCTATTAGTATCGCCCGGGGAGACGACAGCACCTTGAAACTGGTCCTCACTCGGCGATATATCGGTCTCGTTGTCCTCGAGAGATCGTCCTAGACGCAGGCCGATTAGAAATCCGAGTAAGCGGATTCGATGCAAAGATCGACCTACCGCGCTTGCGGGACCTCTCCCAGGCCCGTTTCTCCGGGAAAACACACTCTCTCATCTCCCTGCGACATCGCGCGCATGGTGGGCCGATCGGTAAGCCGTCCGGACCCGTTCCCAGATCGCACTTTGCCTTGCGTTGCCGACAAGGGATGCATGCCTTGTACGTGCGCTGATACGGCCGGTCGGGACGGGATGGCCGAGCCCCGTCCATCGTCAACCACTTGCCTGAAATGCGGCGATAAGTCTCGCCCGGATGGATCAGGCGATCGCGATTAGCAATGGCTATTTTCCTGTGGGTATTTGCATGGGAGGAGTGGATGTTTGGAGGAGCAAAGTGAAGGTAAGCGGGCGAGGGGCGAATTGCCGCTCCTAACCGGGCCAGAAGCGGACGCGCGACGGGCCGAGGAGCATCCAGTCAATCGCGTTTGGAGTATTCTGTATGAGACATGGTCATGAACACCATTCTTACGTAGTAGCAAGAGTGGGGTTCTTATTCTTTACTGCATGATGTATTGTTTTCATTTTGCCATCTCCGAACCTGGTTTCAAAATTTGGGAGAGTCACGTTGCTTCGATCTTGTCCTTATAGCCGCACCACGGATGTCTCCAGCTAGCGAGCAACCGTAAAGAAAATCATGGTCCAAGCAAGAGCAAAAGTCAAAATTGATCACTCATTTCATATTTAGTACATGATAGCACTGACCAGTTTCTTGAAGGTGGCTATTGAGCTATTAGGTAGCCTGAAACCTGGAGTCGATCTATATCAGTATTGACGGTCCGAGTCTCGGATAGGTTATGGAGGCCGAGCTAAAATATTGGTACCAGGCATGACCATTTTGGAGGGATGAGAAGCCCAGTCGAGCGAACATGAAATTTAAGATCGATCGAGAGTCCAGAGCTCTGCGTGAGAATTTGAAGAAATCGAGACATGATGTGATGAGCTGTATTGGACCTAGATTGACATCGTTCTGTACTATGCTTGGGAAGTTTGAGTGAGACGGCTATCAACTGGGAATTTCAAGAAGGAAATTAACTCGGGATAATGAAATACACTCTAGTCACAGTAATCGTGTAAACCCACGAGCTCGAAGCGCGTCGGCGCCCTTGGCTCGGTACCCGACGTCCGCTTGCTCTTCCATACACAACAATGAAGTTCAGAAAGGCCTACCGCAAAGGTGCATATCTAGTTGAATTATGCTGAAAAAGTATTCTCGGAAATTCCATAGCAAGCTATCACCAACGGCAGAGAAATGATGGGCTCCTAGCGCATGCAAGGATGGCTAACCCTTGACTGGTCTGACTGCCGATGCAACAAAGTACAGTGACAGAATTGAGGCGCTGACAATATTGGACTAGCGTTTTTATTGCTTTAAATAAAAGGATAGGCTGCCTTGAGGTCTGAACCTTAATCGTGCGCGTCATTGAGGGGTTTACTGTACCTGTTCCTTATTCGAGAGCTGGAAGATTGCCTTTACTCAAGTAATAGTCATCCTACAATGTGATAATTCAACCACGGTGATTAGCTTGGTACTTAAATAACCACCTCTGTTCACAGCAATTTGTACTTTGTGATCTTGGAAGTAATTATTTATTTTGAACCTACTAGCAAGTAGATTGATTCAGTACGTTTTGTACCGAGGTTCTGAGACAAACGGTTCATGTTCAGCTGGTTTCAATTATGACTATGTAGATCTTGGCATTTGTTGATTTTGAATGCATCCCGGTGCATTAAGACATGGTTAGTCATTATACGCCACGAGTTCTTCATTATAATTTGAATCTCATAACCTAAGGATCTTCCTCAAATGTGCCGTGCATCCATTATCGTTCATGGCCCCACTCGAGTCTGGCGGAAAGCGACGGGCTGGAGGACGGAATTTCCGCGCCCCCGCCAACGGATCGTCTCCCGACGGATTTGAGGAACCGCAACTCGAGGTCCGGGGTATTCCAGGTGTCGACTTCATAGTATAGTATATAGTTTGATAGCAAGGAAACATGACATTAATATCTTCTGGATTTAAAATCCTATCCTAACATTTCCTGACAAATTTGTATCCCCTCCCACCACCCAACCGCCTCCATCAAAAATGCCCGACAAAGTAACTCTCTACACATACTTCCGCTCCTCGTGCTCGGCACGCCTCCGCATCGCCCTGCACCTCAAGAATATCCCCTTCACGCCCATATTCGTCAACCTGCTCCGCGACGAACAGTCAAGCCCAGCCAACCGCACCATAAACCCCTCTGGCACCGTTCCAACCCTACTCATCACACAGGGTTCCGACACGGTGACAATCACCCAATCCCTCGCGGCACTAGAATACCTCGAGGAAGCCTTTCCAGATAATGGACCCTCTCTGCTCCCTTCATCCCCGCAAGACCGCGCCCTAGTCCGCACCCTCGCCCAAATTATCGCCTGCGATGTCCAGCCCGTCACGAACCTGCGGATCCTAAAGCGGGTTGCACCGCTGGGCGCGGATAGGGCGGCTTGGTCGAAGGATTTGATTGAAGATGGACTACGGGCTTATGAGACCATCGCGGTAAAGTCGGCGGGGAGGTTCAGCGTTGGGGATCAGATTACGATGGCGGACGTTTGTCTTGTGCCGGCTGTTTGGGGGGCAGAGAGGGTCGGGGTGGATTTGAGTGGGTTCCCGGTTGTTGATCGGATTATGAAGAATCTTGAGCAAGAGGAGGCCGTGAGGAAGGGGCATTGGCAGACGCAGCCGGATACGCCGGAGGATTTGCGGGCCAAGTAGGTGGTAGGACAGGTAGTTGGGATGTTTGAAATTGTGTCTAGGGCGGATCTGGAGATGGCTAGGAATTGTTTTACTTTCCGGTATATTGATAGCCGGATCATTCATGCATGTAATTGCGAGTTCTAGTAACTATTTTACCGTGCCAAATTGGTAATTTCCATCAAAACATCAAAGTAATATTCGTCAACACCCCTTCTTATAGCGAGACCGGAGGAAGAATGGTACCAACGCAGTCGCCAAATCCGACGTAATTACCCTCCGTGCCAGCAGTGCCGCGCAGAATGATGGTATCGCCGTCCTCGAGGAAGAAACGCTCCGAGCCATCGGCAAGCTTGATGGGGGTCTTGCCATTGGTCTGCTCAAGCAGACTGCCCTGGGTCTTGGGATCCTTGCCAGAGATGGTACCAGAGCCCAGCAAATCACCAGTCCTCAAGTTGCAGCCAGTAATAGTGTGGTGAGCAATCATTTGAGGGAAGGAATAGAGCAGGTTGCGACTGTTGCTGTTGGAGATCAGAGTAGGCTGGCCGCCCTTATTGGTGAGCTCAACCTCGAGGGGGATCTCGTAGGCGGTATCGGCGCGCTTCTCGCGCAGATACGGCAGGAGAGAGTCGCGGTTACCAGGCTCCAGACCGAGTGCACGGAAGGGCTCCAGGGCATCGATCAGGACAACCCAGGGAGTGATGGTGGTGCCAAAGTTCTTGGCGTTGAAGGGACCAAGAGGGATATACTCCCAAGCCTGGATATCACGGGCGGACCAGTCGTTCATGAGAACCAGACCGAAAATGTGGTCCTCGGCCTCCTCAATAGAGACGGGCTTGCCAAGGTCGTTGGGCTTGCTAATGAAGCAAGCCAGCTCCAGCTCAATATCCAGCTTCTTGCAAGGGGAGAAGGTAGGGACCTTGGGATCGGCAGCGGGGTTGGCCAGGATCTGACCGCTGGGACGGTGCAGAGGAGTGCCCGAGGGGACAACGGAAGAAGCACGACCGTGATAGGCCACTGGCAGATGCTTATAGTTGGGCTGCAGTGCGTTATCCGGCCCGCGGAAGAGCACTCCAATGTTATAGGCGTGGTTCAGACCGGCGTAGAAATCAGTGTAATCGCCAATCTGCATGGGAAGATGGTTGGTAACCTGAGAAAGCGGCACGAGCGCCGACTTCTGCAGATCGGCATTGTCCTTGAGAACCTGGGGGAATTGGGTGTCGGCGCGGAAGACGTTCTGCAAGTACTCGCGCACCTGGCGATGCACGGGGCGACCCAGAGCAGCGAATGCATTGAGAGTGGGCTGATCGAAGACACTCAGATGCTGCTGGATAGCGGGCAGTTGTGAGAAACCCCCGGAAGAGGCGAAAGCGTTCAAGTTCAAAGCATGGTCACCGATGGCAATGGCCGGTACGCGCGAGGCAGACTGAGCGGAGATGATGCCGAAGGGGATATTGGCCAAGGAGAACGGAGAGTTCTTGGGGATCTGGAACCAGGAAGCCATGATAAAGCAATTGACGGGAATGAATGATGAAGAGAGAGGGAGGGAAAAAAAACACAGCTTCCTGGGGGTCAACTTAACTGTTGGAGCGTCGCCTCTGCTGCGGGACAAGGGCTCCGAGTAGTGCGGAATTGCCCCGTCCTGGGAATACCCCGCCTCCAACCGCGAAAGGAGAATGCGGAAAGAAGTGCGGGGATAATCGCGGATGACCTGCAAAGTGCCGCGGGTGACGTGGGAGTCGTGCGAAAGAAATGGCATAGTGGCACAATAGCACTACCTGAGATCCGAGGAGTCCGTTCGTGCTCGTAGAATACAAAGAGAACCCTCCCTTGAGACCATCACATCTCCATTTCGCTCCTTTTCTTCCTCCCTCCAAATATCCTCCGCCCATCATGCCCGTCACCAATTTCTCCCACCCGGATCCTTACACTTACCGGAACGGCTTCGACTCGCACCACGAGTATGTCCCTCGGATGTAAGATGTAATAGAGAATTCGATCCTAACTATGGGATAGGTCTGAAGCGATCGAGGGAGCACTCCCCATCGGCCACAACTCGCCGCAGAAGGCCCCCCATGGCTTATACGCCGAGAAGCTATCCGGTACGGCCTTTACTGCCCCTCGCCATGAGAACAAACAGACATGGGTGTACCGTATCATCCCTGCTGCCGCCCACAGCAACTTTTCCGCTGAAGATGCCGATTCCTATCACACTCGTATGACCACCGAGACACACAAGCTGCACCATATCCCCAATCAGCTGCGATGGAACCCCTTCGACTTTGATGAGAAGGTGGACTGGGTTCATGGTCTGCACCTTATCGCTGGCTCGGGAGACCCAACCTTGAAGCAGGGTCTGGGTATTTTGCTCTATGCCGCCGGCAAGGATATGGGCAACGAAGCCTTCTACTCCGCAGATGGCGATTTCTTGATCGTTCCTCAGCATGGTACTTTGGACATCCAGACGGAACTGGGCCGTATTCTTCTACGCCCGAACGAGATTGCTGTTATCCCTCGTGGTGTCCGGTATGTTTCCTTTTTTTTTCCCTGCCTTCAAGTATCGCTGGGTCACTAACCTTTCTAGATACCGCGTCACCCTCCCTGATGGTCCCGTACGAGGCTACATTTGCGAGCTGTACCAGGGTCACTACCAGCTGCCCGAGCTGGGCCCCATTGGGTCCAACGGCTTGGCCAATGCCCGCGACTTCCAAGTCCCCGTCGCTGCCTTTGACGACGAGGAAGGGCCCACCGAATACAAGTTGTTCAGCAAGTTCAACAATACCCTTTTCTCAGCTCGCCAAGACCACACCCCCTTCGACGTTGTCGCCTGGCACGGTAACTACTACCCCTTCAAGTACGATCTGGGCCGATTCAACACCATCGGTTCGATCTCATTTGATCACCCCGATCCATCCATTTTTACCGTTCTGACTGGCCCCTCTGATCACGTCGGTACTGCCATTGCCGACTTTGTCATCTTCCCTCCTCGCTGGCTCGTCGCGGAGAATACTTTCCGGCCTCCATGGTATCACCGCAACACCATGTCGGAGTTCATGGGCTTGATTTCTGGTAATTACGATGCAAAGACCGGAGGTGGTTTCCAGCCCGCCGGTGCTAGTTTGCATAATGTGATGAGCGCCCACGGTCCGGACTCGGCTGCATTTGAGGGTGCGAGCAATGCCGAGCTGAAGCCGAATAAGATCGGCGATGGCAGCATGGCGTTCATGTTTGAGAGGTATGTACAGGTGTTGAAGTTATCCCATGCCCATTTTCAGTGCTAACAGTTTTTTCTAGCTCGCTCATGGTCGGTGTCTCTGAATGGGGTCTCAAGACATGCCAAAAGGTTCAGGAGGAGTATAACCAACACAGCTGGGAGCCCCTGAAGCGCCACTTCAAGAACCCCAACAAGGCTTAGATTTGGAACGTGCACAGTTTTGGTGGAAAATAGCGATACGTTTGTGTAAATAGCAGCTCAACTTGCCATGGAATGATTTGACGATACCTCAATCGATGAAAGAATGGAGTTTATTGCATCGTAAAATGGTCGATCTTCTTGTATAACTCACACAGTGTTCAAAATTCCAATATGTTTCATAACATGACATCAAAGTGACCAGTAGTATTATGCAAATATATATCAAAGTACATCTAACTCAACCCTCCATCTCCTTCCTCATCGCCTCCTTCACAATAGCCCCACACATTTTCGCATAAGGGTTCGTCTGCACAGCCAACTGCTGGGCAACTTTATTCCCATACCGACCCCCAAAAAAGAAATCCCGACTCGCCATCTCCTCCAATTGATCCGCACTATAGCCACGTAACCGCTCCGGCATTACATTTTGCACCTCCCCATCGGACCGAGTCTTTTTCACGCGCGCAGCCTTCAATAACAAATACCCGCGATGCGTGTGCGCATCGGCCAACAATCGCGCCTGCAGCGATGAAATCGGGTCTGCGGGGGAAGCTGGCGTGGCGAGTGTGATTGCTTTGCCTAGATCGGCGAAGATTCTTGCAGATAGATCTGCGGCTTCGGGGTGGAAGAGGGCTTCGTCCGTGTTGGATTCGGCGCTTTGTGGTTCAGCTTCAGCGTGGCGCTGCTTGTATTCGAGGTCTGCGAGGAGACGGAGGGTTTGGGCGCGGTTGGTGTATGCGGGAGGGTAGGTTGGGTGTTGTTCCAAAAGAGCGTTTAGCTCTTCGAGTGCTGATTGTACTGTTTTTTGGCTTGGTGTTTCATGGGTTTGGAGCTTGAGAATGATTTGTGCTTCTTGGGCTTTGAGGTTGTCGAGGTCTTGTTGGGAGACGTTCACGGTTGTTGGCCAGGGTGGGAGGGATGAATCGACTGTAACCCCTGATGAGGGTGAGGATTCGGCATCGAAGAGGGCTTGAAGGACTGCAGCGTCGTTGTTCGTCAACGAAGGACATGCATGTGAGATGGTTGTCATGATGATTCGGAAGGTGAAGATGGAGTATAGTTTCAGTATGAGTGTTGGCCACGCCGTGAAATCGATAGGTGCACAGGATGAGAAGGAGCTTTTGCTAATATGTAACAGTTTGAGATCGTCTTTTGCTTTTCTGGTGAAAAGAAGTCAATGAAATCACGTCAGGGCCACCGAGCCCCAGAGCGGCGATGAAGTAAGCGCTGAGACTCGGCCCGGCTGTTGACGGATAGTTCCGGCTGGCGCAGGAAACACGCCGAAGCGCTGACGGTATCCGCGATCCTACCAGCAAAAAACGTGCTGATAATGATGAATATATCCGCTGCGGCTAATGGAGGTTACCTGAATAATAGTGGGAGTTTGATTTAAGACCTGAATAAGTGGCGGTGCCCAATATCCCTTTTTCATCAACTATCAAACATCTACTTTTTCAACCTATCCTCTGCCACACATTCCATATTTGAACTATCATCTACCAAAGGACCAAAAAGGAACTAGCTCAACAGAGAGAGAACAAATTCCCAAAATGGCTCCTTCAGCGATCTCTACCAGCCCGCCTCCCTCTACTAATGGGGAGGCCTCTATCGCCAGCTACCGCGGCTACGACCATGTCCACTGGTATGTCGGCAACGCCAAGCAAGCTGCCAGCTACTACATCACCCGCATGGGCTTCAAGCGCATCGCCTATCGTGGCCTTGAGACCGGCAGCCGTGGCATCTGCTCTCACGTCATCCGCAACGGCGACATCACCTTCATTCTGACCTCGCCCCTCCGCTCCTTGGACCAAGTCGACCGCTTCAGCCCCGAGGAACAGGCTCAGTTGCGCGAGATCCACTTCCACCTTGAGCAGCACGGTGATGCCGTGAAGGATGTTGCCTTTGAGGTTGATGATGTCGATGCTGTTTACTACGCTGCTGTCAAGAATGGCGCCAAGTCTGTTTCTAAGCCTCGTGTTCTCGAGGATGAGGGTGGAAGAGTCAAGGTCGCCACTATTCAGACATACGGTCAGACGACGCATACGCTGATTGAGCGGAGTCTGTATCGTGGTGCGTTCTTGCCGGGGTATCGTCTTGAGGCGGGCGTTGAGGACCCCGTGGCCACGTTCTTGCCTGGTGTTCACCTTAAGCGAATTGATCACTGCGTTGGTAACCAGGATTGGGACGAGATGGATAAAATTTGCGAATAGTAAGTTCCCCCCTGCTTCGTTGTGATTGAATTAAGAAGCCACGATTGCTCACATGTGTTTAGCTACGAGAAAGCTCTTGGATTCCACCGTTTCTGGTCCGTTGATGACAGCCAGATTTGCACGTATGTTAAACTGTCGAATGAGTTCGATATCTCTGAAGGGATATAAACTAACTTGAATAGTGAATTCTCTGCTTTGAAGAGTATCGTCATGGCCTCGCCCAACGATATCGTCAAGATGCCCATCAACGAGCCCGCCAAGGGCAAGAAGCAGTCCCAAATCGAGGAATATGTAGACTTCTACAACGGCGCTGGTGTCCAACACATCGCCCTGTTGACTGACGACATTATCCGCGATATCACCAACTTGAAGGCGCGCGGAGTCGAGTTCATCAAGGTCCCCGAGACGTATTATACCGACATGCAGGCTCGGTTGAAGCAGTCTGGTCTGGTTCTTAAGGAGGACTTTGAGACAATTCGCAGCTTGGATATTTTGATTGATTTCGACGAAGGTGGTTACCTCTTGCAGTTGTTCACCAAGGTATGTGTAGTCCTCAAACTGGATTTGTATCAGAAGCGGTATATCCAGAGTACTGATTCGTCGACGATAGCACCTAATGGACCGTCCTACCGTCTTTATTGAAATTATTCAGCGACACAACTTCTCCGGCTTTGGTGCTGGAAATTTCAAGTCGCTGTTCGAGGCTATTGAGCGTGAGCAGGAGCTGCGCGGTAATTTGGTATGATCGAGAGGGGTTAGGTGACAGTAAAATTGAGCGTATGAGAGTGTGAGGCTTCTTGCATATATTTTGATACCTTTTAGCATGTATCTCATGAGATTTGATCGTCAATACATTTCTTGGAATTGTTGTTGTCATCTCAAATTCCTAGTATTATTTTCATATTGGCTATCGGTTTATATAAGCAGAAATCTTGAGATAGATTCTCTACAGTTGAGAGTGCTTTGATTTGTGTACAAAAACAAGACGTGATTCCGAGAGACACAATCCGGTCGGAATGTCGACCGACCGACCGCAAGATCCACCGTATACTCCCGGACAAACTTTGTTAATCTATATCTTGTGGCCAAAGTATAAAGACTAAAAATTTTTCTTGACCAGTGGCACAGCCCTCGAGCGCCCCCAGATGTAATCATGGATGGCCCGGAATATTCTCTTGCCTCCCCCGGATGTGGAAGCCAACTCCAGCAAATCTGCACTCCTGAAGCTCCCGATTGCCCGGTGGCGACCGGGTTTATCATCACGTGAGGTCACGTTCCCCCGGACAAGCAAAGACGAAGAAAAAGTCCTCCACCCGCACCCCCGACATCATCACTTCATCGCCGGTTCGCCTCTCGCCCTGGGCTATTGCCTTTCCTTCCTCCCTCTCCATCCGCGACTTTCTGCTCATTGATCCTCGACATTAGCATTCATCCGATTTGATTATCCTTGTTGTCGATCGCGACACTTGCGTCCTCTTGACCTCGAAAACCCCTGCTCACTCGACCTTCCTCCTCCTCTTCCTTCAACTTCACACATAATGGATCACTCCAGAGATCCCTGCCCCTGGGTTGCCCTGAGCGATTTCGGTGGTGCTTTCTGCATGGGTGCTATTGGTGGTGCTGTGTGGCACGGTGTCAAGGGCTTCCGTAACAGCCCCTACGGTGAGCGCCGGATAGGCGCTCTGACTGCCATCAAGGCTCGCGCTCCCGTGCTCGGTGGTAACTTTGGTGTTTGGGGTGGTTTGGTTAGTTTCGCGTGATCACGATGGATTTATGTGGCATTGCATTCTGACAGTTGTCCAGTTCTCCACATTCGATTGCGCTATTAAGGGCATCCGCAAGACCGAGGATCCCTGGAACAGCAGTATGTGTCTATCGCTCTCGATTACTGGCAAAATCATCCTCTAATTGATTTTTTAGTTATCGCTGGTTTCTTCACTGGTGGTTCTCTGGCTGTTCGCGGTGGTGTCAAGGCCGCCCGTAACTCGGCCATTATGTGCGCCGTCTTCCTTGGTGTCATTGAGGGTGTTGGTATCGGTTTCCAGCGTATGATGGCCGATAACACCAAGCTCGAGGTACGTTGACTTTTTCTTCACTTTCTTCGCTTTCTCGTAATATTTTCTATCATGATCCTCTGCTGACTTTTGTCTTATTAGCTCCCTCCTCCCCCCCCCTCCGAGCAGAAGGCTCTCGCTTAAATTATCCCCATTTTCACTTCCTCGATCGATTTATTCCTCCGGTGGCCGACAAACCCACCTTCGATCTCTTGTCTTCATAAACACATCCCCACGTTGAATCTCCCTTCTCAGGTGTTCGGTTTGGGTCATCATTCTTAAACGACATGGCATAGAGGCTCCTGCTTTGTTTCTATTTTTTTCTGCTTACGCTTTTTATACCGCCTTTCCTCGGCCCTTGTTTTCGGAGCATTGTATTTTGTGGACGGTACTCTGGCTGGTTCCCAGGATTCGGGACCGGCGTGTGGTTTCCTTTTTGTGTGGCTATTTGGCCAGCTAAAAGAATATCTCTGCTCATTGCTGCAACAAAAAGCGTTCGGATCGGGACGTGGTGGAGTCTTGTACATTAACGCATTGGTAACAGGCATAATACGCATTTTTATTGCATATATTTGGACCTCCGGTCACAGTTTTCCCTACTCGGTGTTTACTCTTACTTTACAACTACTGGCTTTGACAGGGATCTTATTTGAATTCTAATCGGATTTGCAGAGATCGGATTTTTGTCGCGTCCATATAATTCCTCGCTGCATGCCGAACTTTGTCCACCTCTCCGCCTTATCTTTCCCCGCATCCCTCGAGACCTCTCTTCTTCCACACCCTCCCACTCATCCCCGAGAACCGAAATGTCGGATGAGCCAGCGACTTTCAAGCCTGCGCTCATACTTCATGGAGGTGCAGGTAATATCCAACGTGCTAAGCTGCCACCGGATCTTTACGCCAAACATCATGCCTCCCTCCAATCCTATCTTCGCTCGACCTACACACTCCTCAAGGAGGGCGCTTCGGCCCTTGATGCCGCGGTCCACGCCGTTTCCCTTATGGAAGATGACGAGCTATTCAATTGCGGTCGTGGCAGCGTTTTCACTACAGCGGGCACGATCGAAATGGAGGCTTCCATTATGGTTGCTACCGTTCAAGACCCCGATCAGAACCGACCGGGGGAAATGAAAAAAGCCGCAGCTGTCATGAATGTGAGGAATGTGCGACATCCCATCCAACTGGCACGCGAGTCGCTCTTACGGACCGGCTATACGCCTGATGGAAAGACCAAGAAGGACGGTGGTAGCATGCACCCCCAGCTTGCCGGACCTCATGTAGAGACCCTTGCTCGGGAGTGGGGCCTGGAATTTAAGCCCGATGAATGGTTCTGGACACAGCGTCGCTGGGACGAACATCGGCGGGGGCTTGAGGGGAAGGAGGAACCTATATCTTTAAGTCAGGGCACGGTTGGCTGTGTCTGTTTGGATCAATGGGGTAATTTGGCCGTTGCGACCAGTACGGGCGGCAAGACTAATAAGCTACCCGGTCGCATCGGGGACACTCCGACTCTGGGTGCAGGATTCTGGGCTGATGCGTGGGACGTCACCTTCCCGGGGCCAGAGGCCGCGTCTCCTGTGATCCCGAACAGCAAGGTCGGAGCGGTCTCCGCCACGCCCAGGTGCACGGGCAACCTCGCAACTAGCACCATGGCTAGTGTGCAGGAATTCTGTGGAAACTTGGGAGACAGCCTGCGAAGCTGCCTGGCTCCACGTTCTCAACCCGAGAGCCCCGACCCTCCGGCCTATTCGTCTCGTTCATCTAGTCCACGTGCCAGTGTGGTAGTTCAGGTATCTGGAAAGTCATGTTGTATGCGAGGCTCGACGTGTGCAAGAAAAGCTATTGCGATCTCAGGAACCGGAGATGGTGATGCGTTCCTTCGTCTCGCTGCTGCCCACTCGGTTGCCTCGCTATCTCGGTTGCAGAACTACTCCCTTACCGAAGCTGTCAAGTTCGTGGCCGGTTCTAATGGTGCTCTTCAACGATCGGCTGGCCCCCGATGGGGAGTCACGGGCGAGGGCGAGGGTGGATTCATTGGAATCGAGCTTGATGAGGAGCATTCTACTCGTTCAACTGGAAGGCTGGAAAAGCTACGTCGTGGTAATGTGGTCTGTGACTATAATTGTGGTGGGATGTGGCGTGCATGGGTTGAGCCTGGTCAGAATGGAAAGGACGTCGAGCGGATCATGGTCTTCCGAGAGAAGTACGAGTAGGGCGATTCACCATTCTCGAGTAGGCACACTGCGAATTGTGGCAGGATAGAATAGCTTTGATGTCTATGCTCTCCAAGATGGATCCAAATCATAGATTGTGGCAACACCCATACCCAACTTCGACCCATCTACGTTTGTACTCCGTTTGTACTCTGGAGAATTGCTCCCCGTGGTACTGCGTATTTCAGACACAAAAATGTTCCTGAAAAAGTCTGCGTAATTATGGAAACCCTCCTACTCATAGTAAACCGCTTGCAGATCCCGGTCTAGAACAGGGCCGATGACCTGCCCTGTAGAACCGAGCAGCCGGATGCTGAATTTCAATGGACGTATTGGCCGGTCAGTTCGCTTTGTATAGAACCCACCTGGCCCTCCACAGGCTCGAGATAACGGTGTTCGCCACAGTAGTCCCGCTATTCCATCTGTACCTGGCGCATTGATCGCTGCAAATACTTGTTGTACCTGGATCCACCGGGGCGAGGAATCATAATTACAAGGAACAGATCAAGGAACAGAGCAAGGAACGCTGACCCGCTCTTGAAAATCCTGACTTTGGAGATAGAAAAATTCGAAAACCATACTCTGCCGGTGAGATATTCATACTGGCCATTTGGTGACTAGGACTGCCCTCTTTCCCCTGTCGATCAGCCCAAGTCACTCTGCCAAGATGAAGTCTTGTACTCCCTAGAGAATGTTTGACGTGTAAGAACCAAAGCATCAACAAGAGTATGTATCTCCAGCCCCCCCCAAGAGGCCCAAACAAAGCCAAGACTCCTCCACATCGTGTTATATTACTGTGTAACGTGGACGAGATCCAGTCAAAGCCACGCGTCTTGACAGCCATAGCGTCACTCCACCCCGCGCTGCCATTGAAATACCCGGTTTAGACGGTACTTAGTGGCCGCGTGGCGTATTAAGCGTTCCCTGACCAGCCAATCATCCATCTCGAATCTACGGATACGCTTGGCGCATGATGCATAAGCTTAAGATCCTACGTACGACTGTTGAATTTACCGGACTTGTTTACCCTGCCCACAAATGTTCTTGGGACTGGGACTCTTGGGTGATCTATAAGTATTCTACCCCCTCTTTCTCGCCCGCCCTGGAAGGTTCCTCGCTTCTTAACCTGAAACAGTTCCCGGCTCAATTGAATTTGGTGCAGTGCTTGCTCTTCTTCAAACACTCTTTGTCGCCCCTGTTCAACTATTCGTTGTACCGCTCGTTACGATGAAGGCCTTTATTGCTATTGCATCTCTGACCGTTGGCGCCAATGCCCTCGTTGGTCGTAGTGATAGCTGCTGTTTCCACCTCACTGCCTCCGGTGATACCTCTGGCTCTCTGGGTCAGCTGAGCGATGGCCAGGTCCGTGTTGGCGATGACTCCCTTTCGGCCGCCACTTTCTGCCTGTCCGGAGGTGTGATTACCGATAGCGAGGGCCGTGGCTGCGTGATCACTTGTAAGACATCGTCTCTTTCCCAAATATCATCGTCAATGACTAACCGAATCCCTCTTATCAGCCGAGACCACCCAATTCCAGTGTGACGCTGGTAGCGCCGGCACCTCTGGCTTCTCCCTCAGCTCATCCGGTGGCCTGGAGTTCAGTGGTAGTTCCAGCTTCGTCGCCTGCGCAACCGGCCAGAACAACGGCGACAACATCTACACCACCGAGAGCGACTCCGTCACCCAGTGCGTGAGCGTCAAGCTTACCGCTGACTCGACCTGTGCCGCTGCCTCGTCTTCCGTTGCTTCTGTCGCTCCCACTTCAACCCCTCTGCCTACCAGCACTCCTCTGCCCGCCAGCACTCCGCTTTCCTCGGGCTCTTCGCCCGTCAGTGCCTCCTCTGCATCTGTTGCGGCCAGCACTCCTCTAGTTGGATCTTCCAGCCTCACCACCAAGACTTCCTCATCGGCCGTGGCTTCTACTAGCTCTGCTGCCGGCACGAGCACTTCGTCTGCTTCGTCCTCTTCGTCCACCGTTGCTCCCGCTTCTAGCTCGACTGCTGCTAGCGCGGCTACCCGCTACGACTTGGGTAACTTGGCCTCTGTCATGGTGGTTCTCTCCATGGCTTCTCTTTACCTCCTCTAAGATGATGGATATGGATATGGATACATGATGTCTCAAGATGTGATTAATGTTGGGGTAATGAATACGTGATAGGCTACGTAGTTTACTTGTGCCGGTACCGAGGCACTTAATCTATGAATGAAAACAAGATAACCTTTGTCACTTGCGGAAACAATTCTTTGATAAGAAAGAATCTTGTTACTGGCACACCGAGGGAGTCGGCTCACATTTCTATGTCCAGATCCTTCCTCACGATCCCAGATGTGCCTGAGAACGACAAATCGGGTTTCGTTAGGATAGCACCGGTTCGACTATTTGTAATTCTCCTCGACTGTATTATGAAAGACCTTGGTGTATCATGACTTGAAAGTCCGAGACGCGATTCTAAAGCTGTCTAGGGAGACGGATCAAAGACCTTCGGAAAGAGCTTTCAAAAGGCTGGTGATTTAAGCGGTATCTAGGTAGACCTTCTTGGCGTGCTAATGGCAAGATCCATTTGATATATGTCTTTAGTAAATTAAGCTTCAGGAGTATCCTTGGTCTCCGACCACACTAAACAAATTGAATTTCTTTAATCGATACATAGATGATAGAGCTCGGCGACGTAAGTGCACGACTTATATAGCTATGCAGAGCCTCAACGAATTTCAGATCATGACGATCTGAAAGCTAGGGCTTGACCGAATCGAAGATAAAGTGCTCCAGGCTTGCGATAGCATTAAAGAAATATTCATTTTCAACGACCTTCCCGGCCCAGTTCGGCATATTCCGCTGTCTCTCCAAAGCCAAAACTCAGTGCCTGCAAAACACGTCCGTACTGACTAGTTCCACCCTTTGACTCAATCTGCGGCTTTCTTGACCTTTTTCGTCTTGCGTTTACTATTCCATCGCTTCAGATCTCGAGCTCCGTGGAGGTATAGCCAAGAGAAAAAGAAGACCATAGCGAAGTTGAAGATGACAAAAGCCCAGAAGATACCCTGTTCAAGAATTATCAGAGGGGGTCAAACTTGGTCGCGGCAAAGAAGGACTCACATAATCTCGCCATTTATAAGAGTAGAAGACATTGAAGCTGGCCGCCTGTCGTGTTGTATGACCGTCAGTCGCTGTCTAGATTGGGATGTTGAGCAGGGAAACTCACGAATTCATCGCCGGTGGAGTACTGGCAAAATGCGCACAAGCCATTTCCAGCATCACGGATAGTGCCACCAGAACTCTGCGCATATGAACCGGCGTATTCCTGACAAGTCAAGCCGGCTGGTGGACTGAAAAATGCCTCTTCTCGTTCGACGCATATAACAGGGACGTTATGCGTTACAACACCCAAGAGACCCTCGAGCAGGTAGTGGAAAGGCGTGAGCCAATACATCCACGACTGCCAAAAGTGGGGAAGAGCGGCATAGGGCACGACAACACCACAGAAGGAAATGACGAAAGTAAAGAATGAGGGCACGAGCAATGATGCAAAAAGCTCATTTGGTGAAAAGGCAGCGATAAATTGTCCTAATCCAACGTAGAAGCATTCAAATAGCATGAGCATCATCCAGGTGTAACCTGAGCTGAAAGAGTCCCGTGGGAACCAAACGCCCCAGTACCTGTGTTGATTTTAAGCCGTCTGCATTTCTGTTCGGGGCTTATAGCATACGTACCAGCAGTTGAAGTATATCGATCCGGCAACGATGGAATATGGTAGTTCTGGGAGAATGGTACTCACTACGAAGGCGACCCAGGAATAAATCTTGGAGTTTGACTCGCGCGACTCGTAGATACCTCGGAAATGCAAATACCGTGGCTGTAATTGCTGGATTAGAGGTGGAGAGATTGTCAAGGTCATGAAAATGGAGAACAGTCTCGACTGCATGTCAACATAACTGTTGCCCAAATGCCAGAATGTGAAAGTGTTGAATAGGCCTGTAACGATGTGGAGCAGCATTTTGCCCTACAGAGTCTCAGTACTGGTATGACTATCAAGCAGTTTTGGGATCACAGCGACTCACAAGAATATAATCTGGTAGCCTCCAGTATGCCACGAAGGCTCGCTTTGTTACTGCCAGTATCTGAACGGAGAGCGGCATGGCGAACTCCCGGTCATCCCTGGTAATCTCCTCCTGCTGCTCGCTACCGCGGGAACTGATTATATTTTTTAATTCATCAGAAAGTCGTTTAGATTCTGGAGATTTTTCCCACGCGTCGCCCCAGTCCTGTCCGTCATAATCCGGATTCCCAGCGCCGATTACTTCAAGCATATACTACACGGTACTTTAGCCAGAAAACGCTTTGTTAAGATTTTAATACTGACCTCTGCTGGGTTGGCCTTTGGGGAACATTTCTTGCCCCCATTTCGCTCAAAATAATCGATCAGGGTTTTGGAATCCGAGCCCAAAGCACCATTATACACCACTCGGCCACCACTTTGGAGCAGAAGAAGTTCGTCAAATTGCTCAAAAAGCACGGCTGACGGTTGGTGAATGGTACAGAGGACTGCTTGGCCGGCATCGGCGAGTCGTCGGAGAAAACGCACAATATTGAATGCGGCCAGTGAATCGATACCAGAGGTGGGCTCGTCCAAGAAAAGCAACAGCTCTGGTTTACTGGCTAGCTCTACCGCAATAGTGAGACGCTTGCGCTGTTCCTGATTCAAGCCAGAGCCAGCGGATCCAACAGTAGCACCAGCAATTGAACGCATCTCCAACAGATCAATGATTTTCTCGCAGTAGGCATATTTCTCTTGTAGAGGGACCTCTTTTGGCTGCCTCAAAAGGGCGGAGAAGCGTAAAGACTCGCGGACCGTAGCCGTAGGCTCATGTATATCCATCTGCTCGGCAAAACCGGTTGCTCTTTGGAAGCTTTTAGGGAGTGGTCTTCAAATGTCAGGTCAGTATGGAAATTTACCCCAATCGAAGATCTATGACTTACTTTCCGTCAACTAGGAAGCTTCCGGTGACAACGCCAAATTTGATCCGCTGGGCTAGGGAGTTGAGTAGAGTAGTTTTGCTAATTATACGTTAGCAATTTGCTATCGAGACTGCCAGAATGATCAAGTATACCCTGCACCTGATGCACCCATTAATGCTGTGAGTCGACCGGGTTTGACGTATCCATTGACATTCTGTAGCAACTTGCGCTGTCCACCCTTGTAAGGGATGGTATAATTCACATCCTGCCACGTGAAGATGGATGTATTTTTGGCGATATTCTCGACCTTCCGATCGGCCTCGTCATCGTCCATGCCTGAAGATCGTCCGTTTTTCTCAGCAGATTCAATATCTGCCGGGGGCCTGCTACCTTCTATCGCTTCTTCAACTGCTTTTGGTGCCTGGCCTCTTTTAAAGACCGTCACGGAGCTCCCACCTCTATTAGGCTTCTGGATTTCCATTCCAAGCATGGTCAAAAAGATAAAGAAAAGGAGCCAAGCTATCATGATGCCTAAATTTCTCCAAAGGTGGGACCGTGAGTACGTAAACGCAGCCTCGATGTAGTCGGATCCTTGTACAACCAAGCTGTCCGGACTGCTGCCTTGAATTGCGCAACCTTGATGGGAAGAAGCTGCCTCGGGTCCGTTAGGCACAATGTATGGCGGTTCACACTTGATTTCAAGATTGTAAAATTCATTTGCCATCAGCGCTTCGAATGCGTATTGGACTGGGTTTATCCAAATAAGCCACTTGAGCCACGGGTGCATCTTCCAAGGTGGGATCAGGTATCCTTGGATAAAAGTTAATGCAATGCCTTTCGGTAGGAGATATAGAGTGCTTGCCAGTATATACGATGAGTGCTTGAATTGCGACTCCCGTGAGTCGAGTTGCTATGCCAGAGTTAGTACAATTCAGCTTCCGCAACGAATTTCCGCTTACCAACATCCAATGATGCGCATAATGCACCGAGTGCACGGAAGAAAGAGTACATGGTCATTGTGAGGATGAAGATGACAAGCAGGTTTATAAAAAACTGGGACGCTGTCCGTGCGAGATTCGACATACTGGGGAGGACCTGTTAGTTTGTTTCAAATTACTTTGAGGGGAGACCGTACAAGTAAACGACGATGTCAAAAAGCAACACTTGGATGAATACTAATGGAACATCCACGACGACTTGCGCCAGCGCATATGCCGCGGGCCGATAAAAAGAGCTACACGGGTTAGAGTCATTAATCTCATGGCCAAGTGTTTTGACTTCACTCACAAGCTCTTGTGTTTCATCAGTATGGGACGGCTCTCGAACGCGGCTGTTAGCTCAGCCAATGCAAGTAGAGCGTTGAACAGAAGGATATAAAACATCACACCACCTCGTGTAAAAACCCCCGAGCTACATGGGTTCATTAGTCCAAAGGATCGAGTATGAAGACAATACAGATATGTACCTTGTGTTAGGAAGATTGTAGAACAGGCTTCCTACAATGAGGGCCTGAAAGACGAGGACAACCCATTTGCCAATGAGAGCAGCTCTATCACCAAACATGACCAGAAATTGTCGATGGGTGAGGATGGCAACTTGTTTCCAGAATGGGACCGTATAATTCTTTGTAGTCGCTTTGCTTATGGCAGCCTCTCTCTCATGCTTCTGAGATTCGATCTCGTCCTCGAAGCTCTGAATGTCCGTGAGTGTCTGTTTGAAAACATCGCTTTGTCGATACGCCGCTTGAAACTCCTCGGCCGTTCGCGGGATACGATCTTCCCACCCCGGCTTCACTCTTCTTGCATGAGGATCGCTGACTGATGTCAAGAAATCGGGTGTTGTCCACCGGGGAGGACATTCAAATCCCAGATTTTCCAAGTAGATTTTCGCTACTTCGGTAGGACCAAAGAACGCGCACTTCCCATCCTCGATGAGAATCACCTTGTCAAAAAGGTTGAAAAGATTCTCCGAAGCCTGATAGAGCGCGACTAATGTTGAGACATGCGCTGTATTGGTAAGACTTCTCAGGCTCTGGACGTACTCGAGCGCGGTGCTTGCGTCGAGGCCCCTGGTCGAATTATCCCAGCATTGAGTGCTAGCTTTTGTCACCATCGCTTCACCGATCGAAACCCGCTTTTTCTCTCTGTGATTTAAGATTTTAGCAGTAGTTTTGCATAATTCAAATTGGAGATCGACTCACCCGCCCGAAACTCCACGAATCAGTTCGTTCCCAATTCGCGTTTCAAGGGCATGTTCAATCCAGAAGAGCTTGGCGATCGCCGAAAGGAAAGTCTGCTGATAATCCTTTCGACTTTCGCCAGGGATGCGTGATGATTTATCAGGGGTTCGGGTCTTGAGGGCAAATAACAATGTATCTTTAACGGTCAATGTGGCATAGTGGAGATCATCTTCGGGGTTGTATGAGACTATTTGCTTTTAGTATGCCTGATGATCAATTTGAAAAATACTCAATTACCTTCTGAGCGGTAATTCTTCTTCATCGTGTTAGAGTCTGTTCCTCCATATCGCACGTCTCCCTCGATGCTCTCGTAACCATGTGTTTGGTTCCCTATAACTTTCAGAAACGTTGAGCAGCCTGAGCCGGGGCGCCCTAGTACCAGAAGCATCTCTCCAGGGCGTACACATCCCTTAAGCGACAGTCAGATCAAACCACATCGTCAGCATCAAGCCATGTTACATACTGTGAAATCATCCAAGATGGTGCGTATCTCTGGTTTCCTGGTGCCAGCAGCCTTCTTTCCATGAGTAAAAAGTCCCTTTATGAGCCTTGGTATAGCAAGAAAAATGTCCCCATTCGTAGGCTGGAGTGCTGCTCCTAGACCCAGACCTTTCACCGTGAGATTCTTCCAAATTACGCCGACATGTCTTGTCTGCTCTTCCTCCGAATTGGCTTTTCGTTCATTTCCGAACATACGCGAAATCAATCGCTCGATCTGTGCCCAATCCGCACCCTCGTGCCCGGAAGCATAGCTTCGTCGGCGAGATAAAGTCTTCGCTACTTCATCATTATTCAGGCTCTCGACTTCAGAAGCCGCGTCTTGGGTAGAGCCAGCACCGTCTGATAACTGCGATCGTGCTGACGGACTGGCAGGTGCAGGAATGCCCTCGGTTGTATTTTGTTGCGATTCCGGCATCATTTCTCTGGTAATAGACTGACTTCAATTCGTCTCCGCGCAATCCTAACGAGATTCTCGGTGATCCAAGAATAGTAGCTTGGTATGTAGTCGCATGTCACACGGGGTGTGACTAGACAGATACTGAACGTCGTCCGCACTACGAGCCTGCCCGTACGATAGATATTCGGGTAGTGATAAAACAGTCTCAGACCGAGATTCGTAGAAATTACGTCAAAGATCGCAACATCTTAAGGCACAGCCCCTTGCTCGGTCTCGGAAGACCAGCCCTCCGACAGCCTCCTAAAGCCGATTGCATCCGGTCGAAAAGACGAGCTCGAATTCAAAGAAGATGACGAGCACTGCGTGGTTTTCCTGATTATGTGAGCTGCATGTCCCGATCTGCGCAGTGCGACCTTGCAGAATAGGCTGCGGAACCAAGAATTTCGGATCGCGGCTATCATTCGATCGATAATGAAGTCATCGATCTCCCTGAGATCCGATTCAAACTTAGCCGGGGAGAAGCCATGGGATAATTATTGATACTATCAATAGTCGTCTTTCATACAATTTACCAACTTCTATAACTTTGCATCTACTTCTTGATTTTCTGGTCAACCGCCAAGAACACTCTATCTTCCAGGATGGTTACATTTACCTTGCGACCCTGTACCACCACAATTCTCTCAATGGCTGCTCCAATCTAACTATTTTGAGTTTACTTCTATTAATCACATTAAGGGGCAAGTGCTTTGACCATCACAATTGCGCCGGTATCAAAAGACTTTTTTCATGACAAGAAACGCTTGCGGGCTAGTTCCGTGTCAAGCAAGTACATGCCAACACCGTGTACCATTAAGAGCATTTGCAAGGTGGAAAAATAGTTAAGAGATATCGCGATGCATCAATCTGGCAGAGGAACTTTAGTACCAGTTCAACGGCTTGAATGTAAAGGCCAAAGAAAGGGTGTGGTGCAATATGTGCTCATTTCCTTCATTTAACTTGAAAATCTCTTTAACGGCACAGGTCATATTTCTTAGTCCATATCTGATATATCGAATGAGAACCGGAGAGAATATGTTTTTGTCACAATAGCGGGCAGCATAACGGCCGAGTCAAGGTGCAAGTGATGTCTTCAATCTGTCAGTTTCAGCATGCAATTGTTACAGCACAGAGACGTACCACTACTGATATATCCCTACTAAGGTGGCTTGTCTTTCTTACCCATACTTACCCATACGACTTCGACGAAAACGACACCTCCAACGACTACCAGCAAAGCATCGACAACATCGATGATCCACCACAATATAGCTCAAGCATCAGTGCCGGAAGCTCAGCAATCACAATCATAAGCAAAAGCCTAGAAGCTGGTATTGTTCAGCTCTGAAAAGGAGTATGGCTGGGATTGTACAAGGTCGACGTCAGCCCTGTTAGCCTCGCCTCCATGCCAGTCGAATATACATGGTGTACCTTGGCGCTGCAGGTGGAATGACCGGATATATAGGTCCATTCAGAGTTATTAGACATCCAGCCTACAAGAACGTCGGCGTCAACGGCATCGCATCTTGAAAATTTATGACAGGTTATCTATCACCACCCTGCAGTCTGTCTTCGAGATCTTAAGGTCTTACGATAGAGAATTTGCTGTTAGTATAAATCTCTGCCCTGACCGCCGATCGAAAAAGGATATGAGCCCGTCGAGTTAGTCCGCGCGTACTGAAGGCTTGAACGGAATATATAATGAGATTATCTAGCAAATATGGGGTTGACCGATGGTGTGAATTGCACTCAATTGAACTGAAATAGATCCCGAGAATGATCCGTGATGGATTTATTCATTCAAATTGAACAGATGAACAGGCTGGCCAACACGTCAATGCAATAGGGGATGGGGCTCCACCTTCCTGAAGATGCGGCTCAAGCCCGAATCGAAAGGTATCAGAGCCGGCGATCTTTTTGTGCAGGTTAGGCGACGCGCAGTATAGGATCGCTTCTCTCTCCATATATCAGATTACGGCCATTGTCTCAATTCCTACCTCCTTTTGTCTTCCTAACCGCAATTATATTACGTATTTCCTAAGGGGAGGATGGTGGGCCCTAGTTGGGTTACATTAGAGCTAAGCAGAAATACACACCTGTCGAGCCCCTTAGAATGGATAACTCCATTCTAATACTTTGCCTTTCCTAATAGACTTGAAGTACTAGATGCCAATCCAATCGCCTGAATTTGAGCTCCCACTATTTCAATCCTAGTTGCCCGGTTAATAACGGCAGACAAGCCCTTGGCCCTCGTGAGCGGGTCTGCTTCGAGTCTGCGCGCGAAAGCTTGGCGTGCCTCCCGGACCCTTCGCTTCACCTCCCGCCCCCAATTCTTCCTCCCGAGTTTATCGCATAGACACGGACTACTCCTTCTGCCATGACGGCGTGAGTCTCGATTAGCTGTGTTCGTGACTCCTCTGCGCATACCATTCCTCCTTCTACCCTCTTTGCCTCCCCCGCCTTGCCCGCTATGACCGAATCAGTACCCAGCGAGACACCCGAGCAGTCACAAGCCGACGAGCAGCATGACCAAGATTCGGCCTCTAAATCAGCAATCAACTCAGCTATCAAAGATCGGAGATGCCAATACTGTGGCCAGGCATTCACATCATCGTCTTTGGGTCGCCATCTGGATCAGTTCCTGTTCAAAAAGAAGCCAGATGGGATCCACGATGTTGAGGAGATTCGGCGCATCCGGAGCGGAATCACTCGTCGGCAGGCCCGCACAAGCTCTGGAAAGCGCGATGGTAGCCCCGATTCGATACAGAGAAAAGGAACGGCTGGCGCCAATACGTCCGGAGACTCGGCTTCGAAATCGCGCGACGCCCCCGTGCGCATGATGTTCAACACCCCCACCTGGCACGCAACGGGCGTAATCAACGATATACCAAACCCAAGTCGTTCCGCGGATGGACCTCGACTCGCGCCTGTTCAATCTCCAGCGGGATCATTGCAGCGTCCGGAATATGCGGCGCGAGGAGCCACTGCAAACAACCCAGATACCACGAAAGCACTAGAGCTGGCATTGCGCGAGGTGCTAGATAACATTAGGGCAGCAACGTATGTCGAGTTTCGACTTATTCCTCGGTTTGATGCTCCATCGAAGCTGACAATGCGATTCTAGATCCCGGGTTCGACCGCGCCTTTTGCCATTTGACTTCGAGATCCAAGCCCAGACTTTCCCCTCGCTCTGTCTACAGCTTCTCCCTCCTCCCCCGAGCCTTTTCGCTTCTCATCCCTTTTCATCCCCGACGTCATTTCCCCTTCAACCGCCTGGCCGCGAACATTTGGATATCGTTCGCCAGGCACTTCGTTCCAAAATTTCACAATGGCGAACTGATCAGCTTTCCATGGACCCGGGAGCGCGATTGGGGAATGTTGGAGGCACTCTTGACAATTCTATGATTTACCGGACAGCCCATCAACACGAGGAAATGAGTATCCGACACCTAGAACTGGCCTTCAATCACTGGAATACATTACCACTCGAAACCTGTCGCGAGGCGTGGCAGCTTGAGATCACGCGCGCGTTCGCCCGCGAACTTGAGAAGCGCAAGTCAGTGGAAGACCAACTCGCGCGAGTACAGCAGGAAGCGAATCAATTGCGAGCCCAGGTTGAAAGATTGGGCTCCTGCCAGTGGCCACGCGAATTCGCTCTCTTCCCACCAGACACACTTCCAATCTCCCGAGATGTAGCGCGCGAATTGGATGCGAATGAAAGCCAGATCAGTCCCGAATCATCGAGGTGGGACTTTGACAGTGTCGTATCCAAATGGAAGCGTGTTGTGATGCATGATAAGAGTATAGGTCGCAGTGGAGTGGGACACAGTTCTACTGCGCATCCCTTGGATATCGATAATCCTCAGCACGATGTTCGTCCTCCACGACCGGGTGAGGATACTTCGTCCCACCCGAATCGCTTGCGGCCTTTGCAAAACACCACTGCAATGAGTCCAGATCCTGCCAACGCATCCACCCCGGCATCATCAACGAATTATGCCTCTCCTTATTCACATGCCGATCCTCGCAGTCCATCAACTGCTAGCGCACCGGGTCCACAGGCCAAGCGCCCACGACTGATGAATGGATCCGAGGGTCTCTCAACAGCGGAGCCAGCGACGACTAAAGCCTCCGGCCCTAGTTCGTGGCTCTCCTCTACTCCTATCCTGTCTAATTTGGCCGCCCCGTCCGGGCAAACGCCCCCAGCTGCTTCTCGTGGTTGATTGATTCATTATACATACTTGAAAGCGTTCAATCCGTTCCTTGTTCATAAGGGGCAGATTCTATCATTGCATTAGGACTACGTCGATATTACTACACATAATATATACCCCATTCATATTGTTCTTACACGAAGGACTGTGCTTGCAAGTGTAAATTTCGAGGTAGAGTAAGATCTCCAGCCGCGTTTCCAGCTACTGTTGAAAATTGCACAGTGTAGGGCAGGTGGGTAAAATTTCAGCGCAGAAAAATTGATGTTCTCGCTCTTGAGATGTTAGCACTTCATGGTCACGGTCATCTCAAACATCTACATTGTCTCTGCGGTCTTAGAAATCTCATCGCCAATATACTCGGCAAGAGTCAGCATCTTCTCTTCCTGCAGCCTCCGTCCGACAAATTGAACTCCCACCGGAGCGCCATGGTATGTATCGGCATCATCTGTACTTGAGATTAGCCGAGACCCCTCACAGATAAGTACGAGCGATGACTTACAATTCCACTCGATATGGTCTGCCGATTCAGCTGTCGATACATACGCGGAACGCACATCGATACTCTTATCCGCAAATGTCACCGGCATAGCCACGCTGGTGTAATCCAGAACATTGACGAAGGAGGTGTATCCCACGTAGTGGTATTCGTTGGGAATCACCGCAGCGTGGGGCGCAAGTGGACAAAAGAGTCCGTCGACAGGGGAGCCCGTCCCAGTTACTTCTGCGGTGCTGTTCCAGTAGTCCATGTACTGCTTTTGATACTCACGCTTTGCGACGTTGAGTGCTGCGAGCTCGGTCATGGATAGTGGTTCTTTGTCGGTGATTATGACCTGGGATGCTTTAGATTCACCGGATAGACCGAAGTGATGGGCTAGGTCGGCACCACCGTCCATACTGAATGCCGTGGACTGCATTGGATTAGCGAGGTTTCTAGAGTGACTGGAAGATAAGATGAAAAACTTACACCCAACGTACCAGCGGTAGCATGAGAGGGTGGATTCCAAGGAATCACTCTGTGGCCGAGTCGCTTGAGGGTTTGTTCGACGATTCTCAATCCACGAGCAATGGGTGGGTGAACGCGCGTGATTCCATCCCAGTGCATTATTCCGAAAGTCAGACTTGACTTTCCGGCCTTGGCCTGGTCGATTCGCAGACGGGTTTCCTCCGCGACGGCATCTCGCCAGGGTAGCTCGAGTACGAGCGGATCGTGAAACCACGGCTTCTGGCTAAGCACAGTCTTAAACAGCAGAGTCAAAGACCGTGCGGTAGGTGCAAGCGGTCCAATGACAGACAAGATAGTGCTTTGTCCATCCATCGAGTTGGCAGCGCCCTGGTAAGGCATTCGCCCAGATGACGGGCGCAGTCCATACAGATAGTTGAATCCAGCAGGAATGCGAACACTCCCACCGATGTCAGTCCCAAAACCAACGGGTGATCCACGCAGCGCAATCAACGCTCCTTCACCACCTGAACTACCACCGGAGGATAGGAGGCGGTTCTTCGGATTCCATGTGTAGCCGATGATATTGTTGATGGTCTCACCGGCCATTAGCGTAGCCGGCACACTTGTCTTGCAATAGAGGACGGCTCCGAGATTGCGCAGCTCTCTGGCCAGCTCGCTTTCCTCTGTGCGGAAACGGGTATCGTCCTTTTTGCCTTGGAAAGTGCCGATCCAACCGACATAGCCCATGGTGGTTTCCACGCCTTTGACGTGGAATTGATCTTTCAGACTAACGGGTAGACCGTGTAGCGGGCCCATGGGAGCTTTGTGCTCTGCATAGTAGGCATCCAGCTTCTTTGCATCTTCGATAGCCGCGTCAAAAAATATCTCGTGTAAGCAATTGACCTGGACAGACTGGGGTTAGCATTAAAGCAAATTGAGAACTTATATCCAGGAGAAAGGATACCAGTTGGTGTGCCAGCGCAGCTCGATGACAAAAGGCCTCTGCGACTTCCACGGCAGACCAGCGACCAGTAGTCGTTTGTGCAGCAATATGAACTGCATCAGACTCCGTAATTTCAATCTCACGCTCGCTGAGATATTGCTGGATATAACTTCCTGTCACATCGCGAACCTCCGTGGCGGGAGGAACGGGGTCTGCCAGTCGCCATTTCGCGGGGATAGCGTCGAGGATAGCTTGGCGTTTAGCTTCGCCTTGCGCGAGCCAGGGGGAGTCTGTAGTCATTTCAGGTTTTACTGCAGAGGAGTTCGGTAAGACAGTTGTGATTTCAAGCGTCGTGAAGGATTATTTTATCACTGACTATAGAGTTGTGCTTCTTTAGCTATATCGCAAAGGGCGGGGAAGTTGGGGTCATTTGGAGACGTGGCCAGCGTGGAGGGAACAGGTGCAGCAACCAGGGCTAATAAGTATCCTCGGAAGTATCAGGAATTGATTTACCGAGAACCGTTCTCGTATTCAAGCTGCCTAAGGCTTGGGATACAGTAAGTGTGTTGTGTTTCTTAATAGGGCGTGTTGCACGAAGTACATTGTGGAGAATGTTAGCGGAACGAAAAATTCCGCGATGTGCCTATCAACGGCCTATCAAAAAGCCTGGATGCTCCCTCGATAATCGACCCCAAGGACGTTTCTCGTGGGGTCTTTCATGTTGATATCAATATATTGACCCCAACAGCGTCCGCGGAAGAATAATTTACTAGGGTTCTCCAAAACGCGGCGTCTTTTGGAGGTGGCTGGGAGTCACAAGGACTTGGGGGGTTCGCTATCAGCACTCACGCTCGTTAGGTATGGTGACCAGGTCCGCGTCCATAGCAGTGACAGTGCTGGAAAACAATAACCTATGCAGCTGCAATGACCCCAAATGGCGTTTTCTCAATTCGCAAAGCAGACTCACTGTCGCTACTTCATGGAGCAGCACTGGTCATCTGCCGTACATTGAGATTGATCCGTTTCCCGGACATCCATCCTTTCCACATCTCATAGCGGGAATGGGTAGCAGGCGCATCTTCTCCAAGAGATGGCCAGTCTGCCAGCCAACTGGGGCAAGTGGCTGGCAGGATCTTGGGGACACCGTGCCAGGCAAAGCGCGATGTTCCGTCCATGTATACAGCGTCGCCCGACCTAAGTCGAATGACTTCTGCTCCATTCCCATCATCATGGCTAATCAGGAATAGACCGTCGCAGCCAAAACTCACACTAATTAGGCCAATGTCACACTCTTCACTCACGTCCCGATGGGCGCTCAGGGTATCTCCGGGGGAGTATAGATTCAGGATCGCTGCTTGGGCATCCGTCTCTGGAAATGCCGCCTTCAACAGCTTTGCGACATCTGCTGGAAATAGAGGTGGCGCCTCGGGCGGGTATACTTTGGCAGTCCAGTCGTACTGGCCTCCTAAGGTGACCCACCGCAGCTTCTTTTCCAACACGCTCTGGATGGTAAGAGGTTTATGCACCTGTGGATCTTTTGGTTGAAGTAATCGCGTGGGGTCATCGGCGAAGAATGACCGCGGGGTGTCTTGATTCTCTGGTGTTTCGGGGTATGTGACATCATAGTGTAGGTGGAGGTTGGTCTTATGTTCGGGATTAGGAAGGTCACGGTGGATGAGGCGAGACAGTAACTCGATTTGAACGGTAGGAGGAAATAGAGAGGGTATCATCAAAAGCCCTATTTGGAGTTAGGTTTGCTTCGGTTGACCCCCGTTTAGTTATCGTTGGGGTAGCTGAGGTATGTCGGTGCTGACCGGATACTGCATTGTGTGTAAAGACTGGGATATTCTCAGCGAGAGGAGCATGTTCCTTGTCCGAGGCATGGCTGCCGCGAATGAAATCATCGAATGCCAGCCGGAGATCTTGACTGGACATGTACTGCGACACGGTTATACTCGTGGGAAGTTGGTCCGGATCTAGTCGTTGGAGATCGAGGATCTCGGGGTCATGATCGATATCCGACAGCGAACATTTTGTGTACTTTTTGTAGGATTGTCGAACCGCCTCTGGGGGGCGATCATGAGCATTGAGGCCTTTGATCTGCGCCATGGCGAAAAGTAACTCGCGGGAGACGATCGGCGCTTCGCCGCAGAGGAAAAGGTACGCGCTCACCGCCTTCCGGCGGCGCGGGGAGTTGTTTGTTTTTGTGGTCTCCCCACCATGCAATTCTGACTGCGAATATCTTCAATTTCGACAATCTCGACAATCCCGACAAATTAAGCTCTGGGTGTGGGGACTTAGAACTACCGATTGCGGCTGTTAAGAATCGGATCCGACGTACATGTTCGTTGCTTTGGCTCCTCCCTCGTCATCGCCCTCCTTGCTTCCTTCTCTTTCCTTCCTCCCTCCAAATCATCTTCTTTGCGTCACTCCGATTTCTACGACGTCCGTTACGTTGCTAACATGTTTGGGAGTAGAGCATCCTCGGCATCGGCATCCACCATGGAAAATTATCAGAAGATTGAGAAGATTGGTGAAGGTTGGTGTCCCTGACATGATGTCTTTGTCCGGCCATTCTGGTTTCCCCCCTCAACTCACGCGTCGACTCTCTTTAGGAACCTACGGTGTCGTTTACAAGGCCCGTGAATTAAACTCCCCCAACCGCATTGTCGCTTTGAAGAAGATCCGTCTCGAGGCCGAAGATGAGGGTGTCCCCAGTACCGCCATCCGCGAAATCTCTCTCCTCAAGGAGATGCAGGACCCCAACATTGTCCAATTGCTGAACATCGTTCACGCCGACGGCCACAAACTCTACCTTGTCTTTGAGTTCCTCGACTGCGATTTGAAGAAATACATGGAGGCTCTGCCGGTTAGCGAGGGTGGCCGTGGTAAGGCTCTTCCGGATGGTACCATGATGAACGCCAACTTGGGCCTGGGTGACGCCATGGTGAAGAAGTTCATGGCCCAGCTGGTCGAGGGTATTCGTTACTGCCATAGCCATCGCATTCTGCACCGTGATCTCAAGCCCCAGAACTTACTCATCGACCGTGAGGGTAACCTCAAGCTGGCTGATTTCGGTCTGGCCCGCGCTTTCGGTGTCCCCCTGCGTACCTACACGCACGAGGTACGTACTGGCAGAGACAAGAGACAAATCGGCTTGATATGCTAAATCAATCTCTTCTAGGTCGTCACACTGTGGTACCGATCCCCGGAAATTCTGCTTGGTGGCCGCCAGTACTCCACCGGAGTCGACATGTGGTCCGTTGGCGCCATCTTCGCCGAAATGTGCACTCGGAAGCCGCTCTTCCCCGGTGACTCTGAAATTGACGAGATCTTCAAGATCTTCCGGTATGTGATACCTATGTACGAGCTTGCGTGTCCATGTCTAATCATTTTCCCTGCCCATAGTGTCCTCGGCACTCCTGATGAAATTGAGTGGCCCGGTGTCACCTCGTTCCCCGATTACAAGGCCACATTCCCCAAGTGGAAGCGCCCCGATGCCCCAATCGTTCCCGGATTGGAAGAGAATGGTCTTGCCCTGCTCGAGGCGCTCCTCGAGTACGATCCCGCCCACCGATTGTCTGCCAAGCAGGCCTGCATGCACCCATATTTCAAGAACGGTAGCTCGTACTACTCGGGCCGCACTGTCGGCGCCCCCCGCAACGGCTTTCACTAAAAGATGATCTCGTTCCTGATCTATTCATGTAATGCTATTGACGTCGGAGGATCGCATTTACGTTGATGACGGCCTCGGACCTATGATGGTTTTCTTTTCTCTTTTTTTTTTGGCTCGCTTTCTCTCTTTGGGCTTCCCTCTTCTTTGTATCTGGCGTTTATGGGGGGAGTGACTCGGAGGGCGGGATTTACTCTGTTATCAACGTGCTTTTTAGTCAAATGCAAGGCGTACATACCCCTTTCGGTGGATAAAACGAACTTTTCTTTTTTTTTTTCTTTGAGCAATCACCGTCCCTCATGGAGGCAGTCTCAGCCCATGTCAGCTTCGATTCACTCTGGAGCGCAGCCGGTCGGGCGTAATCTTCAGTGTTACACCATCGCTCGGACACTGCGGCGTTCTATCATCGTGAGCCACGGTCAATCTACCAATCAGGCCCCTCCAAGCCCAAGGGCCCCAGCTCGTGTCAGAGCTGAACACCAGGGCCCCACTGCGGTCAGAGCGGATACGAAACGACCCTGACATGATGACATCGAGCCACGAAATCGAGTGCCTGTGACATTCTTGGAAAGCCCGACCCAACGAGCAACCGTCGTGCATATTCTGGGAACGGCAACGGCTTCGATGCCCGGTTTCTGCAGGAGGCCGCATCTCAAGTCCTCAAATCAGCACTCCGAAATCATTCTGCTAGTCTGCAGTAGTCTGCAGTCTACACTATGGACGGACGATTATGCGGCTGGGTGTTGTTGGGGGCCGTTTCTTGTTGGCTTGGGGCGAGTATCCCAAGCTGAGCAGCCCAGCAGCGTGGGGAGTGCTTACCATACCTGATTTGGGAGCCACGCGATAGTCTCCTGGCGCGGTGTGTTTGATTCTATTCGTGGCTCATGGGCGAGTCTAATGCACGCACCTGCAGCCTTACGGCGAACTGAAAATTTTCAGTAAACTCGTGTCTTCCAGCTTGGGGAATCCGCGAATCCGGAGGCTGCTGGCTGATGGACGCGAGGGCTGGCCTCGGCAGCGCCGGTGCGGGACACCCGAATTGGGAGAGGATTGGGAGTAGTGGCTTGGACTGGACGGCACTGTTGGTTACTGGGGTTCTTATTAATAGTCGATGGCGCTCGTTCTTTTGGCCCCAATCTGGTGGTTAGCTTGTTGGTCAATGCGATTAAACTACACCAAAGCCAACAAAAGACAACTTAACTGGGCCCCCGCCCCGCTTGGAACCACGGTCGACTTTCTTTTTCGTCCCCGGTGCGGAGAACTATCTATTCTTTCTATAAGTCTACTTTACCAACAGAGGCACCTCGCTTTGCTATACTCCTTCTCTTCTCGCCATGGATCTCGACGACGAAATGGGCGGTGGCTTTGGCAACCCAGGACCCGCCGCATCCTCACGCTCAAATAGTCGACCCCCACCTCGCGCCCGTCGCCAGGCCCCGCAAGAACTCGTCAAGCAATTCTGGGAACAATTCAACACCAAGTATCCCGGGAAAGTATACACGGTGCTACCCGACAATCCCTATGCGCGTACGAGGGCGAAGCGTGTGCCTAACGGGGTAATCCGCGGCCATGCGGCTGTGAAATCGTACGAACAGGCACAAACGGAGTGTCAGACCTCTGTTGAGCGGATTGTGAAGGAGTGTCGGAGGCTCAATCAGAAGTATACGGATCCGCATTTCGATATTGAGCTGGATCTCAAGTCGAACCGGAGACACTATTTGGATGAGTTGGATAAGATGAACGATATTATGAAGCCGCGTGGGGTGAAGAGAGTGACGGTAGGTTGATAACGAGATCCGCGTTGTGCTGGTGGGTTTTGCTGATCGGGATGCTAGGAAATCTTTGAGAATCCCCAGTTTTATGTGAATGGACCCACGGCGTCGGATGTGCGTCAGGGATATGATGGTGACTGCTGGTTGATGGCAGCGCTGTGTACAATGGGTAACAAAGCCGGCTTAATTGAAAAGATCTGTGTCGCTCGGGATGAAACTGTTGGTATTTATGGATTCGTCTTTTACCGCGGTAGGTTGACACTTCTTTCACACTGGGTTTTGGAGCCTTGACTGACAAAACGTGCTAGACGGCGAATGGCAGCAATGTATCGTCGACGACAAGCTGTATCTACGTGCAGCGGACTACGACGAGTCCAACGAAGAGCGGATGACGTGGGATCTGATCAACCGCAACGACACCGAAGAAGAGTACCGCCGTGTCTGGCAGACTGGCTCGCGGGCACTTTACTTTGCGCAATGCGTGGATCCTAACGAAACCTGGCTGCCTCTACTGGAAAAGGCCTTCGCCAAAGCCCATGGTGATTATTCCGCCATTGAAGGCGGCTTCGTCGGCGAGGCCATCGAAGATTTGACTGGAGGTGTCACCTCCGAGATTCTCTCCAGTAATATTCTCGACAAAAACCAGTTTTGGAATGAAGAATTGATGAGGGTCAATAAGGAGTTCCTGTTCGGCTGTGGCACTGGACTGTTCTCAAACTGGTTGGATTCGCGGTCCCCGCCCCGCGATCGGAAAGGTATCTCAGAGAACCATTCGTATTCAATCATGGATGCGAAAGAAGTCAAGGGCAAGCGTTTGCTACGACTGAGAAACCCCTGGGGGAAGAGGGAGTGGCATGGTGCCTGGGGTGATGGGTCGAAAGAGTGGACGGCGGAGTGGATGGACCTGCTGGGACACAAGTTCGGCGACGATGGATTCTTCTGGATCTCGTATGAAGATCTGCTGAAGAAGTATCAACATTTTGACCGAACTCGTTTGTTTGGAGATGAGTGGACTATCACTCAACAATGGACTACTCTCAATGTCCCCTGGTCGGCCGACTATCACAGCACCAAGTTTGTCATGAATGTGACCGAAACTGGGCCTACGGTCATTGTTCTGTCACAGGTATGTGATTAGCTCTATGGTCTACTCAAAAAAAAAACATACTAACAAAATCAGTTGGATACCCGCTACTTCAAGGGACTCGCCGGTGAATACAGCTTCGTCCTCAAGTTCCGCCTCCAGAAAGAAGGCGACGAAGACTACATGGTTCGCAGCCACAGCAGCCACTTCATGGCCCGCTCTGTCAACGCCGAAATCAATCTCGAGCCTGGTCGCTACCAAGTCCTCATGAAAATCACCGCATACCGACACGACGACACAGAGTCCACCGAAGAAACTGTCCGCCGTCTAGCCTCCACCCACCGCGAAAAGCTCGTTCAAGTCGGCCTATCCTACGACCTCGCCCACGCGAAGGGCCTCGTCGCCGAAACGGATCAAGAACGATACGAATCAGAGCGCCGAAAGGCTGCGGCTTGGAAGAAACTCCGCGACGAGACCAAGCGGAAGCTACAGAAGGAGTGGATTCGGGAGCGCAAGATGGCCGCGCGCCAGCAGCGCCAGGCAGCGCGGCGACCGCGCAGAATGACCAATGGTGCATCACCAGACCGGGGACCCATTCCTGGGCAGATCCTGTCTGACAACAAGGCCACTCAGTCTCCGACTGAAGTTGGAAGTATCTCCAGTGACGCGAGTGACCGTAGACCCGTCGCCAACGGGACCAACGGCTCCGTGCCGACAATCCAATTCAACGGACTCCACGAACGGCACGCAAGTGGTTCGACTCCCCGAAGGTCTTGTTCTCCCCGCCCTAGTCTGAATACACGTCTTGCGAACGACAACCTTGATATCACGGACTTGGAACTGCTAGATGGCTTCGAGTTTGACAGTGATCTGGACATGCCAATTGAAGAACCCAAGAACCGGCCTCCATTTAAAGATTTGGAGGGTCCTGCTGAGGATCCGTGGAATGCGGTCTGCGTTGTTGGACTGCGTGTCTACTCTAAGGATCCGAAGTTGAGCCTGCAGGTGATGCATCCGGTGCCCGAGGACGATACTGAGGCGCCCCTGGATAGAGATGATCCCGCGGCGTCAGCAACGCTGGAGAAGAGTTTTTGGAATAGTCATGTCTAAGTTTGAGGATGAAGGATTGCATGGAGGGAGTTGTGTATTCCGAGTGACTTGGTTTTATTAATTTGTAGAGGAGAGGTTTGTAATTATATTTCATTCCACAGATTGCTTTACATATTTGATTATGCAATGGGTCATTATCCAGAGATATTTGCGTTCAATACAATTCTCGATCTCCCTCTCCTTCTCCTTCTTTTTCTTCTCATGTGTTTGAAATGAAAATCTATGTTCATGTTCACTATAGTTTACGTGAACAAGGCCACACAGTACCCTTAGAGAGGGGAGTGAATAATCATTACTTCAGCATACATCGATACTCGAAAAGCTCCCCATAGATCGCTACTTTATAGTCTTCTATAACAGTATTCCTGGCCAGGGCAATATGATGGAGAAGACCCCCCTTGCAGACTCTGATATAACAGAATCTGTGTTAAATTGAGATTCGAGACCAGTCGATCTAGGGAGCAACAGAAGATACCATTTGAAAAGAGATGCGATTTGGTCGATGGGTTGACAGAATATCGCCATTGACCAGTTGATAGTAGATTTTGTTGATTTTTGATCATTTATTGAATAAGCGGCCTTTTATCAAGATGACTTAGATGCTCCCAAGGCATACAGCAGGGGCATTGGCCAAAGCGCCAATGTGAAATAATTGCTTACGTCTATCTCTCCACATTTGATTTGCCAGTCTGATGGGACTCGGTCGCTGAGCGGTGACGGGCGATGGATAATTACTGCCATTGCGTGCCAGGCAATAAGCCTCCTACTTCCCTTAATTCAATAGGAACATCCAGCGTGAGAGTTTATGTGCTGGCACGAAAATTTTAGGGTATGATGGACTGTTACCCCTCCTGAAGTTGGAATGGCAAGCGACTGGAATTCGAGTAGTGGGCTGGTACCCATTGCTCCAGCCCCCAACAGAGAAGGCCTCAGCGCGGGCAGTCACCCAGATCGACCACAGTCTGCCATGCCCTACACATGTCAGACCTGTGCGAAACGAAAGGTCAAATGTGATAAATCAGCACCGATTTGTTCTCGATGCCGCAAGGGGAGTTTTGAGTGTATTTTTCAAGAACCGCAGCAGAGGCCTCGGAAACGAAAATTGGATGATGTGATGCAGAAGCTGGCTCGATACGAGTCCATTCTAAAGGAGAACGGTCTGCTGAATGCTGATACTGAGGATTCTGAAGAATTTTCGCTTCCTCAAAAGTCAAAGGCCAGTCTCGTCAAGCCGGTCACGTCAAAAACGGGCAGGCTACTTACCGGCCAAGGCAGGTCGAGATATATCGACAGCCATATGTGGTTCAACCTCGAAGATGATGAGATTCAACACATGTCCACAGATGAGGACGAGGACACAATCACCCCTGATTCTGTTTCTACCCAAACCATCCCACCAGATCCATTGACGGGTGCGTTCTTGGGTTGTCAGCAAAGTATCCTGCACTGTCACCCAAGTCATGCAGATGCCATGCAGCTGTGGAAGACGCACACGGAGAATGTGGAACCCATCTGTAAAATTCTACATATCCCGTCGACTGGCGAGATGGTCAAATCCGTATCACAACGGCCTGCAATTGCTTCCAAGGCGGAGGAATGTTTACTATTTTCAATATACCACTGCGCTATCTTTTCGATTTCGGAAGAAGAGTGCGGGAAAATGTTCAGACACGATCGATCAACAACGATACAACGATTTCACACTGCCGCGCGTCAGGCTCTAGTGAATGCGTCGTTTCTTAAAACAACAGAAATCGCCGTCTTACAGGCATTTTATCTATACCTCCTATCCAGTCGTTACGCCTACGACCCGCACACATACTGGATCCTGACTGGGATTTCCGCCCGCATAGGACAACGAATAGGCCTCCATCGGGATGGAGAGAATTTGGGACTGCCACCGTTTGAGGTAGAGCTGAGACGTCGATTGTTTTATCAGATCTTTCCACATGATTCTCGAGCAAGCCAGTCTGCTGGAATTGACTATGTCAGCTTGCCGCAAGCCTGGGATACAAGGCCTCCACTCAATATTAATGATGACCAGATCTGGCCTGGAATGACAGAGAAACCAGTCGAGCAGAAAGGCGCAACGGACATGATGTTCTGTCTGTCCCGCGCATATGTCGGGAAGCGACTGGCTGAATCAGGAAAGTCGATCAACAGGGCAGGGCCTTGGAGCTCCTCTGACTATCGTGAAGCTGAAGAAGTCATTTCTGCTGCTGAAGGCGAAGTGGAGGAAAAATTCATTCGTTACTGTGACATTGTGAATCCCTTACACTTCCTCACTATCGGGCTTGCAAGGTCCGGTATGACGGCCATGAGGCTCAAGCTTCGTCTCCCCAAAGTAAGGGACCAGACCGCTACCGATCTGGAAAGAAAAGAACTTTTTCAACTTGCGCAGAGAACCTTGGACACCGATATGGCAGTCCATTCTCATGGTGGGACTAGCAGGTTCCAGTGGCACATCAAGCCGTTCTTTCTATGGGGAACTCGAGATTCATTCATCTTCATGTTAACAACTCTCTTGAAACAAAGAGACCTGCTCTCCCATGATCAAATCGAGGCAGCTTGGAAAAGTGTCGCTGAGCTCTACAAGAACCACGATGAGCTTTTCGACAGCCGACAGGCCCTCAGTATGGCAATGAGATGCCTTGCTTTGAAGGCTTGGGATTCCTGGCAGTCAAGAAGTAGTGCACCTGAACCAGAATTCATCAGAACCCTGCGATCTTTGAGAAAGAACCAAGACAAACGACAACAACAATGTGATATCCCAGTGATCGCCGAGGCAGCATCATCAAATTATCTGTCTCCTGCAGCTGGAGTGTCGGGTGCTGATGACTTCGATGTTATCGAGGGACTTGAATTTGATGTTGATGATTGTATATCCTGGGATCAGTTGTTGAAAGATCAATCTCAACTAGGGAATCAACAATTAACTCATATGCGCAGCCGTCAATGACTGTGATTGGTTGAATTCTCGGGCACTGCATCCCCCGAGCTTCTCGTCTCCCACTCCCGGTGTGAGCCAATCAGCTTTCGCACACGCTCGGCCTCAAAGTGCCCGAGGCACAGATGGATCTCTATTACTATGTCATATAAAGCACCCTTCGAATTTGTTTCTCTCGGGATGCTTGATATAATTTGGAGACAACAAACTCTCTATTTAGCTCTTCACAAAACCATGTCAAATTTAAGGGTGCTCGTCGTGGGTGCCTCCATTGCAGGCCCAGCGACAGCATACTGGCTTGCCAAAACTGGCGCCAAGGTCACAATCATCGAGCGATTCCCTCAACTCCGTACCAATGGCCAGAACATCGACATTCGCACAACGGGGGTCTCGGTAATGCGGAAGATTCCCGGCATGGAAGAAGCGGTGCGAGCCAACCTGCAGTCGATGGATGGCATTAGTCTCGTTCGCAAGGACGGCCGTCCGTATGGAACCATGACACCAACCGGAGATCCCGATCGCCAGTCATTGATTTCAGAGTATGAGATTCTACGCGGCGACTTGTCGCGGATCTTGTACGACTTGACCAAGAATCATGAGTCTGTCAACTACATCTTTGGAGAACAAGTTGCCTCCTTGCAGCAACCCGAGACGGGCGACGGCCCTGTTCGAGTCGAATTTATGAATGGAACTCCATCCTCGGAATACGATCTCGTTGTTGCCTGCGACGGGGCGACATCAAGAACTCGGACAATTGGCCTCGGATGTGCCATGCGCGACTACATGCAGCCCATAAACGCTTGGTCTGCGTACTTCTCTGTCAAGAAGGACCTTCTCAACGGGAGCCAGATAGGCCACGCATACAGTGCTGTGAACGGTCGTGCCGTCGCCATTGGGCCCGACCAAGCTGGTGGCAATCGCGCTACGCTGATGGGCATCAACCCACGAAAGGACCACAGTTCAATGGCGAAGTTCCGTGAGGCGAACAAGCTCAGCACCGACGCACTCAAAGACTTCGTCGCTCAGCAATTCCAGGGAGCTGGATGGAAATGCGACGAGGTCGTGAAGGGCATGATGGAAGCCGATGACTTCTACGCTAGTGAGTGGGCTCAAGTCAAAACGCCCACCTTGCACAAAGGACGCTTCGCAATGGTCGGTGATGCTGGCTACGCCCCTGGCCCAACGGGTACTGGTACTAGTCTGGCTCTTACCGGGGCGTATCTGCTAGCCGGAGAGGTAGAAAAACATCGAGGTGATCTGGCAGCCGGGTTGAAGGGATACGAAGAGCAGATTCGGCCGCTCGTTGATAGGATGCAGAAAATCCCACCTCTCATCCCTGGAATGTTTGCGCCTCAGACCGCTTGGGGGATTTGGGTGAGAAACATGATCTTTGCATTTCTTTGCTGGAGTCGTCTTCCTTGGCTTTTTGACAAACTCTTCGGGGCTGCTTCTGCCCATTCTGATGAGTATAAGTTGCCAGAATATGAGTGGACAAACTGAGAAAGAAGGAGTTTTATGCTCGTATATCTCGACTTCGTGTGTCACTACCTCTTTGAATGTTTAATGAAGATAAACTTTCTCCTCGTGTATCAATTTGTCGTCCTGATTAGAGGATGTAGATTGGTGATCTCTCAAACATAACGACCATCGTCTTGACTGCTCTTTGGTCGGGAGATCTGGGCAGCCGTGATGCTTCTACTTAAAACGGGTGCTGATAAGGTGGCGAAAGTTAGAGATGACCATACCCCACCATGCAGTCTAGGTTTAAGCGTATAAAAAGTAACTTGGAGTAGGTAGTGCCTGGTATGAGCAAATAGGAATATCTCAAGGGCAAACAGGTCTTCAGGTGATATTCTCAAAAGGCGATAAAAGAACCGAGGATAAGGAGTATATGTCTAGCGTGTTAGGGCTGGAGAGAAAAGCGAACGAATCTTCGCGTCGGCACCAAGATATAGCACAATTTGACCACGGATGGTTTGGTAGGGACATTTGGGCCGGTCATTTCCTATCAATTCAAGTTGAGGCAATTGCTGTACGGTTATACCAGCTTAAGCCTCCTGAGAGAATCGCCTCTGCCTCGCAAGCTTCCTTCGAAGGTAACCAGTGTAGCAGATTAATATCATAAATCCATGTGACAGGTACAATGTCATGGAGAGAAATCTGCCATCACAAACTTTGTCATCGTTCCAAAAGTTGCAGGTGATCAGCGAGCCAAAGAGCAAGACGCAGACCGCTAGAAGACATCTAATTCATTTGGCTCAATCGCACGTACATAGAGGCTGAACACGTATTTCTCACTTGAAAGGGTGTCTAGCAAATGGTACGACGAAACATCTCACAATGAGATTGTCGGGATAGGCCTCCGCGATCCCAGCGAGGCGATTTGGTAACACGCCATCGTCTAGCTGGCTGCGAGTGAATGCTGACTTATGGTCTTGGGAACTTGCTTTTTCCATCTTGATAAACAAGAGTAGGTAGCAGCCTTGAACGACGGACCCCGACTACTCATGAACTGGAATAATGAGAGGGTGAAGAGAATGAAAGACTGAAAGTAGAGGGAGACAAAGTCCCGAGCGCGACGGCTGTTAGGAGAAACTTAGGATCGACTCTTTAGATATTCAAGATATGAATTGTGTACAATTTCCGCAGAGGCAGGCGACCGGATTTTTCAGTAGTTCTGTGAGCGAATCTTGGCGCTCTTAGCACCTCGGCCCTTTTCCGAAGCAATATGTATTAGTCTTGGCAGATCTCAGAGTTCAGCTCGATTCTTTCGAAGACTAGGTTTCTGCTTATTTAGAAAGGCTTTTCTATCCAATAGGCTTTTACTAGCTCAGAGAGCGTAGGATATGGCTCTAATTATCTACCTCTTCTATAATTACTCTGTGAAAAGGTCAATTCATTTAACCGCGTGCCAAGCCCCGCAACTCGCAGGCTGCATTGTCAACCCGCCGACAAAAACAACTTCAACTGATCAATCTCCACAACGCCATGCGCTCCTTAGTACATACATCCTGTTGTCTGTTTATCTCTCGACCTAAAATACACAGCTTTTATCGTGTAACATATTTTGGTGCACGCTTGCTATCAACATCGTCCACTTGGACACACGAGTCTTTCGAACTACCCATTGGAAACAATGGAAGCATATCATTAAGGTGAACCATTCCTATGATTCAATTGGCACGCCTCTAATGGTATATACGATACTTACTATGTCATAGTTTGACGCGACCTGCGGCCTCAAGTGTGTCCACGCAGAGCGAATCGGACGCTCAAGGGCCGAATGTTATCCTGTACCTTCCGCCAGGTCCTTTATTCCAGGGGCACGCGGATCGCGTCCAGGAAGGGATCAACTCAAATGATACAACGTTTGAAAATCGAGAATGGGCCGTCAACACTGTGCCCACCTCTGGGTTCACACACCAGCAGACTCTGGCCTCTACGACATCCGCCATAGTCGTAACGGTCAACTACCGTCTTGGCTCGGTATCAACTCCGACGACATCAAATGAAGATACCAACCAAAATTCGGTTCAAACATCACCTCTACCATCCTCATCACCACCAAGTCATTCTGTTTCCCAGTCTCAATCGTCATTTTACAAATACCCAACCCCAATCCACGACACCCTCGCCGCATTCGATTGGATCCAAACACATCTCCAGCCCGCACAGCTGGGCGTCCTCGGCTCACACATTGGGGGATCGTTAGCCCTCATGCTAGCCCTAACGGAAGCCCAATCCGTGAAAGCCGTTGCATCGATAATGCCCATCTGCGATTGGCCCGGTTTGGATGAGTACTGCACAACCGAGCAGCTCAGTGCCAGCGGTGGCACGACCGACCAAGCGTCGCAAGGGAAATCGACCAAAAGAGCATCCAAGAAAAAAGCTCATCGCGTCACCGCACCGACAGATCTCGTTCCCCTCCTTGCTGCACGGGAGGCATTATTCGCTTCGCCGGAGCGCTGCTTCGACGCGTTCGCTTCACCGATATTATTCCTCCGCTCTGCGGGTCGCGATGTACCCCGGTCATTCCCCGAGTACATGACAGGACCCGAATATCCGCTTCCAGTCTTGAAGACTATATCGCGCGGTACACTGGATGAATCGCTCTCGAATCCTGAATTTGACCCCCTCGCCGCAGAAGAAGATGAAGTTAGTGAAGCGAGCCACCCGACTGTCCGACGCCGTAAAGCGTTGTCACGCTGGCCACCGTACGGCCTGGACTATGGAGCCGGGGGCCGGGGATGGGATGGTAACGGCGTGCGGAGGTTACAAGTGACGCTGCCGTGGGTGAGGGTTTATGTGGAGGGTGCAGAAGGGAAGGAGAATGGGAGTGTTTTGGCGGAGCAGGGGGAGGAGATGGTTTCTGTTATGCATCGGGCTTGCTTTTTTGGGAGGGAGAAAGGGTTTGGGGAGAGGAGAGTTAGTCTCGAGAGGGATTTGGGGGAGGGAGGATTAGGGACAGGGGCAGAATTGGAGGAGAAGGTTGGTGGTTGGTTTAAGGGGATTTTTGATGGCAGCATACGTGATGAGTGAGGTGCGATGGTGTCAACCTTAGGTAGGCTCTGTAATATAACATGGTAAAATTCTATGTTGTTTCTAGCATTCAGCTGTCGAAGGATGCAAAGGAACTATTGATAGTGAAAAGACATCCGAGACTGTGCAACGCTAATACCTCATGCCCTAAGAAGCTTTGATCATTCACAAAAAAACTGAACAAGAAATGAGGAAATACATCGAAGAAGAGTATCCAGATAATGTATGTAGTGTTGACCAGGAAAGACCCCTGCGCCAGTGCCACCGCAATACTACAACGACGTCCCTCCCATCCCGGACGTCCCATGAGGCGGACTCCACCACCCCTCAATGTCACCTAAATCAGGCAATGTGCCCGGATCAGCAGGAAACTGCGATTGCGAAATACCGCCTACAGCGTGAGTAGGGCTACCATTCACACCACCATCAGCAAAAAGGTTCAAATCCGTATTCCGGATCCAGTCCAGCTCGCTCGCTTGAGCTGCTTGCGCGGAGAAAGCATGTTGTTGAAAAGATTCCTGTTGCTGATGGGAATGGTATTGCTGGTTGGACTGGCCCACGGCCATGGAGTTAGACGAGCCGTGTCGCGGGTGGTGCTGCGTGCCTGTATCAACGAGGCGCGTCTTCTTGCGGGATGTATCGATGCCATGATCCTTCTGCGAAGTGTGCGTAGATACCCGTTGCCCAGACGTCGCGAGGAGATTCGCACTACTAATCTGCCGTTTTGGGGCGGATCTGGTACGTCGCATGTGCGCTTGCCAGCGTCGTTGGAGTGTAACCAGGTAATCACGCGTACGCTTCGCATTCTCAAATGACTGGCCCAATTCGTCCAGGGCACGGAAGCAGAGGTTCAAGTACGCAACCATCTCTGCATTACGCGGGTGCGCGGTACTGGATTCTCCGGGTTTACTCGGCGTCAGTGGTGAACTGGAGACTGTGACGAAGAGGAGCATCAGCGCCGCACTGAAGATTATCGCGACGACTTGGTTGTTCATTCGTCGGAATGTATAGTGTTTCTCGTATATGTGAAGCAAACGAGCTACCGCCGTCGCCGATTCAACGCACATGCGGCGTGCGTGGTGATAGCCCGGTCCCTGGCGTGGACTGCGTGGTTGGATATAATTCTTTGATACCCAGGGGCGGTGGAAGAAGATGACTATTTGGTGGTACTGCATGTGGAGGATGAGGAGATGTGGGAGTTTCGGTGTTGAATCGTCATCTAGATCGATTTGTAGGGTTGAAGGAAGGTTCGCTTTCCAGGCAAATAGGTCTTCTGTGACCTGGAAGGTGATCCTTTGCAGGTCGTGACGGGAAATATCTGAACACCCGTATAAGATGTGGCCCACAGGAGATACCATCTCCCATAGAATGACGAATTGCCGGCTGATTAGTTCGCTGGGATTTCTAAGGCCGTCTTCCGCTATCTGGGAATCAGATTGAAGTCCGTATGGATGCCAGACTTCTTCTTTCTCGATTCCGAGAGTCGAAGCTGGCTTTGGAACAGTCACATCTCCGGCATTCATTCGGAACGGACGACCAAGATAGAAGCCCCAGAAATGGTCGGCAATATAGCTGCCCCAAAATGCAGCCCGTCGAACGTCTGCCTCGTGGGCACCCATGTCGCCTTGGTTGACATACCATGTCATATCGAGATGCAGACCGAGATCAAATGCCAGTCGCATTGACATTCCACTATACAGCCAGCCTCGGGCATCACGATTTGACGCTCCTTCGTGACAGCTCATAAGAACAAGGGCTTGAACGGTTGCCACACAAGGCGAATCGAGCTCAATTTCCAGCAAGGCCTTGGCTCTGTCCGCAAAGAACTCGGCCAGAGATTTTGGAAACGTGATGAATGTCGGATGATACCGCGCCTCGAAAGCGCTGCCAATCGCACACATGGCGTTCGTGAGCACTTCCGAGTAGAACGGAGTATCATCAAATTCATTGCGCCATTTCGAACGGGCCGTCATATACATCTCCTTGTCCACGATATAAATACTGGGGTTCTGCCATGTAAAGTACAACTCCACGAGATGGTCTTCCAGATCCTGATCAACCGGCTGGCCGACCCGAAGATGATTCAGAATATCTTGGCCATCGTGACGCACAGTTCGCGCATCTGGCCGCTGCCGCTGCTGTGTCGCGGAAACGTCGACCAGGTTGAGATTAGACGTCGCTCCATAAAATCGTAAGTGGCCATCCCCCGCGATTTTAAGCGTGCCAATCCGATGGGATAATTGCTCGATGACGTCGTTTTCAGCCTCATTCTCTTCATCGCTTTCCGAGTCGACGTCCCGGTCAGGCGGTACTTGGCTCAGTGAGACACCCGCCTGCTGCGCCATGTCCGTGCCCAGCTGGAAACCATCCGGGCTCAGATTTGTGTTAACTGGTAGCCCTGTTCCACTATTGATATTGGCATATATCGTATCCAGACTTTCGGCTGTCGGTAGCGTGAAGCCCCAGTGAACAAAGGTCTGATTATCGGGGGCGCCTTGTATCATTCCGAACGGGCTCCAGGGTTCAACGGACGGCAACTGCTGACCGGGGGTGATAATCTGAGAAGACGAAGCATCAGGAGCAGCAGTCTCAGCCAATGGCTGTGGCTGGTGCTGGGGTTGGCCATTTGGCGACGTGTTTGGCGAGCTCTGTGACGGGGATTGATCTGATCTCACCGAGGCTTTCACGTCGTACTGAGCCTTTCGGTCATCACCAGAAGATAGCTTGGTCCTAGTGACACCTCGCGGGATCTGTAAGGTGTCAAGAACCCGGTTCATACCTGCCTCGTCGTCCGGCTTCATAGCCGGGGCCTCAAGTCCCTGATCCTGAATGAATTGAACTAGTTGATCAATTCTCGCGGAGAAAAGCTCCGTCGCAGCTCGGAGCGAGACCCTGTCGTTGATGTTAACTGGCCTATCATTCAATTCACGGTGACATCGGCGGGATGCCGAGTCTTGCTCGCAGCGGGCCGAGAAGCAATTCGCTTCAGGTCGAACGATGAACGAGTATTTCGGGAGTATACTCACTTGCGTTTGTCATCTCCATGCTGATATTTGCAATCTTTACCTTTCCGCTGGCAATTTTGGCAGTGTGGTGTCGACCCGTCGCACTGGGGAGAAGCCGATTAAAAGGTTATTCCACCGCCGATCCCCGCAAGGCGAAGTCGGGGAGTTAGAAGTACATACACGAATTTTACTCTCACGACACGGCACGCAAGCCGTCGTGACATGCTTTCGAGAGGCCTTTTTGGGCTTGTCCGGCTCTGGGGACATGGTCACTTTTCCCCTCCCCCGCTGAAACGACTTCAGACTTGGGGAATTTGTGTTCTAATGCGGCGATGCGGTTTTCTGGCCTGCCCGTGGGGGTGGCGGTCGAATTTGCGCGGAAGTAGATCGCGCAGTGCTCTTCACTTAGGGCTGCGAGTCAAGTCATCCCACCTCGGCGGATTCTATCGCGGCCATGGTCTGTACAGAAGGTGATCCGGTTTTGAATGAAGCTGAGAACCTCTCGTGCGAGTTCGGACTGACACAAAATTGTTCGCCAAACGTTGGTCTGGGGGGGGCGGGGGGAAGGGTCCACTCGTGCCCGCCTATGAGGGGATCGGGGATAAGCCGGTGGTCCATGCACGTCGTCTCGTGGTCAAGAAGATGAAACTATCGAACTAGCTACATAGAACTAGCTACATGGAAGATGAAAAATGTCGAGGCTAGACCACTAGGTTGAATTTTGTATGTACATCATAGTGTAGGTCTAGTTGCTACGTAGATGGGTTCTCCCCTTATGGCTGTATCTACCAGTTAGAGGTGCGCTTGATGCGCTCGTTCTGGATCACCTCAATCCAGTAGTTATCGGGATCCAAGACGAAAGCAATGTTGTTCATGCGACCATCAGTCAGACGCTTCTTGAAGGCGACATTGACCGTATCAAACCGGTCGCAGGCGGCCTGGAGGTCATCGACAGAGATACCTATTACGCAGAAGATTAGGTGTAAGCAAACAAAAGACTAGTTCAAACACACCGAAGTGACACGGTGAAACTCACAGATGTGGCCAAATCCTTGGGGCTCCGTGTTACCATTGTGGTAGACGGGGCCCTCCTGCTTCTCCGTGCCGTAGTTCCAGGTCAGCTCGAGCAGACCTTCCCATTCAGCAACGCCGTTCTTGGCACCCTCTTTGATCTCGGGGTTGGATTTGGGATATCCCAAGAAGTACAGGTTAAACTTGGCGTCGGGGTTCTCAATGGTCCTGACCAAGGTCATGCCCATGGACTCTTGGTAGAACTTCAGACTGGTCTCCGCATCCTTGACACGCAGCATGGTGTGGTTCAGACGGTAGGAGCCAGGGTCGGTGGTGGCAGACAGATCCTCGTCGGCACGACGGATGATCTCAATCCAGTATCCATCGGGGTCCTTGGCAAACGCAATGTGTCGCATACGGCCCTCGGTCAGCTTCTTCTGGAAAGCATATCCGGCGTCTTCGATGCGCTTGCAGGCCGCCTCGATGTTATCAACGGAGATTGCGATGTGACCGAAACCACGATGGGGCTCCGTGTTACCATTGACAACGCTGTAGTTGGGGTCATCCTCCGTACCGTAGTTGTGGCAGAGCTCCAGCACGGCATTGCGGTCGGTGAAGTGACGGTCACCCCCCTGCAGCGAGGTCGGTCCATTGTAGGCGAGGAAGTAGTTGCAGAACTTCCATTCGGGGAAATCGAGCTTCTGGATCACGCTCAGACCGAGGAATTCGTAGAACTGCAGCGATCGCTTTGGGTCTTTGACCCGCAGCATCGTGTCTGGGGGGCCATTATGGTCAGTGGTGCGTCGTAAGGTAAAGGAAGAGAGGAGGACGAACGGTTGAGCTTGTAGGTAGAGGGATCGGTAGCCATGGCAGCGAAAGATCGAATAGCTAGAAATTGATGGTCAGTGATTGGAGGAGGCTTGGATATGGGGCGCCTGGAGTGCATTACCTGGGATACGAGTAGGTGGAGTAAGGACCCTGGGGAAGAGACGTGAAAGTCGAGCTAACATGATGAGTTGGGTGAAATCGAGCCCGGCGAGGGGGTTTTGTCAGCCGTGAGGGGGAGTGGGGCAAACCCGCCTACGTCAGTCTTCGACTGGCGAGTTTAGTCTTTACTTTCTATGGTATTGTGGGTGGCAGTCTTTAAGTACATTAACTAATTACTAGCCTCGGGCTGTCAAACGGAGTATAGAAGATCCTTGAAGATCGACATTGTTCTGCTGCCATGATATGCCTCTAGTAGTTATAGTATAGGACTCGAGATATCTTTCGATATGAATATATACACCCTCCTAAGTATCTGACCCCATGATTTATATTCGACTACTCGAGCTAACGAGCTCTTGCGATCACTATTACGTCGATTCCGGGGTAATCAGACTACGAAAGAACCCCCTAACTGCATGCCACATCGTACTTGCAGCGAGCCCAAAAGTCAAAAGAGCCCAAAAAGCCTAAACGTCCAACAGCGCGGCCCCCGCGCGAATCTCGCGGGTCGTTTTAATGCGCTGCGACCACCTCTCCTCGAGTCTTCTCCTCTATTCATCCATTCATCTCTTTCCTCGTTTGTCCCCTCTCCATCCCCTCCACACCTCCACACTCGACGCCGTACTTTCCTTCGCACAGGCCAGGTTCGTTCAAATTCTCCTATACTCCTTCGACCTCTCCGTTTTACCTATGGCCCCCATTCCCTTCTCCCTTTGGTTCCTACATCCCCCGCCTTTTCCGATTGATCTTCCCCTGCAATTGGCCTGAACACCCCTACTTAGCTGGCCTAAGTCGATTCAAGCTGGTCCAAGCTGGTCTTTTCTTGGTCCAGCATTGCCCCCCCCTCCCCAAGCCCTCGTGTCAAATCGTCGCTTGTCTGAAGCACTGGGGCTGGGCCTTTCCTTTCTTTTTCTTCCCGTTGCCCCATTTACTTGCACACCCGCGCTTAGCACTAGAAGGATCCCCAAGGCACGCGTCCTGCTCCCCAATCCGATCCTCGATGCTGTGCCCCAATCAAATGTTCCATTCTTAACACGTTGCTCGCCCTTGACCTGCACGATGTTCGTGGCGCTTCATCCGCGGAGCCTCGCGGCGATCGCATGACTGCAGTCCTACTTGGGCTAGTCCTCTCACCACCCTCTCGACCCTGCTCTTTAAATACACCTCCCATGCTCTTCTAACCCTGCTCTTGTGCCACCGGGCACGTCTGGAATTCCTGTGACTCGCCAACGGGACCGAACAAATAGTCCTATTGACCGTGTAGTCTACGGATCTCACGACGCTTGGTGGTCGTTGACGCTTTCATCCCCTCGTGTATCCTGCGTCAGCTATGCAAACACTGCCCTTGTGCCTACTCCTACTCCGTCTATGCTGGAAAGAAAAAGACGATACCGGCTTCCCATTCTCTTCATACACCTCACTTGTCGGCCATGGGTCTAAAGATGGCTGAATTTGAACCATTGCCAGTCTCCTCCGAGTACTTCGCGAAGCCCGGTACCGCGCCCCACTCTGACGCCCCGTTCCTCCCGTACTGGGCCCGCTGTCGCACGCAGTGCGCCCAGAACTTGCTCGACTGCTCCGACGAGCCCATCGAATACGATCACGACGACGAGGACTACAGTGATAATTGCTTCTTCTTCCCCGAGGACTGCTCGTGGACCCCTCCTAAAGACTGGGTCGTGGAGGCGCACTGTCAACCGAATAAACAGGTCCCGGAGATTCACATTCACGAAGATACCCCGGTTGGCCTGGACGCCGACACCGACACGATGATTCCCGGTTTACCTGATATTAAGATGCTCGATTCGGAGGCGTTGGGCGATCTGCTGGAGGACAACCTTTCTCCGCCGGAGATTACGACAATGATGTTGGTTCCCTGCCCCTGGTGATAATCTGGCCGCCGAGGTGTTTCTGAGCTAACCATTCTATCTCGTCGCAGCGTGTTCGCCACCAACGGCGCCGTCTTTGCCTACGCCTCCTCTCTCTCTTCTCGCCAGCTGCGTAACCTGAGCTCGACCTACGGTGCCGCATATACCTGTTACGCCAAGACCGCATCGAGCGGAAACCTCACGGGGGTCAATCCCGCCAGCCACCCCTCATCCTACGTGACGGCCCAATCCATGTCGCTGGGCGACGTGGGATCTATCGTCTTTGAGCTAGATGACTCGGTGGCAGTGGTGACTCGTATTGCGGACAAAGTTTTGCTGGCCGCGGTGGGTCCCAACAAGCTTGACGACACGATAAATGGCGATGGCCCCGACCATCTCGCCGTTGATGGCCCAGGTGACTCAACGGTCGGTAATGGCACCGCACTAGATGAGTCACAGGGTGATGGAGGCGTGCCGTCTTCGAAGCCGCCTGCGCATAACGGTAGCCTAGAGTCCCATCATGAAATTGACCGGAGCGCAGACCTGTCCAGATTGGCTAGTCTGAACCTGTCTGCTTCTCCCTCCGTGCTGCTTGCCCTGGAGTCCAAATGTGCGGCTCTTGGGCGATTCCTCGGTGAGAAACTGAGCGACCTGGAGAGTCCAGAGGATTTCTGATCTATTTTCCTACGATGACGTTCATATGAGTGACTCATAGCAGGGCTTCGTTCCGGTTGCCATTAGGCTGGGATGGCCTACTCCAGGAGCGACGGAGCGGATGTTTTTTAAATGATGTATTTAATACACGATTTTATGATTATTTGAATCTTCTCTTGACACCTTCATATATGTGGCCTCCAACTGCCACCGTGCAGTCGAGTCACCTCTCGTATCCCTCCTTTCTTGTACTCTATGATTTTTTTCTGTCCTAATTCCATCTACCATCTATCACAGCGCGAAGTACCGGAGATTAGCAGGAGATTAACCAGGGAATTATTAAAGAAACTATCCAGGAAGCTATCTCGAAAATCATCTAGGAAATCATCTAGGAAATCATCTAGGAAATCATCTAGGAAATCATCTAGGAAATCATCTAGGCAACTATCAAGGGCAAAAACTAGGAGATTATACTCACAGCACGCCGCTGGGAACTCGATTACAAAATCGATTGAACTCGCAGGGTTTTATGCGTATGCAGACGTTGGGAAAATCAGGCTGCGTACCAAGTTATCTGACAACGCATTGATACTAAGCAGATGTATATTCAATTGCCTCAAGAGTCTAAAAGAGAATCCGAAGAAAAACCTATCACAATCATGATATTCGCGGCATATTAGAGAACTGTGTATGAAGCAATATACGTCAAGCCAAAGCGAAAAGGGTAGCTCAAGATCCAAGGGGAATCACGCTTATATCTGGTTCGCCCGTAAGGTATTAAGGTAAGAATAGATTGAAAAGAAACAGATGGTGAATATGGAGAGGTCGCATCATGGACAACCCGCACGTATGTAGCAGAAGCTCCACAAGTATGGCATTTCAAAGATCAACGTAGCTCGTGGAAAGGAATATCATCATTCACCACGCACTCGATTCGCCTCATGACTTCTCCTGCACTGCGGAGCCACCTGGAGAGCCGTGGAAGTGGCTGCCCGTGCTGGTTGTGCGGCTCAAACCGGCCGTTGGGCTAGCGGCCGCGTGGTCTTTTGCATCGATGGTTTTCTCCGCAGCGGGAGCGGCTGCAGCAGAAGAGCTGGCGGCGGCGGCAGCTGCTTTCTCCTTTTCGGCATAGACAGGGGGCTCGGCCGAGGAGGGACCGGCTGGGCTGACAGCTGCAGGACTGGTAGCCGTGGGGCTGGTAGCAATAGGGCTCACGGGGGAGGTAGCGAGAGCAGAGGAGACAGCAGGAGCGGCTGCAACGGGGCCGCGAGTGCAGTCCTTGATGACGGTCCACCACTTCTCAGCGTCGTTGGGGCTGTGTGCCTTGAAGCTCAACTCGGTGGTAGTGTGGAACGCATTACCAACCTTGCCGCTGGACACGTCCTTGCCTTTGACGTTGAACTTGACACCGTCAATAGCGCCGACAATGCAGTCGGGTAGGTACAGCGACAGCTCCGGGGTAGGGTCCTTGCGGAAATCATCAGTATCGTTGAACTCGTGCAGGTAACCTGCAGGCGTCACGACGTAATAGCCTGTGCTGTAACCCTTGATGATGGCACGTGAGCGGCGCTCCAAGGAGCCCTCAATTAGAGGCTGCGTGGAGCGGTGGTCCATGTTGGGGTAGGTGATGCTAGAAAAGGAGCGTGGCGGCGAGTCGGGGTTGACTAGCTTGGCATCGTGGCTCACACAGAAGTTCATCCACTCAAAGTCGGCGGGGATGAGCTGAGCAGTACCCAGAATGTCGGCGTACATGGCTCGCTGGCGGTCGAGCTGGCCGCCCATGAACTGGAAGAACTGGTCCAGAGCGCCCTGAATGGTCTGGAGGACGTGAGCCTCGAACTGGGCGAAGGAGTTCTGGACGGCTAGAATATCATTGCGGTGGTTGTTCTCCTCGGTGACCTGCTTGTTCAAGCGGTGGTTGATACCGCGACGGAGGATGTAAGGGTCGTGGTGCGTCTCGATCTTGTTGCGAGCGGCAGCATCATGCGAGGCTGAGTGCTGGCCTAGCAGCTCAATGTGCTTCTGGGTCGCCTGTCGGGCCTTCTCAACGGCCTTGGCACCCTTGACAGCCCCAGACTTGAGCTCCTTGGACTTGGCCTTGATTTCCTTGTGCAGGCGCTCCAAGGTAGGGAGCACGCTGCCCTTGAGGTTCTGCTCGGTCTCGAGGTACATGTTGATCATTCCCTATACCCGAATCCGTCAGCACTGCTCCATTGCACCGGGTAGCTCTGTGTTATGTTCATACCTGCGTGTTGTTCCGCATGTTCTCAAACAGACCAGTCACACCACCAGAGCTGGAACTGAACTGGTTGCCTTCCTTCAGAGGTTCGCTCACGGTCTGCCGCGAGGGTCAAATTAGTAATTGTCTCATTACCTCGTCGTACGCATTTCGCCCGTACCTTCAAGATCTTCTCATGGTCCTTGGACTGGGATTTGGAAATTTTGGCCGTCATGGAGACGTAATCCTCGAGGTTTCCGCACACGTGCTTCCATGCACGCAGACGCTCCAATAGGAGATTGGTGGTCTATTTCATGACGGGTGGTGTTAGCCCTGAATGTATCCCATCGCGGGGTATCCGCTCCCTCCGCAAATCAGACCCCCTTTCCTCGATTGTTGATCCTCCCAGGGGTACTAGGTACACACCTCGTTGCTATCGGTGTCGGGAATCGCTTCATCGTCACTGACGGATGTCTGGCGGGTCAAGCTGCTGCTCACGGTCGCCGAGCGCGTCGGCAGCTTATGCTCCACGGGGCTAACGGGAGTCGACATGTCGGCGGACGGTGATATTGCTTTGCACGTCGGAGTTCGGGGAAAGGAAACGACGAGTGTCAGGGAGGGATATCGTATAGAGTTGTGAAAGTAGGTGCAACTGTCGATTTCACTTCAAACGCTGGTTGTCGTGCTACACCCTCTTTTTTGAAAGTCGGGGATAAGGAGAGATGGACACGGCGGAATACGGGGCGGTAGTCTCGTAGGTTGTGGCAGCTGTGGCTGAGATGCGAAGCGCTAGACTCTGGACGGACTAGGGTGGGAGGAATAGACGAGGTCAAGTGGAAATCATGCCAACAGTTCAAGGACAAGTGGGGGGTGGATGTTGGGTTCTTGGGGCTTTGGGAAGGTGGGATGGTCCTCGCATTCTTTAACCTGCTGATCGGCAGTCGAAAACGCCGATGAGGTCACTGCCCGCAGCTTGTGGCTTGCTAGACCCAAAACTAAAATATGAGACTGCAATGACGATGCCGCGAAGCATGAGAGTGTGATATTTTGTGGAATCACTGGATATATTAACCCTTGGAAGCTCGCTTGGGTTTTTGTATGTTCTTGTTGTTCCCCGTGTTGACAAGACGTACGTAGCTCCACGCGCTAGTGTCATGTAACCACCTCCTCGGGAGTCCTTGGCCTGTTCGACGCCACGTCCTGGTGGAGCCCGAATCATCGATCGCGGATCGCATGGTTACATTGTTCAATGTCCTCGGATCGGGTGCAGCAGGTGGCTCGATCGACGATCATTTACCCATTACAACGATGATCATACTGTACTCTAGCCGGACGTCTGGAAATAGGGAAAATGGTACTCCGTTAAGGAAAAGAACTTGAATTGCACGGCTCTGGTGGTTTCTACTTACGTCGAGTAGATACCGTGAGATTATTAGAGTACATGCGTTTCAAAATCAAATACATTCATATGCGTGACTCGTGCTGCGAGAGGCTGATCCGCCCCTTCAGCTGGTTCGTAGATAAGAAATGATGAGACAAAGCAAAAACGATCATGCCCGAGTGTATCCGATGGCCCACCCTGTCTATGAGGATATTGTCCGAACGCCGAGAAAAAACAAGAACGAGAGCAGGGTATGAACCATTTGCTATGAGATGCGAAGGGGGCGGGCGACGCTGGGAGTGAAATGAAGAATACTTGTCGCAGAACTGCGAAAGCTATTCCATTTTGGAGAGACGGCGAGTTGAATGGAAGAACGGGGGATGGGAGGTCGTGTCCAGCACTGGATGGGAAGCCTTTGAGGAGGATCAAAGCAGGTGAGGAAGGAGGACGGATGCAGGAGAAGAGAAAGGAAGAGAAAAGGGGAAGGGATGAGATCAAAGGGTATGAGAGTCGGAGAGAAAATATGAGAAAGGAGGCAGGGAAGACGTGGGGATGTCGAGTGAGAAGGGAGAAGGTATCGTGAAGAGTTCTCTTCAGCCTCTAGCGCGGGCTTGCGCTAATCGGAGTCTGCGTTCGGCATCGTCAGCGTTGGCGCCGGGTGCGAAGTGTCCGTGTCCGGGGCGATTCACCTCTAGAGGTGTGGAAAACCCACTGCTACGGCCACTGCGAAGGTGAACCTGCTGGGGGGACTGAAGGACTGGCGGTGTAGGGAGGCCACTGGCAATAACTGCATTGTAGTCGGGAAGATTGGAGTCGCAAGGACCCACGGCCGCGCGTACCGCAGTGGAATAGCTAGGCACGCGACTGAGCGTCTCAACCTCCGCATACTGAGGATGGAAAGGCGTAGCCATGCCGGATGGGATACGCTCGTGATCCACCTCGTCCGAAGCTCGGCGAGACATCTCGGGGCTGCCGGGACTGTGTGAGTTGGAGCCGGAGGAAGGACCAAAGTAATCTCCGAAATGAACGTTCAGCTGGCGTGAGTTAGGGTGACTCTCGGTGGGGGAGTCGTGCGATGGCTCGCTGGGGGATTGATGACCGAAGCGACTAGCGTTCAGCGTCGTGAGACGGCTATGTAATGCGGAGGCGGAGATATCAGTGTTGGTCAGCGCGTTCATCGAAGCCAGATTCTCTGCTGAAATATTACGGCTGAGGGGGCCAAAGGGTGTTCCGGGGCCGCCGCTACCGGGGCCTGGTGTGCGGTAGCCGCTGGGGTCCAGTTCGCTATACAGCTGATCGAATTGGTGTTCGCCGTAAAGCGGCGGGGCCTGGTTGGCGAACTCGTCTACCGTTCGGCGAGCGGCGACGGGTGTTTGATCACGAAGGTTGTTGTTCTCGTCAATGGGCATGTTGGGGGAGATGAAGATGGATACGGGGAGGGTCGCTCGGAGCTGCATCGCGCAAGAGTTAGTTTGGACAGGAGTGATGGCGAGCGTCTCCAAACTCACCTCGCTGACATGACCATCAGGGTTGTGTAGTTGAATGCGGAACTTCATCTTATGGCGAATCTTGATGCCCATAGTGTCCGTATCCTGGAGACACCGGGTCAATGTCTGCGGCATATCGAGATAGCGCGTAAACTGATAGCCCTCGGCGGCCTCATCGATTATCTCGACACGATCCTCATCTACCTCATGCTCGTCCGTCAAGATTGTCCGTGTAATTTTGTACGTATTGCGAATCGAGTCGGGATCTTCCGGGTTTAGCGTGAGGTCGTGGCTTTCGATGAGCTGTGACGTAATCTGTCCGATGCGTAGACCCTTCAGTAGTGGGATCAACTTGAAGTCGACCCGAATGGAAGTACCGAATACGACAGCCTTGGTCGGAGTGCTGATGGAGTATTCGATCTTGTTTGGCCAGATGTTGTCCACGGACTGTCAGACCCTATTAGCATATATTCTTACGGGCCCGGGTCCGGCGCCGATCGCAAACTCACCATCGCGTGGGACAGCTCCAGGGCGCTGGGATCGAGGGTTCGGATGATCCGCAAGGGTTTCCTTGCAACGATATCTTTGGCATATTTGCGCCCGATCTCGGCCTTGAAGCGGTACATCACCCAGGTCTCCGACAACCCCTCCACACTCTCAGGCATGGATCCCTCAAGCACCACGTCGAATGGGTATTCGTAGTTGCCCGCCGCCAGGATCTCAGTCTTGCCTTTGCCAGGATCACGGAATCGCCATGTCTTATCGTAAAAGACTCGTTCTCTCCATGACTTGCGGCCGCCGGCGGTCGAACTAGAGGGGAGGTGCCAACTATAGAAGCCCAGATGGTTAGCATTCAAAGTAATTTTCGGATTTCTTGCGACCGCGGGGTCCGCCGCCGGGCGGAGGGGTTCACATACCAAACGCGCGACATGCCCGTGAGCTGTAGCCGGATGTGCTTGATAGTGAGCGGCTCCGACAGACAGAGCACTAGAGTCCCTTTCAGATGAGCGCTGGCGGCTTCATGCTCGCCTCCACGAAATACGATGTACTCATCGTTCAAGCTGGATGTGTGTCAGCGCCGATACTTGCGCGCGCGCACGAGGGGGGGTGGTCCCACTCACCGAATGTCGAAGTATTTGGCATTGCTGGCGCTTCCGGTACCACTAAAGAAGCTGAGCGCCATGTTCAAGTTATCTGCCCGCCGCTGCGATGGGGCAGCGATTGGATCACTGAAAGAAAAGGCCGATGAGAGGGAAAGGTAGAGTGACAATCGCAGTGTCGGGTTTGAAAGTTCGCACAGTTCAAGAAACCCTTCGGGCGGGATGATGGAAGGACCAAAGCAAAGTAAAAGATCAAGGAGCGGGAAAAAAATAAATGGGCCAGGTTATGACTCGAATTTTACCCTATCCTGATCTACGGGACCATGTCCAGAATGGCCCTCCGGTCCGACTAAACGGGTCCCACTGAAGTCGAAGTGGAGTGGTGCCGTTTCCGGTCCGTACAAAGTGGCGATAGGGACGGAGATGATGCGAGATTTGCTTGACTAAGCTGGTAGGCCAAAGATAAGGATGAAACTTGGACGAGGTCAAGAGGATAAATAACAAAGCCAGAGGATTCACTAAATATAGGGAAATTATTAAGAGGAAAAATGAACAGACAGATGTCAGCCGGGATTATTCTCGGTTGACGTTGATCTGGCACAATTGCGTCTTTACGTCAGCGCATCATATGAAGGTCAACCGAGCCAGAGAAGCACGTGTTAGATAGTTGACTGCTTGTATAGTAGCATCTAAGATATAGAGCTATTTACCTACTGATGTTAATTAGTGAACAATTTTCTCTTCTCCTCAACAACAGTACGACTAGATTCACAGGATACGTCTGATCAGCCCATCTGCCGCGGGGCCGACCTTTATCCATTTCTCCCATCACGCCATTTCGTCGGGATCACCCTTCCCGCACAGTCCTCTAGTTCTAGGGCTTCGATAGGTCCCGTTTGACGATCCGGATGCTGCAAGTCACATCCAGGTTACACAACACAATCATGCTTGCTTTCTCGGAGCTATTATCTGTACCCCACTGAGATACATGCATGTTAACCTCTTACAACATGCAACATCTGATGAGTACCATACATGATCTGTAATGTCTGATGAAACACGACCTGCCAGCCATGCGTTCGTGCGACCGGTCGACCTGCAGATAGGCTAGTCTCATATTCATATAGTGGTGCCCTGACATGCAGGTCCAGGCCTTGTGGTGGTGATTGCGTAGATTTATAGGGGCATTGGAAAGTGTGCTACACTAACTACCGAGGAGTATCCCGTGGTCCAGGCCCTGGTCAATACTGCGGGAGAAGGGTACGCAATGCATTTTGCACATGCGACTGGCTTTTGACGCTTTTTCGACCAAACATCACCCGAAAGCCATGTGGACAACCCGTGTGTCTATGATGGTCTTTTGCGTAATTTGTAGGAGTAGCCTGATTCTCGGTTTTAAAGACAGAGCTATCCAATCAACCAAGCTCCACTTCTACCCAACCACTGTCTAGCTGGGCCTCACCTACAGTAGCATTTGTCTTTGAAAAACTGGCGCAATGAAAGTAAGTATATCCTAAAAAAGAGATTGATCTGCCTCAAAAGGGCCCACCAAACATGTCAAAATGTTCACCGGCTACCTACCAAAACACCCACACCTCCCGAACTTCCCTGGCCGGACAATAATAACTGACTTGCTCTGACGTGAATGGTCTCTGAGAACCAGGGCCAGAGGGGGCCACAGACCTATCCACCCAAGATAAGGTCTCGGGCACTGTATGGATCCCTTTTGCTTGTTGATGGGGCTCTCTGATGTGGCGTTCTGATTTTGATTTTGATTTTGATTTTTTTCGTGGAACCAACCTGGCCAGTGAAATTGACCAAAGGGCTCAACGAAGTTCTTTTGTACGACAGTACTGCACACCATGATCACCATGATTGCGTACAGATCGAACACCTCCGATGCACTGGCCGCTCAGCCCCTGACCCTAGTCCCCCTGGCGACTCGCCGTCTCCGTCTCGGCCTGGATGCCGACTACGGGCCCTATCGGGATGCCTTCACATGCGGGCTCGGGCATTCCCGCTCCACCGGAATCCCGATTTTGTCCCGGTTTCTCTCCTCCGATGCCATTGCGCGTCCGTCTCGCCATCACGATAATGCATTGGCGTTTCACGATTTCGCTATTAAAGTTGAAACTGGCATTACATACCTAGGCGATGGCCCTAACATGGAAGACAAAGAATTTATCGCCGACCTCCTTCTAAGCAGACATCGTCTTCTAATGAAGAACAAGGCATAAAGAAAAGGCTAAAGTGCAAACATATTCAGTCTAGAAAAAACCGTAATTGCCTAAGATCTTCTATGTAGCTCGAAAATTCGTTCTGGCTCCCGTTCCAAGGTCTTCAGGGTTTTCCTGGCCCGGTCAGCCCCACTCCGAAGCAGATCATCAACGGTGAGCTTTTTTTCTCCCCCTAGTCCATGAAAGGAGTATACATACATACTCTGTACGGCAGCTACATTCAGTACTCGGTGTACAACTACACTCCAGTTCTAACAAAGCACTGCAGGAAGGACCTTCCAGCCTAAAACCCGGTTTCTTGATAAGCGGATTCTATTGCATCATCGAAGTCATCAAACCTAATTTTGTGGGCATCGTGTTACGGTGATTGAAATTCTCAACTCTATAAAACAGTGTGCAAGATCTAACCATACCTGAGAACATACGCTCTGTACTCCGTAGATAGGCCCTTTCGGTATGTATAGTATGTACTCGGTACGGCACCTGCAACGCCGCCTTTAGCCACGCGGTAAAGTGACATCTCTATTGGTGGCAATTCCTCATTCAAGCACGCCATGCCCCGCACCAGGAAACCCGCCGACAGCGCGCGGAAAATCATAGTTCAGGCACGAACAAGAATGTCAAAATATCCGGTCTTGGAGAGCCTTATCAGCTCGGTTGATATCCTCCGAGATTACCCTTGCCAATAACGACAATACCAAATACTAAGTGGTGAAGTACTATACATGCTCTATTTAGAAAGTACTTTACTGTACGAAGCAAGTATGCGATGCTTGAGCATGCGCCCGGCCTTGCTGGTGGGGTTCCGTAGTGTTCATTTGCAATGCCAATTGCCGTTCAGAGGTGCGGCACGCCAGACCTACGGTACTCAGATCGTGACCCACCGCGGGTATGATTAAGGCAGCTCTGGCGTATAGCTACAATATTTTTTTTTTCCAGCGAGTATCGGCGTCTTCGGGTGAAGAGAATAATGGCCTTCTTTTTTTCTTTTCTGTGTAGCCGTAGTTTCCATCCAATTCGTAGCTGTAGTATTCAGATAGATATGCTCACGTGTTGTCAGCTGGCTACACTTGAGCAGTGACAAGTTTCGTCATTTCGGAATAATGAATCCCGAGGGTGGCTGGCTGCTTCATCGATTGTTGCTATTTCGCCGCAAAAAGGGGGCCTTCCTGTACGGAGTACATACATAGTGACATACCTAGTTTTGGAGAGCTACGGTAGATAGCCGGGAATCAGCCGAGCTGAAGAGAGACCCGAGCTTTGCGTTAAAAATTCGGGCAGATCGCCCAGCTGCCAAGGAGGAGGGATAAGAGCTTTTGCGCTGTCAACGGCACCAATCGTGCCATGCGATCGCTCCACATGGGACACAGCTGCAGAAAATAGGGTCTTCTTCGGGAAGTCCGCTAGTGTGGGACGGACTGCCTTTTTGTGTCCACTGCTTATGGGTTTTAAGAGCTGAAGCATATCGGTTTATTCTGGTTTTAGCTGCAAGCACTCCGTACAAGGGCGGAGGATGGACTTCTAGGTTGTCGAACAAAGAAATCAGCATCGCCTTGAGGCACAACGAGGCTGAGCCCTCTACACAGCCCACACACTTTATCCCGGTAGTTTTCTAAAGCTGAACAGCAAGTTGCCCAATTAAAGACCAGGTTCTATTCAATATTGTCATCATCACCAAATCTATGTTGGTTCAACCCAACTTGGCTTATCAAAAGTGGGAAGACACTTGACCATCGCCGGCGGCGCACACTGCCAACTAACAATCTCCTCCTGGTCGAGCATGGACCTCGACACATTGACATGATCATGCACATAGCCTCGAACATCCTTCGTTTTAATCGCCTCATCATTCGAATAAGCAAGATTAACCGTTGGCACAGCAAGAATCTTGCCCCGCCCTCTCCGATAAAGGTCCTTCGCCAAAAGCGTCGGCTCCCCCATCAAGCACTCTCCAGGCTTCGAAGACCGAAAAGTGACTACACCTTCAGCAAATGGTACCGCGTCTAGAACGGCCACCCCACCCCAGCACGAGTATACCTGGAAAGGCTGGAACGCCTCGAACCGGTGCCTACCGTCAGGATCATCCCAGAATAGATCCTGGCTGTAAGACAACGAGCCATCATGCGGGATCTCAAAGAAAGTATTCCCAACCAGTGAGCGCGAAACCCAAACATCGTAGAACTGTGTCCCATCCACAATCCAATCAAAAGCACAGGTCATATGCGCGCCCTGGTTGACATGCTGGAAGACCAATTCGAGAATATCCTCCGGGCAGAGCGCGACGTCATTGATGAAAATAATACGCGCATCTGGCGAGAACATGCCGTCCAATTCGTTGATTGGACCCCTCGCAGCGCTGACTTTGAGGGGCTCGAGTGCTTTGTTACGCAGCTCGGACGAACGCCCGATACGGTCTTGTCCTTTTTCCTTGGGGTTGATGGTGCTGGTAGAGAGGAAGAAGTGCGCGCCCATAGCTTCGACGTGCATCTTGAGTGCTGCGAGGATTTCATATGTCCCATCGTCGGAACGGCCTTCTACGACTGAAATCGCGCAATGCTCTGGTCCCAGAAACCGAATCGCTTCGACGATGCTGCTCATCAGACGTGAGATGACTCCGGTTGACTGGTGTAGGTTCAGCGCAAAGAAGAATCGCACCTGTCCGCTACCCGCTGCCTGGTCACGGAGCAGACTATACCGGGATCCCATTTTCGACGGACATGATACCCGCTCGAAGCCGGGGCTAGAATCATTCTCGAAGTCTAGAATCGATCGAACGTATTTTGCGACTGTGGCGTGCGATATGTGATTCGTTGGCAGGGTCCAGCCTGTAGATACCGATGCAGGCGTCGGCACTGGTTTTGAAATGTTAGGCCAAAGGTTCTTATCATCCCAGGCGTCATCCCACTGTCTGGTGCGCGTTTCTGACGGAATAATATCTGCTGGTTTGCTTGTTGGCGTTGTTTGGGACGTGGGATTCGAGTCTTCTCTATCTGGCTGACGCAGTACTTGTTTGTCATCTGCAGCATACTCTGGGATTGGAGGAAGATTGCCATGGAAGATAGCAAGGCCGTTATGGCTGTGTGGACGAACCAGCTGCGCGAGCAGGAATAGTAGAACCGATGCCACAGCCGCCCCGGCGAGTAAGGCTTGATAATGCCGGCCCTTCATCATGATAACATTTCAACACCAGATAAGCGGCGAATGGTCAATAGCAAGGAACGCGCAATAGAAGCTTCGTCGATAATACCCACGCCTTGTATGCTGTCCTGGTGAGTTACTCAAGCAGCATAAGTCGATGCAGTTCCCATAAATCATGTCGTGACACATTCCTCCGCATCCATCTCGAGCCCTGAATGACCTACCCTAAAGATCATATTGAACCAACGATTTCCGCTTTAAGCTAGCACTCGTGTAGGGTTCTCGAATTGTTTGGCCCGCCGTATTTGGGGGCAGTACGCCGGTTCCGAGAACAGCATTCCTGGGAGTGGGGAGCTCGGTGGATCCGCACCGCCGGAAGAGACAAGGGCTTGGCAGATGCGTTTACTGATGCCGATGTTTATAGTCACGCTGTCGTGTATCACTGATTTTCGGTGGCGGCCCCCTTGGTATGATGCTTTATGGTTTGACAGGTCTAGAGTGAGTGGTACACCTTTGCCGTCAGATGGTGTGGAATAGTCCGCCACCAAGAGAACTAATGGAATGAATGCCTCGGTGTAGCGGTCTTGAACCACTTCAAGGAAATAACATGACAAGCTGTGGAATTATTCGAACAGCACTTATGTTCACAAATAACAGCAGAATATTAGTAACACAGAATCAAAGTAACCTGGAGACAAGGCTCTCGAAGACCAAATGCAAGATGTAATGCGCAAGCTATTTCCTCCGCACTAAAGACAACTCCGCTAGGTGGTTGGCAGAATTCGTAAGGACATCAATCAAAAGACCGAGAGGTTGTATGATAACAAATATGTGGCGACTGATTCATCGTACTGCAGGCTCGGGCCTAGCATGCATTGTGGCGGGTAGACGAAAGTCAACATTAGGTATGGCCCACGTCGGAGAGACAGATATTACTGTTCTAAAAAGAGATAGGAGGACATGGCTCGATACACGGCAGTCATTGGCGTATAGAAAATTATCTCGGCCAGCGAGATTTTTGACCGTTGGCTGTAGCGGGGAAGCCGAGGGGTGACAACAAGGGGAGGAGGAGTCGGAGTCACCAAGTCGATGTTCGGAGAAAGGCCAACACTCAGAAGATCCAGCCAAGGATGAGGTAGATAAGGAATACGGCAGCAATGCATATACCGGCAACCTTCAGTACTGCGACAGTGTCGCCTTGTTTTGCCATCCGTGTCAGGCGGGAAGCGCTGCCTTTAAGGTTCGTCGAGAAGGAAGAGAAGACTTCGCTCTACGCGTAAATTCCATGTCAGCAATACTCAGGACCTAATCCACCGTTGAGAGTAGCCTCCCAATCTTTTTTCTGGCTCGTATCCTCGTCGTTCAAGACGTACCGTGTGGTCGATCGTATCTTGATCCCGCGCATTGTCGTGGATATCGATGGTTACAGATCGGAGAGCAGAGACTTTAGAGGAAAGGCCACTGAGGAGTGCATTGTTCTGCCTGTAGATCGATTGTTAGCGACTTGCGCTTGGGCGACATTTGGCTTGAGAAAGGTGGATTGAGGGTGGTCTCAGCACTAGCCAGCACCACTCCATGGTCCCCAGTAGAGAGAATAACTTACTGCTCACGTTCGTAGGCGTCACTCATATTGTATGATCTTGAGGGCCCTGTGGTCCTTCTTGCGAGCTATTTGAAGTCTTGACAATCCGTTGAGCAGCGAAATAGGTTGAGGCGACGGTGGCTCGGCCGGGGATAACGGGGTTGACCGGTCATGTGACCCACGAGCCGTGTGGGGAAACGACTGGCCCTCACTGGAGCTTCCTCCCTAGCGTGCTTTCTGTATTTTGACTTCAGTATCAGGGCTGACCATCTTCAGATAATTCATCGTCCAACATAGCTTTCTATTGTACAGTCTCCTTAATCTGTCATCGTATCATGAATCATATACAACACACGAGCATAATCGGCCATCCAATGTGTTCCCACTTCATCCAGAAGGCTGGCAAATTCAAGAATAATTCGCTGGGCATGACGAGCGCCGGGATGATACAACTTTCGATCAATCAAAATTGGTCCGCCGAATCGGATAAAGTTGACAGCCTCGTTGTCGGTGATTGCCATGTCCTTTGGGGTCGAGGATTCTGTAGATGAAAACCCTTCGTCTCCAACGACCTTCCAGTCAACTTGACCATTAGCCAGATCAAAGGAGGTCTCATTATCAATATCATCTGGCAGAGGTAATGCCGAGCCAGTCAGGATGTATAACCCAAGAACTAGGGCAGCCATGAATAATGTGCGTACCGACTGGAACGCCGTTCCGTCGGCAGGCTTTCGATGGGATAGGATCCTGAATGTCTGAGCTGCATGAAGACACGCTCGCCGTGCAGAGGCGGTTTGCGCCCAGGAAGTCAAAGCTTTGCGGGCTTCGACTATCGACTCGGCGCCATCATGACCCGCTGCACATCCAAGGATATCGATATCCACTGTCAGGAGGATACAGACGCTGTGCCAGATCACAATGCAGTTTGGATTGGAGTTCCTGAACGTATCTTCATAGAGGCAGATCATCTCTGTAAGAAGAGGAGCAGAAATACTGGCTCTTCTATCTAGTCGGAGGATATTGCAAGGCACATATCGATGTTGTTCCGGAAGGACCAAGTCAGAACTTCGAATCAAGCGATGGGTATCTGCAGTCACACGAAGCAAAGCGGTACAAAGAACCCCGTACAAGGAGAAAATATGTATTCTGCCTGGTAGACATGGGAGCTCAAATTTATGAGCTGCCAAATTAAGAGTTTGGGTGACGAAAAATGCATCTCGCGAGAGCTGGGCCCACTTGCTGCTTGTTTGTGCCAGATAAAAGGTGTCCTCTTGGGGAAGCGAAAGAGATATGGCATCCGTTCGGATTATAGGACTTATCGTATATAGGTCTGAAAGCCAAGAGTCGTGCAAAAGAAGACCTATGATCAATCTGCAAAAGTAAGAAGGTTAGAGCCTAAATGTGACTAGATTCAAACAAACAACACACTTTTTGGTTGATTCTACCCTACTCCAGGCCCTCCACCTCACCGCCGTCTCTAGATGTGAAGGCAACAATTGCTCGTAGTTTTCGTCTTTTCTGAGACCGAAAAAATCATATTGTTGCGCAGTCTGTTGAATTTATCAGTCTTTCGACTCAGAGTGACTTGCCCGGCTACATCTCTTACCATCATGGTGTGTAGATACAGAGTTTTTGACATTTCTGGAGCGAGGTTTCCCTGATAGCATATTTAGACTTGAAACTAAGAGCGTGTACTGTTAATTTACTCACTCCGGTTGAAATAAACATAAAAAGGACATGATGGGCAAGCACCAGATGGTTCAGGATCTCGGTGGGTGCTCGAGACTGCGTTGACGCAATAAGAAACTGAGTGAAAGCCTCGGCCAAAATCACCTAACACGAAATTAGTCACGCCACACTATTGGGAAATCATCAGATCGGCATACCGGATATGTTCGTCGGATGAAGGTTGCCGCGTCTTCAGTTTTGAGAAGTGAGATTCCAATCATGCACATAACGAATAACAAGAGATCTGAAGTATTTTCAGGCTTGAAAGTAGCGGGGTGTAAGACTGGATACAACGGCTGATATTTGTGTAGGTAAAGATAAAGTCCTTGGTCGAAGACTTGAGTCGTATTTGTACAAAGATAACGCTGTCCACATGTTGTCTGGTCAATGAACACACTATCACAGGGGCATGTGAGAGTTTTCTTTTTCAAGTGCCGAAGGCGTTCTTTGACCTCTCCAGTGAGATTGATGTCAACGGTATTAATATGATCGGTCTCAGCTTGAGCAGGCTCGATGCAGCCTCTGATATCGTAGCCGGAGAAAATGTTCTCCGGGGAATCGAACGCAATCTCGTGCCAGAAATGGGGTCGTGCGGTTGATCGTAGATTTCTTGGCCAAATCGGCCCGATTTCGCCCAAAACCTGACCAGTGTTCCGCGCATTGGTGATGGGTCCAATATTATTGGAATCTTCCATCGCGAGATGAACAAGACTCGGGATCCCCATGTCCCCCGAAGCGCAACCCCCCCAGGTACCACCGGACGTGAACTGGTCGTTGAATGGAGGGCTGAAAAGCATATTCAAGAAATCATTATTCGAGTCTCGATTCATTCCCATATTCGATGTTGTAGAACCATCTGTCGGTGTCTCCACCGATCCTGGGAATTGATATTCCGCCGTTACCGGTGCGTTAGCGTCCCCCTCAATGTGGCCGTTGATGATGATGTCGGGAGACCCATCTTGAGGGTCTTGTGCAAGGTTCTCGCCTTGCAGTCCTGGATCGGTCTGCTTTTCGGGTCAATATTATACGCTCCGTAGCAATCATGGGGTTTTGAAAAGCGTACAAGCGGGTTCTCTCGATCCTCTGACGAGTGATTCCGGCGATGACGAAGGAGGACATCTCTGGTCGACCAAATCAATAGATGATCACGCAAAATGGAAACAGCATATATCTACCTCCGAGCAAAGTGCTTTGTGCAGATTGAACACTTGTATGGGCGCTCTCCGGTGTCTAGGCAAAGATGTTTTAGCGCGATTTGTCTTTTCAGGACCTCTCAACCCCGATTAAATCATGCAACGTACGGGCCAATTGATGACGATTCAAATGCTCCACCTTGGAGAACGTTTTATCGCATTTTGCACAGGGGATCCTATACGGTAGGTTCCTGCGTCTTTGTCGCATATTGCCGAGGTGGAGGTAAAGAAGGACCACCGTATCCGCCGGTAAATGAACAGCCCCGGTAGGGCTATCTCCATGCGGGGTAACCTGGGTGCCATGTTTGTGAGGCACCAGTATATCTACTTCCTGATGTCACTTTTTTTGAAAATGAAAATGGCTTTTTTGATGATTGCTAAGAGATAGTTATTAAAGAGGTCTGTTGAATAGTCACTGATAAATCTCTTGTGGTTGTAGCACGTCTAAATAGTAGATACCTACCCTGGATCTCTCTTCTCTGAACGTCATTTACCGAAGGGGCTCCACGATGATTGCAAAATATGAAAGGAATGAATATTATGAAGGCTTCCTATTTCATCTCCTTCCGCATCTACATACAGAATCAAGAGAGCAACGTCCAGAATGATGCCACCAAACCAGCGCGCGTTCCTGAAACTGGTGGCTTTGTGTGGGGAACAAAGTTCCCCACATATTCTCTCGCACATCAAATCTAGAGTGCGGGGGATCGATCGCCTCCAATAGGTGAGTAAGCATGCTATATGGCTATTGCCATATCTCCGAAGATGTGGCATGCAGTATGAAGAACGGGATGGCGGGGATTGTCGTCCCACAATTTCAAGATATATATAAGGACCATAGATCTCTCCTGTGTCAGTATATTCTTAGTGTCAAATTCGAGCAGTTACACACTATGGCAGTCAGTTATATTTTCGATCACCCCTTTGAAACAGCTCTTGGGACCCTCGTCGTCGGTGTCGTCAGCTATATCCTCCACCAACGATTTTTTCACCCCCTTGCCAGATACCCGGGGCCATTGCTTGCCTCCCTCACCGACTTATGGCAGGTGCATCAATTCATGACGTTGAAACAACCGTACAATTTGACAGAACTTCACGAAAAACATGGATCTATTGTTCGCTATGGACCCGACAAGTTGAGCATCACTGACGAAGAAGCCATTAAATTGATCTATCAGAGCGGGGCAAAGTACATGCCGAAGACTGAGTTTTACGATGCCTATGGAGCAGCTCACCCTAACATCTTTGGGATGCGTGATGAATCTGTCAGACCTATATTTCTCAAAGAATGCAACCTTGATTTGTCTAACGTTTCATAGGCTCATTCCATTCGGCGCCGTCATATGAGCCATTCGTTCTCGATCAGTTATGTCAAAGAGATGGAAGGCTATCTCGACGCAAACATCAAGATCCTCCGAGACAAGATATCCGAATTCGCAGCGAATGACCAGAACTTTGATCTCAAGAAAGCTTTGCATCATTATGTCATTGACACGCTCGGTGAATTGGCTTTTAGTCAGACCTTTGGCATTCAAGTATGTGATGATGAGTCCCGAGTCCCACCCGTCATTCAGCATAGCCTACTCGCCGCGGTGACCGGTGCTTGGCCGATGATGACCGCAAGGCTGAAGAGATGGCTGCCAGTTGTTCCACATAAAGGTCTGAGTGCTTTGTTTGAGGGACGGCAAGCCTGTGCAGATCTAGCCTCACGTTGCGTGAATGTCCGGTTGAACGCGTTGAGAAACTCTAGCCAGAGCCAAACAATTGCACCCGAGCGAAAGGATATCCTCACGAGTCTCATAAACGCCAAGCATCCTGATACGGGCAAGCATCTGACGCAGACTGATCTTGAGACGGAGGCATTCGGTTTCATGTGGGTGCCTCCTCTACGAAATTCCTATCCGTGCGGCTTGGTAGAGACTAATCTTGCATTCAACTAGCATTGCTGGAACTCATACTACAAGTGCCACTACAACTCTACTTTTTTACCACCTCCTTCATCATCCTGACCTAATGGCAAAATGCGTCGCAGAGGTTGACACGAATCTTCCACCCTTACATAAAGATGAAGGTGCATACTCTGTTTCTGCGGCTGAAAGCTACTTGCCGTATCTGAAGAACTGCATAAAGGAGAACTTTCGTGTCACACCAGTGTTTACAATGCCCCTGGCGAGAAGAGTTCTGAAACGGGAAGGTATTATCATTGCTGGCAACCATATACCTTACGGTGTGAGTATACTTCAATGCCTATGTTTCACTACAAAGAGGCTTCCCATGGCTAATTGTGTTGATATAGACATCAATCGCGGTATGCAATCATGCCTTCCACCACAACCCCAAGATATTTGGCGCCAATCACAATGATTTCGATCCTTCACGATGGGATGAGCCGGAGATTGCGAACAAGTCTAAGCTACTGATGCATTTTGGTCTTGGGGGCCGTCAATGCTTAGGTAAAACTGTTGCTATGACGAACATCTATAAGCTGATGAGCACGCTCTTGAGCGAGTTTGAGTTTAAGTTGGCAGAGGAGAAAGGATGCGATACAACGACCATGAAACCGGCATGTAGTGACGTCCCAGAGTTGATCAGTGTCGGAATCAGCGATCTCGCTAAGCCTTTGATGGTGAAAGCCACGACACGGACGCGAGTTGATCTCTGAGTAAGCGGCTGTTCCTGTGCAACTATTTTTACTAGGAAGCGCTTGAAGTAACGCCCCATCAACGACAAGAGAGACATGACTATCAGTTTATTGGTGTTTTTTTACTATTTTCATGTGTTACTACAGAATGTTGAGGGATGAGACCGAACGTAACCCCTATACAATTTGGTGTATGAACAAGCCGTCACAATCGGGATAAAATTGACAGGACTTTTGTATTTATAGCTTGGCCTTCTCCATTGTGGTAAGCTTCCGCAGGGGCGGACCAGCGCGACTACCATCACCTTCCATGCCATTGCCACTGGGTGCATCGCGAGGTGGCGGCTGGAGTCGCCACTTCTGTCGTAGTTCCTCAGATGCTTTATTCTCGAAGCAGTCTGCAATGTATTTACCCAGGATAGGGAGAAATTTGAAACCACTGGGAAGAATGTTAGTATGGAATTTCCTTCAAACAGGATTGGAATATTTGGCGGCGGAAACGTACTGTCCTGCTCCTCCAGTAGCCACGAAGAGGCCCTGCAGATTCGGGTGGTTGTCGATAATGAAATCACCCTTGGGAGTATCCGTGTACCAACACAAACGGCGGTTCATCCAGGGTCGATCGGCAAACTGGGGGAAGAACTGACGTAGACCCTTCCTCAGATCCTCGTCGGCATCCTCGGGCAGGTATCCGGTCTCCGAGTTGCTGCTATCGAATTTGGGCGATGAGATGGTGCGCTTCTCCCCGTCCACCTGGACGGTCACCTCGTTGGCATATCCATATCCGTGACGTGCAAGCTTCAAGATATTGCTACCAGGGCTTGGAGGGAACACGAACACGCCAGTGGTCATATTGATCATGACAGGCGTGTTATCCAGAGAGCGTGCTTCCTCCTGGGTCAATTGAATGAAACCGACAGGTTGTCCAGAAGACGATGCAGCATGTGCCACGTTCAGAAGGCGGGGCGTCCATGCACCTGTGCTCAAGATAAGCTGAGAAGCACGCAGAGAGCTTCCATCGATAAGTTTGACTCCCACGACCCGGGAGCCCTCCCGGAGGAGAGATACCACACTTCCACGAGGCCCAGTGATGATGGAGATACCTTCTACACTGCAGCGGGAAGCCAACTTTTGAATGCTTCCAGCGGCGTCTGCCCATCCACCCCTGCGGTTGAGGTATCCGCTCATGCCAGCCAAATTGGATTGGATATTGGGGTATGACTTGAGCAGGCTTGACGCATCATCTAGATCTTCAACAGTTCCACCATTGGCCCGCACGGTCGCTGCGGACTTTGTAATCCAGTCGTTCTCTGGCGTCTCTGACAAAAGCGCAAAGCCGGATTCGTAGTAGTGCTCCTTGTATTCGGTCTTCCAGCCCTGGTATGCCTCATAGGCCATTTGACAATAGACTGGGTCGGCATAATCAATTCGAATGATGCGCGAGATATCCACACTGCTCCCGTCGACAGCGGGAGGGTTGTACCGGTCCAGAACGGTTATATCAGTATAGCCCCGGCGCTTCAGCTCTAGGGCAGTGCTGAGGCCGAATACACCAGCACCAACAATGATGATCGAATCAGTCTTGGATGGAGGCATTCTGGTTAAATGATTAGTCAATTATCGATAGAGTTCGTGACAAGGGCGTCATTTTCATAAAAAGGTTCGGGGTGGAGGTGTGACACGGAGAACGCGGCATCGACCGTGTTCTTGGCACGCGGAAATCCCGGAAGCGGGCCATGGCTCCGCGCTTCTAGCAGACCTTGCAATATCAGACAGCCAACGTGAGGGGTAAATTTCACGCTGGATTGAGGCTAAGCCAGTCTTCAAAGGCCTTTCCGTAATCTTGCATCTGTAAAAACAATGTCTCCTCGCCGACAAACGGTAAACTGGAATCTTCCGCAGGGTTTGTCATAGGCACGGCCGGTGATAATTGGCCTAGTTCATGTTGCAACTGAGTGGAATGCTCGGTTTGCTCGGGCGGATAGGTCACACATTCTGGCACCACAGTCTTATGGCCTGATATCCCAGCGGACCCGATCAACGCGAAATCGGGCTCAGAGATTTCATTGGTGGATGAGATGCCTGAGTATGCAATGCTGTCCTTGGCGAGCTCTGGCCCAAAGATATCCCCGCCAGGACTTGGAGCTTTGCTTGCATGAGAGTATACAAGAACCTTCCATAAGAGCTGAAGATTGACAGACCATTTCTGGCGCTTGTTAGGAGTTGTCTCTGTTTCCGTCATGACACCTCCGGATGATATGCTATCACGCAGCTGTTCTAATTGACGAGCCTAATAAGAGTTAACACAAATATCACAGCCGACATGTAAAGGATCTTTTTGATACAAAACACACCTGTTGATCAACGTGCGGCCATCGATGACCCACTTTGTGTAGAAATCGAAGGCATTTTTCGAACCCTGTCTGCGCCTTCGTACTAAAGTTGTGGTCCTCAACAAAGCTGTGTTGGAGATAGATAGTCCCCACAATAGCAACACAGTGACCAAGTGTAGGATCTGATACCTCAAAGTTCTTCGACTCGATGAGCTCAAGGAAGTGTACGATCCAGCCCGAGTGCAAGGTGAGCTGTTCAAAAGAGTTACGGAGGAATGATTGCGGCATCGTGCGACGGAAATTCCGCAGGCGCATGGACAGTAAGAAAGGGTGGTTGAGTAAGCAAGGCACGGCATGCCAGACGATCTGGAAGAAAAGCCAGGGACTCCAATAATCACGATTCGCTTGCAGATTCTCAGGTGTCTGCTCGGAGAATCGACTTGCATGTAGGCGGAATCTCAAAGGCATGCAGCTCTCGTGCTCGGTATGCCAGTAACTGATCGTCAAATAGTCCGATTGGGGATGCCAAGGTGGGTTCGTGTCGAAATTTCCATGGTTGATGGCATACTTGCATGCCAGCGACCACAGCTCGCTAGTGCACATGTTGGCGGAGATGATACCAATGTCGAGTTTTGAGTCACTAACATCTCTGCGAGAATATCTCTGCGCTATAGATTTTTCGAAAGACGGTGTCGCAAGTGTGGAGTCACCTTGCTGGTCGTTGCTCTCTCCGAGACACCACGACTGTGAGGTACCTTGGAGATTCTGCAGCATCATGATACTTGCGTAACACAGTCTCTTCTCGTCTCTCTCCGCGTCCAAGTTGTCCAAGAAGGTCTCTTGGTCACCCATTCGGATATTACGAATGAAGTAACTCGCCGTTCTGGTATAGAATCCCGCCCGCACGATGTGTCCCGCTAATTGCCGTCAGTTAGCTAGAAATCACCCATTGGATTACTGACCTTACCTGTAAATTCAAGCAAGCTCAAGAGACAGAGGGCTTGGATCGTTGAAAGCTCTACACTTCCATCAGCCAGGCGGTCGATGACAAGCCGGCTGGCGCGTTCCGTCTTTGCTTTGATCTCGAGTTCAATCTCCCTATCTTTAATTCCCAGTCCACGAAACCGAATGCAATGTGCGTCCATGGCAAGTAGAAGTTCTGGGTCTCTGCCCCTGAGGGATGCAAGTGATACGCTTTGCGCGAATAACGGCAGTGGTTGGGAGTTGCAGAACGTGAGAAATAGCTCAGCGTTTGAAGGCTCTGACGGTTGTCCTCTTTTGTGGTCGTTAGTTACACTACTAAAAATCAAGGTAAAGAGGAACGCACGCGAGGGCTTGACCCTGGGATGGCACCTCGGAGCCCCGGTTGACATAGGAGTTTGAATCATGGCTGACGACTGGAGTGGAACTCCTGTCTTGACTAGGTTGCCGGCTGTATCGGGTGTCAGATAGGGGCGATGAAGAGGAATGAAGTTTGACTTACGCGATGTACCTAACGAGCTGTTCCAGTTTCCCCTCAATTCTGGAGACACGATCATCCTGGATGAAATGATCAGGCTTGCGATAGATCCGGAAGCCGGTGAGGATTTCCTACCATATTCTTCAAATGCAACCCCTCGTCTACGACCTCGGTTCCTGAATAGACGCAGGTCTGGCCGAGCCGGGTGCAGAAGGAACAAACGGGCTTCTCGCCGGGGCATCTCGTCTTCTTCCGTCTGGCTAGCAATCAGCTTCCATGCACGAAGCAGTAAACAGCCGTACTCACCGACAACCATCGCAAGCCTGTCTGGCTCGCTTCGCTGGTCGCTCTTCGCCAGGGGGCGCCATCGTGGTCACGTGCCTATTATTGGTACCCAAGGATACGCAAGCTGTGAGTGGATAGAGTCTGACTGGCTTGATTGAGCGGCCTACTCCTGTCTCGACCTCGATCGATCACGAAGTGACATCCATAGGGCAGGATCAGACTGAAAAAACGTGTGGGGACGGAAGTGGGTCGGGAATGCCGGGAAGCGCCTAAAGGGGCGGCACCACCAAGATCTCTATGTGGAGTGGATTCTCCTCTTTATTTACTTTAAGGTCGGTTTACTAGGTCGTTAGTTAAGACTTGATGGCTCACTGGTGATGAAATCAATTACTTTCGTGTTCAGAGCACAGTCTTAACCTCGATTGCCGACACCAACGGATGACCGTATACTTAGTGTTTGCTAATACCGAGCAACATTTATTGTCAGAAACAGGCATCGTGCACTGCCAGACAGATGCATACAGAAGGAAGGGAAAAATGAGGCAATTATTATACACAACCATGACGCTAAGGCAATCTCGACTGGAATTCCTCGAAATAAAAAATTCTGGTCCTCAGGAACCCACGGCAACAGGTTTTAGTCAAAGCTTCGAATCTGTATCGCGACAATACGTTCCAGTGACAGTCTCATCGGCTGTGGATACACCAACTGAAGGAGTGGAATCCTTGTTGGCTGTCTTTTTCAGATCAAAGTCCGAAACAGTAGCCAGGGCACTTTCGACTGGAGGCTTCTTGGAAGAGATCGCTGAACGACGAATTGTCCGAATGCCGGTTTCCAACTCTTCATCCAGCTTATCAACGTAATCATAGGCAGCTTTGCCCGCAATCGCTAGCCTTTCGTAGGAGTCCAAACCTCCCAGCTTCCATTCAGGCAACGGCTTGAGACAACCGCCAATTTCATATTCGAAGAAAGGCTTCCCATCCTTGCCCACCACTTTCCGACGTTCGTACTTGAGCTTTGGATGGATGGGTTTGTAGATAGGATGTGAAGAGTCCTTTTCGTTCTGTTCCTTGAACCAGTTCACTCGGAAATTGACAACTGGGTGGATGTATTCACAGGTCTCGCCTATGGAGTTCCCGTTGTCTTTGGCATATTCGCCTGGCGTGCGTCTTTTTTGTCCGTTTAACCAGTAGGCCAGGGTGAAGCTGTCTTCCAAGATGCCCGTACCCCAGCCAATTTCTCGGGCCTTTTCTTCGGTTGCCTGTTGAATCGCTTTGAATGGAAGACTGATTGTGGCCACTGCAGTTTTGGCAAATGAGACTGTCCGCTTCACTAAGGACTGGGGCTTAGGTTTTGGAGATGTGAGCTTGAGATCTGTCTTCCTACGCTGCAAGTTCAACTCCTCGATGTGCCGTTCACGGTCATTTTGTTCATCGCTGACCACTTGCTCATTGACTGAGACATGATCCTTGATTTGATCAAGCATCCAAGCAAATGCGATGTTCGACATGTTTTCCATATCACCTTCGTCTTTGAGAGTGTCGTTCGACCCTCCGCCGATGTTGATGTGGAAACCAGGAATCCAAACTTGTCTCAAAACTGGGTGCTGCTCCAGTCGATTTTGATATCTGACTCGCTTTCTGGCAGCCTTATTCCAGGCTCTCGCAGCCACATTGACCTCTCGGGCAGCTGCATTGACTGCCTTGTCCGTGGCTCCACCACTAGCTTTAAGGTCCTTGGCATGCTGCAAGACGTCCCAGTAGCGCTTTTCAGCCAGTTTCTCATCTTCCATATGAGCTTCTACCTGTTCTTTGGTTGCCGTCTTTTTGTTGAGATACCAGAGAGTTGGTGAGAATGCCTTCCTTCGCTCATCTAAGGCTAGGCATTGGAATGCATTTGGGATATCTGATAAATCTAGTGTTAGCCTTGAAAGGTGAAGAAAGCTAAATGCAATTTGGAGAAAGTCAAAGACTTACTAGGAGATAGACCAACATTGTGCCATCCTTCACTTGATGGGAGCTTGATTCCTAGGACTTCCGGCATCCCCAAAGCACCGACGGTATCATACACGCCGACCACCTCCACCTCTCGAGACCCCTCCTGTGCCCAGTCACCTTGAGGAGCTTTCTCGTATACAAATTCTCTGTGATCCTTATCTCCAGCACCCTGATTCTCGTCTGCTTTACCCCACATCCAGTCGAACCAAAGCTCACTGCGGTGGAATCGTTTCCCGGGCTCCAGCTTCTTATAGACGGCCCATAGATCCGGGAACTTGTTGAGATCGGTCTTCTGACATATTCCAATGTCGGAAATGAGCCCAGCAATGGTTCTGGCGGTGTAAGCCCCTCGAGAGAACCCAAAGCACATGATTTTGTCTCCAGGGTTGTAATTGAGGACAGCGAAATTGTACGCTTCGATGATGTTGGTTTCCATGCCTGCACCGGTCGCACCTTCGAAAGCATCGCCTAATGCCAGTGCAGTGGTGCCAACTCCAGAATCATACCAGACAACTTGCTGCCATTGATTACCATCCTTGTCCGTTCCGACGGGATTCAGAGAGCGACATAGGCGGGTGACATTCGAAGGGACATTTTTCTTTCCCGAAACTGCAGACTGCCAGGTGCCATCGCAGCATATAATAATACGTTTTCGCACGGGGGTGAGCTTCGTGTCCTCCCTTTGCCGAAGAGGCTCATCGCCGAGCAGTTCACTGATGTCTACTGCACCCATTTTGCATCAAAAAAATTCAGGGGAAGTCGCGACAGTGGCTGCTAAAGAAGCGTGCAACCTTTCAGAGGTGAAAACTTCTCTCCATCTGGGCTGCAGAGGCTTTTATTTATGCCCTGCTTGCTTACAGACTTTTTTTCAGCTCCTCCTAGAGGCTTAGGCTGACTCCATCATCCTTGATCCATCACCTCTACAGTCCGTGTGTGCATGAAGCTACAGGACGCTTACCCCTTTTCAGCGCGTGCGGACGAACTGGTAATCCACAGTCAAGGCGTGTCGGGACGCTTAGCCAACTTGGGATCATTCGGCTTCCCCGCCATTTGTCTGACTGTTTGGACCCTACATAATACGATGGTGGCTGGCATTGTTATCAGCTGAGTATAGAATCATGAGGGCCAATCGTTGGGGGCGGTTTTTGGGGATGTGTCAACCTCGATTCTGTCATTGGTAGACACTCCACATGAACTTTCTTCACGATTCCTCGTCGGTGCGCAGTGTGGTAGTACAGGGTCCACATTGTGCGAGGCCCACGCGCTCGTACGTGGAAGATCGGCACCTCGGTAAAAGTCAAAGTGGGCGAAGGGTCGGGCGTCCCAACTCAGCCTTGTGGCATCGAGTTAGGCTGACAGCGGTTGGCTGTGCACAGCTGAAAGACTAGGGCTGAGTCTTTAAAATAGACGTCAGATATACAACTCAGCCCATCTACGGTCAATTACGCCCGTCATTTTTATCAATTCTCCGCGTGCGCCGCATGAAATGAAGGTAGCTAACAAGGTATAGATGAACAAAGGAAATTGCATTGACTGTCAGGATTGAAGCTGTTTTTGAAAATGTATGTACCGACACCCAAGTCGATGGCCACGAGCAACACTGAATGTAGTTACCCTTCCCGCTCCGAGACAACTTGCTCAAATGTCTTCTGAACGGTGACTCCGCTTTGCGAGAAGACTGGCATGAGCTCGGGATTTAAAGCTTCCTGACTGCTGTTGGTATAGCGGAAGGAATTTAGTCGGGGCGAAGATACTGTGTTCACAAGCCCACTGTTGTCATTGACGTCCAAATCCGGTCTCCAATTGCTGGGGTCGCTGGAGGCTTTCAGTTGTTCGCTTCTCAAGCTGGAGAGTGGGTACTTTGCCGGGCTTGCTGCATTCCGCCCGTAGGCCATACTTCCATCAAGAAGCCAGCGAAAGAGTGGACGAAGGGTGATCAAACTTCCTGCCGTAATCCCGAGACCTGTTTCAATCACGGACCAAATGGCGATTTGATATGTGTTGCCTGTGAGTCATTAGCGTGTGACTTCATTTGGCATTCCCATAGAAAGTTAACAAAGAGGAGTGGGGCTAGAGAAACTCACGAAGGAAATCCATATCCGCGTAATAATGTAGGAATGGGAGTCGGATGATCACAGCAACACTCGCACTAGTTGGTGTTAGCCTGGCTGTTCTCGGGACTAGAAGGAACTTCACGTACATTGCGCCCAGACTTAGAATTCCTCCAACTGCAATCTTGGTCCTGTGATTCATCTGCAACTTCCATATAAGGAAAATTGGCAAGATTCCTAGGGCCAAGTCGCAGATGATCGTCAGAGCGCTGTAGAGATATGCGATGTCGAGAAGTATTTGGACTGATAGGCAAGTTCCCGAATTTCTCGGGTCCACTCGGTTCCAAAAGTAGGAAATGGGATGACAGTCGAAGAGCAGCACAAGCCAAAACAACAGACCAATGACTATAACTGTACCGATAATACCCCAGAGAAAAAAACGATGAGCTCTCTTGACGGTCAATCGTAAGAGAGCGAGGGCAATCGATGTCTTGGCAACAGCAGATGCCCAAATATATAGCATTTGACCGAGCCACCACCACTAAATGAGAGCAGAATTGTGATTAGCCAGTAACTGGTGAATGATTGAGGGGTACAGTTTACCAGTAGCGCCGTCTTGTAGACTTCAAGGCTGGTGAAGTCGGCATAAGAGTGACCGACTCCATCTGCTGAAGCAATCATGCAACATACGGTCAGGGTTATGAACAAGGCCTAGTGGCTGTTAGAAGGTATATCTCGGAGAATCCTTGACTGACAATCATACCAGGGCTGCGACCATCAGGGTATCATCCCATCCGAAACCTCGAACAAGGTATACTCGAACGAATACCCTTAATGAGACAGCCACAATGGACATAATCATCATCACAAGGGACACGACGAAGATTGCGAGGCTTCGGCCCACGAGGGGCATAGGGAAAGCCATCTTGAAGCGAGGTGCGTCTCGAATCCGTGAACACCTGATGATCGCTACTTAGATCGGGCTGACAGGACTCTCATGATCCTGTATTATGTTCTTATCCCAAGCAGCCTGGAGGAGGGAGAGCACGGCAAGAGGTTTGCCAGAAGAAGTTCAGACTTTGAACCGCAGATCCTCGGGCCTAATGAATACCCCGACCATAGCTAGAAATTCAGAATCAGCCAAGAGAGTGACGCGGGATGGCGGCTGGGTTAAGTGGAGTTTCAGATCATTGGCCAGAGAGCCATTCTTGATCGATTAGGTTAATATACACGATGGTCGAAGTCATAGGGCCACATAGCTAACCGAATTCGAGGTTAACTCCGTGCGCTAGGGCGTAATGAGATTCCACCAAGGGCACATTGCATATTCTAGGATCTTGAAATTGAGGACACGGACCAAAATTCGCGTTTGCGGTCCAGTCAGGATGGATGGACCCTCTCCACTTTCGCAGCTATCGGTTGGAGGATCGTGTTTCAGGGGGAATATTTGCCGAGGGGTTTGCGCGGCACTCGGGGATTCGCTTCGATCCGAGATCTAGAGCTCCACATACTCCTCCAAGTCCCACAAGTTGCGGCTCTTAGCGGTCCATTTCAGGAACGAGCATGACTCGTGATAAATGGCCATTGAGAGTATCCTCCTGTGATTGAATATGGTGGATCCACTCGTCAAGGGTCTGAAACATTGTTAGTACATAGCTCTGGAGCGCGGCGAGGCCCGACGAAACAAAACAATAACACCTCGGCTTATTCAATGCCACATTTTATGAGCTAGTGAACCACTTGCAGGACAACCCCATGGTGAGCAAAGCCATCGTACTAGTTGGTCCCACTGAAGCCACAATTTCGGTTCCGTGGGTTGGTGGTGTGTAGCTTTTTGAGGAATCTTATCTTCGTGGATCCTGAATCTTGGTTATACTTCCAGCCGGCATGTACCAATAGACAAAACAGACATAGGGAAAGCGATATATCATCTTGTACGTTCGATCTGTGTATAAAGACAACTCCTTTGACTTGAATTCCAACAAGGCCACATGGTCGCCAAAATCAAGTAAACGAAAAGCGAAGACGAGAGCAGCAGAAACATATCACCACCATGGATGGGCAGAAGGTTGGCCAAGATTTAACGGATATACAGAAGAGCACAGGATTATCCACAGGCTAGACTTCACCGGGCCGAAGAATCTTCTCCCGGGTTGCCGGTCTTGACTTGACATTCGACGCAGTCCCCTCGGCAAAGCTACCGTCATCGCAGATGGTCCACTCATCGGGTCTCAACCAGTACTGGTCGTGAGAAACGTGCCCTTTCAACTTTCCCTGAAAGTCAAGAGGGTCGATGAAAGTCTCCCATGGATCACGGTGATCAATCCACCCAGGGCCCATACGCTCGGTGCGACCATCAGTGTCAAGATAACGCATCTTATTCCGAGGCAAATAGCGACCGGGATGAAGCGAGTTCAGCCAGAAAGTGAAGATCAACATAGGTCCCAACTCAAAGGCAAATAGATACCACTCATTACTGAGAATCGGGCCACAGTTCTCGGTGCAGCCGAGATTGTCAAACATTTCAAACGACTCCACAGCGCGGAAGATGCAGCGGAGCAAGACGAGCGTCGAAGTGCCGTATAACGTCATGCAGAGAGTTTTCACGTTTCGAGGGACCTCTCCTGCTTTGGCAGCTCGAGTATGGACCATTCCGACGACGGCGATTACTAGGCCTTCAACGACGGCCTGAAGGATGAGACCAACGGCGATTAGAACGCCACCACTCTTGTATTTATCTAGGTCATCACCGGCTGCTGCATTCTTGGCTGCGCCTGCGACGGTGATACCTTCAACCGCAGCACCGGCATACACGAAAACCATGAGGACGCGATTGGGATGAAACACGGCGTGCATGGGAAGGTAGTTCATCAGTCGGCCGACAATATTGTACGCGGCAGCGGAGTAGACGGGAGGAGCAAGGTAGATGAAGACAGATTGTGCGATGAACAGATTCTTATTTGCGGGATGATAGCTGCTGATGCATCGCAGGATCCAGCCTATCGTGAAGATTAGACCGCCCCAAAATGCCCAGAAGGTCACTCTCCAAAAGTGATATCGACTATTGACTAGTTAGCATAAAGAATAGTGAGGGCTAGAAGGGTGTTTTTTTCAACGCTTACAAGTTTTGCCAAATGTGCGCGACCAAACTAAGGAATACAACGCCTGCAAACACCGCAGGCAGCACATGGCTGGGGTCGTATCTGTAGTAGCTAACCACTTCGTCGTTAGGACTCATTTTTTTCGAGCTTGTAGTGATGGTTGTAGCTGTTCGTGGTTTCGAATGGCATTTTTATACTCTAAATACTATTCTTCCTCGTGTCCATGGCCACAACGAAGGTGAGCTACTCTAAATGAACGCGCGACATAGATCCAAGATGAGAAAATGATCGCCCCCTCTGCGCCCCAGAATTCTGCAAAGCAAGCCTCATAGACCCATTTAATCCAAGATTGTCGGACCTTTGATCCCTCATTGCTGTTAGAAACTCAGATACGCTTGCCAGAGGCTGAACTGGCCCCCAAACAGCAATGCCCACATACATCAATATCAACCAATCAGCATTCATGGCCTCAGCTGGGGCGGCGGCACATACGACCTAAAGCGGTTAGACCACGCGCCGAGCCATCAACCAAGATGACGCTGATGGCTGTGTCCTCCGCCCCGACATCTTCAAATAATTACAGCACCGAAGAGTTGAGCGTTCCATCCGACTCAAAATGGACAGGAACGGGTCACATTATTCGGTTAAACTCAACAATCGTTCCTGAAGATCCGACGTCAAGGCCTACACGCTACGCCCGCAACTAGGCACATTGGTTCGCTGTTACCCCACATTTCGCGCTTTTGAGATCCACTAGGGGGGATAGAACATGCCTGGCGTTCCATCGGGGAAGGCTTGCGAAGCATGCCGCAAACAGAAGAAGAAGGTATGTATGTGTAGTATTGTCTAATACAGTATCGAGGAATTGACCCGGTAGGTATAGTGCGACGAGAAGCAGCCAACCTGCGGACGATGCCTGCGCCTGAAGATCCCTTGCGTGGGGTCGGGCCAACAACGCTTCAAATTTCAAGAAGAAAAACAATTCACCAAGCAGATCCGGCGAGAATTTAAGAATGGGACTTTGTCCACACCCGGTACATCCAAGACCTCATCATCGAATGGCACACCCTCGCCTCCTGGGCAACTCCTCTTCATCCAGGCCAGACCGAGCAGTAGCACCACGCGCTTAGCGCACGCCTTCACCCAAGCCATCCAGCGCTCCACCGATATCCGGTACAACCTAGGAAGTACTTTTGGCTTGTTCCTCGAAGAGGTTCCCCGTCGACTAGGCACGAATGACGCGCTAGACCGTGCCGTCGATGCGATAACGAGCGCCCATACGGACTTCTGTACCCGAAAGCACGGATCTGTGCAGGCGTTGACTAAGTACTCGGCTGCACTCCGGACTTTGCGGGTCTATCTAAATGATCCGATCCACGCGCAGGAAACGAATACGCTAGCCGCAGTAATGATACTGCTTATTTGTCAGTCGATCATGGGGCAGACTACCAAGGGGCAGTGGTGGTCTGGGCATGCAGAGGGCGCCATGCAGATTCTCAAGGCTCGGAAGGAGTTTGGACCACAGAATGAATTCGAAGCTAAGATGTACATGTCCCTGCGAGGGAGCGTGGTACGTTGATCCTTGTCGTCTTCTATACCCCGTGAAGCTTATACCAATGACGTCATAGCTATTTGAAGGGCTCTTCAATCATCGAATCCAACTCAGCGAAAAAGAATGGGATTCTCTCATCGTGAATGACTACGACAAAGCCAATCCCGAAGGTCGACTTCTACAGACTCTCTCTCGAGCCCCGGGTATAATGCGTCGTGCCCGAATCTTCCTGCGAACGGGATCCGATCCAACCGGTGTCCAAGATGAACTATGGGCACTGTACCAAGCCTGCAAGCTGGACGTTGACAAGCTCAAACAGTCCAGCGTCAACAAAGATCTTTCTCTCGCGCAAGCTCTCCCCCATGGATTCCACCGGACCTGGCTCGAACGAGTACTGACCGTCCACTACGATCGCATATACGGCATCGGCCTGGTAATAACGCTGTTCTTCAACTGCATGGTCCAAGCCCTAGAAATACACAGCGACGCCGTCCAAGCAGACGCGCACCACTTCACCGAGGAAATCCTGGTGCTCGCAGAGACATCGGAAAATCTTCGACCCGTCGGGTCTGGTTATCTGATTATCTGTCTGATTACCGCGTGGGCCGCGACGAGAGATCCCGAGCTGCGGGGGAGAGTTTTCGAGTGGTTGTGTGAATATCAGAGTGATTTTAGTAGTCGGCAAGTAAGCCAATTCCAGCAGGAGCTTCAGTGGACGGCGGAGCATTTGTGTTTGGGCGATCCGTTGGGGTTAAGGCAAGAACTGGATTATATGGACTATTTGCTTGATTAATGGATGTAGAGGGATGGTGTCATGTGTGAATACCCCAATTTATTAGAGCGCGGAGATGTATTCGAGGATCAAATTTCAAGCGCTTCTCTTCGGGTAAAGATCTACGGGAGGAAGTAGTGAGGTCTTCAATCGATAGGGGTGTTCCTGGTACAAAGGCATCTTGACCTATGGAGCATGAATGCCGTGTGCGCACTTTGAGGCCTTTACCAGGACGACATAGCCATTAGCGTTCAGATGATATCTGTAAGATTCGGTCCCGACCGGCCAACTCGATAATTATGATAAAAAGAGCAACCAAGAAAATTTTCACTAATTCATATGGAGAAAGGTAATAATTTAGTTTAAGGAAAAGAATACAGAAATGGTCCTGGATGTATGGTTGGGACTCAAAGTAGAACCAAAAAAAACGAGGGTTCAAAAACAAAAGACGAAAAAGGAAGAAACAAGAGAAGAAGAGAGAGTCCAAAACAAACCCCGGACGCTATGCGAAAAGAGAAATGAGACCATGTGTGTGTGAACAGACTATATGGCAATGCACAGGCCACGGCCGCCAAAGCTGGAGTAGAGACTGTTGGAAATCCAGCAGAATGAGATGGAAAAGGGTGAAAGTACGGGGTATCGCCCTAGACTCCAATGTCCATGGGATAACACGAACTGAATCAGATATGGGTAATGATATGAGGCCGCCACTGAAACGAATGGATGCCGGCATTGAGCGGGATATAGGTCGTGAGATGCCACGACGGAGAAAAAGAAGGACGGGAAGACTGGGTAATGGGAGGAAGACAGGACTTGTGTATAGTTCCTCTGGACGACCAGAACAGATCAAGGCAAGGGTATTTCCGTGCAGAGGCAGAAAAAAAGAAACCGAGAAATGCAGAGAGACACGCAAAACAGCTTGGATAAGAGAAAAATGAATGACCGTCAGCTTCTGAATCACCACATATCATCGTCGTCGTCGTCATCCAGCTGGACGTCGTCACCAAAAGACGAGTGTCCATACTGGTAGTGGCCCGAGTTGTAAGAGTGGCCATTTTCGTAGCCATGCTGACTAGCCCCGCCATGGCCCTGGTAGCGATCGTGCGGATCATCGTCGTAGTCGTACATGGACTCATCGTATGTACTATCCCCGTACTGTTGCTGCTCTTGTGCCTACCAAACACCGTTAATCATCCAAATCTTCATGGACAGAAAATCAGGCTCCACTTACTTCTTGGTATCGCTGATATTGCAGGTACTCGTCTGGCTGATCCCGAGATTTGGACGACCTCTGCGAGCCAGAGGAAGCCGCCATCATCGGAGATTGCATCTGCTGCACTTTTTCCAGATATGAGTACATAAAGTTACTCAGCAAAACTTGAGAGTATAGAGCCCGGCGCGGATTGGCAAGCTTGATGTGGGCCATACGATAGATAGCTCGCTCTTCCAGTATGGAAAATCGAGTCCAAGGATAGTCCACATCGGCCCGCAGTTCCCGCATGGGAGGATCGGGAGAGAGGTTTCGAGACGAGTTCTTGCGGTGATGGCCCTCTCCACTGTGTTTTTTGCGTCCACCTCCAAAGATCGAGGAGAAGATGCCGTCTTTTTCTTTCTTGGAGTCGCCAGAAGCTCGGCGCGCACCGTCTTTTCGTCGTTCCTCCTCCAATTTCGGATCGAGGCGGTCCAGTATGAGGCTTTCCCTACCCTTTGGGGTGGTATCCATTGACGACTGCAAGACGTCCATTCGTGCATTGCTGTGAGATTTCTCCGTATATTTAGACTTATTCTTCTTCGAGTCGCTCTCTTTCTCCTTCTTCTTCTCCTTCTCTTCGCTACCCAGCAGCCAGTGCCAGCTGGACTTGCGGCCTTCGGAATCCTTCTTTGACTTTTTACCTTCCGACTTGCGTTCCTCCGGTTTCCGCTCTTCCGGCATGGTTGGAATGAACGAAAGGCTGTCTGTTCGCATGCTGTTACCAGGTATCATCTGAGGTTGATTGGCTAACTCATCAAGAGTGGACGCCGTTTCTTTCCCAGACTGTGGACCCATCGGGGATCGCTTGCTAGGCGTTGAATCATGTACCGGAGAGGTCTTGCCAGAGTAAATGGAGGGCACATCTCGGTCGGGTGATCGGGCGGGCAGAGGACTTGAGCTCGGAGATGGACGGTTGTTGTCAGGTGGAGGAGTTTCGACGATTGAAGGAACTTTTTGTTCGGTTGGGGGAGTGACCAGTGTTGAGCGGCCGTTGGAACTGATACGCGAATGCCATTGTCGTGATTGAGAGCTTGCATTGCTTCCGAAGGGATCCGATCGATCGAAAGACGCTTCAGACTGATTATAAGACGAGAATTGATCTTGCTGCTCAGCCCCGGGACTATCAACAACCGAGTCAAATGTCGAGCTCGTGGTGGTGGAGCCCGGCGGGTATGCTGTGCCACGGGACGAAGTAGATGGAGACCGAACTGCTGATCCTCCAGCGGCGGAAGACGGATCTGTAGCCACTCGAGTCGTTCCAAGTATTGGCTGTTCCTCAGAGGCGGGAATGATCGCAGGGGGCCCTGTATGCGTAGACTCTGAAAGCGCTCTGCCAACGCGTTTCGAATATGGCGCCTTTTCTCCCTTTTTCAAGCTTCCCTTCTTATATTGCGTCCGAGTTGATCGTCGTAGACTGTGACCCGGGGGCGCTGGCGGTAGAATCGGCCTATCCTCACTAGCCGCAATGCTCGCATTCTGCATCCCTCGCACCAAAAGATCCTTGCTATCCAGCTTGGTATCGTCCACCAGCGACTCCAGCTCCTGCAAGTTGGGACTCAACATGCCATCCCGTCGACTCGTTTGCGAACGCTGACGCTCCAACCGCTCAGCGCCATCTTTATAACCAGAGGAATCATCAATCTGCTTAGAGAGCATTGATCGCTTTCGGCGGAGCCCGCTCCCCGATCCCTGACGCTCGGGTGATAAGGACGAACCAAAGTCGCCCGATTTTCGCTTGATCACGTCGGCCTTACTCTCGAGGAATGATTTGAATTCCTTCGGTGCCAACTCCGGGTGCAAGCTTGCCGGAACCCAGAATAACCGTGACGCGTCGTTTTCATCGGCCGAGGGTGAGGGGGGTAAGGAAGGAATCGTAAAGTTGCTGCCGAACGAGGGAAGGTCGGGATCACCTGCCGCCGCAACATCCATGGACATGCGCCGAATCGCAGCTAGGTTGTTCAGCTCCTGGACGACCGCGGCGGGGTCGGACTCGTAGTCGATATCGTTCAGAGGGAAGGAAGATGTGGCGGTTTCGGATGGCGACCGCACCGAGTCTGGGGACCCAGGCTCGCTGTCCCGGTCAAAAGACCTTTGGCCCACGAGGGAGGGCCGTAAATGTCCATTGGGCTGTTTCGATGGTCCTTCCGTTGGCGACCGCAGTGGAGGTGTCGAGGGCAACAAAGAAGACTCGGAACCGGCGGCGTGTCGCGGGATAGTTGTAATTGCCTCGCCGTGGGGGGTAGTTATATAGCTCAGCCGCCGGGGGTCGTTGCGATCATAGTCATCACCGTACATATGTCCAATAGCTTCCGTCACATGGTGGCTAGGGTCGCTAATCGAGAGATGGGTTGCATGGCCTCTCCGCGTCGTGTGTCCTCCGCCAGCCTCAGGGGCGCCCGTGGAAGCCTAACCGATAGGGGGAAAAAAAGATTAGCAAAGGTCGACTCGCGTGCTTTGCCGTCCTTGATTGCGCTATTAAACTCAATGGTATGGTGTAGAAGGCCATACAGACACCCCTCAAGAACGAGGGGTTCAGCCAAGGCAGGAAATTGTACGGCGCGTCCAGGATCTCGGGGCAGCCCAGCCAGCAAGGGAGACAAAAAATTGATTTGAAGAGACGCACCTGCATGGGAACCAGCTATACAGGAACCAAAAGAGCCCAAAATAACCCTGAAGACCGAAGGCGGGCACAGCCTGGAGGGAGGGGAGGAGGGGGGATCAATGTACCACCTGGGGAAGAAGATGAACGATCATCGAAGCGGGGGACACGGAAAGAAAGAGTCGGGGGTGGTGGGCTATCCGGTAGCTACCGTGCTCGAGCTGTCATTTGTGGGACAGTAAGAAAGGATGAAAGGACCAGGTTCAAAGCGGTGAATGAGAACAAGAACTCCAAGGCGAAACAGAGCAAAAAAAAAACGGAGTATGCAAAAAGTGATGTTCGGTTTCCAGAGAGGGGAAGGGGATTTGGAGGTTTGAATGAGTTTGGGGAATCGGCGGGCGGAGAGCGAGTGAGAGGGCTCTTCGGTCGCAGCACCTGATCATCCGCAAAGTCATCCCAACTGGACTTGTCGCCCTTTTACAAATGGCTGAGACTCGACGTTTAGGGAACACGCGCATGATAAACGCCTTTGTCTTGTTCATTCTTCGCACGCGGCCCTGCTGAGGCTCCACTCTTGGGCTCTTCTACGGGCACAATACGGTCAGAAGTTCAGAACGCCTGGGCCATCGTTGACTCCACGGTCACTCTCTCCATGTGGACGATCACCACCCAGATTTCCCTGGCCTGGCTGGGTCTGGTTGGAGGGAACCCGCAGATCTACACGCGACCCTCTTTCTGGACCTCGTTCTAGCAAGATTTCTCGGGACTCGATCTGCTCCATTACTTCGTGTATACATCATTGACATCTATCTCTCTGTCTTGCCTCGGCTTCCCGCCTTTGTCACATCTCAGTCTCTATGCATTGCGCCAATCGTATATGATCTACAGCGGGCAAGCGGTTCATCTCGGTCCAGATTCCAACCTCGTCGGACGTGAATTATACAAGTACGACCATGCGAACAGGCAGGCAGCGCCGTCCCCGGTGTTTGTACTTCCCTTGATTCGTGGTACGGGTAGTATGCAGGTGGAGGCTGAGAGCTTCGCCTCTTTCGGACAGAGAAAGCCTCGCGCTCAGCCCCATTGACATGGATCGATGTTATTGTGATGATGCCGGGAGTTTTCAATGGGGGCCAGATTGATAAGAATCACGAGCCATCCCACCTCTTTTTCCTCGAGCCAGTGCCCTCGCTGTTTGGACAAGGGTCCAGCAACTCTCAGGGGCCGCCTGGATGTTCCGCTCCCAATCGCATGGGGAGTATACATCTGCAGTGTCACTCGACTACGGGCAGCGGGAACCGAAGAGCGTAGGCACCGGTGGGGAGTGTCGGCGTAAGCGACGTCCCGAGCGCAATAATTGTGGTGAATGACGAGAAAGTGAAATAGATTCGATTGCGCCAAAGCTGAATAAAAGGACGGCTAGCTGGCTTAGGGCTGAAAAGCATAGATAAGTATGTGGCGGGTAAGAAAAGAAAAAAAGGTTATTTCCACTCCGTTAAGACGGGTATGGGGTGAAATGAAAACCTCTAGGAACGTGCTGCATGCAAGGAAGGCGCCACTACGCGCATAACCACACGCTTAGAAAATGACTAGAACCCGAATGAACCAAGAACCTTGCTAAACATAAAAATGAGAACCACAAAGACTCCAGCGCTCAAGAGGGTGAAGCGAATACGGGTCCAGAAAGACGACGATGACATGGATCCAACGCCCCAGTATATTCAAGCCAACCAATCAAGCCCTGTATGTTCATGAAGGGGAGGGGAATCAAGTAAGTGCAGCTGACGACCTGAAAATCGTAGAGTCAAGTATAAGTCAGCAGAACGAGAAGAACACGGAAGAACAAAAGTGCCTACGACGAGGCATCAACGTAGTTGCTGTACAAACATCGAATTAGCTCAGACCTTGAACCTCTTGGAAGAATGTGGGAGACGCTTTACTTACCTGGGGAAAATGCCAACGCGATCACCAATACGACCAGTCCACCAATCCTCGGCCTTCTCGGTACGCTTCAGAATCGTGATGATATCGCCCTTCTTGAATCCCAAGTCGCCATCTTGGTCCGCATCGAACGTGTAGAGTGCGATCGCCTGGTCCGACCGCAGAGCCGCACCTTGACCCGTCCGTTGCCCAAAGACCGGCTTGGGAGCAGTCGGGCGGGAAGGGCGGCGGTCGGAGTAGCTGTACTCATCGTCGAGTGGCGTGGTGTTGCTGCGACTACGTCCATAGTCGCCAAATGAGTCACCGCGAGTAGTTTCCGAGCGTCCCAAACCCCCTGCAGGTCGATCATAAACATCATCATCCCAGGATGTATTCGCACGGCGGGGCTTGTCGCGGTATTCGTAACCACCGGCTGTGTCATCAAAAGTGCTCGCCCGGCTGCGATTGGTGCGCGAGCCCTGACCGTAGGCCTCGCCTCTTCGTCCTTCCCAGACAACATCGTCATGGCTGTCATCGTAGACTGGTGTGTCATTGTACATCGCGTCGCCGCCTGCACGCGCGCTGCCTTGGAACGCACGCGAGTTGAGGACGCGCATCAGTGCATCGGTCGAAGGCGGCGGTCGCACACTACCGGTCAGAAGCTGGGCGGCGCTGACACGGCTTTGATACATCTTCTCATTGGCATCCTTGCGCTCCACGAGCATGCTGCCCTCCAAACTGACACCGGCGAAGAGACCCTTGGTCTTTGAGTACGAGAAGACCGCCGCGACTCCCTTGGTGCTGGCCGCACCGGCAGCCTCTGCATTGCGTCCGACCGGACCAGCGGCCAGAGAGACGTTACCACCCAGTGTGAGTGTTCCAAATTGCGAGAATGCGCGGACAGCCGAGGCGTCATTAAGAATGAAGACGAAATCGGTCAGCTCGAATCCGATCTGTCCACCCACACCCGCGCCGGCAGTGACGATGGCGGAGGGAGCCGACCAGGAGCCATCGGCAAGACGGGCAACGACGATACCGGATCCAAATCGACCAGAGCCAATGAATCCGGCCTTAAGAACTGTGAGAATGGCAAGACCCTAGAGAAGGTCAAGTGTCAGCCGACATGAGCGTCTTCTTCGCTACCCCGCGCCAGGGCAGAGCCCTCCGTACCTTTGCACCAGCGAGAATCTCTGGTGGAATGACCTTGTCTGGACCGAAAGCCTGCCTTGGGTCCACAAAGGATGTCAAGATTTTGGCCGCCTTTTTGCATTCACCTGTTCAGATGGAGAGGGTCACGGGTTAGCCGGAGGTGCCGCGAGGCAATTGCGGGGAAGCGGGCAGGGGAAATCAGGACACATACTGCTCAAAGACGACGGCAGCGGGTTATGGATACCCAAAGGCATCGTGGCGGTGAGTTGAGGAAAAGGTTGAATAAGGAAGGATTGAGAGAGAAAGAAGGGAGGGGGGAAGAGGGGAGAAAGACGAGGCTGATGCTCCAACTCCGGGCAAAGGTCGGGCTGTTAGTAAGATGGGGCGGATCCACGGGCATCCATCCATGTGGGCCTGAGTGATGGCTGACGCCGGTTCGTGTAGTTGGTTGGATTTCTATGTTTTTTATGAAGTAACCTCTGAATGTTTATAGCTATAACCTCTATTCTATCACTACCACTATTTACTATCGTGTTCCTCTATCGGCATCTTTACTCGAGTTCTGGTAGTTGTTGTCCTCTTGACTACTATTCGCTAAGCCTCGCTTCTCTGTCGCCAAGGCCCTTAAGGATGAATCGCATACGAGAAGTCTTATAGGATGCTTGCATTAAAGTATTTAGAAGCAACCGATTATTAAATCATCGCAATTCTACCGTGCACGACACTTGGAAGATAAAAAGGGGGAAGTGGCTAGATCCAACGCTCTAGGACACCTAGCCCTACTGAAACTGCTTAGACGAGAATATCTATCCTTGGGGTTCTATTCAAACATTGATAGCCTGGGAAGGTAAGATGAAGAGCACAAAATCTTTCACCAAGTAGACAAATCGTTTATCCAGACCCTGGATTAGCCTTATTAGGTGAGACTCCTTGAACGATGAGAGAAAAGACTAATGAGACCTAAGGAACAGCTTAAATTCAAACTTAACGACAGCGCCCCTCAATCCCAACATTTCCTCCTCACCTTTCCTTCCCTATGGATATCCGGCTTCCCCCAGAAGCGGAACTCGCTAACCATGGCGGGTTCCCAATTCCTTGTGGAATGGCAACAGCCAGAATTGAGAAATTGCGTTCTTTGTGCGCCGATAATAATTTCCAAGGATTTCAGAACGCGATGCACTCCGAGATTCCCGATATAGCGGACCTTCACGATGTGATGATGGAAGCAATTCAACTAGACCGAGTCGAATTCGTTTCAACACTTCTCTCTCATGGCTTCCTGATAAGGCCTTCTTTTGCTCGAAAGGCAACAGTGTGCAAGACGAAGCGCGTTCTCGAATGCTTTCTCGGAGCTGGATGGGACATAAATGAGCCAGTTAATATTCTAATACCTCCTGTGCTTTGGTATGTTGGTTCCGCTACCCGAAAAGATAATCCAATGACGAGAGATCGATTTTCTTAGCTACGCGGTAAGAGACGCCGAGATGGCCAGTTGGTTTCTGGAACATAGTGCGAACCCGAATACGCGATGCGAGGTAGACTGCACCCCGTTGTCCTATGCTGTTCGAAATGCACCTCTGAGTGTTATCGAACTAATGCTAGACCGTGGAGCGGATGTGGAGAAAGGACAACTTCTTCAGTATGCCGTTTATCGAGACGAGGAGCTTAAAGATGTTATTTCCCTACTTGTCGAAAGAGGTGCCCCTTTGAATGCGACAATGTGTCAGGATGGCCCGACATTGATGCGATTCTTTCCTATGAGCCTAGGGACTGCGTTGCACGTGGCAACAGAGCAGAGAAAGACGAATGCAATCCGCCTTCTGATTCATCTCGGGGCAGACACTGAGGTGAAGGACGCGAACGGTGATACTGCTTTAGAATGGGCACAAAAATGGAATAAAGCAGAAATGGTGGGGCTGTTGAGAGACTTGGGAGCCCGTTCCTAAATATGTTCCAAAATTGAAGATAGGGATGAATTGAGACAAGTGACGACACTACATTCTTCTTTTAAGTACGTCCGTGTGTTTGTGAGTGCTCACAGTCCCTATCACCCTAGACGGCGTTCAAGCTTCGCCTGGCTTTTATTCTGCCCGATGATGATGATGACGACGGTCTATCCAAAGATCTAAGCTACAGTAAAATGAATATATGTACTCGTGTTTCCCAGGGCTAATCTTCTGATCGTGCAGGCAAGACGACACTTGCATAAAATAGGGAATCTGCAAGAGGTCTCATGGCACGATTTCCAGATAATATTTCGAAAATGGTTCATGGGCAAGCTGAAACTCTTTATTGTTAGATTGCCATGTTTGAAAGCCCTAAAGTTGGATGGTTGGGCGTAGAGTCCTCGCAACTAAACAGACTCCAAACGTTATCTGCCAAGTCCTTTCCACTCGAAAACTCCATTATAGCGCAGAGCTCTATGAAGTATGCGAGAGGGAAGATAAACGCTGAATGGTGGCTATACTTTCTGTACAGCATGAAATCAAAAGTGAGGTCATGGGCGCTAGGGCCCCGGATCCACATGTCGGCTTGGCACTGGCCATGCGCGACCACGTCCCGTTATCGCATCGCTATCCCTAAACACTCCTCGGAGCCTCGGATTTGAGGGCCACGGTCATGCTGAGAGTATAGTGGCAGTTAAGATCGCTTTGAATTGGACATGGCGACCGGTCAGTTGGATCTTGTCAACCCAAACCACCTCATGCTGACATCTCCCAGTCCGGATCTGCGTCTGCGGCGATGAAGGCACCGGCAAGTCCAGCCTCATTACCTCATTGGTGAAGGGTGTCTTTGTCACGAACAAGATCCAGCCTATCCTCCCCCAGATCACCATACCCCCCACGATTGGAACTCCTGAAAATGTTACTACAACCACAGTCGTTGACACCTCGGCCGTCCCGCAGGAGAGGAACAATCTGGCGCGAGAGATCCGGAAATCCAACGTCATACTCCTCGTCTATTCCGACCACTATAGCTACGAGCGTGTTGCGTTGTTCTGGCTCCCCTACTTCCGATCACTGGGAGTCAATGTACCCGTTGTGCTGTGCGCGAACAAATCGGACCTGGCGGCGGAGCACAGTGAGGCACAGGTCATTGAGGAGGAGATGCTACCCTTGATGTCGGAGTTCAAGGAAATTGACTCGTGCATTCGAACAAGTGCTCGTGAACACAGAAATGTCAACGAGGCATTCTTCGTCTGCCAGAAAGCCGTCACCCATCCGATTGCGCCCTTGTTCGATTCCAAGGAGGCCGCCCTGAAGCCCGCAGCCGTCTCTGCACTACAGCGCATCTTCTACCTCAGCGACAAAGACCGTGATGGATATCTGTCGGATAAGGAGATTGGGGATTTCCAGACCCGTTGCTTTGGAAAGCCACTGAGTGACGAGGATCTGGCACACATCAAGGAAACCATCCAGAAGGGGTATCCGGAGTCCGTGACCGAGTCTGGAATCGACTGCCAGGGGTTCATTTATTTGAACAAGCTTTACGCGGAAAAGGGACGCCACGAGACGGTATGGATCATCTTGCGCGCGTTCCAATACACCGACAATCTTTCGTTGCAAGAGAATTTCCTCCACCCCCGGTTTGAAGTCCCGCCATTCGCGTCGGCCGAGCTCTCCCCGGAAGGTTATCGCTTCTTCGTGAACCTGTTCCTGCTGTCTGACAAGGACAATGATGGTGGATTGAACGACGCAGAGCTGGCGTCTCTGTTTGCTCCGACGCCGGGTCTCCCTGCGTCATGGGCGGATGGTTCGTTCCCGTCTTCGACCGTCCGCAACGAAGCGGGCCACGTTACTCTCCAGGGGTGGTTGGCGCAATGGAGTATGACTACTTTTATGTCCCCGAAAACAACACTGGAATACCTGGCATACCTGGGCTTTGAGTCATCCGATCGCAGCAACCTCTCTACTACAGCCGCATTGAAGGTAACAAGACCTCGCAAGCGTCGGCGGCGCCCGGGCCGGGTTGGACGAAACGTCGTTCAATGTCATGTCCTTGGAGCGCCCGGCTCAGGCAAGTCGGCATTACTCGATGCCCTCCTGTCGCGAGGCTTCAGCACGACATACCATCCCACCATTCAGCCCCGTACGGCTGTCAACACGGTTGAACTTCCCGGTGGCAAGCAGTGCTACCTTATTATGGATGAGCTAGGCGAACTGGAGCCGGCTATTCTGGAAAATCAAGCGAAGCTGCTTGACCAGTGTGATGTTATCGCATACACCTACGACTCCTCCGACCCGGACTCCTTTGCATATATCCCGGCTCTGCGAGCCAAATATCCCCACTTAGAAGAGTTACCCAGCGTGTTCATCGCGCTCAAGGCGGACTTGGACCGCACGACTCAACGGGCCGAGCACCAGCCCCACGAGTACACTGCCATGCTCAATATCCCTAGCCCGCCCCTCCACGTCAGTGTCACTTGGACTTCGATCCAGGAGGTATTTGTGCATATTGCAGAAGCTGCTATGGAGCCTAGCACTGCATTCCCTCGCAGTGAAGAAGATGTCGAGGGCAAATGGATGGCGTGGGGCATCGCTTTTGGGGCGGTTGTCTGCGCGGGGGCCGCCGCGGTAATGATTTGGCGACGAGTTAGTGGTAGCGGGCCGTAAATGTTCTTGGATAGTCTTACTTCAAATAATACCCCATTGATGATCACCTTCTTCAGTTTAGCCGTAGGGTTTCCAGTAATCAGTTAGCAGTTCTTCAATGGTTGACTGGACTTTGTAGTTCTGCCAAGATCGGCTCGCGCGGAGTTCGCCCGGGCCCCCGCCAGGCACGAGACTTGCGTTTCTCCGCTCGACTTTACCCCGGACATCGCCTCGCTGATCTCAACGCCTCCTCTCCCACTGCCGACCTCCATATTCCTCCCTCAGCCCTCGGATCACCGCCAATTTGTACATACAGTGCCGAGTACACTCATTGCACACCAGAAAATCCTATCGGCCCTTCACGAACCGCCGCCGACCATTCCACCACCCGGCGCAACGAGCGTACCGGCTCTCTCTCTCTCCCTCCACCACCCGAACCAGTACCGTCCACGTACTCACATCCAATCAGAGACTCTGTTCAGCCTTGCTTTGGCTCAGATTTTGGTCAATCTTGGTTCTATTTGCGATAAGGAGCATCGATCAGGGATCATTTTCGGTCTGCAGACCACAGAGCGGCTTATTCTGTGTCACCTCGATTCGTATTGGTGCGAATCGCAAGTATAAGCCTACCAACCCGTAACCATGTTGTAAGACATCCTCCTCTTCCCATCTCTGTTTTTGGCATTGTTTCTTAAGTAGAGAGCACGTCCACTACACCGAATACGTCACCTCATAGCTCCACGCTACCCTGGCATCATACCACATTGGGTGTCGGAGCACGCAATTGTTAGCGGCGATTGAAGCTCAACTTTTGCGCTCTACCGGCATCACCTCTGGCGCGAAAGCTTACCGTTCGTACTCCCAACTAATTCGATCACCAGTGTCCTACCACCACCCCCTCCTCGCTACACTATCCCTGTCGCTTATGCGGCGGGGGCTGCCAACGGCATGGCGGTTCCAGTTGTCGAGACGAATAATACAATCTCTCATCCGGAAAATGGATGCCCACTGCAAGTCGGAGAAGGTAAGTCTCCACACGGAAGTGACTGGCCTTCGTAGCTCTCAAACATAACCCCTCGCAGCCGAGTTGGCGTCACCTCGCTAACCTTAAATCTTATCTTTCTTGATAGGCACTTACACACTCAAGGATGACCTTCTGCTGGCAACACCACCTCCTCATCCCTCGGAAGCACCAATCATCAACCCGAATCCTCTTGCGACAGTCCCGTCACCTCCCACTACTGGTGTCAAGGTCTCCCTCGTGAGCCTCGACCCGCGCAAGAAGCCTCCCACTTTCCTGAAGTCTGGCGTCACGGCCCCGCCATTTGGAGAGGGAAATGCTGCTCTTGCGCCGCCGGCTGTCCCAGCAAAGGACGCAGCTAAGCGCCGAAAACCCAAGAACAACATCATCAAGAGCAGCTCTTCGTTCGTCTCCAGAGTGATCACACACGAGACTTCGGCAAAGCGTCTCAGCGATCGCGACCCGAATGGCGTCTTTGCTTTTGCAAACATCAACCGCGCCTTCCAGTGGCTAGATCTCAATTCAGCTCAGAAGGAGGAGCATCTCACCAAGGTGCTGTTTACCAAGGCTCATATGCTTTGCCACGATATCAACGAAACGACCAAGACCTCGTCACATCTGGATATCGTGATGGGCTCTTCCGCTGGAGATATCATTTGGTATGAGCCCATGTCGCAAAAGTACGCTCGTATCAATAAGAACGGGGTGATCAACAATTCCCCCGTCACCAACATCAAGTGGCTGCCTGGGTCGGAGAATCTTTTCCTGGCATCGCACGCCAATGGTGTCATGGTGGTTTATGACAAGGAAAAGGAGGATGCTTTGTTCACTCCCGAACCCACTGTTCAATCTGGCTCTGGCAGACTACCCATCGAAATTCTCAAGTCGGTCAATTCGAAGAATCAAAAGACCAACCCGGTAGCGTTTTGGAAACTGGCGAACCAGCGAATTTCACACTTTTCGTTCTCGCCCGACCAGCGGCACTTGGCTGTCGTCTTGGATGACGGTTCTCTTCGTCTTATGGACTACCTGAAAGAAGAGTATGTTTCAAACACTTTTTGTTTCCCAGTCTACGTATCTTGCTAACGCCAAACTAGGGTCTTGGACGTCTTCCGCAGCTATTACGGTGGTTTGATCTGCGTCTGCTGGTCCCCCGATGGCAAGTACATAGTGACAGGAGGCCAGGATGACTTGGTCACGATCTGGTCTTTCCCTGAGCGCCGAATCGTTGCCAGATGCCAAGGTCATAACTCCTGGGTCTCTGCAGTTGCCTTTGACCCATGGCGCTGTGACCAGAAGACCTACCGGTTTGGTAGCGTTGGAGATGACTGCCGTCTTCTACTGTGGGATTTCAGTGTAGGCATGTTGCATCGTCCTCGTGCTGTAAGATCCCAATATACTCCATCTGTACTCGTTCGGCCTAACAAGTTGAGCAGCACCATCAAGCATCCACTCGTCATCGCAGCAGTCTCGTCGTGCCCGGTACCCAGACATCGAACCGTCACCGAGCTGATAGCGGCGGTAATCGAATGCGATCAGACTCGGATCGGACTGAGAAGTTTGATGGGGATGTGGATCCCCTGGCCAGTCACCCCGTTGAGCCCCGTGCTCGGACTGCCCTGCTTCCTCCTATCATGGTTGGTCTTCTATCCGGTGCTTTCGTTTTTGATTCGAGCTAACCAAGCATTTAGTCTAAAATCGTGGGTGAGGACCCTATCTGCTGGCTTGGCTTCCAGAATGATTGCATTATGACATCCTCTCTTGAAGGTATGTTTCGTTTCAAGATTGACTGAATAAGAGCTTTACTGATATGTCTGGACAGGTCACATTCGAACCTGGGACCGACCCAACGACAGTGTCGTCAAGCATGACCCTCGTCTCTGACCAAAAAAACGGCAGACATGATTAACTCACCACGTGCTTCGTTGTTGGCCCTCAATCAGAGAGCGCATGTTCCTCAAATAATTTCAGATACCCAAATAATCAAGCAAATTCATTTTTTTTCGTTTATTTTTTAGCCGGTCTAGTTTCGTGCATATCCATATGAATACGCTTCCATACCAGGAAGTCTAGTTCGTGGCGTAGTTTGAATGCACACCATATCACAGCTTCGAAGGCCCCAGCCCTTCTACATCAAACTCAGTCGTACACAACAAGAATGTATCACGAAGCGCCTGGACAAGTCAGCATATATCAACCTGGCGATCTCAGTCATCTCTATCTGTGGTATAACTCACCGACAACCGATACTTCTCATTAATCTCCTGGTAATCCTCCCCGGCCAACATATCACAAAAATGGCGAATCGACGGATAATGCACAATCGAAATCTCATTCCACCACTCCTGCTGCGGTCTCTCCCTCGAACCTCTCGAATCCTCCAACTGGCCCTCTCCGGGCGCCACCACATTACCCACTAACTTTGCATCACCGCCGCGCTTCCCCGCAACGGGGATAAATGCCTGCCCATACTGGTAGTAGCTCTTTTTACCATTGGGATGGTGGAATTGCAACAGATTCAGCATGGTGACGGGCCCGGTGTGCGTTTTTGTAAGCTCGGTCATGAACTGCAGCAGCTGGGGCGATACTTCTAGGTTCTGCGAGGAATCCTTGCTTCCTTCGCGGAGGATCTTGTCGAGGGAACCTGTGAGGGGGATTGATAATGCGTTTTGTTTGAGTTGGGCATTTCGGGCTGCGTAGGTTGAGAGGAGCTTGGAGGGGATGCCGGTTGTTAGTTTGTACTCGGCTGTGATTGAATGGCGAAGGTTGGATGGAATAGGGTCCTCATTGTTGACCGCTTGAGTGGTTGTGAGGAGGACTAAAAGATCCCACGAGTTCGTTGCAAGGGGATTCTTGTCGAGTGTTGTTGGGTGGATTACGACATGACGTGGACGAGAGGCAACGATGACTTTGATGTTTGGGGATTGCTTGAGATTGTGGAGGAAGGATTGGGGATCGGTGGATTTTGTCAGGGAGAGGAGGTGTAAGGTTGCCACGGGCATGATTATGGTATGTTTTGAACTTGATAGTAAGAATCAAGAGATTATGAAGACGAAAAAGGAATCTGGGGATTGAGCTGGCGATAAACCTGATCTGTTCGAGTTCAGCGGGGAAGCCGTTGGGGTCAACCGGATGGACCGAGGTTCACCGGACTGCACGCTGATTGGCTGCGGGGGAGTATATCGTGCCTTCCCAAACAGGCCACGCCTTGAACGGTGATTTCCTTTCCGCTTGATAGAACCTGAAGGGGACCATCAGTTCTGGCAAGCATCATTGTTATTTGAGCCCTCAAATTCCTCTTCGTCTTCAATCCTCCGTTCCTTCACGCCTCCCCCTTTCAATTTCCACGCTCACCTTTATCTGTTTTTCATCCACACTCACACTATCAACTTCATCTGTGACATTCGAATTATCCTTTCTCCAATCATCGCCATCATGGCCCCGACTCCTGGGTTCAACGCCGAGGTTGACGAGCATCTCAAGCTTCTCAGCCGCGATGAATCCAATGCTGCGAACTCATCCTCGAATGGCAAGCCGCAGCTGCCAGAAGAGGTGGTCACCGCCCCACTCTTTTCCATTCCTGCACGTACAGTTCTCTCAATCGAATACAAGAGAAAGTACACGAAGAATACCGATGATTCCGTGTTTCCTCAATACGGCCTCCTCGGTCATCGTGTCGACGACTCCCGGGATGTCATCCAGAATTCTCTCGTGTATACCAACACGGCGGCTCCTTGGTCGACGTTTATCTGTGGAAGCCAAGGTAGTGGAAAGAGCCATACGCTTTCGTGCCTGCTAGAGAACTGCCTGATTGCGTCTTCGCCTGCCGGAAGATTGACTGCACCGCTCGCCGGTGTGGTCTTTCACTACGACAAATTCACGGGCTTCTCAAATACCCAGCTCTGTGAGGCTGCATACCTTTGCTCCTCTAAGATTCCAGTCCGTGTCCTTGTCTCTCCGACAAATTTCCAGGCAATGAAGAGCGCATACACAACTCTGGCGGGGTTGGGAAACGTTTCCAACATGCTGAAGGTTGAGCCGATGTACCTTCCAATGAAGGGGCTCAACATCAGCATGGTGAAAACGTTAATGGGTGTTGATAACATCTCAGAACAGCCTCTCTACATTGAAGTGAGTGTATCAATATTCAGTGTTCGCAGTGAAAGGATGGCTAACTCATTCTTTTCACAGGTGATGATGAAGATTCTTCGGGATATGGCGATTGCCAATCAAGGCCGAGAGAGATTCGACTACGGGATGTTCCGGAGACAACTTGATGCCGAGAACCTCATGAAAGGCCAGCAGGTTCCCCTACAGATGCGGCTGGATGTTCTCGAATCCTTCTTCGAGCCGGGAACAATGCCGAACGGCAAAGGGAAGCCCCAGAAGAAGTCCCGTACAGATGATATCTGGAAATTTCCCAAAGGCACTCTGACTATCATTGATCTGAGCTGCCCATTTGTTGGCCCGGATGATGCATGCGCACTATTCAATATCTGCATCTCACTTGCCCTAAAGGATTGCCATGAATCGGGTAGAGTCCTGGCGTTTGATGAGGCACACAAGGCAAGTAATTAATCTAATAGGAGGGAAATCCAGGCTTCAAGTTGATATTAACGATCCTTTAGTTCTTGACCGCAACGTCATCCGAAGCAATGGAGTTGACGGAAACCCTCCTTTCCATTGTGCGACAGCAACGTCACTTGGGGATACGCGTCGTCATCGCCACCCAAGAGCCTACCCTTTCACCCACCCTCCTCGATCTTTGCAATTTGACCATAATCCACCGGTTCACCTCCCCAGCCTGGTTCAAAGCAATCAAAGCTCACATCGCAGGGGCCACCGAAAATGCCGAGGCCAAAGACGCCTTGGAGCGTGATCTCTTCCGAAAAATCGTTCAGCTTCGTACAGGCGAAGCATTACTTTTCTGCCCGACTGCACTGTTGAATGTCATGAGACGAGGTGATGCGGATGGCAGGGAGTGGGACTCTAGCGACGCCGACCGGATTACGGATGATGAGGATTTCACAACTGGAAACCATCATGCCGTTCAACTGGGGGCTGGTCATGTCCGTGTTCGTGTGCGCAAGCGTGTCACTGCAGACGGTGGTCGAAGTTTCATTGCGCAGTGACAAGTTTGTGACAACACTATCATCTGTACGATTTATGGAATATTGTGTACGATGAATAGGAACAGGGGGTGTGCATGTTCGAGTATCTCAGTTGAAATCTAAGAGTATGACGTTAAATTTGAAGTTGACAAGAACTCACTGTGTGATTCATGTACAAGGCACAAGGACATATGTAAAACTCATGATCTAGCTTTCAAGCAAGCCGCATAATTTGACGTGAGGCTGGTCCGACCATCATGTATGCCCGAGGAGCACAAACGCGCGTCAAGTTCGGCAGTGGATTTTACCCAGTTGACAATCACGATAGGTACAGAAGGTGCAACATAGTCCTCCGATGGAAGTCTGCTATTAGTCTCCAGGCTGAACAATTTCAATCCTCTCCAGGTGGTGCGGTTCCCAATCAAAATTATTCCAATGTAGCACAGATGATCGGCCCCTCAATGGCCTCTCCAGTAATGGCTAGTCCGAGGTGAGCTTTGTCGTCGCTTAATAATGTTGAAACAATTACAAGACTTACACTTGAAGCTGATCTCTTTGGCGAAAGTAGACAACATGTGTTTGTACCGATAGCATGTATTTTGTCAGGGCGGGAGTGAGGCTGTAAGAATGAATGGGCCTCGAGGATTTGCCCTGTCCTATCTCAATCCATGGCTATCAATTCAGACCATGGACAGGGTATGATTTTGTTTTTGATGGGCTAGGGCCCCTTAGAATTGCTGGCTGACGGGCCCAACATTAGATGGCCAATCTAGAGTCGGTGCCTCGCCCAATTCACTATCCATATGCTGACAGACTAGAGCTACTTTCCCAAAAGTTGAAGCTCAAACCATCCAAAATCTTTCGCGATGATTGATAGTTTATTCAACCCCAATATCGTACGTTCAAAGAGGTTATCCCTGAGTGACAAACTACCTGGCTCCGATCGGCTTGGTAGATCCTCGCCCTGAAACGGCTGTAGTGGTAATCCCAGTCTCAGAGTATTATGAGGGACTGCCTCGATGCTTGAAATGTAGAGAACATGTCGCTCTTGCAACACCGACAGGTGCCAAGAAGGTAACATGATGCGCGGCTAGTTCGGGTCGTGTAGGCTGTGCAGCACGACTTCGCCGCCTACATATTCCAGTTCAGGCCAGATTGTGTTCTTCCAGCCTTTCGGCACTCGCAAGATTTATTTCCTCAGGTATATACCCAAACAAGCTGTATGTCGGGCCTAGGTCTATTGGTTTGTGACTCCATCGGAGGGGGAAGATACAAGATATGACGTACCGAGCTGGAACTCCCGAGAGTTCGTTCCCTTGAGCTCAGATGGTAGTTTTTAGATAGAGCCTGTGCCGGTATAAAGGTCATAAGCATTGCCCCTCCCGGAGATTGCCTTCACTCGGTCTCTCTTTTCTCATCTGAGCCCCTCTAATTTCTGTCATTCGCTTGAAGGTTTCTGAGGCTCAAGGATACTAGGCACAATCACTATAGTAATTGATTGGTTAATAGTCAATCACAATGCGGGTCGCTTTTCTATCTGGCTTGGTGGTCTTTACTGCCACAACTACAGGTATTATACGCCATTGCTCACAGAACATGACTATCATTAACCATATCTCTAGCAATTCTCGTTACATACCCACCAAAGGGTGCGAATATCGACTGGAGCAAGCCAGTCACAATCAAGTGGGACTCGGTGCAGTAAGTTTGCTCGTTATTGAGATAGTTCCACTTGATTATGAATGAGTATTAACTACGAAGCCTAGGACGGACCCTTCCACCTTTGATCTATATCTTGTCAATCAAGCTGTCAACCCTAGTGTCTCGACGCTCGTCGCTGCCGATGTAGACACTTCGAAGGGCTCATACACCATCAAAGCCAATGACAAGGATTTGACTAATTCCGATTCTGGGTACCATGACCATCCCGTTCACAACTAGGCTCGACTGCTTTGGCTGACCGATTTATAGCGGTGGTTATCAGATCGACCTCAAGTCCAGTAGCGGCGATGGCATTCTCGCTCAGTCGCAGCAATTCAAAGTGACGGATGCAAAGGCTGAATCTGCATCAGCCTCTAGCTCTGGTAAGGAAACCAGTACCGCTAGTGAATCTTTGCCTACCTCTGCTTTGTCGACTTCTTCCATGCTTTCTACTTCTACGGAGGCGTCGACTACTGCCAGTACTTCCTCGACGTCTGCCTCTTTGACTTCCTCTTCGACCGCTTCTTCCACTTCTCCGACTACTACTTACACCTCCACCAGTGCGCCTACCCACACCACTTCTTCTTCATCTATTAGTTCACCCACTTCTATTTCTACCTCTTCTTCATCTTCTATGACGAGTTCTTCTACCAGTGCGTCTACTCCCAGTTCCTCTTCCTTGTCTTCTTCTACCCTTTCTACTACTCCAATGTCCTCATCCACTACTTCTACTTCTGCTTCGAGTTCTACCTCAACTACGTCTACATCATCAAAGACTACACATTCAAGTACTACACACTCTACTCATACAAAGACTCATTCATCTACTTCTTCAGCTCCCACGTCAACTTCGAAGTCTACTTCTACCTCTTCCTCAACTCCCACATCCCATTCCACTACGAAGACCCTTACTACCACACATTCCTCCACTGTCTCTACAAGCACCAGTACACCTGGTCAGTATATGGTGCCATGTCTTGACTTGCGTTCTTGCTTTATGCCTCAACGATTTGGTAAACAAGTAGCTAACTTTTCTTGTTCAAAGAAACCACTTCGTCGACCACCTCGACTTCGACTTCCACCAAATTGACTACGTCGACTACTCAGCACACCAAAACAATGGAAACTACCTCTACAGCTTCGGCGTCTACGACATCCAACGCAGCTGGTTTGCTTATGCCTCCCAATAAAGCCGGCAGTTTACTTTTGGGCCTGGTCGCTCTCGCTCTCTGAAAATTCCCCTTGGCTTGCAACTGGTCCTATTCGTGGTTCAATCAGGATCACTCAATGTTATGATTTCTAGGTCACTTTATTAGGCATGCTGTTATTGGATGTTAGGAAGAAATAATGATGGATCGGGCATTCTATAGGTATTGGCTGATAATGATGGATCTTCGGTGATGAGTATGGATCTATGTATGTCCTTAATCAATATGAATTGAATACATGAATATTTGTGGTTGTGACCATGGCGGTTGTCACATCAATAGGCCCTACGCTTGAAATATATACCACAGCCGCTGGGTACCTGAACAAATTCATCATCGAATTCGGCAAGACATTCTATATTGATTGAATTGCCTCAAATTTGTGAGAGAATCACAAGATTACCTACTCAACACTATCTAGGCCATACGATTCACTGCTTGTGTTATCAGTGTGGGTTTGCAAGTTGTCTCGGCCAGCACTTGAGGGTCGCACAGCGCCCATATCAGCATTATCCGGAAGATCATTGGCTGTTTCTGATGGATTTCTGTCGAAGATGCAGGATCTTTCCGACCAGCCCAAGCCCACATTAGCCATCGCAAGACCACAGAGCCAGTTCATAGGTCTTTTGGAAGGCGGTGAGATGTTGCCATGGATAACTAGGCGGAGAAGGAGGGGATTCTCCGCGCCAACGGCAGAAAAGAGGTGCGGGTGGTCCCAGTTATGTCATCTTCCCTTTCTTTTGTCAAGATTGTCTATGCGCGTCACAATCCGTGTTCCACAGTGCTGATTGACAAATATCTATCTTCACGACTCTGGGCAGAACCCTAGAAAGACTGGTTCATATCCATTTACCATTGTCACCGTGGCCAGGCCCACATCGTGGCAGAGAAGGCGCACCATACCCCGCGTTATCCCTCAAAGCGCGTGCATATTTCGGCATGGGGTCCTACAGCGATGATCTGAGAAATGTAAGTACTTCTGGGATGACTCAAGGTACCTCTTGGTCCTTTATTCGCTGACACATCTGGCATCTGCAGGAGCTGGAGAAGGAGTACTGTCCTCCAGTGGACTCTGCCTTATTTGCTGCAATCACCACCGATTTTGACTTGACGAACCCCGATGAGGTCAACACGCTGCGCGAGACGCTGGACTCTATCAGAGATTTAGCAATTCAGCAAGAAGATCTCCCCTTTGACCCATCAGGAACAGCCAATGATCCTCTTGATGATGCTGATATGAGCGCCGCGCGACCCTCAAGTGCTGGCCAAGACAACCTGCAACCCCACACTGATAACACAGGCAGTGAATCGTATGGCCTAGATAGGAGTGACACCAGAAGCTCAAAATCGCAGACCACTTCTCACTCAACATACACAATTGCTGCCGATGGGTCTCTTCAGTTTGTCGGTGGTAGCGACAAAGAGAAGGTGAATTTGCTGGTGCACATGTTCCCAGACATCTCAGCATTCAATATCGAGCAGAGTTTGAAGAAGAGCAATGGTGACATTGAAAAATCAATGGACATACTTCTCAATCTATCTTTCTTCGAAGCAACGGCTGATGAAGATCAAGTCGCTATCCCTAAAGGAGTGGAGGGGTTCATGGAAGAGATCCCCGACATTGGCCGCCACAAAGGGCGGAAGAAAAAGCGCAACAAGAATAACAAGGTCACCTTTGACCAAAGGCTGCCTTCTGATGATCCCCCTGCCACGAACAAGTGGGAGAAAGGCCAAGCTGACGTTGAGTTCATTTGCTCGCGCACGCCTGACCTTCCACGGCACAAGGTTGCATCCGCATATACGGCCAATAATAGGTCTTTGCCAGGGACAATAAAGGCCCTAGCGACTGCTCATCTCACGGAGGATAATGATGAGCCTGCAATGGAACCAGTCATCCAGTCTCAGCTGGACGAGCTTGTGGGTGATTACCCTAATGTTTCTGAAAACACCCTAGTTGGGTTACTCAGAATCACCCGCAACATGATGTCCGCCGCAAGTGAGCTGGTAGCTGAGATGGTCCGCCAACCGTCAGACATTTCTGTGTCCGACTTGATCAAGATCACGGCTCCGAAACTCAACCTCGACGATGAGGCGAACGTTGTCGATTCCCGAAGTCGCCAGAAGAAGGAGAATCTCCGTGGCATGCTTGACTATGAGGACGAGCAAGCAGTTGCAAATGCCTATTTCGCTGCCAAAACCACGGCAAATATGCAAGCAGCACAGGCCGCCCGGAAAGCCAAGTCTGACCCCTTGTATGGAGGTGCCTCACAATACTATCGTGAGGTTGCGCAGCAACAGCGGGAGCTTGCCATGCGGCACCTCTGTGTGGCCTCTGAGCGGCTTGTGGATAGGCAATCCACCAACGGCGACGTTGATCTGCACGGCTGCCAGGTCCCCCAGGCGATTCGCATCGCGCGCGAGAGAGTCGAGGCTTGGTGGGACGGCCTGGGAGATACGAAGCACGTCCGTGGTGGAGGCAAGCAAGTCCACGGCGGCTTCAAGATCATCACCGGCGTTGGTCTTCACAGCCGAGATGGTAAATCTCGCCTGGGCCCTGCTGTGAGCAAGGCTTTGATTAGTGATGGCTGGCGCGTGGAGATCGGCCGAGGTTTCGTGACCGTAGTTGGCGTTGCTCGGCGTTAGCAAGGAGGGTGTAAATACCTGGATCAACAGGTGTTTCTGAGCAGGATCCGTCACTGAGTGGAAGGTGATAGGAATAACTCTGTCTTCTCGCCATTTTCATCTTCAGTTCTCTCACTGCTTGCGATCGGCTTCACTTCACTAGTGGGGAGGTATTGGCATTCGGGGTGGGCGAGGTCGTTACGTGCTATGGCGAATGGCTGGGTTGCGAGCGGTTGTTTCCTGCATATGTTGCTTGCATTTACACTTGATACCCCATCATAAATCGGCGGAGTTTTCATATTTTACAGTCGCAATCAAAGCATTTTGACTACTTTGAATCTATAAAAGCCGTATAGATAGACTTTAAAAGGGGCACCACAAGTAGGATATCAAGTATACTCAATACTCCGTGGCTCTCCAGTGTTTGTACTTCGCGCTTTACGACGGAGCTCTCGGAAGCTTATCGGGAAGGGTAATTTCCCCGCATGATGACGTAAAAGGGCTGGATCCCGACGAGTCTTTTGGCTTCCACCCCTCTAGTCCACTCAAGCTGCTTAACGCTTACTTTTCTAGCTTACTATCATAGTCACCTTCATGCGATCGCAAGCAATCCGTGCAGCCACTCCTCTTAGGCAACGTGTCCTAGGCCAACCTACCCTACCTTTCCGCCTCTATTCCACCTCCTCTCGAAAGAGTCCTCGTCTGACGCCCGGAGCCAAGGCGCTTAGAGCTGCACCAACAATCCCGTTCTTGGGCGCTCTGTTCAGCTCGAAAGGCAACGCCGAAGAATCTGGAGCCATGTCATACCCTGATCAACGAAGCGAGGATCAATGGCGAGCTGTTTTGAGCCCCGGTTTGTCATCTCCGACTAGCATCTCAGGTTGCGTCGAACTAATTTGAATTAATACAGAGCAGTTCCGCGTGCTCCGTGAGAAGGGCACCGAACGCCCCGGCACAGGAGAGTACGACTCCCATTACCCGTCCAAGGGCGTGTATACTTGCGCTGGCTGCAATGCCCCTCTCTACACGGCCGACCACAAGTTCAAATCCGGCTGTGGCTGGCCAGCATACTTTGACTCCATCCCTGGCGCTGTGAAGCGACATGTGGACAATACCCTTGGAATGAAGCGCACAGAAATTGTCTGCAGCAACTGTGGTGGCCATCTTGGCCATGTCTTTGAGGGCGAGGGATACCCAACCCCTACCGATGAAAGACATTGCGTGAACAGCGTCAGTCTGCGGTTTACTGAGGATGCGGACGCAGCATCAAAGGGCTCAAATGAGAAGGCCAAGGCGTGATTGGATGAAGATGTAGATGAATTATGAAGTTTGTTTAAAGTAGTCTAGAAAACGAGGCTGGGGCACACTTTAAGCGCTGCCGAAGGACCTACGGGGTTAGTAGATCTGCTAGGGACGTCCAACCACGTTGCAGGGAGAGATAAATCTCATGAATCAGGGTGATTTGGGGTTGCATATCCCCGACTGAACCTTCCATGTCTCTTCTAGAAATCTTCGAACAACTAATTTCCGGTAGGGTTCACCTCCAATTTACATCGAACTGCACGGCTGGCACTCACCGCCCACCGTAAGCCCCGGCAGCCTTAGGCCGCATTGCCGACCGCCACCTGCGCATGCGAGCGAAAGACGTTCCATTGTTTCTCCTTTTCCACTTTCCTCACTCACTCAAATCGGCCGCTTTCAATTATGTCTCGACGCGTTACGCCGGGCCAGGCGGCTCAGAACCAGCAGACTATCAAAAGTCTGCTGAAACTCGAGTCCAACAAGATATGTGCCGACTGTAAACGCAACAAGCGTGAGTGTCCAATTCCCCCTCCGCGATGCCCGTCCGCTCACGCGGTACCACGTCGCCTTCTCTTGAATGTGGGTTACTAACATTTTACGCTTAGATCCGCGATGGGCTTCTTGGAATCTCGGTATCTTCATTTGCATTCGTTGCTCGGGCATTCACCGTGGTATGGGTACACACATCAGTCGGGTCAAGTCCGTGGACCTTGATGCCTGGACCGATGAACAACTCCAGAGTGTGGTGAGATGGGGCAATGGGCGAGCAAATAAGTCGGTCACTCTCAATTGGTTATGTTAGGCTTGTGCTAAAGTTCTACTAGGTATTGGGAGGCCAAGTTGGCACCCGGACACGTTCCGTCGGAAGCGTAAGTCGATGGTGACAGCGGTACCTTTAAAGACCGTCTGCTAATCCCATACTTGTACAGTAAGATTGAAAACTTCATTCGAACCAAGTACGAGGCCAAGCGCTGGGTCATGGATGGAGGAATGCCAGACCCCTCCACCCTGGATGACGGAGACGATGATGTGGTGAGTGATGAAACAAAGACCATACAATCAGGATAGCCATCGCTGACCGATTAGCCTCTTGCTGTGGTACAGGAGAAGGCCAAGATCGAACGTTCCGCATCGCAGCGAGTCGCCGCACCCAGCCAACCCCCGGCGCAACGCCAAAAAGCCCCGATTGACCTCTTTGGTGACGATATGATCTCTGCCCCGCCTCGCCCGAGCACAACCGAGCCTACACCTCGTGCGCCTCCCAGGCAAGCGCCGCCTCCGCAGCAAAAGACTCACAAGCCGGCTGATTCATTGCTCGGTCTGGACTTCTTTGGCAGCACCCAGCCTTCGGCGGGCAGCCGGCCCTCAAGCACTGCTTCTACACCCGCTGCTCCCACCGGCATGTCCCGACCAGACTTGAAACAATCCATTCTATCCTTGTACTCCAAGCCCCAACCGGCTCCTGTTCAACATGCGCGTACCAATTCCTTTGGCGACCTGGCCTCTCCGCCAGCGACCTCTACGACATCGAACATGGGTGGTCTTACGGATGCCTTCAGCGGGCTCAGCTTCCCCACTACAGCTTCTCCTCCCCACGCCCAGCCAGCCGAGAAGTCCTCTCCATTTGCTAATCTCGCCAATTTCTCGAATGCCAAGTCGACGCCCGCGGCGCCTAGGGTGACCTCGCCTTCGGGGTCCGCTAGTGGTGATCTATTCGATAGCTTGACCTCCCCTACTCTGTCAGCACATAACTCCCAGTCGCGCAATGCCTCTATCTCTAGTGGACAGGACTTTGGCTTTGGCGGGTTTGCCTCCCCGACTACCAAGCCCGCAAAGCCCAACCCTCCCTCTTCGTCTCTGTCGAACGACCTGTTCGGCATGTCTTCACCACCTCCCGCTCCCGCCGCACCTGCGCCACGTCCTAAGCCCGCTGTTTCCTCCCCTCAATATGACATGAGCTCTGCGTTCAACCTCTCCAGTCCTCCCATCCAGCCTTCAGCTCCCGCCAAGCCTACAGTGCCGGTCGCAACTGCTGCCGCTGCTGGCGTCATGTCTGCTAGCATGGATCCCTGGGGTGGTAATGCTTGGGGAACCCCAGACCCGGTACCTGCGCCTGCACCCGCCCCGTCCGCGTCCTCTGCATCTAACATGATGAAACTCCCCGATACTTTGACCGCCAATGACATTGGCAGTGGCTGGGGTGCACCATCCAAGCCCACTCCCACCGTCGCTGCGGATGAGGATTTCGGTGGCTGGACCAGCGCCGCCCCCGTTTCCTCTGGAACTACTTCGACCACGACCTCCAAGCCGGCTGGCGGGTTTGGTACTGGATCTGACGACCTCTTCTCCAATGTGTGGGAATAAATGCACTTTCTTCCCCATCTCCATAGTGAATTAAGACATGAGTTATTAATTGTGGTGGCTATATGTTATGTCTAGCGTCATGGTAGTACTGCGCATTGGATGTTGCACATAGGCCTGGTGTTTTGTCATCTCGAGACCTGGGTTGCTAGCTATGGACCCCTACGAATCCCCTTTGTTTTAGCATGCATGTTCTTACTATTCCTCTCGTTCCTAGATATGAAATGGGCTGGAACTTTGCGATAAGATTATTGTACGTTTAAATTCTGTTGTATGTTGAGTCGTATTTTGTGGATGAATTCACGTAGACTTGGAAGGCGTATTCTGCCACTGCATGAGATTGGATGTCCAGAGCACCGGTCAAGTATGTATATCGGTCTCTTCGCCAAAAGAACCAATTTTTGAGAAGGAACCCTCGCCATGCACCATGATCCTACACGCACTTATCATCATCACAGAACGAACTCCATGACAAGCTTTATGGTCAACGACCTTTCTCCCACCACTCTTCTCGAAAATTATGTACAGTAGAGTAAAACGTAGATATAAAAAAGAATGGACTCAACCAAGGGACATCAACAAGAAAAAAAAAAAAAAAAAAAGGGGGATATCAAGAAGAAAGAAAAAAGGTATAAAAAGAGAGCGTCCATTAAGAAACAACAAACATTCAAGTCATAACAAACCCATTCAAAAGCTATGCTTACGCACAAGATCCTTCGTACTCCCCGTCTCCTCGTTCGTCACTTGCTGCGAAATCGACTCCTGCGTAACGAACGTAGTCACCTTGATTCCCGAAAGCCCCTCCTTGCCCTCACTGTACTTTTCATTGGTGCGGAAAGATGCCGTCGAAGGTGAGAGCTTGTCGAGGTCATAGTCTCGGTCGTCGAGGCCGCCGATGACGGAGGCTTGCACTTGGGTGTTCGTGATCGTGCCGGTGAGATGGCTCCGGCCTATGCGGGAGGGACGCGTGGTCCGGCTGTGGTAGCCGTTGCTGCCGGTCGAGAAGACGTGCGGGAGTAGGTTGGACAGGAATGCGCGGGTGCTGGGGAGGGAAGCGCAGATGATGGCGACATTGCATTCGATGGCGGACCACTCGGCGGCGCCGACGTTGTCGTCTGGAAGTTATGAGGTTAGAGTGATATTTTTCAAAGGGGGTGAGATCAGTGGGGTGAAGGACTCACAGGTTGGATCGGTGGAGTTGGAAATTACGAGAAGACTGCTGAGACGGAGGATACTGGTGATCAAGACGCTGGAAGTTTGTGTTAGCATATTTCGAATAGGGGGCATTGCTGGGAGTAGGACGTACAATCCACCGAGGGCAAAGACACCTATCAACGCAAACTTTTGTCTCTTCGGCAGTTGGAGAGACTTGAGCACCGGCATGGGATACACCAAAATCAAGATATCCGATAAGATGTGGATGGCAGAGTTGGAAAACCACAGTGCCTTCTTATCGAAGCAGAACCCCGGAACGGTAGGATCCCAGAATTTCTCAAGAGGGACACAATTGGCCCAAGCACTGAGGATCGTCCATGTTCCGTACACGGCGAGGAACGCAATCAGAAGATTACAAGCGAGGCGCATTCTCGGCGTGGAAAAGACTCGGCGGTATTGCAGGAGAATGGACATTTTGGTGGTGATCAGACTGGTTTGGTAGATTGGGACTGATGCCCAGAAGCACTAGATGGGTTGATGTGATGAGCGGACGTTCTGGATACGGCGGACCATGTATTTTGATGTGGAGGGCTTACGAGCATCTGCATTTTGTAGATTGCCGGTGGAATGAGGGCGTAATGTTCGCCCATGCCGTGGTAGACCTCTGCGTAGAAGTTAGAGAATGTCAAGCTCATTGGCTCAGTAGATGGAACATACCACCAACGAACAGACCGAAGAAAACCCATGAGAAAGCCTAGAGTCAAATATGAGTCAAATGAAGCTCCAAAGGCACGTTGCTATTCTGTGAATTTGCTTACTAGAGCAACCAAGATAGTATAGTCGTCCGCTCCCATTTGCTTCACCAAAATCGTTCGAGTATAAACCCGGACCAAGACTATGGCCGTAGCCAGACAAGTAAAGACGATGCTGACGGCCAGAGCCGAGCGGCCTCGGGAGGTAGAGAGTGTAGTCATCGTCGCATATAGAGTGTAAGGAGTGTGATAGAGGCCCGGAAACGAACGAGTGGGAATCCAGGTGGGGGAGGAGAGAAAGAAGATCACAACCCAAAGCCAGGACCACTTTCTTTTAATGTCAGACTCCGTCAGTGATAGTCCACCGTCCACCGGAGAATGCGAGTAGTTCTGGTTCCTGGCCACGAGACGCTAACGCGATCGTGGGGCTTATTGGGCGGGTCCCCTGTTCTCCTGACGCGAAGCTCAATGAGGAAAGAAAAGCAGATCTATCGATTGAAATAGCTGAGGCAGCGCACAAATGACGACTAGCCGTGCACTCGTCTTTGGCGAAAAGGGGAAAAATCCAGTTCTTAAGACTACCCTGACAGCCACCGAGGGCGCTATCGCATATAAGCTTGTAAATTTGTGGAAGCGAGAGCGGACATCGACAGGGATGTGATTTTTTTGGGAATATTGTTTAAGTCTTGGTGGCCCGGTGTGTATACCGGTATTGCAGCTGTACTCGCTGCAGGGCCCGAACCCCTCCGTTTATTCGTTCAGGCCACATGAGGCAACCGCGCCAACAGAGTTCGTCCGTCTTAGCGCCTCGTGGGAATTGGAAAATGGGAATTGGGAATTGCGGAGAATGTGTGTCAACGACGATTCGGGTGGCCAACGACCTGACAGGGCCCTATCAGCCAGAAAACCTTGTCTGCGTTCCCGGGCCCGGACGGCCAGTGGAGATAGACAGCCCATAACTATACAGGTAATATTATGATGAACAGTTTTGTATGAAATTCTTGAAATGCATTTGGGTCCACAGGATGATCCCTCGCGGAAGGTGACAAGCGGGCGGGCCCATCGTAGTGCGGAGTTCCATTGCCATGCATGGGATCCTCAATTGCCAATAAAATTGTCAATGGTATCGTTGTTTATAGGGTTAACGGTGTTGGGCTTCATGGACTGGCGGGCCAGTGGAGACTTTGGGCATGACGCGGTCTTCGGGGTCTCTTTGCTTTGACATTTCGATTCACGGTTGCCCGTTCTCGTTGGCATCAACCTTGATCCATGGAACCTCTTCGCTCTAGTCCGAGCATAATTTTCTGTCTTGCCGTTGGCAGCCTCCACTACAAGACCACGTTGGGGGTTTCGATATTGTATTTCGTTTTTGTGGCCCCTCCTACAGTACAGAACGAGCAATGTACATACAGTCGCACTCCGGTGATGATGATCATCTCACAGTGATTTGATATTGTATCTATAAGCCAATGGTCATAGCCGGAACAATTAACAGGTCAAGTGGGTTATATTCCTTAGCGTAGTTCCCAAGACTCGATTCAGGTACGAAAGGAATTCCCGGAACCAATACGAGCATGCGAAGGGCCCCTGGTTTTGCCCTGGCGGCTAAAATGATGACTATCGGGCGAGCTAAGCTGCTTTAGCTAGCCCGTTTCTTTTCTGGTACGGGATCCATTCCTACTGTATTGCACTCTGAACCATGGCTGTCCTGCGCTTGCGCCTGTCATCCTCGCCCGCGCATCCCGTCCCAACTGGCTTGGGACTGGGTGGCTGGCGCTAGATTTCAATAGCGCAATAAAGGCTACCCCCAAGGCCTGTGGGCCATCAATAGGGTGATCTCTGCAGAACTTGCTCTTGTACCGAGGCACGAACTCAGCCTTAACTCTACTGCGAGAAAAAGAAATATGCAGAATGACGCCCAAAATCAGTTCGTGGGGTTTCCGGCCGTAGTTCTGAAGTTGCTTTGTTCCCTGCGCCCGGAAGTTCGCCACTGACAAGCCCTGCATACAAAGTACGGCCTAGCCAGAACGAACCGACAGTCCCGTTATTTATCGCGCAAACGCAACTGTCGAATGTCGATCACCACCATCTTACCCGAAGTCCCTGTTCTCCGCCTATCCGGTTGATACGCTCGGTTCACCTCCATAGAGAAACAATCGAGGGCCCGGCGCTGCTGCTGCTGCAACGTAAAGGCCCGGCATGACATTACCCATGCAGGATAATTTCCTCCTAGGCCAGGATGATCGTGATTTCCTATGCATGCGCCATGATCGCTAGAGCTTTGAGGGGACCTCCACTTGGCGCTGTGTCCGCGTTGAGTCCGCGTCGAGTCCGCCTGGAGGGGGGCAGGGGGGGCAAAGGGCGATCAAGGAGCTCGGTTCCCTTTGAGCGAAGATCTTCACCGGTGTCTCCACTGTTCATGGAGCGAGGACTTTTTTCGGTGAAACTGCCTTTTCGCGATAGTGATAGCCGTGACGTGCTGTAGACGAGGGAAAGGGGTCGCGCCGATCATTTTACCTCAAAAGCGAATAGGATTGCTCGTTTGATGGTGAATGGCATTGTCATGAGCGGGGGACTTGGACCGTGCTGGTGCACTAGTGATCTTATCATGAGACTGTAACCAAGAACCGTTCGATCGATGAGGAGATTATCGAATTTTCTGTGCACGAGGTCAAGGATGATATATTGTCATGCGCATCTTTCACTGGAGCTAGCGTCAGCCGCTATCGTTTATTGATTTCGATTTGGGGGATGCTATACATTTTCGCGGAGGAATGGAACATGCAAAGAAAAACTCAATCGAGTTCAATGGCTCGTGCTCGAGACCTGGAATAGTTGATTCGTTCACAAACGTCGAACACGTCCACTTTGAGACGCTGAGGGTGCTGATCGCTGGGAATTGGCGTTGAGATTGTGAAGTTGGCATTCTCGGCTGACCATCTAGTTCAAGCGAGCGTTATCTGAGATGGCAATGGGGAGCTGGGGAAAACGCTGGAAACCGATTCCGCTTGTTACAGTATAGTTTTCGAAATCAGTTATACCTCCACACTCTTGCGACTTCGTTCCCGGAAAATAAATCCGTCATATGTAAGCTCTGATTGGATCAGGTATCTCCGGCCTCCTTTAGACCGCTTTCTATAATGGTCGCCATTTTTTATGATACAACTGTCATGTTGCGAGGGATGTATTTTACACGAAATCACCATACACATGCTACCTCTACTGCCCCTCCATTCCCCCTCCTTCATATAAAGCCTTCCAGATTAAACTGACTTGGAAGTTAGCTAACAAGTCAGATTGTCACGAAGGAGAACTCGGTCCAAGCTGTCTGTATCTAAGATTTTGCTGCAATTCGAACATATCATCATCCGATTGGCCATGACTTAGTACTTGGCTGAACAACTGGGGTTCCGAATTTAGATACAATCCGCTGTATCATGCGACCGCTCCCAATCTGCTGCAACCACACGTCTCGGCTCTTCCTACTATGTATTCCTCTTCTGATCGGACTACATTCAGCTACTCTTTATGCAACTTGGATATTAGTGGTCACTGAATAGGCAATATCACCAGCAAATTGAATAAGGACCCAGCTTCACTGAAATCTCTCAGAGCATGGAACATGGAACAAGTCACGCCACAGGCACCTCGGTCACCTACGAATGCATGCGTTGCATGTACACGTAGTAAAAGAAGGTGTGATAGAGCAATACCAAGTTGTTCCTATTGTGTGCGGTAAATGAAGAGAATATATTCTTCCAATTCGTCTTCATCATTTTGGTAGCTACGGTGCTAACGAACACCAGAGTAAAGCGACAATGCGCTTACGACGAAGCCCCCGTCCACACTTTTGCGACACCACCAGGTGGTGTGTCTACAGACTCTGCAGTACTATTGGTAGTTCTACCATTCCGGTCAGATTATTTTACTTGCCTAATCATGCCCTCACCAGGAACCGTGGGCAGCTGCAATCATCGCTCATTACCGAACGAATGCTCTTAGTGCCCTTGGATCCGTGGAAAAGACACGCAGAACGTCTCGTGCGTACTTTAGCTCGACTCATTATAAGCTGGCTGTTCTATCTGAAAAGAAATTCTACGAGCGCCTGCCTAGCCTTTTCACGTCCGCAGATTCAAGTTTCATCACGCTCTGCCTATGCATACATCTGCTACAACAAATCCCTTCGCGTTCGGGTGATAGCATGGTTTCGTCACTTTACGCCCTCGCTAAGACAGGCATCAATCAACTGGAAATGCTGCGTTGCTGTTCAATCGACACGATTCAAAGCATGCTATTGATAGCACTCTATGAAGTGGGTCATGGAATCTACCCGGCAGCTTCTATATCAATGGCATCTTGCGCGAGAGCAGCCCGTAACCTCGGTCTGCACAAAATCAGATCTGAGCCACTTTCTGGAATAGGCGATGATATTGGCGAGAAAAGAAGGACCTGGTGGGCAATCCATAATCTGGATAGGTACGTTTAATGGCGAATCACCGTTACCGCAATACCACAAATTGTTTGAACGGTGTTAATGAAAGAATCGTTGGGACAATGGGCTGATAAATCGAGAAGGTTCATAAATCTCTTCAATGGAGATGCCATCTTTAACAGTGAAGATGCTGGTAGAGAGGATCCTTTACCTCCTGATGACGGGTCTCCTCCCTTAGAAGTCAGCATGACCTTTCGCTTTCCCGGACAATATTGAAGGCACATCGAACATTTTAACTAACATTAACACGGTGAGATAGATTCTTTCTAGTCAAAGTATACCCACCATTGCCACACCTACACCCTTCAGGCTAGGCCAATTTGCACGAGAATGCCAGGTAGCACACCTTGTCGGAAGGGTTGTGCATCATGTCTTCAATCCTGTTTCGGACGCCCACTTCCACGAAGAGGAGGCAATACAACTTAAACGCACGCTGTTATCCTTTCTTCCTCTCTTGATTGAGGAAGAACTTCAATTTAGCAACTATTGCGGGGCTCTGTCGACCTGCGTAAGGTAATCCTGCCCGTTCCACATCAACTATTGTCACATCATGTATTGGTACTCTAACAAACTCTCCATATGACTAGCTCCCTATTTACACTATACTCGGCTCCACTGTTTCGTGCCCAGCACCGAAGTCTCGATGAACCTCGCACCTTGATCGCTATGGAACAGCTTTCCGCTAGAATGGCTGAAATTTCGGATTACTTCTTGGGCGTCGCTCGGGACGAAAACAAGCGCTTTATGCTATCGCCTTTCGTGCCGTATGCATTGTACCAGACCGCAGTCATAGAATCGCGGCTGTGGGAGCAGGAGGGTAATTCACAACACAAGGAAAGAGCATACAGAATGGTGGAATTACTCCGATATTTTAGTAACCGCTGGGCTATTGCTGGTAAGTAAGCTATTTGGCAACCCGCAATATCTTCCATCTACAGAGGGCTGATACAGCAGCTTGTGGACTCAGGAAAGTACATAGCCGTCTTGGACTCCCCTCATCCGCCGGTGACCCTACCAGCGCAGGAATTTTACATCAGCGAGGAAGCCCGTGTACATGAGCCCTAGGGCAGAAACAAAATCAAAAAGGCAGCATTTCTATAATCATGAAAATTCATTTAACCACTTCGTTTGGTACTGGTCTTGAGTTGCTCGAACAAACCCGGGTTCATGAAATGCGCGTTTCTCACTCACCTTCGACGCCTAAACCACCTCTTTTTGAAGATAAGATAAGGAATAAATCCTCTCGAATACGCCGCAGTCCTGGATAGATGCATTCTGAACTCTGATTTTTGTTTTTCTTGCAGGTAAATATGATTGTAGTATAGCGAATATTCTGACTAGTGCATAAGAAAACGTAGTCACAGGAACATGATGAAATATATTTTTGATAAGCCTCAAACAAGAGCGGTACCCAAGCATTACGCATATTTCACTTTACCATCCTAGCTCAGCCCTCGAGCTACCCTAAGAAAGAGATGATCTCGTCAGCAATCTCCTCGGCGTGACTCTCTGACGCAAAATGACCGGCGTCGAGAAACTTGACTTGCGCACGAGGTAGGTCTTTCTTATATGCTTCAGCCCCACTGGGAATGAAGAAAACATCGTTCTTTCCCCAGATAGCCAGGAGCGGTAATTGAGAGGACCTGAAATACTCTTGAAACTTCTCGTAGAGCGCAACATTGTTCTGGTAATCCATAAACAAATCAAGCTGAACATCCTTGTTTCCAAGACGTTCCATCAACGCATAATCTAGCGTATAAGATTCCGGGGCAATACTACTAGGGTCTGGTGTGCCATTCAGGTACTGGAACTTCGTAATGTCGTATGTCAACATTGCATCCGCCACTTTGGCTCGATCTGCGGCAGTATTCTTGCTGGCCCAGAACGCTTGGATGGGACCCCAGACGTCGCCGAATCCCTCTACATAGGCGTTGCCATTCTGAGAGATAATGGCCTCGATCGCGTCCGTACGACGGAGCGCCAGACGAAGCCCAACCGGGGCACCGTAGTCGAAGATATAAACCGAGAATTTCGAAAGGGATATGGCGTCCAGAAATTCTTCAATTGTGTCGGTGAGCGTCTCAAAAGAATATTTGAATTCCTTCGGTACTTCCGTGAAGCCGAAGCCTGGGAGATCCGGTGCCACAACTCGGTATTTGGCGGCAAGGAGAGGCATCAACTTTCTATATTGATGGGATGAAGAAGGAAAGCCGTGAAGGAGAAGAATTGTTTTCTCATGAATCCTTTCGCCAAGTTCCCGGTAGAACATGCGTACTTGACTCTTTGGTAAGATGATTGTCTGAAGTTGGGCAGACATTATAAAAAGCAGTTTGTAAATCGCTTTACAGATCACTTTCTATGAAAGAAGAGGCTTGTGAGGTGTAGTTGGGTCGCCGGCCGGAAAGAGCGCTATCAGGATGAGAAGAGGGATGACCAGATAGATAGGGTCTTGTTTCCAATGGTCAGAGTGGTTCTTAAAAATCAGCGGTCATTCCTCTCCCTTATATACTTGCGTAGGTATAGAGCAACTTATTGTCCATCATTCTCATTCGCTGTTGCCACTTGATCAAAATAGACCAATGTTGCATAGAGAGAACAGACGTCAGCACTTGGCTCTACGGGTCTAGACTACTCCGCACGCTAGTCCGCGCGCTAGTCCGTAAATTAATCTACACGCTAAGCCCCGCGCTAAGCCGCGCACTAACCCGACCGTGCATTGTACCCTCGGTCGTGATCCCTTCTCTGACGTATTCAAAGCTTCTGACGGATTTGACGGAAAAGAAAATTTCTAGTCGCCTTGCAGCAGCGGTCGGGCTCAGAAAGAATCGCTTAGAGCGGCACAATTTGATTTGAAATCAAAACCGTGGAAGAATGTAAATTGTTGAAGCCAGGTAAAACAATCTAAAGTATAAACCCTCCTCCCGCAATATAAATGTACGAGGCAAGTCGGCGATGTATTTCCACTATTCATATCTTCCCAAACAGCAGACGCCCGCATCTTTTCTTCAATCAAATTCCAGACTTGATTTCTCTTCTCTTGATTGACGTGTAACATTCAAAATGAAGGCCATTGTGATTGAAAAGTTTGGGGGACCCGAGTCTCTTGTTATTAAGGACGTTCCCAAGCCCGAACCGGCCAACGGCTACGTGGTGATCCGTGTGAAAGCATTCGGAGTCAACCATGCTGAGATGCACATGCGAAAAGGCGAATGGGCGGAATGGATGCCCATCAGTGGCATTGAGTGCGTCGGCACCGTAGTGGCATGCCCTGGAGGCGAGTTTGCAGAGGGCACTCTGGTGGCGAGTCTCATGGGCGGCCTTGGACGTACTGTCAACGGTAGCTATGCCCAGTTTACTAGGGCTCAAGTCTCAAATGTCGTCGCACTGGGCCCTACAGCTTCCAAACTTTCTTGGGACCAGCTTGCTGCCATTCCCGAAACGTATGCGACGGCATGGACGTGCCTCTTCCGCAACCTTGAGCTTTCGAACGGGCAAAAGCTCTTAATCCGGGGCGGGACCTCGGCGTTTGGCAGAGCAGCTATCAATCTCGCCGTCCAAGCGGGAGCTCATGTTACTGCCACGACTCGCAATGAAGCCCGGGCTGCTCAACTGACAGCTCTTGGGGTGGAGAAAGTGGTGAAAGAAGGACCGAACTTGTCTGAACGCCTTCCCCAAAAGTTCGATTCAATCCTCGAGCTTGTGGGCAATAGCACCATCCTTGACTCTCTGAAAATGGTGCACCGTGGTGGTCGAGTCTGTCTAGCGGGTTTCCTAGGTGGCCTAGCACCTATCTCAGATTTCAATCCGCTTCTGCAAATGGCAAGTGGCGTGCATTTTAGCTTCTTTGGAAGTTTTGCTTTCGGCACACCTGAGTTTCCCCTGTCAGACGTACCCCTCCGAGACATCGTCGCGATGGTTGCAGAGGGTAAAGTGAACGCCAAGCCTTGGAAAGTCTTCAAGTTCAAGGAGATTGGAAAAGCTCACCGTTTGATGGAGAATAATGAAGCTCAGGGTAAAATGGTTGTGCTTGTGGACTAGTCTTGGTGCATAGTTACTATTCGAATCAATAAATCGTGCAGTCAAATCACGACGTTAACAGCGATCCTTGGCAGCTATAGTTGAATTAGGTATCTTGAATAACGACAGCAATGAACTATCCCATTTTCCCTATAGAATGTGCAGTGGCGGTGACGACCCTTGAGTAACCTGGTGTTAGAGCACATTCCTATAGCTTAGGCTCCGTTGAGTAAGATATGTCGTCGACATAATACGGGCTGTGTGCCATCTCCAACAAGCATTCGCAATCCCTAGACCAACCACATTAGCGTATCATTAGAACCACGTATCAACGCGGGCTCGTAATGTATGAAACTCGCAATAGGTGATACAAGCCACGAAATAGAAATGCATATTTCATTGCCGAGCCTCTCATCAGCTATTTCTCTGACCAAGCCCTTATCCTCGCGCGCTGTGCCAGAAACGAAAGACTTGACTGTCGACGATCGCTACTGGAATTTTCTATCCGCCGCCGCCGCGATCGCTTATATCGGACTGAGCGAAGACCGAGGCTTCTTGGACAAGACATCTCTCTTTGGGTTCTCCTCCGCGTTCTTACTGGGTTCGAGATCGTCTTCTCCGTGAGGCTCTGGAAGGGTATGGTCCTAGTCTGTTTTAGGACAGCCGGAATTGTACTAGTAGTGCTGAACTTGCTTCACGATGATACTATACGATTACCACAGCAGACTGCTTCACGGAAACTGCCTTCTGGAAACCTCCCCTGACCTTTGTTTTCCCTTTTATAACACCTTCTTACCTCTAGTCTCCCTCTTATACCCTACTTCTTCCCTACTACTATAACTTCCTGGGAGAGCGCCTTCACTTCTATCTCTTCCAGAAACTCTTATCTCTGGTTAATTTCATACTTTATTAACCATTTTCCCGTGTGCCCCCTATAACCCGACTAACTTAATCTCCTGATAGATATACTTCATATGTCTACCTCGTTAAGCTCTGCTAGCTCTCCCAGCTCTCCCAGCTCTCCCAGCTCTCCCAGCTCTCCCAGCTCTCCCAGCTCTCCCAGCTCTCCCAGCTCTCCCAGCTCTCCCAGCTCTCCCAGCTCTCCCAGCTCTCCCAGCTCTCCCAGCTCTCCCAGCTCTCCCAGCTCTACTTTCTCTCGGGCTAGCGCCCACGCGCTGAGCTTTTACTCTAGTTCGCCATCACGTCCCTCTCCTTTTAGCGGGTAGCGACTAGGTCAATTCGGAAATTCACGACGGCATCGTCAAGCAAGTTCATTTTCGGGAATACCACGCAGCTATAGCCCTCGTGCCATACCAGCGAGTCTGGGCATACGACCAGGTTCAGACCGTCAAGCGAGTGAGTGCTCATCTTGCCCAAGTATCGCCAAATGTGGAAGTTAGATGGTGACTGGGGAGGCATCGTCCACAATGGCGCGACTACACGGTTGAAGCGCTACATGACCGGCGAGAATCTAGATGGCTTTTCACTGCCATGACGGAGGATAAGAATGGAGCACCGCATAATGACCTTAGCCTTCCACGTCGAGCACTCCCAGAGGGCGCACCAATACTGGATAATTTCGTCGCAGGTGATACTTCCGTCAGTATGTCTGCCTATGTGGTTCATCACCAAGAGTCGATTTTCCAAGGATCACGCCACGTATAAGCCTGAGCGCTGGCTGGGTGAGGAGGGTAAGGTAATACAGCCGTTTTTCGATCCTTTTAGCACGGGCGCGCGAGGGTGTATTGGTCGCAATATTAGCTATCTTGATCAGACCGTTTTAGTTAGTTCGCTGGTGCATCGGGAGACAACAAACTTGAGTCCTGGGCCGATGCCGTGGAAGATATGGAAAAGTTTGATGTCATGAAATGGTATATTCACGGTCGGTGCCGGGCTCTCTTGTTTGAAGGGATAAGTCCTGATTATATGCTAATGTTTCAGAAATTTCACAAAATCATCAAATTCAAGAAAAGTGTTGTTCCAATCACGATGGGTCCAGCCTCGCCGTGGCCACCGCAGCCCAGCCCCAAAATAGTTAGCGCCCAATGTAAAACCGCCTTCTGCGCTTCCCCCAGCCTCCCCGTCCAAGAAAAAAGCACATGGCTGGGAAATAGTCAATTTCCCTTAAAACCCCCCCATTCACATTCCAACTGATGTAATATTTCTCCCTTCCCTCATCCTTCTATTCCAAAGCAGTCCTACCCTTGCTGCTGGAATTTCTTCTATCGCAAAGGGGCTATTTCTGTCTGCTTGTGCAACCTGGTCGCCGGTGCGGGTATACTTCGAAGTATACAAACTCCACACCTCCAGCAACAGCTGCCACCGAAGCAGCCAAGGGGTCATTGGTGCTCTTGTTTGCCGTCATCTGCTTCTCTTATTCTTCTAAAATCTACCTCGCGCCGATTACGCACCTTTACCACCACTTACACCTCCTCGATCCCCTCCTCTTGGAGCACTGAACACCTCCAAACAAACTACACCCTCACGGGTCCCCCACCTCTCAAAATGGTCAAACGAAACATCACTGTTGCAATCATCATCATAGTCCTCTTCATCCTTATCTCATTCGGTGTCCTCATCGCCTACGCCATGAAGCACCAACTCGGACCATTCGGCGGCAAGCGCATTTCCGACGAAGAGAGCGAAGGCGGCGGATAATGACTGCCATCCCCAACGTCGGCTCCACGACTGCGGCATCGGCATAATTCATATACACTCCCCGTTGCTGGCTTTTGAAGCACATACTATATTTCCCCCGGAAAAAGAACCCATTGCACAAAAACATGACCCGATACGATACCCCCGCTCTTGCTCACGACTTGACACTGCCGCTATGACGAGCTCGTTATGAATGTCCCCCGGCTCAGCGCGTTTGCTCTTGCTTTTTGATACATTTTACGCCAACCATTGTCAATGATGATATACGTTTGGAATACTTTTGTTTCTCACTATGGCGTTTCATGGATGGGAGTTTTTCTTGATTTTCTACTTTTCTCTTATGTACTTCTCACGAGGACTTTTTGATGGACATGGTCTATTCTACAAACAATGAGATAAATGACTTTTGATGATAAAAAACCTGGCGGAGTAGCTGATAAATCGATGCTGTCTAGTGGTGATTTAATCAATAAATCAACTAGAGCGAAGAAGAGTTGGCCTAATTGATTATTTAACGTTATATGGTGGACAGGTTCCCGAGGGATTTGAAGAGAATGCTAGCTTGGGTGATAGCAAGACTGCATGCTCTCTCAATGGGAAGGTCAGATGGGCTGCTTTCTCGTGGGTTACTCGTGCTTGTGGCGACAGCAACAGCATGCTTCGGTGGAATCAATTTTGCAAATCAATGAGCCGAAGACTTGATAGAAAAGATCAAGACAAGAAGGAAAGGAAATGAGCAGGTTTGGTTCCTCAAATATACTTATGTATGGAATGTTACACGGTTCCGCCGCTAATGGTATCTCCACTAATCCTGATAAACAAATGCAATATAATGCACCCATGCCCCTCAAACCGGTTGGACCAAATTCTCAGAACGCCTAATCAAGAGACCGATATACAGATTAAAAAAAAAAGAAAGAAAGTGAGTACCATCGCCACTTAAAAAACGTAGCTGAGCAGCTCTTGAGCCCGCAGAGCCGTCGCTATATGCCAAGGTAGCGTGTTACCCTGAACACTGCGCATACCCCATGCCCGGGCAAGAGATGACATGTCTCGGTACATGGCAAGTGTGTCACCCAACACGCTCTCGTGTGAGATAGCGGGGCGAAGGGAGTATAGAAGGTTGACAGTCATCGAGAAGACACCATCGCTATCGGTCGGACCTTTGCGCCGAAGGAGATACCCGCTGGCAAGGGCAGGGCGGAGCTCGGTGACGTGGGGAGAGGCATTGAGACGATGCGAGAGGATGACGGCCCAAGAATCATCGCAGATATCGGTCAGAACGACCTCGGAGTCTGGTTCCAGGGACGGCTCTGTGGGTGTCGGCGCGTTATATACTGCACTCGGAGTTGGTGCATTGCCAGTTTGGTCGGGCGAGGCAATGTTGGTGTTTGGGTTGGGGGTCGAGACGGGGGTTGATGAGAAGTGAGGGTTGAGAACGCCCATGCTCATTGGAGAGGCAGGAGTATTGAGAGTGAGGTCGGGGATGGTGTGGACGGCCACGATAGTCAGTTCTAAAGATGCCGGGCGCATCTTGTTTTGTTGATCGGCTAGGTTTGCCCAGGCTATTTGAAAAAGAGTGAGAAAATAACAAATGACATGGGAGAAGGAGGGGAGCTTACCATCAATCTCGTCAGGATCCATCGGGTCGGTACTGACTAGAACAACCTTCCAGCGAGCCTGAAACTTATCCATAATATGCTTCGTAGTAGCCCAGATCTCGTTGCGTACTTCGGAAATCGATCTGGAGGAACCTCTATTACGATAGCGAAGGCAGTAAGACATGCTCATCTGGAGAGACCCGGTTCCATCGGACCACGCTGCCGACACCCAGCGCTGATCACAGCTCTTGGAGTACGCGATATGCAAGCTTCGCCCGTCTTGTAATGGGGAAACCTTGTCAGGGGCAAGACGGAAGTTGAGCGTTTTGGGCAGATTCTCAGCGAGGAGAATTGCTGGAGCGCAAGAAAGAGGATTTGATTCGGCGTCCTTCGGGCGACAGCGACTGTAGACTTCGAAAGCAAGATTCACATACTCAGTTTGCGTAGGCACCACCATGGAGACTCTCGACATGACGAACTCCATTGGGATAATTTGCAGCACTACTTCATTGACTTGTTTGGCCTGACGACGGTCGGCATCAGCCACCAACTGTTGAAAGAGGTTCCAGAAAGCAGCGCAAATATCTGCCAGAGCTGCTGCATGGGGAAATGGGTTGATGATGTAGACAACACTGTTATTTGCGTTGGGAGCAGTGGATTGTGAAAGCTCAGCAGCTAGTTCCTCGCAAAGACCCAGAAGCGCTTGCATCATTGAAGTATAGCCCGGCGACTCCGAGTCCCACGATTTCAGACCATTGTCAAACCCCGTCGACTTGTCGCCTCGTGAATGTGTACCGAAATTGCAGCTTTCGTAGGAGAGGCCAAATCGATCCAGGAAAACATCTGCTGCTTGAGTGGCTGATTGCGGATGAATGCAGTACGCCGAGACATCTTTGGATCCGTGAGCAGGTTCCAGGCCGAACGTCTCCCAGAAGGACATGGCGGGGGGAAGGGTCTCCAGATACCCTTTACCACGACGAACTCGTAAATGCGGCGCAGATAATTTTGAAATCCAACTTTTGCTCAAGTCCTTGGTGGGCTGCTGGGATTGGGAGGAGGTTTCTGTCGTGTCTTCTTGTAATGACGTATACGTCTTCAGGTCCAATTTCTGAATATTACCCAAAAAGGTAACATCGTCAAAGGTTTCTGTAAATGAAGTTGCCTCGCTTTCCAGCGTAAATAATCCGATGTTTCCTCCTAAAGAATGGTCCAGCGAAGATTGTGTAATTTGGTCGACCAGAAGTTGCGCGATTGGAATCTGTTCTTCACGTCGGAGGAGGACAGGGAGTTGTTGGATCTGAAGAGCAGAAAAGTAACCCGTAAAAGTCCAATCGGAGAAGTTGGCAAGGAAATTTCCCAAGAAGGTAGTATTTTCGGCCTTAACTCCCGCAGCCGAGTCGGGGACTACGGACGATATGGCTGGGGATGCCGCAGATTGAATGTCGGATTCCGAGGGAATGCGCTTTCTTTTCAGCTGGGGAAGGGCAACGCCAGTCGATCCATGTTCGTATGGAAGGTCATCGCTGACTTCGTCCTCATCGCTGCTACCTTCAGTGGAATCTGAAGAGTCCCGCTCACAGCCGTCTTCGACAGTTTGCAAAATTGCTTTCCCAACTGGCTTATACCTCCCAGAGATTGAGGTTCGCGCACGATGCGGCAAGCCGACGGTGGGGATCTTATTCAAGTCATTCGCTGAACTTTTAGTTGCACTATCAGCCGAGAAGAAGAATTTCCCCATGGTTCCATACTTTTGGTCCCAGGCCCCCAGCTTCCTTTCAAAGGTGACTGGCTTGTAGTGGCCTTGTTGAGTATGGTTCTCTTCAAAATTTTCTCGATCCCCAGTCCGTGAGCCAGAAAATAGGATCTTCTTAATCTCCACGGGGCTTAACGGTGGACTGATGGTTTGGCTCGGTGGACGCTGGGGTGGTTCTTCTGAAGGTCCTTCTGACTCCATTGGCTCATCAGATTGCTCAGGGTCATCCTCCATGGGAACGGACGGTTCCTCAGGCTTGGGCACTGTCTCCACTTTCGGTGCTTCGTGTAAAGCAATCACGGCTGTTGGTTCATGAGCCTGATCTGCTTCCTCCTCGGGAGGAATTGCCCCCACTGGTTCCTGGGGGGTCTCTTGGGATTGGTCAACGGGCATCTCATCCGCCATATCGTCCATATTGGGATCGTCGAAAAAGCTGAAATCTGCGTCGGTGATTCCCTTCGACCCAAAATCTTTCTCATTCATTTCCCCGAAAAGATCGTCATCGTCACTTGCATCGTAGTGGCCAGTGCCAATGTCAACTTTGGGGGAGGGCTCGGAGTCGGGAATGGGTTTAGTCTCATAAGCCACAGCAGGAGACAGAAGATCGTGGTCTCCAAGATAAGGATCATGCTGGGTGGCGATGTGGACGCCATTTGCTGTAGCACCTTCTGGGGGCGTCGGGTAGACTAGGTTGGTGTTCTGGAGGTCTGGGTATTGCGCCATTCGGGAAAGGCTTTCTAGGCTTTCCCCGTGATCGACTCGGGTGGGGGACAGTCCCTCGTCTTTTTGCTGAGGTTCCTCGAATGCAGGAATATTCTGAGGGCAAGGGGCAGCCTTGATAGATCCTGCATCTGAAGACCATCTCTCCGCAAACTCAAGGGGCTCTTCAAGAGAAGAATCAGGCCACGAAGACCGTATCGACAGACCAGTTCTTCGAAAGCAAAACCTTGCAGGCCAAAGCATACGCTTCAGTGGAAGCGCAGATTGAGGCTCATCGTTTTGGCGCCACGCTTCACCAGCAAGTCGGGCAAAGAATGGCTCCCAAACTTCTACCTCAACCCAAGGTTCCTCGTCGATCGAGTCGATGTGCAAACCAAAATTCGTTAACCACTGCACAACGTCCAACTTCCATTGCCTTCGTTTCGCGAGCGTATCACCGGAGGTAGTAAAACCAGGCGAAGGGACAGTCTGTGATTCGATATTGGCGGTGACAAGTCGGGCGATGGCCCCATTAGGACATAGCCAAAGATCTGTCCCTGGCTGTACTCTGAACAGATCTGATATATCATCGCGGGGAGAACATAATCGCGTGATGCCAGCCTGAACGATCGTCTGTGTCGATATGGTCAATGTTCCCGGCGCATTCAACTGTACGTTCAGCGATGTCAAGCTGGGTGAAGAAAATAAACTCTCGTTATCAATTCGGGGGTTTTCATATCCGGTCTTATCCACTGCGGTAAACAGGGTTCGTGACCCAATGGGTAGGGCACCATGGGTGCGAACAAGATGCAGGCTCAGAGCACCAGTGACGGCTGAAATAAATGCAGAATATACAGCAACAGAGCTACTATACCCATCAGATCGACGCGCAGAAGTTTGAGCTTGCTGCGGACGTTGTGATGGTGTCGGTTGAGAACCTTGTTGATTTTGCCCCTCGGATGAGAGGCCCTTTATCAACTCTTGGCATGCGATACTTCCCGAAGCCGAAACTGCAAGCAAAATGAGCAAAAATGGTCACCACATCACACACTTTACATGTAATGTTAGCTTACCTTTGAGAGTGGTTGTGTCCACAAAAATCTTCGTGGTTTCGACGTCTCCGTCCGTGATGTACACGGGGCCAAGACTTTCAAAAGTCGGGGTAGGAGAGAATACCCAGAGGCCTAGTCGTCTTGGGCATGATGCTAAGCAACCTATATTTCTCAATTGTGCTTCGAGATGCTTGAGGCGACCAAGATGCTTCAAGATCGTATAGCCATTGGCAGGACCTTCCTGGGGATGACTCGTAATACCAGACTCCTCGGTGTAGATCCTCCAGTAGATGGTGGAGAAACCATCCTAGAGTCCCCGGTTAGCTATTGACCACGCCAACCAAGCCAGGACGCTTACTATTAGATGTATGTTGGTGGTTGCGCCTCCGGGAAAGTCCATGATTTCGCAGTTGCGGACAGCCCCCGGAAGCAGGCACGGTTAAACACAGGGTGATCGAGGCTTCTTCGAGGAGTCATTTCCATAGATTAGATGCTCCAAAACGAGGACCCTGAATGCACAGCAGGAAGGGTAGCCCCATCAAGTGTATACGGTCATCGCAGAGGACACAGATAGATCCGATCTCGGATGATTCTCGTCGCAAATGCACAACAACGCCGCGCTGCGTAATTCCGGGGGAAGTTCGAGGGACGCTCAGGCCAATCACCGGGACCCGCACGGGCAGGTCACGTGGCTCCTATCGCTATCTTTTTTTTATCGCCGCGCATTTTTTCTTTACGATCGAGTTGAAGCCGAGTTTCAAGCTTGTTCATCTCGCCACCATGAAGCTGTCAAACCAGTCCGAGGTACCGGTGTATACCATCTCGGGGTCTAATACAGCCCGGCCTTTGCCTGAATGGCTGGCCCGACGCCGTAAGCGCAGCTTGAAAGATGACCCGGAGTATGCGAATCGCATCGAGTTGCTGCAAGACTTTGAGTTTGAGGAGGCCAGTCAGTGTGTAAAGGTCAGCGAAGATGGTGAATGGGTTATGAGTACAGGTATGACCCAACAGTGATCATGGGTATCGCTTCACGCCTAACAGAATCTTTTCTAGGCACATACAAGCCCCAGATTCATGTCCACCAATTGTCGCAACTGTCCCTATCATGGGCACGACACACAGTCGCTCTCAACACGAAATTCCTTCTCCTCTCTTCCGACTATTCTAAATCCCTCCACCTCCAAGGCGACCGCTCTCTTGAATTCCACACCCCACAAGGATGCCACTACGCCACCCGGCTCCCACGGTACGGACGTGATCTTGTGTTTGACCGTCAGTCAACAGAGGCCTTGATTCCCTCGGTCGGTGTCAACGAGAATGGTCTGGGCGAAGTGTTCCGGTTGAACTTGGAGCTTGGTCGATACATGCGGTCTTTCGAGATCGAGGTCGGAGGTGATGATTTTACATCTGCTGGAGGAGGTGCCTTGCAGGGTGGCATTAATACTGGCTCGGTTAACACGGGTGCCATCGCGGAGGAGAGTCACAATCTTCTTGCATTCGGTACGTCTATCGGAACAGTAGAGTTGTGGGATCCCAGAGCCAAGGGCCGCGCGGGCATTCTTCTGCCCCCGACTCAGTCTGTCGGCGACGAAATGCGATCTGAAATTACTGCCCTTGAGTTCCACCGCAACGGGCTGACACTGGGAACCGGCGCGTCCAACGGGTTGATTCACCTTTACGATCTCCGATCTCCAGTTCCTCTGTTGAAGAAGGACCAAGGATATGGCTTCCCTATTCACACCCTTAAATTCCTCCAACCGTCAACCGAAACTCGGGAGGCGACCATGGATCCTAAGATTATGTCGGCCGACAAGAGGATTATCAAGATCTGGGACCCTCGTGACGGTAAACCTTGGACTTCCGTGGAGCCTGCTGTGGACATCAACGACGTGGCCTGGTGCAAGGATAGTGGTATGCTTCTGACTGCCAACGAAGGCCGCCAGCAGCACTCCTTCTTCATTCCCCAGCTCGGACCCGCGCCCAAGTGGTGCTCATTCTTGGACAACTTGGTCGAAGAGATGGCCGAGGACCCGAACGACCCCAACGCATTCACCAGTGCCCAGGCTGGCTCTGTCTACGACAACTTCAAGTTCTTGACCGTGCCCCAACTGCGTACGCTCAACTTGGAACATCTTATCGGTCGCACCAACCTTTTGCGCCCGTACATGCACGGTTACTTCGTTGCTCAGCGCCTGTATGAGGAGGCTAGGTTGATCACCAACCCCTACGTCTGGGAAGAGGAGCGCGCCAAGCGCGTCAAGGAGAAGATTGATAAGGAGCGTGAGAGCCGTATCCGTGGTAAGAAGAAGGTTGCCGTCAAGGTCAACAAGAAGTTGGCCGAGAGGATGCTTCTCGCAGAGGAGAAGCAAGAGCGCCGCAGGGCCAAGCAGGTTCTTGAGCGCGGCGGTGATGCCGATATGGTCGATGCACCTGCAACCGAGATCGAGAAGAATGGCGTTCTGGGCGATAGCCGTTTCAACAAGCTGTTCGAGGACGAAGATTTCGCTGTTGACGAGTTCTCCCATGAGTTCAAGGCTATCAACCCTAGCACTATTCCCGAAGCTCCCGCCAAGAAGGAGCGCGGCCTGACTGCCGTCGAGCAAGAGGCCATTGACGACGTTCCCAACTCGAGCGACGACGACTCAGACTCCGAGAGCGAAGCAGAGAGGCCCGTTAGAGAGAAACCCTCCAACAAGATTTCCTCTACCGACTACAAGCGCACTAAGCGACCCCCACCACGCATGCAAGTCTCCTCCTCAACACGCACAAGCTCCACCCGCGATCGATCATTCGGCTCGCGCGCGCAGAACATGAACACCAAGCAAAGACCAATGCGCAAGAACGGCGTCGTCGGTGAGCGCGAGGTCAGCTTCATGCCCGCTTCCAAGTCGAAGAAGCAAAAGCCGGAAGTCCAATACGACAAGACCGAGTTCCGGGCAAAAGAACGCCGTAGTGCCTCGAACAATACGTTCCGCAAGATGTGAGGTGGTGGTTGTGTTTTTTTTTTGTTTGCACCAAGATGGCGTTAGAAAATGGGGTTTCCATTCGGATTGTTTGGCCTGGTCTTTTGGGCTTGATATGTGTATTCTTATCATGGTTATGTTGCATGACGGTGTCACCTTCTGCATTTAGAGCCTTCTTTTGTTATATACCTCAACCAGCACCCAAAAGTATTATTTTCAACTATGATTCTACGTAGGAATGTAGTTAAGGGGTGACGCTCGTTGTTAACCACGGAGCGAGAATTCCATCTTCTCACGCTGCATTCTCGCCGTAATGACCAAAAGGCAAAGCAACGATAAGTATGCATATTTCGAATTGTAATCTGTCTGCTCTAGGAGAAACGCCCAAGAATCCAGCCTAGCCACGCATATTATGTTATAGCAATCATGAAGCAAAGCGAAAGAAGCCCCATGGCGCGACTAGACAAACTCGAAACCAAGGCATCGCGTTGACAGAAAAGCGGCATTAAGTCGTATCGATCGTGCAGTTTAGCAAATCCATTCCCATGAGAACAATTATCCTGATGGAGATAGACGAGAAAATCAACGTAAGCATGACAGAAACTTAAACAAAAAGCACTCCAATCTCTATGCAACAAGAGAGAAATCAGAAACAAGCTGCTCAGATGAGAGAAAATCCGGTCTATGATAGCAGCGAACTGAAGGCAGAGAAATGATGAAAAGAAAGATACAAGGAGAGATGAAAGTGAACTGTTTTAGATAGAAAAAGGTATTCGAAGTCACCATTCAACCGAAAGAGAAAGGAAAAAGAGCAAAAACAAGGAACAAGGCAGATGGGGGGGTATTGGCTTAAACGGGGCAAACTAGATTCGATGTAGAAAAAGATGTCAACTCCAACAGCGCGAGGCCACTCACTCTCACCCTCACACAACCCTACCAACCACCCGGAAGTCCAGCTCCACGGCGCCCACTGCCTCGGCGCGAACTCCCGCTCGAGTCTGCGCCGTGATTACCATGGCGGTTCTCCTCCAGACTCCGCCGCGAGGCACCAAAGTCGCTCATAGCGAACAGCAGCGGCTCGTCGTCCTCGAAGACGGCTTGTGAGGGCGGGGCCCGACTGGTGCCGGGGCGGTGGATGGATGTGCGGCGGATCTCGGTCGTCGAGTTGCCGCTGTTGCTGCCGCTGGCGTTGCCATCGTGGTCGTCTCGTTCGACCAGATGTGGCGGGATGTTGGCGCCGCGGGCAAGGCTGCTCGACGCCGAGCTGAGGGAGTGGCCGCTAGAGAATCCCCGGCCCCGAGAGCTTGCGAAGCGCGGCTGGTAGACGTTGGACGCGGATGAGGCAGCCGAGGGACCCGTAGTTGTCTGATCGCGAGTAGCTGTTCCGCTGGTCGTGGTAGAGGGGTCCTCGGATGGCCGGCGTCCCGTCGAGGCTTCGGGTTCGGGGTTCTCGTATTGCGGCCGCTGCTGTAGCGGGCCGGGTGTCTCGGCGCCCAAGCTCATGCTCCGGATCACGAGGTTGAAAATCTCCTCGTCGTCGCCCGAGTGAGGTCGGCGGTGCTGGGCAGCGGAGCTTGAGCGGCGGTATGCAGGTGAGAAGACCCGCGGCGAGGTTGGGATGTCTATCGCACCCGCGGTCAAGGTGCCCGCCTGTGTGTTCTCCAGGCTAGGATTCTCTTCCAGCGGCGAGTTGGGCTCCCGGTGCGGTCCTCGACGGTCATGCTCGGTTGGAACCTCGTCCGCAACGCTGTTCGAGCTTAGACGGGATCGGATGGCTGGAGTATGGGGAGTATGGGGGGAAATGGGCTTTCCAGGAGATGAAGCGGTCGAAATAGATGTACCGGAGATCATTGGCGGCACACCAGAAAGCTGCTTGCTTGAGGATGTGGAGGAGCGGTGCAAATGCATAGACGATGACATGGAGTCTGACAGCGCCGCGTTCGAATCTCGCATGCGCTGGAACCGCGCGAGAGCTGCCGAAGTAGCCGTGGGCTTTCGTTGGCCGGACTCGAGCGACGTGGAGTTGCTTCGGTTCATGAGATCCTTTGTCGAATCCAGCATCTTCAAAAACTCGGAGATATTCTCATCGTCAGCGTGGAAGGACTCGGCACTCGTCCCGGTGACTTCTGCAAGCAGACCAGAGCCCGGTTGCACGTTGGACGAAGCCGCACTAGCCTTGCCACTGGAGTTGTCATCCTCGTTCTTGGCCATGCCTGCGGAGGATGGTCGACCACGTCGATGGCTAAAGGAGCTACTGTAGCGGGAGATAGGTGCAGGTTTAGGGGAAGCGGAAGTAGATGATGAGATGGCTTGTTCAGATGCAAAAGTGGCGGGTTTGCGGGCAGAAGCTGCGGAAGAAGGAGGTGGCATCACCCGTGATTCTGCCGAAGTGCCCGTAGGGAGGCGAGCGGATGCGGTACGGGGCGAGACACCAAGAGGAGTGTCCACCAAGGAGGGAGATGCGGAAAGTGGAGGAGCTTTGAAAGCTTGGAATGAGATCGAGGGACGACGAGGGGAGCTTGACAAGCTTTCACTCGCAAGTTGAGCGGCACGTCCGGGTGGGGGTGCGATTCGTGCAGCAGGCAGAAGTCTCTTGGAGTGAGCATCAGATGGAGACGAAGATGCGATGCCAGTGTCTCTGGCCGCACGCAAAGCAGAAATAGGGCTAGTCCCCGTCGGGCCAACGTGGTGAAAGGTAGACAAACTGCCGTACGCGCGTGAACAGTCTGGATTTTCCACGGTCTTTCGCTCTACCGGCACCGACCCAATTTCAGGATTTAAACGACCAACGTCCTCTGACGGTAACGAGGGGCGGAAGATGTCGTCGTCAGCACCCATAAAGCGCGAGCTCAACAATGCCTCTGAATCGTCGACACGGAAATCACAATTCGTCCGGTACGTGACCTGCACTTTGAACGGTCCCGCTGGAGACTCGGTGGTCCCAAAGCTGTACGTTTCCACCGTTTTCTCACTGCCCTCGAAGAGGGGTAGCGTCAAACGATCCCGAGGGGGCCTTGACCGATCACTGCGAGCAGCAGCACTGGGATCAAGTATGCGGTACTTGATCTGCAGTGCAGGACTTCGCCGCACCTTTGTGTTGCGCCGCGAGAACTTCCAAGCCGGCAAAAACTTGGAGTATGTGAATAATGACCGAAACAGGACGATACTCTTCTTGTACACCGTTGGCAGCAAGGATCCTAGCTCAGCCGTGGGCTTGCTAGTAGCCTCACCCAGCTCGATCCTCCACCGTTCCAAAATGACCTCGTCCGTGCCCTGGGGGTATGCATGTGAGCCGGCTCCACGAGATGCTGCAATCGAGTCTTGTACATCCCAACGTTTTCCATTTTCATCCAAAATCACCAGACTTTGGTTGTTCGTGAGTCCCGAGGCGTCCAAATACGTCTCGATGATAAGCGGCGGGGGTCTATTCGTGGAGGCATCGCAGGTCCGCCATGTCCACAACTGTTCGCGAAGGAGATCGGTGTCTTCTAACTCGACATTAAACTGTTTCATCCGATCCGGTATATCAGCATGCGCACTTGACAGCCCAAAAATCAGAGACCGGTCGTGCCGAGACTTACCCAACGGTTCACTTTTGGGGTATCTGAATTCTTAGCATATGCAGGGGGAAGGTCGACACGAGCATGAAGTATGATCAGGGCCGCTTTGGTGTGGTAGTTCTACATCGAGTCGAAACAACGGTCGTCAGTCAAAGCTATCCACATGGAAGATGGCATCTCCCCCCCGCTTGATCACGTACCGAGATGATTTGATTCAACTTTGTCATGGCTTCTTTGCCCGGAGGTCCAAGGTCCTTGGCCGATGGCTCTGATACCGGTTCCGCACTCGCATCGATCCCCAAGCCCCTGGCGGGGTGATACCGGCCGTCGGTGGTGGGGGACGGTGGCACGGAGTCTGAGTCTTTGAGGTCATCTCGAGCGGCAGCAGATTTGGCGGGTAATTTGGGTGCCGACGAGGGTACCGCCGGCGACCGCGGGTGCTGATGCATGACGTGAGTCTATCAAGAGGATGGTTAGGGACGAATTGTGAGGATCCGACGCAGCAGAGCTTACCCCGACAAACGAGGTCGGGAGGCGAGCGCTATCAGCAGTGGCGGAGGGTGTTATCAGGAAGGCAACGAGACGGCGGTGGAGCTGGAGCCGCAGGCATGCTCATGGATATGCAGAAGAAAGAGCCCGATCAAACTCCAGGCAGAGGGTGAAGGGTGAAATATGATTTGCGAATGAATTAGAAGGCCCAGAGCAGGATGCGCGTCGGTTGGCGGTCGGGCTGAGGGCAAGATCGGGGTGGTTGCTCTAGAGGCGGACCTTTGGAGCCTGCAACGGAGCTTCTCCGCATCGACGAGGGCGGAGGCTGTTTCGTCTGAGGGGAGTTCACAGCGCGGGCACGTTGTGGCACCTACGGAACTATGAATGTCATGGTCGGGATTCTGTGGTGAGGATGGGATTTTATGATTATGAGGTCGGGAAAGGGATGAAGACGGAGGAGATGTGGTGAACCAGTGGATGCAGAAGGGGTGGAGAGCGAGGCTTTGGGCTCGTTTCGTCTGTGACGCACACCCGGTGACTCGACAGGTCTCGAGGGTTCAAGTCAGCCTGGAGCGCCACACCACAGCTGATCAGACTGGAGACGGGATGCAGTTAGAATCTGCTTCTTTTCTTTTTTTTCTGCCCTTGTAACTGCAGAATCGGAGAAAAACAAAAGGCCGAACGGGCGTGGTGCATCTCGAGTTGGTACGATCTCCAAGGTGCTTTGGTCTAATCCTCGTACTCCGGTCGCAATACGATACGGTCGATACTTTCGATACTTGCGGAGTCCCGCGAAACACCCAAAGATAAGGAACCCCCGCTGATCTCCCAGCTGATCGTCCGAGCACAATCACGTTTACATACCGAATACCTGACATTGAGGGTCATTCACTATTGGCAGCTTTGTCTATTGTAAGACAAGACACCCCCGTCGGAGGAGTGTTACCGTTGTTATAGTTCATCGTTTTTTGGCACTGGAATGATCCCTACGCTAGCCACTCTCCCCATGAAAGGCCGTGCATGAATGCTACTTATCTCAATGACTGTCCATCTTACTGTCAACAACCTTATGGCTGCCTAACTATGATTCAATCTTCTACGAGGATTACAGTATTGTGGGCGACTACCGCTAGGCAGACCGCCGGGCGCACTGCAGCAGAGCCGCGTTGAATGACGCAAGCGAGCACGGAATAAGGATCATTGAAGTTTAATCCGGGCAGTGGAGGGAAATCATTATTGCCTACATATAGGAGATCCTATCGTACAATGGACGAAAGAAGTCTCGTAATAAAGGATGGACGGGACTAAACACAACGAAACGATGATGATAGATCCATCTTGAAAGAAAGTCCATTCCTACTGCCAGAGAGATACTCTGATACTCTTTCAACTTCACAATCACATGATGTGCCATTGCTAAGCATTCGTTCCGTGTAAAATGGTAATAAAACGAAATGTTAAAGGGGTATAGCTACGTATTATTACTGACCCGTAAATAACCACAACCTATGTATACGTTCACAAAGCCGTCTTTGAAAGGCACTCTCTAAAGCTAGCTAGACAATTAGATTAAGGCCGAGTAGAACGCGTAAGAAGAGACCCATCTTGTACGAAGCGGAATTATTCTAAGAGTCATGTACAATAAGCACCTACACTGGGTTATACTTAAGTCGAGAAAATCTGGATCAACCTAATATTATCAAGTTAAATCAAAATGCTGTAAACCCCTTCCACTTAGTAGACAGATCATTATCATATAGTAAATTATGAAGAGAGGGAATATAATTCGCCAGAGTCGAAATGAAGTGTGAGTGGTCACTCGGGGCCCCAGAGCCTCTATGGTAAATATGACTGGATGGGACATCTCAAAGTCAATGAAAGGCAGGCTCACCAAAAGCTTACCCGCTGTAAGTTCTCAAAAAGGTCTTTAGATTTGGTTGGCTTAACAGTGATTTCCCCATCATTTAGCTTCCTATACCACTCGGCACTCTTCGCCACATCGATGGGTCTCAGGGCCCTTCAAGCTACTAAGACCTTGATATTCTACCACTTGCCATCAGAGAGATTCTGGAAGGACTGATCCCTCACGGATAAGTAGCAGTCACCATCCTCGCAGACACCATCAAACCGGCCCAGCTTAGCCTTGGAATAATCCTTGGTGAGATCTCCGTTGATGTTCTTCGCTTTGACGAGAAAGGATTTGATCCAACTACCAGCTACCACCAATAGCGAACACTTTGAACTGCTTATTGACACTGTGTAGGATCTCAACATTCTTTCTATAATTCGGTTGAATGATGTTGGCAAAAGCGATCCCCTTCAGCAACTTCATCCAGCTTTCGATTCATCACTAGGCCTCCTCTCTAAGGAAATCGTTTGATAATCTTTGGCAAGAAACAGATCTTTATAGCTTTGTCGACCACAGCCAAGAAGCATCATTGAATTGTTCCATTTCGACAACGGACTGCTTACTATTCCTATTGTTTACAGCCGAATCCACCGACGAAAGTAGTGTATTATTTCAAAGTACTGATAAAAAGCAACTTTCCCCACTCCATATTAGGCTTAGCGTTTCATGTGAGTATAGATTGAAACAGCTTCTGTGTCTAGTCATAGAAGGCAATAATGGCCGAAACTGTAGATAAGTGTCTTTATGTACATTTCGTCCACATCCCAATGCATCCATATATGTATAGACATTCAAGACGCCCTTCATTCGATCCATTACTAACCTCGAGTTCATAAACTCTGAGATCCCCCAACGTGACTAAGTTTTCACCAGGTGACCACCTGATTAAGCACATTCAAATTCTGCTTAACTTTCGAGTCACTCTGACCAAGATGAGAAAGCACGTCAATTAGCTTGGTCAGAATCGGCTCAAGCTCAACACCAAGGGCAATGGGATTAAGGATACTGCCAAGCTCGGTATTCTTCGAGCATCCCTTCACTGTTTTACCCGCGAACGCAGCCTCGACGAAATTGATCGCGTCCGGGAGAGCAACCACCTCTGTTGTTGCGTGACCACCAGTAGCGAAAGTGGTGAACTTGACGCTGACACCATTGCTACACCATGAATCAACCATCGTGGATGCGTTGGTGTAGGGGATGACCTCATCTTGCCTCCCATGGTAAACAAAGACTGGCGCCGCGGGAATCTCCGTCTTGTTGACACCCAGCATGTTCTTGCTGAGAATCTTTTGAATAGTCGGTTGGTAGAGCAGACGGTCGCCCAGGCTTTGAATCTCTGTGGACAACAGGGACATCTCAGGGAAGGCAATCAGGTCCCCGACCGCGCAAGTTGTTCTTGCAGTCTCTAGGGCCTTTACACCCTTTGCAGTCAAGATGCTGGTGATAATAGGGTTGAGCTCGGCACCGTAAGCACTAGGCATCGACAGACCCGCAACGGCAGCAGGAAGGAAACCGCTGAATAGCGTGTTATCGATGAAGACCAATGTACCAGTCAAGTTGGCAGGAGTACCGCCCTGCACCCAGCCCTTGATGTCCAGCTCCGGGGCATAAGTGGGCTGCAGTGAAGCTGCCCAACCCGTTGCAATTGCACCACCCGAGTACCCAGTACCCACGATCATAGGTTTGGCACTTGACAGACCTAGCGTCTTGAAATTGGACACGGCTCGCATACTATCTAACACGCCCATCCCCTCCAAGTGACCTGGCGCAAAGGCTGCATCGGGCCCCTCGTAGTCGGGCGAGGTGACAATATAGCCCAAGAGCAGGTAGGCTTGCAGAATCAACTGCTCGGCCGAGGAGATGATGTCGGTTTGTGAGGCACCCAGCTGATAATTGTAGCTAGGGTTACAGATCGTCGCTGAGCTATCGTACGCCGTGTGGAAAGACAAAAATCGATCCTTCTTCGCAGACGAGGGCACGAAGATAGTCGTCACTCCAGCGATAGCCGTGCCATTGATGGCCGTGGTGCGATACAGCAATTGGTATGCCTTGACCGGCTGTGGGATAAATCCCAAGAAAGCCACACTAATCTCCCGCTCCCGTAGGATAATTCCAGGCGCCTCCGACTGGTAGCCAGCTGGCGGCTGATAGAACGGGTCATCGCTAGGAGCCATGGGGGCAGAGCGCGGCAATGTTCTCATAGATGCTGGTCGTGCAGTAGCGATAGCCAGCATGAATGCCAGTAAGGCCACCACAGCCAGGCGCACCGATGAGCCACGATAGGAGGCCATGGCGAGTAGAATTCTCGCCGGATGGTAAGGGTTTCTAGGGATTGAGTCTTTGACGATTCCCACCACAGAAACGAAAATCTCGGAGGGAAAGCCCTATATATTCACCGTCCGACAGATCCAGTGAATGTGATAAGAGCCTCCTACCGAGGTAGCTCAGCCCAACTTTTGGGCGCGATCATTCCCCATTTCCCCTGAAGGAAGCGGTTCCTGCATCACTCTCCTCCAAAAAGACCAATCCATAAGTGCACCCTTCTCGTAACGGAAGTCTATAAACCCGTACAGGGTGTCATAGATATGACCGATATTTTCCGGCCATCTTGCCAAATATAAGGTCTCGTCGGCAAAGAAACCCTTGTGCCTGATCCAATTTTGCGCTGTGGGCGACTCGGGGGGAAATCGTTGGCGAGAAACCACTGGAGAGGATCGGCGGTGACCCCGCAGTCTCGGGGTCCTCTCCATAAATTACTTGGTTAGTAAAAACTCCGCATATACTCCGCAGCCATCCACCCATCATTATTTCGGTTAGGATCGACGCCGCATGGCACCGTGCTCCTGAACGGTGGACGGCTGTCGGAGACAAAGTCGATTGCGATAGGACTAGGTGAGATGGAAATCGGGAGGATAGAGGGACCGATGATGATCAATCTTTATTCTTCGTGACATGTGTTTGCTTATGAGGACCGTGAACTCTGGATTGGTGACCAGGTCGCCAGACAACGGAGGAGTATTCCGGTTAGCCTATCAAGAATCGTATTTTCTCCGTATCCAAAGCGAAGAATCTCCGGAAGGCTAATAAATGAGAAATTTGAAGATTCTTCAAGATTCTATTATCCCCATCTCGTTTAGTGCTATGCCTCTAAATTGAGTTCTACGCCTTCCATAGAGTTTGATCCCTTCCACCGACCCAGCAAGATAGTAATTTTGGTAGAACCGTCCACCCTCTTCCCTATTATAGGTGATTTTATGATCGTTCGGGTCGGGAGATGATTTCTGACCGTTGTACCCACCCAGCTACGTAGATAGGACCCTTTCCAAAGGTCATGGCTGAAGGTACATATTGTAACTCTAGCTGCAAACCGATTCAATTCTTGAAAACATGTTGTGAAGTCATGTGGATGCACGCGAAACTAAGTATGTATCTGGTGATTTTAAAGCATGTCCATCTTCCTGGTTATACTCCCAGGAAGATTCTTTCCATCCGGCTAAGGAGAGCTAACCAAACTCATCGAAAGGAAGTGAGAATGATTATAAATCTTCGAGGGGCTAGTCAGCGGATACTCGCAAGCTTTCTACATTAATAGGTACCGATATGTGTACCGGAGTGCTTCCTAAAAGTACCGACGTGAACTTTGTTCACCCCTGAGGATACATAGGGTAAGCCGGCGAGGTGAATCTTGGGTTACATCGAGACATGGTTGTGTTGAAGAGCCAGGGATTTCACGAGCTCAAGACTTTTGCGAGTGCATTTGATGGAAGACATACCGAAGTCTATCTGTGAATCAGATGAAGCTCTTAGGAAAGGAAGGGAGCTTTTCAAACTCATCATATTGAACAGTGCTCCTTAAGGTTAATGAACACTATTACTCAGTCACTTGCGCAAGATGGTAACGGTATAAAATAAAGATTTGAGATACTACTCCACCCCAGGCACTGTCTTTGACTATCGTCAGGGTCTTGCTTTCGCTAAGACCAACCATATCCACGTTTCAAAGATTCTCTGCAGGATGCGCATGCTATCTTGTCACACCCGGGGCACTTGAAAGCAAAGCGCCGAGTTTCCGTCAAAGAGCGACTACATCTGAAACGCCCTTCAACCTTCATCCACCAGGCTTTATGTTCGCAGACTACTCTCTGAGAGGTGTGTTGTGTGCGTTCTTGAGCCTGTGCCCGCTTTTTGCTTTCCCTCTCTGCCCTTAATTTGGCCAAATGTCGGAGATAGGCCTCTTGGAGAATATTCACGGCCTCTTCCTTTCGCCTTCGAATCTCTAACTCAATCTTGAAGGCTTGTCCAACGTGGCTATCAACGAGTCTGCCAAGGGCTTGTATCTCAGCGTGTAAAGTAGATTGTGCAGCATCTTTGATTCGTCGAGCGGCAAGCCTTTCACGGTATGAACGATCTTGGTCCTGTTTTTGCTGCTCAAGTCGAGTCACTCCGCCTGGGAGGAAGGAGATCAAGTAGTTCCACATGACTTGCCCCGTATATGCCTTCTCTTGCTCCATTGAATGGATCTCATTATTCAAGCGGGCTATATCTGTGCATAGTCTCAACATCCTCTCACGTGCAACGTCGAGACGGCGCTTTGAGTTCCTGATCTCATCTTTGCATTGTCGAAGTTTTGATTCTAAGTCCTTATCTACATCCTTCTCTTTGCTATTATCTGGTCTCTCTCCATTTGACTGGCCCGCTGAGTGCCGGGCCGATGCTTGCTTGAAGGTATGGCATTTGGCATCGTAGGCTTTCCGAGTATTCGGATCAAAAAGGACCGAGTACGCTTCATGAAGCTAATCGAAATTAGCTAATATCAAGTTGAAAGGGAAACTGACTCACAATTTGGAAAGCGGCATTGGCGTTCTTTGCTTTATTCTTATCAGGATGCGTGATCAGGGCTAAACGCTTATAGCTCGACGCGATAGTTTTCGAATCTGCGTCCCTTGAGACTTGAAGCACTTCATAATAATCGGGCTCTTGTGAAGAAAAGGTCATCGTGGAACTGTCAGTGACTGGGATAAACAATCCAAAATACTGCTTGGAGTGGGATGTGCTTTTAGAAGTGGAATTCTGGCGATTTGAATTCAGGGGTCCTGACTTGCCGATTCTCAAGGCGAACTCGATTAACCGCCGAGGCTCTCATTTTGCGTACCTCAGCTGCAGCAAACATGTTGGTGTCCAACCAACCAACACAGTAAATCAATTTTCCAGTAATAATTTCAAATTCGAATAAAGAACTCTTAGCGAATCATTTCTACTAGGCGTCAAGCGTCAATTAGCTTTGCAAATGGCTGAAAAATGTAACACAGACTTGATTCCGATAGAGAATCGTTAAAATCATCTTCAGTCATAGTAAAATGCCCTGGTCGAATTTTCCCTTCGTCTACTAGTAATGAAGAAAGAACTGAGTTCATGCATTACTAATGCAAGTTCAATTGGGGTACGAGGCAAAGAGTCTATATTAGATGGGTGTAGACAATTTTGGTAATGTTGATCGATCGCCCTATTTTACCACCAACAGCGAAATCGTAACTCCACAGCCAGCGGTATAATATCAGTATTGGTAGAAATTGGGCCTATGACGTTTGCAATTATTTCACACGAGTCATGGTGGTGGTGTATTGAATTTGAAGAGTACTGTGCAAATGGAGTACAGTTTAATTATATATCTTGGCTTCAAGACCCGGAATGATCTCCAGAGCCTTCTCTCCGTAGGTGTACTTTCCATCCTTCGACACCTTGACATCCTTGTTGCGCCGTTGTTGCTGAGTCTGTCGCACCTTGACCCACTGCTCTGTAGTGAGATGTTGCCCTAATTCAGTAAACACATTCTGCGTCAGACCCAGCCGATTCAGCAGTGGACTATTCTTGATCGGGTCCAGAACAATATGGTTATTGGGCCTAGAGAAGTAATTAGACATCAAGAATCGCAACTGTACGATACTGAACGTCTGGATGTAATGGGGCTTACCGGGCAAAGTATAAAACACCCAGCCGATCGACATGTGCCTGGTCTGCGGGCGGAGTGTGCACACGATGAACGCTGGACTTGATTAAACCACCAGTGAGAGCCGTCAAAGCATCACAGGTATTGATAGTAATAGTCCCGTCCTCTGGACGCACCCACTTCCATTCTCCATCCGAGTTGAGAATCTGCAGGGCAGCAACGGGCTGGCGGAACAGAAGTGTGATTGAACCCAGGTCAGTGTGGCCAGGGGAGTAGAGACCGCCAACTTTCTCGTTATCTTCCGCACTGCGAGCTGCGTAGTGCATGTAGCGTAGGTGATCCTCGCCTTTGACGTCATACTGGTGGTCACGGACTAGTTGGTCCTCGTCTGGAAGCTCGAGGAGGATGGCGAAAAGGCGAAGTAGCTTTTCCACTACTTCAGTGTGGCATTTCTGTAGAGATATAATGTGAGTGCCTGATCTCTCATGAGTCTAGTTAGGATGCATACGCGACTGAAAGCCTCAATCGTAGCAATATTTTCCGACAGCACTTGAGGCTGCGGCCTCTCATGATAGCCATCGAACTTGGGAATGTTGTACACCTGCACATTATCCTTGATTCCGTTTCCGAGGCTGTGGCTCGGTTCAGCATAAATCCTATAATGTGTGGGAGGCATTCTCACATGCGATGACCGGCAGGTCGATATCCATTGTATTCGCCCCTGACGAGGTCATCCGCGTTATGATACTTGAGCTTCTCCTCGAGCGGCAAAGCGTAAAACTCGCGACCCAAAGCGAATTGCTGATCAACTTCCTCTTGGCTGATGTTAAAGTTCTTCACATAGAAAAATCCTGTTGAAATTCAGGTCAGCAACCGAAAATGGCACTGATCATGGAAGACAAGCTTACCGACATGCTGAACAGCATGCTCTAGCTGTTTAACAAGCTCTTCCTTGCCACCGGGCTGCTCATATTTGCTTAGGTCGAGGGTGATTAGCTCCGCCCAATCCACTGTTTTAAATGAGCGAAAGCCATATCACGCGCATTAGAGCGATCGTATTGTCCGACGTACAATTCTCCTTTGTCACAGGAACGTGATCATATCTGTCGATGATTTTTCCGGGCATATTGACATGAATTCAATGAGTCGGTTGCATATAGAATCGTGATTATGTCCGGTTGTGGGCTTCAATCAAAGCTATACTCGAAGGCGCCCGAACGACCGCAGCATGGTACACCATATAAAACCAACATCTCGGCACCAACAGCCGATCTCAACCCCGCACGACTCGGCACATTATACTGATTGATAAAGCAAGCACGTCATAAATATGTCCGCATGAGTCGTGCGATAACGGGTGATTTTCGGTTGGTGAAATGTTGCTGAAGCCGGGGGCTGCGCACGCCATACCTCGTTAGCATGTCGCGGCCGTCAATCTGACCAGTGCCGTTCTGCATCGACCACTTAGCGTCTTTGCACATTCTCCTTTCTTTATGTCTTGCTTTGATTCATGTTCGACTATTTCTGTGAGGTTTGGTGCCGGACAGACTCCGATGGCCATTGCGATGGCGACACTGTGTGGAGGAATCACAATGAAGACCGCGAATAAAAAACTGCAGATACAAAGCGACGGGATTTGAGAGGCAAATGTTATTTAATCATCTGCAAGGCTATTAAATCTCCATAAAACTATCCGCAAGGCATAATAGATCTCAACGATAGGTGCCGGGTAGATATAGCTATGTGTGAAGCAAAACCAAGGCCTAGAAACTCCGCCCTCGGAGTCTTCAAGGAGATCTTCAACTGGTACCCGTCTCACTATCCGGCTGAGGAGAGAAGGTGAAACAGAATCCTGCATCTAGGATCCGAGCAACGATGTTGATTTTTCTCCAGGTTACTATTCAAACTAGACCTGTCAATCTTGGTCTTTGCTTGCCTGTGCTGTAAGTATCACCAGAAATCCCAAATTGATGTCTGAGACTAACGGGAACAGTTTTTGTCAAATACCTGGGTATGCTGCTCTATGAAACTCTACTAGGAAAATGGAACTGAACCTGGTGACCAGATCAGACAAATATCAGCAATGCCTACGTTAGCGGTCTCAAAGAGGAGTTCTCCCTCTACGGGAATGAACTGAATTACTTCAATGTTTGCTATTTCACAGCCTATGTTGTTTTTCAAGTACCTGGTCTGCTGTTGATGTCCCGTCCCAAACTGTATGTTCGAATATCCGGTTCGTCGTTCATCAGACTGAACAGCCGACTAACGAAAGCAGAGCCCGATGGCTACTTCCTGGACTCGAGATATTATGGGGTATCTGCACCTTCGCTCAGAGTCGCGTCACCAGTGTCAACCAGATCTATGCGCTGCGTTTCCTAGTTGGTATGCTGGAAGCACCTGTCTTCGCGGGAACACATTTTATTCTCGGTAGGGTCAGCTTCAATCACAGGTAGCAGTCTGATACTAACAATAGATGCAGGTTCTTGGTATTCGGGGCCAGAGCTCTTTAAGCGCGCCGGGACATGGTTCATCTGCAATCCACTGGGTACTATGGTCAGTGGCTATCTCCAGGCAGCTGCCTATACCAACCTCTCCGGTATTAGCGGTATGCCAGGCTGGAGATGGCTCTTTATCATTGATGGCATCTTCACCATTCCCGTGGCCTTGATTGGCTTCTTCATATTTCCGGGTATTCCAGACTCACCGCGACCCTTCTATCTAACAGAAGGCGACATAAACTTGGCCAAGGAGAGACTGCGTAGAGCGAAGGTCCGTCGACCAGGGAAGCTGAATGCAGATGTCTTTAAGCGCAGCTTGAAACGCTGGCATATTTGGGTTTTCATTTTCTGCTATGCGTATGTATTAAGCCGTACCTGGTGTGTTTGTTTCAGCATGGGGTGTCCAGAAAACTAACATTGGTGAATTCACTACTAGGTGCATGATTATTTCCTCCTATCCTATGGGTTATATGAATCTGTGGCTCAAGGCTGAGGGTTATTCGGTCACCCAAATCAATCAACTACCCACGGTCACTTATGCAATTACTATCGTTGCCTCATGGCTTGGAAGTACACTTGCAGCCATCTACCCTGAATGGGTGATTTTCTCAATTGGTTCGGTTTGCTGCTTCTTCTCGACGATTTGTATGATTGTGTGGTTTATTCCCACCGGGTTAAAGTAAGTTGATTCTCGTGCGAATGGCTTGAGCCATACATTCCGCTCACCCGTCGTATAGATTTGTTGCATGGTATCTTTTCGGCGTCTCTGGTTGCCTGAGTCCCATCTTGTATTCAACCGTGAATACGATTGTCAAGGATGACTCTGAAGAGAGGGCATTGATTCTGGTATATATTTCCCTCTTCGATCACCATCCGCTATTTATCCAAACCCTAACTTTACGACCTAGGGCTCTATGATGACCTTTGGCTACTCCTTCAACATCTGGGTCCCACTTCTGCTTTTCCCAACTGCAGGCCCTAATGGCGCTCCCCGGTGGAAGAAGGGGTGGCCCGTGGCTTTTGTTTTCTACTTTTTGCTCTGGGCGGGCTTCGTGACCGCTGTGATCATCCATCGACGGTAGGCACATCATGATGAATGCAGGATAAGACGTATACTTACTCTGATACCTAGTGAAAAACGAAAAGAAGCTGCACTGGCCGCCCAGGCCGCGCAGGAAAGCACGGACGAGGACGTGGAAACCATCATTGTTGACCGGGATGCGCATGCTAAAGCCGGGCCACAGGATTAAATTGGCTGAAGTATAGCAGCCTGGACTGACGAAGCGGGGTCTATCGGAATAGTTCAAAGCATATCATACTTCCCACCTTGGTCGAAGTTCCTCATTCCTCAATGATAGGTTCGAGTACAGTCAGATTGTCAGTCCTGCTGACCTCGCAACTATGTCACTCAAGCTGTTACCTATTCGTATAGCAGCTACTATTGCAATCTTGATACCCAAACCTGAGTGCTTATAACCACGAAATTGCCGCTGTGAAATGATAAGATCATGAGCTCATTTCAACTTCGACAGTGCTCTCGATAGCTACATATCTGTAGACATGTCGCGGTCGTGGCGGGGGCAATGGTTCTGTTGAGAGTGCGGGGTGAAGCAACGAGGAGCGGGGGGGATGTAAGAAGATCCTCCTGTAGATCGAAGAATGTCACGCAGATGCAAAGGAGCGCCGACTGGTGCAAATGCATCAATGGCAACAGCCAGCAGTCGGTCCCCATTCCCCCACGGGCTCAATCAGCCCGGATCCGATCGTCACGTCCATCCACCTCTCATGGGGCCGCATGGAGGGACGTGCGGTCGGTCATTGGCCAGAGCGTTCGAGAGGGTCCACGATCCGTGGGAGCATGACGGAGGGCAACGATACGGAAATCCAAGAATTCAGAGAGGAAATCCAACAGTCCCTTGAACAAACTCGAACTCGACTACCTTAGCTCTGCGCCATTGCGATCGTGCCTCGTCCTCTCCCCCTCCTCCCCCTCTTCGTCAGCAGGAGATCCGAATATTCCCGCAACATACCTCACACATAAGGACAACTCATCGCCACCGCGAATACCCTATCCTTGTGAAACCCACAATCGAATTTGTGCCACCGCGCCGTTCTTCAGAACTCATCGGAATCGCATCGTCCACTCCTCCAGAACGCGTCGATCCATCCCGAATCGACTCTCCCATCCTTCGTTCGATTCCCCTCAGAATCCTCTTATCACCCAGCTTCCCCGTCGCAGTTCACCCGGTCGTGGACTCGAGGTGACGGCGACGCTCCGGTGCGGGCTTGGATAAGAGATTCTGCGATCCCACCACTCCGGGCACATGAGTAGCAAGCTTTGGGAATATTTCATTCAAGATGATGTGGAGAGCTTCAGCCGGTACCTGGCGAACGCGACGTTCGCTGGACCGCGAGCTTCTGGAGTGTCTGGCGCAGCAGCTGCCGCGGCCACAGCGGCAACGCTGTCGTCAAAGACTGGAAGCCCCGGGTCAATGATCCCCTCGTCGCCGAATCCAACCAAACAAAGGAAAGCATCCGCGGGGTCGCCAGCAACCTCCGTACCAGACCGATCGGGCTTTCCACGCGGCAACACCGCTCTGTCGCGCGCCGATGTCAATACCCGCGATCATTTCGGCAGGACGCTTCTGCATCATATCGCATCCTCGCCGAAACCCACGGCATCGAGCTTTGCACGTGCGTTGCTCGAGATTCCGTTCCTTGATATTTATGCGCAAGACTGGGAAAGTGGTTGGACCGCATTGCACAGAGCTTTGTATGCCGGGAATGCTACTATTGCTCGAGCTTTGATTGCGCGGGACACGCGGGATATGACGGATTACAGCAAGCCGGGTCACACTAGTCAGAGTGGAAGCCTGATCAAGATCAAAGATCGCGAGGGCTACAGCCCGTTCGACGTCTATGGATCTACCATCACATCTCGGGATATCAAGCAGATCTCGTCAACAAGATGGTCGGAGTCTCTGGCTTCTGATATCGAGGGTAGTGACGCTACTTCCAACCCTGGATCCAATTTTGGAGAGGGAGGTGAAGACGACGCTTATATTGTGCGAAGCGTCCTGAAATCACGAACCGACTTTGCCGCCGACGAAGTTTTTACACTCGGTAGTAACAAGAATCTGAATCTTGGTCTTGGTGACCAGGATGATCGACAGTTTCCAGAAAGAATCGTGCTCACGCGCCCGGATCATTTGCTGAACCGATTCTATCGTGAGTACGAGGAGCAGATGGAGAAACTTGGTCTTGAGGATCTCCTTGACCATGGCAACTCAAACGAACTGCCCACGGTCATCAAGAACAAGCCCATGAAGCTTCAGAATGTGGTCATGTCAAAGCTGCATACTGCCGTGATTACGGATGACCCTGAAGCCAACCTGTTCATCTGTGGCTTTGGCCCTGGGGGTCGTCTTGGCACTGGGGATGAATCTACCCGGTTCAGCTTTGTGTGTATCGAGACGGGTGGATTGGCAGGTAGAAAGGTCATGTCCGTTGCTCTTGGTCAAGACCACAGCTTGGCCATCACCGAGTTCGGTGAGATCTTCAGTTGGGGCAGCAATAAATTTGGTCAGCTCGGGTACAGCCTCCCCAGGACGAGCAACAAGAACGATGTCCCTATCCAGTCAACTCCGCGACAGATCTTCAACCCTTTCAAGAAGGAAACTATCCTCGGAGCGGCCGCTTCGTCCATTCACTCGGTCGTCTTCAGCAACTCGGGTCTTTATACATTCGGCAAGAATGAGGGCCAACTTGGCCTGGTCGACTCGGACGCTCGGTCGCTCGAAGTACAGACTACCCCACGACGTGTTGGTGCTTCTCTCTTCAAGTGCCCCGTCCAGATGGTATCTGCTATCGACCGTGCGACAGCTGTGCTCCTCCAGAACCACGAGGTCTGGGTCTTCTCGCAATATGGCTATTCCAAAATTTCATTCCCCCTCGAGGCAACCTCGAGATTCATCCGGGATAGCTTCATGGCTACGCGATACGACAGTTCCGTGAATCACGTTGTCAAGCTCGCATGTGGCGGCAACACGATCTGCGCCCTGTCCAGCTCTGGTGACGTCTTCACTGTTCATGTGAACAAATCTGAAGATCCATCAGCCCAAACATCTACAACCAACCCTGCCAAGATACGCAATTCACTGGCTACTCCTGAAAGGGCTTGGTCTGTCAAAAAGTCTCACATGGCTGCAAGTGATGTCGATGTTGGTCAAGATGGATCGATTATCATTTGCACCACCTCAGGCTCAGCCTTCAGGAAAGAAAAGCGGACGAAGAACAAGGAGGGTGTATCCAAAGACTACAAGTTCGCTCGGATTCCGGGCCTATCTAGGGCTGTGGCTGTACGCAGCAACGCCTTTGGAGCCTATGCAGTTGCGCAGCGCGACTGCGACGTGACAAGAGAGCAAATTCACATTGATGAGAGTACCCTCTGGGATGACATTCTGCCGCTCTCGCCGTTTATCACCCCTTCTTTCGATGACGTAGAGGTCATTCTGGATGAAGATGCTACCGACAACCCAATGCCGCTGTCCTCAGCAATGGCTATGAAAAGGGCAATTTTTCAATCATCGGAGATCGAAAGCCAATTCCTTTCCATTCGCTCCGAGGGAACTATCTGGGTCACCAGCTCCCTATCCGACGCCCGGATTCCAGTGCATGAGTTCCTGTTAACTGGTCGTAGCCCAGTGCTTCGCAAAGCCTTGCAAGATTTCCGCGAGTTCTATTACGCTTCTGTGCCTGATGTCTTTGACATCGAATACGGTAAAGATGGCATTACCCAGATTCGGCTTCTGGGTACTGATTTTTTGACTGTCATGAATGTGGTGTTTTTCCTGTACACCGACGGCATTCTCGATGTTTGGCATCAAGCTAGGAGCTCACCCGAGAATGCAGCACGATACCGTCAGGTTCGCCTTGAAATCATGAAGGTTGCGACTCATTTGGGTCTTCCAATGCTGGAACGCGCTGCGAGGTTGATGGTAGAGCCCCAAAAGAGTTTGAAAACCGATATGGCTCATGCGATCAACCACCCCTCCTTCTTCAACGATGCGGACCTGGTGGTTGAACTAAACGGGGACGTCGTCAAAGTTCACAGCCAAGTGGTCTGTCAACGATGCCCCTTCTTCGATACTCTGTTCCATGGCCGCTCTGCGGGTGGATGGATTGCATCTCGCCGAAAGAACCCTGCAGACAAGATACACGTCGACCTCAAGCACATTGAGCGGTCCACGTTTGACTTTGTCTTGCGGTATCTGTATGCTGACACGGAAGAACAACTCTTCGATCAAGTCCGAACCAAGTCTCTTGATGAACTCATCGATCTGCTTCTGGACATCGTGTATGTGTCCAACGAATTGATGATCGACCGTTTGTCACAGATATGTCAAAAGATGCTTGGTCGATTCGTCCATACTCGGAACATTTCCTACCTTCTCAATTCGGTTGCACCGATCTTTGTCTCTGAGTTCAAAGAGGCCTCTCTGGAGTACATCTGTCTGAATCTTGAGGCCATGCTTGCCAACCGTTACTTGGAAGAACTAAACGAAGACCTTCTTCAAAAGCTTGACATGATCTGCCATGAGAATCAATTGTCATGCTATCCAGTCTCGCGCGGCCGTAACTCGGAAGACTATGTCCTGGAGAAATATCCGGAGCTAGTGAGCTCCGTCGGAATTGACAAGCAACGTCGCATCGATGCGATGGCCTTGCAGTCTCGCCTCAGTGAAGTGGAATCGTACGACTTCCGACCACGAGGCCCCGCAAATGACAAGATCAATGCATCACCATTGGCGCGGAAGTCAAAGGGCAATGTGCCAAGGGATACTGAGAGTTCTGTCAATAGTCCATTGCTGAAACCAAGACAATCCACGAACGATCTCATGTTCCAGATGGATGATGAAGCTGCTCTTTCACCTGGCGATTCCACCAAAGGAAAAGCCGCCATGCGTGGGCTTGGTATCGACAGCCGGTCTTATCCTGATTCACCGGCGCTGGGGGCAAGTATTCCAGAAGGTGAATCACTCGGCGACGGAGGCTTCCTTGATGAACGAATGTCTTCACCACGGGAGGGTTTGCTCGGGGAATCTCCGACCGAAACGCGCGCAGTCGCAATGCACCAGAAACGAGCTATGGCTTCCCCGTTCGATATAGGCTCTGCGCCATGGGGCTCTCCAGTGACCTTGAATGGCAAGAAGGATCTCAAGGATATTATGGGCGAAACTTCACAATCGAGGGTATCCAACCTCACCTTGGAAATGGAGAACCGACGGGAGAGCAGTGGCAACTTCAATGCCAAACTATCCCAAAAGGAGCGAAAGAAGATGCAGCAACAGCAGATGCAGGAGAAGCTAGCTGCCCAACAAAAGGAAAAAGCTTTCCCAAAGAGCCCCTGGCAATTGCCTCCACCAGCTGCTCCCACGACGCCTGTCAAAGACCCTCTGCCTGGACAGAGTGGGCCCAGTACACCGACATCAAAGCCGTCCAAGGTAGCTCAAAAGCCGGCCATGACCCTTCGGCAAACAGTTGCTGGAACTCCTCCGGCACGCTCCAAGCCAATGGCCACTCCCGTGAAGCCCCAGAATCGCAGCGTCTCGGGCAATGCCGCACCTCCTCCCTTCTCCAAACCGTCCCCTTCATATCCACCAACTTCCCCTCCACAAAACCTACCAAAAGCTTCGCCGCAACCCGCAATCCAATCTATCCGTCACATCCCCCGCCAAGATCCAAACATGCGCTCCCCATCCGGCGGGTCCCACTCTCTTGCAACAATCCTACTCCAACAACAATCTGAAAAAGACGAGATTCGCGAAGCAGCTACTGCTAAGCATAATCTGCAAGAAATCCAAGCCGAGCAGGAGTTCCAACAATGGTGGGACCAGGAAAGTAAACGTGTACAGGGTCTCCTTGAAGTTGAGCCTACTCAGCAGCCTGCTGGTGGGAAAGGTGGCCGCGGTGGGAAAGCCCCTGGTGCAGCTGGAAGCTCGCGCAAGCGCAGAGGCAATAAGAATACCGGGCCCGATGCTGGTTATCGGGATCAAAAGCATACTGCGCCTTCTGCGGCGTCTAGTACGCCTAAGAAGAACGTTAATGCCAATGGTTCTGCCCCGGTGCCTGTGCAGGGATCTGTAGCAGGGAACCATTCTTCTAGTGCGGGAGGTGGGAAGAATGCCCGTCGTGGAGGACATGGAAACCAGCGTGGCAGGGGAAAGGATCGGGTATAAATATCGTGTCTGTTTAATAACCTCACTCCCTATGCATGTCTCGTGACATGGTTTCCAATTGTGTTCTCATGTGCTGCTGTCCTTTCCATCCCGCGCGTCTGAGAGAAGGCTGTGATAACCCCTTCTTTCATGGTAGCCCAACCCGTCCAAACTTACAAATACCCCCCTCCTTTGATTGTTTATCAGCTACTCTCTTCTTTTCGGATGTCAATATATGTGACTAACAACCACGGATACTCTGGCGTTTCACGGTTGATCCTCGTGAGGATTTGATAGACTTGTTGTGCTTGCAATATATTTCTCTTCAACGGGTTACCGTTGTGAATCTTTCTACCATTTTCGTTCTGGTCATCTCTCGTCTAGCATGAACATCCACAAATGCGTATATCCCTCCGGTAGCACCACGAATCGATGGTGGGATCGAAGCCTACCGAAAGAGCTACCTGGCCTCGTGGCATCGCCGACAAGTCTCTTACGAAGCTCGACAATGTTAAGCAATTAGAAGTAGCCCAGGCTGAGGCGGGCTTACTTGAATCAATTACTCTATCGCCTCTTCAAATTCACCCACTGGGCTTTTCAATGACAAAAGCTCGTAACAGGATTTATGAGCAAACCAACTAAACCAAGCATCCTATAGGCTCCGCTCTTATCATCGCGAAAAGCTCGGCCATCGGCATATTGGCAAGATGGCTCGCAAATCCATGGGGACGCAAAGGATAGACGACCGTCCAGCCTTGACACTTTTTGATGGTCTTTTCATCAAGGCTTCCACAGCCTGCGAATAGGTTATCCCAGAATTCGCTGACTAAAGCGTTGTTGTTATCGAATTGCATTCAGCCAACACAAGGGCGGTGGTTACTCATATATTGCTGGAGAGAATGTAGATTGGCTCCAAAGGGACCTATTACTGCTTCGGCCCAGTCGATGACTACTACTAGATTCTAATCATCGGCGTCAACGATCACATTGGACCTGTCGAAACTCTTGTGGAGAAAGACCAATATTATTCCAAAGATGGCAATCAATGCGTCGATTCACTGCTGGATGATTGGGTGGAAGCGATCAGGTAATGCAGGTAAGAGTCGCTGTAGGTCTTTCGCATATTTTGGTTGCATATTTTCACGAGACGAATTTTCAACATTGAGGGTTCCTCCAAGAGAGAGAAAAGAGTGTTGCCTCGTACAATCTTGATATTCGGCCCAGATCTATCTGGTAACCTCAGGATATACTTATGAGCATCACCCGTTTAGACATCTTCAATCCTCATGTCCGAACGAAGCTACAACCCTTAGCGCCGAGAACTATTCTATTTTCTACTTTCGTCCCATGTTTATTGAATAAATTAGAATGATTGAAATACCGACAGTGGCCATTAACAAAAGAGCACCTATTAAACGGAAAAGATATATATAAACAGTCCGCAACATCTACCACCATCATATCTGACGACGTTCCCAACGTACCGTCGCAGGCTGCATTGGACGCGAAAACAGAGACTAGAAACCAAACCAGTCAGTAAGCAACCACAAACAAGATCCAATCCATCTAAGAGCACTCACCGAATAATCCGTCTCGGGAACTCCCTCCCTGTCTTCCGGATTGAAAAACCGAAACTCCCTCACAAGCGTCGCAACTATAACATCAAGATTCAAATACGCAAATTTCTCGCCGATGCACCGATGTCTGCCTGCTCCAAACGGCAAATAAGGACTCTTCGTCCCCTTCGATACGGCACCATACCCATAATCCACTGTATCAGATTCATCTTCGACCTCAACGCGCTCTTCCCATCGATGCGGATTCCAAGTCATCGGGTTACCGAAGTACCGCTCATCACGCGCTGTGACACCAGGTGACGAGAGGAGGGTGTGGGAAGTTGGGATCACATAGTTTGTTCCCGGGATGGTCATGGGGTTTTTCACTTTGCGCATGAGGGTATGGATTGAGGAGTGAATGCGTAGTGTTTCTTTGATGACGTTTTGGAGGAGCGGTAGTTTTTCGAGGTCGCTATATTGCAGGGGGGGCAGGTTCGCGCCTAGGGCGTTGATTTGCTCTTTGTATAACTTCTCTGTCATTTCGGGTTCGGAGGCGAGACGGAGCATTATCCAGCAGCTGATCGCGGAAGAGGAGTGTTGGCCCGCCATGAGCAGGGTGATCATCATATGGGCAATTTCTTTATCCGGAATTGGTCTTCCATCCTTGTAGACGCAGCGCATGAGGTTCCAGATCATATCCTTAGTATGAGATTCTTCGGCTGTGCCAGCCTTGCGTCTTTCGCGGATAATGTCCAGGTAGATCTCGCGCATGCGTGCATGAGCTAGATCCCGTTTGCGATTGTGCGGGAGCGGTGCCCAGGGGAGCATGAAGTTTATAGGTGAGAAGCCGAGGTCAAGATCGTGGTAGAGGTCCGCGAATTCGGAAGTGAGCTTTGCGCGGACTTCATCTCCTTGGAGGGTACGGCCGGCTGTGAAGATGGTGATCTCGGCCATTATGGCGCCGAGGTCAATGGTGCCGGATCGGCCTTTGAATTGTCCAGATGTTTTGATGTATTGGTTAACTTCTTCTTCGATTAAAGGGACGTAGGATTCTAGGGCTTCTTGGCTGAGGCCGAATTTGATGAACTAGTTGCGAGTCGGATGTTAGAAACATTCTTCTTTTCTGTCTCGAGGAAGAGGTCCGGCGATGGAAAGGGGATTTACCTTCTTCTGTTCAATGAGCTTGGAGTTTGGGCAGTCATACACGACATCAGACCCGAAGACCGGCGTGGTCAGCTTGCCATAGACCTCCTCAGCATTGACATCCTTCAGCTTCCCATTGAGAATGAACTCATTCCCATCCGTTCCGAGATACACAGTGGTCTTCTTCCCCAAGAGGATGAATGTGAAGATATCCCCATGCTAGTAGTGGCATTTAGAAATGAGCTCTTGTACCATTAGGTATCTGTTTTTCCACATCAACTGGTACATACCTTCCGTCGACACGACATAAAGAACTGGTACGGATCCATACCGTAGCTAATTGTACTGCCCAAGATAGGGAACCAATGAAACACGACTGGAGGCTCATTCTTGCTGTAAAAGAACAGCTGGTTGACGACGTTTAAAAAAACAGAGATCAAAACCAAAGCGATACCATAGCCCGAAATTCGCAGGACCTGGCCAATGACCAGCTGCGGCAGAGATTCCATTTTTGCTCGATGACTCTCACACAGTTTTGAGAAAACGATTGAAAAGAAATGTATACAAGTTTATACTTGTCTCAAGGGCAAATCAGGCAGACAGGATTAATCATCTTAGGGTTTCGCGGTCACGCCATGGTCGATCCCCCGGAAGGCCGCGCTGCCGAAATCCGAATCCAGTGCGCAAGGGAACTTCAAGAATTGCGTCCAATAGGAGCCAGCATTATTCAGTCACCCATTCCTACTATGACTTTCCACGTATCCTTCACGACTAGTAGCAATTTGGCGTCCTGTTCTAAACCCCTTCAAGCTGGCAAAAGTCTACGAGGGGAGGAAAGGCCCCTGTACTGAAGCAAAATCCCAAGCTAAGGAAAGATTTTATTTGACCTTATTGAAATCTGCCAAGGATAATACAAATGGCATTCTTTTAGAATTATGATTAAGACGTAAATGTGGGCGAATTTGACCGATTTCTTCTTTCTTGAATCCTTGCACAGATTAATTAACAAGAGATTAATCAGAGCTGTTGAACGAGGTGTCTGCAGGAAAATGACTTGTAATTCATCTTCGATACTGGTATGACTTCAAGAATCACACGGTAATGGCGTTGTGAATTGTGACCGGTTGGTGGTTATGGACACAGGCGCGATTGTGGAGGTGGGCAATCCAGCCACATTGGCGCAGGAGGCTACAACCAAATTTGGTGATATGGTAAGAGCAGAGAACAAGTAGGCCTGACGGTGTCGATGCAGTCAATAAAGTATAGTTGTTGGGACAGGGGCGTAGAAGACACGTTTAGAAGTCAGTCATTGGTAGCCCAACATTCTATTCCGTGTTTAGTTCTGTTCTTCATGCCTTGACTTCGGTAACTAAACCAGCCTATTAGTCGACTTTACTACTTGTGAGCATTTAACCATAGTTATTTTCTGATCTTAGTCATTATCGTTCACAGGATACCTTGAGCCTCTTCTGGATTCTTGGACTAGTCAGACTTGGCTGACAGCCCTCTACAAGGAATACCACCGTGCTTCTGACAACAAGCAAGGTTAATATTATACTGGGGAGGCTCGGGTAAAGACAGCCTTATCAACCCAGAGGTAACTTAGGCTTTTGTTCTTGTACAAGAACGGTAGAACTCTGGACTGATAAATTGGTAAGTAAAGGCAATTAGCGACCATGTAGACCGCCGACCTGGATCGTCTAATCTGACTTTGCTGATCTTCTGATGGGGAAGTACAGGTGTTATAAAGGAACCACGGAAAGTATGAAATCTAATGATCGAAACTGATAGTATAATTATCATGATATCTAGAAGTAGTCCAAGATCTTCCGTCTACGTTCCTCATCCGTCATCTTGGAGAAGTGCTCGAGCTCCGTCTCCTTGATCTTCATATACTGTGAGAACAACTCCTCTCCCATCCAGCTTTGCAGATCTTTATCCTCTCTTGCATGGCTCAGCGACACTGCAAATGTCTTGGGCATACGCTCCGTGATGCCGAATTCTCGGAGCCGGCGCCCTGCTTCTTCATAAGAGTTGATGGCAGACGGCACGACAGGGCAGTCAGCGTATGTCAAGACCTGATTCTTCTGTATCCCTGACATGCCAGAAGAAAGAAGAGCAGCCACGAAAAGGTACACATTGGCCGTGGCATCGAGAAACCGGAATTCCCAACGATTAGAACTGACTTGACGGATAGGGAAGTCCTTATTATGAGTTCCCCAGCCTATCCACTCTCCAACATTCCCGCCACCAATCACGCGATGGTAGCTATCGTAGGTTGGCAGACCAAGTGCGCAGAGGGTTTTCATGCTCTGGAGGATACCCGCTAGGAATGAGGAGGCATCCTTGGAGGGGACAGGGTTGAGAGATAAGTGAAGGTGACAGCCACTCGGTGGGCCGTGGAAGGTTGGCCGCGGCGCAGTAGTGGCTTTAAGTCCATGACGGATTGAGATGGTGCGGATTGTCTCCTGGGTCATCATGAGGGCATCAATAGCCTGCATTGGGGAAAGGGGCGACAAGGCGATCTCGAACTGTTCCACGCCTTCTGTGTGGAAATGATAGATCTCAATTCCAGACACCTCAAGGGCATTCACGATTTCTTCCAGGATGACTAGATTGTTCGTTCGAAGGCCAGCTGTCATTGAATATCCAGTCATGCGGTCGAAGGAGGTTGCGGGTTGGAGGGTCTCATCCAGAAGAACGAATTCGATTTCAAAGCTCATCAGCAGCTTCGACTGGCAACTCTCTTGAAAGGTGCGTGCTGTCTTGTGCAGCAAAGTCCTAGGACACCTTGCAACGGGATCCTTGAGGCCGGTGTGCGTAGTGCTGCACATAACCGAGGCATGAGTAGGCGCGAATCCACAAACCATGAGCGACTCCAGGTCTAGGTTCAGTATCCACTGTTCAACGCTATCCGAAGAGCATAAAGGTGCAGTAGAGATCGGGATAATCATGCAATACTGATCCAGATGATAGCAGTCTGTCCCCTGAGCTAGGCGGAGACATCGCGCTTTGGTGATGATTCGTGTGCGCAAGACGCCCGAGTAATCGACCCAGTGAAGACGAACGAACTTGACGCTATTGTTCTTGGTAAAGAACTCTTCAGCCAAATTCGCCACCATTACGAAATGATAAGTGTAGTGTGCTAAGGGCTTCTGGTTTAAAGAGGAGCTAGAGAATTCAAGCGAGATCTACGGAGTGAGAGTGGAACTGCTTCATGAGATAAGTATTCCCGAGTCACGTAAGTAGCTTAGTGATGCAAAACAAAAGCAAGGACACAGCAGCGCTAATTCACCCCAACGCCTAAACAGGGCGCCCTCCACCCGACTACTTCATCCAGTCATGGGCTTCGTATCCAAGCCTTTGGGATATGTCAGCCCAAGGTGCGAGTCATTTACCTTAGTTTGTACAACCCGGGTGTATGCAGCAAGTCCTTCAGGCTTCCCACATGATTCGCTCTGCCTGTGCGGCTTGAGACCATCAGCCGCCATGGCATATTCCTCCTCTTCAGGGGTAAATCAATGAGATATATGAATGACCACTACCGCCACAGCTAACGGACATCGGATGCGCATGTTGACTTTGAGAATGTGAGCTATGGCAGAACAAAAAGCGACCCCCTATAGCTATGCACAGGCAGTCCTCAGACACTCCAGAACGACTCCCGACCGTACACTCTTCCCCGGTCATAATTATCAGGCACTAGCAAAGTTCCTTAACCAACCCTATTTGCCCCAGACGACAGGGGCTCCGTATCCCCAGCTGCGACCGAATCAGCCGCTCGTCGTCCTGCACAGGTTTTCCCAGGATCAAGAGCACCAAGTGCTGCTCTACAACCCAACCACCACCGGACTAGAACAACTGGACCTCGAAACACAAGCTGGCAGCAACTCTGGCAAAATTGTTTTTTTGAATGGGTTCGTACCGCCGGAATGGTTGAATCTTATCGGTGCTCGATACCGCGTGGACCCCGAATTCTATCGACAGCATCTCAGCTTTATGCAGCAGGAGGGCCAGCCAGATTTACCTGGATTACCTTACACATCGAAGAACATCGTGAGGCTGCCTTTGATAAGTATTGGGACATGGGGAACGGACCGGATCTCTCAGAAGGGATGTCTGGCAGGCCAACGGTCCGCAGCTTTCCAGAAGATAAAGTCGTACTTGCGCAGCTTCGACGCAACTACTCTTCCTGGACAGGGCATCGCGCGAAATCTCATTGTGAATGACGCGGTACACTTTACAGTGGAACAAGAAGCCAGTATCTGTGTCGAGAAGAAGGATGGCGGATGGTCAGGTTGGTGTCTATCTCTTTTGCGTCAAGGACTCCTTGTGACTGACAGGAATAATCAGCAATTTGCTGGCTAGACGGCGGCCTTGACTTGGAGTCCCCAATCTTTCATTCCTGGCTGGGCAACCAGAGCTTTCCTCACCACTCACCCTGGATCTTGCCCACGTACATGTATCAGCCTAAGATGGCTCTGATCAACCCGACACAAGTTGACAAAAGTCCACCCCTATCTGATTCATACCGAGCAACCGAGCAAGCATGGCGTGGCTTTGCGTCACTGCCGCGGCTGTACGGCCAGCAACTCGATAGAAACTGCAGTCATCAGGATGCATTCTACGCACTGACACAGCTATTCGCAATCTCAGCATTCTCCGTGAACCAGGGCCTCAACCTAGTCGAGCAGTGTATTGACTCTCAACTCAAGTCCAGCATCGAGGACATGCAAATCTCCCTTGAAAATCTCCATGAGGCAAAAAGCATTGTCCAGAATTACATCTGCGGGTTACAGCGCATCCTCGAATTCATCCAGACCCGGGGGTCTGCGGCAAAATGGCCGCGCGCGACAGCACCAAAACAAAGAGCGTCAGCGGACGCCGCGGCAGAGGAACTGATTCATAACTATCAACACCTCCTTAATAGTGCAATATCGCTTGCGCAACGGATCAGCTCCGAGAGCCAGTGGTTGATGCACAAGGCGATGTTGAATGAGTCGCAGAGAGCCTTCTCTCAGGGCTCTCGTGTGGCGAGACTTACCTTTTTGGCATTCCTATTTATTCCTCTATCTTTCACGTCTTCCTTGTTTGGGATGAATATAGTTGAGCTGGTTGGCGAGGCTGGACCTAAAATCAGTGTCTGGCACTGGGCGGTTCTTACGGCCTTTGTATTTGCCGGAAGTTTGTTGCTCTGGTGGTGGGAAGCGGTGCTGCGTTTCATCAAGTACATTTCTAGTAAGGTCAACGGTAGAACCGCTGTGATCGACAAGGGATCATAATGACCGTACACGGAATGTATTCACACTATCTGATGGGGAGGTCTAAATAGCTAGGATGAAGCTATTCTGTACACATTTACCACTTTGACTTATTGACAGTTGCTTCCTGACAAATCCCTGAAGGTATACTACCGACCATGAACAAACTGTCGTGAAAGATAAGGCAAGAGTCTTGGCATTCCTTAAATATGACATTCAATTTATAGCCGTAACGCGAAAACACAGGTCGAGTCAAATATCTCTATCGCACCTGATGTGTGAGATTTCCCGGACAGCCTTGCGATCCATACGCGCACTATTGCTTGTGCAAAACACCAATAATGACCTTTCTGGATGCCTGCAGCCAAATGTTGAAGCGCCAAGCTGACGGCTAGAACCCTACGGCTGAGTGAGATTTAAGTGTAGCTTGGCGATTCCAGCCTCGTTGTGGATTTCGAGGGACAACGAGCGGCGACCATTACAGAGCGGATGGAGCTTTCTCATTCATCGATATAATACGTATCTTTGTCTAACCTATGGCCACAAAGAAATAAGTATTCCCGTTTACGTGGGTCGACGAACGGTTGATGTTTTCGGGGTTCGAGAGATCCTGCTGGGTTTCCCGCCGTAGTGCGAGCTAATGGCAGGGGTGGCAACGGGGTATGTAGCTAGCCAAAACCGAAAATCAACACGTCGGAAGGAAGAGGAGTGGGGGAGCGTTTGCTGCGGCAAGACTTTTCGGGAATCCTAGTTCCTCAGGAAACGTGTTTTGTTCTGTTGCGTTGTCATGCCAAGGATGGATTCCCGCGAGGCTGCAGATAGCCTCGGGTCCTGCTCTCAACAAGGAGGGAAAGATGTGCCACGAATCCCTTGCTAGACTGACATGGACTAGCTCATCCTGTCAACGCGATGAAAAGTCGGGCAGGCAAGCTATATGGTTTGGCAAAGGCTCAAGCAATTTCTGGCCACAGCTTTACTACAGGGGAAAATTAATTTGAGCCTCGTAGTACCTATCGTGTGAGAGGCAGACATACAGGGCTAGCTTGAACCTCGTCGGACGTCGGACCTATGCATTACTGGACAGGGTCGTGATACCGAGTTAAGTTGGATCTAAACAGTCGTATAAGAATGAACCTCCACCAATTTCTCTCTCTCTCTCTCTCGCAGAGTCTGTTGAACAAACGACCCCCTAAAAGTCACGATGACCCGCAACAATAGTACCCACTTCACCACCCAAATCAGCTTCCCCCGGCGGGATAACCCTGCTCTTGCCTCAGAGAAGCCATACGTCCTTGATTACTTCCCCGGGCGTGGCATCCGTAAAACAAACATAGAGTTCGAAGTTGTCCGCAATATTGAGGTCCAGGACCTCCGCGAAAGCTCTCTCTCCTTTGAGAAGAATGGGGTTGGTGTCACTCAGCTCATGACAGCCATGGAGTACCCGGATTTCCAGGACGTGGAGAAAGTCGAGAGTTGCTATTTGCAGGAGGCGAGGGATGCTATATCTGGCTTTTTGGGGGCGGACGATGTCTATGTTATTGATTATAATGTAACGAAGCTTTGGTGTCCGTTCATCTACTTTGTTTCTTCTGGTACCTAATATGAAGGATTGATTGATAGATCCGACGGCGTGATGCCACGTTCCCGAGCGCAACGGGGTCTTCTTATGATGCGGCACAGCCCGTTGTTGTTGCTCACGGCGGTAAGTGCTACATGCTTCATTTGCTCATAGGAAGGGAAAGAAAATCCACTCACCGATAGCTTAGATTACACTCCTCGAGATGCGTACGAGCGAATCAAGATTCTATTCGAGGAAGAGGCGGAAGCGAAGGCAAAGCAGAGGTTCCAAATCGTGAAGTCAGTGTGCCTATATCCATGTCTTTCCACTGGAGGATGAAGCAATCGCTCTTCTAACAATCCTGGTCACACATAGCCTATGGAAGCCCCTACGTGGACCAGTGCGCGACTGGCCCTTAGCCATCTGTGATCCTCTTACAATTGACCCTGAGCGAGACGTTTTATTAGTTGATGCTGTCTTTAGGGACTCAATCGGGGAGGGATTCAACCTCCATCACCATCCGGACCAGAGATGGTATTATCTTAGTAATCAGACTAGTTGTGAAGCATTGATCTTCAATGGGTATGACTCGAGATTCAAAACAATGTACGGGGTGCCTCATTGTGCCGTGGAATATACTTTACCTGATCGAGATACAACTCCTCGAGAGAGTGTGGAGGTTCGCGCGATTGCCTTTTTCAAAGACGATTAAAGAGATGAGAAAGGACACAAAGAAGCCGAATTACATGAGCGTGAAGTATTGATTGTTATCAAAGCAGTTGCCATTTGATCACCGATAATGTACTGTCGAGACACACAATAAAAAACGTGGGCCAATCCCATACCACCCTAATGAAAGACCTCACTTCTTCTTGATATCAATCAATATTTGCATCCAAAATAGATTGCGCTTGGTCCTCCCTTCTATCTCATTCGCCCATTAGAGTTACTATCCATTACTGCCTCGGCTTGCTGAGACATGTACCTCAACTCAGAATGGTGAAAGAGCGCTGAATAGGTATCAGCAATAAATGCGTCATATGTCAAGAGCGTCATACCAAAGCTCCTGCATTTGACCCTCCTAGGTACATTTAGAAATGGTGGGCATCTCCTTTCCTTCAACTTTATACAACTTGTCTCGCACTCGACCGGCGCCGGGACCCTTGCTGTTCAGCACAAGAGGGTCTTCCTCCAGAGCACCCGAAGAGGTCTCATCCGCTGCGGCTGTCTCTTCTGCTTGTGGGGGCCAATTCTGTAGGTAGGGCTGCTTCTTGCCATCACTAATGGCTTCGGCGAATTTCACCGTACTCCTCTACCGCCCTGTCAGCTTAATCTTCATAGGTAAGAGGGGCGAAGGGCTCTTAGCACATTGCACACGCCGGCCATTGCAGCGAGGATATGTGTGGCTTGTTGTATTAATTTCTTCTGGACTGTGTATGAAGGATATAGAAGCAAATACAGAATTTAGAGCATCTTTCTCAAAAGTTTTGCTGGTCTTATACATGTTTGCACCCAACAATATCTCCGCTAAAATCTCCATTTTCTTTCAAAGAATTTGAGCCTCATTTTCTCCTCCCAGACTTATAGGAGTGTGTGACAGATAAGCGGGGTAAATACGCGGCATTGACTGATTGGAGGCAGGATGAGGCTGACTTAATGTCTAGCGCGAAGGTGATATGCAGCTTCTGTCACAAGAGGAGCGAGTGCAGCAGATAGTCAAAACAAAAAATGGGAGTCAGATGATAAATCTGCGTCGGCTTTTGGTCCCTCATTGGTAACTGCTGCACGCTTCATCCCCGCGTCCGCCTGGTCATCCTTGCGTGGCCCGTTTGGTGCGACATCGATAGGGATTTGTAGCCTTGTCGGAGCCAGCCAAGGAGCGAGCAATGTGAGTTGGCACGCCACCCCCACCTCCCCCCAACCATCCCCTCGATGCATTGGAAAAAAATTGAGTTCTTCGAGGTAACTCTGAGTTGAGCCTCATCCGATTCTCGTTCAGTGGTAAGCCTTATCCATTGTGGACAGTAGCCTTGTCTCGCTGGTTGCTCAACAAAGACCAGGCTCAACCATGGATTTCGCAAATCCAGCCATGTTCAATGCCGGAATCGAGCAGCTGTACCCAGATGCCGAAAAGGCTGGAGATATCAGACCATCCAAGGGACTCAAGTTCGTGGCAACCCTGACGATGGGTTCCGCCCCCCGTTGAGGAGGTTACTGACCGGCTTGCTTCTCATCTCTAGCGTACTGCTCGTTCCAAATATCGGGTCTGGAACTGTGCAAAAATGGTCCAAAAATATCAATGACATTCCCTGGCCGATTCGTCTGTTTCCAGCGCAGTCGGATGGCGTCAGGGTGCTGCAGTTTAAATATAATGCAGAGTTTAGCCGTCAATTCTCCTGGATCAGTTATATCGATTTGGGAAGGGAGCTCCTAGAGTGTCTTCTCAACAATGCCTCTACATATCAGGTCTGTTGTTATCAATAGCCTTCTGGAATTCATGCTAAGCTGCAGCTTATTACTAGCTATGGAGCTACCCATTATTGATAGTGGCTCACGGATTTGGTGGAATACTCGTCAAGAAAGTAAGATCACACCGTTCGCTCGGCATGTTTATGTGAAAGGCTGACTCCCACCCGCCCCAGGTGGTCTCGCTGCTCTGTGACGGGAGTTTTGACCCATCCCTCCGGAGGCTATTGGACACTATCAAAGGACTTGTCTTCCTGGGAACTCCGCATCCGATCTCAGAGGGAGCTGAATCAAAACAGCAATTAGATGAGCTTGTATGCTCATATGGCCGCTTCTCGACAGACACTATACGAAAAGTCAACGAGGAAATTGCGGCTTTATGGACAGTTTCCTCCAAATTCGAAAAGATTTCATTTGCACAGGCTATTTTGTCGGGTTTCGAAACTCTTCCCACGCGCTACCATTATGGCACTTTCATTACGCGTCGAAAGAAAGTGGTAGGGATCCATCCTTGGTGAAATCGTTTAATTTGACACGTCACTAATACTGAATGGCGGACACCCATAGCTTGTCGGCCAATCTCTGGCGGCGACCTGCTTGCCGTCTGAGAAATTGATCGGAATCAGCGCAAACCACAGAGAAGTGTGCAGTGTGCTCGGTGGGTCAAGGATCCATGATGCCGTCACTGAACTCACCACAAGTCTGTTGGAATTTTCAGAGGATGTGACAAGCGATCCAGGTTTGAGAGGTAAGTATCTTAGCGGAAGTATGAAGACTGTGACTACTAATTTTTCAAAAAGAGTCGCTACAAACTCCAAATAGTGCCAAGATGTGGCTAAATACTCCCACTGCCTCAGAAATCGATCCTGCAAAAGGTTAGACTCTTTGTTATGTTTTCCCAACACAACGCCCCTCAGTACTAACCTGAAAAGCTCCGCAAAGCAAAAGCGGACTCGCCAGCCCACAAGTATCTCTCCAGGTAACGGTAGGCTCGGATGATCTCTCTGGTTATGAGATCCTTCCAGCCAAAGGGGGACCTGTCAGCGAGATTCCAGCCGTCAGGCTTCCATGCTATATTTTTGAGAAGGATCATCCGCCAGGGGAATGCTACGGTCGAATGAAAATACTGGACCAACTAGATGAGACTTTACTCCCACCAAAAACCGGCGGGAAACCGTCGGCGGCGGCAGATCGTGTTCGATCATTTGCCCTCTGTGGCCCTGGTGGAATCGGAAAGACCCAGATTGCCGCGGAATTTGTCATGACTCGAAAGGCCGCCTTCGATGCGGTCTTTTGGGTGAATGCAGATAACGAAGTCAAGCTCGCCGAGAATTTCAACCATATCGCTGCGAAATTAGGGTTAGTCAACGAACTTGACCAAGGCGGCGCCGTTGTCAGCCGAGACCGGGTCTTAGAATGGCTCAACAGTCCATCTAAACACGGGAGGAGTGATTCCAACTATGATTTCGGAGTCAAAGAGGAGATTGCCAATTGGCTTCTGGTGTTCGACAATGCAGATACTCCAGAGATACTTGCAGAGTACTGGCCTGTTGCTGGCGTTGGATCAATTCTGGTCACCAGTCGCGACCCAGTGGCTAAAACGCATTTTTACTCTTCTGGCGGCATAGACCTGGAACCGTTCGATCGTATCGAATCGGCAAAATTTCTGCAAACTCTGACCGGGAACGACAATGAGGCAGATTATGAAGAAGCTTTGGTATTAGCTGATCGCTTAGATGGACTGCCTCTAGTCCTCGTTCAAGTGGCATCGGTCCTCCAACAACAAGATCTCTCGTTCAGTGAGTTCCTTAGCTTGTACAACGACCCAAGATTTTTAGCAGACGTTCACACTACGGTGATTGCCGGGCTACGTGAAAAGAATAAGCGAGCGCTCCTTAACGTGTGGCAATTCGAAAATCTCCCGGGCTCCGCACAGCGATTGCTCGACCTGATCACCATGGCAGATCCCGATGCCATCCCGGAAGTCATCTTCATTCATCCCGACCTCGAAGGCTTGTCCGCAGATGTCCCGGTCGACGCACGCACGTTTGAGGTGGCGCGAACAAGCCTGCTTCGGGGCTCCCTTATCCGCAGAATGAAAGAAGAGAAATCCATTAGAATTCACCGAGTGATCCAGGACGCTGCGCGGGCGAGAATGTCACCCGATATGTTCAACGGCGCTTTCAAGTCTTTTGCTGAATTGGTGCACGCCACATGGCCTCGCGGGGCTTTTAATATGAGCCACGAAGTCCAGTATTGGACGCTTTCCGCCAGGCTCCTGCCGCACATTGAACAGTTGAGGCAGATATACTTGGCTCAAGATCACAGGAACAGGCTCAATCTTGCGTCTGTGCACTTTGGGAAACTGCTCATCGACGCAGCGTGGTAAGAGAGAACTAGGAACTTCACATCTACATAAACGCATAGACTAACTTTTGCGGTCAGGTATCATATGGAAAGAGGGAATCATCCCAGCATGCTCCCATTTCTAGAATGTGCCGAGACTGTACTCACAGCTGCGGGTCTTGGATCATCTATGTCAATGGCTCTATGTCATTTCTGCTTCTCTGCCAGCTTGCAGTGGCTGAGGAACTCAGATAAGGTTCGATATCACTGCGAACAGAGCATCCGCATAAGCCTACTGAATCGCGATGATGACAATCTGGCCACTGCGTATACTGAGCTCGGAACGCACTATCTCGCGGTAAACAACTATGAACAGGCACTGGAGTTTTCCAAGCGGTCTATCGACATTCAGAACACATTTTTAAATCAAGTGACGGATCCAGCGACGATCAAAAGTGCGCGGTACCTGGCCACGTTTCCCAAATGCCATTCTGCCTATGCACTGATTGGCCTAGGACGCCCGGATGAGGCAGAAGAGCTGCTTAGACCCCTTGTAAATTGGTATGATAGGGAATGGGGCCTACTAAACAATCGATCATACAAGTAAGAAACCTAAAGTTTTGATGCCTTCTCTGACGTGCCTCTAGCTCTCCACTGACACTTCATACTCCTATGCAGAACTGGAATGGCAATCCGTGCTTTAGCAAATACCCTGGCCGCCCAGAATCGCATGGAAGAAAGTTTTGAGCTCCAGGAACTCGCCCTGCGACAGTATCGACTGACCATCGGAGATAATCATCCCCATACGGCTGGTACGATGCTCAAAGTGTCCGACCGCTATGTCCAGCTTGGAAACCTTGATATCGCAAAGTGAGTCTTATCTTCCCACCTATTGCAATGTCAATTTCAACTTTTGCTGATTCCCACGAAGTGCTCTGCTCGATGAAGCCTTGAAAGTATGGAGTAACCGTCCATATTTCCGACCCGAAAAGGCGTGGACATTATACAAGAAATCGTGTATTGTGCCAGCGGGCGACATTTCGACGGTCAATGATTTATGTGCCCAAGCGCAAACGCTTCTAAGAAGCTTTGCGGAAGATATGAAACTCACGATAATCACCGGTCCATCCGGCGAAATTGAATACCAGAATTATGTGATGTTCTATTTCCGCTGACGACCAAAAGAACATTGCAGAATTGAATGCTATTGATGACCAAATGAGTTGATATTTCTACATTAAATCTACATAAGACCTAGGAACTCTCATTGTAAAATATATTATGAACTTAGAGTCTGCATAAACTTGCCAGATTAAAATTCATTGACTCCCACATCAATTATAGCGCCTTATTTAGGTTAAATCATGTTGGATTAGGGGATGAACAATATACTTTCCCCTAGACTAGGTATTACAAGAGCCGTTGCACTCCAAATATAGCGCCGCACTTGAATAGTATGAATGAGCAGATTTCCTCAGCTATTTGAGATAGACGATATTGCAGAATAAACAAGACGGTTCATAATAGATAAAACTTGATGTAGTATGGATATACCAACCATCTAAACGGCAAATCCTCCTGAACCTGGCTGTCTAGGTTCGGCCGCAGCCTCCAAGGTCCCATTCGGCATCCTCCTGACGACCTGAACATTCGACAGAGCATCACCCCAGATAACATCATGACCTCTGTCCCGCATAGCAGCTACAGTGTCATTGGAGAAAGTTTGTTCGAGGTACATCTAATGATACCAAAGGTTAATTCAAGATACCGCAATAGCAGGCGGAGGGAAATCAATAGAGCCAGGACTATACACTATTTGGGATCAGCTGATCATGCCACCTTGGAGCTTCAAGAGCTTCAATCAAGGACATCTTCTGGTCGAGGACGCGCCATAGACTCAAGGCTGTTGCCGTGATTATTCTGGACCCGCCAGCTCCCCCAGTGACGAAGTAGGATGTCTGAGATTTGGTCTCATCGTTCAAGGAGTCCACGATTACGGGAGTTATCGAGGACAGCGGTCGCTTTCTGGGCCGAATGAAATTCTCTGGAGAGGGAACATATCCGTATTCGTTGGTGGTGTTGGGGACTGAGAAGTCGTTCATTTCGTTGTTGAGTATCAGCCCTGTTTCGGGTACCATAACGAGAGATCCGAAATTCAGGTTTATTGTGCTCGTCAAGCTTACGGCCATGCCACTTTGGTCAATTACTGAGAGATGTGAGGTACCATGGCTGCAAATTTATTAGCATGCTTTTCCATTTCAAATAGCGACGCCTGAGGAAGAGGAGGGGGGGGGGGAAAGGAAATCCAGAAATTGTATAGTCATCTTACGTGATTAAGGACTCCAATCCGTCGGGATTGTATGCGGATATGGGCTGGGTTGAATTATCAAGTATCCGGTTTCGAATTTCGGCCGCAACATAGAGATTCAGCATGCGCGCCTCATAATCAGCCATACCCTCTACGAACTCCGGGTCCCCGAGGTAAGCGCGCTAGACCTGTCAGTAAAGACTATGGGATCGTATAGAAGCCCCTGCACACTCACGGAAGCAAAAGCAAAACGCATAGCCTCATCAAGCCGGTGAACACTTAAATTCAGTGAATCCAATCGGCCAATGTCGGCATACCCGTTAACAATATTCATGATCTGAAGAAGCACCGCTCCGCCAGCGGGAGAGCCACAGCTCGCGAGCCGATAGCCACGGTAATCAGTCATCACAGGTGCCCGTCGTAGGACACGGTAGTCTGCGAGATCATCTATGGTCATAATCCCGCCCTTGGATTGAATTGCACGGATTGTGGCATCTGCGATATCCCCCGTGTAGAAAGCCTCGGGTCCTTTTCGAGCAATGGTATCCAGAAGGCGGCCGTAGCGTTTCCTTGTCATGATATCGCCGAGACCGAGTCTGGTTCCATTAGGGGCGAAATCAATACTCCATAGAGGATCCTTTGTGAGGATGCTGTCCGGACCAAGTCGGTCCATAGCCTTGACCAATCTCTTGCCAACGCGGAAGCCTTCTCGGGCCACTTTGCTAGCTGGACGTATCAACTGATCCCAAGGGAGTGTGCCGTAATGTCTATGAAGATACTCCAGACCCTGCAACTCACCAGGTACACCCCTAGGTTTGTGGTTAACATGACGTGTTGGACAGGCGGAAGAAGCGTAAATGACTACCTACACCGCTAGACCTCCGTATACCGATGCCTCGATATTATCCTGGTACATATCCTCGGAGGCCTGAGCAGGAGCAGATTCTCGGAAGTCAATTGCATCGAACGAGCCATTTGATGCGCGGACCAGGGCAAATCCTCCGCCACCAAGACCCGTTAATTCCATCCCTAAATTTCGAGGTGAGAAAATACCCGAGAAGTGTGTGCCAGTAAAGGAGGGCCATCTACCAGTCACACCCAGGCAGAATTGTGTAGCTATTGCCTATGAAGCAGTCAGACGCCTATTTTTCGAAAGCATAGTCAATCTAACGATTGCTCCGGTGGGAGGGCTGCCTTACTGCATCGACAGCATTCCCACCAATTTGCAATATGTTCGTTCCGATACGACTGCATAGCGCACTCAGTGATGCAACAGCTCCCAACCTGTCACGACTTTTGGCGCTGTGGTGAACCAACGGGACATGTCTATTGAAAGGAAAGGTAGTAGTGAGAGCGAACAGAGAGATAGAAAAAAAGGTTGAGAAAGTTAAAAACACTAGAAAACACGTCCTGTACATCCTGACAGTGTAACTGGGTATATCCCGTGTAGTTTGAATATTATGGGAGTGAAAAAGGGGGAGGCTTGTTAATGATTAGGATGAGGGGCACGAGCTGACGACAGGACAGTAGGGGTTGCCTGAGTTTTGGGTAGGGTGTCTCGTCAGAGCCTCAGTAGGGTGGTTGGCCTGGTTGCACCATATGATTAGCGTTCCAATATAAAAACCCAGTAACCTTGCATTCCACAAACATAAACGGTGGCGTATCTTGGATTATTTATACAACACCCTAATAGAAAGGAAGAGTAGAAGGGCCAAAAGCAGAGAAGTTGGAGCGGCGATGAAGGGGACTAAATAGAAACACGCAAGGTGACCACTACGCGCAGGAAGGCGCTAAACCCGAACGGGCACGCTCAACTCACACCGTATTATGCAGACTATCAATAAAGAGGGCTACAAGGTATCGAAGTAGTCAAAAGGTTCAGTATTATGAAACGCGTTCCATGTTTGCATTCCATGTTTGCATATCGAAAATAGTATTAGCATCAAGAGCTCCGGAAAGAACAAATATGTCCATGCGCGTCCAAATGAAGGGTCAAGTCTGAATGACCGTGCATGATAATGATAATGCGCCACTGACACCGGGGAATTGCAAACGGAAAAAAAAGGTCAAGTCATTAACATGAGGATGAGGGAGCAGTGCAAAAGAGTCATAATCAACCGGACGTGGCCACCTCCCGAGTCTCCCACATTCGCCGAATCATCAAATCGGTCTCGCTCAGGTTTGGGAAGTCGTCCGAGGAATGATCGCCAGTCAGGCCATGCGCAGCCTCATCGGAGGTTGACAAGATCCGATGCGAGGGGTGGGAGAATGTAGCTGCTTGGGTGGTATCGGTGGACTCGCTATGCGTTGCGGGGTCCTCGGAGGCCGAGGAGTGCGGATCAGGCAACTGCGACCTTGTCTCGGGACTCGAGCCCAGCCGAGTAGGTCGATTCCCTTGCTGGAGAAGAGTGAGGGAGGGGGCGGATTTGACAGGTTTGCCCAATGCATGTGCATTCTCGGTACTGACGGCGGCTGCGCGTGCTACTGCACGAAGGCGGTAAAAGCTGTCCGCCGTCGGAGACTGGAATCGACGTGCCACCATCAGCTCCAACGATATCTTCTCGTACGCCTTACGAATTTGACGCGCTTCGGTATCATGGCCCGGCACTCCAGCCCGACCGCTGCCATTCATGCCTCGGCCACCGTCAAAGTTCGATCCGGCGCGGGAGTGACCGCCGGGAACAAAGGCCGGGTCAATATTCGATGGTGATACAGTTGTGGATACGCCATGAGAGTCGGGCGGGGAGTTGTTCAGAGTAGCCGTGCGTTGAAGCCAGAGCTTCTGCTGGGTTCGCGAGGGCAGATCGACGCCGCGAGGACGTGCTGGCGATGCGGTGGACTTGCCATTAGCACGGTTCGGAGATGGCGGTGTTTGCGGATGGTAGTGAGGCAAGAATGAGGATGGAGTGTTCGGGTCTGAGTCCATTCGGGAGGAGGAATGCAGGCCGGTCTTGTTGCTCATAATGAATCTGGATACGCCACCTTCCATAGAGGAGGATGTGGCTTGTGGTTGGCTGCCCGGTATTTGGGCCATGTTGAGGTTGGATGTAGAATAATTACGCCGAGCCGCATCCAGGCCACCGGTCAGGTTGAGAGAAGTGCTGCGCGAGGTCGCATCTGATGGTTTGGCCATCGCCGAGATGGAAGACATAGCAGGCGGTGCCTTGGCCGAATGTGAGGGGCTCAGGAGGCGGTTCGCGATATCGCCCTGGTCCGCCGGTTGACTGGGGCCCTGTGTGTCGTCGGAGTTGTCCTCCTCGTCCTCCTGTTCCTCGTCCTCTTCGTGGTCTTGGTCGGGCTGATCCCGTAGGAGTTTGCTCGTGATGGAATCAGGCAAACTGGTTGCGCGGGAAATTTGCGGATATGGCCGCTTCACGAACGTAAGAGGATCGACCAAGACCTGATTGTTATCTGCGCTATGGTTGGAGGGGGCAACGGAATTGCGCCTCGTACTTTCGGGTGATTGTGTGGTATCTTCCCACTCGGCGTCGTCGTTGTCATCGTCGTCACCCAATTCAAATCCGACCGACTTCTTCTTTCCCGCGCTCGTGTGTGGCGGCTCCGTCACCAAGGTCTTCTTGACGATCGCTGAGTTATTCCGTCGAAGTACGGGGGTCGAGTAATTTCTCTTCATCGATTCCTTGGGATGGTCGTCCACCGCCCCAGCCCAGTGTACGTGTGCTTGGCCCTTGGGGCTGCCGATAGGAGTAGCGGGGGCCGACTTCTTGCGCTGATGATGTCGGCCGGTGGTCTCGGGACCTAGTTGGAAGCGCTGGAGTTTATTCAGATTCTTTCCAAAGGAAGGGTTTCGGAGGTGGTTGCGGTGACCACCGCCCACGACATGAGCTCGGTGAGGCTTATGGTGCACAGTAGTGGTCCTGGAGGAGTGAGATTGCGACAGCTCGTTCGGGTTGGCGCCAGTGTTGGAGTTAGTCCTCGTGACGACCGCATGTGAAGACACAGCGCGGCGGCCCAGGCCGGGGCGCTTGACAGGGGAGGATGTATTGGTTGGCATGGCGGCAAAGTCTCCCCAGAGAGCGGCGGGTGAATCAGCAATGTACCGGGGGCATGGAAGGGGATTGGCCGAGGCAAAGAGCAGGTATCACGGCAGCTGGGACGTGCAGACGAAAAAGCAACAAGATCGCAATAGATCGAATGCAGGGAGGCGTTCACACCGCCCCGCTCGAGCCTACGGGTTGTGGAACAACCGTTTGGCGACGTGGGAGGGGAAAGAATGTGCTGGGAGATGAGCGGGAGGATGCGAGGAGGAGCTGGGGAAAGCTGGAGGAAAGAAGAACGGAGGAAGAAAGATGGAAGTCGATCTCGCTGTCTTCGGCGATGGGGGGGGGGGCTCCCGACTCGGGTAATATTACGGTACGGCCCCAACAAGTGGTGGACCCTTTTGACTTTGAATCTTCCGAGGGATTCTGGTCAATGTTGCTCATAAGATCTTTGGAATTACAGGAGACATTTTTTAACAGGAAATCCCTTGTGGAAAGTCTCTCGATAGACCATAATACTCCGTCACTTCTAGGACTACTTCATGCATGGTTTCAAATGTCTATGGTGTCACTAGAACGAACCTTGGACATTATTGGTCCGTGTGGGGAAGTTTGAGTTTCCATACTTCTCGATTCTCTCCCGATATGGGGCTAAGCGGCGAGTATGTCACAGCATAGTAATTATAGATACATTCTGCAATGGAATTACCAAAAAAAAAAAAGAAACAAAGATCGAATAATCTCAGGTATCATCGAGTACGTAGACCACCAAAAGGGGAAGAGCAAAACAGAGACAAAGGCAGTGAATTAGACTCAAAACGCCGTAAGAGAAATGCATCTACGTTATAGCTCAATCAGGCTCTCCTCCACAGGCCGGGAAGGTTGGTGTGAGGCGGGTGGCTGCGCTTGGGAGGCGTCTGGATATGCGCCCGGTTGGCCCGCAGCCATTGGAGGATAACCCGAAGGCACTGCACTGGGCTGCTGAGGTTGATAATAATAAGATTGAGGAGGTGCCTCAGTATGCTGCTGTTGTAGCGCGGGCCCTACTGGAGGCACACTGGAGTAAGTAGGTGAGTGGACTTGCTCGGGCGAGTGCGGTTCGGGGGCACTGGGGGTAAGACCAGCGGGAGGTGCGCTGGCCTGGTATTGTGAGTCTCGCCGCATGACGGGTGACGGGTGATAGGAGGTTTCGGAGAATTGCAATTGAGAGGGATCTTGCTCCGCCTGAGGGACGTAGTACTGGGGTGCGCCAGCCGGTCCAGGTGCAACCTGGTTGTTGGGAATAGCATTGCTTTGCGGTGGAGGCGATCCCAGCGATGGGTATGGGTTCTGGCCCCAATTATTATGCGCGTGTTGCGAGTAGGCCGGATTCGTCACTCCACCAGGAGGCGCATCATAGCCACTGCCGCTGACCTGACGAGGCACATATGTGGATGCACGGGGAGTGTCTGGCGCGTTCGTGTAATAATAGTTCTCAGCGCTAGACTTCGTATCTGGTGCATGAGAGGGCACACCGGGCATGACTGGGTACTGTGCGGCACCAGGAATAGCTCCGTAGCCCAGGTTCTGTTGAGAATAGGCACTAGACAATCGCTCTTCCAGCATTCGGTCGTAGTAACGAACGACAGTAGAGAGCTTGGAGTGTAGATCAAGGAGTGTATCTAGTGTAGCATTTTAGCTTTGTGTCAAAGCAAGCCTTGAGTTTGCGAGTTTCGCTTACCATGCTTGCTCATTGTTTCTCCATAACTGCGGGCTAATTTTGGCCGAAGTGTACCAATGCTCTCGTAGAGTTCTTGAATTTGGGGTTCTCGAAGAATAGTTCCAGGCGGCTGGTGTTGTAGTCGATCGACAAGAGTAGAAAAAAGGTGGATATTCTCTGCCTCCACAGCACTGAGCTCGTATGGGTTCTTTGGTAGGGGGGTTGACGTGGTGGATGAATCATGGAAAGCAGTGGATGGTGGAGGATTGCTCTTCAACGCAGCCGCATGTTTCTGCTTATGCTCTTCCATATCCCGGAGGGAAGCTTCAATTGCAGCCTTCAGATCCGCATCTTCTTCTTCCACATTCGAAGGGCCAGGAGCAGGAGCAGTATGTGGCTTAGGCTGTTCGGGGGCATTACCGGTCTGCGGCACAAATCCAGTGGGTCCTCTTCCTTCGGCCTCCTCGAGGCTCATCTGCAATGCCCGACGAAGATCGTCATCGAAACTAGTATCCGCTTTGGCACCACGGGGCTCCATATTATTGGATTTGGTAATGGAATGATTCTTAAATGCAGAGCGATCGGACAGGCCAGCTGGCGTGTATGACTTCGATGTCAATTTAGCGTAGCATCCATCGTCGACTCGGACGGGCTGAAGGATTCCGAGATGTGGAAGCGGGAGGGTCTTGCTCGAGCATTGTTGATCAAAGACGTTGCCACAGTTTCGACAATGGTGTTTCCTATTCATAAAGCTAAAAGCCGTGCGGCATCGCATGCACACGTCTGAATCAATCCACTCTGGTGGCTAAGGTGGGGGGAATTAGCCCAAGTTCCAGGTTGCGAGTTGGACACTGGAAATCAATGATGGAAATTCTACACTTACCGCATTGCTTTCCAACATAGAACCGCTCATTTCCGTCTTTGGAGGAAACTGGAATCCTTCGTTTTGCAGCTTCCTGTACGTTTCCCCCAGATAGATCAAGTCCATCCGGCCCTGTGCCGCCATCGCCCAGTTCTGGATAAGCTCCAAGATCTTTCGTTGAACATCGGGGTTCAATGGAGCGCCTTCAGATTTGAGTAGCGACACTAGATTGTCCATGAATTCACGGGATGCGATCTCGGCAAGGAAGTGGGTGCCACCGTTTTTGACACATGTATCGGTCAACTAGTGACGAGGGCACATGTCAGCATTCGGTATTCATATTCAGATCAAGGCAAGGAAAAAGCACCAACCTTCAAAGTTGCTAGCTGAACGTTCGGGTTTCGATTCTCCAATCGACGCTTCAGAGACCTCATAGCATCCTTGGGCTGGACACTCTTCGATCGAACCATATCTGAGATCTCCAGATTCAGAGCGATGTCCTCCCTAGCACGTTGGTCAGTCTCTGGTACTCGACAAGTTCATATCAACGCGCAGATTGGCAACCCAAATCCGTTAGGCAGCAGATAGGTGAATGCTGGGTATTAACGTACAGCGAGGAGCCGGTCGCCCGCTCGATCTGCTCGTCGAGCGGCGACGTTGAGGAGAACCAGCCGGCCATGGTAGAGAGCTGAGGGCAACACGCAAGAAACGCGCGCAATCTTGCAAAGGATAAACAGAAGCAGCCAAGACAAGACAGTCGCGCTGAGTGAGTCCAGGATGAGATGGAGCTCCAGGCAGCCCGCAGTGGCCGCAGTGACTAAGCTCCTGGCGTCATAGGCGCGGGGGCGGTGAGAGTATTGTCACTCCGTTGTACCCCAGACCCGCCGTGGTTTCCAGTTCCTGGATCATTGGATTGATCTTGGCTTGCTCGTTCTTTCGTTCTCGTTGGTGCCTTGTCGGCCTGTTACAGACTTTCTTTCCCTTCTCATCAACCATGCGCTAAGAATACTTGTCCTTATACCACTCTCGCTGCCTCGACCATGCCCACCGATGCGGCGGCTTTACCTACTCCACCAAACATACCACCGTGGAAGGACAGCCGTCCTTACTCGGTGGGGGGCAACATGCATTCCAACGACCAGGTCACCAGACCAGGCTTTCATTCGAACGGCGCTCTGCCAGGACCACAACCCAGATTTCCCAGTATCAAAGACCTGCAGGATCAGGCCACTCTATTAGCAGTGAATGAGAATACGCCGGTGAGTACAATTCATGAGCATGGACCGCCGCGGAGAAGGACACTTGGCTCATAGACGCCTCCTAGATCGAAGTCCTACTACGAACCGCGGCTGCGGCTTTCGAACAAGCGAAGATCCTCGCGGACGGTGACGACTCCGACAAGGCCTATGTACAGTACCTGCGCGCATCAGAGATCACCATCAATATTATACCCCACCATCCCGAATATAGGACGATACAAACCCGAGGTCCTGAACTGTACAAGGAATTTGCCGCTTTGATGATGGTACGTTCTTCCAATATAAAGGCTTGGCCCACTGCAAGCGCTTGACAATGTGCGTTGTCGAGCACGTTATATGTACAAGAAGTTGACCCCACGATTTCAACACAGGCGGTGCGAAGCAAGCAAGCGACGATGGATGCGATCAAGCGGGAGATTATCGAGGACAACTTGAATAATAATGTGCAGCCGACTGGATCTTTCACGTCCACTTCGCTGCCAGTCGGTAGCTATTTGCGTGGTCGCGAGAATAACGAGTCTACAAACGCCTCGGTGAGAATGCCGAGTCCAACCCAGTTTCAGCGGATGCCCGATCCTCAAATGCAGCCCAAGCGGTTCTCCGTCCCCGCAAGTGATGCCCTGGCCGAACGCTTTTCGAAATTGAAAACCTCTCAGGCTCGCGATGGGTCAGTCTCCGGTGTTGGGAACTCCACCGTGCAGGCCACCGCTAGTCAATTCTCTGCATACACGGCCAACACACCTACAACAAACCATGGCTCCCCTTACGGATCACCGGCAAGGCGCCCACTGGGCCCTCGCAGCATGGGGTCCTCGAGTCATGTCCCATCCATCCCTCCCAAGATTCCGCTGAACACTTCTATGCCGCGCGCTCCCGACCCTGCCTATAGTCCGATTTACACGGTGCCCACACAGCCTCCTCCAAATCCACCCCGAACATCTACCGAAAGCACGCGATCTTTCAACCAGCGATATTCCCAGTTCACTAATTCTCCGCGCGGAAGCCCAAGTCGCAGCCTGGATGATCACCCCTACCGATCGCGAACTCCAAATGGAGTCGATTCTAGGCGTGAGACACGGAGTAACTCTCCCGACTTGCCCTACAACACGCATATTACAGCCGAAACCCTGATGGATTACTTGAAAAAGTTCAACGTCTTGGTTATTGATGTTCGTCCCCGAGACCAGTATGACAATGGTCACATCTACGCCAAATCGATCATTTGCATTGAGCCGGTCGTGCTAAAAGAAAACGTGTCGGCCGAAGAGCTTGAAGAACGCCTCGTCGTGTCCCCCGAATATGAACAGACATTGTTCGAGCGGCGCAACGAATTTGATCTCGTGGTCTACTATGATCAAAAGACGGCCTCTGTCAGCTATCTTGCAGGATCTCCCGTAGGAACATCCGCGCCGCACTTGAGAGCGCTTTACGACACTCTGTACGAGTTCAATGAGTACAAGCCCTTGAAGGCAGGACGGCCGCCTGCGCTGCTACTTGGTGGACTGGACGCATGGATGGACCTTCTGGGGCAGCAATCGCTTGCTACGTCTTCTACTGCTGCTGTCATGGGATCTTTACAGGCCAAAAAGCCTGTTCCAAGGCCCGGGCGGCCCCTTGGGCGGGTTCCCACCATGGCCAGTGCTAATTCTAGCTTTGAAGTACGCAAAAGGAGGTTACGCGAGTTCACGCCGCTCAATCCGGAAGAGCTGTCGGCATGGTTGGAAAGGTCGAAGAAAGAAGAAATCGACACCAGTCACTATCTGGAGGAGGAACCGCTGGTCGAGGAGCCGCAGGAGGAAGGGGATCAGTCAGAACCTACTACGCCATTTGTACAAACTTATGAAGCCTTCTTACGCCGCTTCCCGGAGCCACATCATGTCCAGCAGTCCATGACGCATCCAGAATCTCGAGCGTCTCCCCCTCCTATGTCGAACTACCCTGCTCCAGTTCCGCTAGCCCTTTCACGGCCACCTCCTGCAGTGGCTCGTCCGAGCTATAGTGGTGTCTCTGACGTTCGCCACACCCAGCCCCATCTACAGCGGCAAAACTCAGCAAACCGCGTTGCCTTGTACACATCAAACTCATATCTGAGCCGTCTGAAGCTTCCACGAACGGGTCTGCACAATTTCGGTGTCACCTGTTACATGAATTCGACTATACAGTGTCTCAGTGCGACCAGCATGATGAGCAAGTTCTTTATCGACGATCGGTACCGGTATTACGTGCAGAAGAATTGGAAGGGCTCGCAAGGCGTGATGCCGGGTTTGTATGCCAATCTCATTCGGTCTCTCTGGAAAGGCGACGTTGAGGTCATCATGCCTACTTCTTTCCGCAATTTCTGCGGCCGCTTGAACCGGGAATGGGCAATTGATCGACAACAAGATGCGAAGGAATTTTTTGATTTCCTTGTGGACTGTCTCCACGAAGATCTCAATATCAATTGGCAGCGCAATCCATTGCGGCCCTTGACCTTTTCCGAAGAAATGCAACGTGAACGGATGCCCGTGCAGAAGGTATCGGGGATTGAATGGAACCGGTACTGCCATCGGGAAGACTCTTTCATCTCGTCACTCTTTGCTGGTCAGCACGCCAGTCGATTGAGATGCACCACCTGTCGTCAGACATCCACCACCTACGAAGCGTTTTACAGTATCAGCGTTGAGATCCCCCCGGACGGCACGGGTGACATCTACCAATGTCTCCGAAGCTACTGCCAGGAGGAGATGCTCAGTGGGGATGAGGTCTGGAAGTGTCCACACTGTAAATGTAACCGCATTGCGACCAAACAAATCATCATCACGCGTGCCCCTCAGATCCTCGTTATCCATTTCAAGCGCTTCTCTGCGTCCAAGACGCAGAGTGCGCGCAAGATTCACACTCCGATCGAGTTTCCCCTCCACGGCCTCCGAATGGATGACTTTGTCGTTTCATACCCGACCTCCGGCCCACCAGCCGAGTCCGGTACACCCGCTATTATGGGTTCGACCACGCCTCCCTTCACATACGATGCCTTCGGGGTGTTGCGGCACATCGGGTCGTCTATGGGTAGTGGACACTATATCTCGCTGGTGCGCGACGCAGAACGGCAGTGCTGGCGGAAGTTTGACGACGAGCGGACCACCGACTTTAACCCGCGGGACCTGCGGGCGCGCGACCGGCTGCAGAATGAGCAGGCGTACATTGTGTTTTATGAGCGAGTTCCAGCGAAATGAGCGTTCACGTTTATTCTGATTGTTCTGTATTGTTTCTCAGGTCCCACTATTCCTATGTTGTCCACCTCCGACCTTTCCGGTCCTTGTGGCCCCGAACCGTGTTTTCGATGCCTTGGGACATTCGTGGTTTCTAGTTTTCTCCATTCGAGAGCATTTTTGTTAAGTTTTGCATGTCACGATAATCATGATTGGATAGAAGTGGCGCTAGGGACATTCTGGAGGTATCAGCGTACTCGCATTTGGGTAGTGTTGGAAATGCATTATGCCGTGAGGGCCGTCTATGATTTGAAATGTTTTGAACTGGTAGGAGTAGCGTGCTGGAGATAAAAGACATTTAAACGTATATTCTGTCCTATCTAGAATGAACACCTCTACCGATCTGTTGTCGCTGGTGTTTCATCACTGATAAGTCGAGGTGAACCCCTCGGAATATCAGTGTACAAGTACCCATCGTAACGGTGACACGAATAGAGCCGATTTTCCGGCCGTTTACCAATACAGTAAATAGCCATCAACACGGTGAAGAATGCAGGTGGTACAAAGATGAGCTCATTGAGCGGGTTATGCACCATCTCACTAGAATAATGATCCCATCAGGAGCTAGAGCGGGAAGGATGGGGGTTTAGGCTGAGGCCCGAGGATTCCATCCAATTCCGCGGGCGCGGAAAGCGGGGACTGAAGCTGACGATGTGCGGAGATGGAACGGAACGGGCTGTTTCTGGGTACCGGGGCCATTACCCGGGTGGTGGTTGACCGAGGGTAATGGGAGGGGGTGGGTACGAAGGCTGGCACTTGAGTCTGGGGTTGGTGGTATGACAGCATTGAGTATGAATATTTATCCTCGCTATCAACTTATTTAGTGGGCTACTATCTGGTGGAAAGAAGACCGAAACGGGAAAGTTCATCTCCCGACGCGCAGACCGGATTCCGAGGCGCAGAGGGAGGTTGTACTAGAGTGTATTTACTGAAAGGCATGTTAGATAGTCGATCTATGAGAGTGGATAAAGTGCTCCGTAGATATTGAACATGTAGTTTCCAGTGATCAATCCTTTTTGCACGCCCCCGTGATAGATCAACGGTGATCGCAAGAATGGCAGTCTTCCTCTTCATATGCGCCGAGGCATCAAATAAGCTGCCGCTGATAGGCTCGTCCGGCATCGGATCATACAAGTCTGGGCCCCGGTCACACAAGTCAATCCCGGGACATCTTACTGCTTAGAAGAATGTAAGATCGACCCCGCCTCCCCCAATTTCTTACCTGCCAGTACACAGTAACACAGTAGTTTCATCCATGAAAATCACTCCTATAGCCCCGGCTAACCTCGTGGCCAGTTCGCCTCCGGGAGAAATTCACGGCAGGGGAAAACGTCTGTTAGTCAGGGCCGTGTTAGTAATAATGCCGTTCTGCCCAGTAGTAAACAAGCAAAAGGGTTCAGAGTCGAGGAACGATCCCATTTGGGCTCCACCCTGGAGTGACCGCCTTCGACGGGGGGAAATCCGTAGGGGGGAATGATAATCCAGTGGTCAACTCGACTGCTTTCTCTCCTCCAATTTCTTCCTTCTTTCGTCCCGGCCTTGTCATTCTTGCTTAGACTTTCTCTCTCTGTTTCTGTCGCTTGTCCAACGTGAGTACGATCCTCCCCACACCCTCATCACTCCTCCTGGTTTGTTGGGATGTCGGCCTCCTATCGGGCTTTTTTTGTTGGCCCCGTCGGAGAGAGAGGATTCCATACTACTCTCCTGCCCATCGCCCATCCGAGCCCCTCTTATTGTGACCCTGTCAGGAGGTGACAGCGTCTTGCTTTGTTCGGAGAGGTCTCTCAATCGGTCTTGTGATACCGGGCTAATTTCTCTTGCGATCGCGCAATCCATTAGGCTTTCTTTCTACCCTCACCGTCACCATGTCTGCCACCAAGGAATTCACCCTCAATGAGGTCGCCACCCACAACACCAAGAAGGACCTGTACATGGTTATCCATGACAAGGTCTACGACTGCACCAGCTTCGTCGATGAGCACCCGTACGTCTCGTCTCTCCTCCTTCCTTCTTAGCACGGGGGGCTGGCCCTTGCGCCAAATCGCATCGGCGTGACGGTGGACCCCTATCGCAACGGCATGGCTGCGAATCATCCAACTCTCGCCTCTTTCCTACCCCACGATTTCCCCAGGATGCCCGATTACCCGTGAATCTTACTTGAGAAACTGAATCACTGACAATCGCCCTACAGCGGTGGTGAGGAGGTCCTTCTGGATGTCGGTGGCCAGGACGGCTCCGAGGCCTTCGAGGATGTCGGCCACTCCGATGAGGCCCGTGAGATCCTCGACGGTCTCCTCGTCGGCAGCGTGAAGCGCCTGGTATGTTATACACTGACTCCGTCTACCTCTCTACCTAGCAATGCCCCCCATGCCCTACACTTCTTGCTGACACGTTTCCAGCCCGGTGACCCCGCCCCCAAGGCCCATGCTTCTACCGGCTCTTCTTCCGCCTCCTCTTCCTCTTCCGCCGGCGGCTTCGGTGTCGGCCTCTACGCCGTCATCCTCATCGGTGGTGCCATCGCCTACGGTGCCTACAACTACCTCCAGGCCCAGCAGCAGCAGGCCCAGTAAATTTCCCGCTATCTGGGAAATTGGCCCGCGCAATGGAGGAGGGGATGAGCATAGAATTGTGATGATAAGCGTATGAGTCAAACCAAAGAGAGAAAGGACTTTGGAAAACCGGCGGCCGTAGGAACAGAATCCCCCCGTCCGTCGGGTTTTCATCCGAGAGGGGGTTAAGTTCAAGGCGCTGCGAATTCCAAAGGAGGGCGGAATAATAGACTGCGGGGGAATGAGGAGAGGAACATGGAGATTTGGAGATTTGAGAAAATACTTGAACCCGTACCCGCGACCTGTCATGATCCGTCATTCATAAATGGGGTTCAATGGGCTTCTTACTTTGTTCGGGATTTTTCTAACTTTTTACTTGTTTATGATTGGCAGAGTTTTTTCCTGTTTTTATTTTTTTTTGTGTTTGTTTCATGGAGTACCCCTTCTACTATTCCCGCAGAATCTCGAGCTCTGCGCATCGACTCTTGCTAAACCTTTTCCTTGCCTTGCCTATGCACTATCCTTTCGTGCTCTGTATGTGCTTGTGCTGTCCTTCCAGCTATTCGGGGTTCATTTTCTCCGGATCGTGGAACCCTTCTGGCGCGCGATAACTCAACGATTGTCCTCTTTCGCGCGATAGCGGGATTGTTTGCCTCTTTGGGCGTGCCGTTCCGGGGGTAAGAGGAAGAAGAAGGGTGCGATACCACACGGGTGGGGGCCTGGATTTTCCTTGGGGTTGGGGAGATGAGGGGCAGTGGAAAGGTGAGAAAGTGTATTTCGGCGTTCTTTTGGTTTCTTTGCATATATTTATAGATTAGTCTGCATGACTTTATCTATGCTTTAGGTGCCCGGTGAGCTGATTGGAGATATAAGCTGTTGTAAGGACTACATGGAAATTCAGTAGGACCTCGTCCGCTTTAACGTTGGTTATGTCTGCTACTAGTGTTCTGGTTTCATCCGGTCTATTAGCCTTTTAGGCTAGCGAGGTCATGTCCGAGTCGTGACAGTCTCTCATCGCCAAAATTTAGTGGCCGTTCATTAGTATTTAAAGCAAGGAACTTCTGCCTACTAGCAAAAAGACCGGTGGTGCAGGTACCATGTTCCAAATACCAATGTTCGCTGACTGTAAGTTGCGGAGGTTTACTGTAGGAATTGATGTTGAAAGTACGATCGATTCGCCTCTACATTTTCGCTGGTAACAAGATTCAATTCGAAATAAATGACATTAGCAAGTAGATACTGCTCACTCGTTCACCGATATTCGTGGTGATTGATTTCGATCCACTTTCCAGTGAAAGGATCCCTAATCTCCGTAGGGAGACCTCGAGTCCTTAGGTCATCCAGAGCCGATCTCACCTGTTCAAGATCACTTCCGAAGGTGGCATACTCCCGAGCTAGCGAAGCAAACTTTTAATATTCTCCTTCAAAAAATCCTTCAACTGACGCCTGAGCTATCACCAAACGCACTCGATGGCCTTGAGGCAAACAGCCCGCCGAACGGACGTGCTGTTCAGTAAGCACGTAGGTGTTCACATCCATGTCTGGGGACTCCTCCGTGGGAGGTTTCGGGTTCGCAAGAAGCACCCGTGCAATGTAGTCCGCCATCTCGGTCTCCAGTTCGTCAACATTGAACATATCTACCCATCGGGAGAGTTCGATGGCGGCGGTGATCAGCGCTTCGGGCTCGACCGTATCAAACCGGATGCGGCGGTGGTATAGCCATTGCAGGAACGCCGGGAAGCTTCGTGCTGAGATGACACCTTCGATCTCCTCCATCTCTACGGTCTGCGTCTGTCCCTCAATGAAGTTGCTTTCGAACATTGCGGCAAAATACGGGGATTCTTTGCAGAGGAGCGGCTTGGAGACTGTGTATTCGGTGTCGGCCTTGAGTTTGATTTTGACGAAGGGACCATGGTAGAGGTGGCAAATGCTAGAGGGTATTTTGTGAGATACGGGGAACTTCATTGTATATTGATAATATGGTACGTACTGCTGCGCAAATTCGCTAGCGGTTTTGTCGAGGAAGTCGATCATGATGCCGGTTTTGGGAAGATATGAGATGGGAGTGGTGGAACAGGATTTTGCAAGGCAGGTCGTTCTTGCGTCTGATATACGTCGGGGTGTCGAGGGAGAGGTACGTGGTGTGATGAAGTGATTCGAAAGACTGATAGAGATATTGGAAAGAATGAGAGATTAGAATGAATGAAAGAAGAGGATGGGTGCTGCGTGGTGGTGAGGAAAAGGATATCAGAAAGGAAGAAACGCTTTTCGGTCTAGGCACGCAGTTGCCTCATCAAGCTCTAATTATGGAAGGAAAGAAGTATGGCAGATGGGGAGGTAAAAAGGTCAGTTCTTCCCTAGAAATGCCACGGATATCGTACTGAGGGAAAGCATCTCAGATGACGAAGTGATTGATTAGCAAAGCCGTCTACATGGGGAAAGCTCTGTGGAATAGCTGATAATGGGAAATTATCTGGTCTTCTTATTTTCGTTTTACTTGTGGTTCGCAACGAAGAAAATACAATCTCAGGACGAATTAGATACTAGCGAGGTCATCTTTTAGGTGTTCCGAGTCGATGGCTTCTGAGCGGGCTCTCTGTAAAACCCCTTTGAATTTAGATCGTTATATTTTCATGATCGTTGCAGAAACCGATAGCAATTCGAAGACTATCAGGTATATATGCGTCGATGCTGTCAACTTTCAGGATCCGAGAGCAGCGCTGAGAGAGTCCTCATGCAGTCTATCAGTCTTCGTGCAGAACTTCTTGCAGAAGTTCCATTTCGAAGACCAGCTCTAAGGTGAGGTGTGAATCATCTAGCGTTGTTGGCCTAGACAGTGTCGAACACTCACTCTATTGAACTTGTAAAGTTGCTGACCGAGTCAATACATACCAATTATGGAAGGGAAATGAAAATATGCAAATATATAGCGAGAAGCAGCCTGTTGTAATTTGTCTCGAAATTGTCCCAGGAAGAAGGACGGGAAAATGGGGACTGCAACCCATAATCAGGCCAATTATAGATCCCAAAGTGGAATTCTCCAGCAAATAACAGATGAGCTGGCCCTGGAAATGTTCATTGGGCGTTATATTCCCGTCGGGTATCATAAGGACACAATACACAGAGTACGAAGCTAGATGTTGTAGTACAAAATATCGATACAAACTATAGTCATGAACTAGTCCTACTTTGATGAGTATACTAGAAGGGAATGCCTGTGTCGTCCATTTGACTGAGTATGTTTTTGTACACGGTATCTTTAAGCATGGATATAGCCTGGCTTTCAGAGATATTTGCTCTGAAGTGTGGCCAATATTTCAGCTACAGTAAGTAACTCGTGCGTTTATGGATGACAGGAAGTACACGAATTCTTCAAATGATTCGGCACAAAGACCTCCCATAAGAGGCTTCGTCAATATTGCAATTGCAAGGTCAATTATCATCAAGTTTAAAGAATGCAAGTCTATACGGCCTGGCCGGGCCCGGCCGGTGTCCGCTACCCCGCTATAGTTCGAAAGGGTCATTTCCACTGTTCACCGCAATCCGTCTAGTATCGACTTCCAGTATTACCAGCAGATCTCCTAAACGAGCTTATCGTAACCTCGCGGCCGAAACTAGGGTTTCATTCGCACCGTCCTTGTCAATCCTGTAACTCCTCTTGGCCGCTACCTGATAAATCATCTCAAGGCTCACCAACACCAACTATCCAAACCTTCCCAGGAATTGATATACTTCGGTCATTCAACCGTCGCCTCTCACTACTCCAACTCCAATACCCTCCAATACAATCCTACGAAACCCGCCAAACCAATCAAATAAACACAATGCCACTATCCAGCACAGATACAGCCTTCCTCAACCGCAGCATCCAACTAGCCCAAGAAGCCCTCGAAGCCGGCGACGACCCCTTCGGCTCCCTCCTCGTAGACGCCCACAACAAAATCCTCCAAGAAGACCGCAACCGCATCCACACCGAATCAAACCTCAGCCTACACCCAGAATTCACCCTCGCACTCTGGGCCCAAGAGAATCTCTCTTCCGCCGACCGCGCCGCCGCCACGGTCTATACCTCCGGCGAGCATTGTCCCATGTGTGCGGCTGCGCATGCGTATGCGGGATTGGGCCGGATTGTGTATGCCAGTTCGGCGAGGCAGTTTGCGGGCTGGATGGAGGAGTTGGGGGTTGGGAAGGGGCCGGTTGCGCCGTTGGGGATTCGGGATGTGGCGCCCGAGTTGGTTGTTGATGGGCCGGCGCCTGATTTGTCGGGGTTGGTTTTTGAGTTGCATCGGTTGAGGAAGGAGAGGGTTCGTGATATGGCGTAGATGAACTGGATTTTGTGGAGTTCGAAGTTGATTGGATTTTATAAGAGGTAGCTGCGGTACTTGGTGCTCTGCTGGGATGGATACGATCATGCCTAGGCAGCGGAGCGAGAAAATATGTTGGTGTTGATGCTGACTTGTATACCGATATATCCATTTCTTGGATCTGCAAATCTACAACCATTCATGCAAGTCACTGAAGAAACTCTTTGGAATGTAAGAAAATCCTTTGTCTAACCTAAAACTCCGTACAATACATGGGGAATCCAAATCAAGTCTGCTCAATGCAGGGATATCTAGTTGATCCACCCCTTAGGTCCAGCCCAGTTACCCTTCACCATGGCATTGTAGTACACCCAGGGGAAGAAGTCCTTCTTCAAGTAATAGAAGGAACGGCGGGGCTTCGCCTGGTCAATACCAAACCAATCACCAAACGTCTCCTTGGGCTCACCGCCATACTTGAACTCCGCCAGGAGCACCTTGCCGTACTCGGTCAACAGCGGGCAAGAGGTGTACCCATCGTAAATCGCATCGGGTTCCTTGCCCTCCATCGCCTGCAGCAGGTTGCGCACGACAACGGGGGACTGCGAAGTCACGGCTGCGGCGGTCTTGGAGGTTGGCAGGGACGAGGCATCACCGGCGGACCAGACATTGGCGAACTTCTTGTGGCGGGTGGTACCGTCGTCGACGTCGACGAAACCAGCCTCGTTGGCGAGGGGGCTGTTCTTCACAAAGGCGGGGGAACCCATCTTGGGAGCAACGTGGAGCAGGTCGAATGGCTTGGTGACCTGTTCCTGGCCATCGGGGCGGGCGAAAGTCGCCGTGTTACCGTCAATAGCGACCAGGTCGTGCTGGAAGAGACCGTTCACACCGCGCTCTTGTTGCAGGTCGGTCAGGGCCTTGTTATACTTGGGCACGCCGAACATCACTGGCAAGCCGGTGGCGAAGCTAATGTTGATAGGCGAGCTGGCCGGGTCGGCCGGGTCGTAGAGACCAGCGCGCTTCCAGTGGTCCAGAGCGAGCCACATAATTTTCTGCGGGGCTCCGGCGCACTTGATCACGCCGGCGGGTTGGGTGAAAATGGCATTGCCCTTTTCGAGCTTCTTGATGGTGCCAAACACCTTGCTGACGGAGTCGTAGCCGTAGATGGAGGAAACCGGGGCGGTGGGGTCGGCCAGGGCCTCGGGGAGACCCTTGATAGCACCCCAGTTCAGGGCCAGGCCGGGGGCTACGATAAGCTGCTCGTAGCTGAGGTTGTCGCCATTGCCGAGAGTGACAAAGTTCTTTTCGGGCGTAAAATTAGCCACGCTTTCGGCGTAGAGCTTCAATTTGGAATCGGCCAGATCCTTGAGTGGTCGGCGCAATTCCTCCTTGGTCTTGAGGCCACCGCCGACCAGCGTCCAACCGGGCTGGTAGTGGTGCCACTCCGCGGGATCGACGATGGCGATCTCGTCCTGCGAGAATTTGCCAGACTGTAGCAGCTGATGGCTAATTGCCATGCCGGCAGAGCCACCGCCGACCACGACGACCTTGTGGGTGCGACCAGTCGCGGCGACTGGTGAGGCTGTCGCGAATTTTCGGATGCTTGGCATTGCGTGCGCAGTGCGGCCAGCCGCACGGGCTGCCGATGATACTTGGCGGCCGAGCATTATGCACACTCTAGGAGAAGAATGTCAGGGATTATTTTGCGGTGAGTTGGGGAATAAAGGAGGAAGAGAGAAGAGAAGAAAAGCAACGGCGAGTTTCCTGCTATTATTAAAGGAAGAAACAGCTCGTCTCGGCCGTGATCGACCGGTAACTTTACGATACGCCATGCTTACGGGACCCACTGGTTGCGGCTAGCATGGCAAGATCCGGGGGATGGGCCCGGACAATGCTGGGAAAAGGGCGAATAGTAATGAATATGGGATTGGAATTAGAGGCTTAAAACATCTGATTTATTAGTCTCCGCTCTGCCGGAGACATTTTCATCATCAATCGCCGACTCGGTGGCAATCGGCGACCGGAGAGTCATAGGAAAGCCCGATCCCGTGGTACTTTTAAGCTTATTCCCTTGTAGCTCCATCAACCTCTGGACGTCGCGTCTTTCTTTCGAGTCACGGATTATTGAAAAATTGATGATGAAGTCCTTACAAATACAAGTTTCTCGTCGCCTGTCTTCTGTAGCTGGTCTACGATTAACGTCCAGCGCAGCATTCATCCCTTGTTGTCAGAACGTCCATCTACAACTCCAGCAAGGCAATCGGGCAACATACGCGACTCAAAGGCTTCGAAGGACAGACTCTGCCTTCAATCGAGTCTCTTCAATATCTAATTGTTGCACACAATGTTCCACTGCCAATATCCACCCAAGCAGGCTATATCAACAAGAAGCAACATACAGTACCACCGCCACCACAGCAAAGCAACCAACCATCCACAACGTCTTCGAGTCCAAGACCGGAACATGGCAATATATCGTAGCGGATGCAACCACCTCAAAAGCCGTCATCATCGATCCAGTGCTCGATTACGATCCTTGCACACAGACTATCACCACAACCTCTGCCGATGCCTTGCTCACCCTCGTCAAGGAAAAGGGCTACACGATTGACCGTATCCTCGAAACCCACGCCCACGCAGATCACTTGACGGCCTCGTCCTATCTGCAAAGACAGCTCACTCAAATCCAAAGTTTCAAGCCGCCCATCGGCATCGGCAAACGCATCGAGCAGGTGCAAAAGTTATTCGGTCATCGCTACGGACTCGCCCTGGACGAATGGCTCGGTGTATTCGATAAACTATTCGACGATGACGAAACCTTTACCGTGGGCGAAATATCCGCAAAAGCGATTCATCTCCCGGGTCATACACCCGATCACTTGGGTTATCAGATTGGAGGTAAGCCCCATTCAACCATTTCGTTCTGGGAAAAGGAAAAAGATTCTTCTATAAGCCGCGCATGAGCACAACTAACGGTATCCCCAGACAATGTCTTCTGCGGTGATTCTCTCTTCCACGCAGACATCGGCACCGCCCGCTGCGACTTCCCCGGCGGCGACGCAAAACACCTCTATCAATCCGGCCGTCGCCTCCTCAATTTAGACGATCACGTCAAAATCTGGCCTGGTCATGATTATCCGCCCGAGGGCCGGGACCCGGTACCCTGGATGAGTGTGCGAGATCAAAGAAAGCAAAACAAGCATTTGAAGGCTGCGATTAGTGAGGAGGAGTTCGTGGAGATGCGGACGGAAAGGGATAGGAATCTTAGTGCACCAAGGTTGTTGCATCAGTCGTTGCAGGTTAACATTCGAGCTGGACGGTTGCCGAGGGAGGCGGAGGGGCATCGGATGTTGAGGTTGCCGTTGAAATTGAATGGGTTGGATTGGTAAACGATCGTGGGATTATATTTGATTGTTGGATGCTGTGCCGCTCGTCTGGGATGGTGGTGGTTTGGATGTACTCATATTTCGTCGGTGTGTAAACTTGCATGTTGTATATCGTACCCGAAGCTCGAGCTACCCGACCACCTTAGTGATGACCCTACCACCCAACCCAGTCAATAAATCTTTTTTCAGTGGAAAAGCATCTAGGGGTCTACGGCATATCCATATACTTGACTCTCGACATTAAATAGTCGTAATGACCCACCAAACTCGTAACGTTAACGATACCTGTATGATAGCGATGGCATCATCGCTTCTCGCCCGAGTGACCCATTTCTCGCCCGAGCTCTGATCTTCTCGTCCGAGTAGACCTCCCACACTTCCGAGTCTTATACAACGAATCGCCGATATAATCGTACGACACGAAAGGGATGAATTCGACAGTGTAGAAGCAGTTCCGGGCTTGAAATGAAGTGTTTCGACATAAAATCAATGCCTCGGGGTTCTGGGCCCTCGGGGGGGGGGGGTAGTGCAGGGGTGTGGGGGGGTATTGGCGTCCAATCAGAAGTGGTGTGATTGAAGAGGGTCTTTTGAGGTGATGGAACCACGGACGTCATGGGAAGGAAAGCTCCGCCGAGAATTGTAGTTTTTACGCTATATTTTGATCGAACGCAGAGATCATACGAGCTAGAAGAAATGGTGGATCTTGACTCTTGAATTGAAGAGTCTCCACATATGTCAATCGGCGTTTACGTGCCCGGACTCTAGTAAAATAATGTTGACAACGATGTAAATTAGCAGGATACGGTCATCAACAGACCCAATCCGCGCAATTCCCTACGCGTGGCACCGCCGATCTTCCCAAGTCCATCACATTACATTCGATGACCTTGAACTTCATGAAGCTTCAAGTATCCCAATCTTTCCTAGCCATACAGTCTCTTTGGACCCCTTGCCGTGCCAAATGACGTCTCTCCTCCGACGCCTCCTCCCCACACGCATCCCCAACACAGGCTCCCAACAACGCGACCACCACGCCAACGAACGCACCTTCCTCTCATGGATCCGCGCGGGCCTCGGGTTCGCCGCAATGGCACTCGCCCTAGACCGTCTCGACAAAATCGATCAAATGCTATCCTCAAAATTTAACCTGGGGGCTATATTATCACCGCAGACGCATTCGCAAGTGGAACTCCAAGAATTAGAATCGGTGTCTCACTCTGCACACGCGAATCTGTCGCCAATCAAATCTACACCGGGGACAATAGTAAACGTCCGCGATTGCAAGTCTAGCGCCGTGATGCTGTCACATTCTTTCTCTGCATCTAGACTGTGCCAGTTACTCGGGCTATGGTCATTAGGGTACGGGTTCTTCCGGTATTGGTCGATGAGGCGGTATTTACTTTTAGGGCAATTTGTGCCTGCGTTTTGGGGGCCGGTGTTTATGACTGCGGGCAGTTTTGGGGCGTTTATGATGTTGGGGGTGCAGATGGATCGGCGGCATGGACATCGGGAATGAAGGGTGAAGGAAAGATGGTGGATCGAGGCTGGTCTGCGTCTATTTTGAAATAACAAGGATGATACAAGTTGGTCGAAAGAGGACTTGTGGCGCTGGGAGCACCCATCCTGCTAGTTGCCGATAGAAGGCTGCGTAATAATAGAGAGACATGCCTGCTGAAGCTTGATCAAAACAACTTAACGATACACATCAAAACACAGCCCTGCAACCTCCATCGATTAGACGAATAATGTATATTCAATATTTGAGAAAAGATGATCGTTCTTTTAAAAAGGGAAATAAACTAGATACCATGGTCAAGTGTGATCAAAAAGTGCAAAAAGACAAGTTCGAGAAAAGAAACAAGAATGCCTCGTGACCTCCCCAACTACACAGAGGGGAATCGAGACGAGAAGAAAAAGAAAAGGGGGGATGAAAGGAGGTGGTGTATATGTCGGGTGCAAATATGTCCTGTCGACTCTCCAGCCTCAATCTCGCTCATTTAACCACACGAAAATGTTCGCAACGGGGGTGGGGGGGGGGGGGGAACACCGGGGTGGATTGTCCAACCAGTCACGCATCGATAAGCTCAATTGTCTATGACCGAGCAGAGCCGTTCAGGCCGTTCTGGACAGCCTCCAGGATCATGTCCCGAGCCTCGTCGAGGCTAGCGGCGCTGCCGCGGATCTCGATTGCCTCACCCTGAGCCTGGTTCTTGGGCACATTAATACGGCACCCGGTCTTCTTGCGGATGGCGTTGATCTGGCTGCCACCCTGACCAACCACGAAGCGGTAGGTCTTGGGGTCCGGCAGAATCAGATAGCCAGTAGCAGATTGCTGGCCGGAGGAGGCAATGGCCTTTTCGATGGCGGCACGGGCCTTGGCAACGTTCTCCGGAGAGCCGGTGAGGACCCAGGGGAAGGGAGAAGCGTCAGCATCGCCGGCGGCGCTGGTATCGACGACCTTCCACGAATGGGCATCCGTAGCAGTGCTAGGGTCGTCGGTGATCAGAGGCAGAGAGGTGCCATTGGCACCGCTGCGAGTCTCCTCGGTGGCAGGGTTCGCGGGGACAGCCTGGCCAGCGTGGTCGACGGTGACCTGGAAGTCGTTCCGCAGGCGGCGGAAGATAGCGCCGTTGTCGGCCACGGCGTGGTGCAGGTTGCGGGGAACCTCGACGGTCTCGGCGTGCTGCTCCTTCAGCATACCCTGAATGTGCGCCTTGGCCTCGGCCACGGCGGTGCTGGGACCCTTCAGCTTGACATCGGTGCGGCCGGAGCCCTGCTTAGGGATATCCAGGGTGACATTGAACTTGGACTCGATGCCACGGCGGGTCTCACCACCACGGCCGATCAGCATACGGTGCTGGGCGTTGGGGACATCCAGAGTCTCGGAAACTTGGTCCTCGCGCTCCTTGACGAACTGTTCAATGGCAGCGACAATGTTGTCCACAATCTTGCCATTACCTTCCAGGCGGATGGTAGACTCGGTGCTGTCGGGACGAGGGAAGCGGACCATGCGAGCAGCGCTGCCATCGTTGGGGCCACCAGCGTCGGCGACGATCTTGCGGATGTTGGCACCTATTGTAACACAAGTTAGCACAACTCATAGAGAGAAAAGGGCTGAGGGGGGGAAACATACCGCCACCACCAATGAGAGCCTTGTGGTACTTCTTGTCCACATCGATCGTCTTGGTGACGGTTGCATCAAACTCGGAAGCACGCTGCTGCAAGACCTTCTTGGCCTCGGCAACCTGTTGCTTGGTACCCTTGACACGGATCTGCACACGGCCCGAAGCATCGGGGGCGTCGTTTGCGCTGGGGACATCAATCTGAGCGCCAGTGTCCGCACGAAGCTTGTCCATCTCACGACCACGCTGGCCAATCAGAGAAGCGACCTGGCTCTGGGCGACAGAGATAGTAGCGGAGTGCGAGTGGTCAACGACCCACTGGAGCAGACTCATAATCTCATCACGAGCCTGATCAGCACCCTTGCTAGGTCCCTTGATCAGAACCTCGTCGGCAGCCTGCTGGGGGCGACTAGGGCGGGCAGCACCGGCATCGCTAGCAGCATCGCCAACGGACTGGTCATCGGCAGGGGCAGTGGCGCGAGGGAACTGCACACGAACCGAGTAACGGTCCTGAAGACGGTTGACCTGGTTGCCACGCTGGCCGATAAGCTCACGGTGGTACTGGGCAGGAATCTTCAGAATGTGAGTAGTCTCGTCCTCCAGCTTCTTACCCAGGTTGATGATGCGCATGCGAGCAGCATCGGCCTTGGCCTTGGGACCCTTGACCTCAACCTTGCCGTTCTCGACCTTGATGTCGACGTCAAACTCCTCACGCAGCTTGTTGATGTTCTCACCGCGCTTGCCAATCAGGAAGTTAGCATACTTCTGAGGGAAATCGAAGGAGGTGGTATATCCACGCTCCAAGTCGTCCTGCTCCTGCTCTACGACAAAGGCACCCAGCTTGACGGCAAGATCAACAACCGACTCGGTGGGTCCACGGAGCGCAACCTCACACACTCCATCCTTGGCATCGCCAACGAGAGCACGAACAGGGATGCTGTCCTGGTCCTTGGATTCCTGCTCGCGGAGAAGGAACTTGCGGGTCTTCTCTTGGTACTTGGCAGGAACAGAGACACTCTGTGTGACAATATTTTGCTGGTCTCCAAGTGCACTTAGCAGGTACTCCTGAGCCTCCTGCAGCGACTTCTCAAAGGCCGCGATTTCGGCCGGAGACGGACGTTGCCTGGGAACCTCAAAGTTGGCCGCGGAAGCGGACGGGCCCTCGTAGACAAGGACCACATCGGAGCTGTTGATGTCCTCGGGAACCATCAAGTGAACACCAAAGTCATCCTGGAGCTTGGACGCACTGCGAGAACGCAGGTACGGGTGATAGTAAGGGTCAACCGGAACGTGACGGAGACGCGAGGGAGGATGAGCCTGGACCAGGTTCATAATGTCAGACCGGGCACGGATAGTGTTCTTGCCATCACGAGAGTAGACCTCCCAAGTGACGGGCCCATCAATGCTCGGGGGCAGAGCAATTCGGGCGTCATATGCGGCCTCAAGCTGCCTGATGATGCGGCGGTGGCGGAGATACTGGGTCAGAGCACGGGCGTGGGCATTTGAGCCAGCAGGGGCATTGGGATGCTGGCGGGACAGGTCAATGCTCGCCATCTGCATGCTGGTAGCAAGATCCATGGCATGGTTGATACCGGCCTCAATCTGATCCAGGGGTCCAGTGATGGTGAGGAACTCGCTCTCATCATTGTCAGGAGGAAGGACAATACCACAGCCAGTCTGCGCGAGGAACTGGTGCAGAGCATCAGCCTCATTTCCGAGGATGAACTGATGCTGGCCACGGTTGATTGCGAGCTGGCGGAGGGTCAGCTTGCGCTGAAGATCAGCGGCCAGGCGCTCGATCTCAGCACGGGCCTCTTGTGCGGCGGCGCGCTCTCCGGAGATGAGAATGTGCTTGTCAGCGCAAGGGACAAACTGCACGTGGCCGGGGTTGGCCTCCTGGGGAGGGGGCTGGGTGGACCATGTGTCGTAGCGGGGCACGTTGACCTGAGCCTTTGTGCGCTCCTCAATTTCTCGCAATTGCGCATCGTGGGCACCAGCAATGAAGGGGAAGAACTCTGGAGGGATCGTCTTCAAGCGCAGGCTCATGTTCGAGCCCCGTTCCTTCACAATCGCCTCGATCTCGCGGCGCGCCATCTCAGCAGCCACCGCATCACCCTCAATCAAGACATCAATAGTATCATCGTCATCATCCTCCTGGGCAGCACCGTTGTCGTCGGCACGGGGGACTTGCACACGAGCACCCGTGCGGGTCTGGATATCCTGGACTACGGAGCCCTGGCGGCCAATGATGTGGGCTCGTGCGGAGGTAGGGATAGGAACGCGAACGGATTGCTAAACAGGTAGAGATATCAAGTTAGATATACGAACGTTGGTCCCAGGATATTTTTGTCGGACGTACCTTAGATCCGACCTGCTGCGCAACTTCCTTGAGTGCCTGACGAACAGCATCTACAGAACCCTTGCCTTCGAAGATGATCGAGCCACCAGGGCCACCGCGCATATCAACGGTAGCCTTGGATCGCCGAGAGATATCGCGCAGGATATCTCTGATGGGCTTCTTCAGCTGCCCGCGGGGCTGCATCTGGGATGGGGCGAGTCGGAGCTGCTCCATGTGCTTTCCGGGGAGGGACATGACCCGAGGGACATCTGTTTCGAGGAATCGTCAGACACAGCGCATCATACGTTAGAATGAGTATTCTTGTAATCGTCACGTACCCATTGGCTGAGATGGGCGACCATTGGCGACAGCCGAAGCGGCAGAGGGCTTCTTCGCACCCCACGTAGCCGCCGCGGGAGCAGCAGGCTTGGGTCCGCTGCCGAGAGCAGGGAACAGCTCCTCCGATTGTACATCAAATGCAGGAGCCTTCTTGGGTGCGGGTTTCGCGGCAAGTGGGACGGTCTCGGCGGGGGTCAAGGACTCGTCGGCTGGGGACAGGACAGGGGGCAAGGTTTGGTTGTCCGCAGTCGCCGAAGGGGGAGGGTGCTTGAGGTCCTCCTCATCCACAACTTCCTCAACGGTGGGCTTGTGAGACTCATCGCGGGCGTGTTGCTCCTCCAGCATAGCGGCGAGAGACTTGGAAGCGCCGTTGGTGGCGGTCGATGCTTCAGCAGCCATGGTGAGCGAGGGGAGTTGAGCGGTAGACGAGAGAGAGAACGGGCGACAGAACGGCGATGGGGCTGTGCAGGGAAGCTGCCTTCAATCAGAACTGGTTTTGGTCAGTATGAGCATGAGACGCAACGCCAACAGTCGGGGGGGAAGCAAGAGAAGCCAGAAAGACAGGCTGGATAGAATTGGAACTCACAGATTGAGTAGTCACCTTGCTAATTGAAGATGGGGAAGGATCCGATGCCCGAGTTGTCAACTTGGCTGAGGGCAATTCCCCGGAGAGAATGGGGGGGGGACCGGTATGTGTGAGAAATCTGGGGAAGCTGGACCAAGCACCAGGATGAATTAAACCCAGAAGCAGGAGCCCCGAAAGGAAATAGAAAGGGGGGAGAAGGGAAAGAAAAAAGAAAACGGAGGTGAGGTGATGGGGAGGGGGTAGAGGTGGGAGGAGAAATAGAGGTGAAGTCCAGAGAGGAACCCCAGACGTACACAAAGTGACCGAAAAGGCCAGCTCGAGGCTCCGGGGAAGTTTTCTCCGAGTCCGACGGGCCACGAGAAACGGCAACTGGTCACCACGCCAAAGGCAGGACTGATTGTGTGCTTGAAAGAAGTATTAAAAATAAATAAAACAAAGGGTCAAAATATAGTTGGTCCTTTCGACAGGGTCATACATGTGAAAAGTTGCAGCGAATCTGACTCTTCCTCGTAAACAGGTAAAGTCGCTAGTTCGTTATCTATGGTAATTCCACTCTCCGAGGACCCTATAAGTATCATTACTGTCTTTTTGAATATTGTATATATGCAATTGAGCTCCTAATTCAAATTTGTACCACTTCAAAGACTGTTCTGTGTAAATGTCCAATTGATCGAAAACCCGGGTTGACAGTGCGAACACCAGGCGGGCCACGTGCCGGTGGGCGGAGGCAACGCTCCTTCTTGGCAGTCATTCTATTGACTGATTATTATACGGGCTATATTTCATGCAGACTAAACATTGGTTTCGTGACTGTGAACAGAAATTGGATATTTCCATTGGACACGGCAAATATGCATGTCCCAAATTCAAATAGTGCCAACAAGTGCCAATTGAGGGGGGTCGGAGAGTTGGCGAAAGCAGCCACTGACCAACTATGAGATGCTTGAGCGTCAGGTGATCAATCAGCAGTAAATAGCCAAGGTGGGACATCAGCCTCAAGCCCACAGACCTACAATATCCTATCCAATGGCATATTCCTATTACGATACTGTATGAACCGTCCTGGCTCCCTATCAGAACGTACCGATCGAATCAGCAGTCTCGGCGACATCTGACCCCACCTGATAACGGAAGAATTTTCTGTCGGACCGCCCAAAGCTTAACCCAAAGCTGATCCTTGCCTGATGTTGAACCTGACGAAACTAGACCTAGAGACGATTAAACGCTCTTATTGATCAAAGCTGCACCACATGTTGTTATATCGAGCTATAGTCGTATATTCTAGACAAGTAATACAACCATATTCCATAAGCTAATCCATTGGAACCAAAGCAAATTAGTCAGTGGCAAATGTGAGAAAAAAAAAAAGACAAGGAAAAGGTCCTCGTGCACAACCCGATCAGACAGCCTATGGCCCACTACAAAACGGGCCATCCAACAAAAAGATTCTCCGACTAAAGAACAGCCCCAGATTTCGGCTCGTCTAGTCGTGTGTGGAGAGGTCTAGAAGAAAAAAAAAAGTTGCAATTGACAATTTTTCCTTCTTTCCACTCTCCATCCTTCCCACCTTCCCTCCAGACACGCGAGCCCTAACCGCGCCGCGACATTCGCCCGCCGTCGCAGCCATGGCCACTCCCACCGCTGAGGACATGGAGAAGAAGCTGCACACCGAGCTGGCCGTGTCGCCGGTCGACGAGGCCGAGCCCGAGAAGACTTCCAACCCGCGCGGTATCCTTGCGACGATTCGATACTATGAGGAATACTTGGATCGCAAGATGGGCATCGAGTCGCATAGTTTGGATCGTGTGCACCCCGAGAACCGCGACTCGCCTAGCCCCGTGGTTATGGGATTGATGTGGGCGTCTGCCACGATGAATATCAGTTGTTTTAGTACTGGGTTCTTGGGAAATGAGTTTGGGTTGTCGCTGGGTCAGACGATTCCGATTGTGATTTTTTCGACGCTGTTGGGTGCTGCTGTTACGGTGAGCCTACGATTTTCCAATTTGGCTTCTTTCGGTATCGCGCGAGACTACTGCAATTGCTCTTACTCTTGATGCGCTGGAAAGATGCTAACCGTCTGCGTGTGGCTATAGGGTTGGTGCGCTACCATGGGCCCCGGTACTGGTCTGCGCCAGGTCGCCATCTCCCGATACTCGCTGGGCTTCTATCCATCCTCCATCATCGCGCTGCTGAACGTGATCGAACAGCTAGGCTGGGCCTCGGTCAACTGTATCACCGGCGGTCTCGCGCTCAGCGCCGTGTCAGACGGCCGTGTCTCCATCGCAGTCGGTGTCGTGATCATCGCGTGTGTTAGTCTACTCTTCAGCTTCATCGGACTGCGCGGCGTCTTGCTGTACGAGAAGTATGCTTGGATCATGTTTTTCATCATCTTCATGATCATCTACGGCGAGGCAGCTCACCGTGCGAACCTCGCCGCGCCACCTACCGTCACTGGTATGACGGCCTCGGGCAATGTGCTGAGTCTGATCAGTGTGGTGTACGGATCTAGTGCGTCGTGGAGTTCGATTGTCTCTGACTTCTATGTGCACTATCCCGTGAATACCTCGAAGACCAAGATCTTCTTGTATACTACCCTTGGTATCACGATCCCCACGTGCATCGGCATGTTGCTGGGTGCGTGTATCAGCTCGGCGCTTGATACAAACCCCGAGTGGGCTGCTGCGTATGAGAATGGCATTGGCGAGATTCTCAAGACGATTATCTACCCGAGCGGGTTTGCCAAGTTCCTCCTAGTCCTGTTGGTCCTGTCTGGCAGTATGTTCCATCTCACATTCAAAACGGGCCACGGAATTTCTCGAGTACTAACTCTAACCCTACAGTCGGCGTTAATTGCATTGCCATCTACTCTGGCGCGCTCTCCGCACAACTTTTCGCCGCCCCCTTCGCCAAGGTTCCCCGTGTGATCTGGTCTATCCTCGTATTCGGCGGGATTCTTGCCCTCGGTATCGCGGGCCGCGACCACCTACTAGATGTGCTGGAGAACTTCCTCTCACTGCTGGGCTACTGGAACACCTCGTTCTTTGTGATCCTCTTCATTGAACACTACTACTTCCGCGAGGGCAGTCTGGCGAACTATGACCTCGACGCCTGGAACACCCCCTCCAAGATGCCCGTTGGGTACGCTGGACTCACGGCATTCCTTTGCGGCGCGGCTGGGTGGATCGTCGGCATGGTTGAGACATACTATGTTGGTGCGCTCGCGGCGAAGATCGGTGCCGACGGCGGCGACATTGCCAATGAGCTTGCGCTCGTTTTCACCGCCGTCTCATATCTGCCCCTGCGCACGTTGGAACTCAAGTACATAGGGCGGTAAGTGGGATTTGATGGTGGAATGGCATACGCGCCAAGCATGCTATATACAACAGCAAAATTGGCAAGTGAGCCGATAGAGGGAGATGACCATACACGGTCATACTCATGGATGAAAGGTGCATACAATAAACGTTAATAGACAGACAGGTACGGGTGGGTCCCAGTGGACAAACAAAATATAGACTAGCGACGAAGAAACGAGTGTTTTATTCAGATCTTTCTATCATATGCAGATCTTCTCATCCATCATAGTGACTGTGCATATCCCGACAGGGCCACGCCCAACGAAGTGAAATTAACCGCCCGGATGAAACGACATTAAGATGTAGAAATTAGTATAAAAGCACCTGTCAGACAAGTGCGCGCCGCCCAAGCAGCCGCCATGCATTGGGGTATCCCAGAATAAATGAATGCAGTGGTACTCAAAAAGAAGATAGGGTAAGTATCAGTATACATCCCCCGAACCATTGACAGAAAGAAAGTATGCGAAAGAAAAACAAGGCGACCACCGGAACTGCTAGTCAAAGCCGTCCGTGATTCCCCACATGCGATATGTATAAAATATATATAAATAAAATCGTGGCTAAGGACGAGATTAAACGGCCTTGACGACTGGCCAGCCAGTCGAAAAGTCCAGCTCATTCCAGCCGTACAGGTAGCCAGAGACACCGGTGCCGCCGGCCGCTTTCGCCTTGAGCGAGTAGTAGTGGTAATATAGCACAGGGCCAAGGTCCTTATCGGTAAGAACACCCCTGTAACATGTGTTAGAGCTCCGATCTCATTCTCGCCTTGTATCGGCAGGGATTAGTTCTGCGGGGGGGGGGGGGGGGGGGGGGGCAACTTACTGTCCACCGGGGGCATAAACCTGATTGTGGCTAGCAAGGATGATAGTACCGCCCGATTCCAAACAAGAAGTTCCAGCCTCATCAACCTATCAAACAGAGTCATTAGTCAAGATTCACGCGGACGCATCCAGACAGTAATGTCTAGCGTCGCCGATCACGAATCCACTTACAAAGCCCCCGGTTCCAGTCGACGAGCGGCAGACGTGGATACGGTATTCCTCGCCCTGGGCAGGGTAAGTCGCCGTATACGAGCCCGCAATTCCACCGCTGAAGAACAAGTAGTAATAGCTGCCGTGCTGATACAAGAACGCGCCCTCAACGCGGTGATTCAGACTAGCGTTGTACGCGAGTTGGTGCGGCGTGTTAGACCCGACCTGCAGCGGGGTTTCGAGAGCAACTTGGTAAATGTCCTGCCAGTAGGAGCCGAATTGGATGTATTGCTTGCCGCCGATGGTGATCCAGTTAGGGTCAATGCGATTGTAGGCGCTGTTGGCGGGGATGCCGATGATGCCGTGATCGGTCCAGGAGCCGGGTTCCAATGTTGTGGAGGTCGCCACACCGATTTGCGAGGTTTGAGTGCCGAGTTTGGAGAGGACGTAGTACATGTAGTACGTTCCACCCTGGTAATGTACGTCGGGGGCCTGGACAGGGGTGTTAGCGTTCTTGGGATTTTTGGTTCGTGGGGGGCTTGGGTGTATCGGTATAATTAAAAACAGCCTCAGGCGAACCTTGACTTGCATAATAAAGTCCGGGCCTTCGACACTGCTTTTGAAATCCGAATTTCTTTTGTACATACCCAAATGTTGCTGCTGTCTACACCGTCGAGAGTGATCTTGGAACCGTTCGGCAGAGCCTCACCGATGTCCGTCCATGGTCCCGTCAGGGAAGACGAAGTCTGCGTATTGACACCCGTTCCTGTGGAGAATCGGAAGTACGTGCCATCAGACTCGCGCTGGATGATAGAAGGATCATGAGTCCAGCAGTCTCCCGTACAAGGGCCTCGCGCCGGGTAGGCGCTAGCCAGAGCTATAAACAAGGCGAAGAAAATAGCCAACATCGTGGCAGTAAATAAGAAAGACGGGAGATCGACCAGCGCGCGACGACGAGGAAATAGAAATTAGGAATGTCGAAAAGAGGTCGCGATTGTTCTATTCAACTTCACACACTACTTTAGTGGGAGGGGAGGGCAGGTTATTTATGTTGATCTTTTTGCTTATTCCCTTCCCCCCCTCTCGGACTTTTAGATCTAGGGCTCATGGCCTTTCTGCCATGGAGGGTCATGCAGATGTCGTCTTTGTGGGTGCGTCTTTCGCCTTGGTAGTCAAGAAGAGGGTCGTGGGACCACTGGAGCAGTGTGGACTCACCAATCAGTGCTTCATTCTCCGTGCATATTCATCCTATGAATGTAAGGCACATGTCAGTATCAGTCGTTAGGCTGGGCCCCCCGACGTGGCTCGGGCGCCATGGCAGGGATAGTGCCGAAAGCCAAGGGGAGTTGGGGATAGGAGAGATGGGAGATGTGGATCATCGATGTTCTGGGTATTTTGCCAACAGACCCGCTTCCTATGTATGGAATCGGGATTGATTCTCATAGGAGGATCTATTTAACAGTGATCCCAAGGTACAGGCCGGATACAGTGAGTATACAATGTATAACGAGTTTAGATACGCGCAGACGTGTGTACTTTGCAACTTTCATGCACTATCTACTTTAGAAATGCACAGCAGGAGTTAGTTGTCAATAGTCTAGTAGACTGTGTAAGTATAGATGTAAGATTGTATGAGAGATCAGGCGAACTGTGCCGAGCTATCCCTTTTGTGATGCCTCGCATCAAGAGCGCACCAAATTGATACTCTTTTACTGCACCGAGGAAGAACGCTAAGAAAGTACCTCCTATCCACTTCCATGTCCAAGTCAGAATCGAGAATCTTGGTAGCGGGCCCTGATGCATAGCCCTCTATCGTGGGACCGGAGGGGTTGAAGGGGAGATGTTGCCGACGGTGCATGATTCGCAATTTCTGAACAGCGTGCGGCCGCATGGGCCCACATTCTCTCCTGGGAAAAGTAAATACAAAGAAAAATAAAACCAAAAAAACCAAAAAATCTAGGAGTCCATGGTTATCAGCAAGGGGATTATCCGTGCAGGAATACGCTATTGGCTTTTTCCTTGTTGGTTAACCTTGTTATTCTTCTTCTTGAAATGTTTATCAGTAGTTGAAGTTGTTGGGACTCGATTCAACCGTGTGGGGGGTACAGTACTCTAATCATGGATTGTACGAGGTACAACGAACAATCTACTGTGAAAGCAATACATCAATAAATGCAACAAAGTACTCGACCCACGCCACTCTTTCACCATGCCTCGTTGCTATGCCAGATTGAAGCCCTTCAGCATCACTTGCGGCATCGGTCATCTGCACTCTCAGACGTCGGGCAATTAATTTCTACCTTCCCCCAATTTCCCATCAATTTTGACTTCTAAGGCTTTGGGCCCGAAGTGACTCCAGTCCGGGGAGGCTGATGATCGGCCCCATGTGGGGACATTCCCGGCACAGGGTGCGCCAATAAGCTTAGCCGACTTGCTCGCTCGATCGCCAGCTGAACTGAGCTCGGTCGCAAGAGCCGGTGCTGACCGTCTAGGATCGACTTGGACGGTTGGCTTTCTGCTAGTGATGGTGTTGGGGATTGTCGGTCACAAAACGGAGGAGATCTTGGAAGATCGCCCCGTTGATCGACTGAGGCATATTACGCTGGATCTTTTGCTCGATCCCATGCTGCGAGGAGGTGGACTAGGCCACCAGCTAGTGAGGGGAGCTTGATACCCTTCTTCCGCAGGGTCAAAGGGGTTGTGCGACCGCTCGACTGTCAGGGCCTTTGAGAGGGGAACACATCCGAGGAGCTGAGCGGTGTTGACCTGCATCTACATCTGCACCTCTCTTCCCGTGGTGCTGGCAAAAAGGGAGCCTTACAAAGCGAGACAGACAGGCGTGGCAGAGCAGTAGTGCCGCGCGAGATGTAGTCATCGACAGTTCGCTTCCACGCTCATAGTCATTCCTGCATGAATGTCGTAGTTTGGTCCTCGGAGGATTGGGGGCCAACTACACCGACCTTCCGGGCGCAGTCATTCGCCGTACCAAGCAGCCTCTTGGCTGTTGTCAGCGTCCTTGGCTTGTGTGTACATCTCAAGATTTTCTATCTGTCAGATGTTAGATGGTGGGAAAACCTCCGCGGACCCGGTAGCCGATGGCCGACCTTGGCCATCGTCATGCAGCATCGCCAGTCGGGAAATCAGTCGTCGTTGGTTGGGTAAGTTTCCATTTCTCCATGATGTTTGCGAGCGTTTCTGAGCCGATGTCATCACGCGAGTCATGGGGAAAGTTACGAGATGGGCGCGATGTGGAGAAGCGGCGCAGTTTAGAGCTGACAAGCCACCACCTAAGTTAATCCCAGTCAATGACCAACTTGGTTTTCCCCCGCTATGACATTGCAGTACCACGGTTCAATATCCTAATGGTAGTATAAGTGTGGTTAAATCGCAAACTGTTGATGTCCCGTTGTATATTCCGCATCGCTCATCATGCATGACAGCCATCCATCGGGGTGACTCCAAACACGAGACTCATGGCGTGCTCGGGTCGCCCATCAAGGTTAGCCAAAGGCGTCCACAGCCGTCCCCAGCGCTCCATAGAGAAGTCTCGCTGGCCCTCCTTCTCCCGCCTCCATCAATCTGACTTTCCGGGATTCCCCTTCCGTGAGATAGAAGACGGCATGGTGATCAAGTGTAATTCTGACATCAGACAGCCAGCCGATGGTAAATGCGTGATGCAGGTCAAGAGTGACAATGGAAAGGCTCGGGTATCGCCTTGGACATGTCCTCAAGTGCCCAAAGCTCTTCTCGAGATGATCCTTCTTGGCTTTGCGGGGACCCCGCGACCGCAGCTAGTCATGTTGTAGACAATATAGAAAGTATGATCAACCATTCGACTAGCATACGTTGACATCAGCCACACTATACTATCTGTTTTGCTTTGCTTTGCAGCCAGGTTTTTATTCTTCTGCTCAACTTCATCTTTCGATTCGGTTATCCTCACATCCAATATCATCGCGATCGACAGCCTTGATGCAGGCACCGTGTCCACGTTGACGAGACATTCCTCAAATTTAAGCTTGTTTACGAAGAAACCATCCTCATCACTGGATGACGCGGCAGGGGCGCTCGAAGTGCTTCCACCTCGAAGCTTGATTTGGCCACATCCAATAGTACCTCGGATGTGCCCGGATTGGCATCCCATAGCAACTTCAAGAGGTTTAGAATCCAGGTACGATAAAAAGATCTTGCAAACCCAAAGCCAATGTTTAGTTGAGTGTGCTTCAAATAATCGATGGTTCTGTCACACCATCAGCCCCCTGTACAGCCAGGATGACGATCTACGATCCTAGTCTAAGATCGCGATCTTCTATATACGTCATGTATGTCTGCGAGACATATCACCTTCATCCATAACGTTCGATAATCACGCCATCGCCATCTTTCTTTCTCTGCACACTTCGTATATATCCCGTACCGCATCCCTTATCCTAGAATAGCGTCCCATGCACGGTGCGGTTCAATTGTGCCGCAAATAGCTTATTCTCATTCAGGATGAACATGCGCCCGTTACGTCCGAACGAAAAATTGGACGTCCCATTCTTAATCAGGATCTTGCCCAGTAGGATACCTCCGGCGGACCAGACATTCACGCCATCTTTGCAGCCCGCGTAGACATTGCCATTTTGGTCGACTTTGATTCCGTCCGGGATTCCGTCGCCCGGCATGGCGAAGACGCGCCGGTTGGTTAGGAATGGTTGTCCGTGGATGGTGGTCACGTCGAATGCGTAGCTGGATAGATCAGAATGAGTTTTTGGATTCAACCTTCCCTAATGAAGTAGTATAGCCGCGCGTATCCCGCAAGGGGTAGTAACGAGAGTTGAGCTTACATAGTCGCTGGCAGCAATAGATCAGTGGTCCCACCCCCAATAGTCTCCGCCGTATCACTGATATACATCGTCTTCTGATCCGGCGAAAAGGAAATCCCATTCGGCCGACCAAACCCATCGGCAACGACGCGCACATCCTTCGTCACCGGATCATACCGATACACCTGATTCGGCAACTGCGGCTTTGGACGAACACCCTGCTTCCAAGCATAAATGGGATCGGTAAACCAGTACGCGCCGTCCCGAGCCACGACCACATCATTAACGGAATTGAACTCGCGCCCGTAGTAGTCACCGGTAATCAGCTCTGATTTGTACGGTGCGGTCGCGGACATTTGGAACAGCCCACCCGTCTCGTTGAGGGTCCCTTGGCCAGCCCAGAGGATACCGTTACCATTATTGACACCGCCATTGGGCAAAGGGATCGTCGTGTTGATGATTTCGGCCGTGACGGGGTGTGCGCTCACATTGACTTTGGTAACCCTGATGGTGGATTTGTTGGTAATTGGGTCGACGAAGAGATTACTCGACATGAAAAGGGAGTCTGTGCTTGGGATGTACACGCTCGCCTCGTGCGCGAAGGGGAAATCATCGTTCTCGAGGAGAAGTTCCAGCTTCGGCGCCGAGCCGAGGATATGCAGGAAGTCGGCGTTGTAGATACTGAAATTGGAGGGGATGGTGGACGCGTTGGCCTGCAGGCTCGCGTGGGATATGCCGGTTACCATGTCTGCGTGACTGCTCAGAGCTCTGATTTCCGATTGTTTGCTTGCGCGTCCAATCCGATTGTGAGAGAGATCTCGAGGCTCGTTTTTGTGGTTGCCCTTTTTTTTTTTCCTCCAGAGGGAGAATTATGTGGGGAGCTTGCGCAGGCTAATAAATGATGTCAGATCTAATCACTTCCGGCCTAAACTCAATCGCGTTGGATAGTTATAGCTGCGCCGTGGTTTTTGACTCGGGAGGTCCTTCGGCCAGGGCTGGGAACTGCTGCGATCGGCGAGCCAAGATCCACATTGAGAATTTTCCCGAAATTGTGCCATGGCGGGCTTCCTATCAACACGGTTGATGTCTTACTTTGTTGACAGACAGATTCAGGGGAGGCTTCTTGGACGGAGGACACTGTAGGGCAATTCTGAGGTGTATTCAAAGTTGGGCCGACCTAAAGTGAGCGGCACAGCGATATAGCCGCAACCTGAAATTTGGCTCGATGACTGGGACAAGACTAAACAGACTAGTGCCAGCTTACAATTCCCCATTTGATAAGACCGAAAATTGTCAATTCAACCACTCAGAACCGAGTAGGAAACGGTCATAGCCTGTGACACAGTTCCGTATTTAACAAAACTTTGACCCACCTCAGCTTGCGGTAGCTGCTGTAAACTTCACCTAGTAGACAAATCCAATCCTTGTTCGCTCGCATCTCATGCAAGGTTATCACAAGAAAAGAACGCATGGGCCTTAAAGTACCTGAATGGTGGCCGATATGACAGGTCCAGCGCACGCTTATCAGCACTATCTCGAAGACAAAACTGCCGACCTCCCAACCTAAAGCGAAGCACCTTGTCCAACACCTTCGTGAGTGGTACTGTACAGTGCCCAAACCATTCGACGGCGCAGATCAGGGGTGGAGCCTAGGGTGTGAATTACAACGTAATGTACTTTCGTGATTACTTTCTTGATCGTCTGCACCGGGGGACTAATATCTGCGGTGTGCGAAGGGTATAACTTGAAGGCTGTCGCATCGCGAAGCATTGGTTCCTCTGAAAAGCTATGCGTCCAATTGAAGGATCTGGCAATGGCAGCATGCAAGTTGAAGGTTTTGAGTCCTATCATTGGAAATGTGATGTATATAAAGAGATGGAATCTCGACCGAACTATCCATCTATATTGTGAAGTTGTAATGAGCAGAGATAGGATCAATCCAGCACCGATCGGGATTGTCGGCGTAGTCAACATCGCGATACTAACGACTGTAATATTTGGAACGTTGCTCGCTTTAGTCTTGATGACTACCTATTGAAGAAGTTTGGGAAGGAGAGGTCTGTGATCTAGCTGATTCCCAAGATGCCGCATCACTGATCCAATTCAGAAGGCGAGTTTCCTTCTCAAGCCCATCTAGAGGGACGCCCTTTGATTTGGACATTCAGCGCCCTCAATTCCGTTAATGTACTTTTCGTACCTGTGCAGTCAGGACATTATGAAACCGTATCAACACGTTTCTTCAAATTAAACTGCCCTATTCCTCTGTCAATCTAAAATCAGTGACCTGTAAAGCTACGCTTCAATATACCCCCAATCATATTCTTCGGCACGGCAGCTTCCACGGGTTGCGATGACTCTAATCGCATCTGTTCAGTGACTGAAGCCAATGGCCCATCAACGCCTTGAGGTCTACTAAAGAACGTCACGTCGTAGATAGAACTCTGACCCCGTGGCGTGGGCCGCGAGTCGACCAGAAAGTCGCAAATCCGCACATCTTCCGGAGGTAACCAGTCGTCGTCCGGCCGTACACCTGGCAGCAGACCACAGCCCGCTTCTTCGATTTCCATAATCCGGGAGAAAATAGCATGGTAATGCCGAGCCTCAAAAAGCCATTCCCGCCTCGTTGTTCGTAGCAACAAGTCCAACCCCTGCCGGCGCAACCTGGGCCAACGGCACTTCCACGCTACAGCATGCAAAGGGAATATGAAGCCAAAATCCAGACTGAATGTGCGAGACAGTTCATCCGGGAAACGCACTCGATCCGAGACAAGAGCGTCAGCGAGACGGATCAAGTCCTCGTACTCGGCTCGATGCATATCCCATTCACACTCGGATTTGGCTTCGTACGCTCGTATACCAAATGTCGTAGAAAGTCGGACAATGCTCAGAGCGTCGGCAATTTGCTGCTCTTTCGAATCCCAGGTACATTTCTGTCTGTGGACTAGGTCATCCACTTTAAGTTGCCATCGCTCGAGATTTTGCCGCACGGAGTGAGAGACTGCCACGGCGTCAATGTCAGCGAGCGGTCTCTGGATGGGACCGTCATCTAGCCCGTTACAGACGCACGTCGCGTCGGTGATCATATCTACGAGTCCGATGCGAGCCTCGGCGAGGGTCTCGAAGCGAGTGGCGAGGAGTAATGCGCCGTTGTCGTCTATCGGATTCAAAAGGAATTTACTGGGGGGTCCACCCGCACCCTCGATCGCGTTGGTGTTGAACGAGCTCAGTAACGGTGCAACCTCTGTTTCCATAAAGCGCGCCTCGAAGGAGGTATACTTTTGACCCCAGGGTGAGCTTGGTGCCCCATTCTTTTCGCGCCAGGCTTGTAATAGTCTAATTCCCCCGGTGATCTGGGCCGCGGCTGCTTTCGCATCGCCCTGGATGATCTCAAGGCAGATGAAGAGTACGTTTGTCATTGCGAGGAATGAAGTTGCGTTTTCGCTGGCGGTAATCTTATCGAGGACTGCGCGAATGGATCGGTTGTATAGCTTGATGTGGATATTGGGTAGGGATTTCCTCGACTGTGTGCCATGTCTAGCTGTCGCTGTTTGCTGGTGCAAAAGACCAATGGCTGCGATTGCCAGGCGGATGGCTGGTTCGGAGAGACTTTGCTGAAGCACGCTCTGCTGGAAGAAGGCGCTTCCGAAGAATCCCGCTAGCTGCGGTGCAGTCTTGATGAAGAAGAACTCCAGCGCCGGCGGTTCGATGGCATCGTCGACTGCTGGCGCGGGGGCCAGTGATCTGGGCATGGGGGTTGCCGGTTTGGGCGTTCCATATCCCTCGCATTTTCGCCCGGCCTTGGCACATCTGCAATGTCGTTAGTCGTCGAGCATGATCTGACAGATGAGGGAATCAGAAAAAGATAGTCAAGGGAAGTCAGGAAAACAAGGCGATCCAACCGAGTAAAAGTGGGTGACCCGTCGAGTCCTAGATTCAGAATGAGTGCCTGGGTTCAATAGATTAAGTGCAAATTATTACCAAGACTGCCAAGGGTCGGGATCAACTAACTTGCAGGTCTTGCAGCCAGTGCGCACCTTGGGCTTACTCAGTCTCGTGCGCTTCTGCTTGGAGGCCGGGTCCTCGAGCGGCATCTTCAAGCCACCATGATGAGTGTGGAGTCGGATCGGGAGTGACATGTTCTGAAGTTCATCTATATGATCTGGCTGATGGGAGATTCAGTTGGATGGACAGATCTTTGGGCCTCATATCAATGATTCATATGCCTGGGCGAAGCGTGGGGGCCCGAGAATCATGGGCGGTCAGCAGAAGTTCTCATCTTGCGGATTAGGCGATCTCGCTTGGTAGGGCAACATGCAAGTATGCAGGAGAAGATGGGGGTAAGCAAGCAGTGCAGTGTGTACCTGCAGAAAAAGAGGTTAACTCTTAGCATCGTTCGGTTCTGTCAGTTGGCTGATAGAGTATGAACTCTGTAGAGCCAAGATCGGATCAATTGCCACTTTGGGGGCTCGTGCTTTGTAAACAATCAGAGTGGAAGGACGAGTACGACTGAGCTTCCCGACTACCTACGACTATCTATAGCCACTACTCCGATCGAAAATGTCCAGTGACGCTACGAAGGAGAATCATTTCCATCATTCCAGAATTGGTTTAGCCGGTGGAAGCAACCCACTTCCGTTCTTGTCCCGCGTTTGGTCAATGCCCACCGTTGAGTGTCCACTTGCTGCCCACTTTAGCCCCGTTCATCCACTCGGGTGAAATGAGGAAATGAGCAGTCCAGGGGAGAGAAGGGGCCTCGAACATCTAGAATGCTTCGGACAAATTAGATTGTGATGAGAGCAACGGGAGAGGTCCGTGACCTCGGGGTGCTTGTTTCTAGTAGGGAGTACCGAGAACATAGTAGGAGGATGCTGTGATCAAGGAGGATGGCTATGATCCTATATCCGATAGTCCAGAACAGATTACGTCAGGTGGTTACAAGGAGATGCTAATAATATATTCAAATCTTCAAGCATTGGACTCCATATTTCACCCAGAAACCCTCATTTAATATATCACTCCAGTACAGTCACTCTTCTCGACCTGCCAAACCTGCCAAAATCTGCCACCCGGTCCCCCGCGTCATCGTCCTAAAAAACCAGCCACCAGTCCTTCTTCGCTCGTCGCTCGTCCATTTTCAACTCCGCTTTCCACGTGCCGGCCACTTTTGACCTCTGGATTCTCTCTCTGATCATTCACCTGCCCCCTTCTATTATTTTTTTTCCTTTCTTCATTCCAGACCTCCTCCTCCTCCTCCCTCCCAAATTTTGACGACCCTCCCCCAGACTTTTGGGACCGCCACAACCACGTTATTATAATCCTCCGCCGAATCAGAGAATTACTGCCGGTCTCGGTCTGCCCGCCCCGACCGTGGCCTCTACGGGTCGCTGTCAATTCACCCCCCAATTGGCCTTGGAAAATTCTCCTGATTCTCCCCCCTCTCCTCGGCCCAATTCCAATCTTAATCTTGTCCTGTCACCCCCCAACTCCGACAGCGACCAACCCGACCTGCCCACCATGAGTTCGGAAAGTAATTTCTCGTTGAAATTCCGGCGCCCCTCCAGCAAATTGCACAAGGATCCCCCTAGCTTCAGTTCGCGCATTCTTCGAAGTCATCAAAGCGCCACCTCGCTCAAGCGTCACCCCTCTGCCCCCGTTTACCCGCGCTCCTCTCCCAGTGGCAGTCGCGAGCACGTCCGATCGCGATCCAACGCGGCGTTTGGCTCTTCATCCTCCTCCCTCGAACAGCATAGCCAACATAGCCAGCATAGTGCTGGCCCGTCCCCCGTCGTTGATGAGGGGTCCTCGACCTATTTCCCCAGTTTCTCCAGCTCCTCGCGCTCCCGGACTCGAAGCTCCAACCGCTTCTCCTATAACGAACGCAGCTCGGATGACAATAATTCCTCCTTTGAAACGCGGGGCATGCTCAGTGCGCTAGATGAGAATATCGCCGAACCCGATCATCTGCCCCAGCATTATCAACCGCACCCACAGCCTCCGACATTGCGCTCCCATCACACCAGTCCCGACGATCCTCGCGGCCGCCAGACTCTCCGACAATCGGCCAGCTTCACGGCCCTTCCGAATCGGATGATGGACTCCTTTGCGCATCGGGAGACGGAGCGATCTCACCACGATAAACGCTATTCCGATGAGGTTCATAATGGCAGCCCGGCCCCAACCCCTCCTCGGGCGGGAAGAAGCAAAAAAGCCAGCTTCTCCAGTTTCGTTAACAGCATGCTCGGTTCGCCCCGCAACATCAAGATTTCGGCCCCGGAGAATCCGGTGCATGTAACGCATGTGGGATATGATAATCAGACCGGCCAGTTCACCGGTCTGCCCAAGGAATGGCAGCGGCTGCTGCAGGAGAACGGTATCTCCAAGAAGGAACAGGAGGAGCACCCGCAGACAATGGTGGATATTATGCGATTCTACGAAAAGAATACGCGGGGGGATGATGACGAAGTATGGCACAAGTTCGATAACGCATCATACAAGCCCTCCACAACGACTCCAGCGACGGGAACATCGCCCCCCGGTAGCCCCCGATTCCCTCAGAATCACGAAGGCAGCTTTGAAAACCCACGATCGCCGCCTCCCATTCCTCGTGGTCCTCCCGCAGTGTCGCCAGCTACCGCCATGTCTCCACCTTTGGGTGGTCTGGTCCCGCATCGTGCGCCTCCAAAGCCTCCGACCGGGATGACCCCATCCCGTCCACCACCACAACCTCCCGTATCGCAAGCCTATGGTGCTCCACCGCAGCGAGCGACTCAAGATCCATATGGCGCATCATTTGCTGCACCACCCATGCCCGACGCAGTGCCCACGACCTCCGGATCGCCCAAGCCCAGTCGCTCCAACTCCCGCGCTGGTGTCCCGGCTCCAAAGCACAACGTGATCGCTTCGCCGACACAATACCAGCAGCAACAAGAGCAGGTGATGGCAGCTGCCCAGCAGGCCATTGCCTCGAAACAGCTCGATCGGAGCACGAGTCAGCGCACGCAGCAGCAACCACCTCAACCACCACCCTTGGCTACGAATATCGGCCCCTCGTCCGCGGATCCTTCGCCTGTTTCTGCTTCGCCCAACACCCGTGCTCCGCCCGCAGCTCGCCCACGGCAACGCCAGCAGCGTCAGAGCAATATTATGGATGTACGCCATCGTCTGCTTCAGATTTGCCATCCCGGAGATCCCACACAATTATATCACAGCTTGAACAAGATCGGCCAGGGTGCTTCCGGTGGTGTTTATACAGCGTATGAGACCGGTACCAACAACTGCGTGGCCATCAAGCAGATGAATCTCGACCTCCAGCCGAAGAAGGATCTAATCATCAACGAAATCCTTGTGATGAAGGATAGCAAGCACAAGAACATCGTCAACTTCTTGGAGAGCTTCTTGCACGGGCTGGATTTGTGGGTTGTTATGGAGTATATGGAGGGTGGCAGTTTGACGGATGTGGTCACCTTCAACATTATGAGTGAAGGGCAGATCGCCGCTGTCTGTCGCGAGGTATGTCTTTCAAATGCCTCTTATTTTTTGGAGTCCGAATTACGAATTGCTGACGAATTATTTTTTTCTAGACCTTGAGTGGCCTTCAGCATCTGCATTCCAAGGGTGTCATTCATCGTGACATCAAATCCGACAACATCCTGCTCTCGTTGGATGGTAACATCAAGCTAAGTATGAGCTGATTCTAATGTCCTATCTCTATCTACCTTGCAACCGCAATGCTAATACTTCATATAGCCGATTTCGGTTTCTGTGCCCAGATCAATGACTCCCACAACAAGCGCAACACCATGGTCGGAACCCCCTATTGGATGGCGCCCGAGGTCGTCACTCGTAAGGAGTACGGTCGCAAGGTCGACATTTGGAGTTTGGGTATCATGGCCATTGAGATGATTGAGGGCGAGCCGCCTTATCTGACCGAATCGCCACTTCGCGCTCTCTACTTAATTGCCACGAACGGAACCCCCAAAATTAAAGATGAGCATCAGCTGTCACACATTTTCCGCGACTTCCTCCACTTGGCCCTGAAGGTCGACCCGGAGAAGCGTGCTTCTGCTCACGACTTGTTGAAGGTATGTCGCGCTCCTGGATTCCAAATACTCTGTTATCCATTTGAGTCAGCCCACTAACATCTTCATAGCATCCCTTCATGGGCCTGTGCTCTCCACTATCTCACCTCGCTCCGCTGGTCAAGGCTGCGCGTATCAGCCGCGCCCAAGAGAAAGCGCAGAAAGGTGGCGCTTAAACGACTAGATTTCCCTTCCTTCTTCGATGTCAATGTTTCGGTTCCTCATTTCCTTGATATTTCATTACGTCTCCCTCTTCCCGTCTCGTTCAGATACCCCGTCACTCCCGATGTTCTTTTCTTCTAGATTCCGGCATGTCAATATATTTCGCATCACCATGTCGTTGGAGTCCGTCTCTTTTTTTTTCTACTGATCCTTCCATTATATTCCCATTCAATTATTCCATTTTCATATCCACCCGCCTATTTCCATTTCCTTGTGACGAACATTGTCCTTATGCGATGAAAAAATAAAGATCTACTCGATCTTATGCCTTTTTTTGTGACTTATGGTCTCTGAAGGCTAGGGCGAAGCTGGGCTTTCTTTCTCTCTCTACTCTGTCCATCTCATTCTATCTTCCGCCCTTTTTGTTGTGTTTCTACTCTTCCCTTCAACGGGGGTGTTTGTAGCATTATATAGTTCTATTCTCTGGCATTTTGCCGTGCAATCGGAGTATAATCTCTAGAAGGCGACCGAAAAGAGGGTTGATTCTCGTCTATTGCTTCCTCTGCTGCTTTTGCGTCATATGTCCTGATCTCCTGGCTCTCTGCGGAGTGGGATGAGAGTGCGCTTGGTTGCGCTTTTGGCGTTTTCGGAGGCTCGATATATGTGGCCTTTAGCTCTGGGAAGACTTGTTCCTCACGTATAGGTGTGATCATATATTAGGCCTTTTGAGGGCAATTCCATCGAACATAATCCCATTAAGTGTTCTCGTAAATGTTTGCCGGGCCATCTTTCAATATCTCCGTAAATAATGCAAATGTCAGACCGGATATTTGTCTTCACAGCCACAGACTGCACGAGCCTAATACGGGAGCGTCTACGGTACTGGTACCTTTTTTCTGTCAAGTAGATGTGGATATATATTTCTCTCAGCCACAGCGCTATCCAACAAATCAAACCCACCAAAAAGCCGGAGCCTAGGTCTGATAGATTTCAAAAGGGGGGCGAAATTGAGTAACCCGACATCAAAGCCACAATAAAATAGAAAATCTTTTCTCGAAGATCCTTCACATTCTCTCAAGGCAGACACCATTCCCGTGGACCTTCAGCTAAGAATATCCGGGCTCCCCACGTCCAAGTGCCCACCGTCGTCATCGGTCCTGCTGACTCAGTTCCGCCCGGACACAGCAGAGAGCAGTGCCAACACGCAGCCTTCCCTGATCATCGCCTGAGATAACTGCCGTTCGTCAAGACAAATCGCAGCACTTCTTTTCGAAATACCTTCTTCCATTCTCGTCTTCCTTTTCCCTCGCCATCCACCCATACTCTCGTGCAAGCCGGTGTTGCCACAAACCCATTTCAGCCTCACGCCGGTTGTCCTCCCCCGTCCCCGCATCTAGTGGCTGAACCTCCGACTGCTGCAATATTGTGCTTGATACTCTCGGTTTTAGAAGAGACTTTGACTCGGGTTCATCGCGACAAGGGATTTTAGTACACCCTTTGGAGGTTTCTTTGGCAGAGGCGTGACTGAACTGCCTAGCTCGAGCTCAGAGTTGGTGCCTGACAGACCTATCGATTACGATACTACACGTGCTGCATACATCCCGTGACAATTTCGTTCGGCTTTGCTGGGGGGAAATACCGTGGCAATGTTTCGCGCGCAACAGAATGCTTTTGATGATGCCGTCGGTGAGTCGTCTATGTTTCTTGTTTTGTTTGGGGGTTCCCGTCGTTGGTCGCATGCTGGAACTTATGCCGGAATTGCGGCGGAGTGCGAGGGGCTCGTTAACGTAGGCATTGTGGACATATGCTAACCTGCGATTGCCACTACAGCAAAGGCGACGGATGAGAATCTGACATCTGAGAATTGGGAATACATTCTGGTGCGTGCCCCAGGCTACCAGGATATTACGGCTCACGGTTGAGGAGGTTGGGGATTTCGGAGCTGACCTGGATTGACGGCGATACAGGATGTCTGTGATAAGGTCGGTGCGGAAGAGTCGGGGTACGTGATCTACATTCGCGCTCAATGGATTGAGTGGTATGATGCTATGGAGGGACTGCATGCTGACTACGGATTTTGTTCAATAGGGCGAAAGAGGCTGTCGCTGCTATGATCAAGAGGCTGGCGCATAGGAATGCCAACGTGCAGCTTTATACTTTGGAGGTACGTATCTTGTACCTGAGGTTGTGGATTGCGAGGACCGGGAATGGTGTTTACTAATTTGGATTGTCTAGCTCGGCAATTCGCTGTCGCAAAACTGTGGTCCCAAGATCCATCGCGAGCTGGCCTCGAGGAGCTTTACCGATGCGCTCTTGCGCTTGGCAGCTGATCGTGTGAGCAGAATTGATACGTGCTTTGAGAATACGGTTCATGATGACTGACGTATATATTAGAACACACATCAACAAGTCAAGTCGAAAATCCTCGAACGGATGCAGGATTGGACGGAGATGTTTGCTTCAAACCCGGATTTTGGCATCATGGAACAGGCGTATATGAAGTTGAAGACTCAAAGTCGGTACCCTCTTTCCTTACAACTCGTATGGTTCAATGCTGACAGATCCCTATATAGACCCCAATTTGCAGCCGCCGTCGAAGCCCGTCAAGAGTGCAATGACCGATGTTGACCGACAGAAAGAAGAAGAGGAATTGCAAATGGCGCTTGCACTCTCCATTAAGGATAAGAACCCACCACCAGGCCCAGCACCTCAAGCCGAGTCGTCCACTGCGGCTGCTGCATCTACATCCGCCGCAGCCCCAACGAACACAGCCGAAGCTGCTGTGGCCCAGCCCGTTCCCTCGGGCACATCCGCGGCCACCGTCTCGCGCGTCAGAGCTCTGTTTGACTTCCAGCCCTCGGAGCCCGGAGAGCTTCAATTCCGGAAAGGCGATATCATTGCGGTCTTGGAATCGGTGTACAAGGATTGGTGGAAGGGCTCTTTACGTGGGCAGACGGGTATCTTCCCTCTGAACTATGTAGAAAAGCTTCCCGACCCGACCGTGGAAGAGCTACACCGAGAGGCCCAGATGGAAGGCGAGGTCTTTGGCCAGATTAAGAATGTCGAGAAGCTCCTGACTCTGCTAAGCACTCGAAGCGCGGACTTGAATGTTCAGGAGAACGAGGAGATTACCACCCTTTATCACTCCACGTTGGCCATTCGCCCCAAACTGATTGAGCTTATTGGGAAGTACTCACAGAAAAAAGGTATGTGTTTCGTTCCTAGCTATGGTCGTCACTTGCTATGAAGCCTGCATACTGACCATGATATAGATGAGTTCACTCAATTGAATGAGAAATTCATCAAGGCGCGCCGTGACTACGAGTCGTTGTTGGAGGCTTCAATGGCTCATCCACCACAAGCTCAGTACGGACGTCCTGGTCAGCCGCCATATGGGTATCCTGGCGCCGCCCCTGTTGGATACCCCCAAGGTCCCCCTCAAGGTGCTCCCCAGCCGGAACAGCGATACTTTAGCCCTCGACCCCAAGGTATGTCCACCCATGTTCACCCCAAGTTACAACCTGATTGAGTATTTGCTCATTGAACCTTTAGACACGCCCACCCCGCAGGCACAGCCCAATGCGTACTACGGTGCGGAGCAGTCAATGCCTTACCGACCTGCATCTCATTCCCCCGATCCTCGCACTCAGTACCCAGGTGGAACTCAACCGCTATCGCAGCCGCTGGTTCAGCAGCAGCCCCCTCAGTCCGACATCTACCAGCCTGTACACCACCGCCCTCAGTCTACATATGATTCACCGCAAGAACTTGGAACATCGGTCTATGACTCGCCCGTGGATCATCCAAACGCTGCCAACCAACGTCCCCCCTACCCTCCCTCTGGTCAAGCTCCTCCAAGTGCCCACCAGCAATTCCAGCAACAGCAGCAGCAACAACAACAAGACTACTCGCCATCCGTCTATTCCCCCGATGACCCCGTGCAGCTGCAATCTGCGTCTGGAATGCCCCAGCAACCCCCGCATCAGTATCCCCAGCAGCAACAGGCACAGCAAGCTCCCTACCCAACCTCCCCACCACACCAACAAGCCCCACCGTCACATCAACCACCCCCTGTCCCGGGTGGTGCTTCCCAGCCTACCCAGTACGCCGCCTTCAATCCAGCGCCCTCGGCCCCACCAACCGGAGAATACCAGGCATACCAGCCCTCGCAGGCCGGCGTACCTGCCTCAAACCCTGCTTCCTTTTACAGATAAAACATGGCCTTGCGATTCCTATCTTAATTGCCGTTGATTGATACCTCGACACCAATGGATTGAAAATGTCCGTTATACTTCCTTTCCTTTTGCCTGCGGGGGTTCTGGATGAGGGTTGATTTCTGCGTTTCTCTTTTCTCTTACTGGGCCTTTTTGTTGTATTTAGCCGAATGATGACAGACGGTCCAAGTGGTTTGCCAGTACATATGCTTCTTATACCTAGGGATGTTTAGCAATATGATTGATTTGCTAGTTTAGCCTGCGGAGGTGTTCTCGGATTCGTAGTTTGGTTTGAAGTAGAATTATCCCTTTTTGCGTGGGTTTAGGACCTCTTCTTATTTAGACCTTGAATGTAGGTCTGAAAAATTCTGTGAGTATATATCCATATCATCCCTTGAAATTCCACTCTGCTCCTCTTGAAGCAACTGGTATGGCACATGCTTAACATTATTCTGCTTCATAGAAGTTCATACTCCCTGCGTTATCGGACACCAATCACGTGACCATATCGACATCTCAATCCCGCGACGGTGTCCAGGAGGACGACAACAAGTATCGACAAACCCCGGCGGACTTTCCCTTCAGTGTCGCATTGAGGAGGGATTGGTCAAAGTCTTTTAATCCGATAGCTCACTCCGCTACCTTTTTCCACGCGCTATCTCGTCGACGCACGGCCTCCCAAGGCATCTGATAGCTTCCCCGCAATCGCGTCCTCTCGAAGACAATGCTCGGACTCGGTCTTTTCTCCTCTGGGTGAAGGTCGCAGATCCCGAGCCAGCATCATTTTTTGATACAGGTGCTATCATATATTGAAATCTGGGTCACTCCGTCTGGAGTAGCCTGCCGTCGCGATGGAGGCAGATTGGGACGAGCTGTCGCGCATCCCGGTGCCACCGCCGAGTGTGCACGGGCTACCTACGATTGCGACGACGGTGGCGTTTGACGATGTGATGGAACTTTTATGGACTGGTAATGAATATGTGAGTTTCACTTTTATGTGAGAAAACGTAGTAGTTAAATGAGCTGATCGTGTTTCTCTTTCTTTTCTTTAGGGTAGAGTGTCCTCTTTTTTTGGTCCGGAACTTCAGCGGTATACCTCCGTTCGCGCGCACCCTGTCTCCGAAGGCCCGGTGCGGCAGATCATATTTCATGAACGCGGTGTGATATCATTGTCTTCGAAGAGTGTGCATATGATCACGCGGCGCGGCTTGACACAATGGCACATAGCACACGAGGAGATGGTTGATCTCCGCTGCATGAGCTTTACGGCACAGACGAATCGGATTCTGGTAGCGGGTTGTCAACGTGCGATGTTCACGATCGATATCGATAAGGGTGTCATCGTTGACAAGTTGCATACTGATTCGAACTATACTCTCATGAAAAAGAGCCGGTATCTCTGCGCGGCTACAGATACGGGATCCGTGAACGCGATTAGTATGACGGATTTCAAGGTCGTCAAGTCGTGGAAGGCCCATGGTACTGCTGTCAATGATATGGATGCGCGGAATGACTTGCTTGTCACTTGTGGCTTTTCGGTCCGCCATCTCGGGTCCCCGATTGTTGACCCCTTGGCAAACGTATATGATTTAAAGACCTTGTCACCGCTGCCGCCTATACCGTTCCATGCGGGTGCAGCTTATGTGCGGATGCATCCAAAGCTGCACACGACAAGTTTTGTGGCTTCGCAGACCGGTCAACTCCAGGTGGTGGATTTGATGAATCCAAACGCGATCAATCTCCGACAAGCCAATGTTTCTTTCATGCTGGGCCTTGACCTTTCACCATCGGGTGAGGCGCTTGCTATCAATGATGCGGAATGCTCTATTCATCTCTGGGGCTCACCTAACAAGGTTCACTTCAATGAGATGAGTAAAGAGATTGAATTCGCCGACGTACCTACCCGACCACCTCCCATCGACTGGTCCCCCGAAACCCCCTTGAATATGGTTGGTATGCCCTACTACCACGACCGTCTCTTCTCGGCATGGCCTAGCCATTTCCTCTTCGAAGTCGGTAGCCCTCCGCCTCAATTGGACCAGTCACTCCTTCCATATCTACGCCCAGCTGAAGTCGGGCACGGGGCGCCAAACCCTCGAAAGACTCGCCGTTACCAAGTCGAGAATACCCGTGCACTAACTGCAGCCGAGCCTGCTCTCATGGCACCTAAGTTCCTGAGCGAGAAGGCTCGGGATCAGAGCAAGTCGGACTTGAAGGGCTCTGTTAATGACGCGGCGGAAGCCCTGGCAGGCGCAAAGATCAATGGCGAGAGTGAAGACGATCCCCTCCTCAAGTATAGCAATGTTGAGATCAAGTACAGTCGATTCGGTGTCGATGATTTCGACTTCCGCTTTTACAACCAGACCACTTTCTCTGGTCTTGAAACTCACATCGCAAACTCTTTCACAAATTCCCTCCTCCAACTCCTCAAATTCATCCCCCTCTTCCGGAATCTTGCCCTGACACATGCTGCGGGCTCTTGCATCTTTGAACACTGCCTTCTGTGTGAATTGGGATATCTGTTCGACATGTTGGAGAAAGCCAATGGCCAGAATTGCCAGGCTACCAACTTGTTGAAAACGTTCAGCAGTTTCCGCGAGGCTTCCAATCTGGGTCTCCTGGAAGAGAATCTCACCAACAAATCCCTTTCGACCGCAATCCAGGCCGTGAATCGCTTCTTTCTGACGCAGATTGCCCACGATTTCCGCATGATCCAGCCCAGCTCCGAGGAACTGGATCAGCGCCTGGCCACCATTGCGTCCGAGTCTATTCGTTGCATGTTCTGCCAGAACGAGACTGTACGCCCGGGTAACTCTCTTGCGAACGAGCTTCTCTATCCTAATCTGGACATCAAACATGCTCGGCGCAACCCCGCATTCCGATTCTCTAGCATTCTGCGTGCCAGTATAGAGCGTGAAACGCAGAACCGTGGATGGTGCAACTATTGTCGTCGCTACCAGCAAGTAATGATTCGAAAGACTGTCCACCGGATGCCTCTCATCCTTGTGCTGAATGCGGCCTTAACGAATCCCATCTGTCGTCGCCTATGGTCTATTCCCGGATGGCTCCCGGACGCTGTCGGTGTCGTGATCGACAATGGACAGGTGATGTGTTTCGAGGGCGATGAGCTTCGAGCACGCGAGCAGAGTAACACACCTGGGCTTGTGGTGTATGATCTGGTGGGCCTGGTTGCGGAGATTGATATTCCAGAGCATCAAAAACCACATCTGGTCTCGTTTATCAATGTTTCCCTTTCGGAGCCGGAAACCCAGGAACCACAGGATAAGTGGCACCTTTTCAATGATTTCTTGGTTACCGAGGTGGATCGTGACGAAGCCCTTCGCTTCACGCAACCTTGGAAGCAGCCCTGTGTGTTGGCTTTCCAAGTGAGGAGTGCGCGCCATGTTGTCGATGACTCTTGGAAGAGCAGCTTGGATACCACTCTGCTCTTCCGCGAGTGGTCTTTGAAGTAAGTATCGGCTGTCATTATTCAGTCTAAATTCTAGTGAAACAGGGAATGCTAACGTGTGATGTAGTGGTGGTCATCAAGTCGAATCCTGTCGCACACTGACCGAGGACGAGAAGCCACAAGCTGGCACACCCGTGGCCCTTGATACCGAATTTGTGGACCTTGAAAAGGCTGAAATTGACGTCAAGGCTGATGGATCACAGGAGATCGTGCGGCCCAACAAGAGTGGCCTGGCCCGTGTATCGGTCTTGCGGGCTTCGGGCGTAGATGAAGGCGTGCCTTTTATCGACGACTACATCACCATCCGCGAGCCGATCGTGGACTATGTAACGCAATACTCCGGTATCAAACCCGGTGATCTCGACCCGCGAACCAGCGAGCACAATCTCGTTCCCCTCAAGGCAGCATACAAAAAGCTCTGGCTTCTGCTAAACCTGGGATGCATTTTTGTCGGCCACGGCTTGGCCTCTGACTTCCGCAAGATCAACATCCAAGTGCCCAAGTCCCAGACCGTGGACACACAATATCTGTTCTTCCACCCCGGCAAGAACCGCCGTCTCAGTCTACGGTACTTGGCCTGGGCCGTGTTCAAAGAATACATCCAAGAAGAACCCACCTCCGACGTGATTCACGGCCATGACTCCATCGAAGACGCCCGCATGGCTATGCGCCTGTGGAAGAAGTTCCAAGAGTACGAAGACGCCGGTATCGTTGCTCACATGCTCGAAGAGATCTTCCGCGAAGGATCGAAGCATGGATTCCGACCCCCTCCCAAGAACGGTGGTGGTAGCGCGGCGGCCGTTCTCTCACGTCCCGGCACGGCCGTGGCGCTTTCGAACACCAGCGGTCGCAATACACCCAGTACCCCCGACGCGGCTAGTGCATCAGCCACGTCTGCAGCGACATCTGCCCCAGTGAATACATCCACTCCATCAGCTGGGCCTACCAGCGCTCCTACTACACCCCGGCAGGCGTTCCGGCGCTCGATCGCCCTGACTCCTAGCAACGGCACCTTCTCTGGGCCCGGTGCGGGCGACTTTTTCGGTGGCAGTCCACTGCGATGAGAGGGCCCCTTGCACGCTTGGTTCATCTCCCTGATCTGATGAATGCGAAGGCAGATCAGCCAATGATTCTGTCTCTCTTTGCTTTTGGCGACAGCCCTTGTAGCACTTGGCATGGTCTTCGAGTCGAGACTGCATAGACGTAGGGCTTTACTTATTTTATGGTTGCAACAGCAACTGTACACAGTCGCAAATACATTATACTTCTTTCCAACTTTTCAGCTCCATCTAGATCTAAGTATTCTACTCACAGGCTACTTCATATTTGTGCGATAGATAGTCACCTTAGGTTGCTCTCCGTGCTACAGCAAGTTAGCGTATGACAATATCGCGGGACCCTCAGCAACGGCGGTGGAGAATGACGTGGACTGCAGAATCGCTTCAACCCACCAAAACACATTCCACTTCCTGCTCGCTGACTGGCACTTCCTCGGGATTCTCGTCTCAGGAACAACGACATCGACCTGACTTTCTTTTCTTTTATTCTCTCATTTCTCATTGCACTCTACTTTTCACTTCAATTGACCACTCGCCTCTACCCAGGAGCGCTAACCACACCCCTCCCTCTCCACCTCCCCGCCCAAGTCGCGAACACGTTTCCACCCTCCCTCCTCCCTAACCTGCGACAACCAGACCCAATGTCGAGACACCGCGTGAAGAATGTCGGCTACGACGACGATGATTTCGAGGACGACGACGGCTATGACTCACCCGATCCCGAGGAGCAGGAGTTTTTGAAGCAGTGTACTGCTGCGGTCTTGGGACAGCTTCGCGCGGGGCAACCGTCGGTAACGGCCACAACGGAGGAAGTTCAGGAAGCACTATGGCATTATTATAATGATATTGACAAGTCGGTGACTTATTTGAGGGGTACGTTTTTCGAATCTCCGCCCTGTTCCTCATTAGTTGCAGAGATGAGGTAGTTTTAGTGGTGGGGGTGAGCGAGGGTGTTTTATTTTGCTATGACTCGGTTTCTTTTCAGCTAATACTGGAGATGCTCGTGTACAGGGAAGAAGGAGAAGGAGCTTAAGAAGCAGCAAGCTTCTGCTGTTATGAAGCCCAAGGTTCAAGCTGGTAAGTTGCTTGATTTCTTTCCGTTGGTCGAGGTGTCATGGCTGGGCTCGGGATACGAAAATACTCTGCGCGTTCCTCCCGATGGTGGTGATTTGCGCTAAAAAGACCCTCTTGCTCAAGGTATGTGGTCGAGCCTTGTACCCGGTGGTGAAACACCTTGCACTTGTTCACCTAGATTTCAAGACTGACCGTACGGAAGTTTGGACATCGTTCTAACAGGTCTCCCAGAGCCAGGATTCCCAGCACCTCTACCTTCTGCTGCGCACTTTTCAGCGGCCGATTTCTTCCGTGACTGCCCTTGGCTCAACGTTCCTGTCCACCGCAAGGCTGAGATCCTTGTCGAACCGCTGTACCCGCGGCTTGGACTGCTGGGTGGTGCACCTGAATCTGGCGGCAAGATGTCGAAGCTAGCCGCTTTGGCGGCAGCACGAAAGAAGAAGGAAGGCGAAAAGGCTGCTGCTGCTGCCGCACCCGAAGCCCCGTCAATGCCGCAGCCTGAGCGTTCAGAGGCGCCATCGCCCAAACCATCGGGCACATCGTTGTCCCTGAGTGAGAGGCTTGCTGCCAGCAAATTGTCGAAAGCCTCTGAAACAAATGATGGACTACGCCGCCCGGGCAAACTAGGAGCATCTGCTTCTTCGCCAGCTCGCCAGCAGCCAAAGCCTGAGGCTAGCAAACCTCCGCCTCCATCATCTCTCCCAGGGCAAACGCAGAAAGAAGAACCAGAACCCAGGCCAGAGCCCCAACAGCAAATGCCCACTATTCGTGCATCTCCATCCACTTTTGCCAGTGTCATTCTTGGCAACGCAGCAGGACCAACTATGGCCGAGCCCAGCCACCTCAACACAAACAATGTGGACCTGCTTCAAATCTACGGCCAGGACCATGCTGAACCCTTTGACTTTACAGCTCCGAGTCCCGATGACGTGGTTTTAAATGCGCAGAATACAGCAAAAGGTTTGGCGATCCGCAGAAAGGGTTAGTTGCCACTCGCCTAATAAAGTGTAGGATTCAAATCCAAATCAGCTGCTTCCAAGGCAGCTGGCGGTCAGAAGGGCCAGACCGATCTGGCTGGGGGCATGAAGGATCTTGCCGTGGAGGAAAAGGTTTCTGTGAAGAGCAAAAATCTAGATGTCGTGGCGGAATACAACAAGTCTACACGGAAGAAGTCGGCTAATTTTGTGGTGATTGGTGGGTCATTCTTTACGCCAGAGGAGATGGAAATGCATCGCTGACAGGATGCAGGACATGTGGACGCCGGAAAGAGTACACTTATGGGAAGGTTGTTGGCAGATCAAGGAGCGATAGACCAACGTACATTAGAAAAGTATCGGAAAGAGGCCGAGAAGATTGGCAAGGGCTCTTTTGCTCTTGCCTGGGTGATGGATCAGGGTTCTGAGGAGCGTGCACGAGGTGTCACCATCGACATTGCAACCAACAAATTCGAAACCGATACCACTGCCTTTACCATCGTTGATGCACCGGGTCACCGTGACTTCGTACCGAACATGATTGCTGGTGCCAGTCAAGCCGACTTTGCGGTCCTGGTTATCGATTCGAGCGTGGGCAAGTTCGAGTCTGGCTTGAAGGGTCAGACCAAGGAACATGCTCTTCTGGTTCGAAGCATGGGTGTCCAAAAGATCATTGTTGCCGTGAACAAGATGGACACAGTGCAATGGGACACTGGGCGATTCCAAGAGATCGAGCAACAGATATCAGCCTTTTTGACGAACGCAGGTTTCCAAACCAAGAACATCTCCTTTGTGCCCTGCTCTGGTGTGCTGGGCGATAATATCACTCGGCGCAGCGAGGACCCCAAGGCTTCGTGGTACACGGGAAGAACACTACTTGAGGAACTGGAGACCTCGGAGCCGTACACTCACGCGTTGGATAGGCCGCTGCGCATGACTATTGGCGACGTCTTCCGCGGTGGTGTGCAGAACCCCATTTCCATTTCTGGGCGTCTGGATGCTGGTAGTCTTCAAGTGGGCGATCAAATCCTCATCATGCCCAGCGGTGAGAGTGCCTTGATCCGCAGCGTGGAGGTAGACGGCGAGCCCAGCGACTGGGCCGTTGCCGGTCAGAATGTTGTGCTCAACCTGGCCAACATTGACCCGATCCATCTTCGTTCTGGTGACGTGGTCTGTCGAGCCTCGGCTCCGATTAAGACCATCACGAGTTTCACGGCCAAGGTCCTGGCCTTTGAGCACTTGATGCCCATGCAGGTGGATGTGCACCGAGGTCGTCTTCACGTTCCTGGCCGCATCAGCAAGCTCGTTGCTTCACTTGATAAAACCTCGGGGATGGCGCTCAAGAGACGGCCCAAGATCGTGGCTCCCGGGACTGTGGCGCGAGTGATGGTCGAAGTCGACCAGCCTGTGCCCTTGGAGGCGCCTACGAGGATCGTTCTACGTGCTGGAGGCACGACGGTGGCTGCGGGGCTGTTGGAATAATCGGCAGTCCTGTAGACGATGCTATGTCTTTGACCGTGATGATTTGGAAATGGATATAGATACATAAAGCATAGGTATTCATGCATACTACACATTCTGTATAGTTTGACTACACTTGTACACAAAAAATGCAAAACCACTGAGGTTGTATGGCTAGACTATCAAAACGAAGCGCTTGACTATACAAGAACTATACTGTGTTAGAGGCAGCCCGGTCATTCACAACTTAGGAACGTGGCAATATGAACCCACTCTGCCTGGGGCCCCTACCGTGGAGCTTTACGCATGCATACTTTGTAGACCCCGTTCTTCACGTACGAGGCTCTGTAGATCCCCCTGGTCCAAATGGTCGGCCCCGTGCTTTAGGATCGACAAGGAAAATAACACTTCATTCGAACAGTATTCTCTGGACGACCAAGTCATAATATCCATCACTCACACAGTATCAGTCATCATCATAGAAATCGGTCGTACAGGCCACTTGGCTACACAATCTTGAAACGTGGCTCTCGTCTGACGAAATTGAGCCACCCCGAAGAAGGGACGGGGGCGAAACGCTTAGCTGCTTCTAGCAAGTTCGACATCGGTGGCGGTCCCTGAGTGGTTGACCATCGGTTCCTTCCCTGTCCAGGGGTCCATCGGGACTTGCCCGATCTGGTTAAAGCCTAGTTCAAATGGGAAGGCGGTCAATGCCTGTTTAAAGTTGGGTCCTGGCCAGTGCTGACAAATGCGTGACCGACCTACTCCCAGCCAATCAGAGCCCAAGGAGTGACCTCTGAGAAAAGGCCAGCATGGCCGCTGCGCGATGCCGGTCCCTGGGTCTCCATACAAGAGGGCCCTTCGTCGTCTTCTCTCTCTTTCCCTTCTCCATCCCCCTACGCCTTCGGGTCCCTCCCGCCTATTCACCAATTCTTGAGGGTTTAAAAAGAGTCTCTTTCGCGCGACTCACCTGTACACGCGCTTAGAAGCTTACTCGACTCGGCTTCGTTCTTGATACTCGCTTTGTTGCAGAGCATCGACATTTCCTGAACAACTCTCTCTCTGTCCTCTTCTCTCACCCTCATACACCTTTTCACAATGTCGCGACTCACGAGCCGCGATGGTGTGTCCAAGGGCTTCACCTGGACCACCGTCTTCTACCTTCTTCTCGTCTTGATTGCCCCTCTGGCGCTGTTTGGCACCACTGCCCACGCCGAGGAGGACAACTCACCCGAAAACTATGGCACCGTTATTGGTATTGATCTGGGTACCACCTACAGGTTTGTGAACCTCTCGAAAACCCTTGTGAACAGCAATTGAACCCGTCGAGCTAACGCGAAAATTTACAGTTGTGTTGGTGTTATGCAGAACGGCAAGGTTGAGATCCTCGCCAACGATCAAGGAAACCGTATTACTCCCTCCTACGTGGCTTTCACCGATGAGGAGCGCCTCGTCGGTGACGCTGCGAAGAACCAATACGCCGCCAACCCCCAACGGACCGTCTTCGACGTCAAGTGAGTTTTTTTCTCCGTTTACTTCTGGCCAACGTGGCCGGTTTTACCCGATGAGTCCAAGTTAGCTAACAAATAATTTTCCACAGGCGATTGATTGGTCGCAAGTTCGATGACAAGGACATCCAGAAGGACGCCAAGAACTTCCCCTTCAAGGTCGTCAACAAGGATGGCAAGCCCATGGTCAAGGTCGACGTTAATAAGACCCCCAAGGTCTTCACCCCCGAGCAGATCTCCGCCATGATCCTGGAGAAGATGAAGGATGTCGCTGAGAGCTACCTGGGCAAGACGGTCACCCACGCCGTCGTTACCGTTCCCGCCTACTTCAACGACGCTCAGCGTCAGGCCACCAAGGATGCCGGTACCATCGCCGGTCTCAACGTCCTCCGTGTTGTCAACGAGCCCACCGCCGCCGCTATCGCCTACGGTCTGGACAAGACTGGTGATGAGCGCCAGGTTATCGTCTACGATCTCGGTGGTGGTACTTTCGATGTCTCTCTCCTGTCGATTGACAACGGCGTTTTCGAGGTTCTGGCTACCGCTGGTGACACCCACCTTGGTGGCGAGGACTTTGACCACCGCGTCATGGACTACTTCGTTAAGCTCTACAACAAGAAGAACGACGTTGATGTCCGCAAGGATCTGAAGTCCATGGGTAAGCTGAAGCGCGAGGTTGAGAAGGCCAAGCGTACTCTGTCTTCCCAGATGTCCACTCGTATCGAAATCGAGGCCTTCCACAACGGCAACGATTTCTCCGAGACCCTGACCCGCGCCAAGTTCGAGGAGCTGAACATTGATCTGTTCAAGAAGACCCTCAAGCCCGTCGAGCAGGTGCTCAAGGACGCCAAGGTCAAGAAGTCCGAGGTTGACGACATCGTTCTGGTCGGTGGTTCCACCCGTATCCCCAAGGTCCAGGCTCTTCTTGAGGAGTACTTCGGTGGCAAGAAGGCCAGCAAGGGTATCAACCCCGACGAGGCCGTCGCTTTCGGCGCTGCCGTTCAGGCCGGTGTTCTCGGTGGTGATGAGCACTTGACCGAGGTCGTTCTCATGGATGTCAACCCCCTCACTCTGGGTATTGAGACCACCGGTGGTGTCATGACCAAGCTGATTCCCCGTAACTCCGTCATTCCTACCCGCAAGTCCCAGATCTTCTCAACTGCGGCTGATAACCAGCCCACCGTCCTGATCCAGGTCTTCGAGGGTGAGCGTTCCATGACCAAGGATAACAACCTCCTCGGCAAGTTCGAGTTGACCGGTATCCCCCCCGCGCCCCGTGGTGTTCCTCAGATCGAGGTTGCCTTCGACCTCGATGCCAACGGTATCCTCAAGGTTAGCGCCAGTGACAAGGGCACTGGCAAGGCCGAGAGCATCACCATTACCAACGACAAGGGCCGTCTCTCGCAAGAGGAGATTGACCGCATGGTTGCCGAGGCTGAGGAGTATGCCGAGGAGGACAAGGCCATGAAGGCCAAGATCGAGGCCCGCAACGGACTGGAGAACTACGCTTTCTCTCTGAAGGCCCAGGTCGGTGACGAGAACGGCCTCGGCGGTCAGATCGACGAGGACGACAAGCAGACCATCCTGGACGCTGTCAAGGAGGCTATCGACTGGCTCGAGGACAATGCCGCCACTGCTACCGCCGAGGACTTTGAGGAGCAGAAGGAGCAGTTGTCCAGCGTGGCTTACCCCATCACCAGCAAGCTGTATGGCTCTGGTGCTCCTCCCGAGGATGACGAGCCTGTGGACCACGATGAACTGTAAAATTATTCTTTGAGGCATTACCCATGGAGTTTTCTCTTTTTCTTTCTGTTTGCTTTTTTTTTGTGTGCTTCTAGTCCAACCGAACTAAGAACTGCGCGGGTTAATCCTCGTCGCTCGAGCCTGGTTTCTTGAGTGTACCGGCTCTTAAATACCATGATACCTTTGCATACACTACTTTTCTTTCCATATCGTACTCCGTAGTTGTAGAGCTTTTTCTATTCTCGATATCTATACAATCTATCCGCTCAACCGTCTCCACGTCCATCTAACACCCTACTTCTGCTCCTTGATAACCTGCTTGATCGTCTCGGCCACCACCGCATGATCATCCTCCTGCTTCAACCCACTAACAACAACGACAGCAACAACCCCCTCCACCCCCCTCACCCGAATCGGATACCCACCCCCATGAATAGCATACTCATCCGCAACGGCACCCCCACTCGAACTCGCCAGCGCATACTTTTTCAAAAACGCCTCCTCAACCGCACTCGCACTCTCACTGCCGCTCAACCCGGCAAGCACCTTCATCCGCATCGCCCAGCTGGACATCCCAAAGCGCAGCACCGTATTCCGCTTGCGCCGCACCCAGTTCTCGTTATCCGGGATGGTCCCAGATTCCGTCGCGCATTGGAACAGAACGTGTGGTGGGTTGGGGGATGTAGCCGTTGCGAGGGCGATGGAGATCAGGGCGGGTTTGCGTTGGGAGGCTGGGAGGGAGAGCAGGCGGGTTCGGAGGGCGGTACCGAGGGTCCACGCTGTTTCGGCGGTGAAGGTGCGGAATTTGTAGTCTTCGCTGCTTTCTTGGGCGATGAGGGTGTTTGGCTGGACGGGGGTGGGTTAGTAGGTTGGAGATAAGAGGTGAGGGGGTTTAGTATGGAGACTGAGGGGAACGTACGTCTGTGCTTGGGGCGGGGAGAGCCATTGTTGAGGGTATTGATAATGGTGATTGTGACTGAGTTTTGGATTGAAGGATCTGTAGAGGTCAAAGGGAAAGGAGGAAATTGAAGTGTTTAAAGATGGAGAGAGTGGGTGTGGAATTGAATGCTTCCCGCTTTCTACCTCTGGAACTGGTGACGTTGGGGCAAAAGGCTGGACCTTCCCTCGAGCGACGAGTGTGGAGCCCTTCGGGACTTGTCCCGCGGGAATAGATCGAACAGTTTCCAATTATAAATTCTCTTATGCCGCCCCAGTACTATAGGGAGCCAATAGCTTCTATTAACTTATCGTATCGATTCATTAAGGCGCGGCTGAGGCAATGTTTTTCAATGTTATTTTAGCTGTTGATCTTGAAGTCCCAGGAGTTGAATAAACAAAAATGTCGGGTGCTACATGTCCGTTGCGCCTTTTTGCTCTACTGGTCTCTCTGTCATTCCAGGCCAGATCTGGTCATCATTGATATTGCATGGAATAGGAAGCTATAGACGTGGTGCCTTGGAGCCGAGCTGACCCTTTACAACTTTCTTCAGACTCGCCCAAAAGCTCACACGTGGCTTGGTAGCAGCAGCATCATTATCATCATTCATCTTCGATGCATAGGCCGTATCATAGGAGGGAGGGCTTTGGTCAGGCTCCTCGCTGATTCTATCCACCTCTGCTGATAGCGCGACGAACCGGTCACGAGAGAACGAAAGTCGCTCAGTACTGGAGTTTTCGGTCCTCTCTGCTTGTTTGGTAGTCAACGGCTGTTGGGATTCATGCCCAATATCTCTGTTATGATAGTAGCCGCCGTTCGTATGGTCCTGAGCCAGTTTATGTTGTATCCGCTGGTTTAGGCTCGGCTTGGAAGAATCGTAAATTCGGTTGAACTCATTCTCACTGAGTACGGTCATAACTTTACAGAGATCGGGGTGACTCACGGCGCGTTCTTTGGCAACATTTGCTAACTCCGTAAGCAACTGTCCCATCTCTGTGGCTAATCGACTGATGTCCTAATAGAATTCCGCGGCAGCGATGTAACCCAGGGGGCCTCGCGACTGCTTTTTCTCCGTCTTCCGGATCTCGTCAAGCATCTCTGCACCTATATCATCAAGCCGAGTACGTATCTTCCGTCTGTATTGCTCGTTCTCAAGAACGGAGGTGAGTATATCTTCGCTTGGTTGATATACATCGCATTGTGGAGGGTGATCATGGCAACAAGAGACTATCTTTGACTCCTGGTCTTGAGTAGATAACACGGACATTTTTAAAGGATGATTGAACGATTGTATCAGGTGGAAAAATGTTGTTATCACTCAGGAAACTGAATTTTGAAGATTGAGAAATGTAGAATTTATCAACTTTGGCTTCTGCTGCCCCAGCTAGCCGCCGCCCAACATAGACACCAGAGCTATGGTAACCCGCGCTACTAAACTAGTTAGGACTGTGCAAAGCTAGAACAGTTCTGCGTAACCCTTTTCAGATTACCACAGGCCCCTATTTAGGTATAGTACGTGCCAGAGAGTGGCTCCTTACTCCAAAATTGTACGGAATGAATGCAATGGAGTACTTAGAGTAAACTGGGATGTTATTGATTTGTTTAATTAAAGAGACCCTTGCAATCATCAGCGCCCAGCAGAACCTTTACTCAAGGCATCTCAGGTGCCTGCTTAGCATCTGCAACGGGTACAATGTAGTCACGGCGTCTAGTCGCAAACAATTCCAGCGCAATCAGGATGTTAGTCTCCTCGAGACATCCGCTCTTAATCAATGTGATCTCTCCCAGTGCCTCGGGCCGCGAAAACAGGCTAGATCCACAGCCTGTACCATTGCCTATCAGTATATAGCTTTTATTACAGTGAGAAGCTCCACATTGGCTTACCTCCGCAGAAAAAGTGTCGATTTTCCTTGCCAGATACATCTCCATTTCGGACCCAGCTCTTGGGCTCGCCCTTGGTGAGGGAGAAGTTTGTGGTCGGAACGCCCACGTTGGAGGAGAATGCGCTGCCACCCCAGTTCTGGCAGCCTTTGCAGTGGCATAGTGCTGTTAGGGTCGGTTCACCTGCGAATAGGTGACTGGATTAGATCGGGGAAAATGTAAATTTGGGATGGAAAAGAAAAGGTAGCTCACCAGAGTACTGGAACGACACGGTGCCACAAGCGCAACTTCCAAGGCCGGGCATCTTGATGATTTAGTTGAGTTGATTTGGTGCTGATCGCTGGGGAGTTGACTGAATGAATGATTGATCGAGGGTTTCAATCGACTACTTATAGCTTTTAGCAGCGAAATATCCCAGCTCTTTCGTTTCTCAAACCTCTGTGCTGATTCCAAAGTATCGCAGTCAAGTCCGCTCATTTGTGTATATGTGGAGTCTTTTTTACAGATCATCACGTCGCGCCGCTACATGCTTTGGAATCATGTCACTTTTGGAACGCTGGGTTCCACTTACCTTACCAACCCGAGAGTTAGGACCCCTGCACCAAAGTATCGCAACTACGTAGTCAATTCTTTAAGTTGACTTCCACACCTACACATAATGTCCCGTTGGATTGACGTTCTTATGTAATTATCCCATTCCTCACAAAGTACATTACTTAGCATCGTAACTTATTGTCCAAAGATACAATGAAACAAATCTTCAAATACATCGTCCTCAATCAGTGCACCGAACCTATGAGAATCTCGTCAGCAACATGCAAAATACCCTATCATAATAACAATGATAGGTGATCTGATGGATACTATCAGCCCACCAACTAATCTAGCACACTTACCCATAACATTTAACATGTGGGATCATAGCAGACCTCAAGCTCTCCAATTTCGCATCCAAAATCTGCTCCCAATCCAACCGACTGATGATCCGATTCCACGCCTGAACGGGTGTAATGTACCCATCCAACCCAAGACACCCCGAGAGCTCAAACAGCTTCTGCAGTTGCCGGGCGGAAACTTCCCATGTGGACTGATCGTGAAGATCCTGCGGGGCTCCCGAAAGCAGGATTCCTTGCATTGATAATGCATGTCCAGATGGCTCTTCGGTGTTGGGGCAATGGGTGTGGAAGAGACAAGGTCGTTCGATTCTGCGAAGTTAGTGGTTGCAATTATCATTGTTGGAGGCGGTTTACGTACGATAATACGAAATCAATCCCTAGTTGGGCGATATTTAGGCCGCTGTCGTGATATGTTGAGTCACTGGATCGATGAAGTTAGATGAACACTTGGCACGAAAATAGTTGCTAAGACTAGGTCGTACCTTATTCCTGAGACCTCGGTAGAGGCACAATTTGACTGGATAGATGATGGCTCTGTACTGGGCCCTGCGCAATTATCTACCTGCGGGGCAGGTCGTTGATCTGGCAATTTGACTTGTAGACGTTGATCATGACCGCCATTGTTAGTGAACCTCACTTCAGCCCACGACGTATCTTTTGATGGTATGTCTGGAGGCAACGGTTTTGAATGGCGGAGCATAATGTCTCGAAGGATATCATTCTCAGACCGGAGATTCTGCAACTCTTCTTCCGTGGTGATCAGGTTATATAGTCGGTAGAGCTCATCTTCAAGCTGACGACAGTGGTTTTCCTTTCTTTCTCGATGTTTTCTGGAGACGGTTAGCAATATTGGGGTGTACCTGAAGAGAAATGACATACTTTTGTGCTCGTCTGACCTGCTCACGGCGTCTGTCGTAATTAGACTGAGCTTCTGAATGGTCGGTAATTTCCGTGGTGTGGGGAGGCTCTTCCTCGCCGTGGAGCGACTGGGCCATTGCCGCGACGTAAGTTTGGATTGTTTGATGCGACTTCGTTTCGTCAGAACTTGTGTAAGAAATGAATACCGGGGGTGATAGCGCCTTGGACGGTGATAACCCTCGACAGTCTTGCTGCGAGCCGCTAGTTCTGGAGATGGGGGCCGAGTACTATCTCGAATCACACCAGGAGAGAGAACATAATGATAGTATATCCGTCGAGTTCTCGTTACGTGCTTGAGCTGGAATCCTCATCAGATGGTAATTTCTCTTTCTCCTAGCATTGATGCATCAAGATCGATACCGTCGGCACAGAGATAAGTCGTCAGCACTTGGCTCTGGAAGCGGTAAAATCCAGCCACGTAGACTTTCGTTGGCTGTCAGCCAATGAATGCGGAGAGTCCCAGGATCCTTGAGACTTCCACCAATCACTGGGGCCAAACTGGGTTTAATGTGGGGTGGTAATTAATGATTCCAAAGCCAAATGATTCTACATCCAACTTGCCATACATGGAAAAGCTTCCAGAGTGAGTAGATTGTGCCTTCTAAAGGTATTTCGGTTCGGATGCAATGGTGTCTGAGATCATAAGGAGGAGACTAAGTCTGTGACTGCCCCTTTGAGGACTCGTCTGGGTTGGCGGCACTAGATAAGAAGGACCTTCCTGGAGTGTATATCGTACGCAATGTTCATTGGCACATTCGCAGTCCAAAAATTGTCTTGCCCGGTCTTTATCATTGGAGCTAAAAAGATCGGAAGCCTGAAGTATTTAATGAACATGGGCCCAAACCCCGGCCCCGAATCCCACTCCACCATACCCCCTTGGACCATACCCCGACAACCGAGATGCTCCATAACGCCACGCTGATGTACAAAGCCCTAGCCCAGACACACCCAAGAGAAACTAGGAAATCAATAACAGGAAACCGTCTGTACCCTTCCGATATTAAACTTCATCCTTGAGCACAACCCGAGGCATGGAGAAAGACTTGTTATTTCGCACCACCCGGTGAGCACTGGGTGCAGACTCAATATCCTCGATTTGTTGGGCGCCACGATGTGGTGAGCGAACGGTATTTGCGTTCGTCAAAAGAATCTCGCCGCTGGCTTGTTTTCGGAGCCAGTAGGCGCGCATTCTGTCTAGGGCTGTCTTGAAGTCGTCGAGGATGACCGTGTCGCAGAGGCATTTGAAGATGAAGGATAACTGAATCAATTGATACCGACATTAGTGAGGTAAAGGGAGGTGAACGGAGCGTGTGGGTGAGAAAGAGTGTGACAGGGGAACTGAGTAGAAAAGGGAGGGGAAGAATACCTTCCAAAATGGCTCGATACCCTGAGGCAGTGAATCACTGAAAGCATTCAGGACACTGCAGGTATCTACCACGATGAATGCGATAGAGAGACACATCGAGGCGAGCATGATGCCGAAGCGGGGGCTGATGAAGACGAGTTCCCAGAGCCCGAAATTATACTCGCGCTTGATGGTGTAGAAAAGGGACACGGTCGTGAACACCCACCAGGGGTCCCTGAATTATGATTAGCTTCGAAAGAGGATAATCTCACACGAAGGGCTAAGGATGATGATTGAAGAAAGACCTGGGACAAGACAGATATCCATTCTTACCTGAAGATCGGTTCAAGCGGTCGAGTGGTATGAAACAGGTTATTGATATTGTTGAAGTAGGTGAAGTTGGCATAGATCTCGACGATCCAATACGGCCAGGAAAGAATGACGGTGACGATGTAGAACATTGAGACTCGGCGTGATAGAAACGGTCGATTCTTCATCCACGCAATGACATTGTGCAGTGCCCAGGATATATTCAGGCCGATCGCCGTAACAGATAAGTACCAGCCATAGCCGGGCTCTTGCAGGAAAATGAAGGTACCATGACCCATGGCGAGAATTAGCTGTGTGGGGAGGGTTCGGAATTAGCCTCGTGCTCTAGCACATGTTTCATGCAGGTACAAGCCCATGTGGGGGGGGGGGGGACAAGGGAATAAAAGTCTCTTTCTCGTACACCGATCTTGAGGGAACTGGAATATATAAGAGCCATGGTGGATACTTACTTCGGCGAGGATGAGCTTGTGTAGGAGAATGTGTTTCTTCATGTTTGAGAGAGTGATAGCCGCCATGATGAGCAAGCTGCCGATCATGAGGCCCTGGCCCCATGCCTCGAGGACCAGGCCCTCGCCGGTTGGCCGACCAGTATGATCAGACATGGCGATATCTAGTTCATTGCACTGCTATTCGAGGAATGATGCGAATTGAAACGGGCAGTCACAGGAACCGCCGAGGGAGATGGATAATACAGCGAGAGAACCGAGACGGCGATCGTTCGTTGTGCGACGGGGAGGATTGCGAGAAGGAGAAACTGAAGAAATATTTAGAGAAAAGTTCTTTGACTGTTCGAAATGCGCCGTCTTGTAAGGAGAGCCGTTGCACACGAGAGGGCATTAGAGTTCGTTCGACGAGAGAGGGGAGGCAGAAGTGCCCGAGCCAGTCTTGCTAGAAATAGTCTGGCGTGAACGAAGTGGCTTTTAAGCACCAGCTCGGACCAGGCGACCCATTGGTCTTAGCTCAACTTTCAAAAGATGTACAGCACGGGCGAAGCATGCAAGAAGATTGAAAGCAAAGATCGACTTGTTCTTCCGTTAGATGTTGAATCGGACAGGGCGGCCTTGCAGTGTTTTGCTGCTCTCGGCGATAGAAAACGAGAATTCTTCTAAGCAGATGGAGGTTGGTACCCCCATATTAACGAGGGGTTTTTTTCTGCTAAGCGTGTTTGAGGTGGCTTCTAATTTGACTCTGCGTTACGTTATTGTTGGTTATTGTGGGGATATCCGATCGGGTCGAGACTCTGGAGTAGCTTTGCACGATCCACCGTGATCCCGGGGGATCGTAGTTCGGTCGGCTCACAGAGAGGCTTCAGCCATCGCCAATGCACCCAAGAGGTCGCGATGGAATTTGTGGCTCAGAATAAAAGCATATGGTGGCCAGAACCAACCGCATGTCCATCTCGTAGAAGAGGGGCCAGTAGCCATGTATACACTTCCCGGGCCGGTCCAATAGGATGGAACTGGCCCCTAGAACGGGCACAGGGGGAGCGTGGGATCCGACCAATCTGTCGCGTGCTCAAGGCTGGTGCGAAAGCCTGTTTGACAGGCGTCCGGGGGAAACCTGCCATTAGCGACTCGGGCACACGAGAGGATTGGTGCCTGGCCATGGGGGCCGAATCAGTGGCGTCGGCCAGGAAGTTTAAGGAAAACACCGGCTTGCGGGGTTTTTTTTGTTAAAGTTGTTCGAGAACGTTCCCGAGTTCAGACAGAAAAGGGCGCAACAAAAAAGACAAAAGACAAGCTACCACGGTATCCACAAAGTTTAGAAGTAAAGTATAAGAATTTATTACGACCCAAAATGGTTGATGTTCATGACGCCCTGTCACACCTCGCGAAAGAGGATGTTCCTGGATCCCGTCGGGAGAGATCACCTTTGTGCATCGGGAGAGCCGAGAGAGGGAACCCTGTGAGTTTACAACCCTGTCCTGGCCAGTGCCAAGGGCCCGTTTCCGCTATTTTCCCGTCTGCGTGGGGCCGAAAGCCGGGGAAGCTTGCCAATCCACACCCAGAGATCCAGAAATGGCATGAGGCGATGTGGTAATGGGGTTAAATGGGGCTGATTAGCGCCTCGTGTTTGTGGAGTATAAGTGGAAAACAGCGTGGTTCATGAGGGGCATAGAGGCATTAGTACAGAGTATCTATCCATCACTGATTAACGTCGGGATGGCGCCGATGGAACTCGGTGCCCAAGTAGTATCCGAATCCCGACGAGCGGCATTACTAACGAGTTCCTTGATTTAAGGCTTAATTTTGGCCTCTTTGGATGCTGATTCGACGTGCTCCTGGTGGTCGTTACTCTCGACGTGCTTCTCCTCTCTCGGTCCACCGCCAAAGACCTCTTGCATCTCTTCCAGTGAGTGTCGCGATGTCTGTTTGATTCAGTCAACGTGTGTCTTCCATAAAATTGGTGTAAACGGCGTGACATACCTCCTTGAGAACGAGCCAGGAGTACACGATAATGGCGTAGTTGAAAATGGCAAACATCAAGAACATGCGCCAGCCGATATTATTAATCGCATGCGGCGTGACTTGCGACATCATAAAATTGAACAGCCACTGTGACGCAGCGCCCACCGTGACACCCAACTCACGGGTACGACTTGAAAAGATCTCACCCACATAGAGCCAAGGAAGCGGACCCCAGGACATGTTGTAGCTGAAAGCCTCGGCGTAAGTCATGATAATGCACGCAATGCCCGCAGAGCTAGGTCCTGAGGATGTGCTGTTGGTATTGGCCGGGTGCGTGGCCAGGATACATGCGATGATGAGCATGAACGAGCCCATGGCAAAGGCGCCCACCATGAACGGCACCCGACGCCCTATTCGATCCAGGACAAATAGCTGGAAGATGGTGACCCCACACACCTTGACGAGACCGAAGAATCCTGTAACTAACTTGGCCGCACTACCAGCCCCGACGGAGCTGAAAATCTGCGTCGCATAGTATGCCAGCGAGGTGTTGCCGGTAAGCTGGGCAGAGAGTTGGATGGTGACGGCGATGAAGAGACGGTACCGATTCACCGGAAGGAGGAGCTCTTTGAAAGTAAGGTTTTCTTTGATGCGTGCCTCTTCCTCGATACCGGCAAGAATCTCATCGAATTCCTTCTGCAGTTCTTCCGTCTCCTCGCCTCCACGAACCCATTTTAACGACTCCCGCGCTTGATCCAGTTTCCCTCGAGCAGCGAGCCAACGCGCGCTCTCTTTGACTGTGCACATTCCGACTAGCAAAAGCGTCGAACCAAGAAGCTGTAGCCCCAACGCTGTCTGCCACTGACTCGTGCCCGGAGACTGATCCTTATCCACTGCATACGTCACCCAGTACGCGATCATGACCCCAATAGCAAAGAACAGCTGGAAGCACGCCCCAAGTCGACCACGAATCCCCTTCGGCGACATCTCCGCCGAATACATCGGGATCAGCACCGTGGCGGCGCCGATTCCCAAACCCGCAATGACGCGCCCGGCATAGAATGTGGCCAAAGTGCCGGAGTTGATGACCTGCAGGATAGTGCCGAGAGTGAAGACCAGAGAGCTTATGATTAAGCCAGTGCGACGGCCGAAAAACTTGGCAATAGGGGAGACGAGGAAGCAGCCAAAAAAGGCCCCTGCCTGTAGGATGGACACGGCGTTAGAGTTGACATTGGTCTTTTGGGCTTTGGTGTATCCAAAGTCATTCTGGAAGGATTCGAGGGAGAGGACGCCGCCTGTTTGGATGAATATTGTCATTCTATGATGGTACGATGTGACCACTTGGGTATTCGCTCGACCTACTAATGACACCAGTATCGAAGGCAAATGCAAACGAGCCCATGCAACTGGCTGAAGCCAGGTAGGCTGCGCGAAACAGGCCAAGCTTGCGACCCATGGTGGTGCTACACCTCTGCTGAGCAAATGTACGACTTGCGATTTGGAAGAGGAGTGTTCAGTTGGAGTATAGGAAGTCGAGTCGCACAAACTCGCTTCCACGCGAGTGTTGAAAGATATATGCCCAAGTAAATCAAAGATGATTTTGAAAGATGAACCGGTGATTAATCCGGTGGTAAGGAGAGAGCGGAGAAAGGAAGCAAAGACGGGCTACCACGCAGTCTTTATTACCGGCCGATCATTCTGAAAGGCCAAAGATGATGCGCCGCATGGTTGATGTAAGGCCACTGCAAGCAATATCCGCCCGGTAGAAGCTCACTGGCTCAGCTTTGAGGGGGTTAGAGTAGGCAAGCTCTCTCAAAGCCACGCGAGAGCCGACCGGCTCGCAACCGAGTACGTTGTGGTGCACATGCTTGTCATTGGCGGTTGCTGAATAGCTTAGTGGGAGCCAAAGCTCTAGGCCGCGGGGAGGTTGGATGCTGATTTGCGGGGAATTCGTGTGGTGGCCGTGCCAAAGAACGAATGTGGAAGGGGATAGACATGGAAACTGCCGTCTGAGGACGAGCGCATGGGGGTGTTTTTTCGGCAGTGGATGGCCTGTTGCGGTCTGAGACAGCTGGGGCCGTGCCTGGACTGTGGAAATCGGTTCTTCTCCTTGTCACCCTAGAAGGTCTGAGTTCACGAGTTTGATATGGTTCTTGGTTTCAACTTTTCATATGTTTGTCGAGGTGGAGTTGGTATCCCCGCAGCTAAACGCTAACCCCAGATCTACGAGATCTTGTTGCGCCACTAAGAGGTGGACTCGCGCCTTACTTAGCCTTACCAGACTCATTGGAACAACCTACCTTGAGAGGGCGATACTGGATCAGGATAGAACAAAGCTCGAGAGAAAACTATCTAGGGACACAATTCAAAAAATCTTTAGAATGATCGTTATAAAGAGCTGTAGTTAAGATCCTACTAGGCCTTTTCTCTGGTTATTAGAAATCAGGCATCTGGGCACAGAGACAACCAATAGAATTGGATTGAGGTTGTTGTATCGAGACCTGTGTTTAATTCGATCGTTTTATACTCGGCTTATGAGGAACAAAGAGGCCGTCACCACCGTGAGTAATTCCGAACAAGCTTCTGTGTCGTCGCGACGGCTCTCCGGGCTCTCACACGAACATCATTAACATTGAGCCAGCCAGAAGCTTGTAATTCATTGGAAATCGAAGAAACCAACGAATCAAAGAACGAGCGCAGAAGTATTCGGGAAATATAGCATACTTGCGGAGCCCCAAACACTGATAAGGCGTTCCTCGGCCGTAGTTATGCGGCCGTCACGACTTCAATCTACCATACACTTTGATAGCCATCCTACACCAAAATCATCAGCAGTCGTGAGCTGAGTAATGACCCATAGCGTAGCATCCACGGGATCGTAGGGTTTTCAGGTTCCTGAGAACTCTCCTCGATCTCCCACAAGAAAGCCTCCCATCCCGGTAGTACATCAGTAATCGCAAGTTCGTAGAAATCTGGACCTTTGCATACATTCCCGATAATTCATCTCTCGAACTGAGGCGCAGGAAGAGACGCCATGAAAATGGCGAGAATACGGCATTGAAGCTAGGCAAAGCTCGGAGGAAAGGCGAACTGTATTCTAGCTTGGTTCAATAAGATAACGTGGCAGATGGAATTGAAAGCGAGATGTACGGAGTACAAAACCGGGATTGGAGTAGGAGAAAAGCGAAGTCAGGTAGGAGAGGATTAAATTCGAAGGCAAATTGAATGTATTTCATATAATGACCTAGAACCACGGATTATGAGCCTTAAAATCTTAATTTGGACGGCCTGCAGCCAGCAAGTCTCGATGATTGCTCTTGCTTTTGCCCGCAGCACTGCTCAAGATTAGAGTCTTGTGCTCCTCGGATGACGGTATAGACTAGCATTTATGCGTCAGTACCGACAACGCCATGTGTATCCTTTAGCACTGTGCGGACTTGTCATGGCGACTTGATCGCTGGTCACCTGACAAGGGTGCGTGACGACCTGGCATCGTCCGATTGTTCATTTCTCACCGTCGACAACGTGCATGTTCTCATGTTATTTGGTGATTGACAGAGGTGTCGATTTCTTGTCAGCCTCAGTCATGCCAATCAACCCTGGAGCTCCAGCTCCACCAGCTTTCGAGCCGTGCTCTGGTGTGTCCTGCGACGATCCCCGTCGGCCAGGCCGGCGGACTCTACATGGAATTCACTCGGAGAAGCCTGAATGATGGTGGTATTCTCTATCACTTGCTCCGGATATCGCACACCTGGTAAAGCACGGTCTCCCTCCAATATTTTAATTCGAAACTCCCACGCTGGTCTCGACAGTTGCTTCATCCGGGATAGTCGTAGCCGATCGCTACCAGAGATTCTTTTCAGGGGCGACGGAATCGAACAATTCCCAGAGTTCCGCACCCCACTAGTCCCACCACTTACAATACTTTGTCTCTACTCCACAGCGCTGGGCCCAAGGACCGGACAATATGTGTTCCTGGCGACGATTGGGGTCTTTTTCCACGCGACCTGCCACGCAGGCCATGTCCATCCATTGTGGATATTGACTATGCGAAACACGCTGCCAAGACCGATCGGCCCGCCGATCCTCTCGCCTTAGACTGAAGTGTGTTATGAGATATGCGTCGTGGTTGGATGGAATATCGGGACTTGATTGTAACCTACTGATTTCACGTACCCCTGCAGTATCAGATTAGGCCTTCTTACTCGAGGAGGACTATGACCTTATTCACCCACGTCGCAAATTGCAGATGAAACCTCCGTCCGGCCCTGTCGCGGGGACCCTTGATTTTATGTCAAAGATTTGCAGAGAGATGAAGAGCTTTACCGTCGGTCCACCCAATGACGATTGCCAAGCCTGGTTATCCAGACTTTTGAGGTGTCGTTGTTGCGCATAACAAGATAGCCGAGAGACGATCATCTTCGTTGGGCTGCCTGGTTGGATAACGACCAGCAACCAACCCACTAACCATCCACGCGTGGGACGGCAATGATCTTCAGGGCTATCGCTTCTATCACGGAGTTTCGGCGGATGAAGATGGAACGATGCTAGGCTGATTTTTTAAACGAGCAGCTCCCCGAGAACGATGGATGTGCTAGATGTTCTGGAAAAGCACGTCTTTGCAGCTCCCACTGCCGTCACTCTTTTATCTACACTCATCCTCTCGTTTTCATTGATACCCATTGTCCTTCTTTAATAGGCATAGCGCTTAACCCTTGTCTGTACTGAACCTTCCCAACCTGTGAGCGGCTATGGCTCCATGGCGGTATATTGCTGGCAGCACGCTGCTACTGTCCTCACTCAGTGCGGCGGCTTGGCCATACTCGACATATACTTCGATGAACTTCCAGCCGCCGAAACTTGAAGTCAACAAGACCGGCACTGCTGAGCCGGGTTACCTCTTCCTCGGCCCTCGTGGCGGTGTCCAGCCTGCTGGTCAGGCGGCACTAATTTACGACGACGAAGGCAACTTGGTCTATGAAGGCCCTGAAGAGGTAACCGCCAACTTCCGCGTTCAACGACTGAATGGCCAGGACGTTATCACTTTTTGGTCTGGCACAATGATGGACCTGGGCTTCGGATATGGAGCCGTGCACATCCTCGACAACACGTACAAGGAGATCCATACCGTAACTTTGACTGGCGCCTTCGTCACTCCGGACAGCTCGCCCAGGGACTCGTACATTGACTTACACGAGAGCCATATCACTTCTCGCAACACTCTGCTGGTGACTGCCTACAATGTGACACAGCACGATCTGACCACCCTCGGTGGAAACTCTTCAGAGTGGATGCTTGATAGCCACTTCTACGAGATCGACATCTCCACTAACCAGATTCTTTACTCCTGGAGTGCTCTTGACCATGAAGACCAGATTCCCTTGAACTCTTCGCACCAAAAGCTGGGTGCCGACGTTGGCTCCCAGGAGAAGCCTTACGATGCCTACCACATCAACTCTATCACTGCCACCAACAACGGTTACATGGTATCCTTGCGCCACATGTGGTCCGGCTATTATCTCTTCCCCAACGGCAGCATCAACTGGCAGCTGGACGGCGCGAACGGTGGCGAATTTGCACAGGTCGGCAACGCGAACTTCAGCTGGCAGCATGATATGCGTGTGTACAACGAGACCGACGAGGGCCTTGTTCTCAACCTATTTAACAATGCCAACACCCCGACTGACTCCGAGACCCCAACGACTGGTGTCAGCCTGGCCGTTGACCTATTGAACAAGAAGGTTACTGGTTTGCGCTCCCTAACCGATCCGAACGATCCCATCCATTCAGTCAGCCAAGGCAGCTACCAGCTGCTCAACGAGGCCGACGGACACGTCTTCATCGACTACGGCTCTATCTCCAAAGTCAAAGAGTTTGATGGTGACGGCAACGTTGTGTTCAGTGCACAGTTCGGCCCAGATAATGCTGTCGCATCGTACCGCGGCTATCGCTGCCAATGGAGCGCCGTCCCATTCTGGAAACCCTCTTTGACGGTGGACAAGACCAGTGACGGCATCACCGTGTATATGAGCTGGAATGGTGCCACTGACTATGATAACTGGGTTGTCTACTCGGTTGTCTCTGCCACCTCGGTCAATAGGACGCAGATTGACATTGCGAAGCGCACCGGCTTTGAGACTGCGGTTAGTCTTGGTACTCTGTCCTCTAGCTTTGTTCAGGTTGCTGCCCGTCGGGGTTCAACGGTTCTTGGTACCTCCGAGATTGTCTCTTTCTAAGTCGGATGTCCTCTATATATATATACTTTTGCGTGGGTATCTGTAGCTGGGGTGTCTCAATGTGGCTCTTCGAGCCTCTGATCTTTTCTTTCTGTATATATTTCTCCTGAATATAGGCGTAAATAGTCTATTTATTTCCATGCACTCATACTTTATCCCGATGGAAAATATCATAGAGTCATAAATGAGGACACTAACATCAACTCAGAGTCTCAAAGCCAAGTGACGTACGAGTGCTGAGCTAGGCATAGCGCTATTTTCTCAACCTGAACCCCACATACCGACAGTTCTGTCAATGGCATGGCTGGTGGTGAATCCACCGATGATCTTAGTACAGTAAACTCCCGTTTTCGGCACTCCCAGGTTAGGCACACATTTTTATTAGGCACCAAAATTTGTTGGATGGACCCACTTCTTAGAGTTTTCCCATATATAAGAGGCCAACCGGCACACCTTTTTGTCTGGCACACAAAATTCTCTTCAATTTTTGCTTAGTCATATCAACCGACCAATCAGAATGCAGGATTTTACCCCTTCCAACCCTTCCACCCCTTCTTCGGTCGCCCTTTCAGCTAAACTGGCTATACCAAAACAACCCAACAAAGGCATATCCGATGCTCAGAAAAAAGCACTACGTATCTATGCATCGGAGACGCGCCCTAAGCCTACTCAGAGAGAATGCGCTGAGTGGTTTTCATCTCAATTCAATCGTCATATCAACCGTGCGACCGTCTCCAAGATTCTTTCATCTAAATACGAGTACCTTGATACTGGTTTAGCTGGTCAGAACAAACGCCCGTTAGCATCTCGGTGGCCTCTATTAGATGAGGCCCTATATATCTGGCAGCAGCGTCACGAGAATGCCGGCTTTCCTATAACAGGCCCATTGATTCAGAGCAAAGCCGTCGAATATTGGAAGAAAATACCCCAGTATAAAGATCTCGACCCGCCACTTTTCTCTGAAGGGTGGCTATCACGGTTCAAACAGCGCCATTCGATCCGATATCATACCTCCTATGGCGAATCTGCATCGGTTCCAGCTTCGATGTATTCCGACATGGAAGCTATTCGGGCTATCTGCGACCAATATCAGCCAAACGATGTCTATAATATGGATGAAACAGGTCTATTCTGGCGTCGAATGCCAAATGGGGGTCTATCGAGTAAGGGTAGTCCTGGTTATAAAAAAGACAAGACCAGGATTACTCTCGCAGTAACGACCAATGCTACTGGTTTAGATCGAATGCCTCTATGGTTAATAGGCACTGCGAAGATGCCTCGTGCTCTACGAAAACTCAATATCCCAGCACTTGGATGTGTCTGGCGATGGAACAAGAACGCATGGATGCGCGGTAATGTTATGCAAGAATGGTTCCGCTCGTTTTATAGGCATATTGGCACACAAAGACGAGTCGTGCTATTGCTCGATAACTTTAGCGCGCATCTCTCTGCGCTTGAACATGCGCCACCGCCGTCTAATATTAAAGTCGTTTTTTTGCCACCAAACGCGACCTCGGTTTACCAGCCATTAGACCAGGGTATCATCAGAAACCTTAAGCACCATTATCGGAAGAAATGGTTGACATGGATGGTTAATATGATAGACCGCGGCGTCGATCCTACGCAGAGAATGAGCCTCTATTACACACTACATTGGATCACCCAGGCTTGGAGACGTGACGTTCTAGATGAGACTATTCAGAAGTGCTTTATCAAGAGCACGCTTATTAGTCCTAGCACTAATGAGATGAATACGTCTCCGTCTGAGGACCTTCAACTAGGTGATTTATACGCAGAGGTGACCGACCGGCTTCCTGGTACAGAGGTTATGGCATTAGATGAATTTCTAGACCCTCCAGGAGAAAACATCGACGTGGAAGAGCCTGATTTATCTGATATTATCGTTCATTTTTCAGAAGAAAATACAGGTGGGGATAATGGGGTTCAGGATAGCGAGGACGACCAGGACGAATATATATTCGGACCACCGCTGGATATCCTCTCGCGTGTTGAAGCTATTGAATATATGCATAAAGCTCTTCAATTTGCCCAGCACCAAGAGGGAATTACTGAGAGAGATCTACGTGATATAGAGAGGATCGCTCATCTTTTTTCTCGATTCGAGATCAATGGGAGGAAGCAGAGGAGGGTGGATGACTACTTTAGACCAAAAACAGACTAGTTCTTACTATATTAGGGCTAGCGCGATATTAGTGGCACACTTTCATTAGGCACATCGGAATTCTGTTGCACGGAGGCCCGTGCCGAAAACGGGAGTTTACTGTATAACTATTTGGGCAACACTTCTCTTTCACTTAGAATCGGTATTTTAGGGACTCATTGGACGATTGCCAATGGTTACGGAAGGTGTGTTTAGATTAGGTACAAATCAAACAGCTGATTCTGGCGTAAGAATAAACCGATGCTAGATACTGGATATAATTAATGATTCGTTCAATGAAAAGGTACCCGAAACTCCTTGCCACATCTGTAGTCATTTTGTCTTAGGATGTGTTCCCAGACCGAGTGCCAACTCAAGTCCCTGATGATCACAACACATATGGATAGTATTTTAGACTTTTATTGGAAGCATCAAGTCTCCCGAGATGTAGATAATGATGCTAGCATACTGCATCTTCAAATGAGATACGTCAAGGCCGGTGAGAATACCGACATCAAGGTCTTCCACTGTTGCACTGGCTCCGTATTGCGGGTAGGATCGTAGGCCGCGAATGCCTCATCCCATGCCGCCTTGTGATCGACAGTGATCTGCTTCATGGGAGCGGCAGACTCTCCGGGCATCAGAGCTTGAAGGGCAGCGGAATAGTCATCCGCCTCTCGGAACAAAGCTTCCATCATAATTGGCACCAAAAAGCTGACGCCAGCCTTATTCAGTGCTGGTGCCTATTTGTAAAAAATTATTAGACATCGTCATATTGACCGTGATCGAATTGCAAGATTATGTGCGAACCTTTTCACGGTATTCGTCCAGCAATGTTATGGAATCTTGATTCAGGGAGGTGAAATGCTTAACCACCTCGTCGGCCTCCTTTGGTGTGAATTTTGTGTCGGTGAGCTTAGAATGCGCCTCTCTCAGGGCGTACCAGCAATCGTAGTTTTTACGCCCGACGGGAATGGCCGCCAAGGAGCCACCTTGATAGCGACTGATGGCATCTTGGTTTGCCTGTACCGCCTGAGAAACGGCATCGATGCTGCTGAGGACACTATCCTTTTGCGAGGTGGATACGGCCGGGGTCACCATAACCAGCGACGCTAAGGTGACAAGGGTTCTTAGGAAACGCATAGTGTAAATAGGGGGAGGTATGATTTCGTTGGGAAGGAACAAAATTTGACTGGTCGAGAAAGAGCCTAACAGGGCGCGTACAAGAGAAGTCAAATAAATAGATTGCTACAAGCTGTGGAAATCCTACGTGCAACATTCCTTTCGGTAGGGAATCCCAGGGGTTTGTTATTGCATGCGATAAAGTGTGAAACTTCACTAGTTGGTCAATAGGCGGTAAACGTCCGCACGAGCTGTGGAACATGTCCTCGAGGAATTTTATCCATATTTCTATTGAAAACTGTTTGCATGAATTGAGCTATCATGAAAAGAGCATGAAGAGAGCATGAATTGACTGATCAACCACCTTCTTTAGACATGATTAGCCTGGAGCTGCATGATGACCTAACCCAGTGTAGGTAGACATTTTCTGTACATGCAAGGGGCTCTTACCCCTGCATGGGGATGTGACTGAAATGCCCCCGAAATGAACCTGGAGGTTACTATTCCCTGATTTTACAGCAATAGAGAAGAATAGAAATAATTTTCTTAAGAAACAAAGTTCAATAAGTTGTGAGCCTGGCAGCTGATTGACTAACAAGGCTTGTTGGCGCGCCCTAGGACCCTGGGTACGGACGGTCAGAAAAGCCGCCGAGCGATTGCTTTTTCGTAAAGGGTCATTCAGTGGAGGATGGAGATGTGTCACTTTTGACCAATTGTTAAATCTGTAAAAAGTAAACATGTATGTAATTTGCTTGTGGGTCTAGAGGATCCAGTGAATTCTTGGATTTGGTGGGATCAGGAGGTTTGCCATCTGTCTAGCGCAGTTGGCGGTTGGACACTCACGGATTAGACAAGTACTGTATGTCGTTAGGAAGCGCAAAGAAATTCACAAGTAGCATTCCTCTCGCTGTTTACATCTACCAATCTGCTCTAACCAAAATTTCGGAGTCGCGCTCTCGCGACACAGTTTGGCTCAATATTGACGGACATTGTCGAGTTTAGCTCAGACATCGCTATAGTAAAGCCGAGCCGGAAAACATGGCCATCCCTACTGCTGCTGCCGATGCAACGACAGCCTTCAGGGAGTCGCAGCAGAATGTTTCCGCACTCGATCGCCCCAACGAGATTGCCTTTCCAATTGCTATCGTCGGTATGGCGGTGAGGCTTCCTGGAGGGGTGAACACTATAGAGAAATTCTGGGACATGTTGATCAACAAAAAAGATGGCCACTGCAAGGTCCCAAAGACGAGATATGCAGCAGAAGCGTTTTACGATGCCACCCGACCAGGTACCGTGAAGACCTGCCATGGTTATTTTCTACAAGAAGATATTGGTTACATTGACCGGTCATTTTTCTCCATGAGCAAGACCGAGGCAGCAAAGCTGGATCCTCAGCAGAGATTGCTTTTAGAGGTCGTATGGGAATGCATGGAGTCGGGTGGACAGACGAACTGGCGTGGACAAAGCATAGGCTGCTACGTCGGTGTCTTTGGGGAAGATTGGCTGGAAATGTCTAGCAAGGATACCCAACACATGGACCGATTTCACGTCGTAAGTGCAGGAGACTTTGCGCTCTCGAATCGTGTGTCGTACGAATACGATCTACGGGGACCCAGGTGAGTAGTTCAATAAAATTGCATTGCATAGCCTGGATTCTAAGATAAGCTGGTAGTATCACATATCGAACAGCTTGCTCATCTTCTATGGTCGCCCTGCACGATGCCTGTCAGGCACTGTACAGTGGCGAATGTTCCTCCGCTCTTGTCGCTGGATCAAATCTCATATTGACACCCACAATGACCATGTCCATTTCCGACAACATGATCGTATCATCCGATGGGATTTGTAAGACGTTCGATGCTTCCGCCGATGGGTATGGCCGGGGCGAAGCGATTAATGCTATCTATATCAAGCCCTTGGCGGAAGCTCTGCGCCAAGGGGACCCTATTCGTGCAGTAATACGATCCACTGCTGTGAATTGCGATGGAAGAACACCAAGCATCACAACGCCTGGTTCAGAAGCTCAGGAGCGCCTCATTCGACGTGCGTATCAAAAGGCTGGTATTGAGAACATCTCCCAAACAGGGTTCTTTGAATGCCACGGAACCGGAACCATCGCTGGGGATACGGCAGAGACATCTGTCGTGGCCAAGGTCTTTCCTGAGGGTATACACATTGGAGCGGTTAGTAGAGTCGGATTATATTTTATACCTCCATATTTTTGCTAACAATACTTCAGGTCAAACCAAATGTTGGCCATTCAGAAGGTGCATCAGGGCTGACTGCCATTATCAAGTCCGCCCTCGCACTCGAGAAGAGAATTATTCCCCCCAATACGCATTTCACGAACCCAAATCCATCGAGTAGGTATATCCTCAGTACACCTTCTAACGGCAATAACTGACCCTTTTCATGAAGTTCCATTCCAAGAAGCAGGCCTAAAAGTGCCTCTAGACCCTGTCCCATGGCCAGACAGTCGATGTGAACGAGTCAGCGTGAATTCTTTCGGGATAGGCGGTACAAATGCGCATGTATGTGATATAATTGAACAACTGAATTGTTTGACCCTGCTCCTGCTCATACTTGCAAGGTCATCCTTGAATCTTTCTCGTCCATGGTTCCGAACCAGAAAGAACAATCCGCTGGTGAAACAGGCCCTCAGGTCTTGGTTTTGTCTGCAAAAACTGGGAAGTCTTTGCAGAATGCTATTGAGCATATGAGAGAATTTTCTGCGCAGGTGTCATTTCCGGTGAAAGATCTAGCCTATACCCTAGGCTGCAGAAGGGAGCATCTGGGGCATCGAGCATTCGCTATCATTGACCCCGATGGGAAGGTTTCGGATTTTGAGAAGGCCCGTGACTCGCCAGCGGGCATCGCTTTTGTTTTTACTGGTCAAGGAGCACAATGGGCTGGCATGGGGAAAGAGTTAATGTCCACGTCACCGAGCTTCCTAAACAGCATCAGGTTCCTGGATCAGCAGTTGTCGTCGCTGAAGGATCCTCCGAACTGGACCTTGGAGGGTAAGTCCCCAAATGCTAATCAAATGAAAGCAATATTGCTAATGATATGGCAATTACAGAGGAGCTGGCAAAGGATGATAACTCAAGCAGAATTCAGCAACCTGAATTCGCTCAACCGCTCTCTACGGCAGTGCAGCTGGCTCTGGTAGACCTTCTCCAAGAATGGGGCGTACGACCGACATCGGTCATCGGTCACTCGAGTGGTGAGATTGCAGCTGCATATGCTTCTGGTGCAATGACTGCAGGTGTGGCACTGGCTGTATCATACTATCGAGGCAAAGCCGTAAGTGATGCAAACATGAAGACTGGAGGCATGGCTGCCGTTGGTCTTGCAGCCACCGCGGCCAGCAAATACCTCCTCGGAGATGTGGCCGTGGCGTGCGATAATAGCCCCCAAAGTGTGACCCTCTCCGGTACATCAAGTGCTCTCGATGAGGTCCTTGAGAAGCTTCAAGCAGAAGAACCAGAGACATTTTACAAACGGCTCAACGTTTCTGTCGCTTATCACTCTGGTGAGCCTCCCCTTACTATCAGGTTAGGACACTGAATCTAAACTTTTCGCAGAGAATATGAAGAAACCGGGTGTTACTTATGAGCAAATGATGAAGCCTATAATATCCCATAACGACAACATGATACCGTTCTATTCGACTGCAAGAGAAGAAGTTGTAATGGATCCGACCGTGCTGGACTCATCATATTGGCGGGAGAATCTGCAATCCACTGTTTTGTTCAACGGTGCTGTTCAGCGCTTGCTCCGAGAAGCACCATCACCGACGCTGTTTGTAGAGATTGGTCCTCATTCAACTCTCTCAAGCCCCCTACGCCAAATTCTTCGAAAGCACGATTCTGACCAAGCATCCAAGTATATCCCGACCCTACTTTGTGGTCAGCCGCAGTCGAAGGCTCTCCTCATGACTGCTGGTCGGCTTCATATTAATGGAGCCCCTGTCAACCTAGCTGCGGTCAATCAAACCCAGGGAGCTTCGATCCTGAACGATCTACCGGCCTATCCATGGCTGCACGAAGAAAGTTTCCTCAGCGAAACGAGGCTGGTTCGTGAGTGGAGAAACCCCAAAGAACCACATCACGAGTTGCTAGGACCTCGGTCTTTGGAATCGAGTGACTTGGAGCCTTCATGGAGGAGGGTACTCTTTGCCGGACATGTGCCCTGGTTGTGGGACCATGTGTTGGGAAAGGAACTCGTATTTCCGTGTGCCGGATACATTGCCATGGCTGGTGAGGCAATTCGGCAGACAACCGGGACGGAAGACTATACAATCCACAACTTGAGCATGAAGACACCACTGGTGCTCAAAGATGCCGAAGCCGCAGAGCTGGTGACTAGTCTCCGACCCACAAGGCTCACAATAACGACTGATTCTGCTTGGTATGAGTTCACAATCACAGCCTACCAGAACGGGACCTGGAAAAAGCACTGCACTGGGAAGGTGAGAGCCGGAAGTGTTAAACAACACGTCCCTCATGGACGTGTTTCATATCCGCGTGTGCTTCCTTCCAAGACATGGTACGAAGCAATCAAAAGGCGCGGCATGAAATTTGGCCCCGAGTTCCGAAGACTGGAGAATATTTCTGCCAATCCATGTAGTCCTCAGGCCGGCGCCTTTGTCCAGCACAACGACGAGGGGGGGTCCAAAAGCACCAATATTTACGCTCTCCATCCAACCATAATTGATCAGAATCTCCAAATGCTCGGAGTTGCAATGTGTCGCGGATCTCCCCGTCATATGACAAAGCTTTGTATGCCCGTGGCAATCGAAAGCATCTACATCGCTCCAGGTCGTGGAACGATGTTCATTGATGCCTCATGCAACCCCACCGGTGATTCTATTATTGGAAACGCAACGATGATCTCTGAGGACAAGGTTGTTCTTTCAATCGAACGAGGCATGCTTTTCGCCGTTGAAGAGCTGGATGAGACCGAAAGAAATGATTCTCTCATTGCCCGAATCGACTGGAAACCACACATTGACCTAGTCTCGCTGACTGATGAGGTTCTGCCTAAAATCCTGAATAATCGTGGCTTGTATCTGTTGGAAGTTGTCCTTAGATCGATGATCACAGCAACAGCAGATAAGATTCGATCGTTGCATCCAAAGACCGCCCAACTTGAAAAGTACCAACTCTGGGTCTGCTCCCAGGCAGAGGCAATCGAACGCACCACGAGAAGCGCGAGCTCACTTTGTCAAGAGGATAATCTAACAGATGTCACGAAGGAAATTGAGAAAGACTACGTTGAATTGGTGCCTCTCTTAAAAGTCGCACGCAAGATTTCAAGGCTTTCACCTGTCCTAGTAGAGGGGAATATCAGCATTGAGGAAATGGGCAGTCCGCAAGAAGCACTGTCCCTTATTTACAAGTCGTTGTCATCGACCGCCGGGTGTGCCGACTTCTTTTCTCTCCTCGGCCATTCCAACCCGATGCTTCGAGTTCTGACCATTGGCATAGGGAATGGGCTTGCAGTGACTCAAGCTTTATGTGGACTCACGTCAAAAAACGGCACCCCCATGTATTCGAAGTGTATAGTCACTGACAGATCAGAAGACGAGATCCGCCGTGCGAAAGAGACACTATCTTGGGCTCCTGAGATTCAGTACGAACCTCTTGACATTGCCCGTAGCCCTCTTGAGCAGGGATTTGCGGCCGAGAGCTACGATCTTGTCATTGCTTCAGAGGCATTTGATGCTGACATGCCGATGTCACCCACTCTGAAAAACATCTTTACATTACTTGCCCCGGGTGGTCGAGTTTTCCATCAGGGGGTGTTTTCGAGCATTCCTTTGGTCAAATATGTCATGGGTATCTTTTCTGAATGGTGGCTTCAGCAAGATCTGACTTATGCCAAACCCTCCATTACCCCAGAGCAATGGCAGAATGAACTCAAAGAAAATGGTTTCCAAGATTCTGACATGTTGACACTGAACGACAAATCAATCTACCACGCGGGAACAACAATTGCATCGCGACCATATCCATTGCTCAAGCCCAGTTCAAAGCAGATCGCAATACTATATCTGTCCACAATTCCGGAGTGGGCTCAAGCCTTGGCAAAGAGCCTTGAGAAAGATGGCCAGCTTGTGACCTGGGTTGCCTTTTCTCGCGATCCTCTACCAGCAACAGGAGTGATTTCAATCATAGACTTGGAGGGCCCGTTCTTTGACGATCTCTCGTCAGAAAGGCTTTCCCAGTTCCAGCAGTTCGTCAGTCAGATTAAGAACTCTTACATTTTATGGCTCACAGAGAGCACTCAAATTTCCTGCAAAGACTCTCGATTGGGCCTAATTTTGGGAGTTGCCAGGACAATCAGACACGAAGTGACACCGGAGTTTTATACCTTTGAGATCGACGACTTCGATGACGCATCTGTCATGGCCACAACCCAGGTCATAGAACACATCAATCGACAGCGGGATTCCTCAGTACTTGACCCAGACCGTGAATTTGCACTGGAGCAAGGAAAGATTCACGTTAGCAGGGCCCATTGGATTGGTGCTTGCCAGGAGCTGTCCACGGCAAAACCTGCGGTCTGTGACAGTAAGTTCCTAGACATTGGATCGTATGGACTATTAAACACACTTGCATGGTCTGAACGTGAGACCCGCGATATGCAAAGTCATGAAGTTGAAGTCGACATGAAATACATCGGACTAAATTTCCGGGTAAGCAAACCATGTTTAGGAAGGTTCTCCTGTGAAGCATGTCAGCTAACTTTCGATCCCTAGGACATGATGGTCGCTCTTGGTGTGGTGGGTGACAGGAGTGAATTTGGTGTCGAAGCCAGTGGTGTGGTTCGTCGAGTGGGCTCATCAGTGGCACATGTGAGCGTCGGTGACGCGGTTATTGTCATTGGCGATGGGCTTTTGTGTACACGCAAAATTGTCGCTGCGGAGCGGTGCTTCCCTCTTTCGAACGACATCAGCTTGGAAGACGCGGCCACCGTAGCTTGTGTGTATGGGACGGTTATCCTGGCACTAATCCATATTGGTGGTCTCCAGAAAGGTCAATCCGTTTTGATACATTGTGGATGTGGTGGAGTTGGACTAGCAGCCATTCAAATCTGTCAGATGCTAGGGGCCGAGGTACCGCAAGCTCTTTTCAGTCCTCTCTGATGTACTGCAGTGGCTAACTATGACAGATCTTTACCACTGTTGGCAATGATGACAAAGTTCAGTATCTCATGGACACATTTGAAATTCCTCGGAACCGCATTTTTAGTTCTCGGGATCCGTCGTTCTTACATGGAGTGATGGAACAAACTGGAAATCGTGGAGTAGACCTTGTCCTCAACTCTCTTTCCGGTGAACTTCTGCACCTCTCCTGGAGATGTGTGGCTAAATTTGGGAAAATGATCGAGCTGGGAAAGCGCGACCTGCTGGGTTATGGCCAGTTGGACATGGATGTTTTCGCAGGAAACAGGGCTTTCATAGGGGTTGATGCGAAGCAGATCATAGACGAAGACATCAGCCACTTCCAAAGGTAGGTTACTTGTATTGGATGGCTATCTCGCTCAGTAGACTAATCTATCCGGCGATCTAGCATCATGCAAGAGTGTATGGAATTTCTCAGGCAAGGGAAGATCAAGCCCATTCGACCACTTACTGTTTTCGATGCTGCGGAAGTTACCCAAGCTTTCCGCTTCATGCAGACAGGCAGACATATGGGCAAAATCCTTGTGAAAATGCCGGACAATACCTCGGATTTGCATGTTTCCCCCATTTCAACATTTATCTCCCTTCCCTCGGATGCCTCTATCGTGATCGTTGGGGGTTTGGGTGGCTTAGGTCGCACCGTGGCCACTTGGTTAGTCGAGAAGGGAGCGCGAGATTTGGTATTTCTCAGCCGATCAGGAGGAATGTCTCCCAGAGCTCAATCGTTCTTAGACGAAATTCGTAGTCAAGGTTGCTCAGTGACTGCAGTCGCTGGAGATGTGGCCAAGATGGAGGATATCCAACGCGCCTTAACGGCCTGCAAGAGCCGAATTGCAGGGGTCATTCATATGCCCATGATTTTGAAGGTAAGCAAAACTTCCTGTCAAAATATACAATCGGCTAATTGTGCTGGTGGTGCACAGGACCAATTATTGTCGAAAATGACTCATGATGACTGGCACTCGGTGTTGGTTTCGAAGGTCCAAGGAACATTGAATTTGCATAATGCTCTCTGTGACAACAGACTGGACTTCTTTGTGTGTTTTGGCTCCCTGGCAGGTCTCTGTGGAAATGCCGGTCAAACAAACTATGCGGCAGCGAATGCATTCTTAGATGCTTTTGTGCAGTATCGCTTAGGACAAGGACTTGTAGCGAGTGTCATTGACCTGGGTCTCATGAGCGATACAGGATTTGCATACGAAAATGCACCCAAACTGATCCAACGTGCCAAATCGGCATCGATGCGAACTGTTGAAGAGAATGAGCTAGTCCAGGCTCTAGAGTTGGCAATTTGTCGATCAGGTCAGATAGCACTGGGCCTTGGAACCACAAAGCCCCTCTCTAATCCTGGTGTCGTGCCACCTTGGACTCGAGACGCCCGCTATTGCCTGTGGTCCAATATCGTCTCTGCCACCGAGACAGCCGCATCTTCGTTGGACGGAGACCTTAAGGAGTTGATGGAGTCCGTCAAAAGCAACCCGCATATATTGGATGACCCAACTACCATAGAGAGAATCTCCAAAGTTCTTGGTATGGAAATTGGATCTCATTTAGCAAACATCGACGAGATGGACGAGAATGACATAAACAACATGGTGATTGAGTCTTTGGCTATGATTGAAATCCGCAGCTGGTATCGCCGCCACCTCGGCTTGGAATTGCCCCTCGTTGAGATTTCAAATGCGCAAACAATAGGAGGTCTTGGAAAGGTGACAGTCCAGGCGCTACGTGCAAAGTACAAAGAAGCTACCGGCATGGAGACTTCGGCGGTAGACATTACCATTGCAGAACAGGAGAAAGATATCCAGTATCTTCAAGATACGACACTCGGTCGACATATCCAACCTATCTCAGACAAAGTTCCAGAATGGTATGCCAAATCTGAAGGTCATGTGCTTTTGATAGGCGCAACCGGCTTTGTTGGCGCATTCATGTTGTCCATGTTGGTCGCATCACCCGAGGTAAAGACTGTCACTTGCCTGGTCCGCGCCGAGTGTACCACAACGGCGATGAAACGACTCGAAAAAGCATTTTCGAAACTCCGCCTTCCAATGCAATCCTGGGACAAGGTTCGAGCTGTCACCGGCGATATCACCCACGAAGACCTTCATCTGGAAATCACGGAGTTCGTGCGGCTATCTAAGGAATGCAGTGCTATCTTCCACCTTGGCGCTGTTGTCAATTACACTCTTCCATATTCTGCACATCGGACCACGAACGTCTTAGGTCTTTTCAACGTCCTGAAATTTGCCAATACGCATCGTCTCAAGGCTGTTCATTACTTCTCGGGCATGGCAGCATATGGCCCAACTGGCTTCCTGAGTGGCCCCACATACGTGCCTGAAAACGAGAGACCAGTAGCTGGCTCCGGGTCTTTGCGCCACCATACTGGCTACTCGCTCAGCAAATATGTGGCAGAATGCATCGCATGGGAAGCCATTTCAAATGGATTCCCCCTCGCAATCCATCGAGCCGGCTTCGTTCTGGGGCACAGTGTAACAGGGATCGGAAATGCAGATGATGCGGTCAATCGACTGATGTCGACATGTATCAGCCTGGGTGCATACCCGATTCCTCCGGCTCAGCGCAATTGCTTCGTTCCCGTTGACTTTGTGTGCTCAGCGGCTTTGCATATATCTCGGTCCAACAATAATCTCGGCCAAGCGTACAACTTGATTCATCCTGATCAAGATCAGAATATTGACCTATCCACAACATTCCACATGCTCAGTCAATTAGCCTCAACACCACTTCGCGCTGTCGAAATTTCGGAATGGGCAGAGCTGATGTCAAAAGCAATTGGCCATCGCCTGAGTGGCATTGCCCCAATAATTACGGAAAAATTAACTGAAGGCTCGATCTGGTGGAGCAACAAGCAGGACTCGATGGTGATTCATGGAACCGAAAATCTTCACAAAGCTTTAGGAGATCGAACGGACCTTTTGAACTGTAAGACGATGTATGAACTTATGGAGGTATATTTCGTGCAGTGGAGCCAGCTTTCAGAATCCGGTATCTTGATACATGAAACCTGATCCCTGTGGTATCTTTTTTTTGATCGTGTTACTAGCTGGATGAAAAGTTAGCTCAATTGCAAAAAACCGGGCCTGACTAGCATAGATCCCGCTCCACTCGTTAAAGCATTATCCGACTGAATAGATAATTCTTTTATTGATCATAGCCTAAAGATAGCCCAGAGAAAATTCAAACGCTATTCAGAGAGGCATTTCACAGGATATTTAGAAATTTATCTCAAAACAGTGATAGTCAAAGCGTATTTGTCCAGACCTTCTCTCTGTTGGCTAGATTCAGGAATTTAGGCAGGGAGAAACTGAAGAGAAATAGGTTTACTTTGTCCTGCTCGTACCTAGACTGTGCCTTTTCACCGCAGGTCGCAGTATGACATATAGCCTTTGCAAGTGTTAGAACGAGCTTTTGTATCAAGAGTAAATTATATTGCTTCTAAGCCTCATAATAATATCCCATCTGGATACGTAACAAGTGAGAAGTATGACATGTAGACATAGAGTATGGCCTGGTTTTGTAGATAAACTCGTCGATGCCGCGTGATCTTGGCCCCAAGCAAATTTTAAGTGAACTTAATGAGGACTATCTCATCAATCTCGTACTCCATGGAGTTCGAGGAAGTCGATAAGCGGCAAAAAATGCCTCTTGGCCAGGATCATCTAATTGCCAAGGCAATACCAAGAGAAGCCACGTGATTGACGATATGACTTCAATGGTCCAGAGTAAGAACGGACCTGCTACTGAATTCTTTGTCCCTCGAGACACTATCCACTGAGCATTCGCTTTCTGATATATCGTTGCCACGGGCTGAAAACAGTAGGCGATGAAGACTCTTGTTGCAGGTATAACACGCCGGGATGATGTAAACGACGCCATACCATGTGAAGCTGCAGTGATTGCAAACACCACCCAGATATGGGCTTTACTGGAAGTTTCAGATGGCATCAGCCACTGAGCAACAGACCACATTGGACGTCGAAGGATATCATGCCACCAGTTGGCCCAAAAGTCTACGAGGCGAGAATTAGCTTTAGTTCCATGACCTTTTACGCAACACACTTTACCTTTCAGATTAGGCGAAGACAGCCGGAATCCCCCAAACAACGTCGGGTGTGTCCACGTCTCCCCGGCAATATCGTTTGAGATAATTGAGATTACACCAATCGCAACGAGTGAAAAGAATGCGTGAGACCCATCCAGGAAGAATTGGGCGCTGATAATACGTGCAACACGCCCTAGCCAATTGTATATCTCCTGGCTCAAACACATGGTGAGATGGGCTCCAACGCTTTCTGAGATAGTTCGGATTGTCTGTTTTACGAGAAGGCCATCCTCGTGAGCAAATAGCACCAGATAGATATCGAACCATAGATATGCAATCAAAATGCGCCGCGCCTGAGTTAAAATGAAAGACCAACGACTTGGTTTCCAAAATTTGACTGGCTTCCTTGCGAATGGGGCGCTACGCTCGCTGATAATCAGGCTCGCAGGGGGGCGATGAGATACGGGGCCATGACTCCAGCCAATTGCCCGTGGGTTCGCAAGCAAGTCGATGATACAAACGATGCGACGGATGTCATTTGGCGGTGGAAAGGACTCCCAGCAGTAGAGAGGCCCAACTTTTCTGAGACGCCGCATAGAAAGCGGGTTGGAGACGATAAGAAGTTCTATCGCTCGCACAGGATGATACACCGACATAAATCCGGTCATATAGTTAAGGAATGGGCCTGCAGTGGGGTGCTGTACAGAATAACAAGAGTAGAGAACACTGAGCCCACACAAGCCAAATCGAAAGCGATCATATTTCGCGAGTTGCTCGTAAAATAGTAGACCCAGCCCATAAATGCCAAAGGGTACTCCCATCCAAATAATGGGTATGATCAGTGTAAGGTACTCTGATGCCATTTGGGCTGATTGTGGGGATGGTTAACAGATTGAACTGGGCCGTGCAATACAGCAGTAAAAAGATTGTCAGCATCATTAGAATATCCCACAACGGGTGCTTTTTCTCTTTCGGAGCCCTTTAAGCGTGCTGCTTTGTGATCACTGATCGGCAGACCAAGTTTCCCAATTAGATCTGCCCAATACATAGTCAACAAAGTCCTTGCATTGTTATGTATCGAGTGACAGCTGTACATTCCATTCCGTGGGGAGAGCATCATACCAAATCACAACAGGTCAACTTGACGGTCCGTGCGAGTCGAATCTTAATACTTATCTGAGTCGAACAGCACATCAGATAGATCATCTACTGTAAAGTCGCAAGAGTTCTCGGTTGCAGTGAAAATCAATAGTTCATGCATGTCCAGAATTGCTTTTGGGTGCTCAGATTTTGATCGCCCCTTGCATACACGTCAGATTTTGGACGAGTAACTTTGACTTGCAAGTCCTGTTCTCAACCAATTCTAGGAACACGAAAATTATAGACAACCTACCGAGGCTTAGAGGAGCATCAATTGTCCGTTTCATTTTATGTAAAGCGGCACCTTCGACGGACAGCAATCTTCCGAAATCTACTGCACACCGTCGACATGGGCTCTACGACCGTTCACAGGCCTGGGGAAGATGAATCTCATCCTATTGCCATAGTCGGCATGGCAATGCGATTGCCAGGAGGTGTGCGATCTGCTGCCGACTTTTGGCAATTGCTGAGCGAAGGACGTGATGGAAACTGCGTTGTACCGGACTCGCGGTATAGTGAGCAGGGTTTCTACTCAGATTCCATGGCACATTCAGTCAGAATGCAACGTGGCTATTATCTCCACGAGGATCTAGAGACGCTAGACACTTCTTTCTTTGACATCGAGGGTTTACAGCCCTCTCGGATGGACCCACAGCAAAAGATGCTGCTTCAGGTGGTATGGGACTGTCTCGAAAACGCCGGACAAGTTGACTGGCAAGGAAAACCTATCGGCTGCTTTGTCGGTACTTATGGTGGAGATTGGGAAGAGATAGAAGTCAGGGATCCTCAAAATGCACACAACTTCCATATGATCGGACATGGAAAATTTTCGCTCGCAAATGTGATTTCTTATGAGTTTCATTTCAATGGCCCTAGGTAGGCGCACCCCCAAGATTATGGCTAGGTTGTTCTTGCGCTAATACTACGACACAGTATGACCATTGAGACTGGCTGTTCTTCTTCCCTAGTTGCTCTACATCAAGCTTGCCAGTCTCTTATTTTGAAGGATTGTTCTACAGCAATTGTGGCTGGATCTAACTTGATCTTCACGCCCACGGTTGGCATGCATGGCTCGGGTCTAAGCGTATTCTCCCCATCTGGAATATCCAAGTGCTTTGATGCGTCCGCAGATGGATACGGAAGGGGAGAGGCTGTTAATGCAGTCTGTATCAAACGATTGAATGACGCTTTGAGGGACGGAGATCAGATACGAGCTGTCATCCGGTCCTCTATGGTCAATTGCGATGGTCGAAGCCCTGGCATCACTACACCCTCAGCTAAGGCACAAGAGAGATTAATACGGGAAACGTACAAGCGAGCCTTAATCAGTGATCTCTCGCAGACTGCGTTCATCGAGTGCCATGGTACCGGTACACTAGCAGGCGACCCCATCGAATGCTCTGCAATTGCCAAGACCTTCCTCAAAGAAATATACATCGGCTCGGTTCGTGCATACCCCCCCCCCCTTTTTTTTTTGTAGATTTCAGTTGAGAGGTGCTGACTCCCTGATCAACAGGTCAAGGCCAATGTTGGTCACTCTGAAGGGGCCTCGGGGCTTACGAGCCTGATAAAAGCTGTTCTGTCGTTGGAAAATAGGCTAATACCGCCCAATATCCATTTCCATCAACCGAATCCAAGAAGTGTGTTTGACTTGTATCCTTGAATCCTTAACAGTTCACGACTTATAGAGATTATAGTTCCATGGGAAAATGGACGTCTGCGTGTTCCGGAGACGCTTACTGCGTGGCCTGAGAATCGAAAAGAGAGAATCAGCATCAGTAACTTCGGTATCGGTGGCTCAAATGCACACGTGAGAAACTCAGACCCTGACGCAAGCTACCAACAGAGGCAGCACTGACGACTTTTTAGGTCATTCTTGATTCCTCTTCATCTTTCATATCCACCCCTTTGGTAAACAATGAAGTACAAGAATCAAAGCCTTTGCTGCTCGTTGTATCGGCAAACAGCCAGGAGGCCCTGTTGTGTCGAGAACAGAGTCTGCTGAAGTACATGAGCCTGCATCCAAATCGTCTAGGTGATCTTGCATATACCCTCGGTGCTCGTCGTAAGCATCTTTCACATCGAGGATTCTTAGTCAATGCGAATGCTGTATCCCCGAATGTGGGAGCCATCAAGTCTTCCATCGCCAGTCGAGCTCCTGACTTGACTTATGTTTTCACGGGCCAAGGCGCCCAGTGGGCCGGTATGGGTAGAGAATTGATGGAATTCAAGAGCTTCTGCGATGATATACGGTCCTTGGATATTGTGTTGCAGAGCTTGAGAAAGCCACCCTCATGGAGTCTAGAAGGTAACCAACGCCGTCAGATATCGTGAGTCTTGAGAAACTTGCTTACAGGATTCTACAACAGTTGCACTTGCAGATGCCAATATTGAGCAGATAAATACGCCTCAGCTTGCTCAGACTTTGTCTTGTGCATTGCAGATTGCGTTAGTAAATCTCCTCGCGAAGTGGGGAGTCAAGCCCTCAACGGTTGTCGGCCATTCGAGTGGTGAGATCGCAGCTTCATATGCTGCAGGAGCACTTACAGCAGAGTCTGCAATTGCTCTGAGCTACTATCGTGGTCTGCTGGTAGATGAACTCGGTAATGAGGGAGCAATGGCCGCCATCGGCCTTGGCCGAGCGCAAGTTGCTTGCTATCTACGGGATGGCGTTGTCGTCGCTTGCGAAAATAGTCCTAACAGTGTCACTCTATCTGGAGAGTTCCATCAAGTGGATGAGGTGATAAGCAAGATCAAAACAGATCACCCAAACGCACTGTGCAGAATGCTTCGCGTCAATAGAGCATATCATTCAGGTAGTCCATTTCTCGTGCTTGGGGGTGAGCAAGGAGTCAAAAACCGAGTAAGCTAATCATTGGACAGATTCCATGACCGCCGCGGGCAAGGTATACGAGACCAGCATTCAATCCTACATCAAACCTCGGGAAAATATGATTCCAATGTACTCTACCGTGACGGGACAAACGATTGTGGATCCAAAAAAGCTCAATGCCAGGTATTGGGTCCAGAACCTTGTATCTCCTGTTCTTTTCTGGGGCGCCGCCGAGTCCATCATGCAGGATCATCCCCGTTCGTTTTTCTTGGAGATTGGTCCACATTCTGCCCTTGCAGGACCACTGCGTGACGTTTTCAAATCTTTGGCTGATGCCAAGAAGGAAATGTTATATGCTTCCTGCGTTATTCGCGGGCAATCCCAGGAAACATCGCTCTTGACTGCAGCTGGAGAATTGTTCCTTGAAGGCATTGAGCTCGATTTTGAGGCCATCAATGGACACGGAAAGATCTTGACTGATCTTGACCCTTATCCGTGGCAAAGTGGACAGCATGAATGGGCCGAGAGCCGGATAAGTCGAGAGTGGAGATTCCGCAAGCATGCTCACCATGAGCTCTTGGGTTCACGCGTCGTCGAATCGACGCATCTTGAGCCCTCGTGGAGAAATATGCTACATATCGACGACGCTCCTTGGCTTTGGGATCATCGCATCGGGGGATCGACAGTGTTCCCTTGCGCCGGTTATATCGTTATGGCCGGTGAAGCCATGCGTCAGATCACTGGGTGTAAAAGCTATCGCTTGAGAAACCTTCGGCTTTCTAAAGCATTGACCCTTGATGATCGTGGGCGAATAGAGATCTTCTCTAACTTCCGACCGGCTCGACATGCCGAGGAGACTAACGGAGGGTGGTATGAATTCACCATTTCCAGCTTCAGGATGGGCTCGTGGGTGAAACATTGTACAGGACAAGTGCGAAACGAGACTTCCTCGCCTTCTCCACGGGATATCAGAGGTCTGCCAAGACCTGTAGCCTCTCGTACTTGGTATGAAGCCCTTAACGAGCGTGGGCTTGAATATGGACCAAAGTTCAGACTGCTCCAACATATATCTGTTCACCCGACACAACTATTAGCGACAGCCAGCTTAGAGAGAGATGGATCCTCTGAGATTATTGACGCTCCTACAATCGACCAGTGCTTGCAACTTGTTGGGGTTGCCATGTCTAACGGTCTGCCTCGAAGGTCTGATGGAATTGGAATGCCTGTGTATGTTCAGGAAGCCTTTGTCGGCAACACAGGACCCGACGTGTTCCTTGAGGCGACTGCATCAGAAAAGACTATGGGAGTGACCTCTGGCTCTGTATTTTCACAGTGGGGGGCCAAGGTGGGTATTAAAATTGACGGCGTTGAGTTTATGGGCTTCGATAAAGGTTCATCGGAAGATGGCGATCAGAAGCTGTGCTCAAATCTTAGTTGGGCTCCGGACGTGGATTTGTTGCCAGCAGGCTGCCTTCTCTCGCCCTCTAGTCCAGCCAAGCCCACATTCGATGATACCTACGCTCCAAGACAACAATTCTTTGATATGTGCATACTTGAAACCGCACGACGGATTGCTGATTTGGAGCCCGCCTTGGAGCACCTACGCAAGTATCAACATTGGGTGAATGCAAGATCAGCTGCGATCCTCAAAAACATCCACTCTCACGTGCTACCTAAGGATAGGGAGTTCTTGGAAGTGCCTAGAGATAAATGGGCCACAATCATGACCGGCCTTAAATGGCAGATCGATGAAACAATGCCCCTCAGCAGACAGTTCGCGCAACTCTCTTTTGTTGTCATGGAAAACTGTGTCGACATCGTGCAGGGAAGGTGCCAGCCTCTAGGTCTACTACTGGAAGATGATGGATTGTCACAGCTTTATGACACAGGTGACAGCAGAAATTATGAGAAATTCTTGAGGCTCCTGGGCCACTCTCAAGCCGATCTTAAGATCATCGAGATTGGAGCGGGCACCGGAGCAACGACCGCAAAAGCCCTACGATGTCTTCATCCCGAAGGAAGGACGCGTCAGTATTCGCGCTACGTGTTTACTGATATTTCCCCGGCCTTTTTCCAGCCAGCAATGGAAAGATTCAAATCATATGAAGCAATTGAATTTGCGGTGTTAGACATCAGTCAACCTCCAGTGGACCAAGAAATCGAGTCCGGAAACTTTGATCTAGTGATTGCATCGAACGTACGTTTTTCGAGGGTCTTGAGTAAGTTACAGAATACTCACCACGTGCTTGCAGGTACTTCATGCCACATGCAGTATAGGAGAGACTTTGAAAAACATCAGATCTCTTCTCAAGCCCGGTGGGCGGGTTTTGATCGAAGAAATTTGCTCTGGTTAGTAACATGAAATAAAAGGGGACTCGAGAACGATGGCTGACATGATTGAAGAGGCCCAACCGATCGAGCTCATAATGGTAAGTCCTTCCACACTTGGACTCATATGACGAGAAGCGATACTGATAACTGCAGGGTGTGCTCCCTGGGTGGTGGGTAGGTGAAAACGATAACCGTGTCTCCGCTCCGTATATTTCTGTGGATCGTTGGCAGGATGAGCTACGTGAAGCCGGATTCCAAAATGTCCATTCGGCTTCAGGTGAAGCAGATATCTACATGACATCGATAGTGGCATCCATTCCCTTACTATCGCACTGTGAAAAGAGCAATGTGAATATTTTGTACGATTCGCAGCCATCCCGTTGGGAAATTCAAGTTGCCCAAAGGATAGAGGCTTTAGGGTTCCCCGTTCGTTGGTGCACGATCTCCGAGTCACCTCCTACTAACGAAGACGTCATTTCATTCCTCGATATCGAAAGCCCATATCTGTATACCCTTACGGATACGCAGCTCGCGCAGCTTCAGCAGTATCTTTCATCTTGCACATCTACCCGTGTTCTCTGGGTGACCCACAGCTCCCAGATGCGGTGTCCAGATCCGCGTTACGGGTTGACTCTGGGATTCGCCCGGACAATGCGTATGGAATACGAAATGGACTTCGATACAATTGAAGTGGAAGATTTCAATGAAACCTCAGCGGATGCCGTTGTTGATATCTACATGAAGTTTCAACAGCAACGGTGTCGAATGGATACAACAGTGGACCACGAGTATGCCGTCCAGAACGGGTTGATTCATATTCCTCGGTACCACTGGAGTAATTTGTCTGAGAACTTACTCGAAGACCCTTCTCCAGAAGCCCCAAAGACCCTCGCTGTCGAACACCCTGGAATTCTGGACTCTTTGAAGTGGGTCGAGAAGGATTTGAATGCTATGGGAGAAGATGAGGTGGATATTGATGTGAAATTCGTGGGCCTCAACTTCCGCGTAAGAAATTTTCTCACTATGACCATGAGTATCAAAATGTTGACCATATGGGCAGGACTTGATGGTGAGCCTGGGCATGTTGCAAGGTAACACCGATATGGGATTGGAAGGTAGCGGTGTGGTTAGACGAGTCGGAAGTGGCGTTACACATCTCCACGAGGGAGATCAAGTAGTATTTCTTACATCGTCTGCTTTTAACACTCGTGTTGTTGTTCCAGGAGCTCTGGTCGTCGCGATACCTGGGGAGCTCCAGTTGGATCAAGCAGCTACCATCGGATGTGCATATACTACCGCAGCGTACTGTCTGCTAAATGTTGGACGACTACAGAAGGATCAGGTACGATTTTTTCCCGTTCCAGCCGGATTCATCCAGGAAAAATTATTAATCTGTTAATAGTCGGTGTTAATTCACTCTGCCGCGGGTGGAGTTGGCATCGCATCCATCATGCTGTGCCAGGAGCTCGGTGTACAGGTGAGTGCCAACGAGTCGCTATTATTGGCACAAGGTTTGCACCTTCTGACCCCAACAGATTTATGCTACGGTCGGCAATCAAGAAAAGGCACAGTATCTAACAGAAACCTTTGGAATTCGGAAAGAACATATTTTCGATTCTAGGAGTACTTCCTTTGCGACGAATCTGCTAAAAAGAACCCGAGGCCGAGGTGTCGATCTAGTGCTTAATTCGCTAGCAGGAGATCTCTTGCTTGCGTCCTGGGAATGTGTTGCTGAAGGAGGCATAATGGTCGAAATTGGTAAACGCGATTTAATGGGCCACGCTATGTTGCCCATGGACCGGTTCCTCGCCAACAGATCCTTTGTGGGGGTGGACATTCTTTCACTTACCAAATCACGGCCCCAAGTCGTACTAGAGTGAGCCGAGCCATTAGCATTGTAGGATATTGGGTGTTGACTAACATCGGTGAACAGGTGCTTGAAAACAGTTTCGACTCTTTTGGCCAAAAAGTCAATTAAGCCTATTCAGCCAATGCGTATCTTTGCAGCGGGTCAAATTACTGAGGCATTCAAGCATATGCAAGAAGGGAAACACATGGGAAAGATTGTGGTCGAAATGCCGGATGATGCCAACAAACTTCCTTTGTCCAAGACCCCAGGGCATATCTCCTTCGCCAATGACGGTGCCTATCTTCTCGTTGGTGGTCTGGGCGGCCTAGGCCGTGCAGTAGCACAATGGATGGTTGAAAATGGTGCTAAATATCTGGTCTTCCTCTCACGGAATGCAGGCGCCAGGGAAGATGACGCCAAGTTTGTCTATGACCTCCAGCTTCAAGGATGTAATTCCATCTTAATCCAAGGAGATGTTGCTAAGCTGGCCGATGTCAAAAGAGCCGCTGGTGCCAGCTGTAAGCCCGTAAAGGGCGTCATCCACATGGCAATGCTCATGAAGGTAAATCACTATCCCTTATTTCGAAAGATGTCAGAGTGTGGGGCTGAACTAGAATCATCTTCAGGACTCTCCTTTCTTCAGCATGACGCACGAGCAGTGGACGGGAGCCTTAGGTCCAAAAGTGCAAGGCGTGTGGAACTTGCACGAAGCCTTTTTGTCTGACCAGCTCGACTTTTTCCTCATGTTCAGCTCAGTCGCAGCTGCAGCGGGCTCTGCTGGGCAAGCAAATTATACGGCGGCCAACACCTTCCTCGGTGCCTTCGCGCGTTATCGCCAGTCTTTGGGCCTGACAGCATCCGTTCTTGATGTTGGTTGGATCACCGATGTTGGCTATGTTAGCCAGCGGCCAGAACTCTTGGACATGATGCGGTCTAAAGGTTTTATTCCGCTACGAGAGACTCATCTTCTGACTGCCATGCAATTGCTCCTCTCTCCACCCAAAATGGTTGATGGGGTGCCGTCCAAGTTCAGAGATGAGCACCACCTGTCTGTCGGGTTGGGTCTCCTATGGGCACAGGCTTCCAATGATTTACGATGCAAAGACGCCCGGTACCGTCAAGATCCGTCGGCAAGAGCTACACGCCCTGAGCCATTCTCTTCCAATGATAGCTCTATCAAAGGTTTTCTTCAGGCCGTGGAGGAGAATCCTGAGATCTTGAAACTTGCACCCACTGTTGATCTTCTTACTAAGGAAATGGCCCTGTTGATGGGGCCATATTCAGCCGCCGTGAAAAATGACGATTGGGCTGCTATGTCCGAAATTACGGTAGACTCGCTCGTAGCTGTGGAAGCTCGAGCATGGTTGAAACGCAACCTCGAGGTGGATCTTGGCCTTGTCGATATTGCAACGGCAGGTACTGTTCACGGCGTGGTCACTCTCACCATGGCTGCACTGAGCCTGAAACATGCTGTGAAACCGTGACATACCGCAGAACAAGTAGTAAAATTTCGTTTTTCTATCGTTTAATGTTCATGTCCTCTCATGAAGCAATTTGTTTGATTCAAGAATGCAAAGTATATTTTCCTCAGATGAAATGCCATCACCTTGTGCATCTAGATTCATCTCTGATATGATATTTGAAAACGGTGTAGAACAGATTGATCAGCGACGAGAATCTTCTAGAGTGAAGACCTGCAGAGCCCTCAATATAGTATCCGCATGAGAAGAGTGAAGGTGGGTTCCATGGTAAAGATCAGTGGCATCCTTCCCAAGTGACTGCCGAATCATGTCACGACCACCTGGATGAGCGTCCATAAAGTCCACAACGTCATATATCCCTCCGTCAATGCAAATGAGTGTATGCGCATCACCGGATCGCTTCCTGAACTCTTTCCAGCTCATACGAGGTAGACTGTCTCTCTGTCGCTGGGTCCTGTCCTTCAGCTGGTTGCTGCGAGCTCGTTCAATCTCAAATGGGCTAGCAATCTTTAGATCATTTGCCCACCCAAGTTTCCCCCATAGCCAGATAATCCATCGTGAAAAGTCCGGTTCGTCCCAACTTACTCCATTTCTATAATCGGCCGGAAACGCGTGATGAAAGTTGTGGTTTGCTTCTCCAAGTGTCAAAATAGCGAGAAATGGGTTATTCCGTGCGGTTGTACCGGTCGAGTATGGTTGAGTCCCAGCCCAAGGGGCATGTGCCACTGAGTTGATCAAAAAGGTGGAATGTTGCGTGACGATGATTCTGGTCAAGCCTGCATAGAGAATGCCACCCTTCCAGTCATTCCAGCCATAGTGAGCTATTGTGCCAGGCAAAAGGATGCCGACCGTGATGAGAATTGGCCAGTATAATCGATCTTGCCAAACGACAACTGGATCCTTTTGCAGGTCTGATACATCCACCGGACCCCACGCATTCTCATTCAGTCCAAGTAGCCAGCCGATATGAGAGAAGAGTAAACCTCTTGTCGCATTGTAAGGGTCTTGGTCCGTGTCTGTGTATTTGTGATGGGCACGGTGGTGTTTCGCCCACCACAGAATAGGCCATTGGTTCTGAGCAGCTCCAACCACAGCAAGCGCGATTCTTATCCCCAGGCATGCTGAAAAGGATCGGTGAGCCCAGAGTCGATGATATCCTACGGTCGCGTTAGGTATAAAAATTCCCAATTTTGACGATCGCTGGGTACAAGGACCCCACCCACTCACCAATTGTGATGCTAAAGCCTCCTATAACACCCCAGGCGATAGCCATAATGACGGTGTTTTGCCGGGCAATGACATATGGTGCAGTGAGTTTAATGATAAGTATTGGTCCCAAAAGACTCATATGTAGAAATCCGTGGAAATTTTGCCTATACCAATCGAGTTCAGCCTTCCAGCTGTGGCGAGGCACAGCACGAGACCCCGGTCGAACGAGCTTGCCCCATTGCTTTGACATTGTGGAAAAGCGGCTCTATGAGATAGTCGTTCCACTGCATTTGAGCGAGGTCTCGTGTGAGGTTCTTCGCTTATATTATGCGTGTTCGCTTTACTAGAGTTCTTTGCTTTGCTTTTTCTAGTCACCCCTTGCATTGAGGCATGCAGTTGATGCATCAATCTGAATGAATATACAATAACCAGCCACTGTAGTAACGAATAACTCAAGCCAAGAGCTTCATGATCAGCTAACCCTTCAATAAGACTCGACGTGTCCCAGAAATTTATCAAAAGTGTGGCGAGATCAGTAACCAAGCGGAAACGCGGAAACCATGTCCTTCCCTATCTTTAGACGCCAGAATTCTTGATTAAAGCTCCGAGTACCTGGATACCATCGGCTGGCTCCAAATAGCTCAAAAGTCCACTCGTTCGACCGGGGTCATAGAGTTAATTAGTTATCCGGCTGCCATTGACTCAGTGCAAGGTAACTAACAACGTGGTCGCAATGGCTTGGCGTAGCTGACACCGTCAGCGCTAATTTAGCTTTACTGAGGTATCGTGCAACACCAACAAAACATACTGTCAATCTCATCTACCACTTCTCTCCTCAAATCCAATCTTCATCACGATGGAAACCACACCTCTCCTATCACATTCCCCTCCATCGTGGGGTTCTCCTCCTTCTCCCTCCTCCTCGCGCACAACAGCCCTCACAATCGTCTCCATCGCAACCTCCACCCTCAGCTTCCTCTACACCCTCACAACCAGTATCTGGATTAAGTCCTCCCCTAACGCCCCCAATCTCGACTGGGCAACCGGCGAATGCGCCAATTACGTCTTTAACTTAGTACCTTCCCTTTTCTTATCCTATTTATCTACCTCATAAAGGAATCCCGTTAACAAAAAGACAGAGCATTCTCTCCGCCTTCAGCCTAGCGCTGCACATCGCCCGCCACCGTAAAGACCCTATCGGGCCCTTTGCGTTCTTTGCGTTCACTGTTGACTTCGTTATCGGCTGGTTCGGAGTCGGGATTGCGGCACTCGGGTTCCAGGAGTTGTATTACACTCCTGCTTGTCCGTCTGGTGTGAGTGCGGATATCGGCGTGGAGCGGGGGTGTAGGTCGGCGGTCGTGGATATTCTGCTGAGATTTGGGTGTGCATTTGGTGTTGCTCTTGGGTATGTTTTCCTCTGGGTATTTCGGGTGCGGTGGCCTGTGCTTACTCTAGCAGTGTCATTCATGCTCTGTTCGTGCTGAGAGCCTTCGTGAGTGCTGTCCGCTACCTGCGGCAGGGGTGTAGTACTTGGAGGTTCCCGACGGGGCAATTTACTGTCGAATTTACAGTCAAAGTCCTGCGTCAGGAGGAGGGGAGGAATAGCGAACTACTTGCCCCTCAACCTTAAGCAGATGGCCTTGGTCACTCATGTTTCTACTACACACATCCATGGCCGGCCCACCTGGTTGAGCGGGCCACCCTAAAACACCATACAATTTTTCAGATCATGATATATCGATAACGAGATTCTTTGCATCTTGCATTGAAAATAGTCATGACGAACTAATATGTTCAAAATAGAGGTTTTCTACTTGCATTACTAAAATTGCGCTCCGATCGAGGGAAATAGATATTTATACCATTACTATTATGCCCAAAATATTTTTCGACCTCATAGATATACTTCGCATGCTATGTCTGACTTCAGGATATCCAAGGTCCTCATGATTAGCCATGGGTATTGAAATATGAAGTTGTGAAATTTTGCTTCTATTAACATGGTATTTAAGGGTGGCACGGCCATGCAGGAATTATGTTGTTTCATAAGCTCTACATGACTAAGGGGAAAGCACAGAAGGAAAAATCAGTGCCCACTAAGCACACTTTTGTTCTTGGCGGGGCCGTAGCTATGGCCGATATCTCTCTCGGTTGTCATATGAAACAGCTGAAAACCGGCTAACCGAGGTTCCCCAAGGGATCATCAACTCCCCCAGGTTTCCGCAAACCTTGAAGCCTTGTAGCCCCGCAGCATTGCAACCAAAGATGGCATGACTAGATCTATCGTAGTTCTAAAATCAGATGTCGCCTGATTTGAACAGAATGTATGACGCTTGATAGCTGTAAGCCCAGGAATTCAATCCAAACCTAGGCGGTACTTAACTGACTAGTAAAGTAGTTCTAACTAGCGTAGTGCGTAGTTTAGTTACTAAACGTGCCATGACCAAGCGGGGGTTTTCAGCACCTCGCAAGAATGTCTCGAAGCAGCCACGGCCGAACCTCCAGAACTCTCCGCAAAATGCAAATCATAACGCTGTCATAGGTTCCCTTATTCCCGTTTTCTGGGGAGCCGGGCCCATTGTCCCGATTGATAACCCAATGCATACGGAATGGACCACTCACCCGGAGGCGCCATTAACCTTGCATACGTTTACTGGAGTGGAGTGACGCCTTGGTTCCATTTCCCCGGTCGTTATGCTGTACATTCGTCCATTCACAACGGACTGAGCTGAGATCATCATACACTAATAGATCATGTTGCGAGGAGCTCAACCAACGGATTTACCGTGGACGGCCCCCAGTTTCCTCCCTAGCGTGCCATGTGCAAATGAAGTTCGGCATGGACCCGAAGCCCCCGACCGAACCCCACGTTCGCATATTAAGACAAGGATTCTGTCCAGGTGCTGGCACTGTTTTCATGAATCTGGCCTCCTTTGAGACTTTATTTTCGAGTAACTGACCATCATGATCGAAGACATCGTGGGCGATTTGACGCCTACTAGGGCAGCACTGTGGTTCCTGGGGTTATTCACGGCTTTCTGTGTGTTTCGCAAGTTCCAAGCCTCTGCGCAGATCGCTCGTCTAGGTGCTCGCACACCCAAAGTCAAGTTCTATCTCCCATATGGTATGATAGGGATCCAGCTTGTCTAGCATGAATGCCAGACAAAGGAAATGGTGGAGCCCATGCTAAGGAATCTGCAGCGCTCGACTTCGTCTATAAAGGCCAAGTGGCCAACCTGAAGCACGAGGATCCCGAATTCTGGAATGAAACTATCATGACGGCCAGCGGCCGCGACAATTGCAAGACCGCCGAGGTCGATGCTGGCATCTCCACGCGCATCATCCTGACCAAGGACCCTGAAAATATCAAAGCACTGCTCACCGGCCAGTTCGCGGATTACGGCAAAGGCGAACCGTTCCACCGCGAGTGGAAAGAGTTCCTCGGCGATAGTATCTTCGCCACGGACGGTGAACTATGGTCTCGCTCGCGCCAGCTGATTCGACCCATGTTTGCACGCGAGCGACTCGTCGATACCGAGATCTTCGAGAAGCATGTGCAGAAGCTCATCCCCCTTCTCGGCGGTCAACCTAATCACAGCAGGGTCGTCGATGTCGGCTCACTGTTCTTCCGGTATACCCTCGACGCAGCGACCGACTACCTCCTCGGTCAGGGAACCGATAGTCTCGAGAATCCGGCTACACGCTTCGCTGAAGCCTTCAGATACGTGCAACAACGGCAAGCGGAGCTTTTCCGATTCGGGTAAGCAACCTGTCTCCCCGATCCTTTGTGATACCCAGCATCAAATTCCCATTGGAAGAACCAACAAAAGCTAATCTGCAATTCTGTGTAACATTGAAATAGCGTCTTCAACTTTGCCATGTCACGCACCGAGTTCCGCCGCAACCTCAAGATCATGGATAGCTTCCTGCAGCCCTACATCGAGACCGTGCTGGCCATGTCCTCGGACGAACTCGACCAAAAGCTCTCCAAACGCGAAACCTTCCTCCACGCCCTAGCCCGCTTCACCCGCGACCCCAAGGTCCTTCGCGACCAACTTGTCGCCATCCTCCTCGCCGGCCGCGACACTACCGCCGGCACTCTTTCCTTCTGCCTGTTCGAATTAGCCCGCCACCCGGAAGTCGTCGCCAAACTACGCAGCGAGATCCGCGACCGTCTCGGTGTCGGCGCCGACGCCCAGAAGCCCACCTACGACGATCTCAAGACGATGAAGTATCTCAACGCCGTGATCAACGAGACAATGCGCTTCTACCCAGTCGTCCCCTTCAACGTGCGCTACTCGCTCAAGGATACCACCCTCCCTCGTGGCGGTGGTCCAGACGGACAATCCCCCGTTGGAGTGCGCGCCAACTCTCGCATAATCTACTCCACGCTCCTCATGCAGCGTGATCCGGATCTGTACGATGGGCCGGAATCAAAGAATTACTTCGATCCGGGCCGATGGATTCCCGAACGTTGGGTTGAAGGGTGGCAGCCACGACCGTGGCATTTTATCCCGTTTAATGGAGGTCCGCGCATTTGTATTGGGCAGCAGTTTGCGACTATTGAGATGGGGTATACGATCATTCGGATTTTGCAGGCTTATGAGAAGGTTGTTGCGCTGCCGGTTAGTGGGGAGGATTCTGTCAAGGATCCAGTGTTGAGGTTTGAGGTTACGCTCAGTCCTGGGGCTGAGTTTAACTGTGTTTTTGTTAAGGAGGGGGAGGAGGCTGTGAAACCTGGTATCTGAAACGGCGGCTTGTAGTATATGATATACTGTGAATATGGTGTGGCTGGGGTTGGGTGTCATCACACTATCTCCTCTCTGTTTTGCGTGGCTTGACTGAGGAGTCAAACCAGCACTACTACTGTGATTTATACGAGAGACGACTTGCAATGTCCTGATTTTAGTTCATAAGTTCAATACAAATTGAATCATCTTTCTGTCAACAATGGCATTCCCATCAGATTCACCTGAACCGGCTCACTCTTCAAAAAGCAAGCCCTCACTATCTAAACGCCAACCAACTTGAACTTTGACTCCATCCTGCCTCGCTATCTCAATATACGAATCAATATCCCAACCTAGAAATAATTCAGCTTCAACTTCCTCAATTTCTTCAACTTTTGCAAAATCTCCACCTTCCTCAGCTCCAGGAATAAATCTTCCTCATCCGCCTCATCCAAATCTCCCGAGACACTAATCAACGGCGTCTTTGCCGGTGAAAAGTCCCAATCCCTATTTCTGTCTGCATCACCATTTGCAGCGGTTCTCGTCTTAACTTTCAGCGTTGTACCTAGACCCCCACTCGTCACCAGTTCCGATACCAGCGGCGAAGTATTCTGTCGTGGCACGGCCTTGAGAATACCCACGCCTCGACTCTCGTTCGGCGCTGTCGTAGTTCCGTTGGTTGTGGTCTTGGTCATGTTGTTGAATTGAGTGTCGTGCGAGATGGACTTGATCTCGGCGTCCAAGTTTCTATCCCCATCCTTGTTCGGTGAACTATCTGGGCCGGTCCAGCCCCTACTCATGCGCACTGCTTTCTCCCATTTACCAAAATTAGCTGCGCTTTCTTCGCGGGTGATTTGGGGCTCGAAGACGGCGCCACCGGCGCGATTGATGTCGCGCAGCTCGGCAAAATTGCGCCACATGCCTACGGCGAGGCCGGCGGCAATGGCGGCACCCAATGCGGTGGTTTCGCGCATTTGGGGACGATATACCGGTATAGAAATGAGGTCTGCTTGGGTCTATGGTTGTGGGGTTGTCAGCGGTGGTTCATAGTGCGGCAGGTTTCGCATCAATCTCGGGGGGGGGGGGGGGAGCTCTTACCTGCATTGCTAGATCTGAGTTGCTCATTCCTCCATCCACTGCGAGTTCAGAAAGAGCCTTGCCGCTGTCCTTTTCCATTGCGTCGAGGATGGCTTTCGTCTGGAAACAAGTTGCTTCGAGGGTGGCGCGGGCAATATGCCCCTTTTGCGTATACTGGGTGATCCCAACTTCACGGAGAAAGACCAAGTCAGACATCGCGAACAGATCAAAGACACGACTAGGTGGTCTTTGGGCGCCATATCTGAGACTTACAGATTGTCCCCTTGGCATCGTCGATCCAATAGGGCGCAAACAAGCCACTAAACGCAGTCACAAACACACAACCCCCATTATCCTCCACCGTCAAAGCCAAGTCATTCACCTCTTCCGAGTCCTGGAAAAAGGAAAGATTATTCTGCAGGAATTTTACCCCGGACCCGGCTACCGCAATACTCCCCTCCAGCGCATACACGGGCTTCCCGCCAAAATCATATGCCACCGTCGCCAGTAGCCCATGTTTTGAGATCACCGGCTTCTCGCCAACATTATACAGCAGGAAGCAGCCTGTGCCGTATGTGTTCTTCGCCATGCCTGGCGAGAACCCCTTTTGTCCCACCAGCGCCGATGACTGATCACCCAGACACCCCATAATGGGCACATGGGCAAGGACACCGCTCGCAATCACCCCGTACGCCTCGGGGTCGCTCGAGGGGACAATCCTCGGCAAATGAATCTTCCCCTTGATACCGAAGAAATCCAGCAAAGCATCATCATACTGCAACTTCTCCAGATTCACAAACATGGTCCGTGAAGCGTTTGTCGAATCCGAGACAAACACGTTAGCAGCCGCGCCGCCATTCAAACGGTACACCAGCCAAGCATCGACGGTTCCAAACGCCAAAGTCCCGCGATCAAAGGCCTCTTTGACCTTGGGCACGTGTGCGAGCATCCATAGCAGTTTTGTCGCCGACGAGTATGTTGATAGCGGGAGGCCACAGAGGGATTGGAGATGGGAGGCGCCGGGTCGGGCTTTTAGTTCGGAGACGATGGCTTGGGAGCGGGTGTCGGTCCACACAATGGCGTTGTGGAGGGGTTCACCCGTCTTGTGGTCCCAGACGACCGTTGTTTCGCGTTGATTAGTGATTCCCACGCAGGCGATGCTGGCGCGGGCATGGCCGAGGCTTTCGAAGGTTTGGACGGCGCCTGCGATGCAGGTCTCCACGGACGAGACGAGTTCGAGGGGATCGTGTTCGTGCCAGCTGTATTTTGGAAGTGATCAGCCTTGGATCCCTTGGTGTATTTTATCTGCCTCTCTCTTGTCTTCTTGCATCGAGTTGTATGGTTTATCTACGGGTTACTTACCCTGGATGTGGGTAGATCTGGCCAAATTCCACCTGGTGGGATGCAACGGGTTCACCATCGCGGTTGAAGATCAGAAACCGGGTGCTGGTCGTCCCCTGATCGATCGACCCAACGAACATCTCGGAGGGCTGCATGGTTTTCTAAAGAGTAACTGGCCGTCGCGGGGAATCGGTATTGGGAAGGTTGTCTACTAAGGAAGGAACGCAACGCACTCTGCACTTATGGGGTATCAAGAAAAGATAACATGAACGACATCGCTCTCTCGACCGTCAAGAGAAAATGAAAGAGGGAAAGATGGTTCGGTCTCTCTCTTAAATAACATTGCTAGAGCCTGCTGTGACACCAAAAGGTTCCGTGCGCGCGGGGTCTCAAGCTGTTGGGAGGGTTCAAGAGGTGACAAGACTGCGCACAGATTGGTGGGAATTATCGGAGTCTCGATGACTTATTAGCCAGGGGATGGGGGGCTAATCCCAGAGATTGGTCCAATATTGGAAATAGGTTTGAGCGTCTTAATTTTCGTTGATTAACACTACAGGATCATTATTTTTGCTAGTCTCTACTGTTCAGGAATGCCTCAAGAGGTCGCAGCTCCACGCTCCGAGTTCGTGGCGAGACTCGAGGATGTTGTGATGATTCCAACGTGCTGACTGCTTCGTGCCTTATGCTTCCTGCTGGTCGTGCATATAGTAAGCTCACATAGGATTAAAACTAGACTGTCACTCATCTAACAAACTAACCAGCCAGAACTCGATAGGAGTGCTGAACGGTACAGGGGATCTCCTGTACATGAGATCCACACTCCACTCCGACGATCTTTCTGGGGGAACAATCCCACCCGATAAAGGACCCCCGAAGAACGAGCACTTGAAACTAAAGAGGCCGAAACGCGAGCCATTCTCAACAATGGCCATTATGAGCTGCATGTTCAGCGACAATTCTCAGTCCATTCAGCCCACGAGATTGTTCGGTACAAACAAATCCGAAAGCCCGACGAGACCATTCCGGAGGAATTGTGGGGGTCAACAGACTCCAGACGAATCGCCCCGCCGTGGAGAAACAGAATGTCATACTCCACTCTGCACAAAATGATGCCTCTCAAGTGTTAAGCCTACAGAACGACAAGCACCCACACCAGCACCAATATGGCCGTCACCGACATCGCTATCGACCATGCACTTGCCGAACCCCCAGCACCACCAACCAAGTATCCACCATCAGTCAACCAAGTCCAAACCGGAATCCCGTCACAATTTCAATCTGACTCGCACGCCCTGCCCATGTTTACGCTTGGCCTGTTCTTGGCCTACCAGCCTCGTTCCTGTCGGTGAGATGAGGACTGCGGCGATAACCGACGAATGCGAGGGTCGGATTTTCTCGTGGAGGACAAGAGTCTGGAAGACATTTCTTTTCTCAACTTTGCCTCTCACCGATGATCAATCATCTCCTAGTGTTTCCAGGGTTCATCCTAGTCATCACGATGTAAAAATTCATGTAAAAAAGGCCCACAGAGCTCTGGAATCAGTGAGTGGTCACACGAGCGCAAAATTTGATAATAGGGTGCCACCCTATCTTTCGCCCCCGAGAATTTAAACTCCAAAGAATAGAACATCGACATGGGATAATTTATGTGAAAGTACTACTCGTCACACTCTACCTCGACGTGAATATGTCCATTTCGATTCCAGGGGTTGGAGGGAAACGGATATGTTGAAACGTGGACGGCCAGGTCCAGCCTCCCCTGGTCGGTACAGGAGACGGTGAAAGAAAAGTTCAACGCCCGTCTACTTTGCAACTACCTCTGCCTCGCTGGCCATTGCAAAAGCTTCGAAGTTGGCAGGTACGCTTCGAACTTCTAGAAATTGCAATGATACCTGCGTGTGTCTTCACGGGTCCGTCCCTTTGCCGATGGGTAACAGAAGCAATGGAAGCTTCTCCGTACGACCTACAACCTCCCAGCCGCCCATTCTCCCCCGATGCCCCGGTATGCCATTTCCAGTCAAGGATCTTATTCACGCCGTAGAGCCATTGGGAATAACGCGCAGCTTTGGTGTCACCAACCCGCTTATTCCACCGCAATTGCGGCATGTATTTGCTCATAAAACGTCCCCTGCCAATGGCAAATTCGCAAAAGGGACACAATTTCGGTAGTATTTGGTTACTTGTTACTCGGTTCTATCGTACTCTTGGCTTCAGCAATCAGAAATGGGCCGGCAGTTCCCGGTCAAACGGCTCGCCATACAAACGCGAACCATTGGGCTTGAAGAAATGTGTGCTGTCAGAAAGCTATACTCGCCCTTCTCGACTCATAGAGTGACATATTCTTTTCGCTCTGTTCTTTTGGACAGCATAGAAGGGAGAGAAGAGAAAAGGCAGCAGTCCCCCCATCTGCGGATGGTTTTGGAGAATGGAATTGTATTCAATTCTCAAAGCCCCAACCAACGCCCCCGAGTCTGTGTCTGTGTCTGTGCTTGCCATTGTACTTCTCCATATCCCGGTCTGAACGGCTCTGTATCCTGGTACCAGTCTATCACTCCGGTCTTCCCTGTATGCTCACGCGGGCTTGGAGAGGAATAGAAAAAAAGAAAAAGTGAGGAACACGCTTCCTCCGAGGACCCTGCATCCTCCAATAAAGCCGATTTAGCAGGATCTTGCCGGCAAAATCTAAGTCCAAGGTATTACACAGCTTGGACCGGTGCTCGGTGATATATCGCTAGATGACCGCGCCGTTCAAGAAGGTTGTCATCGCTGCACTTCTTCTGCTGACGAGTCCATTGCTTCATACTACCTTCTGCGTCTCTGCTGGACAGACTTTTGATTTTATATCTCTATTGGCATTGAGCGCGAATATCTGGATGGGTTCCATGATTTCAAATTCTTTACACTCCATGTCGACTCCTCACAAGGAGATTGGGTCTGCGGAGAGTCACGATAGTGGGTGTTCCTCTCTATACCTGGGAAGTAAGCACGACGCATCCATCAACGAAGTATCCGCCGGAATCGACAGTATACCCAGTGAACCATCATTGCTCTGGTACAAGATCCGCACATACGGACAGGATGCTTTTTCCGAATTCTTCGGTACAATGATCTTGATACTCTTCGGTGACGGGGTGGTCGCCCAGGTTCTACTTAGCCGTGGGCAGAAGGGTGACTACCAGTCCATCTCTTGGGGTTGGGGGTGAGTATCAAGTCCCTTCCACTACGATGTCATAAATTACTTCCCACTCTAACGTGGCCTCGTTTTCAGATTGGGCGTCATGTTAGGCGTATATGTCAGCGGTTCCTCAGGAGCCCATATCAATCCCGCCGTGACATTTGCAAACTGCATCTACCGCGGCTTCCCCTGGCGCAAATTCCCAATCTACATGCTCGCCCAACTCCTCGGCGCGATATGTGGTGCAGCCATCGTCTACGGAAACTACAAATCTGCCATCGACGCCTACGAGGGTGGTCCACACATTCGCACTGTACCGGGTTACTCGCCTACAGCGACGGCGGGCGTCTTTTGCACATATCCGGCCGAATTCATGACCAAGACCGGCCAGTTTTTCTCGGAGTTCTTGGCTAGTGCGGTGCTTATGTTTATGATCTTTGCGTTGAAGGATGATGGTAATCTGGGTGCGGGAAAGCTGATGCCTCTCGCGCTGTTCTTCGTAATTTTCGGCATTGGCGCTTGTTTTGGGTGGGAGACTGGGTACGCGATTAATCTGGCAAGGGACTTTGGACCGCGACTCACGTCTTACATGTTGGGATACGGACATGAGGTGTGGGCTGCGGGCAATTATTACTTTTGGGTATGTGATTAACCCTCCCATGTTTAATTACGTGAACCCTTGATGGCAGTTTTCTCACCATATTCTTGTCCTATTAGGTCCCCATGGTCGCTCCCTTCTTGGGCTGCACGTTCGGCGGATGGATCTATGACGTTTTCTTGTATACCGGACAGAATAGTCCCGTCAACACGCCTTGGTTGGGTATTAAGCGGCTACTGCATCCCAGACGTGGACAAAAGGTTGCCCTGTCCAGTCCTGTCTGACTCAGTAACGAGGTTTACGATCTATGAACAGCGAAGATGAAGTCACAGCCATGTAGTTTGATAGTACAAAATTTACGTATCGTACCAGAGATTTAACAAAGCTCATGTCATACCTCCATACCTCAACAAGACTCGACTGCGAAACCTCAAGTTCCAATTGTACCATGATGTGTACACTATAGCATCACCCTCGCAGAATATTTTGAATTTCCAATCCACAAAAACTAGAAATAACCTTTACCCAGGCCCAGCAGGCATGGTTACCTCGATGACATCGTGTCAGGGACCACAGAAATTCAGACTCAAACCACCACCCGCATAGCTCCACGGCGTCTGTCTGCAGTCATGTGCGCATGCACCGCCCTCCAATATCCGAGGCAAAGAGAAGTAGAAAGGAAAGGAGCACTCCCAAATATTCCATCCATGTCTATATCGCAGTGCATGCGTAGCGCCTACTCCTATTTCTGCTATGACTGGAAGCACCTGCATTCCTGTGTCGTGCTGACTTGTTGTTCGGACTGCATCCATGTCTCTATCAGGTCGAGTGAATAATCATGCCATTGTGTGTCCTGTATGCTGCGTACTGCAAGACTTTGATGACCATATTATTTGAGTAATGTTTGCTGGGTGCAGGAGTGTAGTCGATAGTAGGTGTTTTCTTATTGCAGGGTTTAGGCGACTTGGCAGTTCTTGAGTAGCATCAACCCTTTATGTATTCACTTCTTGGGATCACTAATAACACGAGTTTTGGACTCGCTGAGCTAAATAAGCCGCCAGTGCAACCGGGTTCAATGCTTGATGGGCTTAGTTTGCCATTAGGTCAAGAATCGAGAGCCATCAATCAAGGTTATGTCGTTCTAAAAACCCAATAGTCTTTCTTCGGCAACAATGCCAATAGAAACTGAACGAACACAGTACCATACATGACCTCTCGCAAATTTTACCCGTTCAAAGCAGACCGAATCTCCCATTTTCCAAGTCTCCACTCATAACATCCGATCCGAACGTCCAGGCTTCCTCCCCACCACGATAGCCGGCTGTTTGATATTATCATGCTCAAATCTATAAACGAACATTAAACGAGTCAATAAGCCACACACACTTTATCCTAAAATGTAACATTGAAGGCAGTACTCACCCTAAAACCCCTACACCCCCAGGCTCAAAAATCAACCTCATCGTTCCCGTATCCAACGACAAGCCAACCCACCGAATCGCCATCGCGGCTAGAATATGTCCATGAGCGACACAGACAATATCCTGCGCGTGTTGGCTGCGATGAGAATCCATCTGGCCACCGGGCCAAGTAGCCGAATTGGCCTCGATGACGGATTTAATCTCGGCAATGAGCTCGTCGACACGTACAGTCACTTGCTGGGGAGATCTAAATGAATCATTTTGTTTTTCCAATGTTAGCCTGCGATATTCTTCATGTCCCAAAGCCAAACCATGGCGTCCAATCTTGGAGCTTAAAACTCCAAGCCATGATTGCCATGAAATCATCAAACCGCCCAAGAAAACAAGGTCTCGCAAAGGGAAAAAGACATACTCTCCGCCAGGACAACCCTCCCTCCAGATGTCCCAAGTCGGACTGCCAAACTTTTTCATCCTCGCATCTTTAATGCTCTGCAACGTCAGCCCCTCATAGTCCCCAAAGTCCCATTCTTCCAACCACTTGGTCACATGGATATTTGCATCCGCCGTGTCTCCTTCAATCTGCGATTCGGTCTCGAAAGTCTGCCCCGTCTCTCTGTCCAGGAAATGCAAGTGATTGCGGGTTCCCAGTCTGAGGATTTCGGCCGTACGGCGGGCGTTGATGCGCGGGGAGCAGTAGCTGTGGTTGGATATGGAGGTTAGCAAGGAATTGAATACTTCTCTCGTTTTCATTCTGATCATGTTCTTTTTGTCGCTTGTATGGGGGTGTTTGGGGGAAAGGAGACGAGTAGAAGCGGTCTGTGAGGTCTGTTTTCTTGCTGTGATGGTACTCACATCTTGGCAACACCTGCTGGATTAATCATTTCGTTTTCAGCGACGAGACGTTCGCGGACTAATCTGACGTCTCGTTCACCCATTGTAGACAAGGGTACGTCCGTTCGACTAGCGAATTTTCCCCCGGTGATCCAATCTGTCTCGCCGTGGCGGATCAGGAAGATGCGAGCAGAGGTCGTGGGTGTGCTCATGATAACGATTTGACGAGCTAAATTATGAAATCTTTCAAGCTTGATTTTGAAGATGATGGAGTTCGCAGGGCTAGTTCAATCGCCAATTTTGACTGTTCTGTGGCGATTCGGGTTGTTATTACGGAGTACAAACCTCATGTTGAGGTCAGTCTTCCAATGACCACGGAACATGGTTCCTGCCCGTGGGCCCGACTAGTCACGGAGACAGCGGGTCAGTCAGATCTACAGCGCGAAGAAGGCCAGTTGTGTGTTCAACAGCTCGGTCGAGATTTGCATCATCGCATCAAGCTCATATAATTCATAAAGAACCTATCAACACTGCCAAGGGTAATATACATGGAAGCGGGCGAAGCCGATCGCGTCGCTAGGCAGAACATTCGTCACTTCTTTGGTATGTAAATAAAGGGACAATAACCATAAACAAGAAAGAAAAGCTCAAAGGGTCATAAGCGCCAATATGCAGCATCCCTCTATCATGATGAGCAATAAAAACAAATCAAAGTGGAGGCAGCGACATGGCTCGCTGGGGGTCGGGTAAAATGTATGTCGTTAACGCCGTGTCTAGTTCATCCCATCATCAATAATAATAATACAATTCAACAATGCCAAAAAAAAGTGTGTTTCAGAGCAAACCGAAGATGCCACCGAGCAGCACACAGACGATGCTCATAGTCAGCGCAGGCGGAGACTGGTACAGACTGACCCCTCCGCCAACCGAAGGGGCAATAGTACGAGTGGCAGTAGCTTTGGCTGAGGACACCAGGGTCGTCGCTGTGTCGGTCTCCCAATATTCAGTATGTTGGTGCTGGGTCTTGGTGGTACTCAACGAGGTAGTCGGTGCGTGTCGAGTCACACTCGAAGACGGTGTTTCAGGCCCAGAACGGGAAGAGACAACCGACGAGGAAGCCAATGGCACTGATGTAGATCGGAAGGTAGACTGCGAGGAAAGAGATTTGATCTTAGCGATTGATACAAAGGGTGTGCTGGTAGGTATAAGGCAGTGCTCACTCACTGAACCCCCACCGGGCGGTTGAATCTGCCCGGAGCCAGATTCCCAGCCACTGGGGAGGCCAGTGGACGCCGTCGGCGAGCCGGTGGCAACCCAGGGCCAGACATTGGGGGTGACATAACTGGAGGTTTCTCGGTGGGTGCCGCTCCACGGAACGGGAACACTGTCCACCGTTGCAGTAATAAGGGGTGCCGACTGGGTGGAGGTCGGCTCATCGGCGCTATTGCCATTGACCTTGCCTCCATTGGCAGTGATGGATTCCCACGAGCCCGATTGATCGCCGTAGCTGTATGAGTTTCCAGTCGAGTAATCGGTCACGGTCATCGACTTGAGGTACATTTTGTAGGGACCTTTGCTGTAGTCGGTCAAACCGCCAGCCCAATCTAAAGATATGTTAGGACTTTCACTCAGCCATCCGGACTAGATTCACTCACCGATTGTTCCCTGAGAGTTGTCCGAATCGCCACCAGCCCACACACCGACCTTGATCATCATCGGAGTCTGCGGATACTGGTTGGTGTCGGCGGTAGCGGGCGTGAGGACGCGAACCGTCGTGCCGTCGATAGCCCACACAATCTGAGAGCTTGTCCAGTCGACCGAGTAGGTGTGGAACTCGTCATGATTGCCGTTGTTGGCATGGTAAGCACCACGGTTGTAGCTGCTGGTATCCCCCTTTCCGAAGTAGTTCGTCTGCGCCTGAGCATTATTACCACCCAGCCATTCCCAGTCGATTTCGTCCAAGTCGTCAGATTGCAGCACAGCACTGCTAACAATGCCCGTTCCGGACGCCGCCTTGATGGTGAACTCGACCTTGCCGAACATGATGTACCAGCCCGACTGGATCAAGGGTCCATCGCCTTTCTTGGAAATTGTGAAAGTGGCTCCGTTGGTGCTATCGTAGGTGACGGTTCCCGAGGTAGCGAAATCGGAAGATAAGCCGGAGGTAAAATCGTACTTCTGGTCGGCCTTCCCAAGGGCAGTGTCTGCAGGGCAAGCTGTGTGGAGAATTAGCTTTGAAACGTACTTAAGTCGATCGTCTCGTTGGAGTTCTCGGTTGGCTCACTCTTCTTGAGCGGGTTGCAGTCTGTGTAAGTCTGGGCTGTCACCAGAACAGACGAGCAGAGCAAGCCCAGGGCCGTTCCCAGAGCCAGCTTCATGGTGAATGACGTTATTGCGGAATCAGGTGTGTAGTAGTAAAGAGTATAGATAAATAGCCCAATGTTTAGCTAAAACCGGGATGGGTGAGAAGGATGATGGGATGGATAGCTTGGAGAGGATGTGAAAAAGGGAAGAAATACGAGTGGAAGGAAATGACAACAATTGAAATTATTTTAGAGCAAGTACGATCTTTGCTGTCATCCAGGATCTGGCAACTGCCAGCCACCTTATTTTGGGCTCATCAACTTGCAACTGCCCAGTTTCCACTTTTGCGCTTTCCAATCACTTTCTTTGGGCGCCGATCCGTGGGTCCCGGCTATCATTTATCCAATCAGGGATGATCTGCGCCACGTTATGCGGCTGAGGAAGTTTACATAACCCTGATTATCGTCTCCCGTAGCATTCTTTCGATCCGAACTAGAGCATTCCGATCTGTCCTTCAATTCAATGTGATGTTTCTTTTGATCTGAATATTCTAGGCTTCTACTGTTTCCTCCATCAGAAATAAAGCTTGCACTGATCTACCACTCGTGGAAAAAAGAGCAGGAGGCAGGAAACACCGCTACTCGAGTGGGGGTCCTCCCCAGCCTCTTGATTTCATCCCGCATCATCGTCCACCACTCACCAGCTCATCTCTAGCGACATACAATCTGGGCAAATAATGGATTTGCCTTTGCCGAGTCTTTCTGCAGCTTGGCCCAGCTGCCTACACCAGTTGTAAGCAGTAGCTACCCCAACAGCTCATCCAATCGGGAAGTCATTGGTATGCAAGGACGCGCTATCCCGACCGTGGCTCTTACCGTGTGCTTTCCATAGTTTTTATACTTTTGACACTGCCTTCACTCCCTTCTCAGCCAAGAAGTGCAAGACCTTGGCCAAAAGTTTTGACCCATAGAGCGAAGGCCTTGGAGAAGATTGGCTCGCCATATTGCAATTTATTGGGGGTCAATCCGAGTTGGGGTCCTGCTGCTTTAGCAACGCTAATCCCATTTCGACGCATTGAAGATCTATCGGTAGTGCCACATGGCAAGGATCCGGCTCGCAAACACGACGTTAGATATAACCTAGAGCTTAACTCCTTCATTTACCTATTGTGTAGGGTAACTAATTCTGGATATGCTTTGGACAGGCTCGACATCACCACCGGAGCTCTTGGTGACACTTGCTGCTCGATGCTGACGGGCCATGCAGTCCGTCCCTCGGAAGGTGTGGGCAGCACACCTATTGGGGGTTTGAGGAACTGTACTAACCTTCGAAGCATAATTAGGCCTCAGTGAATGCTCAATGAATTGTCTTGTTTTTTTACCAATGGTCTGAAGTACTAACGCCGCCGGTCCATGCCCACTAGCTCGAGTATGGAACCAAACGTCCCAGAGCTGCAATGTGTATCAAACTTCACGAGAGACCGACGTGTCAAACATCACGTTTAGCCCTCCAGATACTGACATGAAACTAATCCTTCCCCTCACTCTTTCTCTGCACCCTGACTAGATCACCGATTCGCCCCGTGAGGTCACCGCCGCACTCGTTACCCTGGCCTCTTTGTGTAACCCTCATTGCCCCTTCGACCGCTTCGACCGCTTCGATGTATAAGCCTCAGTTTATGTCTATCGCTCCGGGCACAAGCCTGACGGGTAAGACTGTCCTGATCACTGGAGGTAACTCAGGACTTGGGCTCGAGTTTGCACGCCAAGTATTGGGCTTGAATGCATCCCGCATCATCATCACAGTTCGTTCTCAAGCCAAGGGCGACACGGCAATTGCAACTCTGCGAGCAGACCCCGCAGTCCGAGCCACCAATCCGGATGCCAAGCTAGAGTACTTTGATCTGAACCTCGATGACTACGAGTCCGGACTGGAGTTCGTGCGGAAGGTCTATGCAGAGGTCTCGGTGCTCGATATCCTCCTATGCAATGCGGGCACCAACTTTTTCAACTACGAAACGAGTAAGAGTGGTCATGAGCGCTTGATGCAAGGTACCCCTCTTCCCGTAACTACTGATACGTTATGAAGATATGGATGACACGGCTGATACCTCAATCTAGTCAATTGCTACACGCATTTCCTCGTCGTCCTCAGCCTGCTCCCTCTGCTGCGACGAACGGCAGCCAAGCGTGGATCGCCAACACGAGTAACATTCTTGAGCTCATATAGCCACGCCCATCACACGCTGGAGTCCAACCCCATTGCTACAGAGGAATCTGTCATTGCCCATTTTGACAACATCAAGAAATACGTCTCTGGGAAACGGTATCAGGACGGCAAGCTCGTCATCAATTCTTTTGTCCAGCGCCTCGCAAGCATTGTGCCTTCCAGGGAGTTTATCATCAACTGTGTTTGTCCGGGTATTGTCGCGACAAATATTAACCAGAATTTGCCTCTTTGGATCAAGCCACTTATGTGGGGCTTCTTCATGATCAAGGCGAGGCCGGTGACCGAAGGAGGACGGGTCTTGGTTCGTGCCGCCGTGGTGGTGGGCGAGGAAAGCCATGGGAGGTACCTCCAGACGGGCGAGATACATAAGTGAGTAGAAACGGAACTACCTGGACTTTTCAGGTCCGATTAGATGCAGGCAAATAAATATGTGCTGACTGGCGATAGTGGTGCATCCCTCCTGTGTCAGCCAGCAGGCAAGCAGTTCATCGAGAAGCTATGGGCTGAGATTGTGGCGGACATTGGCAAGATCAATCCGGAAGTCAGGGTCTTTGATTAATCAAGCGAGAACAAGGGAACAGGAAACAAGGTGCTGGCCAGAGCAGTGTATTCCAATTAGCTCAGGGCCGTTTCTTTATGTGCTCGGCTGACAGCAGCTTTGTATTCTAAGACAAACGGCAACATTTCCCATTCATCTCTTTTGACAATACCTTAGACCAACGGCAGATTCATCAGAAGACAAGCATGCACAATAAGCTAGCTTCCTAGTGTCAAATAGACACCTCGACCAGGTGGATACAGTACATCACTGGTGGCTGAACTATCGTGTCCGGGGAGCTCCAGTTTGGAATAGGAGATGGACCCGATGTACACAGCCTGAGTGGACATGTAGCTAGTAGAGATCAGATCCAAATCTTGTACTCCATAGATATCTGGCTAGGGTCTCCCCTAGTCCACTAGAGCAGTCACTAGCTTTCAGCCGTCCGTACCGCGACGACGCTGGGACCCGTCAAGCCAACAAAGGCCAGCCAAGCGTCGCCAGCAAAGAGAAAAAGGGCTTCCCGAGCTCCACCGAACTCCCGTCAAGCACGGACAGCATCACGGACCACATCCCCCAGAAACTAAACCCCCTCCCATATCCATGTACCCAGTCTCTGTCGACGAATCGCAGAATAATTATGCTCTCAATCGATCTCCTGCTACGGCAGATTTGCATCGATAAATGACGGTCTCACTGTGAGACGGGGATTACAGGCCAAGCACGTTTTTGACTGAAGCTCTCTAGCGCAAAAGAGCCTCAACCCTCTTCCTTCACCCTCCAACTCTCTTCAACTCTTCGTTTCATCCTCTTCTCCCCTAATCCACCCTCCACCACCACATCTTCCATCGCAACGCACCGAGGTCGAGTTTGTCGCGAGAGAGTTGCTTCCTCGTGCACCGCCCTGCTTTTACGACTCACGACTTATTTCCGGCCCCCTCCCCCCCTGCTCGGCCTCCCCCTCTTCTCTCCCGTCGCACCTCGACCTGGTACCTGTTTCGTATGACGCCCAGGACGATTTCCTCGCCAACCCATCCACTAATCGTCCTAACACACAATCACTCACCTATCAGAGGATGTTCTAGAGGCCACAGCCCTACTGTCACGACGCCCGATACATACATACGTACCCCCGTACCTGCGCCCGCACCGTCGTCTCAGCTTTTCAAGCGCGCCCTGCTCTCAGCATCCACACCTCAACGCCCCCGCCCGTCGATGAGATTAAACACATCGCAAAACCCTGCCTCTTGATATATCCGATCAAATCACGAAATTCTCCCGCGCTCACGATATTCCAAGCTTGACGATTTGTCTTTATATCCCCCGGCTTCGAGCTCCGCCCCCGTGGCGCAAGCATTCGCGACCGCAAACCGTCACCACATATCGCCAGCTCCCCATCCTCCCCTTTTTGGCCCGGCGCTTCCGATACAAGCACCACGCCTATTAATGGTGGCCTGCACTGAGAATTCACGATATTTGGAAACGCAGCTGGCGGTGACTTGATTAAGCTCCCGACGGAGAGATTCGGCCACCTCTAGGACCAGTCATGCCCGTGCGGGAGCAAGAGCAACCCGACCGGCAGGGTTCAGAGAGCTCGACCAGCAGCTGGAAGTCACAGGATACCGTCCGGAATAATGATACTTTGCGCCCGGACCAGAATAAGCCATCATCTAACAGTCGCAATACCGACCAGTTTCCAGGAAGTTTGAATACGGACAAGTAAGGGTCCCCGCCTCTCTCTCTCTTTCTCCTCTCATCCCCGAGCTGTCGCAGAATGACATGCTCCTCTTTTGCCCACCGTGCCACGACAATGGACAATATAATAATTACAGGTGCTGAGTCAATTTTCATTGCAGATCTGGGCCATCCAAAGCTCACGGAATGGACTGGGGTTGGACATGGAGCTCCCCAGACATTTCCCCCACCGAGGAACGAAAGGGTTCTGGGTTCAGTAACCATCGCAAGGCTCTGGCAGTCCTTGGAGCTGGTGATGATCCCGCCCGGTCGTTTTCCGCCACACCGCAACCCCCTCCCATCAACCCCCCACGCACCGGTGCCGAAGAACTCGACTCGATTGCACCGTGGGTCACGACAGCCAACTCCGAAGGGCCGGGCACGTTTTTCAACTCCGCCTCCGAGTATGAAGCTTCACCTGCGTCGGCCACGTTTCGCCCGACTACCGGGCGGACGTTCGCCAGTGAACCTGCCGATTTGGATTGGAATGGGCACCGTCGCAGGCCGTCTGCTACGAGCATGACGAGTAGCACAGGCTCAAAGTCAAGCACCGGTGCGAAGCTGTGGAAGAAGAGATCCAGGGCTTCGGCTAGTGATGAATGGCCTGTGCCAGATGAGCCCGATGAGGATGGCCACTATAACACGTCCAGTAGGCGGGGCGGGCCAATTGACAAGGTCAAAGCTCGAGAGAGAGCCAACTCGGATGGTTCAGAAGCATCGCACCGGCCATCGCGAGCTCGAGCAGGAACCCCGGCCCCTTCGAGTGAGATCACGCCGTGGTTGTATCAAAACGTTCATGATATATCACAATATGGCGAAGCTCCCGTACGACAAGTGCCCATCGGTCCTGATGGTCAGCGTCTCGCCTCTGCCGGCGGTCTTCCCCGTGGTTCTTCCAGAGATACGAGTCGACGCACGGCTAATGGACATCGCCATTCTCGCAGCAAGGAGGAAAAGCCAACACTTGCCGGTGACCTGGCTGGATATCAGTCTCGGCCCTCAGGCGGGCGGGATGACTTCTCTGTCGGCCTGAAGCCCTTTGGTGACCATTACCTCAATTCCTCTAGTGCTATGAGCTCGCAGACCACCCTGGGTGGACGGCCGACCAGCCCGACTCCCAGTGTGCAAAGTGCTGTCTATCGTGATCATGGTCAGAGTTCTCCCGGGGCGCCACATGATAAGCGAGGGCTCTTGACTCGAGTCCGACACCTATTGCCGGGCTCGCACAAGCCGCATGAAAAATCGAAACACGATCATACACTGCGCCGGCAGACAAGTTTCGAAGGAAGTTCTACTCGCCTAGATTCGGGAGACTCGGACCGAAAGAGAGAGCCCGTGAAGCGCAAGCTTAAAGGGCGATTCCCTATCGGTGGAGATCCCCACACCTACAGGGAGAATGCATCTCAAGACGAAGAAGGCTCACATGTCTTCAAGCTCGATACCAATTTAAAGGATCTGGACGATATTGTTCGCGCAGCTTCTCCCAGTCAGATCAAACGCATTACTGATGGCACAACAACGCCACGGGAAGACCCTGCCAAGCTTGAACAAGGAGGCGGTCTCGATACCTGGTCTGCTCCTGAAAGTTGGGCTGTCAAGAAGGAAAAGGACCCCGTCGTGGAAGCTGCCCCACAACCCACGAGCGCTGCCTATTTCATCCGCGTCTTCCGTATCGACTCGACATTTGCAACGCTCTCGGCCGGTGTCAACGCGACTGTTGCCGAGATCCTATACATGCTTGGGCGCAAGTCTTTCTTACAGGATCATCTCAACAACTATGAGATCGTGCTACGAAAGAATGACCTCTCTCGACAGCTCGATCATAGCGAACGGCCAATCCTCATGCAAAAACAACTCCTGGAACAAGTTGGATACACGGAGAAGGATCGTATAGAGGACATTGGCCGGGAGGACCATAGCTATCTCTGTCGCTTCATCTTCTTGCCTACAAAACTCAGCGGGTACACGAGTCTTGAAGGTGATCCTGGCTTTAGCAAGATGTCAAAGTTTAGCCACGTTGATCTTCAGGGCCGAAGCTTGGTTACTATCCCTATTACCCTTTACAAGAAGTCATCTGAGATCATCTCGTTGAATTTGTCCAGGAATTTGTCCCTTGATGTGCCGAAGGACTTCATTCAGAGCTGTATCAACTTGCGGGAAATCAAGTTTATTGGCAACGAGGCTAAACTACTTCCATCGAGTTTCAGCCTGGCCAGTCGCTTAACCTACCTGGATATCTCCAACAACTTCCTGGAAGAGCTGGAACACGCACAGCTTGATCGACTGGTTGGTCTTGTCAGCATCAAGATGGCGAATAACCAGTTCACCAAACTACCCAGCTACTTTGGAAATTTCCAGTATCTCCGAAGCTTGAATATGTCTTCGAACAGCTTCAAGGTGTTTCCGGAATTCCTTTGCAAGCTGCGGAGCCTGGTGGACCTCGATATTAGCTTCAACAGTATCGAGGAAATACCCAATATCGGTCAATTGATTACGCTTGAGCGTCTTTGGATGACGAACAATAGTATCAGCGGGTCTCTTGATGAGTCTTTCCGGGAATTGGTCAACCTGAAGGAGATTGATGGTCGGTTTAATGCGATCACCAACATTGACAGTTTGTCCCGATTGCCTCGGTTGGAGCAAGTGTTCTTCGGTCACAATCTGATCTCCCGGTTCCGTGGGGCATTCCCCAAGCTGCGCAGTTTGCATATGGATCACTGCCCACTAACCCAGTTTGATATCGACGCTCCTATGCCGACTTTGAGCTCTCTTAACCTTGCATCTGCCAAGCTCTCAGGGTTCCGTGATGCCATGTTTGAGAATTTGCCGAATGTGTCCAAACTCATCCTCGACAAAAATCATCTGTCATCAATCTCGGCACAAATTGGCAAGCTCCGACGCCTGGAACATTTTAGTATCATCAAGAATCCACTTGGTTCTTTGCCTGCCAGCATCGGTTGCATGACTGAGCTGAAGGAGCTGAACGCACGAGAGTGTAACCTCAAGTTCTTGCCAGATGAGATTTGGCACTGTGCCAAGCTGGAGACTCTCAATGTCTCTACAAATCTTTTGACTACCTTCCCCAAACATGGGGCTCCTCCGCCCATTGTTCCTGGGGAGCCAACCACGACTCCTCTGGCAACCCCCGCGCTGGTCGGAAATCCCAGCTACGAGGAACTGGGTCCCTTGGATGAAATTAGCTCCCGCCGACCTAGTCAAACCTCTAGTGGCGCTGTGGGCTCTGGGTCATCTCCGAGCGGCTCATACCGACACCCGTCGGCCACGCCTTCTATTGGACAAACAGGTCCAAGGAAGGTTTCCACTGCATCACGGACCGCCACCGATGCAAGCTCCGGATCTCGCAAGGATTCGAATTTCTCGCAGCATGCGGCGGCTATCACTTTTGCCGGGTCTCTTCGTAACCTGTATCTTGCTGATAATCAGTTGGATGACGATATTTTCCGCGAGCTGTCCCGTCTTCCTGAGCTTCGTATTGTCAACCTGTCTTACAACGAGTTGACAGAGCTACCACAGGGTGTCCTCAAGCGATGGCCTCTGATTTCAGAACTCTATTTGTCCGGGAACGAGCTCACATCGCTCCCATCTGATGACTTGGAAGAGGGCAGCAATCTCAAAGTTCTCCATATCAATGGCAACCGATTCCAGGTTTTGCCTGCGGAGCTGTGCAAGGTCAGCAAACTATCCGTCCTCGATGCAGGTAGCAATGCCCTGAAATACAATGTTTCCAACTGGCCCTATGATTGGAACTGGAATTGGAATCGAAGTTTGAGGTACCTCAACTTCTCTGGCAATAAGCGTCTCGAGATCAAACCCAACATTGGCACGATTGGCCAGTCGACTGGAAGTGGTGCCGATCTAACTGACTTCACTTCTCTCACCCATCTTCGAGTTTTGGGCTTAATGGATGTCACCTTGACCATCCCTACTATCCCTGATGAGAATGAGGATCGCCGTGTGAGAACCTCAGCCTCTCTGGCTGGCTCGCTTGCCTACGGAATGGCAGACTCGCTGGGCCGGACCGAGCATCTTTCTATCATCGATATGATTGTCCCCCGGTTGAAACCCGATAACGTCGAGACATTGGTGGGGATGTTTGACGGTTCAACCATGTCCAGTGGTGGCTCGCGTGTTGCAAAATATCTCCACGAGCACTTCACACCGACCTTCTCCCGCGAGCTTAAGAAGCTCCAGCAAGATCGAGGAGAAACCCCACTTGATGCCCTGCGGCGTGCATTCTTAGCCCTGAATAAGAACATGGCTGGGCATGCGTACCGGTCTATCGATGACCGTGAGCTAAGACAGTATCACCGTGGCTCAATTGCCTCGAAACAGCTCTGTCAGGACGATATCCAAGCTGGCGGAGTTGCTACCGTGCTGTACTTGAATAATATGGAACTGTATGCGGCCAATGTCGGCGATGCACAAGCGATCCTAGTCAAGCAAGACGGTTCGTCGCGCCAATTGACTCGAGTTCACGATCCCGCGGAATCTAGTGAGCGGGCACGCATTCGCGCTGCTGGCGGATTCGTGTCTCGTAATGGCAAGCTCAATGATGTGCTCACGGTTTCAAGATGTTTTGGCCATTTCCCCATGATGCCTGCTGTTATTGCTGCTCCCGCCACCTTGCATACTACCTTGACTGAGCAAGATGAGATGATCATCCTGGGTTCCAAGGAGCTGTGGGATTATATCACCCCCCAGCTGGTGGTCGACGTTGCTAGGGACGTGTATCCGAACCTTATGCTCGCAGCTCAAAAGCTCCGTGATTTGGCTATTGCCTTCGGGGCAACGAACAAGCTGATGGTGATGATCCTAGGAGTCAGTGAACTCCAACGCAGGCAGAAGAAGTGGTCACGTCCCAGTATGCACCTAGAACGATCTGCGTTCGCGGATGATGGTATCGTTCCCTCGACCAAGATTCGTCGCAGGCCTCGTGATATGCCAGCCGACACTCGTCTCGCGCGCTTCGATTATGTTGACGCTCCGACCGGTGAGTTGGCTATCATATTCACTGATATCAAAAAGTCGACTGGTTTGTGGGAGACTTGCCCGGATGCTATGCGCTCGGCCATTTCCATTCACAATGACATTCTCCGGCGACAACTCGGAATCATTGGTGGTTACGAGGTGAAGACGGAAGGTGACGCTTTCATGGTGGCCTTTTCCACCACTACTGCTGCCTTGCTGTGGTGTTTCAACTGCCAGAACAGTCTTTTGGAAGCTGAATGGCCTACGGAAATCCTGGATCAGCCACAGTGTGAGGTTACTACTGACATGGAAGGAAACATCATCTCCCGCGGCCTGTCCGTTCGCATGGGTGGCCATTGGGGCGAGCCCGTCTGCGAGAAGGACCCCGTCACCAACCGTATGGATTACTTTGGGCCTATGGTGAACCGAGCCTCTCGTATCTCCGCCGTTGCCGACGGAGGCCAGATCTTCGTCTCGTCGGACTTCATGAGTGATATCCAGCGTAATCTTGAGATCTTTGCGGATGCCGAACGCTCCGCGTCGACTAGCTCGACTGACAGTCATCCACGAGTTGATAGCCTTGGGCACAACATCCGTCGCGAGCTGAACCAGTTGAACAGTCAGGGCTTCGTGATCAAGGACCAGGGCGAGCGGAAATTGAAGGGACTGGAGAACCCAGAACCTCTTTACCTTGTCTATCCCCATTCGCTCGCTGGCCGCTTGACAAGCCTGGAGGAGGCTCAACAGCAGATTGAAAGCCAGCCAGCGACAATAGAAAAGGCGTCCAAGTTAAATTTGAACACTGACGATATCTGGCGTCTGTGGGAAGTCACTCTTCGCCTAGAGCGGATTTGCGGCGCTCTGGAGGATCCTACGGGTGCTGGGCTGAGGGAGCCTAATGTCGCTTTGTTCAACACGGTCAAGAACCACGGTGGTGAGCTGAATGATTCCACTGTGCTTAGCTTGATCGACCAGCAAGTCACTCGTATCGAGGTAAGATTCCCCTCTTCTGAGCTTCTTCTTTTCGTTTAGCAACTGACTCATCTCCCAGGCCACCATCAACACTCTCTCGGTCCGCAACATGATGCGCCCCTTCAAGCCTGGCGATAAAATTGAAGACCACGCCGCCCCCATCGGCGAAATCTTCCAACAACTAGCAACCCAACTCGCCGAGTATCGCGCACTCAAAGAGCAAATGGCCGTTGGGGTTGCTGGCATCCCCGGCGGACCACCCGCTCCCAATTACAGCGGCATCACCCTGCACTCAAACCTCAGTGCAGACAGTAACGCCACCTCCGCCTCATCCTCCTTCCTCCATCTGGACAATCCCCGGTGCTTCGATACTCGCAATAACCAATGATCTGGATCTGGGCCTGGTGCACATATCTTCTCCACATACATAACATCCACTATATACCTTGATCACCTACTGGATCGTTTTAATTACGCCTTTTTTTCCACACCTTCTCGCCCCTTTTTCGTGGCCTTATCCCTCGTTCCTTCGCTTTTAAACTTCTCATGTCTTGTGGGCGGCGTCTCACTTGGCGGGAAGGCCTCAGATTGTTTCTTCTTTCTTTGCTCTTTTTCTCCTCTTTGTATGGCATTTAGGGACATGGAGCTAGGGTGGATATTGATTTTGATTTAGTTCGGATTTGCTTGTATTCCGGCCTCTAGGTATGTTCCAAGCTCTTGGCGTGTATTTGGAGCAGGGTTTAAATATATACATCCAATCTTCTTTGGCTTTGATTATCGTCAGGCTTCCTTTTATATATATCGTAGGATGGAGAGAGACGATAGACCAGATTGACCTCCTGATATCACTTACCATGCCTTGCGATGGCAGAAAAGTGAAAGATAGCGCTTGACAATTGGAAGTTGAAAAAGTTGGGTCAATTGTCAAAGACTTATTCTTCCTTTTCATGTCTCTGGCTTTGGCTGCCATTGAACTTACCGGATACGGAAGGCGACGGGTGACGAAGGAATCACGTGTCAGCTTTGTTTGTGGCCTGCGTCATCGTGCGACTCTCTTCGCCGGTTTAGTTTCCTTTCCTCCAACTTTCCTCTGTTCATTTCTTGGCTATAGCATCACACCCATTTCACTTTGTTCCTCTTTTATCAACATTTATGTCATCGGATTCCATCAGGTCCTCTACAGTAGTCAGTTAGGGCTCCTACGTCGTTCAGCACCGGCCCCGCCTGTTGCCCTGGCTACGAACCCGACCTATCGTCTTGGGCTTAATGAACAAGTGGACAAACATCCACATCATTTTTCCTCTGCTCACAACCCCAGACCAACTTGCCAGAAAAGGAGCGATCGGTGGATTTCCTTATCCGTGTCTTGGAATCCTGACTGGACCCCGTCGCGCCGTGTCACAGTCCTTGCATCCTTGTCTCTCACCTGTGGTGACCGCACCTGTCCAAGATTGCGTGCGTTGGTGACCAGTTACCAACTTGACAGACTAGCCATCTATTCTCGTCGTCGCGACTTATCACCTTTCACATCACACACCATGTCGGACGAACTTGATTATTTACAGCCAGATTTCGATCTGAACACCCTCACTGTGCCCCGTTTACGCTCTATCCTTGTCAGTCACGACGTGTCCTATCCAGCCTCAGCGAAAAAGGCGCAGTTGGTCCGCATCCTGGAAGATGAGGTGCTCCCCCAGGCGAGGAAACTTCTGCGCGACCGTGAGAGGGTCAGGAGAACGAGTGCAGGCATTACAGATATGAGTCGAGAAAACTCTGTCACTGGCGACGAAGACGAGCGCGATTCGATGCACCCACCCCCTACCCCATCGACAACCGGGACCAGGCAAGGTCCTTCACGACGAAGCGTCCGCGGATCGACTGTGGAAACGGATGGAGGCTATGCTCCGGCTACGCCTGCGACGACGAAGCGAAAGTCCGCTGCACGATCAGTGGGCAAGCACCCTCGTGCTTCAGATACAGAAACCGGTGATGACACGATGGCGACCCCGGTCCCTGCGGTCGGTGCTTCGCCTCGCAAGTCTACCGCGCGGAAGCTTCGACGGAGCTCCGTTCTGCCTTCGACCGAGGTAGATGAATACACACCTTCTGTCAAGTCCGAGCCTAGGGAAGATAGTGTCTTCACGGATGAGAACCCCTTCCAAAGTGGTAGTCCTTCAGAGGTTATGAGCACCCGGCGAACTCCTAGTCATGATGGAAAGCGGAAGAGTGGTGGGCGGCTATCTTCGGAGAGCCCTGCTATTAGAAATAGCTTGCGATCCCGCAAGTCAGTTACACCTTCTGCCATCAAGCAAGAAGATGGCTATTATGCTCCTTCAAGAGAGTCTTTCGACTTTGCATCGCGTCTCAGACCTACGAAGGAGGAGCCCGAGGAGGAATCTGAAGAGGAGGAGTCGGAGGATGAGAGTGAGAGTGAGATCATTGCCGGCGAAGAGTTTACCCCAGAGGAGCAACTAGCCCTAGAGAGTGAGCAGTATGCACCCCTGATCCAGGCTCGGAAACGGCCGAAGAAGCAGAGCTCGATTAGTATCATGGCATCATGGATTGTCATTCTCTCCGTGCTGGGTAGCTTCGGTGCCTGGTGGCGCAAAGAGAAGATCGAGATCGGTTACTGCGGTCTTGGTAAGCCCACCTGGTCTTTGGCAGAAACCAATGTGCCAGAATGGGCTAATGCCATTGAACCTCGCTGCGAGCCCTGCCCGCCTCATGCGTTCTGCTATCCCGATTTTGAAGCTCGTTGTGAGCACGACTTCATCCTCAAGCCTCATCCTCTTTCTCTGGGTGGTCTTGTGCCTCTTCCGCCGACTTGTGAACCGGATAGCGAAAAGGCGCGTCGTGTCAAGGCTGTTGCAGACAAGGCCGTTGAAGAGCTTCGCGAGCGGAGGGCCAAGTACGAATGTGGCGAGTTGAATGAGGATGGCAAGCCTACTTCTCCCGAGATCCCAGAGCCGAAGTTGAAGGAAGAAGTCGCGAAGAAGCGGCGCAAGGGTCTCACCGAGTCTGAGTTTGATGACCTCTGGAGAGGCGCTCTTGGCGAAATTATCGAGAAGGACGAAGTTGTGAGCAACTCCAAGCAGTAAGTTTTACCCGCTTCCTTAAGGATGACTCTCCAGTCTTTCCATTGGCAGCTACCGTTCCGGATTTTCTATATCTCGTGGCCGTTTTCTTTTTAAAAGGTCTTAGTTCTGACATTGTGTACCGGAACTGACAGCGGCGCCCTTGCTATCACAGACCTTCCGCCGTCCTCATCCTCAGCTCAACATCAACTGCCCGACTCCCACTCAGTTGCGCCGCCCGCCGTTACGTCCGATTGGCTCTCCTCGCGTATCGACTCCCTCTTTCACTTCTAGTCTTGACAGCCTGCGCTCTGGGTTACGCCCGCGCTCGGGTCCGCGCCCGTCGCTCTGATATGGCCCGCGTGCCGGAGTTGGTCGCAACCACACTTGACCGCCTTGCGACGCAGGCTGCGCTGCATGCCCGTGGCGGTGCGATAGAGCCTTATATTCCAATTGGCCAGCTCCGCGACGACGTTTTGCGCTCCGAGTTGCACGGAAAGCGCCGCGAAGCACTGTGGCACCGTGTCCGGCGCGTTGTGGAAGGCAACGCTAATGTGCGTGCTGCCGTTCGCGAGGGACGTAGCGGCGATGTCGCCCGCTGCTGGGAGTGGATCGGCGGCATTGGCGGTGTCAACACCCCTGCTGGCGGCAGCGTGCTTGACAACAGTGCCCGCCGTGACAGTGCACGCTTTTCCCTGCCATCGCCCTCTGGCAACGTGGGAGTGGATCATCATGAGATGGTTTCCGAGAGCAAGGGTGATCCTGCGACCAGCCCTAGACAATCCCGCCGATGGGACGAAGGCCGACCAATCTATTAATTTGACGGGTCCGTTTTCGCTGTCATATTGATATTGGGCAGCTTTGCATGACCTTGGCCATTGTTTTGATATCCCAAAACTTCGGCTGGCTTCCATGCGAGACGGCTATCTTTTCCCGCTCGTGAGCTTTACCCCCGTTACGTCCAGTGGTCTTTCTTCGAGCTCCTTTCACGTACATATTTTTCTACCTTTTGCTGTTTATTCTAGTCTTCTTTATGCTACCATGTTCAATACCCATCACTCTCTTGAGATTTCTTTCAGTCTTTTCTCTCCACTTACCTAACTTTGTACCGCCTAATACCCGCGTCCTCTCGTGGGGTCCTCCTGTGGCGCAATGCCTTCAGTAGCTAGAACGTACATGCGTCGACAAGGCCGATCATTTCCTCAATGGATCGCTCCATTTCCAGCTCACGCAGAGATCCTTCCTTCTCGATCTCAAGCATTGTGGCGCTCATCGTATCCCGTGATCTAAGTAGGTTTTGTCAAGCTGTGTCGTACTATCCTTGATGAGCCCTGTTTCTTACTCGAGATTAACAAGGTAGCCCTGGCCAACTGCTCCTACGATGTCAATCGTGGCTGACGCCCTCAATGTCCAAGCCTGGATTCTTTAAAACAAGGTATATCCCTAGTCCTGCGCGTTGCTGTCACCGTACATTCCCATCCCAATATATTCTTGTTTTGCGTCAAAAACATATATATTTCTCGGTTGCTCATGCTCATTCGAATTGCACTCGTACATCCATAGGGCTCAATAAGAGAGTCCTTTCCCGAAGAATTGACCATGCACGTAATGCTCGCGCTGGGCCGAGATGCGTGAGGTCTGCGGTATGGGCCACGTCCTAGGTGGTAAGCACCTAACCATAGCACTACAGGTATCCCTGTCCTTACATGTCCAGGAAATAGATTTCTGTCGGTTTGTCTATTTTGGGAAAAAGAGGGTGGGAGGGGTGGTTCTCAGGTGGTTTTGAAGAATTAAGTGTGCATGAGTGTGCATGAGCAGGGATACCAACGTACCCCTATCAGATCTTAGAGGTTTGATGGTGGCAGAGGGGTTAAATAATTTGAAATTGGAGATGTATACGAAATCCAGTGGTAGTCATTCCATTGCTTTAGCTTTCTTTACGGAAGGAGTTTGGGTACTATCTTCAAGAAAACTCGAGCTATATATACCCATTTATCCAACTAGCCTTTACTGAACAAGCACTTACGCTAATTGTTTCCAACCGAATAGCTGGAAATGCTTTCAGATTTGTCTCGTTGGGTTCTCCTGAAGTGCCGTCCGGCTTACACCACAGAGTGTGACTTGTGGAAATTCCAAATCCTGATCTTGAGTCAGTGCAGTCTGTGTATCGAAGTCTATCCGACTGCCTAGCGATGTTGGGGCGTAAAGTGGCGCAGTGCTTACTTCTCTTCGTTGTACCGTTTGATCAGCCCAGGAATTGTACCTGAGCTTGAATTAGGGCTAACGCCAAGACTAGACGTGTAGGCATTTTGCAAATAAATCGACCTGTAGTGTCACCCGCTGTGACTGCGGTGGGAGAGCGCCTCCTCAATTGTTCTCAGACTGCATTTGTACGCCCCGCAATAAATAGAGTAGGGCATGTGCGGGCATGTGCAGGCACGTCATTCTGAACCCCAATACAGTATGTTGACAACATAGCCAAGCGCATTGAGTCGGGCCAATGATAAGCCGAACCGACCGACAAGCATGATCGATACTCGCTGACTTGGTATAATAAGGTTAGCGCCTGCTAGTTCTACGTGAGAGGCGACTTTAGTTGTATTTTATTACATACAGGTCACAGAAATACGACTCGGCTAAGCGACTTCTGTTCTCTTAGTTAGTGGACCTTCATTTTGACCGCTTCTTGCGCCTCAAGCAGCTTGCACATATCGTCAGCGAGGCGTATCCTATCAACGGCCACTATCGGAAAAGTGCGTGGGTATGAGGGGAAAGGAGGTGGTGTGGTTTGGCGCAACCAAATACGCCCCGCTCTTGTGTATCTCTCGCTTCCTGTCCACTGCATGCAAGTACATTGTATAGGAAAATGGGGAACGGGTTTGACGAAGGTTGTTTTTACTGGAGGACTTGGTGATACTCAACGGGGGCGGTTTCGAATACGTGGCGGCGTGTTGGCGGGTCGAGTAAGTCAATCTGGTAATGAGTGGCGTACAGTAGAGAACAGTACTTTGAGGATATATGCAAAGAGATACACTAATAGGAGGGGAGGCCCGTACTGATCTTGAAGCAGTAGATCACTTTAGTAACCTATAACGTATCAGCGTGTGTGTCCTTGGTTTACGCTGAAAGATTGACAATTTCAGTCTTCCCATAACAGTCGAGTATGATCGTGGAAATGGTGCAACACACCTGGCTTAACTAACAAGGTATCATCTGCCAGATAAGCCCTAGCATGAAAAGCAAGGGCTATAGCCTTACATACCATCGATCTTCTAAGCAGTTTCAAGACGAGCCCGATGTCCGGGCTGTCCCAATTTCGCGTCGATGTTGCAAGTGTAGTAAACGCCGCAGGGGCCGAACTGGAGTCTACATAGCGTCAACTCGCAACCCGGTACACGGGTCGGGTTGCATTAACCTAGAATAGTCAAGTTTCAAGGCGTTGTACCAGAGAAGCCGGGGTCGGTGCGCAAGGAGCAATCCATATGAAATTTAGCAGTAGAATCTGCTTGGCATGTTCAAGCAAATCATCGCGTGCAAGGAGTATTTCTCCCGCGACCAGCGAGAAGAAAATGCCAACCCTGCATGCGACGAACCGAAGAGCGCTAATGTTCGTGCTTGGATTGGAGAAATGGTTGACCGAATGCTTCTCAACAGTCTTTCTTGCAAGGACCTTGTGTAGGTGACGAGTATGCGTGGTGCTCAATATTTTCTAGGGTTATGGTATGGCTGCGCCGATCTCTCTTGCATATCATGCAATTACCCAACGAGCCCATGCCGCTGCAGTGAGCGAGTCAAGTAGTAGAGGCCGTTAACTAATGATAACTTGTACTGTGTCCACCATGTGTGGACCATGACCCCGTTCGCATGCAATTTGAGTTGAGAATGAGAGAAAAACGACGGAGTCTTTCGCCGGGGCCATTCACAGCTAAGGGCGGGCGGCTCCACATGTGCAAGCCGTTACGTTGCGGCGGTGCCTTTGAGAGCTAGCTGTCTATTTATCAAGGTTGGCATTCTTGCATGATTCAGTCTTCAACTACCGTAATGGTCAATTGGTCAAGAGGGTTATCTTCCATGGTAGGCATTATGTCCTATCAAAGCAAAGTCTAACGAGGGTGTATGGACAGTGTCGAGAACCTCGAGTCTGTGCTGGTACCTATAGCGATTGCTAATGGTTTGATAGCACTTCTAAATAGGAGTAGACGGCACTGAGCGCAGAGTAGTTATATCAAGTTCAAGAGCTGGCATGTATAACGTGATCATGGCCAGCACTGGTTTCAAGCATCTTCACAGCGAAAAAGATTCCGTCCGCTGTGGTGTTCGGCGTTGAGGCTAAGCCGCCACTGTATAGGGACTTATCGCTTGGCCGACCCAAGGGATTCAAAGAGGAGCCTGTCACCGTAACAGCGCCACGCGCGGGAAACTCCGGTGTCAAGGCAAATTCTGGGCTGATAGCCAAGGAACACGCCATTCTTTCAGGCCCAAGGGACCCGCGATCCAGCGAGTAATGCCACTACATACATACAGTAAATTAGCCTCATAGTGTTAAAGATGAATCAATCTCTGTATCACAGTCTCGGCATTTCAATGTTTCCCCCAGTTCCAAGAGGTTGTGTGTACTGTGTTATCGGTCCGACAAGCCAACGGAACATTCCACTAGTGGTGGCGAACCTCTCCAGCCCCCTCTCCTCGGCATTCGCACGTCATTTGTCAGATTGGGTCGGCAGCAGTTTCCAGCCAACTAACAGTGATCAACAGAGGCTGTCACACCTCGCAATTCGACACAGACACGCTTTCTAGCGCCTTTGGCATCACTTTTACTATCATAAAGGATTCCTTAAGCTAAAGCTGGTCTCAGCTTCTGAGACCACGTTCAGGCATGACCACTTCTTGGCTTATTCCATCCACGTCTTGCTGTGAAGTGGAACAGCCACAGTGGGGTCGGACGCATTTACTTGGTGGAGCTTTTTCTTGTTGTCTGCAGCCTGACGCAGTGGCGACCACAATTTGGGGCCAAATCACAACTACTGTAAGCGTTGGTCCCAACAAAGCGACGAACTCAAGTATGATTATCTTCCGGTGCCTTGCGCGGGGCAGATGATTTTCGTCACGACGACCCTCTAGATGACGGCTATACCCACTTGGGTAGTCGGTACATGCTGTTGGCGATTTCAAATTCTCTAACATAATGCAACAGTACATGTCACTAAAAGGAATTTGAAGATCATTAGCAGAGTATAAAATTCTTGTAAGCTTTGGTGTGAAGCCTCATGTGTGGGAGTATGCTGTACTAGGTGATTGATTCGAATAAAGATGCTCTAGACTGGTTGCGTATCAGATCGAGCCAAGTCGAGAGTGGTATTTCGTAGAGTTAATTATGCCACTATAGTTGGCCAGCTCTCAAATCGCAGCAAAAGATAGAATGGGTAGCAACAGTGAGAGAAATCAAGTCGATACTGTACAAAATACCTGACATACAACACCCGCCGATAAGTAACCCTGGAACCAGCTATCGAGATCAGCCAATAATCGGCGTCAGAAGTATTTGGTCTCCCTCGATCGATCGTGCCTCTTCCACAAGAGAAAAAGAAGGGCAAGAGGAAAACTGAACCCGATGACGCCGCAAAGACTGTGGCTGCAATCCTGAACCTATCAATCTTGCCGGAAAAGTGTTCCCTAAAAATCGCCCAATCTACACGTCCACATACTTGATACCCACACCGTCGGTCGCCCTAGGTATCGGCAATTCGCAAAGTTCGTGCGCGCGACTCAAGAGAGGGGGAAATAACTTATCGGTCTATCGGCACATGTCCCAAATGAGCTCCTCCATGGGTACTTCGTACACTATCTGCGATCAAGTGGAACGGTGCGATTTGAAGCCGTAGTGACGGGAAACATGGTCATGGTACAATTTCCATCCCCTTCCTTCACGAGCTCGGTCAGCCAATGAATTTTTGAAGCCTATTCCGTATACAGTAGTCTGTCAGTGAACCGAGGGACCGGTAGACTAGTTAACAAAGGCTCCGGGGAAACACCACCAATGTAGTATAGAGCGCGGGTAGGGTCTGTGGATGCTGCGGCGCCCGTGTTACTGCAGAATTCGATTCGCTTGAAATCTACCGTCGAGTCGTTGACAGGACATGACGATCCTTGCACCTGTGCGCTTCCACCTCAATGTTGTCCCCATCGGGGCTTAGACATTGGGTTGATCGGGTTTTAGTTTGTTGAGACATTTTCATCTTGCATCTATACGGATACACAACGCCATAAGCATCACCTTGCTCTCTTCCAATAATGTGGCCGTCTCATCCCTTTTTACTCTTTTCCCAATTAGATATACGGTTAATGCAGAGCTGCATGACACTTTTCCGTAGGTCAGTTCGAGAGAACTTTAAGTTTGAGGTAATGATCGGTATGGTGTGGCGTCTCTCCAAAAAAAAAGAAATACCAGATACCCTGTCGTTTAAGTATACCTGTCAACGACTAGACTGGGGCAGATGGTTCATGTTCCTGGGCGCTAGTTTTCCGACGGCGCGGTCATCAGCACCACGGTCAATTGACCTTCGACTGGGGTCTTTGGGCCTTCTGGGTCTTGTTTTGTCTTTCTGTTGATTTCCACTGGATATTCCTAGTGGAATTTCATCGTCGTTACGCATCATTGTAATACTCTGGGCGGGATGAGTCCATCCATTGCCTATGTAAGTTACCAGCCTCTAACCTACGGCGTATTATTATTATGCTTTCCCCATCTTCCTTAATCCATTGATTGGCATTATTATCTGAGGTAATAGGCGGTCTTAGTATTACAATTCGCCCGTTCTCCTGTTGGGGCGAGGGGAAATGTCAGCTCCTAAGCAGCTCCACTTTGTCTTCCGCCACATACGCAGTTTCTCGATCTTCTCTCTTTCCTTGTCGTTGCCCACATATTTTTTGGCCTTTTTCCCCCCTTCCCCCTCCCTTTCATAATTTTCCCTCCACTTTTTCCTTTTTGGCTGTCAACTGGGGCTGCTCCATATGCAACGCGGCATAGGAGGTTATGTGTGTGCAGAAAAATAACACTACTTAACGGCACAGGCTTCAAGTGGAAAGCCATCAGCCACCCCGAATCTATTTTTTGCGGAGGGAATTTCTTCACGTTGATTTCTTTTCCATTTTTTCTCTCTTTCTCGTTTATCTCTAAACCTTCTATTATACCTCTCCTTTCGACCGCTCTCGAACGGGCCGATTACTTTATATCGTTCCACGTGTGGGATAAACTAACTGTATGTTGCGCTTGCCTAACTGAGTCTTGTCTCTTGCAACCGGACTCCTGGATCGTTTTATCTACTCTTATTCCTATTCTTCCTTAATTTTCCTTATCGGTCACCCTTCTTTTTCCCTTTTTTTTTTTTTTTTCTTTTTTAATTTTCCTTTTAGCTGTTACACCACCGTCTCTTCCACTTCTTGGTACTTCCTCCTCTTTCTTCCTCCCCTCCTTCTCGATCGTGCCTTTCCCACCTCCCTCCCTACCCGCTGTTCAGTGCAATGGGAGACGTAGGCCGGGCTTTTAGGCCGATTGCCCCCCGGACTATGCCTTCCGGCGGCGGGGTAGGAGGCCAACCACCCCTTGGTAGCAGCGGCGGAGGCCCCTCGGAGGACGGCCGGATGAAAAGAGCTTCGACTGCTTGTAAAGAGTGCCAGAAACGTCGAACAAGGGTAATTCACCACCACAATCCAGTTCAATCCACCTTATCTCTTCTCTATTCGGGTTCATTGTCGCCGGATCTTGAAAATATGCTCCGCCTTCAACATGCGTCTCGAGCTCCCATGCTTTCTTGATATCGCGCCGATTGATAATTCTATTCTGACCAGTCTCTTCTTTGCGCCGCAATTAGTGCACCGGTCCACCTAAATGCTCGGAATGCGACACGCATGACCGAGAATGTGCCTTTGACGAACAAGCCGACAGGCGGCGCAAGGCGAATGCGCGCCGGACACAGGAAGAGCTGGCCAGCTTGACGGAGTTCAATGATCAGCTCCTAAGTGTCCTTCGATATTCCAACAATACGACCACACAGCACGTCATCAATGTGATTCGCTCTAGTGCATCACGGGAGGAAATTCAAAGCGTCCTGTTATCGATTTTGTCTCAGAACCCCGAGTTGGCGCAGCAAGCGCTTGGTCAACCTGTTCCTCCTCCGCCTCATCAGCAGCATCCTTCTGTTGCTCATGCTCCCCACCACGTTCCTAACGACCTCGATCCGCATAATCTTGGCCCTTATTTTGATCCGCGATAGTATCCAGGAATGGAGATTGCCGTCCGCGGCGCTGGGACGGCATGTTGCATTTATAACAGGCGTGACTCGGGATTCTTTTGATCTTTCTGATCCTGGACGCAAAAGCCCCGGATTTTTTGCACTCTTTCGATGTTAAGCGATCGCATACACGACATGGTCTTAGGCTGTCAGGATTCCATCCATTCATTTATACATGAATATGTTTGGTTGGTGTTTTTTCTATCTTTTTTATTGGTTTGCTGGCTTCTTCTTCCTGCCTGGCTTTTCATCTTGATAATAAGCGTGTGTTCACTTTGTCTACGACAATTCTTCCCTTCTCTTTTCAACTACTCAGGCTTAGTCCCCTCCTGCTGAAGAACCATCAGCTTGGTACTTTTTCCCACGCAAGCTGGCAGATTCTATCACACGCAAACCGCTCCACTATAAGCCTTCATGAGCATTACTGAAGTCAATGACCCTCATGCATTACACATCTATCACCTGATTTTCCCCCCTTTAGTTCTTGTATTCTGTTGGATTTTCTCTCTTGTGACCTGCTGGATATGTCGTATCGCACCACAAGATGGCTTGCGCTACAGGCTACAATGAGTACTGAGGGAGATCTGAGGGGCCTTGACTCTTGATCCTTGAACCCTCGACACCAGATTTTCGACGCACGAATCATTTTGATATTGGTGGGCCTCTCGATTGGAATTTTGTGATATCCAGCTTGCTCCCAAGGGTGATGACAAAGTCGGAGCGAACCTCTGAGATCATTCATCTAATATTACCAATTATTGACGATACGAGGCAGCGCCACCTACGGATGTGGACAACGATTGCTCCCCCATTGGAATGCACGACCTATCGCAACAAGTCAATGGTATCTCAACGGTCCAGAGTTATCTGACTAGGTCTGATCACAAGACATCCATCGACTACATGCGGAGTAAGTGCAAGAAGCGTCTTCGCCCTTTACCCCTGTTACTTTGCTACCGGCACGGATTTTCAGTCCCTTCATTCTGCACAAAATGGCCTTCTCCGCTATGTTGAAAGAAAGAAATTTCCGCTTTATTACAACTCTCGCTATCCAGTTCTGCCTATTGCAGAATATTCCCAAGCAATGCAAACAATATTCCCGGGCGGGGGTGGACAATCAAGGAACTCGCATCTTCAGTGCAGAAGTTTCTCTAAGCTGTAAAAATGCTTTTTCATAATTCTCAATACATTTGAACGTGATGCGCCTAGGCTTGGGCGATCGATGTGCACAGCGGATATAGCTGATTATCTCCCAGCTATTCGCTCCGGAGACTTAAGGTTTAAGAACCTGAGCTGCACGGTCGCATTGAGTCGACGAAATAGCTTGTGAATAAGATCATATCCAATCGTTAGGCCCGTAAGGTCCCCACGTTCGCCAAGAGGTATGATAGCATCAGGCCTGGCCCTGTGCAGAGTGGTACCTGAACTCGGCCTCTGGTATCACATTGCTTCTGCAATGGGGATCACTTTTAAGTGACCCGTCCTCTGTCGTGCAGTGTTACCCACAGCAAACATTCCTTCTACGTATCTTCCGTAATAGACAATGGGTTATCGTACTTTTTAGTCCTGAGTAGTTCGCGAGTGTTTGGGAATAAGCAATCAAAAATCCGGGGAGATCAGGTGGAGACCCCGCGTCGACCGGAGAATCGCCGAGGGGCAGACTCTCCACTTCCAACTCTGCTTGCCGGCCTTCAGTCAGTCTCCTAAACCCGTCACTTCTCTTTCCCCCCCCCGGATTCTTCTCCTTGATATACCCGCTCTCCCTACCACAAGTGTGCTGCAGTCGCATCACGCTCTTGGTACCCCGCTTGCACCCCGGAAACTCGCAAATGAAAGCCCCCATGTGCCTCGCGGCAGTTCTAGCCCATCGCAGGTCCCGACATGGCGACTGTTACTAGCGTGGCCTGCCCCTCCACGCAAGGGCCTGTCGGGTCTGGAATGCTCGACAAGAGTGCCATCGACAAGGGAGAATCTGACACTTCACCGACGGGCCCCGGACGCAAAAGAAAGCCCTCCTCCGGGGGCCCACTGCAGCAGCCCTCCGCGGCCAGTAAGAATGGCACCGTTCGCCAGAAAATCACTCGAGCTTGTGACTCGTGTAAAGTCAAAAAGACCAGGTGCACAGGTACCCTGCCGTGTACTCGGTGCACGCGGCTATCGCTCTCGTGTAATTATAATGCGGCCTACTCGAGAGGACTCCCCCCTGAACCACTCCCTGCATCGCCTGACCCAGGCGAATCTGCTTCCACGGTTGCCGGGTCTGGTACTTCAGAGGTCGGTCGTACCTTCAGGGGCTCGCGTTCACATGCTACTACGACCACTGTGACAGCCAGAGGTCCCGTCAGCAGCAATCATGGCTACCCAAGCCAACCGCACGGAGTGTCATTACGCAACTCTCCCGAGCCAGGGTCTACTGATTTTGAGGGCAATTATATCGGTCCTGCCTCAGGAGTCTCTTTTATCAATCGGGTTTGGAGCCGCTTGCACCAGGATGAGCGGGCACGAATCCCTGACGCGCTGCAAAATGAGTCTTCGACAAACACAGCCGTGTTCATGTTTGGCGATAAGCCGTACTCGCACCCTCAGGATGTAGATTTTATGTTGCCATCGTTCGAGGCTGCAATGGAACTTGTCGCGGTATACTTCGACTTCTCAATGGTCACCTATCGCTTTCTACACCGAGGAAGCGTGGAGAAATGGGTGAAACAAGTATACGAGAACCATATCTCGATATCGAATTTGCCCGTGGGCATCATGGTCGCCCGAGCGGCTATCGTTCTGATGATTTTTGCAGTGAGCACCCTTCATCATAAAGAGCCACCGCCAATGAATGGGATCAGTCAGAGTGAGCGCTGGTACGCAGCGTCAAAGTATATGTTATCTCTCGAATCGGGACCTCCACGCTTGGAAACCATTCAAGTTCGGCTCATCCAATGCCTGTACCTGTTATCATCATCTCGCGCCAACGAGTGCTGGTATTCCTTTGGGACGGCATTACAGCTTGTAACAGCCCTGGGATTGCATCGTAAATCTCCCGTGAAGCTATCTAAAAATGGATGCTCACATTTTGAATTGGAAGTGCGGAAGCGCATTTTTTGGAGCGTTTACACTTTGGATAAGTACCTCAGTATCATGTTTGGGCGGCCTCGGCTACTTCATGACGAGGACATTGATCAAGAGTTTCCGGGCGAAATGAATGATGAAGATCTACTGGAAGAGGACCCGACACGGCGGACAGGATCTACAGATAGCATGATGATCGCCTCTGTCCTGCATTACCGGTAAGTCAATCAACTAGACTTTCGGCTCGATATACAACTTTCCTTCTCAATCTACTAACACCCTTTCCGTACAGCCTTGGTCGAATATTGGGTGAAACATCACGACAGCTGTACAGCATCAACCCTCTTTCACGGGACTCTCCTCTCGAGACTGCCGCTCGCCTCACATCGGAACTGGAGAAATGGAAAGAAAGCGTTCCCCCTCTGTTCAACAGCGTTCGGCCATCCAGTCTAATACCGCCCCTCTGTCGACAAAGCCAAGTTCTGCAATTCGCCTACGCCCATGCAATGATCCACGTTACCCGTTCATTCCTCCTCAATGACTTCACTGATCTCAGCCGCCGACCAAGTGATCCACATCCGATGGTCAACGCTCACGTACAAAAGTGCATATCAGCAGCTGAAGATATCATGACTCTGGTTGACGACCTTGCGCACCAGAATGTCTTTGTTCAGTCATTCTGGTTCACCCACTACGTTACATTCTGCGCTATTCTGGTGGTATACATACACATTATTCAGCAACATCGCCAGGCCACAGCACCGAGCCCAACGGCGGGGAGTCCCGCTGACACCGAGAAACTGCATTCCTTATTCCTACTCGCCGAAACTTGTCAGCATTACCTTGCGGAAGCTACCCGCAAGAACTGTCCTAGTAGGCGGTACAGTATTATCCTAGGGGAACTCAGGAAAGAAGTTCATCGCCATATCGGCTCGGATGATCATGATAATATTTCTCTGGCGCCGGCTGTATGTGTTGATAGAAATATCATTGAACAAAGAGCAATAGCTCCAAGCGGCGTCGACCATACCGTCTCCTCTCAGCCCCCGAGCCTAGATTTCCAGCCTATTTCGGGCGACGTGCCCCCCACAGACTTAAGTGCACCTCTGATTCCCGTGGAAGATGCTGGACTTCTTGAAAACCTCGAAGGTTCGATTTGGTGGGCACAGCTTGATTCTTGGGTATGTTTTTTATGCACGCGTTCGGTCACTAGTCGTGGTTTCCCTTGCTAATGGCTTTCTAGGCCTTGTCAAATTTTCCAAATGACCCTTCTGCGTTTAGTTTCTAGAAGCGCTCTGCGCTGTATACCAGTCTAGCCAATTTGAGTAGACTCCGCCAGATACAGTAACCCATGCAGGTTGGCTGGATCGTCACCCTGGCAATTTCTACAAGACGAGAAAAAAAAACAGAATGTACCATTCCAAAGATTACTCGTCTTAGTGCCTTCAATTCATTAACTCGTTATAGTGCTTTAGCTCGCGCCTCTAGTGTGGCTGATTCTTGTCATCATGCCTTCCAAGGGTTTCAAGTCACAAGACTTCAAAATAAATCAAAGCTGTCGCACTTTCCCCGCCACTTACACCAGCGTATTGATTGAGGATCAAACAAAGCTGCTCAAATGGGGCTTCTTACTTATCCGGACAAGATGAGATTACCATTTTCCGGCTCAGATTATCCACCAAGTCGGAATATCATCCGTTAATGGGCAGTTTCGAGCTTGGATATGTATCCGAAGACTCCACGTCTATAGCACCAGAGTCGAATATAGAGTTCAATCTCCGAAGACCAAGTGGAGACAGGACTAGGTTCTGGGTACTTTTGTTGGGTTTATTTAAGCTTATACATGTACTATTTCCCGGTTGGTTGGCTGATAGGTCTGTTATAGTTTGCTGGTAATAGTTGTGAGAGGCAAGATGAATACGATTCAATGTCGGCTGGATGTCCAGCGTGTCTTTTTTGATGCGCATATCCTCCTCTGCACACTGCAGATTCTTTCGGCTTCCTTCCAGGCTCCATTACATTGGTAAGGGATAGCGGTTGAAATGGTCTAATGTTAATCAATCCTCGCGTTGCGTTCAGAACACAGAATGGCGGGGAGCTTGGTATGAGCTCTTGAACAGAACAGGGACTATCAATGAATGCCACAGGATTACAGGAAGGATTGTTAGATTTAAATTACTCAAAGACGCAGAATCACTGTAATACCATCGCTAGCGAAAGGATCTAAGACCTGTGCCAGCTACGCAAACGCAAATATGTACTTGACACCGTGACCACTACTTAAACTCCGCAATCTGATCATGGCAGTACTGGATAAACAATGCCGCATTCCCTGTGCCCCCCTCTTCTTTCGATTTCATCGCTTGTAGTAAGTTCTCTCGCGGCTGGGGATGAACTCGCCCCCAAGGCACGATATACTTCCCCCCGTCAGCAATCGTAAGGTCCGGAGAGAACGCAGCCCAAAGTTCGCTATAAGCACCCATGATAGGATGATACAGTAGCGGTGCCACGAGGTAAGGCACCCATGATGGGAAATGGCGAGTCAGGTTCGATTTCAGGTTTCCGGGGTTAACTGTCACACTCAAGATACCGTCTGACCCGGCCTGGTTGGCCAGATCATTGGCTAGAAACCAATTTCCGATTTTGGTATTTTCGTAGTTGCGGTTCATCCCGGTGTTTTTTCCCAAAAGCTCCTCTAGGTTTACACCTTTCGCGGGTGTGGTATCTACAACGATTGATGATAGCCAGATCACGCGGACAGAGGCGGGAGACTCGCTGTGGGCGGTCTGCTTAAGCGTTGGGAGGAGTAGCTGGGCGAGCAGGTGATGGCCGAGGCAATTTGTCGCCAGTTGGAGCTCGTGGCCCTGGGAAGATACGGAGCCCCGCGGGGGGTTAGAGACACCGGCGTTGTTGAACAGCACATCCAGTCGAGACTCCGCGCTGATAAACTTCTCCACCGCGGGTTTGATGGTGGTTAAATTATCAAGTTTGAGGGCGAGAAACACGATTTCGCCTTCAGAATTTGGGCTTGCATTTTTGATGTCGGCGATCGCTTGTAGGGCCTTTTCTTCTGAACGGCCGGCAAGATATACTTTACCACCAGCCTGGTAGAGAATCTTGCATAGTTCGAAGCCCACACCTGAATACCCACCTGTGACTATAAACACTTTGCCTTTCTGGCTGGGTAGGTTGGTCTCTGTAAGCGTCGGCTTGGGTGGGAAAAATTGAGACCAGGTGGTTCCCATTGTCAGAGTGAGAAACCAGACAGAATCAGACAGGTCTTCTCGAGGGAAACAATAGGGAATAATATCACCCGCCTTTGGGCCTCTGGCGATGGGAGGGGTCAAAGATTATTTGTACTTCTTAGATGACGGACCACGGACATAAGGGGGGGCTTTCCCTTTCCGGATTGGTGCTCACCCCCTCGCCGCTTTCGCTCTCTGAGTGCCCTGATCTGATCAGTGAGCAGACTCTGATCCACTCGCTAATGCTTAGCTGAGCGCTCTGATTCCCTCACTGAGCACGTGGCCTGACTAGCACCTCAATAAAACGCGACACCCTAGCCGGCCGCACGAAGACCTTCTCCCCTGTAGATTGCCCCTACAGCCCCATCCAAAAGCACTGGCATCAACAATTTGTCATAATATTTTGGACACTTTGCTGCTATTCATTGTATCACAACCAAGCCTATTGGGTAATCACCCCGTCAGCTACTATATGCTCCTGGGAACCTTTCGTCTACTGGCTCTATAATGGGCCTCTTGTAGTGACGGCCGATGTAGGTGTGTGGTTATGTAAGTGTGTGTTTACCACCTGACACTGCCAGATCTTTCGATGGACGCCCTCCAGATATTCAGGCCCCGGCAAAAACCTCTCACTCCAGGTGTCTCCAGGTTTGCCCCTTAAGCATGCATCACCAGCACTTCAGCTAGAACGACGTCATATCCATCGCGCACCCGCAGGTTCTCAGTGCGAGTGAGATAGTAAAGACAGGTCGGACCTACCCCACTAGGACGACACCACTTTGGCTGGTAAATTTCATGTCCTCAGTAGGTTGATTTATCTATTGATTTATCTGTTCATATTTGACACGTCTTCGCGGTGAACATAGTCACGTCTTACAATATACTAGGTGGCAACGAAACGTCAAAGGTATGCAATTTTTAGATATATGAAAAAATTCACCGCTAGCCCAAGTACGATGCTTCGTACAGTCAAGATAGCATTTTAGGTTCCAAATGTGCACCACAGCCTACTACAACGCATTGAACTTGCTGGAATAGACAGACACAGCTAACGTCACTTTCACAACAACAACTCGAACACTTCCAAAAATTTGTTTTTTCCAACCTTTGGAGGCCCGTGAGACAGCCCCATCAAGTTGCACACTGCCATCTGCGCTCCTCGGACGCTGTACTCCAAGCTGCATGCTGCATCACCATGTATTTCAACATATTGGCCGATGAGACCCAAATTTGTGGTCTCATGAGGGGTCACACTTGGACGGTCATGATGCGAGCGAGACAATAGCATAGATGTTCCTAACGGCATAATGCAAGGAATAGTGATTGACGACGAAAGTAGTGGATCAGTAGGAAAGCCTAAATGAGAAAGAATCTCACCGAAAATCTCTTTACCAGAGCAGGACACCATTGACTTTTCGATGTACTTCCCTTTTCTTTCCGGATGTAAAGCGTATCCCCAGATCACATGGACTGTTTTGGGCTGCGTTGCGAATACTGGCTGATGGGGGACACTGATATTCAGACCCCAAGGACTCTCCATCACGGTGAGCAAGGCACCAGTACCCGGCTTGTCCCCGGTCAGCTTGGTGTAATACTCCATGAAGTCCGAATCGCGCAAAGTGATAGTAAAAGTCTCAATCAGTGACTCGCTCAACCGGCTGGAAAAATTTGAAGGATTGCCAAATTTGGGACTCTGCTTCTCAAGTTTCTGCCATAACGACCACTCTCCATGTTCCAGGCTGTCGGGAGACAGAGAAGTTGGGGGCGGAGATTCCAGGTTAGACCCCGTCTGAATACCCGAAGCCACCGAGCCTAATGTCACAATGACAATGTCGATAGGATCCACGGTGATAAGCAATTCATGTCCGTTTTCCTGCAATACAATTTCTGAGATTGTTGTTGGGTCACTTGACGGATATGATTTGAGGTCAGTGACCATGACATTGAACCGAAAATCGACCCCTTGCTCCCTTAAGTATGTAGTTATGGGAGTAATTAAGGACTCATAAAAATTGAAGGGTGTTCTTTCCAGCTCTCGCACATCATTATGAGTGTGCATTTCAGGTAGCCATTTGGTGAGCAGCCTATGGAATTCAACTGCGCTGTGCCACTTCTGGAGCAGAAAACTAGAACGGGATCAACTTCAGAAAGGATCAAAAAAGGGAGGGCCAAAGTGCTCACGTGGTTGACCAGAGAGTCCAAAAGCCTGACTCGAAGAACGTCGCGTCAAACACATCACTAATTTTCTTTGAATCAAAATCCTTTTCATTCTCCAATATAAACCTAATGAGATCTATACGGAGCTTTGCGCCGATCGAGAGTTTATGCGTGTCGACTCTACGCAGTCCCTCCTCGTTCTGTGTGATCGCACGTGTGTGGGCTTTGTTCATCGGTCTTGTGTACCGCTCATGCTCCTTTATGGCTTCCCACAGAGTTTTTTCTGGGTGTCCTGGATCGGGTACCATCGTGAGGAGGTTTGTGACACACTCCTCTTGGAAATACGGCTGTGCACCCGTATGGTAAATGTATCCATCTTTGGAATTACCAGAAACCTCCATTGCTCCACCGGAAACATGGTGGACGTCAAGAATGTGGACTTGATCTGCCGGGACCTTGGCTTGCTTGACCAAATGTACAGCAGCCGCGAGCGATGCGACGCCGCTTCCAATCAACCAAGCCTGCACGTTCTTGGGGTCGCGTTTGGGAGCCATTTTTGCGTGGTAGTTTGAATAAATTTTCCCATTGTTTCCTTCGTTTATCACAATTGTTAAATATATAGTTTCTCGGAGTATCCAAGGTCGTTGCATATGACTCCGGTACTACCAATGAACCGTGCTTCCATGTTTTTTACAACGTCATTCCTACGTCAACCACAATCACGGGAGCAATCATGCGTTTAATGTCTAGTGGGGCCTAGAATCTTATGAAGAAAGCAATCATGTTACTATTTGAGACTAGAACTTGATCAGACCATCGCATACATCACACAAACCAGCTTCACGAAACAGCTTCGCCGGAGGTAGTTCTCGATTAATGTCTAAATTCCGGATGTGAATGAATCCACTTACGTACTACACTTCTCAGTCTATAACTATTTCGCAACTATTTTGCACTTGGTGTTTTGGCTTACTCACAAGCCTTACCTCGGGCGATTAGTCCAAAGGCCCTGTTCAATTCAAGACAGTCCCGGGGCTGGGAGAACTTTGGGTTTTTTTGAATGTTCAGGAAGGATATCTTTAGAATAATTGCCTCTAAAATAAACAGGTGCTAAAGACCCAGTGAGGTTCCGATACGAGGTCCAAAAAGGCCCAAAATTGTCCAATATGAAGCTAAATATCGTAACATGCCCCAATATTATTAGCTTACTGAATGGAGACATGGATGTGTGGAAGCACTTGGCTTTATCTGCGTTTGTAGTCCATTATACACAGCCAGTGAAAGAGGCCTTTTGTCCAGCTATTCCATACTTTTTGCTCGGATAGAGACTTGGGCCAGAATTTGCTAAAGTCACGGTAGGCGATCTAGTTTTGTTTATTGATGCTGACATTCTGGTAAACAAAGCATTTATCAACATTGGGAATCAGTTTCGGCCACGTTTGGCAGAAATCTGGTATAGAGAGTTATGCAGACAGTTAAGAAAGAGACAAGTGCGAAGCAAATATAAAATAAGCAGAATATTGCGATCTAGAAGAACTTTTAGTATTGAAAACCAACATGTGGTTATAATAATTGTTCTCACCTTATCTTCGTTCCCCCATCCTGTCTTCCACAGTGGTGCTATTATGAATATGAAAAGACCGATAATATAAGACACGATTCCATAACAGATGATCATCACTGGTGACTGCAGTGCAAACATATAAATCCAGTTTACTGCATGTCCACGTTCATGCCTGATAGCCTGGAGGAGGTTCGGCACACCCTCCATGCATGTTTCGCACATGTCGATGAAAACCCCGAGATAGAACGCAATAAGAACAGCAAAAATGCTGCATGTCAATGTCCCATGCCAGAATGCCAGAACTGTCCAGTGTGACGCAGCCGCTTCTGTCCCGTTTACGGAGGTTATTGCCACGGACGCGAGAATGGTTCCCTGTAGGACCAATATTTAGTATCCCTATATTTACTTTGCTTGGGACGCACCACTTACAACAATGGTCACCGTGCTATACTCTGTCTTCCTATTCTTCCGCCAAAGGTTCATGATTGTCACTCGATCCGTGCTATGCTCGGGCATCAGCAAAATCTGATGAACGGCGACTTTCCAGGTCTGCCAAGGAGCCGTTAAAATATAGCAAACTGTCCGTAGTGAATTCATGATGACTGTCACCCTTGCGTTCGACAATTTATAACCTTGACACTTCATATGTTTTCGGAAATTGTGGAGGCGTTCGGAAGAGTCATAAATATATGAATAGGGCTGTGTTGATCAATTCAATTAGATCAAGCGCGCCTTTTGATATCGGCTAGGAGTTTAACTGGTAATATAGGAATTGCCCGCTGGAGATGAACGGGCTGAACTTTGTGACAGCAAACCGTGAGCCAGGCTTTACTCGAACCATGGAGTTATAGAAAGCAGTCATGACGAACTGAAGCAGTGGTCGAATACCACTAAGACCTTTTTGGGATAGGCGTATTTATCGTCCGCCCAATTCCCCCAGTATATTTGTATTGGAAAAGACGCGCGCGGCACGCGATAGTGGGAGAGCAAGGAAATGTGGGGTTGAGAAAATAATTGAGTCGTGAGCTCCAATTTCCCCCTGTACCGCAAGTGAGACTGACGGAAAGGCAAGGTGATACGACGACTGTGGGGCGAGACGCGGCGATTGTAGGAACCCTGGTACAATATACATTGGATCAACAGCATAATATTGGTAGGCGCCAATCTCCGAATAGCTTCCACTAAAAGAACTTGGGCTGGACGATTTCAAAGTTCTTTCTTCACCATCTGCCACCCCTTCTAGCCGATGACTGACATTGTTTTCTTGTATACATTCATGATTAGTGACATTAAACCACGTCGCCCGAGCTGGCGGTTTGAATAACACTATCGCCACCACCTATTCTTATTATTTTGCATTGATCAGAAGTCGGAGTAGCAGAAAGTTCGGTCGGATGGAAATGCTTTCAACCGAGAGCCGGCCGAACCAAAGTACGAAATGTCACATATAGGACGTGCTCTTGGAAATTCCAGGTAGGATAGCGAGAAAGAGTTAATATTAGAATTCTAAAATATCCAGCCGTTGGTATGCTATGGATGGACAAGAAGAGCCTGCGCATCACTGAAAAGTCGGAACTGTCACTCGATTTGCTCTGCTGTCTCTCGTTAACATTGTAGGTTTATCTGTTGCGAGACCTGGCGGCCAAGCAGCCTGGTCATTATAGCTGGCACTCTTTTATATAGCAGACAATGAACAGAGTTGAGGGTAGCGGGCATTTCTGGATTTTTTTCTAGTTTTAAAGGTGCCTCTAGTTTTGAAGATGCTGTGAGACTCACACCATATCCCAGAGCAAGGAAATATCGTCTTCCGTATTTGTGCTATCCGGCCCTCCACGGGAGGACAGATAGGGCAGAGGTGACTTGAGGTCAGTATCGTCATGGGCGAAGTCTTGTGACAACTCACTCGATTATGGCTTTCGGGACCAAACGATCCGCTAGATAGATCCCCGATTTTTGGACAAATGAACAGGTTTGGTGGCTTTCTTGCCACGACGCACGTTCGTCTGACCACCCAAACGGTGGCCATTTCTAGGCTCAATGTTCGATAAGTGAAAGAGGATCTCCTGATCGGCCACCAGGAGGACTGCAAAGAACAAACCCTCTTATGGTGGTGGAGATTCGATTGCCATAAACTCTGCGCAGGGTCTCTCCTGTGTAATACGAAGTATTCACATTTCCTTTAAACAGTCACTCATCATGCCCTTCTTATCCTACAGGCACGCAGTCCAGCTGCGACATGAACTCAAGGATACACGTGCGACGGTCGTTACTCCTGAGGAGGAAGACTTCCCTGAGCTTATTGGCCGGTGGAGCGATACCTGCGAGAAAGAAGCTGTATGCCGGCAATCCACTCCTGTTTCTACCTACCGCGCCCCTAGGAAACTTCCACCTGCCGTGCTTGTGCTCTGCTAATATCCTCTAGGGCGCGGTCGTGATGGTCACCTCGTCCCACGAGGTCGCGCTAGTCGTCGCCTTCGCGAGCCGCCACTACATCCCTATTGTGGTCCAGGGAGGCGGCTACAACACAAGCGGTGCGTCCTCGACCCACGGGGGAATCGTCATCAACCTATCCGCGATGCACGATGTCTTGGTCGATCCAGCATCGGCAACGGTAGCTGTCCAGGGAGGTGCAACCTGGGCAGAGGTCGACCAGGCGGCCGAGCGCGAGGGGCTAGCCGTTGTCGGCTGCACAACGAGCGCTGCGGGCGTCGGAGGCACGACGCTGGGCGGCGGCTTCGGCTGGCTCACTGGGCGCTACGGTCTGGTCATCGACAATCTGGTCAGTGTTAAGATGGTGCTGGCTGACGGCCGCGTCGTGACTGCATCCGTGGCCGAGCATCCGGACCTCTTCTGGGCGGTACGGGGCGCCGGCCAGAGTTTTGGTGTGGCCACTGAGTTCGTCCTGCTCGCGCACCGCCAACGCTCACCCGTCTTCGGCGGCCTGCTTTACTTTCCCGCTGACCAGCTGCCTGCCGTGATCGAATTTGCGAACCAGTTCGATGAGCGGGCAACGGGCGACGAGGGTTTATTTTTCGGTTTCACCACGCGGCCGCCCGACCTGCTGTCAACGGTAATTGTCGCTTTGCTGTTTTACAACGGTCCGCGCGTCGCTGCCGAGGCCTTCTTTGCGCCGCTGCTGGCCCTGGGCCCGATCCAGAACGAGACGTGCGAGATGCCGTACCCGAGGATGAACACCATTCTTGGGCCACTGGCCGCCCGCGGGGCCCGCAAGCGCCTGGGCGGCACAACGGTCAGGCTGCCACTCGATCCCCAGATCGTGCATGAGGTCTACGAAGAATTTGACCGAATCATGCGATCCTACCCGCGCGTCGAAGGCAGCGTGGTGGTCTTTGAGTTGCTGCCGTACGCGCGCGTAAGCCAAGTGCCACTCGACGCGACGGCGTATGCCAACCGGGGTCCATACCACAACGTGGCGATCATCCTCCGTTGGCATGACCCGGAACTGGACGCCAAGATGGCAAACCTGGAGCGGGCACTACTGCGCAAGATCCGAGAGCGCAGCGGAGTCGCCAGCATTGCAGGACACGGGGTGGGCATCTATGCTAACTACGCTGGTACGATTAAGCCCCTAGACACATGTACCGGGGTGATATCCTGTTGACACACCTCTAGGACACGAAGCTAATGCCCAAGAACTGTTTGGAGACAATCTGCCGCGCCTACAGAAGCTGAAGAAGCAGTACGATCCGAAAAACATGTTTCAAAAGTGGCACAACCTCCTCACTCCCACAAGCCCACGGTGATCTGTTGATCTGTTGATCTGTTGATCTGTTCTGTGACTCTTTATTCCTGGTTTCTGGAGACTCCAAGCCTCCACGATAAGTAGCCTATCCTCCCATAGACCCATTGTCCCCTTACGCACATCACGTGTTGCATGGGAGGGTCAAATATCTTAAGTACACACCTTGATCTAATTTTGCAGATGTGTGAGGATCACCGTTATTTGGTCTCTGGCTTCGACAACTCGATCCTTCAACGATAAAAATCAGCTCACGGGTTGCACACATTCCAAGCCGGACCTTGATTTTCTCCCCACCTCAGCAGGATTTGGAATTAACAACGCCATTTTATAGTATTATGGCTATTAGTGCTCTGGAACCTTGTTTTGTCTTATTCCACCACCTCTCAACTAATCGGCGTTTAGCTATCTGCCTCAGGGGGTACTCCAATACTTAGTGGCATCGGAGATTGAGCCACTCGAGAGGTGTTTGGAATCCTGATATAGCAATATCGAATGAAGTTCAACTGTGAACAACCGCCCTCAATGTTGCCCTCTCTGCGGGGGTTTATCCTAGGAGCTTCAAATGGCCAAATACAGTCAGCGTTCAAAAGTATTTTGAACACGCAACATGCCCCACTTACTTTTATGCTGATTAAACCACCTAATTCATTCAATATTTCGATAGCTAGTATGCCATCTTTTGTATCTAATGACCTCCTCCACACGATGAGGTTTTCATTTAGCTAGATTAACAAAGTGGCGAATACTTTAATCCAAAGTAATGAAGTTCTATGTAAATAGCCGTTAAGTAGGTAGTAGTATTAATTTGATTTCAGTCGGTCGCTCTCGCTGCCAGCTTGGGTACGTCATGACAGTATCACAAGGATCGGTGGTATGATTCCGAGGTCAGTGTGTAGAAGGGTCTAGACACTAGTTATCGTTAGGTTCGCTAGCTGTCGCGCCATGTAGACAAACTGTCAGTGCACGTCTTGTCGTCATAACTACCAGCTGACTGCAGAAATAAGGTTGCCATCTTGAGAACACAGAACCTTTTCAGCCACTTGGCGCCACCCCGATGGAGCTCAACCGTGCGGAGGTAGTTTACACAGTGCAATACTGGGTTATTTCATCATACCGGCAGAAAGTCTAGAAAATCATTTGAATCACACCAATCTACCTACGCCACACATTCGCGGCTGATAAATATATCCGACGTATCTCCCTGGAAAGTGGGAGATCACCATCCCATGTCGCCGAAATGTCATCTCACGGAAAGCCGATTTCTCGGATCGCGATTATCGGCGTCGGCCAAGTCGGCGCCGCTGCCGCTTACGCGATTATTCTTCATTCACTTGCCAGTGAACTGCTCTTAGTTGACATCAGAACCCAATTAAGGAACGGCCAGGTCAACGATCTGTCCGATGTAAGCTACAGCTGCAACAGCAAAACAAGTGTGCGAGCGGCCACCCACCAGGAGGCCCGCGACAGCGATATTGTGATTATTACCGCAGGGTCAAATTATTCCATAGGTAAGAAATCACATAGGAGAAGGCTCGCCGGACGCAATCTTCATCACATAGGATCTAATAGCCATATAGGCGAAACCAGCACCCAGCACATTTACCAAAAGGTCTCGATTATTCGAAGCATCATCAATGAAATGAAGCCATTTAGATCAGACAGCATTCTCCTCGTCGTGGCTAACCCTGTCGACCTTCTCACATCGCTCGCGTATAAGCTCTCCGATCTACCAGCTTCCCAGGTTTTGGGCTCAGGAACCTTCCTCGATTCGGTGCGAATTCGTAATCTGTTAGCGGAAACAACTGGGGTGCGTGCACAGTATTTCTATTCTGGCTAGGTAATGGCTAATTTAAGGCTAGGTCGCGGCTAACTCGATAGATCTCTACGTAGTGGGCGTACATGGGGACTCTCAGGTTGTGGCATGGTCAGATGCGACAATCGCGGGCATCCCAATCAACAAATCGCTCCCTCTCGGCACTTTGAGCCGCGACGAGCTTTCCAGTGAGTGCAAAAATAGATCGCGGATAATAATCCAGGAGAAAGGTTCAACACCTCTTGGAATTGGATCCATCATATATAGCATCTGCTCTTCTATCCTGTCCGACAAGCGAAACGTTCGTCCCATCAGTCATTTCCAGCCCGAGTGGGGTTGCTGTTTCAGCTTACCTGTCGTCCTCGGGAGAGCAGGAATCATCAAGAAAATTGAGATGCCGTTGAGTAACGACGAGAGAGCTGCCTTAGATGAGTCAGTGAAGGACCTGAGGAACAAGTTTGAGAGGATCAATGAAGATCAGTAAGCATCTAATCAGGATTAAGGCGAGGCCGAAAATTGCAGCTAGAGATACCGGAGTACATCTTCGGGCACCACGGCGGCGAGATAGTCGGTGAGCGATGTTATACATTATCCTTGCTGAGCTACAGTGGATCGACAGCGGATCGACAGAATGATATTTGGCTCTCTTAATGTTAAATAGCTTGTTTGGAGGCCAGGCTTATGGACCTCCAAGAATCATTTCTATTCCTATTCTTTTTCTTGCTCAATAGGTATTGGTCACATTGACATTTTCCTTCTTCCTACCCAGTTGATAGGTCCCTTCCTATATATAGCCCTTTACATTCCACCACGAGGCGGTAGAAACATGGCCCACTCATTTGATCTGATATATACAGTGCAATTATTATACTACCCTAGATGTTAAGGCCATTGAATGGCATTCTATTCTCACCCACACCGAGCATCAAAGGGTTACATGTGTATAAACCCCAGAGTATTATGGCGTCTCTGTGCTTTAGGGGATGATGATGGTTAGCTTGGAGCGATTAGGGGACAGCGACAGATCCTTTAATCCGTGATTTTCTCAAAACATCCGTTATTCCTCCGATCCAGACCGAGACCGGTTAACCGGAGCAGTTTTATTTGGAATATTCCTACTCTTTCATTCAGCCAAATTTCTCACCTCGAGGCATCCCTTTGCTGTACTTTAGAGGAAGGCTTCTTTGATATTTTTTGAGAGGATAAGGAAGGATACATATCAAGTCAGTGCCAAGTTGTTCATGCTGGTCAGGATGCCCGGTGCTGGCCCGAGTAGCTGCTTACGGGTCTCTTCCACTTACAACCCCTAGTTCTTCGGCTTCCACCCATCGGCCCTGATTAATACTAGGTTGTCTATACTTGCCTTAGCGGAGAGATGTTCTGGCTCTAGTGCGTGAGAAATTAGTTGCAGCTCTTCGCCCTGGAGCTCTTCTTCGTCCTACCATAGTTCCCAACCTCGGTAGGTCGATGCTAGGCTGTTCATGGTGGTGAGAGTGTTAGGATGCTCTTGCCCGAGTACCTTCTTGTGGGTCGCCATCACCTGGACATGAAAATCGCTCCGTATAGAGTAGAATGTTCCATGGACCCTAGTGGTCTGATTGCCCCACAGGCAGTCCTCTTTGTCGGACGAAGGACAGATGCAAGCTACTACCACTTCCACTAACGAATAATTCACGAATATAATACCGAGTCTAGAATGGTCATGACATGCGACGCGTGAATGTCGGGTCTGGCAGGCCGAGCCACATTCTTCAATCGTCATGGCCGCAAATAGATCGAGTGGGTTGATACTGCACGGCAGCCACCGCCTCATTGACCGATGTTGGGGGAAACCTAAACGCGCCAACTCTATTGCTCCTACTCTGGTTCAATTCAAATATTGAAATATTCTCAGGCAAGCCTCTCCTTGTGATGATGCGATGACAACCCTCCGGAAAGCACCTGGATGGAATACTCCCTCCTTTCTTCAAGTCGACAAAAGACAAAAGACACACCAACCAAGCAGCAACCCACTAACCGGTGAGATCGCGTCGGCAAAATCAAACAACCCATCATGAAAGCCCATTCAGCGAAAGGAAGTCTCCATCTGCCAGAATTCACGACGGCCGAAGTCAAGGTGAAACAGGAAGATGACTCTTTGCCTGCAGTGAACCAAGAAAGCCTAAAATTCGATGATGACGCCATTGGGACTGTTCCTCATCATGATCACACATATGCCTTCAAGACCCTTGAGAAAGGCATTATTTACTTCTTCTATCGATCTCGAGTTGATGTCGGTAGTGCTGGCACATGTGGAGTTCATGACGTTGCAAGGACCTTTATTGTTCTGCGCCCTAACCCGTGCAACGAAACATTAGATCAACAAGATGGCACGTACAGAATTGGCGACAAGTTTCGACTAATAGTTGTCCCCAAAAAGGTCCTCCCACAAACTCCTTACATGAGAGAGATGGGCTTTGTGGACAAGGCTGGGATAACTCTAGAAGAACTTCGGGGTTCATTCATCGCTGGAGTGAATTATGAGACCCAGACTCGCGGCTCGAGGACTGTACCTGAAGCAAGGCTGTACGCGAGAGGCCTCTATTCCATAACTTCAGCACAACATGGATCCTATCTGAACTATTTGCTCACGCACCCTGAGCATATCGGTCCTGTCCAGACTGACTTTGGCCTTCGAAAGCGAGGAAGGTGGCTTGTGCAGTCAAAGAATCCAGATGCTAGCAGTCCCATATCTGTCAATCTTCCTCACAAGCCAACATATCCTAAAAGGCATGTTGTTGATCTCCCCGACAGCATCACTACTCTCCATCCCCCCGCAGTAATCATCGACTGACGGTGAAGATTTAGTTTTGATGAAATATTCGGCAACTACCGCTGGGTGCCGTTGCAACCTAAATTGATTGATTACCCCAGTGCCCAAATCCTCCTTATCGGGCAAAATGTTCGACAAGTCTCCTTTGATGTCCCTGTGGTCAAGCATGAATCCATGGAGACCCCAGATAAGCAGATAGAGGAACTGGTCCATTGGAGTGATGAGATGAACAAGGCACAGCCAGGTAATTACTTCCTCCCAAGTTGTGGATCTATAGCCATCGTATGTTATTGGAACTCGCTAATCACTCTCAATCAGCTTATGACTTGATTTACGGATATCTGGGCTTAGAGGTTGATCATCATCTCAAAATTTCCACGATGTGGGATCAACGATAGTCCTATGGTATTCATATGTCTCTTTTTGCCACCACATCTTCGGGCATTACTGACTTCATTGCCTTTGGTGCTATATAATAGTAAGAACGCGAAACTCAACTCGGGAGGCCTATATGGAAAACGCTTCCGAATCCGTGTATCTTGATGCCGCCGGTGCCTGGTAATTTGTGATCAACACGCCAGGTATTTATCCAGTACAAATTGTACACGCTATGCCCTGGAATATACCGGTGCTGCCAGCAGTGTGACTGGGATATTCGCCCCTGGGGAAATGGTGCTAAAGTACATGAACTTATATTGGTAGCAAATAAATTCCTGGCAAACTGTACCACTCGTTTCACCCACAATAGGTAGACTCATTCAAATCATATCGGATCCGCAAAAACTACAGATAACAGACAGCGGTGTTCTAGAAATTTTGCAAGCTCATCCCGCAATAGCACCACGACTGAGTACAAGTCGGTGTCAATAGGAATGCCGCTTGCCGTTCGCACTTCTCGACCTCACTCTAAGCCCATGGCTATGACTACCTTTCTGCATATGATATCTCGTATCTGGATATGGGATCAAAGGAAAACGTCCGAAACTTGACCCTAATTGATGATCAGCCGGAGTTGACATCCCCTTTAGCGTGTCACCCGATCCTGTGGCTGCCTATCGGGTCCAGACGCCCGAGAATCAACCTTGGGGTGTTCATTCGGCCGAAGCGGGCCAATGTCCGAATGAACCAGAAAAGGAAATTTATTACATTCGTCATGCTTTGCCACCCATTTCTGACAGTCTAGGCCTGCTCTCACCTGTTTCTTTGAAATTGCTATAAATGCGGTCTGGGATTACTTGGCGCGTTTTTCTCTTGAACATCATTCCTTCAAGGTGTTTATTTACCGAAGATATCTATCTCAAGCTCAATATGACTGCGCAAGCTAATACTATTTCTGAATCCATTTACCATGTTATGCTCATGGTCTCCCCGCCCAAGGCTTCAAGAGGGCAGATTGAAAAGATTCGCGTCCTAGGTACCTACACTTCTATTGGAAAAGCCAAGGATGCTGCCCATCGTGGACTCTTCGACAGTGGGTATGAACGGGAATGGTTCTCGACCTTCGAGACAAAGCCCGAGGCGCTCGAAGAACTCGCAGCCTCGGAGGGAGTTGGACTTGCAGTTTATGCTGTTGCGTCGGATGGCACAAAGTTCAGACTCCGCATATCCACGTCTCCAAATGACTTGGCGTTGAAGACTGATAATGAAGATGGGCGGGTCGCAATTCCTCTTTATTATGTGGTGCAGACGAATGTTCCCTATTGTAGCCACGAACGGAAGCCTACCCACGACACCCATATTGAAGGGGTATTTAAGTCTTATAAAGAAGTCGGAAATTTGCAAGCACTGTGCTCCTTTCAGAGGGGGATGGGATCAATACCTCAAGCTACCAAGAATAATTCGAGGCTGGTATGGATGAGAGAGACTGTGAATTTGGGGAGAATGTGGTGGTGCACGCGATCGGTAGCAATGAGGAGAATTACTTCCTGAGCGTTGTGACGGGTCAGGAGCTCGAAAGTGTACGACTTGCTGAAGCATCTCTGAAAATATGATGGAGCTATTAGTTCTTTCTTACCAATTTCAATAAGCAATTAGAATAGTCGATCTTCTCTTCCGCGTAAGCCCAAGACTAAAGCTATGTTGCGGGTGGCATGATCAAGCGGGTCGAGCCAGATATACCTTAACACGATAGTCTGGATCTTTAACATTCTCAACCCACCCTTCGTTTCCTATTAGTGTTCTTCTCATCCACTACGGTACAGTTAGTCTTACTGGTACTACAGAATTTAGTAATAGCTTACGTTATATGTCTCGCTCCTATCGTCCATCACAATATTGATTTATAATTCTTCTTCAAACCTACCAAACAGCCTCTCTATAAAATTAAGAAATAATATCATCACCTTCTATTCTTACTTTTCTTGCCTCGCGCGGTATGACCATACTAGCGGAAAAATTCTTTACGGAGAATATAGTCTAGAGTCGCACATCCTAGCCATATTCATAGCCCTTAATTCCGTTTTATTTAACGAAGCTAAGGGTAACTCAGCAACGCATACGGCGGGCAATCCTCCTAGACAATGAAACTCACTCCATCCAACGATGGACAGTACTAGAATATATCCTCTTCGTCTTAAGTATCCTTTTGTCTTTTTCTCGGATAGCATCCTCCTTTATATAAGCGCCCAAAACATAGCCACTCTTTACTAGTTATATAGAGGCCTCAGCTTATAGAGTAAAGAAGGTCTTCTAATATATAACGGAAAGTATCTTCGTAGAACGCTAGAACGAATAAATAGAAGTACAGATTAAAGCAAAGGATAAAGAGAATATATTCTATAGCTTAAAATAAGGGACGTAGCTATAACTTATACCCTAGGACTTAAGCACAGATCTTAGTATCTAATAAGAGCGGATGGCTTTTTTAGGTATAGGCTGAGCGTCGACTGGGTGCTTAATAGATAGGTGCCTCTGTTAAATATCTAAGTAATCAATGATGGCTCAGTAAGCATCTAATCAGACTCAGTGAGTTTAATTCTCGGACTGAATTTACATAGTGAATCTGACTCTGAGCGCCCTCATAAAAGCGGCGGCAGCTCAAATGGGAAAGCCCTATATGGCATAGGAAAAATGTGATGTATAGTGTCCTAAGTAGATAAGCCCTAAGGAGAAGACCAAAATTAAATGGGTGCATGAGTGCGCGATATATCCAATCAAACATCACTTAATACTAGTCCATTTTTCGCGAGATTGGGAGCCCGAAAATATTAGGGTAAACATCGCCAGTCCATCCGCGTAATTCCACATCGTCACAAATGCTCTTCATCTAAGAGACCATGGTCTTTGGTCGGTCTCGAGTATCATCTGTTACTGAGAAGGATCAATTAAAGACTTCACAAACAACAAACGCTATTGATTAAGAGATGGAATGTAGCAAAAGCTTATTCGCAAGGGCAGGATTAGACCACCCATGCTTAGAAATGCCACATGGAATGATAACCACGAACATTACAAGATTCATATGCACAACCCACGTTCTGCGCAAGACGATTTTGTCCAGGCACATAAAGACTGCCTTCCTGGACCCACTATTGATAGGGGGACCATAAAAAGACAAAAAGAAAGCTGGACTCGCGGGGAATCGAACCCCGGACCACTCCCATGCTAAGGGAGTATTATACCACTAAACCACAAGCCCAGTTGTATATACAGAAGTCAGAAAGAATAATATATGAGCCAATGATCAAAAATCATGGTCGATTTTTGTCGTCGGGGTCCTTAGGATCATGCTGGGATCCAAAAATATATCATCGGAAATTTGCACAGAATGTGATCTCACTGCTAGTGTTTGTTATCCTATAGGGATATAGCTTGGTCAAAATATATCGACTAATTACTAGACAATTCGTCGGGGTTGGAAAATTTTCTAAGAGGGCTCTGACGCAGGAATTTATATTGTGCTTTACTCTGGAGAATATACTGAGCGGACACTGAACATATGAGTTTGGGTATTCCTGCTCACCCAAGTCACTGCGAAATTATATTACGTGCAGGTAGAAGAAATATGATCGAGATAGCCAACCAACCATCCCCGATCCGCTCTGTAAACCTCCGAATTACCCTGTGTACATTTTAGGTCGAAGAAGTGTGGATCAAAAATGGGGGTTAAAACAAAACAGTTCGAGGCTGCCCCAGCGATACGTCCACTACCTCATACCGAGGATTCGGATTCTGAGAATCGCAGAGTGATCTCCACACATGTGAATCGTAACATATCAAATTATGTTCTCCAAATAATCCAAACTATCTTATCATTCATCGCATCGTGACACCATAAATATGTGCAAAACTAGTCAAAGTCCACCGGAGGAAGACCCCTCACTTCAAGTGCGGTCTGTACACTGTGTTGCATCTCTCCAATTGCCCTCTGCCAAGTCACAACACCCTGTTCACTCTGTCCAGACGGCGGAGTCTGGTTCTCCACTCCGTTTCGGGAGAGCGAATCTTCACTTACGAGCCACATCAGCCAACGCACCACGGAAACAGCCTTGTCAATATCCTTCTCCTCGGCAATTACACGTCTGAGATACACACATAGCACTTCTACGTCTTCACCGTAGGGACCATCGGCCGCAAAAGCGGAATGCCAAGCACCCACGGCATCACGAAGATCTGCTAAGCCTGACAGGCGCCGTGAGGTGAACACAGGTCGTTCCGGGAGAGGAGGAAGAGGCAGTGTTTTCTCGACAGGTGGGGCCGCAGTGGTAGAAGTAGAAGTGGCAGCTTGTGGCTGGGATACTGGCCTCGAGGCAGTCGAAGCAGAAGCGCGAGCTCGTTGAAGACGAGCACGTCTTTGCTCCTCAATGACCTCCTGTCGGATATCCCCCGGGAGTGCAGCAAGAAACTCAGCAGATACTTCTGATTCTTCTTCGACTGCTGGTGACTGTTGGCGAGATAGCGAGTCTTGGTTCGATGTGACCATGACGCCAGAGGCAGATGACGGTCGAGGGAAAGTAAAGTTTGTCTGGGTCAAAGACTTATTGCCACTCGAGGCTGATTTTGGCGGACGACCGCGCCTTTTCTTCGGTGGTGACGTTGGTCTCTTGAGCTTCAATGGCCCAGCCTGAGGTGCAGTGCGCGACGTCGTGACCGAAGGAACCGAAGGGGCAGCTGGTGGAGGGTCGGGCAATGTGGTAGACTGTTGATTATAGTAGCCAAGGACCTCATTTCGAACATCCTCCGGCAACGCAGCCAGCGTTTCAGGGTCCAATTGAGACTGAGGTGGGAGGGGAGCTGCAGCAGTGGGCTCGACTACGCGCCGGCGTGCTGGCGGACATGGGGAGCCACATCGAGGTGGTTCTTGTCGAGGCTTTGCCTGGGCCACAAGCCTTGACCTGATATCCCCTGGGAGCTCGGAAAGAACCTTGGGATCTACCTGAGTGGGCATAATGAACTGTGACCCGGAGATGTTCAGCGGTTTGTGAGCGCTATTGCTGAGAACTGGGTCGACCTGGATCCGGACCGAATCGCCTTTCCGTGGGCTTTCCAATTCGTCGGGGTCGATATTGGCGACCACACTTTTGCGCGACGGCGATTTCGAGAAGTTGAGTTGCCGCTGACTGCCCTCGATAGTGGCCGAGGGACCAGTCTTCAGGGGCTCGAGCTTGGTCATTTGAACACCAAGGCCTCTGAGATCACCCGGAGAGAAATTGAAACTTCTCAACATGGACACGGCTTCTTTGCCCAAGATATCGGATGCGTTTGTGGCCACCCCGATGACAACACTCTTGTTGAAGACATCGCATTTTCCGTGACCGAGATGTTTGACTGGTTCCAGCGGCGCATCCATCGACCTCCGCATCACTTTCAGCGTGAGTTGCTTGCCCTTGACCAGATTCTCGACTAATCTGCGACCCAGTTCTTCACAGAGTGATTTGATGAAATCCTCTGCCTGATCTTGATTGACAAATCGAATTCCCCAATTGACCTCCGCTGACACGGATTTCCTGATCACTTCATTGCCAACCTCCGTTTTGTCTATGCCCCTCGCATACTCCCAGATCTTTGCCCCAGTTTTTGGCCCCAGACTGGCGCACAATCTCTCTTTGGTAATTTCCCTCGCGTCCTTGACAAATTTTACGCCAAGCTCTTCCAGTTTTGACCCAAGACTGTATCCAATGCCGGGTAAATCCTGGACGGTAAGATTCCCAATGAAATCCAAGACAGAATCGGGTTTTAGATGAAATTGTCCGGCAGGCTTCGCCTTTCGCAATGCCACTTTGGCGAGCAAGATGTTGCCACCGATCCCAACAGAGACCGCGCATCCGGTTTTCTCCTTGATGGAATCACGCAAGGCTTGAGCTATTTCATCGGCCTTGGCCTGTTCGCGGTAGATCGATCCCTCCGAGACACCTTTACCGTCAGATCCCCCGGCCTCCAAGCACTGATTGGAAACATCAATCAGAGCCTCATCGATGCTGACACTTTGCACAATGCCGTCAATAGAGAGCACTGAGCTATAGAATTTCCGACTGGCATCTTCATAGGCGGGGAAATCGTAAGGCAACACCTGAAGCTCTGGACATGCTTGCATGGCTCCCTTCATCCACATGCCGTTCTTGACCCCATGACCCCGAGCAACATAGTTACAGCTTGCGATCTCGGAGCCAGATCCAGAGCCATGAGCGATGGCAACAGGCTTCTCGCGAAGCTCAGGGTGCTTGAGAATAGAAACAGCGGCAAAGAACGAGTCAAAGTCGACATGGAGGATATATCTTCTGGCTCCTGGCGCAGATCTCTTCTGAAAAGCGCCAGATATCGCCTTTTCGTTTGTTGCAGCCTGAAGCTGGGCTTTCAAATCAGCTTTCCACGCTGACAAATGATGGAGCCGAGACTCTCTGTAGTATTGCTGAAGAAATTCTGGATTGACCACACTGGACTTCCTCATCCGAGGGTCAGACAAGAGTTGTGCATTATACTCCTCAGAGGTCATGTTGGGATTTGAAGGACTCGTCTGCTTCTTGGGCGAGATCATTTGCGCATTTTGCAGCTGTGGGGGGGGAAGGCTATCCGCATCGCTCGGCCTAGTATTGACGGATGTTGGTATAATAGGTTTGACTGGTGTAGTTTGATTGTGCTGCGGCTCCTGGGCTACTGATGGCTCCTCTGCATCATCTTCTAAAGAAGCGAAACTGGGAAAATCTCCATAGTCGGATTGCGAAGGTTGAGATGGGTGTTTAGAAGACACGTCGGGTATCTGTTCTGATTGAGTTGTAGCAGGAGGCGTTCTAGGTGCACTTAAAAAGGTACCGGGGTTTCTCTCAGTTGGTGTCATAGCTTTGAGCTGAGAATTGTACCAGCTCGAATTTGATTGGTCTCGATATCCAACCCGAGGGGTATTCGTTTGACTGGTAAAGCGACCATCGTTGAACTTGAGAACCTTCTGCGAGTGGCCCTCGTCTACAACACGAAAATCGTGCCAAGGTAGCAATCGACCAGCTTTGATACTCTCTCTGACCCATGCGGGCTTCACGATGCGATATCGCCGGAATTCCTCGCATTTCTTTGGGGTCAACGAGCTCGCGATGATATGAGTCGCGGCGGTCTTGCCATCCAAGTATTGAAGGAATCCACCGCCATGGCTGACAATGAGACGGTGGAGGTCTTGTAGGGACGGCTGCGTGTAACCGTTGACATGCGCGACGACTCCGCGAAATATCGGTGGACACTCTCCGGAAGTGGCTCGAATGTCTGCATCTAGATTCTGTAACTTGATTTTCTTGCGTCGCATATAGTCTCCAAAGCCGCCGAAGCTGGACGCTTCATACTCTTCGCCCGCCTCATCGTGAAAATCATCTATACAAAAATGCAACTTCAGCTTAGAATATGGACCCTCAATACTGAAGGACAACGGGTGAGAGTAGGACATACGATTTTCGATGCGCTTGCGCACGGCGCTAGATGTTGCATCAAGTCGGGAGCCCATAGTGGGCCAGCAGGACCACCATGACCGGTCCGTACACGTAGGACAGTCTTTGGATCGTGCGGTTGACGCTTCCCAAGACTCGCGCGCGCCACATGCGAATCACGCGTCACCGGCAGAAATCAAGTGGGAGTGAGGCGGTGGATCCATCGGTGAGTGGAGGCAAGTCACGGGAGCGGTGAATACGTCAAATGTAACTTCATTGGCCTCTTCATTGGCCTGATGGGTCGGGCAGAAAAAATTAATTAAAAAAAAAGAGCAGAGCTTTGGGTGATCTCTGTTGCTCCAGTTGCGGGTCGCATCTTTTTCTTCTTCCCATCCACGCCCGTTTCTCTTCGGTGGTTCATTTCCCTCTCTCCCTATTCATTCCCTTCTGCTGTCTGCAATTTCAATTTTCTTCAACCAATACTATAAAAATGTCTGCCGTTCAGCCGGTTGCCGTGTATGCCCTCCGGGTTCCTCCCGGTGTTATGGTGCCCGCTGTGCCTAATGCCGCCGCCTCGGTCAGTATCAGATCTCACAATGCATCCCGAATTTTCTGCTGACTTTGTTCCACCAGTTCCGTGTGAGCATGGCTGCCATCGACCCCGATGAGGAGCCTGAGTTCGACGACGGTGACTCCAGCAAGCCTGGTCGCGCAACCTTGAAGATTGTTCGCCCTCCTCCCGGTCTCGACATGGGCGATTCCGATGACGAGGACTACAGCGATGATGAGGACTACGATGAGGAAGACTCTGATGACGAGGAGGTCAATGGTGGTCCTAGCGACAAGGAGAAGGCCCGCAAGCTCAAGCAGGCCGCTGCCCAGAAGGAACTCGAGGAGGCCATGGAGGAGGATGACGAGGATGATGAGGAGGAAGATGGTGGCTTCGATCTCAAGGCTGCCATTTCCAAGCTGCTCAAGGGCAAGGGCCCTCTCACCGATGACGACGAGGAGGAGGAGGATGACGAGTCTGATGAGGGCCTGGACCTTGATGAGAGCGTTATCTGCACTCTGTTCGCTGATAAGGTAAGAATTGTCCTGGTTTGTTGTGAAGAAAATATTTGCTCTGATACTAAACTCCTTTCTGCAGAGCTGCCAGCAGCCTCTTGACATCGTCGTCTGTGAGGGCGAGCCCGTCTTCTTCAAGAACACTGGTAACCAGACCGTTTTCCTCACTGGCAACTACGTTATTGGCCTTGATGAGGGCCACGACCATGACCACGATGACGATGAGGAGGATGAGGATGACTACGACCTCTCCCCCGATGAGGATGAGCTTGACATGGAGGAACTGATGGCCCTGGATGGCGACGAGAGCGACGACCTGGATGGCATGGACGACCCCCGTATCACCGAGGTCGACAGCGAGGAGGAGGCCCCCAAGTTGGTTGAGGCCAAGGCCAAGGGCAAGGGCAAGAAGCGTGCCGCCGAGGAGGAGGAGAGCCTGGACGATATGATGGCCAAGGGTGCCAAGGGCAAGGCCGCCAAGGAGGAGCCTGCTCTGACCAAGGCTCAGCAGAAGAAGCTGAAGAAGAACAACGGTGACGCCGCCGCTGTTGAGCCCAAGAAGGAGACCAAGGCCGACAAGAAGGTTCAGTTCGCCAAGAACCTGGAGCAGGGCCCTACCCCCAACGGTGACAAGCCCACCGGCACCCTCGGCGTCAAGGAGATCAAGGGCGTCAAAATCGACGACAAGAAGCTCGGCAAGGGTGTCGCTGCCAAGAGCGGTAACACTATCTCCATGCGCTACATCGGCAAGCTTGAAGACGGCAAGGTTTTCGACTCCAACAAGAAGGGCAAGCCCTTCACCTTCAAGCTCGGTAAGGGCGAGGTCATCAAGGGTTGGGACATCGGTGTCGCCGGCATGGCCCCCGGTGGTGAGCGTCGCATTACCATTCCTCCTCACCTCGCCTACGGCAAGAAGGCCCTCCCCGGCATTCCCGCCAACTCTAAGCTGATCTTCGATGTCAAGCTGCTTGAGATTAAGTAAATGTTGGACTGATTTCTATATTCATATCTGTTACTTCGCAAGGGTGTTTATTTTGTGGGTTTACCGGTTTTATAGCATGATTCACCGTGATATCCGGCTTGTCTGTCTATTTCTTGCCTGTCCTGCTATGGCGGAGATGAGGCATATCACGAGGAATTCATATTCCCTTTGCATGGAAAAAGTGCCCGATTTTGTTCTGTAATTTGTGTCCCCTACTATGTATTCGAATCCAACCAGCCTTTTGGCTTTTCAGATATTCTCATTCTTTTTTCCCCCTATGCTCTCGTATTTGGTACCATGACGTGTTTCGTAGTGGGAAGCCCTAATTCGCGCTTGCCATCTGTCGGAGACTGACTTGTTTCTTTCGCGCTTTCAGACTTGCTCCCGATCTTTGAATCTTACCGACTCGCAGTTCTTTGGATTGTCGAATCCCATCCACTGCCAGCCGCTTTCTATCATTAAACTGTCAGCGCGCATGTCGCATGCATAACCAACGACCGCCGTTGACGGACCACCGTTCCTTGACCTCCGCTGGGCGAAGCATATTCAGCATCTGACAGAATGACAGTCTCTTACGGAAAAAAGCCACGACGCCGACGAAGCGTATTCAATCTTTGGAATCAGCCCAAAGTCACCTCTCGTCACAGCAAACCATTCCCGTCTCCGGCCGACACGGCAGTGTCCGACAGTTCCGTATCTCCCAACCCCATTGACAGGGGTAGCAGAGCTCGATTTCGATTCCGATTGACACGGAGCAGCTCGAAGTTCTTATTGTTACTTGGGCTGGGGAATTCCTCCAACAGTTTGTTCTTCATATGCCCTGGCCTGCTCCTAGCTTACTATGCTGACTTTCGAATCACAGGCAACAAGACAAGCGTCGAATCAGGCGACGATGTCCAAAAACCTGACCGTGACCTGCACATTCTAGTTGTCTCGGGGGCTGCCCAAAGTGACTCGAATTATATGACAGGCAGTTGTTTTCTTGAGACCCAACCCCTGATCGGTACTACTTGTGGCAACATACTGCTGGACATCCCGGACAATTCCACGCAAAGCCCAGCAGATGGCAAGGCATCAGGCCGCAAGATTGATGCTCAAGTCGACGGAGAGGACATCCAGCAAGACCGCGATAACATTCCTTCCACATTTAATGTCGAACCCCAAGGTTCGTCAAACTCGAGACTCATGGACCGCGTTTCTCAAAGACTCTCGTTAACATTTGGGCACCCAACGGTGGTTCATCGCACCCACTTACGTTCCAGGCCCAGTGAAATTTTCCTCCACTCTCCATTATTGTCCAGCAAACAAGGGGATGGGGCCAACGATGACAGCTCGGATCCTTCAACCACCCCAAGCAGTAGTGGCTCTCCCATGGGCTGCTCAACACCCTGGACCCCAGTGACATCCGCAGAGCCATCTCCTTCTTCATTGGAGAAGTACAAACCTGAAGTGAACGAGTGGTCTACAATTTCGAACTGTATTTCGAGCCCAAGCTCGACGCCAAGCGGCAAACCGCCTGTCACTCCTCCGTCCATTCTTACCGTGGAAACTGCGTCTGTCGCCAAGGTCTATCTTGAACTCTACTTCAATTCCATTTATGAGAACGAAGACCCACGCTTCCAGCGTCAATACGAATTAGAGCAGCACATCTCTGCGTTCCATCTGGATCCCGAAGAGCAGGAAGCTACCCGACGTAACTGGGCCCTGCAAGAGAATGAATATATGCGGCAGTGTCGAATGTTGAAAACCCGTTTAAAATCCCCACACATCAATCGAACAGACTCGGTTGCTGGATACGAAGTCATTAAAACGCTAGGAAAAGGCAGCTTCGGGCAGGTGCGTCTGGTGCGCGAGAAAGATAGCCAAAAATTGGCCAAGGGCGATGATGAGAGCCCGCTGCGCGATGCCATTACTTCCAGCGCAAGAAGCCGACATCTTAATACAGTAAGATCGGCCGTTGATGGAGCCAGACACAGCAGACGCAAATTCATGACAGGCGAAAAGAAGGAAGTCTATGCCATGAAAGCGATCAAGAAATCAGACATGATCCGCAATTGCCAAGAAGGTCACATTCGAGCGGAGCGAGACTTTCTCGTTGCCTCTGAAAAATCTCACTGGGTCGTTCCATTGATATGCAGTTTCCAAGATGACAGCTACTTGTACCTCGTCATGGACTACATGGTTGGTGGGGATTTCCTTGGGCTTTTGATCCGCAGGGATATTTTGCGTGAAGAGTGGACACGGTTTTACACTGCCGAGATGGTTCTGTGCATCGAGGAAGCTCATAAACTTTGTTGGATTCACCGTGACATCAAGCCAGACAACTTTCTCATATCGGCGTCTGGGCATCTGAAAATTTCTGACTTTGGGTTGGCCTTCAATGGACATTGGTCTCATGATCAGGCATATTACAACAACCACCGCTATTCTCTGCTGCAAAAGCTTGGTATTGAGATCGAAGGCGATACTGAAGATCAGGCTCAAGCTGCAGAAGCGGAGAAAGACTCGAACATGGATCCAAATGCAAAAGATCAGAGTGACTTTCCCCAGTATCGGGTGCCTTCAACGGGTCTTCTTGCATGGCGGAACAAAAAAGGGCGACGGCGATTTGCAAAGAGTGTGGTTGGTACCAGCCAGTACATGGCACCAGAGGTCATTCGCGGAGAGATGTATGATGGAAGATGCGACTGGTGGAGCTTGGGTGTGATTATCTACGAGGCGAGTGAAGTTCATTCCTGCTCTAAAACGTTCTAAACTCACATTTCCAGTGCTTATATGGGTTCACTCCCTTTGCCTGTGAGACCCGCTATGACACTAAAATCAAAATTCTCGTAAGTGACCCGGGAATCCTCTTGTATAAAAATAGTTTAATAATGCTGTTCTATAGCAACACTCGAGAACTTTACTATTCCCGCGCGACAGTCCAACAGAGAAAATAGTTTCGCAAGAGGCTATTGACCTCATGGCAAGACTCCTCCAAGAGCGTCAATTCCGACTGTGCTCGCCGAAATACAGAGCCAATGATATGTTGGCTGGTCACCCTCCATCAGCTCAATTTCTGTACTCAATGGATCCTCAATGCCGAAACTACACAAGCTATTGGGTGTACCCCGATGACGCCGCAGACATCAAAATTCACCCTTTCTTCAGAGGTATTCGATGGAATGAACTACATATGACTCGGCCACCATATATCCCCAGAGTCAAAGACTGGGAAGATACTCGTTATTTCGACGACTGGAAAGGCATCGACAATCTCGAGCCGCAAGCAGAGGAAAGCGACTCGGAGGAAGAGTCTGATGAGAACATTGGCGCAAAGCCCCAGGCTGCCTCTACTGGGAATATGGTCGTGAATTCTTCTGGCCATCCACTTTTCGAACGGCCAGTGCGAGGAGGCGATGCTATTTTCCCTGTCCCAGCACCTGCGCAAGCTGTTGATCCGAACTCGCCAACCCGAAAAACAGAGAAACAGAAAGAAAGAAAACGACCGCGAGACAAAATTCTGCGTGATAGAAAGGTCGGCAAGACAGCTTTGGAGATCCGCAAGAGAGGTGCCTTCTTGGGATATACATACCGACGACCGAAGGGTCCGGCCATGGCCCTGAGAACCGAACGAGGGCGACAGCCATTCGCCAGGGGAGCACTCGCAGATCTCTATGTTCCATGAAAGTGTTAAAAAGGAATCCTTTGAGTGCGTGTTTGCAGAGAAGTTCTTGAGTTTGATTACACGTTTTGACTTTGGAGGTTACGATCTTTCTTTGACCAGCCTATTCATACCCACACCCTCGTCCCTACAGGATTCACCGTGTTCTGGAGCTAAGGTACCCGTGAGGGCCTGATTATTCATTGCTTGATATTGTTATAGTTCCAGGCTCAGATGAGGTTTCTTTGCTTGAATTGTGCCATTCACTAGTTGAGCTTGGGCTGAACCGATACAATACCCTCAAGGGCATATATATCGTTTCTGACTCTTAGGACGTTCGGGCCAAGGATGATTCACTACATATTCCCCATTCCGATTCCATGCGCACAGTCCTTCCTCCTCATAAAAGACTACAAGGAATGAACTTTTCTTCACATAAGTGTAATACTCCATAGTTGATTGTATTGATATATCTGACGTAGAATGTGATGTACAAGAAACAGAAAAGGCATCGTATGCAGGACATACCCCAACCAGACCATGCTGGTCAATATATAAAAAAGAAAGTCAACAAATCAACGTACAGAGCATTCTGTCTCCGGCCTGAGGGATATAATGAAGAAAAGACTTAGAGGCCCCAATGTTTGTGTAATCACAGCGTGGGTATCGTATTGAAAAGATGCACATAAAAGGGGACCATTCCACGGAATTTTCTTAGGATTATGCGAAACTTCTCGTTTTAAAGGATAGGTGCACTCATGGAGAATGCCGAGTCCGTTACCCGGTCCTCCGGTTTCATCGTACCATTCAGTAGAGGACAAAGCTTCTTGTTCGTCTTGATGTGTCCGACCTGACCACAGTTGGCGCACTTGCGTTGCGTCCCGGCGGGTTTGCCGTCCGCAGGAGAATCCCCTGCACGAGAGATGCCCTTTTGCTTCTCGCGCGCAAAGCGGCGTTCCTTGTTTCGGTTCAGACGGCTTAGCTCGGCCTCGATCAATTTGCGGTTACGAGCGTCCACCTCGGGGTCACCCGTTGGTTGTAGGGATTCCAGTTTGGTGGTAAGAGCCTCGGAGCGGTGGCGGTGCTGGATGTATTGTCTGATGACCCGCGGGTCCCAGACAAGTTGTTCCTTCTCCAAAATCTCGCCGTTGGGGGCCTTGAATTGACGGGTGATACGCAGGACCTTGCCTTTCTGACTCGCGAAACTCATCCGACTGAACTGACTGGTTGTTTCATCATCGTATCGTCTAGTCGGTGCAGGTGTCGGAGCCTCGGATCGGGGGGTAGGCTTGCTAAACTCTTCCATCTCGCCTTGATCGACGTCACTCTCTTCGTCTGAGTGCTCGATGGTGGAAGACAGACTTGCCTTTTGAGCATCCCAAATTCGGCGGATGGAGGTTTCGTATGACTTTTGTTGACGTGCGACGTTATAGCTGTGACCACCGAGCTCCTTAAGCCGCTGTGCGTCAAGCTTATCTTCGACACTTTCACCAATAGCCTTAAAGCCACCTTTCATCGAGGTTTTGATGAAACTGAAACCTTCGCCACGACCGGTGGGATCACCTTCGCCATGAAGTTTGAGCATGGCTTTGCCCTGAGAAGCCAGCAAGAAGTTGCGAGATGCCTTCCAGGGAGCCATCAGCTGTTCGAAGCTCTCGCTTTCCTCGTCCTCCTCGTTCTCATTGTTATTTTCTGCGTCGTTGCCAAAACCGGTATCGTGAAGATGTTGTTGGCCGACCTGCATAGACTCTAACAGACAAACATCCTCTGGCTGAACCCAAGACCGGATGGTGTCCTGGTCCGGGAGGACGGGATCCAAAGGTTTCCAGTACTTGGTATCCTTGTCGTGCTGTAAGAAATCTTTGACTTTTTGCCGATTCTGCATGTCGGTTGTACCAGGGATGTGGGCCGTTACATCAGAGATTGCAAGTCGCTCGTCTGAACTCTTTTTGAGAAGTCGGTAGACGAGCATCTTCATTCGATTCTTAGCCACGGTGGTGACTTTGCGTGAGTGTGGGCCGGGGATATCGACGGATGGGAACTGCTGTCCAGCGATATAAAAGTTTTCAATGTTGCGTATGTAGTAACTCGTGCCCATCGAACCGGTCGTACTTCGGATGACCAGGAAATCGGTCGACTTGGCTTGATGTGGAAACAATGGCGCCCGGTACATTGAGTTGGAGATGGCTGGAACGATCTCACCGGGGTCAACATGCCCGAAGATAGAGAAAGGACTTTTGTCCTGCGGGAGCAAGACCGCGGTTTCACCAATCTCGGCCTTCGGGCGAGTGGGGTCGTCTGGGTTCTTCCTTCGGTAGTAGTTGATGAATCGGTTACACATGCCGAAGTTGGAGAGCACCATGGGAACCTCCTCGGAATACTCCACTAGCAAGGCGCTGGAGTTATCGGCCAGCGAGAGTGACTTGGTTGAATCGAACACAGCTTTGGCATCTTTGCCCTTGAGATGCTTGCGTTTGACATGTCCCGGGTTCTTAAACCAAGACGTTTGTCCAGTTCGGAAATTCAAAGCTGGTCTGTGGAAAGATCGAGCTTCTGCTTTTTGCAGCTCGGTCTTGTAGTAGGGCCACTGCAAGCGCAAGGCTGGCAGTGCATGTTCTAGAGTGACATTTCCAAGAGTACTGCGAATCTTGTTTTGATGGTTTTGCTTGAGCATCTCATATGCCTGGTCATTTGAAATGTTGTATCGCGAGGTGAGCTTGCGAGTTAGATTCGTGTCGACATCTTCCCTATTTCGGGGACCAGCCTGTTTAGGCTTGGGGACTACTGCGTCCGGCCTCAACTCTTCCACAAGGATGTTGGGGTCGTTCATGTCAATAGTCACCCTCTTCGCAATATGTGCAACCGCCTGCTCGGGCTCATCTAGAAGAGGAATATCAAGGTGGGAGAGGGCGATGACGTCGATGGGCGTTGGGCCAGTCTTGCGCTTTTTAGAGGGTGGATTGTCTTCCATCAGCCAGTCTGCATCATCGTCGAAGAGGTCGTTAGAAGCATGTGGCGCAGGAGCAGTAATTTTAGGCTCCTCCTCTGCCGTCGGGACGCTTTCATCTTTGACATCCCAGTCGACACAGATGGTGCGGAGGTCTTGCATGGTGAATCCTCCTGGGAGTACTTCATCCGCATCAGCCTCACCCATGTCGAAGTCTTCCCTTTCCTCCTCTTCCTCTTCTTCCTGGGCGGCTTCAGTGATTACCACAATACCCAAAGACTCATGGTCCAGACCGCGTTTACCGAGCTGGCCAGTTCTAAACACGCGCTCCTGGTCGGGGGCAAGTTCGATGTTGACTTTTGTAGGGAGAACCGGCTTAGGAACTTTGAGAGGCTGTTTTCCAAGGTAAAATGCCTTCTTGTGTGGGATGATCTCCAGCCAACGTGGGAGGGTGTTGCGGTCAAAACTGGGGAACAAGGAATGCAGAAGCTCCTCGTGATTTTCCGGTGGCGCTGGTAGATGGTCGGGGCCGGTCCTTCCAGACATAGCAAACAACTGTTGTTGGAGCTTCCATGCGCGCAGAGTCGCTTCGTCCATTTCCTCCGAAAAGACACTGGCATCATCGAGAATATCATCTTCGTCCACATCCTCAGTCATGGGCTGATCCTGGGCCTCTTTTAAGGGCGGAATCGGCGGTAGCTCGACGGGCTGTGTTGTCAACGACGTTTCTTCATCTTCAAAGAGGTCCCGGTTATCATCCACCTGACCAGCAGGAGGGGGAGAAAAAGGCCCTTCACCAAATAGATCATCGAGGTTGTCATCCTGAGCCTTTTCACCTTCGCCGGTCCCTCCAAAGATGTCGTCACTTGGTCCAAACAGCCCAGCATCATCAGCTCCTAAGTCTGCGAAAAGGTCATCGTGCGCGTCGTTCGCAGATGGGCGCCGTGTCGCTTCCGGCTCTTCCTCATCGGGGAGTTCATCATCCTCAAAGTCTTCGTAGTCGACCGCGTCATCTGCCTTCTCTCCAACATCCAAATCTCGGCTGAGGAAGTCAAACTGTGGGCCGCCTTCGTAGTTGTTCAACTGGCGCATAACATTGTCGAACTCCGCATCTTCCGGGGCCTCCTGGGCCTGGTTCTGAGTAGCGTGAGGCATGTTGCGATGAGTGAAGAGAAAACGTGAAGAGAAGCGGGAGGACGGGGAGGGTAGTGAGGGAACGGCGCGGTGGAACGTCAAGTTTAAAGGAGTGGCTGAGAATGCCAGAGACTGGCGCAGGACGTTGGTGAAGGTCGAGCGGGTAGGCAACAAGAGAAGAACCAAGTTGCGCGCATCGAGTTGGCTATCCCGCCGACCAGAAGTGATGGGAAAGTTGTCTTTCGCCCCGGCGGCGCGATCAAAACGAGAGGAAGAAGGGATGCGGCGAGTGCCCAAAGGGGTTTAGTGCCGTGCCGGATTACCTGTAGCTTCTCCTCCCCACTTTTACCTTAACCGTCAATGCTCAACTCTCGTCCGTGACATCCTCATCTTTTACTTTTGCTTCTGATATAGCCCCTGTTTCTTTATTTTATCTGTTTGCTCACATGTATCAACCTGAAACTGGCCAGATAATGCTCACCTAATTTCATTTTAACAGAAAGTCTTCCTATTACTCTCTATACGAACCACGATACACACGGCCCATTGTTGATACAGCACAAGACCATTATTGCGTGGGCCTGCCAGTGATATCTAGACTCCTTGTCACCGATCACTCGTCTGGTCGATTAAGAGTGACCGCGACATCAATAACTATGAAATATGTTTATTCATTCCTTAACCAAACTTGGCCCTGAAATGGCTCCTAAGCCCATCATTATTGAAGGTCCATTGTGACTCGAAAATAAACCTATAAGTGGCCAAACTCTCTTCTACACTGAGTCATTCAGCGAAAACACTAGGTGTAAAATAAACAGCACGTTGCGTTTCAAAAGCTGTTGGATGCTAAACACCGAGCGCTCAGCATAGGTTACAAAATACACTAACCTAATTAGGCAATAAGCTACATACACTCGATGGAGCTCTAGGGGATGTAATCATTTTGAACCATTTCGTTTCATTAATGCTTTCGTTAGGGGTGAGGTATAAGCTAAGAGAAGGGCCTGCCTATGAGTTTTTATTAAAGTCGCCGTAGAAGATACACAGCGCTTTGCTATGCCCGTCCATGCAATAGTGCATCACCTCAGCCTTACGACCCTCGGGCACAAACTTGGCCAGCTGTCTCACATCGGATGTTCGGGGCAGATACAGGGCGACATGGGGAGTGAATAGCGAGTACTCCTTGTAAAGTTTCTCGAGGGAATATGGCTCCATGGTCCGCAGGTTGAAGACTTGATCTGAACGGTAACCCGGGCCTAGCACGCAGTGTCAGTGAGGGTCACTCGAGCTGTGAAGCATGAGTAGTACATACCACCCCAAGGCGGGCTTGCAAAAACCACACTGTAAGGTGCTAGATCTTTTAATTGGTTCTTCAGGATCTCGAAGCAGTCGCCCTCGAACCAGGTGATCTTGTCCTGAACGCCGTAGATCTTGGCATTGTGTTTAGCACATTGGAGAACCGCAGGATTCTTTTCAATGGCATAGACGCGCTTCCATTTTCCCGTCTTTGCGAAAGCGATGGTGTTGCCTCCAGCGCCGGCAAAGCAATCCACCAAGATACAGCGGCCAGCCGGAGCGACCTCACCGAGATGTGTTGCTATTTTGCTGTTCAACCCGTAAGCAGTGCACTATTGCGAATTGAGAATGATTTGTCAAGAGAGCACAAACTTCGCCACGGGTTCGGGAGTAACTCCAAACCAAGCATCATCCGTCAACCATACACCATCGTCATATCGGGAAAAGATGCGGTGCCGTTGAGACCAGTAACTAAGAAAGAGTCAGCGCTGACATGATCGCCCAGACGGGATATTGAAGGAGACGTACTTTTGAATATCCCAGGGGACTTCTTCAATACTTTCGTAATGATGCACCTCTGGTGGTGCGACTTCTTCCTCCGCCATGTCGCAAAGTCCGGTTGAGATATAAATCGCAAGTCTTCGATAACGAACACTGACCGATAAAGACACAAATCTGTTTGCTCTGTTTGCACCAGCATCCGGCCAGCTCGCATGCCCGCCATAGCTTCCCCAAGTATGGCCCCGATACTTTACTTGCAATACAACCCAAGCCCACTGCAAGTCTAATTGAGAACGCTATGTTTGGTGCGCTTAATCGTTTTATTGGACGGCTGGATGGCGAGCCTGTTCAACAGCCTCGGAATGGCCCCAGCGACAACGCCTATGGTTTCCAAGTACTCCGCAACAAAGACACAGAGCTGCCCTTGGAGCCTTGGTTCGACTTTATTGTAGGAATTAACGGTCACCCTATTGTGAGTGCAATTAGAGACTCTTTAAAACAAAAAAATACACGTTGTGCTAATGCCTACTCGCAGGAAGATCCAGATCCAAACCTCTTTGCGACAGAAGTGCGCAATTGCGCAGGCTCTAGCTTGACGCTGGAAATCTGGAGTGCCAAGGTACTTTAAGCCTGTCCCAATAGAGCTGCATGAGAATAGCAACTGACCTTTATTGTGTTCCGCGCAGGGTCAAAGAACACATACAGTCACAGTCCCCATTTCAGCGACAACGCCCTCCCTCGGCCTCGCACTACAACTTGCCCCCCTTTCCTCTACCCAAAACATCTGGCATGTCCTTGGGATCCCATCACCGCTGAGCCCTGCATTCCGCGCAGGACTACTGCCACATTCGGACTACATTATCGGCACACCGAGCGGGACGTTACGCGGGGAATCTGCGCTCGGGGAGCTGGTAGAGGACCACCTTGACCGCACCCTCGTTCTGTGGGTATACAACAGTGAATTTGACGTCGTACGGGAGGTCGAGCTCATTCCCACGAGAGGATGGGGCGGCGAAGGTGCCCTAGGTGCCGAGCTGGGCTACGGTGCCTTGCATCGTTTACCAATCGGGCTGGGCGAGGAAGTGGAGGGACCTGGCGAGGTTGTCTTTGAGACGCGCGCAGATGGATATCCCGCGCCAATGCCGAATCACGACGGAGCTTCGGCGACGGCTGAACCCTCCGCAAACTACCTCGTCCCAGCAAATATGGTATCTCCCCCTCCTCTTGCGTCCCAGACAAGAGTGACCTCACCCCCGAGCGGAGCATCACCCGCGAGCCGAAGGAGTGCCAAAACACGACACGGGGTCTCTCCTAACAGTGCGTTTGACGATTACTTTGCCGAAGGCGAGCAAAAGAGCCGGGAGCAGGACTTTGCGCCATCGCGGAAGGGAACGCCTCTGCCTCCTCCGCCTAAACTTGGTGTCTCACCCTCCAATTCGAGCAGTCCAGCTCCGGCTGCAGCTGGAGCGACAGGAAATGCGGAGGCGGTGGAAGGAGAACCGGGGCCAGCACAAGAAGAATGATGATATAATTCTTTGTTGGAGCTGGAGTTTCTGTAGAGTACATGAGTTTAACCATTATACCAATGACAATAGTTCTTCCTACCTAAATCTTTAAACAGCTTAAGGTTACTGCCACGTATAGAAAAAGAATTTTTGTTGAACCAAATGATATTTTTTGTCAAACAAAGGGGACATCCGGATTATATCATCGGATCTACGAGTTCTAAGCGTACATATGCAAAAGATGAAACTCCTCCCCTACCACCCAACGGTGACGGGACTCAAGCCTCGCAAATATAAAAAATCTAGTGACCCTTGCTCACCAACTCCTCGAGCTTCTTCCGGGTCTCACCAATCTTGTCCTCCATCATCTGGCGGGCCATACCGCTGTGCGCAATGCCGGTATACCAGATGTGCTCCGCCCGCTCCCGAACTGCAAGGTGCTTCTCCGCAACGACAGGGAACTTCTTCTCATACTCCCAAGCCAGATCCGAGACGTTCTTCATCGTCACGGGCAGGAGAGTGAAGGCAGCGACGGTCCCGAAAGTAAGCGGGGACAGAGTGCGGAGGAAGACGCCGCGGTTGCGTGATACGATGGATCCGGCCATGGCAGACACGATAACGTAAATACCGCCGGGAGTCAGGCGCTCACCAGACTCGGCAGGAGGAGCGAGCGATGCAATAGTGTTGGTGAACGCGTTCTCGATGTGCAAAGCGCGGGACAGGAAATCGTTGAAGCTGTTCTCCGCGGCGAGGGAGTGAGAGTAGAGGAAAAGCCGGGCTTGCCGGATCTGAGCGGTCAGGATGTCTGTTGGAGTGGGCGAGGAGGAGGTGGATTGCGATGTGGGCAGAGAAATCGCCTTTGGGGCCGGAGCTGCGGGCTTGGAGGGTTCCGGGATATCGGACGGGAAGTCATCGTAGATGGGCTTGCGCTGTTTGGGGAAAGTAGGCGCGAATCAGAAAGAGCTATCCCGGGAAGGCATGTCAGGAACGAGTAGATTCAGGTCATCTCACCTCACGAGGCTCCTCGGCGTAAGCAGTTTGCTTGGGGTACAAGGCCAGGCCTCCTGCGAGGAGGGTGGCTGCGATCGGAGCCACAGCCCGCTGCCATCGAGTTAGTACTCCATTGACTGGTCAATTGCGCGAGAAAGACCCGATATCAGCTATCGGCGATCAGACATACCTGCTTCAACATCGGCCGGAATGACATCCTGGGGGTGTGGGGTGATGAAGCAGAGGGTTGATGGGTTGAGGGTGAAGCAAAGTCGGGTTGGAGCCAAGAACGGGAATTCTTCGGCTCGGCGGAACACCAAGAAAACTCCCCCGTCATTGCCCGTGTCGACTTCTCTCAATCTCCGCATTCGCAGCACCGGGTGTCTTGTGGTTTCTTTTTGCATTGGTGGCCTTTTTTCTATTTCTAATACTCTTGTTGTGATATTCTATACAACTTCTACCATGCTCCGCCCTCTCGGGCGCCGGTCGTGGACGTGCCGCAAATGTCTTTCCCAGCGACAATCACGATCCTTCGAAACCGCCGCATCGCAAGCCCCTAGGCTCCACGCCGATTACGTACCAGCAGACAATAGCGCGCCGAGAAAAACCGCTGACGACGAAACCTTACGCCGTGTGTTCGACTCGCAGCAGTTTTGGAAGGAGTTCTCCCACAAGCGCAGCGTAACCTCCAAGCGGGCAGGACTGGTCCAGAACCAGTACTTGACAAGTCCAGATGGCTTCCGGATATTTGCCAATGTTTCGCTGCAGAAATGCCAGGCGATCGTAGCAAGGGTCTTGCAAGCGTCCACATTGGATGAATACCGGGCACTAGCACGGAATCTCGATCGGCTTAGCGATCTTTTATGTCGCGTGATCGACCTTTCCGACTTCATTCGAACGATTCATTCCGATCCCCGCATTCAAGAAGCAGCGACGCAGGCGTACGCGCTCATGTTCGAATACATGAATGTCTTGAACACCACTACGGGTCTTCACGACCAGTTGAGTAAAGCTATCGCAAATCCCGAGGTGACTTCGCACTGGACCGAGGCGGAGACGATCGTGGCAAAGATTCTCATGAAGGACTTTAAAAACTCGGCCATCCATATGCCGCCGAGCGAGAGGCAGAGATTTGTGAATCTGTCCAACGATATCAGCCAGGTCGGCTCCGAGTTCTTTGGTGGTGCGGAGCCAGCTAAGTCTCAGGTTGTCTTTAATGCGAATAGCCTCCAAGGGCTAGACCCGTTGATGGTACAGCGAATTAAGAAGTGGAATAACAAAGCCCCGGTGCCAACGGCCGGTATAGTCCCGCGACTCGTGCTACGGTCTGTACGAGACGAGTCCGTTCGGAAGGATGTATATCTTGCGACTCGAACGTCCAGCTCTCGCCAAATTCACCGATTAGAGAAACTTCTGATGAAGCGATCGGAGCTAGCACAACTATCTGGCTACAATAGCTTCGCTGATATGACCTTGAGCGATAAGATGGCCAAGACGCCCGAGGCAGTGTCCAACTTCCTGACGTCGCTGATCTCAAGCAACCGAGGACTTGTCAGTGAAGAGCTGTCCCAGTTGCAGCAAATGAAGGGTGGCTCGCTGCAGCCATGGGATCATGCTTATTATGTACACAAGCGAGTGATGGAGTATTCTCAGGCCCGCCGCTCGCGCGAGTTGAGCTCCGTGCCCGAGTTCTTCTCTCTGGGTACCGTCATGCAAGGTCTTTCTCGACTGTTTGATCGTCTCTACGGCGTCCGATTGGTACCTCAGGAGGCTACTCCTGGCGAGACCTGGCACCCGGATGTCCGTCGATTAGACGTGGTCAATGAGGCCGAGCAGCATATTGCAGTCGTCTACTGTGATCTGTTCTCGCGACCTGGCAAGCATCCTAACCCTGCCCATTTTACCCTCCGTTGTTCGCGTGAGATCTTGACGGATGAGGTAGCGGAATGCGCCTCGATGGATCAGTCTGTTCACCCGAATGATGGAATGGCCACCGCAGTTGACCCGCAGACGAACACTTTGCGCCAGCTGCCCACCATTGCTCTCGTGTGCGATTTCCAGGAACCTGTCACGAATGGTTCTGGTCGACCGACACTCTTGAGCGAGCAAAGCGTGCGCACTCTGTTCCACGAGATGGGCCACGCTGTGCACTCGATCTTGGGCCAGACTCCCCTCCAGTCGATTTCTGGTACTCGATGCTCGACCGACTTTGCAGAGCTTCCTTCCGTGCTTATGGAGAGCTTTGCTACCGCACCGGAAGTGCTTTCGCTCTACGCACGACACTGGAAGACCAATGAGCCTCTGTCCGAGAGCATGATGCGTAGCATGGAGCAGGACCGCAATGCCCATGGATCGATCTATGGAGCCGTTGAAAATGAGGCGCAGATCCTCATGGCACTAGTGGATCAAGCCTACCACTCGATCCCCTCCGCCCAAGCAGCCAATGGAATCGACACTACCGACATCTACCACAAGGTTACCAATCAGTATTCGAGCCTGCCCGACCCGGATGATATTCGGCCCCGGACCTCCTGGCAAGGCTTCTTCGGCCATTTGTACGGCTACGGCGCTACCTACTACAGCTACATCTTCGATCGGGCAATTGCCAACAAGATCTGGCAGGATGTCTTCCTCTCTGGAAAGGCCGCAGTCGATCGCGCCGCAGGTGAAAAATACAAAAACGAAGTTCTTCGCTGGGGAGGTGGCCGCACGGGCTGGCAGTGCGTCGCGGGCGTGTTGGGCGAAGATAACGCTTCCAACGCCGACGGCCGATTGGTCGAAGGCCGGGACGAAGCCATGCGTGAGGTCGGCCGCTGGGGCCTCGGGCGAGACGGGGTGTCTGGCTGATCGATACGTTTGCTGCAACCTGTAATCTTGATAACGATATCCTATATATGTACAAATCATATTTTTTGAGTGACTGCATCCAACCAAGAAGAACCCGGTTGCAGTTCGCCTCTACAAAGTACATACCTGGTATTACATGAGTCGGATTGACCCCAGGCCCAGTAGTTCACCGTTGTAGATCATCAAAGAAAACCGCTCGCTTGGCAGCAGCCAGCCCGAATCACCAGACAGGACTAGGATGCATTGGGAACCCCCGCTCTGCATCAATATTGGGTGAACCTGTCTCAGACTAGTCAGGTTCTCAGCCAGGCTTCGTCAGTGGCGGTTGGTGGGAAGCGGTCGCAATGTCTCACTCGTCGCTGGAGTGTCTTACCGCGCGATAAGACCGCCTGCGTCCACGCGATCAAGTTCGCAAACCCTTCTAGGCGAATTGCTGCCATTTGATATGGTGATTGCTGGTAGTTTGGGCCGATGGCATATTGCCCTTTGGAGATTGCTCAGGTCCTTTAGCAATGTCTTAAATGATTGATTCGCTGGGGCCAGACAATAGCTGTGTTGCTGCACGCCCCGCCCTAGTCGTATCGTGCATGTGGCTTGGCTGCAGTGGTACTCCCGAGCTCCCGAGAGAACGAAAGTGGTAAGAGGGTGTGCTCCTGAAGCTTGTGATCGCCTAGGCAAAGGCAAAGCTGCCTGGTGGTGGTTACTCCAGGGTCGCATTCTTGATAACTGCGGGGCGTTGACCTTGTATATCTTTCCTCCCAGGCCCCGTCCTTCACTCGAGACTTGTGGATGAACCACAAAAGAGATTGACGTGCATGAACACCTCTTCACGTACAACACAGGCCATAATGTGGGTGCCTATTTCTTACTTTGTTCATCTGAGCTTGGGCTCATAGCTGTCTCAAGTTCTTCACTAACTTAGAGAGTCAAGTATGTCGGCTGCCCGGCATTAAAGCATTGACGAAGAGTCTTATGCCCCGAATATATAGCATAGGATTGGCATGAGTTATCTACTTCCATTGATGCCATCGAAGTCCTCATCATACCGTCTACGCGCCGTTTTTTTTTACAATCTCGAAGAAACATCCTGCAACATGTCCGAGTTACCATTTACTAGCGATAATGAATCCATTCAATCCCCCTCCACCACTTTCTCCACAGCCTATCAATCCATTCATCCACATCCTCGTCCACTTCGCCGGAAAAACACAGTGACCCAACTGACGCGATGGGTTTCAAAGAGGATCTCACGGTCATCCCCCACAGACAATGTTGGGGGGAATGAGCTTAGCGAGCAGAACCTCAAGGAGCTCAACAAGGCCATTAACACGGAAGCAGAGAGCCATGCTCTCGGGGAAACAAACACAGACTCAGACACCGCCTCTTTCGTCAAGGAACGAAAGGCAACGTTTGCAACAATCAGTGAGATCGAAGTGGAGCAAAGTCCAAAGTCGCATCTCGAGAGAGAACGAGAATTACGCGTACGACGGTCCTATGCGGCCTTTTGTGAAGACTTTACTCTATCTGGTTCTCCGGGCCCAAGGCGGATATTCCACATGACCATGGGAATGGACGACTGTGCTGAGGAGGAGGAGCAGCAAACGAAAAGCCCTCACACGGATTCTATACTCGAATCCCAGCCAAGCTCTGGTGAGGCACTGCCGCTCGAGCACGATCAATTGCGTAACGGAAAGTCGTTCCAACTATCAACCGAGACGACGGAACACAGATGTTTGGGGCCCGTTTCACCCCATGGAGAAAAGACATCCGAAACAATGGATCTTCAACAAACGGCCGCCGATGACGAGTACAATAATTGGAAGTCTCAAATACCACCTACACATTATCCATACCCCCCTTCTGCGATCATGACTCCGGCTGTCTATGAAGAGATGCAACGCGCAACTCGAGAAAGGAAGCGCGCCCGAAAACAAAAGCTCCTAGGACCTTTTCGGGAATTGTTCCTAAAGGTACAGCCTCTGCGAACGCAGGTATGACGTGAAAGATCGAAACGGGTGAATCAATAATTTTCGAGGAGTGCTTCGCATTCTCTATACCAGCCAGATATATGTAGAGCGGATTTTCGTCCGCCAACACTGGGTGCTGTCCTTCTGTTCTAGTGCTTACCCCCTCTACGACGAAATATAGGGTGGAGAGGGCCAGAACCCTGAATTTCTTGGTAGACTAATTACCGTTTTTCTTCCGCCCTTTACCCTAATTAGCCCAACTAAATATTCATGCTTATTGCATCACTAGGAGATCAACGTAGAGATTCACTAAGAAAACGGTTTAAAAACAGGTTTAGAAAAGGTCCAGGAAACCGTCCAGGAAACCGTCTGGGAAACCGTCTGGGAATCAATCTAGGAGGTTATACCTACGAATCGCCGCCCTTAGCAGGTTAATTTAAGGACTAGTTCGATAGTATCACCGCTGGGACTTGATTGCATATCAATTGAATATAGTCCGCTGTAGGCCTGATATAAATACAATAACATTTATTCTATCCTCTCTTATGCTACCCAATCCAAAATCGTTACTACTGATTATGACGAGGAATAACAGCTTGACGGTCTAGTCGGTCAAAACATCACATTTCTTAGGGTACCCCCAGTGTAAAGCCCAAGGTCCTACTTTCTCAGTTTAAATGAGCAACTCATTCCATTCTCAATTGGGTGCTCCTATGCATAAAGCTTGAAAACCACAAAGCGCATGAACACAACGAACTGACGTCCGGTAAATAAGTCAAATTCACAAGTGTGCACCCTAGAAGCATAGCCCAACGCACGACCTTACTGCGGAGTAGTAGGGGAAGCAGGGCTAAATCTCGCTCGGAGCATTTTGTGGCAAGGATCCGTCACATCTGCCCAGGTTCGCAGCTGTCTCGCGAGCGCCTTGACCACATCCAACTTGCCGTGCTCAGCGGCTGCATCCAGCTCGTCGTGGATGTCGTAGCACACTTTCCGTGTGCGGTCAAGTTCATCGAAAGCTTTCTTGGCCATGTCATCGGTAATCGAAGGCTTGTTGCGACGGGGGCCTCGATCGGCGGCGGCCAAAGTGCCAGGGTCCTGCGCAGCCCGCCAGAAGTTGCATCTCTGGAACTGGCCATTCCAGCGGCAGTTTGCACAGGCAAGGGCGTCCTCCGTGCCCCATGGCAGCTTTACGCACTTTGCCTAAAGATTTATTAGCATCCGATATATAAAAAGAACATCTTGATCAAAGTACAGGAAGGGAGTAGCATACCCAAGGGCCCTGGCTCTTCAAGCAGGAACGACATGGCTGATCCTGCACTTCACCCAGGCAGTACATGAAAGCAGACTCCACGTTAGAGAGCCTATCCCGGATGCGCTCTTCCTCGCGCTTGCCAGACTCGAAGAAATTCCATCTTGCCATCAGCTCTCGTGCCGGGTCCTGTGCAAAGAAAATTGATAGAAGTTTCCCCTTGGGCTTCTCTCCCTCCCGGGCGACCTTCCACGGGCACTCCCAGAGCAGCTTCGTCCACTCTCCGGGTTGCTTGTCCTCGCTTCCAGCGCTTCCAACGTGGCACTTGGGAACTGTAGACACGTCTCCAATCTCCACAAAGCTGGGGTCTTCTGGGTGACTTTTGATCATGTCAGTTTGATTTCCCTTTTTTTCCCCCAAGAATGGCCACTTACTAGTCCGACAGCAGGGGAGCTCTACACCGGACTGAGGGGACCTGGGTAGGGTCTGGAGTGGTCATCGTTTGGTTGAGGCGTAAGTGTAAGGATGAAGGTGTTTGAAGTGAGATGGTTTGAGGGAGCGCGGAGTCTCGAGAGAGGTTTGGAGATGAGAAGTGTTGAAGGGAGATGGAGGGAGATGAGTGGCGGGATGGTAAAGGTCAAAGCAGAGGGGGTCTGAGGGAGAGGATGTTGGAGAGGGACTTTCTGCAAGTGGTAAACCTGAAGAGGGAAAATCTGGGGTCAGAGAAACTTTGAGCGCGAGAGAGAAAGTTCGAACTGGGGATTCATATCAAACGGGAAACTCCGCTCTTGGTCTTGGAATACTCTTTCCAAACTTCCAACATCATCCATCTCCCATTTTCAAATCTGACGACTTCATTTCCCTCTGCAGCAGTATTGTCACATTAATGAGATATCAGGAATTATGATCGCAAACAAACAGCCATGAACCGTACAGATCCCGACGCCCCTTAACCTCTCATTGAGCGAGACGACACCAAGCCTGGGTACTGGGCCGAAGCTGCACTCGATAATCCTTGGAGTCGTGGACGCCGGAACTCTCATGACAATGATACCACTTTATACGAACTACACCAGGGCCATCTTGTTCGTGAGCCGGGCTTGCGTGAGTCCCGAGCCCACTTTGATGGGCCGCATTCACACCGAGCGGTGGGGAGCAAAGCCCAGGACGTGGAGGCTTTCCTGACGCAGGCCACTGGTCCCAAGGTGGTGCCTTAACATGGCTTGAAATCGCCAACGAGGGGTCCAACAGGGCTGAGGCGCAAGTCCGCGCCCGCCTGGACATCATCCTCGGACTTGTGCTAGGGTTCGCCAAGCAGGAGGGTCGAGTGATCACGAGAAGACAAGTATCGTGGGGTTACGAGACCCAATTTTGGAAGACCATTGAGATGGAAGGTGCAGTCGTCAAGTTGAGTGGAGTGGCCGGCCGGACTACGCACTATGGTATGGAGCCCAGGCCAGCCTCAAGACCAATCTAGTCATTGTGGAGGCCAAGACGACAGCACGTCTTGGTTTGACTGGGCAACAGCTACTCGCCTACCTGGGTATATGCCCCACCATAACGAAGACATTTCTAATCCGTTCATAGGCCTCGTGCTGCAATGTCCATCGCCTCGTCATTACCGGCCGAGCTGCTAAATTGGCGCCGGGACCTTGTTGGACCCCTCGTTGGCAATGTCAAGCCAAGTAAGGGCTTGTGCTAGGTCCACGAATAAGCAAATGAAGTGTTGAACTTGGAAGAAGAGGGAATTCACAAAGGATGGTGTAAAATCTGGTGAATGCTTGGGGGTCTTGTAGATCTTCTGTGAAAATGGGCTGCATGTCCCACTTGTCGCTTGGCTGCTCATTTTGGGGAGTGAGCTTGGTGAGGCTGAAGATTTCCTCCACCTCCTCCAGCGTCAAGTTGCCCATTGCTTTCGAGTCTGGATCCTCCCCGTTATCGGCCTTCTCTGGCTAGCTCCTCGAGTGTTGAATGCATTTCGTCAAGAGCGTCTTTGCTGACGTTGCTTGACTTGGAAAGCCACTTCAGGACCTTCCTGATTAGTTTGATGATCTGATTTCGATGGAGGGTGGAATGGCTAGCTGTCTTGCCTTTGGAATGCTTTGCCATAGTGACAGAGAGGGTAGGATGAGATGTTGGATGGCATGGTTGGAATCGACGTGTCAAAGAGAGGTGGTGAAAGTAACGTAGAGGACGCTTGTAGGACGGCGGATGGGGGCGAGTGACGGGTGGCAGGCTAATAGAAGGAAGTAGCAACCAGAAGGATGCTTGCTGAACTACAAAAGATTGAGCATATAAAGGATGATGAGAGAAAAGACGAGAGAAAAGACGAGAGAAAAGACGAGACTGATTTAGTTTGATATCACAATTCCTCTGCTAGCCAGAACATCATATTATTCAGGCAGCAATCGAATAGTCATCCATCAGTGGAACCAGGATCTTGGAGCGTATTCCGGCGCTATTATTCCTCGACACAATCAGTACTTTCGGAATTGGAGTTATTAGAGGGGATAGAATAAACATTACGGTATTTGGAACAGGCCGCGGCCCAGTCCGGGCGACTCATTGTAAGAGCTTGCCCATTATGGGAGTACTGTACACAGAGTCGACGTCTGTCTGACTTGATAACCAACGCATCCGATATTATAAATGGATACACACTAGGTGCGGAATTCTCCCTTCATCCTCTAATCACCTCACACTCAACCTCTACCTTCCCGTGATATTATGGCTTCAACAACAGAGCCGCACAAGGTTTTCCTGATACCCGAGATCCTGGAAATGATTTTGATACAGACCGATATGCAGACATTACTCACATCAGCTCAAAGAGTATGTCATCAATGGTATAATCCGATTCAAGACTCGTCCGATCTACAAGCCGCTCTTTTTTTCCGGCCCGTGAGATATACCCTACCACACGGGACGCCAGGCATCCGAAATCCGTTGCTAGCCAAATATATTTGGCCATGGTTTTGCTCAACCAGGGCGCAACGTTACGGAGCACCCCCAGTCAAAGGAGGGGTAAAGATACCTCAGATTGATGATCGGATTAAGGGACATTTTCGCCGAAAGAGAGCTAGTTGGAAACGAATGCTCTTTCAGCAACCTCCTCGATCTTGTATCGGACTGGTAGAGAAAGACGGAGGGATGGTGAATGGCTCCGCGTATACAGAGTTGAGAGTTCATTGGCAAGGGGACGATTTACGAATTGCCGTTATAGTCTATCCCTATGCGCTACCCCATAGCCATATTCACCCTCTACCGGAGGAGGGACTAGTCTGGTATGGAGATGTTCATACTGATAAGGCTCTGAAAGCTAGTCCTTTCCTTAAAAATTATCGAGATGGGGTAGAGGTCCATGGAAAAATCCATAGGAGCCAGGTAGCGTACGCTACCTCCAACTATCCAAGGGATTGTGATATTGTGCTTTTTACCTTACACTGCGCTAGGGCAAGGGGGCAGCGACAAATGGCAGATGGCCAGGATTCGTTCTGCATCAGCAATCTATATTGTTGGCTGTTCGATTTTAGGATGAGTCTTGTGCCGGGGCAGACATCCATTCCAATGCCTTTAAACTAGCTGCTTTCGAGATTTTCTGCCTTGGTAGGCATGACCAGCCGATGAAATCTGCTTCCTACTTTGCAAAAGTGAGGTGACTCAGCGAATACGAGGTTGTCCAGAACACTGAACGCCACCCTAGACTTATAAGCTCGTGACCCCGCCAAATCAATGAAACCAAAATCGAACGTCAGATTCCATTATCGTAAGAGAATCCTCAACAATAGCCATCATGGAAAACTCGGCAAGCTATGAGGGTAGCTGTCACTGTGGTCAGGTGAAGTATACGGTGCGGATATCACCACCAATCTCGGAGCAGACTGTGATGCAGTGCAACTGTAAGGATTTGACGAATTCGAATCTAATTCTCTATATATCCCTAAGTACTAATACCCTAATTCTCTCTAGGCTCAATCTGCTACATCAACGGTTATTTGATGATCTATCCAAAGACGGCCGATGTCACTTTCCACCACGCCGATGATGCAGTGAAGGTGCGCTGGACGAATGGAGGTTGGGAGACATTACACTAATTTTGAATTCAGGAGTATCGATTTGCGTCAAAGAATGTTCCGCATTACTTTTGTACCAATTGTGGTACCAGTGTTTACGGCAAAGCTGATATACCAGACAAGAGACACATAATGGCTGTCAACGTATGGTTTTCATTCCTTGATTAGTAATTTATAATCAGACTAATAAGTAGCTATGTACAGGTCCGCACTCTGTCTGGAATTGATCTTAAGACGCTGAAGATCCATGAGCATGATGGAAGAGGTGACGTCAAGGTCTAGGGCGGATTGTATGCCATAAAGTCCAAGGTCGGCGTAGTAGGAAAAAGACAGGATGTTTTCGATATCAACAGATTCACAAGATGAATAAATTATTTGGCTGTTTTTCTTATCTCGGCTCGTGCATAACTTTAAAGACTGCTAACTCGATCAGCCAATCCGGAGTGGTGACAGGTATGTTGAGCCCGAGGAGCCACTAAGTTAGGCCGAGCATTAGTTCACATTGATTTCGGAGGTCGAACGCTTCCCTCCGGTCTCAATTGTGAATCAAAGTTAATTGCCGACACTACATAAGTCTAACTGGCTAGCGCAAGTGACAAGGATCCCATCGTTGCTTTTGGCTAATGAGCATGCTTCTGGCTGAGATGACGAATCGAGGGGTTTGGGGCCGCAGTTGACGCGTGAAACGACACACATGAAAAAAAACAAAGAAATGCACTTCCGACGAGGAATGAAAGCATTCCAAACGACGAGGTTATTGATACCATGCAGATGCTCTCTCAAAAGTCACTTAAATGATGGGAATTTGCAAGTCTATATGTTCGTTGATGTACAGCCGGAAATGCTCCGAGGAAGCTCCACCACGGACGGGACTTGAGTACCTCGACGCAGCTGTCATGGTCGCACTGTGGAAACAGATGTCGTGATGCATGGCATTGACTTCTATCAGCCTATCGCGTAGAATACTCTAAAATCCTAGCGCATTCATTCGATAAGAAACACGAACAATGGCGGTTGTTGTCCGATCCTTGCCCCTAATGACGTGCTTAATTCTACGAATGAAGCAAGCGAGATTGACCCATTTGACTTCTCAACCACGAAGTGAGGTGGAATTTAGTATATATAGACCTTGAAATTCACGATAAGTGTAAAGAATTGCGGCCTTCTCACAGAAACCTTGCCTCTGTACCGACAAACCTCTTATTTGTTGCGTGAATTTCTCATGAATATATTCTCACAAAGTACAGCTGCTCAAGCTCTACACTGTGTGTCCCTGCCGTAAATATGTCATTCGATGATAAGGAGAAGACTGCCAGTGCGGTTGCGCAGTCAGCTTCAGGGGATGAATATGCCGTTCGCGAGGGAAGCACAGAATACACAGCTGCCGAAGGCTTGAACTCTTCGATAGTGACGTATCAAGATGCGAGTGGTGCACCGGTCGAGACAGAATCACCTCTAGGATACTCCGTCGACGTCCTGGTGGGAATCTGCCTGAATGTCAATCAGATGATCGGAACTGGAATTTTCTCAACGCGTGAGTGGACTAGATCTTTCATTTCCCCGGTTTCCGTCTTGGCCAATATACTGACATGGACACAAGCGGCTGCGATCCTCAAGGGTGTCGGATCCGTGGGTCTTTCAATGGTATACTGGTTCATCGGATACTTGATAGCCCAGTGTAGTCAGGTTCTATACCTCGAGTTCTTGTCCTATTTCCCCAGCCGGTCAGGATCCGAAGTTGTCTACCTGGAACAAGCGTATCTGAAACCGAAATACTTCTTCCCGACGGTCTATGCGATGAAGCATGTTATTTTTGCCTTTGGCAGCAGTAATGCGGTCGTCTTGGCACAGTATCTCTTTGCGATTGGTGGGAGATCCTACACGAATTGGCAGGTCAAGGGAGTTGCCGTTGCAGCATATACAGTTGCAGTGATTGGTTAGTCATGAATTCAGATATCATGAAGAGACAAAAAGCTAAGAGATACAGTGGTTGCGTCAAACACCAAATGGTCATTGAGGGTTGTGGTTGTGTTTGGCATTATCAAACTTCTGACCTTGTTGCTGTAAGTTTGACTCTGGGATGAACCACGACGATACCTTATACTTACAATGTCGGATCTAGAATTTCAATCGCCGGATTCGTCGTTTTGGGCGGACATACCCAAGTGGCAGACCCTATGGAAAACTGGCGAAATGCATGGGAAGGTACAGAGACTGCTAGCGCCTATGGCGCCACAAACGCCATGATCAAGCTGGTTTTCTCCTATGCTGGCTACCAAAACGTCTTCAGTCTTGCGAACGAGATGAAGGTGAGCCGTGAAAATCTCTCTAGAATTCTATGAGATGTGATGCTGATGGCAAATATATAGAACCCCGTGAAAAGGCTCCGGTGGAGTGCCCCGCTGTCCCTCATTGTCGTCGCCATCCTGTACATCCTCGTCAACGTCGCGTATTTCTCCGCATCAACGAGGGAGGAGATCCTTGCATCTAAGCAGATTGCAGCAAGCATCTTCTTTCAGAAAGTATTCGGTACATCCAAGGCTGCTCGCGCCCTGAGCGTCCTCATCGTCATCAGTTCATTTGGAAACTTGGTCGCCTCGATGATCGCCACCTCTCGCATGCTCCGAGAAACAGGAAGGTAAACAGCGAACTCCTCTATTTACCCCTACTGCATTTCTTACATCGTTCACGGTGGGCTGACTATTTCCAAAAGACAAGGACTCCTCCCCTGGCCCAAGTACTGGACATCCACTAAGCCCCTGGGAACCCCCATTGGGCCCTTGTTGGTGCAATGGACAATCACAGTCATCATGATCATCGGCCCACCAGCTGGAGACGCCTTTAATTTCAGTTCGTGATATTCCATTCACCCGACTCCCGGAAAAGTTGGCTAACCCCTGTTATCAAAATAGTCGTCGACCTTGCGGTCTACCCAGGCCAGATCTTCTACTTGCTAATCGCCATCGGACTTATTCTGATTCGACGACGTCGAAACGCACTCAACCTGCCACGCCCGGAATTCAGAGCATGGAACATTGCTCTCGGATTTACCATTCTAGTTGATGTATACATGCTCATTGCGCCTTGGTATCCACCAACTGGAGGCGCAAACGGTGGAGATGTCAGTTTCTGGTACGGAACGTATCTGGCAGTTGGCGCCGGGCTGTAAGTCATCTCCCTTTTCCGCTTTCCTCCCCCCTTTCCTTTTGCTTCAGTGGCTGATGAAGTATATAGATTGGCGCTCTGCGGTATCTATTATTACTTCTGGATCTCCGTGATTCCCAAGTGGAAGGGATACCAGTATAGACAGACTATTGTCAAGTATGACGATGGTGCTGTTACGCATAAAATGGTCCGGGTCCCGAAGGCTGATTTGGTCTCGTGGGATGAGAGCCATGATGCTGCTGGTCGACTTCGTCACGCGGTGGCACGTTAAGGGTAATGTTTCGTGGAGTAGACGATGTGAGAGGATGTTTCGAATAGCTCTTAAGAACGAGTCAGCGATCAATTATAGTACTGGTGAGATTCAGCGACTGAATGTTGGATTCCTGATTGTCTATTCTCTAGCACCTAGTCCACAGAATGTTTTTGGCCGTCTTGTAACTATCTTGGCTACTCAGTGATTCTCCTCACTCCCTGTCAATGTCCTTTCGGAATAGATCTCTTCTACTGTAGAGCGCCGAAGGATAATCTCTCGGTAGCCTCATAGGACCAGATTGGCATTAAACAATATAAACGTATTAAACATGAACAAGCCAGAACAAATCCAGCCAGACGACAACAGAGAAAGCAAGAGCAGGGTATCCTGGGTCCTATTACATACAGCGAACGAAGCCAACGACACGAAACGAGCGAAACAGGATCCAACAAAGGAAGTTCATGCAACAACCCGCAGCCACAAAGAAAAAGAGGGGCGACACACTGGAAGGCTGCCAAGTCCAGCCAAACAGATGTCACTACCGAGCCGCGAGGACCTCTTCAAGTCTACCGCGGCTATTATCAGACTCGGGAGCTGATGCTGAGGTTTCGGGGTGCGGGGTCGATGATGCACTGGGGGGATTGGGCGTGGCTCGACGAGAAAATTGGGCCAATTCTCCAATAAGCCTGCATAGCGACCGTTAATGTACATTCTTGGGATGCAAGGGGGTGGATTCCAATAGCGCGACTTTGTGGGGGACTGACCTGCGGTGCTCATCGTACCACTCGTCGTTCGCGGAGCGGATGTGCTTAAGCTGTTCCTGAATGCTTGCCATCTACGGATGAGAGCAATTAGTTTTTTTTGTACGAAAATCTTTGTTTGGCCTCATCTTCAAGTAAAAGGATGAAAATCGGGCAAATCCGAGGAGTAGGAGTTTAAACGGGGATTTCCCACCGTTCCCTCAATGGATGAACCAAGGTCCTCACCTTCCGCTGCGGCTTGACCTTTCCCTACACCTCCCTCAGTGTCCTCATCGGCTGACGCCCATTGGCTTGCAGCCAGACCGGATGTGGTGCTCTTATCGTTGTCGGCCTTCAGAGCGGCCAGCTCGGCCTCGAGCTCGCGCACGCGCTTACGGCTGGCGGAAATGTTGTTGTCGACTTCGCCAAGCTGGTTGAGAAGCTGCATGTTCTTGTCGATCTGGTCGTTAAAGTCTTGCTCGCCAGCGGCAAGCTTGGCCTCCATGGTCTTGTTATGAACCCGGAGCTCCTCTAGCTCCTGGCAAGTGGTAGTGTGCTTTTCCTTTAGAGATGCAATCTCCTGCTTGGACAGAGCGAGATCCTTCTGAAGAGCCTCCAACTGAGACTGGCTACCGCTAGCCGCAGCAGTGGCGGACCTTTGAAGCTCCTCCATCTGGGCAACCGCCGCTTGGTGCTTGTCCGAGAGGGCTGCGTGCTCAGCCTGGATCTTAGAGACCTCTGCGGAGTGCTTCTCCTGAAGCTCCCGAGCGGTGGTGGCTGATGACTCCTGCACGGCGGCGTGGGCCTCCACGGAATTGGCCAGCTTCTGCTCGAGCTCAGCAATGGTAATCTTCAAGCCATCGAGAGCAGAGGTATCCTGAGCGGCAGCATTAGCCTTGGCAAGCTGCTCGTTGACATTGACAAGGACAGCGTCGTGTGACTTCTGGAGTTCCTCGAGCTTAGCCTTGTTCGAGGCTTCAAGCTGTTCCCTGAGGCCGGAGATCTTTGCCTCCTGAAGAGTGAGAAGCTCCTCAATAGCCTTTCCATGCTCAGCATCGGCATCTGCAGCCTTGGAAGCCTGGGAAGCCTCAAGCTCGGCCTGGAATTTGGCCTTGGTCTCCTCGAATCCGGTTTGGAGCCCAGCAAGTTCCTTGGCATGAGCTTCCTTGTCAGCCAAATTGGATGCTTGCAGAGCCTCGAGTTCGGCCCGGAGCTTAGCCTTGGTTTGCTCAGATTGGTTTTGCAGCTCAGAAAGCTGCAGCTCACGAGATTCAGTGTGAGAGGCGATTTCTGCAGAGTGGCGCTCCAGGGTAGACTTCAGCTCAGCCTGCAAAGACTCAATCTGAGAAGCATGGCTTGATTCCAAGTCGCGGTTCTTGGCCAACAACTCATCGTGCTTCTGTTGAAGCTCGCTCAACGCGCTGCTGTGAGATCCAGAAGCTTCCTGCAGGATGCGTTCAAGCTCAGCAGCGTGCTCGGCCTTTAGAGATTCAAGCTCCTGCGAGTGCTTGTCAGAAGAAGCAGCGGCCAGAGATTGGTGCTCTTCGAGGAGGAGAGCGGATTCGGTAGCCTTCTCTTCTAAATCCTTGAGCTTAGTCTGCTGGTCCTTGACCAGGGCCTCTCGCTGGGCTTCCTTAGACTTGGACTCGCTCTCCAGTTTCTTAAGGTTGTGGTACAGCTCGTCGGCCTCGGACTGCTTGCTCTGCATATCCTGCTGCAGGGCCTTGATTTCACTGGTGGTGGTTGCCAGCTGGGTCTCCAGGCTTTCAACCTTGTGATGAAGATCGTCAATTTCATGGACGGCATCCTCCTGAGCAGAGGCCTTGCCTTCCTCCAAGGCCTGGCGGGTTTCCCCAAGAGCCTTCTCAGAGGCCTGGAGCTTCTCCTGAAGAGACTGCAGCTCGACTTCATGTGCCGTTTGCAGCTCGGAGACAGCACGGCTCTGCTCTTCCTGAGCGGCCGATTTGGCAGTCTCGAGTGAATCGCGAAGCTCCTGAAGCTGCTGGGAGTGCTCGGAACCAGTTAATGCGGCAGCAGCCTTGGCAACAATAAGCTCCTCGGCATGGTCGGCCAACAGGGAGCTCACAGTGGTCTCATGCTCAGCCTTCAAAGTGGCGATCACAGCTTCGTGAGTGGACTCGAGATCCTTCACCTGAGTAGCGTGTTCAGCTGTAGCACCGTCCCGCGACGATTCGAGCTCTCCTTGGAGCTTCTGGATAGCCTCCTCAAGCTCTGTGATCTTCTTGTCCTTCTCCACAAGTGAAGTGGTGGTCTCCTCAGAGTTCTGTTGAGTGGTAGATTCAGCTTCAGCGAGCTTGGCCTCGAGCGAAGCAATCTGGCTTTGCAGTTCCTTCGTGGCCTCCTTCTCAGCGGTGATCTCTTCATCCTTGGTATCCGACAGCTTCTGAAGAGCAGCCTTGAGCTCATTCATGACTTGATCGCGCCCTTGCAGCTCTCTCTGAAGACTGTCGATAGCCATAGCCTTCTCTTCTTCCAAAGAAGCCTTTTGGGATTCAAGGTCGGCCTTCAGTGTGCTGATCTGCTCCTCGAATGCAGCCGCGGAAGCCTTGTGCTCCGCGACGTCTTTCTCGAGACCCTTCTCAATATCCTCCAGCTGAGCTTTGAGGCTTTCATTCAGCTTAACAGCAGCGTCGAGCTCCTCATCGCCCTTGGCGCTAGCAGATTGTCTGGCCTCTTCAAGGTCTTTCTGGAACTTCTCTTCGAGATCTGTTCGTTGGGCCTCGGCCTCCTTCAGGCGAGACTGCAGAGACTGAAGCGCCTCGGCATGGACAGAAGCTAGCTTTTCAAGCTCGGCAGCGTGCTCTGCGCGAACAGACTCGGTAGCATCAACATCCTTCGTGCTATCTTCTCCCGCGACGGAAGGCTGGCTCAGCTTCTCATTGACTGTTTCGAGTTCGGCTTTGAGACTGGCAACAGTCTCCTCACTCTCCGAGAGCTTTGTCTGAAGAGCCTGCAGCTTCTCAGCGCTCTCGGTGCTTCGGGCCACGGGGCCACCCACGGTACTCAAGCGCTTCTTCGGGTCGGTGGCCGATGAGGCGATACTCCGCGTGGCGGTAGTCGAAGAAGAAGTTGGACGAGTCCCCGTCCGGGTTGCGGTGGTTGAGGTAGTTGGCCGAGTAGTGGATGTGGTCGAGGATGTCAGCTTGCCCATAGGCTTGCTGGCGGAAGTAGAAGTAGCGGACCGAGAAGTGGTGGACGGAATGGTCTTTCTCTCCAATGCCGAGCCGGCGACGCTGGATCGGCGATCAAGAGTAGAAGACGACTTCAACGGGGCCCGAGTGGATGCGGTCCCTGCCATAGACATGCGCTTGGCGGTCCCCGAGATGCCACGCTTCTCATCTCCAGAGCTGGCAACGGACCGTGGCTTCTCGTCAGCAGAGCTGCTGATCGAAGGGCGAGACCGATGGGAAGCAGTAGTTGAAGTACTCAGCGGTCTGCGGGTAGTAGTGGTGCCAGTCGTCGGCCGGGTAGGAGGCTTGTTCAACGTGCTCGAAGCGGTGCTTGTCCGAGTGGTCGAGGTTGCGGTCTTAGATGCGGTAGAGGACGATGTGGGCCGTTTGGTCGCAGTCGCAGAGCTCGAGACTGGACGCTTAGTGGTAGTTGCAGTACTGGTGGTCGACTTGGCCGGGGACGCTGGGGTGTTTTCCTTGGATGCCTCGGGGCTGGATTTGTCGATATCCTCGCTTCCTGACAGCACAGTTGAGTCCACGGGGGTCGCCGGTGGTGCAATCTCGACGTCCACGTCGGAGTGGATAGACGCAGGCTCTTCCGTCGAAGCCATATTGACCAATGGGTGTGAATGTTGTAGATACGGTAAAAAACTTCAGCCGAGGAAGTCGCGCAAACGGGAAGTATCAAATGTACAGAATGAGAACCTAGGTAGGAAGAAGGTGATTAGCAACTGACCATTGAAGAGCTACATGGGCGATTGGAATGAGTTCTGTTCGCCTCGACCAAAGTGGCGATCCTGCATCTCGAAGCTATACGGGGTAGCCAAGCACTGCAGCCCAAGCTCCGAAGCTCGGTACAACCACGAACTCAAGAACGCGGCAACCAGTAGCCATTGCCGTCCACATCGAACATATGTAGCACAAGACAATGCTAAAACGAGCCCAACTTACCAGTCAAAGGCCCAGGGAAAGACGTTTCGAACCGCCCAAGGTGAGAGCAAATCGGAATACTCACACTGGTGTAGATTTGACCAGGAAGCTTTCAGGGGCTTTGATCGACGAGGGAATAACAGGGTCGATTCTCAGATCGGTCCTGACAATCGACCAGAAATTGCAAGCGCCAGAAGACAACAAGACACAACAGTCGCAAAGAGCGCAAAGACGGCTTGACGAGAAGTTTAGTTTACAAGTGGTAAAAAGGAGAAAGCGGGAAAAGTGAAAGCGGTGTCGATGGCGGAGGAGGGGGGGATCGTCGTTGCTCCATGCGCTCGCGCTCGTCCCTTAGCTAACCATCTTCAGGGACCGAGGACCGTGCTAAACTATTTTTTTTTTAGATTTAGGGACGAGAAGCTCAGCTCTATAAGTGAATGCTCGTTGGGCTCTTCTATATCGTGATTGCCTCCCATTCTTTTTTCCCGATCAGTGTAGGGTCGTAACTTTCTTTCCTTAATCAGAGCTGCCCAACGCCTTTGTCGATCAGTCCATATTAGGCTTGAACCCCAGATTTAGCTGATGCAGCCATATTACGAAGGATTTTCAGCAGAGGTAAGGCTTATTTGATTCCAGTATAGTATCCTACGCGCCCTGATGCCCGCGGAACAAACCCCGTGAAGGAGGATGCTACGCGGCCCCTTTTTGTTGACCAAAACAATCGGATCCATGGTTCACTCCATCCACGGAACCCGAACCGGCCGATCCGAACAGGGTTAGGGTAGATTCATAGAGTAGATGGGAAGAAGATTTCTCAAATTCATGGGAGCGCTCAAGGGTATAATATGCAACATGAAACATAAACGGAACTAATCGCTGCGACAAAAATGGCCATATCCAACTACGACCGCCTAGAAACTATAATCAAATAGGGCCAGTTCGCCCCATTTGGCTCTGAGATCCCGACAGGTTCGTCGTCGCAAACGATGCCCATAATGGCTCATGACCAATGGAAAAGGATCACCGTAGTCTGCTCTAGAGGTTAGTTCAATTGAACTAGAACGGATATCGAAAAGGAGACCTACCAGAGAATCGCCGGACCCCATCACGGAGGGCAGTCTCCTCATCGTGAGACCATGGGCGCTGTGACGGGGGTATATCATAGTCTGCCACTTGCGTCCATTCTGTGAAGATACTGTCATCTTGGGTAAAAGACATATCACCCTGGGAGGCTGCCGTTGGACGGCTGCTGCTTGACACTCTGCTCGAGGCTCCACTTGCTCTTGAATCTGCCATCCCAAGGCCCTTTACGATGCGCCTCAAGGGCAGAAGAATAGCCCTCGACCTGGCTTTCGTTCCCATCAAATAAGATGTCTGCGCGTAGGTGGAGATCTGAGTGCAGCACCACATCAACAACTCCAGCATACCCTCAAACTGCTCATATGCCGTTGAGCCTAGCGTCTTGTGAGCTCTGTAACCAAACATGGTTAGAGTAATTAAAGATCGCACCACATGTGCCTCGAATTGATTTAGTAGCTCAACACCTTCGCCTGTTTCTTCGGGTGCCTCCTCGGCAGCGTACTCGAAGATGCGTGTGGCTTCGGTACGGACGGCCTCTCGAAGATTTCGAAGTTCCATTCGTGTTTCCGATGACAAAGTTGAAGTGTCGTTTATGTCGTAGTAAAGCTGGCGCATCTCGGTGACCTCAGAGATGGCCCCTGTAAGATACTCTGGTATGTGTTTGGACGCAACTTTTCGCAACTTCTGCCTGCAATCGCGAAGGATTTCCCATTGTGCACCCTGGGGAGATGACTTTATTTCCTGCGCAAGCCATCGCTTTAGGTTTTGCACTTCATCTTTGTGAGAGTGCTCCTGATGTGGCGATTCGTTGATTGTTGGGTCGTTGGGGGCCTGCTCATTTTGAGGGTCATCCACAGGTTCGTCGATCATGGTTGGCTCAAGATCGACCGCTCGAAGCTGCTGGGCCCTTTGTTGCCCGCCCTCGGAATCTTCCCCATCCTGCTCACTTTCTTCAATTTCAAGCACAGATGACTCGACGACGCTGGGATCATGGGCGTGCCCATTTGTTCGGTCAACACTACTCCGATTGCAGACTATAACTTCAATGCTGTCAAATTTGTGTTCTTTTTGATATGAGGTCGGTGGGTCATCGGAATCGCTATGTTCATCGGCAATGTATTCATCGTCTGAATCCTCTGACAAGAGTTTCACGCGGTTCGGTAGCGGGTCCTCCGCGAGAACCTCCTCCTCATGTTCTCTTTCCTCCTGACGTGCCTCGTCTTCGTCATTTTCATCTTCCGGACGCGAATGGTGGTTTTGTCTGAGGTCCTCTTCATCAACGGAATGATTTCGGGGCTCCGGGTCCTCATCAGTGTCCTCGTCCCCCGAAGGTGACGACGCGGGAGGCTGGTTTGTAGACCTAGCCTTGTGTGGTGAAATGTCAATGTTGCGACTCCGTAGTTGTCTCGTCTGGAGAGGTTCACTCCGGGGCAGGGTTACTTTGCGCCTTTTCGGTGGTGTCACGGGGATGTCGAAGACGTCTGGTCTCGCGTCTCGGGGCGGAGTAGACGCGCTGTATGTGGTATTGCGCCTCGATGACACGCTCGAGCCACTGATCTGATTGAAGAAATTCACAGAGTCAATGGTGGAACCTCGATGTTTCATCTTCTTGGAGGGCGCCATCCCTGCAAGAAGCAAGGCGCTTATCAGGGGCCGCGGGACAGGGCGTTGGCAATGCGATGGAGTGCAACTGAAGGGAAGCTCAAGTGGAGATCTGCCGCACGGCGTCATCCCGCCTTGGAACCAAGGTCTTCCCCTCCAAAGCCCACTTGGTTTCAGCTCCCCGCACTCTTCCTTTCTTCACTTCATCACCCCAATCCGTCAAGATGAATCCAGATGGCAGAGCTATTCGTGTTCTGGCGGTGCTAGACCCATCGGAACCACACACGTTTGTCGAGCCTACGAAGAAAATCCACGAATCGCAAGATGTTTCGGCATTCCTCACCTCGAAAGCTTACTCGGACATTATGACTTTCATTTTGCAGCTCAACCGCGCAATGTTTCCTACAAAACTATCCGATGGTACCATACAAACCTGGCCACTGGGCTCCGAGGATGTGCAATACTCTGCGCCCGTTCGCCAGTTACAAGGACTGCTCTCGAAGGTTGAAGATATCGTACAAGAGGTCCCGCCGAACACTGGACCTCGGAGATTTGGAAACATCAGTTTTCGAAGGTGGCATGAAGTACTGGCTAGCCGTGCATCTGACTTGCTCAGAGAATGCTTACCGGCGGAGCTCTTGGATAGACCTTCGCCCACGAGCGAGGGAGTTACTGCAGAGGCGGAGCTCAAGGCATACTTCCTCGGAAGCTGGGGCAGCGGACAGAGGCTGGACTATGGCACTGGTCACGAATTGAGCTTTCTCGCCTTTCTCGGTGCGATCTGGAAACTCAACGGATTTCCTCAGTCTGAGTTTGGAGTGGAGGAGAGGGCTCTTGTCCTGGGAGTGATCGAACCGTGAGTACTCCATCCATGCAGATATGACTCGAGATCATCGCATCTTCTAACAAGGAATACTAGGTATCTGGAGCTCGTCAGGATACTTATAAAGACATACACGCTTGAGCCAGCGGGTTCTCACGGTGTCTGGGGTCTGGATGACCACTCGTTCATCCCATACGTATTTGGTTCTGCTCAATTATCTCCCGCTATCGAAGCCACCGATCTCACGCCCGAAGAAGGCTCCCTACCAGATGCACCCGCCACGGGTGGAATTATGAAGCCCGCCATTGTGGAACGTGAAAGGAGAACGAACCTCTACTTCTCCGCAATTGGTTTCATCTATGATGTGAAACGGGGTCCTTTCTGGGAGCACAGCCCGATGCTTTATGACATCTCTGGAATTCAGGCTGGTTGGGGCAAGATCAACAAAGTAAGTTGCATTAGCCTTATCTGCTCTTTTGCTCTGTCATTTAGAGACATAATCTGACAATCTTGACTTTAGGGAATGATTAAAATGTACAACGCAGAGGTTCTGACCAAATTCCCTGTCGTGCAGCATTTTCCCTTCGGATCCCTCTTCAGCTTTGATCGTGATCCGAATGCTGTGATGCCTCCACAAACTGTCCATACTACATCTGGCCCACAGGGACGCCCTGTTGTACCAGATGCTGGCCCACCATCAACTTCCGCCGCTCGACCTAGCGCGGATGCCGGTACCAAAGCTCCATGGGCTACGGCGGGATCCAGCACTCGTGCGCCTCCCTCTATGGGCCCCACGGCAGCACCGTGGGCCGCCGGAAGATCAACTGAGTCGTCAGGAGCACCTGCAACCCTGCACAATACCTCGCGTCTACCACCGGGTCCAATGGCTCCTACTAAAGCTCCCTGGGCGAGCGCACGGCCTCCTCCACCACCACCGCCTGGAGGTGATGGGCCTTCTAAAGCCCCTTGGGCGAAATAAATCGAGATAACAAAAGTAAGAAAATGATACCCAATTTAGATCAGGACGGAAAAAATGCCATATGCAATCAACATCCAGGGCTGCTTGTTTCCTTGAATCTAGAAAAAGTCCGAACGCCTTCCGGGGGTATCAAAGTAATGTACAATGTGCATAAGTCATAAGAATCACTCCGTATCAGAATCATAACCCACCAATGCCGAGGTGGTCGATGCAGCCGACGAATGCTGGAAAGTATTTTCAAAGACATCGTCGGGCGTCATCAGACTACCATTTGAGTCTGTCGAGTCCTTAGCTTCCTCCTTCATTAGATTCTCTGAAGATCTTCCAGCAATCATTGTCGTGGAAGAAGGCTTCTTCCTCTTAATGCCTGGCTTCCAAATGTCCTGTGAATCTCCCATATTCTTGAGAAAAGGATCGACCACAGCACGCGTGTTCCCCTTTAACTCGTTGCGCAGAGAAGCCTTGCGCTGTTCAACAAGATCTGCTGCCCGCGTCTTTCGGATGCCCTTTCTGTCTTTTTCCCGTTTCCCACTCCTCGAAGAGCTCCTCGAATGCACGGTCTCAAACATAGGTCGAACCCGAGTTGCGCGCGCAGCCTCCATTCCAGTCGAGGACTCACCGTCCCCAAAATCCACCATCCCAGCTCGCAAGCGATCCCCCTCAGTCTCATCAACCAGATCAATACCCAAACTCATTTTCTCCTTGAGGGCCTCGCGATTCGCCTCCAATTTCTCCAACCCCTTCCGCTCCGTCCGAAATGTGCGCCGCAACCGTTTCGATTTCTCGTAAGGATCCTCCCAATCCCGACTCTGCCGCTCCTGCAACTCCAAAATACGACTAGACTCCGTCTGAGCCCGCTGCTTATTCTCCAACTTCCCCTCCAGCTTCGCAAACGGGTCTTTCTCCGCGGGATCCTGCGCGTGTCCGCGAATAAGAATCTCCCCGGGCTGTAGCTCCTTGTCTTCCCCGGTATCTCGTTTCCTCCCACCCTCGACCACCACGTAAGCCGTGTTCTTGGGGTCGGTGTGGATCTCAATCCATCCTCCACATGCAGTATGTTTCATGCGAAAACTGTAGATGGGCGTGGAGTGGTAATTGCCGATTTTCTTCTTCTCGGCATTGAAGCGAACGCCCTGACCGATGATGGTCTCGTGCGGTTTGCAGGTTGTGCACCATACGGCAAAGGGCATCTCGAATCGGACGATGAGGGCGCCTTTTGTGTGGAGGTGGCGTGCGCGTGCGCCGAGAGGGTGTTTGCCGGCGAGCTTGTTTGCTGAGGTGACGCCTTCTTGGTCCGGGGGGACATATCTGGAAATTGTGTTAGTTGAAATTCCGCAATGGAACTTTAGGAAATGCTGTGACGGACCGTCCCATATCTGGCAAGCATGTCAGCGATTGCTTTCTAAGTGACCGCGGGGGGATGACGACTTACTGAACCCTTGCATCTTTGAAAGTGGCGGCCCTCGAGGCCCAGCTTTTCCTGTATCGAGGGGAGAAAGTTGCGGCCGTTAGGAAGCGTATGAAGAGCTCTGTGGAAGCTGCTACCAGCCAGCCAGCTCCAATCGTGTCAACAGCGGTCGCGATGTCAAGTCAGAGCCTTGAAAGGCGGTGGATTATTCTGGCGCGGCGGCCGGACTTAACGGGCGTAAGCTGAGGCTTACTCATCTTTTCTGATGTCTTCGGGTTGGTTCCTCCTCCAGGTTTTTCTTCGTTGCGATGACATATGGCTTAGAATAATATGAATTGACAGTTTCTCAGATATTGACACAATATCTATTTCAACAAAGCCCCACCACTCGACTCAATGGCCGATCCAGTCACAAATTCATCCTTCATAAGGTAGATATAACTCTCCGCCAGATCCTCCGGCTTTCCAACAGTCCCAGTCAATGAACTGTCCCGGAAAATCTTCAACATAGCCTCCAGTTGCTCTTTGGGGAACATGCCAAACAGCTCCGTGTTCACAGCGCCCGGATGGACTACATTTACCCGCACAGGCTGCAGGTCTAAAGCAAGACCACGAGCCAGACCGTCGATTCCGCTGCACATAGCCGTAGCCAAAGTCCAGCCGGGGGCGGGTTTCTTGTATCGCATACCGCCAGTCAAGGTGAAGGAGCTGGATGGTGAATTCACAACGTATTTCGGAATGAACTTGGCCATCATTGTCGGCGCGACGTAGCGAACGGTCATGCCGCTGTAGATAGCATCGGGCGTAAGATCGGCGAGTGTGGGTAGATTAAGAGCATCGCCTGCAGTCGAGACGACATGGTTCAGTTTGTCAGTGCCACTATTTGTCGCAGCTTCGAAGAGATTTTCCAGGTTGTCGTTCAGGTCGGTAGCATTGGAGAGGTCGCAGACGTGAGTGGTGATGGTCTGCTTCTCGAACTCAGCTGGGTAGGCCTCTTTGAGTCGGGCAACGGTCTTGTCGAGCTTGCTCTGGTTGGAACTCGAGATCACTAGGTTGGCGCCGTGCTCAAATGCAGCTTCAGCCACGGCGAAGCCGATTCCTGAGGTGGCTCCCAGAATCAAGATTCTTTGGTTGGCGAGCTTGTTGGTATACTTTGGTGCCATTGTGACTGATTTGTTTGCGACGGAACCAAGGGCTGTGGAAAAGATCTCAGTGGAGATTTAAATTTTTTTTTTCTTATTACCAACCCAGAATATATGTCGAGTCGATTTATAATGCCAATTGAATATTTGCATGACGTACTCTACTTCAACCGGAGATAAAGTCGAAGGGAAAGCTCGACCCGGGATTAACTCCGTACCATAGCACGGGACATAGTTGCCTCAACCATGCTATATCCACAATACATCCTTCCGAATGGTTGAATTAATAACCTGCAGCCTCATCAAGTTGAGTGTCTTTGTCATCTGGCGAATGCCATCACAGAGCTTTCTCCACTCGTACCTTTTCTTCATTGCTCCGTCGGAACAACTCACAAGGCTAACCCCGACTCGTATCCAGCATGAATCAGAGCTTATATGGTCGGTGGGCGGTATTAAGTATATTCCCGAAATCCATTTTTAATGTACATATTGACCTGAGCCCTGGAAGCAGGTAGACGGTCCATATTCAGGGAATCCCGATCATGCCGATACGGACCATGGAAGGGTGGATGCCCATAAAGTAACTTTAGATGTCATTCGCCTGTATCCAGCACTACCTACACATTTATGGAACGCGAGAGTGACAGAAATAAGATTTTAGCTTAATCCAACCCAGACACCAAGGACGAGGCTCCATATGCCTATCGAGGCCATCGACCGCCTCGTCACAGTAGCTCCGCCTGTCTTGGTAGGTTGCGCGGCCCCACCAGCAGTAGATGTCGAAGCAGGGGTCGAAGTGCCAGTCGGTGGATATAACCCGTTGCATCCTCCTGAACCCGTAGCTTTCTGATTTTCCCCCGCACTGCATGTAGATCGTCGCGGATCGACACACTCGGTGATATAGCCGTTATTCCCAATCGTCGCCGAAGGAACAGCCTCACTGTTCAGATACACATCACATCGTGATGTTGTCACAGCCTGACCACCCAAATTGGTACTGATGGTTGATACATAAGTCGTGACATACGTTGCGAGACTAGAATCAGTCGCCTGCGCGGTCAGACTATCGGGTAGCACGACGCCGACAGAATCAGTGTATGTGAATGTCGTTTTGGTGCATGATGTTGGATTGCTGAGGGTGACTGGGACGTAATAACGAGTGGTGATGGTTGGACTCGCAGTGCTTGATTCCTTTGGCGGAGCAAAGAGGTAGAAGGCGCTGACAGGGAGACCAGTAACGTTTGGCAAGATAAAATACTCTGTCGTAACGTTGATTATGCCACTGGCTATTCCTTTCCCTTGGACGTAATCGGTTGAATAGTCAGTCGAGGTGGATACTGGCGAGACTGTGAGAGGGGCAGTCGTCACCACTGGAGTGATGGTTGTTGTTTTGCCGCCCCAGGCTAGAGGTAAGACTGTCTCGGTTGCATAGTATGTGACACGCCACGCTACAGATGGCTGTGCACATACAAGAGACAGAAGAACCAAAGGTATAATGTGCATTCTGAATACCTTGGGCAAAATTGTATTCAAAGTCAACTTGACTCAGAATTGAGCGGCCTGGCCTTGAATATTAATAACTACAGTTGAAGGGGGTGAGCGGTCCTTCCTCTTTCGGTTGATGTTATGGACGCTAACAATAGGCGCGGGAGGTCGCCAAGCCGCCAAGATATCTTAGTACGCAGGGTAAGATGAGGAATACGAGGTCAAGAGCGCAGGGTGCAGGTCTGATCACCAAGATAGGTGGAATCAGTTAGCGCCTGGTATAGATGTGGAGATCTGGGTGATATGATGAAAGAATGTGTTCGTCGCTTACTTTGGGCGCTGGGATTTAATTTAAGACGAGATTGTAGACCTGACCAATAGGAAAGAATTATAACTCAATCATCCCGAGTTTGAGGCCCTACGAATATCGAATAAATTGTACTCTACTCTTGATTTACATAAAATGGGCAAGGACCTGGGCCTAATTAGACGGAAACCTACACACTGTGGATCGACTTTTGCTGAGGATCAAAGGAATTGTACTAGTTTTGTTCCATGTTCGATAGTTGAAGAAGTGACTATTGTTCCCATTGTTCTGCACAACTTATGGTCGTTTAAAGAATGCTGATATATCCTTGAATTATGATAACCCTACCATCAAAGGCCCATTATCCATTCCAACCATCAAGCCAAATATGCTCTTTCTGTTTAAACGCCTGCTGGAATACCTGCGTTATGCAAACTTCTGGGTTTACCTTAGATCCGTTCGCAACCAAAGGGAGGCAGAAATGAAACCTGCCGATCTGGCTGTGACTTATGGTATGAATCAAGCAATGATTGAAAATTTTATCTCTGTTTTATTGCTACTACTCAGCTGTTTGCTGTCTATACGGGCTATTCTGGACTTACTGGATGAAGCTTCTCAGTGTGTGTATTACTGCAATAATTGCCTGAAAAGTCGATTTGCAGATAACCTATATGACATCTTGCAACATATGAAATTGGGGCACAGCGACGGAATTCCAGTTCCGGAAGTGGTAGAAAAGGGAGATGAAGACAGATCAAGGGAAACATCCCGTGAACTCGGCGACTGGTCCAACGGGTCATCCTCAAAGCAAGTACCGGTACAAAATACTCAAAAAGAAAGCGCCAAGTGCGAAGTATGCGGGCAAGAGAGTTGTACTCGCTGCAAGAAAAGACCATGTCAAAGCGAACTTGCGAAAGGGAATGCTGAGATTTCAGGGTTGGCAGCGAAGAGAAACCGGCAGCAATGTTCTCAATGTGGTAATTCAGCGACTAGATGTAATCATATGCGGTGGGTTGAACTATAAATCAAATAAAATCTTGGAGAGACTAACTTTTCTTATTTTAGGTGTCGCTGTGGCTTCAAATTTGTTATGTCTGCGGCACAAAGTGGAAAACGGGCCATCCCAAGAGCGGAAATCACAACGCCTAATGAGGGATGCCTTTTGCTTTAGGGAGTATCATAACTTATACAAGCAAGCGGTCTATTAGCTTTCCCGAAACGAGGGTTTACTAGCTCTACAATTGGATACTATAAGGTTACGACTAGAAATGGGAATTAAACGTTCAGCCTCCACCGGTTTATGTGCGCTTGGACTTTTACAGCTTATCTGCTTTCATCCAGGGGTCTTCGTTCTCAAAATTCACATAGTAGTTCCCGATACTCGTACACAAAGTTCGCATCAAGTCAACGATATAACCCAGGAGGTCATATTGAGTTTGAGCTCGCTCGGCGAAGTCGTTATACCACTCTTCTCTGGCTCCCTCCTTCTTGGGACTGAATACCGATGCAAGACTGAGTGGCCCTATTTCGTCGTCTCCAGTAAAGCGAGGATTGACCGGAACCCAGGAACTGCATCTCGCTTCGAGAGCTGACCATGGGGATGATTTACTTCCCTGGATGACTCGTTGATGCAAAGTCCTAGATCAGGTCAAAATGATAATGTTACCAATTAATATTCCGAGAGAAAGGGTATTTTGAACACAACAAGAACTGAATCTGCAGTATAGCCAGGAACGTACTCTCCATAGTTCGTCATGGCATATCTAAATGCGCGTCGGTCATTCTCATCCAATGGCATTTCGTAAAATGTTATGTCTGCATCACTGCAGTTTCCAACGAATTGTGGAGAAGCAGTCATTCTATGCTGGAGATGCTGTATGTCATCACCGGATATCTCGGAAAATTCTTGAAGATACTGCCGCAGAAGAGAATATGTATCTTCATTGGATTGAACGGGGTTTGAAAGGTCTTGAAGAAGGTCAGTATAACCCATTGACCACGATGCAAGATACATTGACGATACTCACCGATGAAAAGCAAAATCTTGACCCAGTCCATTTCCTTCACTGGATCTTTGCCCCATTTAAGGAGTGGACAGTCGCCCAGCTTTCAAAGTCTCATTCTCAAGGCCTCAAAGGAGCTTTGTACGTGCTGGTTGCCGCGTCGAGCCCAGAAAGAAATCATGTATGTAACAGTTTTTATACTACCCTAGGGCAGGAATTGATGCATGGCTTGAAGCGGAATATGATATTGAGAGATAGTTGACGCCCTATACCAAGCCCCAGCCGGACTAGCGGCAATGCGCTGAGGGGGCTTTTGTCTTGCCAGCGACATACTTTCCACATGGCAGATGTCCTTCCCAACACTAGTACCAGGAGTCCCCAAATCTTCATGAAGGCTGTATCTTGGTTGCACAGGCTTTTGAAAAGCTGGATGTCTGATTCTGGAAATTTTACAACCCGCCAAAGAGTCAGACGGCTGAAGTATAGATGCATCACCAGGTGAGACAAAAGCTCACTGATTTGTGCATACGGACACTGTTGACGACGCATTCTCGACGAGAGGAGATATAGAATTAACAAGAATACTTTGATTGCCTCCTGCCCCCAAATTCCAAAGAAGCAGGCCGACCAAAAGGGATCCTCGGAATCAGTGTCTCTTTCTAGCCACTCTCCACCGGCGTGCACCAATCCAGCCTCAGATAAAGCAGCTTGGCAGGCCGGCGAGAAAGTATTATCACATTGAACTTTGAACTCTGTGCTTTTATCTAGCTGAGGGGTAGATGGGGTGGCTGAGAACAGAAAGGATACTAGCTCTAGATAACATGAGCTCGGTACCTCAAGCGGCAGAGTATGTTGGATGCAACGGTTTGAGGCTTGTGCAATATAGCCTAGCATCATACTAAATTCGAGGGACAACTGGAACAGCTTCCAACCACGAACACCATTCCACTGGATTAAGACGACTACCTGCTGGCATGACGACTCGGAAGTACTGGTATCGTTCACTGGCGACCACAATAGCCTTTCAAATCCAGGGATTGTCGAAACATATTTCTAAGACTTCCTCCACAAGGCAGCCGAACACTGCTGTGTATCGGCAATGCCAACTCCGGGGTGAGAAGTAAAATGAAGGATCCCAAGGACAGGGAGATCCGAAATTTTGTCGAGGTCCTCAGAATAATAGATAAGATCATGAAATCGAGGCAGAATCTTCACATACTCAATGTTCATGTTGAAGAAAGCGTACTGAGACTGAGACTAACTAAAGACCCCTCAACAGGAACTTGGACCGGAAGTGTTCTCGACGTTCGAAATCCGTTGATTCGGAGGTGAGTTCGGGCCGTGAGTGGGGAGAGAAAGGGGATATGATTGGAGGAATGCGAGCGTCCCTAATGTGTATCACAAGTAGTGTACGGCGGACTATAGGGAGGAGAAGGCCATAACTCTGACATTCTTTGGAGACTATTCACCGCTTTCTTCCGCCCTAAGTACATTTTATGCTTACTACATCACTAGGAGATTGACGTAGAGATTAACTCAGAAACTATCTATGAAACTTTCTAGGAACCGTCTAGGAAACCGTCTAGGAAACCGTCTAGGAAACCGTCTAGGGAATATCCCCTCTATCTTAGTAACGATCGTAATAATTAATAGGATAAGGAAAGAAGTTAGACTATAAGAGGATTTAGCGTTGAATTACTAATTATATCTACATCTTAGTTAGTTAGCTCTAGTAATCTCATTAGTCATTTCATCTAAATTGATCTCGATTGTTTCGGTGCGGGAAATCGCTTCAACAAAAGGGTTATGGCCTTCTCCCCCAATAGTCCGCCGTAGTAGTGGCGTGCCCCTGCATTTTAGTAGTCATTTTCTGTGGTTGCATGTCCAGTATCACTTGAAGTATTTTCACTTCCATTTATTCATTCTCGGTGATATTATCAGAAGGATAAATCACTGTCACCCATATTCATTGAATGACTTGCTCTTTTTATTTTTCGAGAGTGCAAATTCCACGGATTTCATCCTGTAATGCACGCGCACGTACTGGTCACGTGTCAACCCCTTTATATCTTTCCAGCAAGACTTTGACACTCAACTTCACTCGACGTTGACAGGATCTTATCAAGATTAGAGTAAATCAGTTCTGAAACGCCTGTGACTTCTCTTTCGCCACAATGCCAGGGGAAAAGCGATGACCCCAGCCCCCGCCCTTTCACTTACTTCATCTAAACCAATCGATGATCAATTTTTACGCTGATATGCGACTCTTCTAGCCATGAAAGTTCTCAAGCTGAGCTGCGTTCTTACGATGACAGACCATGTTTATGTCAAACTCAGCCCACATGTGAATGTGTCTAAGGCCTCCACAATGCAATTTATTTCGCAAAATATTTCCATTACATCTAACCATTCTGCACCATTGGGCCTGTATCTGTAACCCCGAAACTAGCCTAATTCTATTTAGATTATACTGGTAACGGTTAGCGGTTAACAAGAAAGTCTCAAGTGGCCCGCTAATGGCCGATTCGTGAACCCTTGCCAAGCCTAAATCTCAACATACAACCAATGGTGGTGACATATTAAGCGGCTTTTACACCAATCTGACTACGATCGACTCCTGGCCCCCAAACCAGATGGCTTTTCTTGTCGAACGAATGCCGACTAATAAACCACATATCTGCACATGGTCAGCAATCTCGTCCCTAAAATCTTTTTGACCTGGAGAAACCGACTGTGCTGTCTTCACTGTCGCCCTTGCCGTCGTTTGTTGTTTTTGGAAGGAACATGCTCCTCCATACCGGTTGCTAAAACCTGGAGTATTCCTAACTGTTTTGCTTCCAAAACAGTGATAGACACAATTCTCGGCCCCCACTTTCGACATCACTGACGAACCGTCACGCTTCCTCAGCCGTGCTGTCAGCAAGACATGGACGGAATTGAAGTGGCACATTCCCATCACAGACCTGTAATAGATGGTCAGGGTATTGAAGTGGTACCCGATTCTGAAAAAGAGGTCAGTCAGAACAACGATCCGATCTACGTTTCCGGGCCAAACAGGCCAGGTGACTCGGCGGAAGATGATTTGAAAAATCCGAATAAAACGATATGTGGGCTGAAGCCGACTGTCTTCTGGACTTTACTTGCCATCGCATTACTGGTGGTCATTGGAGCCGCTGTTGGTGGAGGAGTGGGAGGGACACTTGCAAACCGTCATACTTCAGAGCCATCAACAACAAACGGGTAAGTTTCATCCTCAAGTCAAGCAATTCCCGGCTATTGCTTACAGTACGGGTTCATTTTCCAGTTCCTCATCCTCTACATCATCTACATTCTTAACGATATCGACAACGTCAACCACTTCCACGGCCGCAACAACTAAAACTGCATCCACAACGAGTTCAGCCCCCGTCACTTCGGGCACGACGGGCGTAGCCGCGAATCCTTGCCCCGGAAAGAACTTGACAACGGTCACCGGCTCCGATGGCTCAATTTTCACTCTTTTGTGTGCAGTTGACTGGCCAAGAGGAGAACCAGCCTCCTCAGGCAATGGGACGGTGAAGGATCTTACTCGTACCACTCGCTATACGCTACAATCCTGCATCTCGGATTGTGTCGATTGGAACAAAGATAACTCCAATGATTCCACGTGCAAGGGGATTATTTATACTGCCAACCTGACGGCGGCATATGATGGTGGACAAGATGGTAACTGTTTTTTGAAGAACAGCGTTGGCGTTTATTATCCTAACAGTAATACTTCAATGGCGGCAGGAATGTTGGGAGCCTAGAACAGTTTTTGTCCTAATGAGTTGGCTTACGTGGTTATATTGAAATAATATCAGATATCTATACTTGTGTACATGAGCGGAATCCCTGAGAAGACTAAGTTATAGGTCAAGGTTGGCTTTTACTTGTCTCTTCAAGCAAGGAGCCGATTGGAATTCTTTCTAAGCGCGGGGGGCGCCACAGAGCCAATTAGGACCAATTCTTCATCTGACTGGGTTTTAAACACGAAGTCTTCAAGTAAAAAATGGGTATGACAAGATTTTATAACCAGCCTGGAGAATTTACACGGTCATGAATCTGTTACAACTCTGCAGTGGTGACTTTGTGACTGATCACTGCGGATATATTTTGCGAAAGAGCTGGAACCTTACATCGAACATCTAAATTGTAATAGAGGCACAATGTACAGGAGCTAGAGGCGCACCCCTCGTGCCGCAAGTCAGAAACCTCCTCTAGACTGTAAAAATAGAATCGGAATAAACTTCTAGTGACATGGAGATGGAGATTAATAGTGTCGCTCGTGAGGAAATTAGCATTCTCCACAAGCGGATAATTTTCTTCCACCTTTCCTCCCGACTCCATCGCAAATGAAGATCGTACCTGGTTCATCGGTGACATACCGGGCCAGACCAATTGACATCCCCACAGTTCCACTCAAATCCAAATAGAGATCGACCCATCGAGGTGCGGTTCCTTGACGCGTTGCATCATCGTTTATTCAGCAGTCTGATCTCATGGAGCGCCCGCTCATGGACCTGGCGATCGCCGATCGATCGCACGATCGAACCAACCACAAAAGTTGCGAGAATGCAGATCCCATCCGCCTTAAACAGTCTCCCAAACAGTGCATTTGCCCACCCCTCCAGAACGACATTATATAGGATTCAATTAGTCGCGCTAGTCTGCATGATAGAACCACAAGGAATGATCAGCTCCATCGATCTCCCGGCTCTTTAAGGGCCTGCTTCCCCGTAGTGCAAGCTCCAGTCGACTCATGCAACAGCGACAATTGCCTTCTGTGGAAAATAAAAATGGAGATCCCAGACATCCCCGATAACCGTCCGCACAAGACCGGATCGATGAGGTCCTACTCGCCAACCATTGTTCTTGACGAGGCTGCACTGGAGGCCGAGATCCAAACAAAGAGCCTCTGTCGAGACCACGACGAGGAGCCGAACGGCGTGAACAAGAGTGTTGAGCAATTTGGGCAGATCAATATCAATGGCGAGGAACGGTAAGAAGACTGCAGAACAATAGAAGAAAAAAAGGGTCGGTCGCTAAGATTCGCAGGCCCCCCAGCGGGCTGAGTACCAAGCTTTCCAACAAGGCTCTGCGTCGCAACTATTATGTCAACGAACTCCCCCTCCTCCAAGCGACAAACCCCTATATCGGCTCTGAGCACCTGGATCCCGTGAACGAGGAGGAGAATGAAGTCTCATACGACCTCGTTGCTCCGTACGAGGATAACGAGGTCCCACTCCACTCGCTCGAACGCCAGGCCGACGTCATGTTCTCTTCGGAGCATATGCTGGCGATCCTCAATTATCCGCACTCCCTGGCCCGATTTCGTGAATTCCTGGTCGCGGAGCGGCCGACATCACTCTCGACACTGACATACTATCTCAATGCCTGTAAAGCACTAAAGGCAATTCAGTATGCCAATGCCCTGATCCGGCTCTCAGTAGATGTACCTACGGCCGGCATCGAAACGGCCAAGGAACCCGTGGGACCCACCACAAATGCCGCGCTTGAAGCTCGCGTGCAGCATGCGCTGGAAGCTCTGACAGCGGAGGAGTTGCCTGCGTTTATCACGTCAAAATGCATCAACATTACTAGCAAGGTAATCGAAGAGCGCATCCGAGGAACGCTCCCGGACAGGTTTCAAGGCACGGCCGATGCGCTGGCTGAAGTATTTTGTTTGACAGATCCATCACGACCGGATAATCCTATTATCTTTGCATCTGAAGGTAAGTAATCCTGTTCCCTTCCATTTGATAGCTGCATTGTTGAAACAACGACCCTTTTCTAGAATTTCACCGTGCCACGCAATACGGCATGGATTATGTTCTAGGGCGAAACTGCCGCTTCTTGCAAGGTCCGCAGACCAATCCCAACAGTGTACGACGCATTAGAGAAAGTATTGCAGAGGGTCGGCACCACTCTGAGGTATTCTTGAACTAGTGAGACTTCCCGGAAAGCCCGATTGGGAAGTACAAATAGCTAATCTGGAATGAATAGTCGCCGCGATGGTTCACCCTTTATGAACCTCCTTCAATGCGCCCCGCTTTGCGACAGTCAAGGCAAAATTCGTTATTTCATCGGTGCCCAGGTTGATGTGTCTGGCCTGGCAATGGAAGGGGTTCAGATGGAGTCTCTTCAAAATCTAAATGGAGAGACGGATGCGCCCGATGATGAATCCGTTCAAAAACCCCCACCCAAAAAGGCCGAGTTCCAAGAGCTAGGTGAATTGTTCAGTCCTCGTGAGTTGCAGCACGTCTATGACCATGGCGGCAATTTATTCCATCCAGTCATGGACAAACTGAACTCGACAAACAATCGGCTGTGGCTGCAAAGTTCCGAGCATGAAGGTGACTTTCGATTAAATGGAGTACATTCACCTAGCCCTACCCCTAGCGCATCTCTGACGGGTGTCTACAAACATGTAAGTTTACTACTCTTTTCTGTGGAGGTTGGAGAATAGTCTAATTACTGTGCGATAGTATCTCCTCGTCCGTCCTTATCCATCACTCCGAATCCTCTTCACATCTCCCTCGCTCCAAATTCCTGGCATGCTGCAATCTTCATTTTTAGCTCGCATTGGTGATTCGAGCGAGAAGCGTGAGAGTATACTACGCGCCATGGTGGCGGGTCGAAGTGTGACAGCTCGAATCAAGTGGGTGAATCGTTTCAGCGATCAAGGTCGATACCGTTGGATCCATTGCACCCCATTATTGGCGAATAATCGTGAGGTTGGTGTATGGATGGTAGTAGTGATTAATGACAAGGAAGAGGAGGTTGTCCGATGGAAAGGCAATTGGCCGCGAAATTGAACACCTTCCGAGTATGATGAATGAAGGCTTTTCTTTTCGTACTCTAGATAGGGGACATGCACACTAGCGAAATACTTGGGAATAGGGCATCCGAAGGCGTTGGTAAGGACAAGATTTGATGGTTGGGCTCTGGTAGTCTTGAAACTTAATGTTGGATAGTGCATTCTGGACCACAGTGAAGACCACGGCACATCGAAATAATGGGTAGTATTAGGTTCAGCGAATGGCCAAGACATTGATACTTACACATTGTAACAAAAACAACCGAGCATATATTGGGTGGAACAGAGAGTAGGAAAAAGAATTAAAATAAAGAACATACAGCAAGTGTAAATATGAATGAGAGAAAATTGAAGCAGACGCTGATGATGGATAGGCGAAAACAAGCACGCGTTAGATCCGAGTCAGGTATAAACATGATAATGCTCTATTCTTCGTACTTAATCACGAACGACGATTGCTTAGATCCCTCCGAGTCGCTCATGATTGCTTCGGGATCCTTGACCTTGGTGTTTTCAAAGATTCGCGCAACTTCTTCCAGAGATCTTCCCTGTGTCTCCGGGAAGAAGAAGTACACCAGGGCAAACACAATGACCAGACAGCCCACATAGATACTAAAGTATCTCCATCGAAGCGCTGAGAATGCCACTGGATTCACATACTGATTAAAGAAACAGGCCAGCGAGTCTGTTGTAAGTGTGACGGCGAGGCCTTTGGCGCGAAGCTGGAAAGGGAGAATCTCTGCCGGATAGGCGATGAAGAGAGGCATGTATGCGAAGTCGTATGCTGCGCAGAACAGGAATAGCATGGGAACCACTGTAATGCCTGCTTCTAAAATGTTCATCTCGGCAAAGAGGCCGGCCATGACAGTTGATGTCGATAAAAAGATGAGCATCAGGGTTGTCGCGCATAGCCAGAGAACTCGTCGTCCATACTTGTCCGAAGTGCTTGCTCCCGCCACGGCAAACATCAAGTTCCAGAATTGGAGGCTAATATTCACAGCAGCTTGGTGTACTGCATTGGTTATACCAACGGAAGCCAGGATCGGTGGCAAATAGTAGGAAGTGACGCCTTGACGAGAAAGTAAGGTTAGCCGATTCATCCGAAATTCGAAATGAGGAAATTAATGCCATACCATTGCCAGTCCACTCCTGCATAAATCCTAATAGGATACAGATGGTAAAGCGGTGAATGTCCCCTTTTGATTTGAAGAAAGCACTCCATCGTGAGGCAGACTTTTGATCAGCCTGGGCATGAATACTGGCACAAATCTGATCGTATTCATCTTGAACCAACTTGTCGTGCATGTCACCATTTGCGTGGTACCGTGTGAGCATAGCAAGGGCTTCTCCTTGTCTATTCTTTGAAACAAGCCACCTTGGACTCTCAGGTATAACAAACAAGGCCACGAGTTGCATGGACGGAAAGAGGACTTGGAGCATGCATGGTACTCTCCAGGACCAGCTATTTTCGATTGACAAGGTAGCAAAAGCAATGGCAGCTGCAGTAATAGATCCACAGAACCAGACCGCGTTGTACAAGCCAGTGAGGGTTGGCCTCTGACTCGGGTATGCCGTTTCAGCAATCAACAGCGGTGCTGCAGTTTGTGAAAATCCAACGCCTGCACCGGTAACGATCCGAGCACCGAAAAAAACCCAGGGATGCTTTATTGCAACTTGCAGTATGGACGCGAGTATACAGAGTGTGGCTCCGATAGTAACGCATCTTCGGCGGCCGAAAGCATCGGCGACGTAGGAAGCTGGGATAAAGGACAAGAAGGCCCCAAGAGAAACGGAAGCAATAATGAGGCCAGTAGAGTTGGAATCGAGGCCGCTTAAGAACTTAGTGACTGTTTTTTTCACGGGTTAGAATACACGCGTAATCAAGATCCCCACGAGAATGAAAGCCAACTCACACTCTGGGAGTACGAGCAGACTATTGATCTGACTTGCGTTGTATCCTGATGTAGCAGATGCAGATAGCATCAAAAAGATACCGAGATTCAGTCGTCGCAACCCATGGTTGACGGGAGAAGTTGATGACATGTTGTGACCGGATAGGTACCTGCGGAAAATTTAATGGAAGCTATAGGTGTCAACCAAGCTCTATTTGACGTCTCAATAGCTGGGCGGACATTTTAATCGGATAATTGCAAGCTCTACATTCTTCATGACTATAGCGCCGATACCTGCCGACTAGGGGTCACGCCGGTTTACTGAGCTTATTGGAATGTAGGGAGAATGCAACGAGCGAATCATTTGATGACCGTGCACCGGAAGGTCACTTAACTAAATAGTTAAACTTTGCATATGCAAGGAAAAAGCTACCTTTCCAGCTCTAATTCTGGAAAGATAGTCCTTGGGAGGTTGGTGCTGATCAATTTTCCTTCTCCACGCATGAGGAGCAGTCGCACCCACGTTGGACAGGGTGACGCAATACGTAGTGATTTGTTGGAGCTCCGGCCTCTTATCTCATTATCTGAGGTTTGGAATTATAGATGACATGGTTAAGGTATCGATCATCGTTGGTATCTCCCTTGGTTCGTGCTTGATTTGCAAGCTTCTTTAGAGTTCCGCACTTCTGCAACCTTTGTGAGGGTTGAGTCTGCCCTATAGCTTTTGTCAAAGCTCCCTCATATCTACTTTTAGCTTTGTCGCTGAAGGGCTGGAAAAATGTTCCGCATTCTTTTGTGCATCTTGCTTATGCCTGAAATTTGATTGTTAAGTAGGGTGGTTGTAACCGCCGCTTCCGCCATGCCGGTAACATCTTCACAGTGATTTGTACAGTCGCTTGACCTTTTGTGCCCTTTGGTCACTATAGGAAGTAGATCGCTCCTCTTCTATGAATTAATATGGCAATTAATACTTAAAATAAGTGAAGATAGTCTGTTATATCTAAACCTGCCGAGATTCAAGGCGCGGTAATTTTCTTGAAGTTACTAGGAGGTTAGCGTCTTTGTGTCAAGCTCGATCGCTTTGATATGAAAATATGTCGTATCAAGAGATTCGCTAGATATTATTTAGCATTGCGTGTTCGTTGCGTAGAAATAATCCAGGGATTTGATTTCAAGACACAATGGCCTGTTGTATATTTGATTCAGGCCCCCGCTCATCCGCACCTGAGATATGCACGGATTCCGGATACATCGGACCTACCCCAGAGATAGAGCTAACGCTCACTTCAAACCCGAATGGCAAATTTTCTCATTAAGTTCATACATTATTAAGTTTATACATTGAAGGTATGAAGCTCTATTGCTCTTAATTATCCTTGACAGTCGCTCAGGTCAGGGTCCATCTGGAATATGCCCCTCATTATTTGCTTTGGCCTTGTTCCGATTCTGCAAGTCGAAGGCAATATATATCTTCTCCACAGCCTCCTAGATACTTGCCTCCAGTGGAGTGAGGGTGACCCCTGTATCCCGGGTGACGAATCAAAGAGGTGGAGTCTTTTGTGAATACTCACTGTCTTTCACATTAAAACAGGCTTCATATATTCAACCGACTTTGTGAACATTACATGTGTTCGGCAACAATCTTGCTCTGTGCATGATTCAAGTGAAATACCACACTGCCCCCGGGCTCGTATCCCAACGCTGTCTCCACCAAGAAATGGGCCTCAGGTGGCCTCAAGGACATAATGTAGAAATTATCCCTAGTCTCTAGATTGTTAGACATGATTTAGGTAGTGACTGTCTGCCCTCTAGGTTCGGAGACTTTGGTGAAGTGCGGTGTAAAAGCTAAGCTAACTGATATCCAATCGGCTCTGTCCCCGCAGCCACACCAACTAGCTACACATCAGATTTTTTGATTTTTTTTTTCTTTATTATGGGTGAGTCGATCAGTTTGATACAATTTTAATCATCTACCAATGGGTGAAGGTATACTAACTTTGCGTCAATGAGTTAAACCTTTGTCGTCTAACCTCACGCACCATCTGATATCCGAGCTAAATTGTCGGATCCCCCATCCGGAGCCCCTAGTAGATAATTCTAATAAGGCCACTGACGATCTCACGAGTATAAGGGCCGTCTGATCTACGGATGTTACTTACGAGCGATCGACAAGCTGAATGGTGCTTTTTTCTTTACTCAAACCATCTTTTCCTACCTAGGGGCAGCCTGGCTGGTGCTAATGCAAAGGGTGAGGAATGCGGATGGAGCTACCCGGTTTCCGTATTTGGAACGTTAGCTGGAAAAGCTAGATGATCCCGTGATCGAAAGACTTCGTTCTATCTCCTTTATGGAGTTTTATCTGAATAGTGACCAAGGGTTAACAATGGTGAATGGTTAACAGTTAGCGATTCTAGTTGCGAAATGCAATCTACAGCACACTGTTGACCGTAGGTATTAGTAATTTCATTCCTCGTGGATTTAGCCACGAGGGTTCGGAGGTGACTATATTGGAATGGAGGGTGACATCACTGGAATCCAGGCCTAAGCTATTTGGTCAAAGGGCTGCCCCATTTACCGGGTTTCTTCTACTGGGTGGCTCTTCAAAGAGTAATAGCTGCGGTCAATTGACTGTGCAATTTACCGGCCTTCTAATATCATAACGTATTTTGCCGCGCGGCATTGGAGGACGTCAACAATATGGACTCTGACGTGATAATTTATAGGTGTATGTATTCGATATTTATGCTGCGTCCTGATGACCGTCAAACACCCGTCTGACCTTCCCAGAAACCCAACAGCCAGTGACATCACTACTCTCTTGCATCCTGAACTGAACTTGAATCTCAGATGGCTTTCCCATCTTCCATCCCTGTCTCACGAAAAGAGGCTTGGTAGTTCCACTTTGAAGAAATCCGGTCTTCAAGAGGCCAAACGACAGTGCTGCCGCCGCAATACCAGTCGCCGGATCCTCGGGATAACCGGCGGATTTTGGAAATTGTCTCGCTTCGATGAGTTGATCTTCCGTATCAATCACAGCATACGGATAGAGGCCCGTGGAGTTGATCTTTTCACATATCTCACTGACCGAACATGAGTCAAGCTTTAATTTGTTAAGGATATCTCGGCTTCTCAATGGAATCAATGTTTTCGTTCGCGAGGTGCGAGCATTCTGGACCTTGAAACCCGGCGCGAGGTCATCTGCAGTGATTCCCAAACAGGACACAATTTCGAGGACATGCGCACTGGCGATGTCTTCCACAGAGCCTTTGGGCTGGGACACCAACACGCGTGTTTCCAGCTCTCCACGATCTACTCGTGCCTCGACCATACCACATTTGGTCGAAATAGAGATTCTTTCGGTTGGAGGTAATAAGCCCAGCTGGTCCATGACCCAGATTGCACCGACTGTGGCATGGCCGCACATTTCCATCTCGTGGTTGGGGACCCAGTATCTCATTGTAAGGTCTGTCCGCGTTTGATCACCGGTAGCCCCAGATAGAACGAATCCACACTCATGGCCACTCTCTTTGGCAAGTGATTGCATCTGCTCGGAGCTCATCTCGTCGGCGTTGAGGAAGATGGTGGTAGGATTGCCTCCATCTTTAGCATCGAGAGAGTATGGGAATACCGAGAGATGGTATACGTTAGGGGACTTCATGGAATGTACAGTATTTTCTCACTTTCGTGACCTGAGGATCAAATGATGACAATCGTGGGACAACACTGAGAAAAAAGTTGCGGGGAAACGTGAGTCAGGATATGTCTTGGCGTGGAGCTTAAGCTTAAGAACAGTAAAGGTAAGCAATCCCAACCAAGACCACAAGCAATAGGACAACTCCTGTGTTCTAAGCTGCTCACTTGTTTCAATCTATCATGTGCTTCCCGCCCTCATCACCTATTCTTCGCCTTGATTGGGGACACACCCGCAGACCGTATCTGCAACAATTTGTATCTCAATCCGACCAACTTTCTCTATACTCTCTCCACTGACCAGCCCGGGGATTTAAAATTCTTGGTGCTCGAACCTGGATACTAGAAATTCTCTGAAACTCCATCACCGGCTATCTTACTGAAAGAGAATCTAACACAAAAAATCACATGTGTCTTCCACCCACGACCCTCAGCCGCAGAAATGGATTCGTTGGAAAATGCTCTCAGGAGGCTTAAGACGCCTGGGAAATGGCGTCCCGACAGGATCTCCAAGGCCAACAAATGTGGCTCATGTCGAGCACCAGCCAAAGCATTTGGACGTGATTGGATGGGCGCACATATGAGACTAGGACAGATCATGCTTACTCCCAGCCTTCTCTCGAAGTATCTACCTTTGATTCTGGCCACCTCGTCATGTTCGTACATTACTGAATACACAATATGGCTCTTACCTGTTTCCGGGATGATACATACGACCATAGGGTGTGGAGAACAGGGCTTCCCGTCCGCTCAGCCGTACTTAAGCCACACGCCGGCCAGTTAGTAGTATGGTGGGTGACCACATGCGAATCCTGGCTGTTGTATGTTTTTGTTTTTGATACATTTACCGATACATTTACCCTTGCCGCTACACTCTTCAGCCCCTTCAGGCTCACTGGTATCTATATCATACTGTACCCACCCACATCGCTCACCGCGATATGTGTAGGCCACATAGATTCTTACCGGGCAAGAAGCTTTTGCCATTCAGGGAAACGATCTCAGATTTTTATGTGCACTGCATTGTACAGTAACTGTGAACATACATGCCAAGATTCCGATGTCCGAAGTGACCTGTCTGATCTTGATACGCGCTCTCCATGATTTGGAATATCACGCCAAGAGACTCACTCACCATGGAAACTAAGCCATTCATTGGTGCGTCCGTCAGTAGGTCCGTCCCGGCTGACGGCCTGGCCTTGATACGAAAGGTCATGGCACATTGGCACATTGAGTGTTAATCGAAATGACTATAAATGAATTCCAAAGTGTCCGGACGCTCTTAACCTGAGCTTGCAAGAGAATCTGAAACCGGGGGCTCAGGCCGAATAATACTCCGCCTCACCCAGTACAGTATGTACTACTGCACCCACGGAGATGGTCGGCCGTTCCAAGAGGCTAGACGTGACAAATTTTGGTTGACTCGATTCAGGTGTACACAACAGAAGAAGTCCAGGCAGCTCATGCAGCTATGCAGTCTCCAGGGAAGATCCAATACAACACCTCCGACATCCAGGACAGTCTGATCGACCGGGAGAGGGCTGGAACGTATTTCGGGAAGCTCTCGCACAGGTGGAAGGAATGGCTCGCAGACCGTGCCTCTGCCATTCCGGACATGTAGCTGGTCTGGGGACAGGGCATTGCTGGAGCAAAGGGAATCTGCGGGGGATGGGAGAAACTGTCCAATGGTGCAGTGCGCCCTGAAGAGGGATTGGTGTATGCCCTATAGAGCGATATCCTTGAACAAATAGTCGACTCTCTTCTATCGTGACTATCCTTAGTCCAAGAGCTACCAATTCAATCAAAACAGGAATACAAATGCCACGGACGAAACCATCACCACAGCGCCAAACAGCAGTCGAACGTAAGAAACCAGCTGTGCCTTCTGGGCCGTAAGGGTTTTGCCGCACTTAGTTGCCAGTTTACTATCCTTCCACCCCAAACTGCCCTTATCTTCATCAACAAAGACATATCCAAGCTTTGGAGCTTCACTACACGTCGGCGCAACATTCTCTGCCATGAAATTAAGTCCAATTACAGGAAACACCCATCGTTGGGCTCAAATCATTAGCCCATATGGGGTTATATCGGATCAGATCCAGATTATGAAAAAGTGTTGTTCTGATGAGCTAAACTATCGAACTTCATGGGAGTTAAAATACGGTCAAATACCCATGAAAATATCAATAACTCAGGGGTTACTAGCCCGAGAGGATCCAGATATAGCAAGAATACGTGTAAAACTGTAAATCAAAGGGGGATTTACAGATCTCATCCAGCCACAGTTGTATCTGACGAGTCAATACAATGCGGCAGTGCCAATATCCATTTTCCTGGCAAGATCTTACTACCTCCCGCTCACCGCTGACTGATATTGCCGACAGAACTAGGGCGGTGGCCTGCATGAGGGTCGCTTGCGGTAGTTCGGAATTCCATGCTCGGTCTCGGAGTTCCGAGTGGCACTGGCGGGCAAGCGGGGTACCAACCTACCCTACCAACCCCATCTATCTTTTTTTCATTATCCCAGGGATCTCCGCTAATACTAATGGCATCGTAAATCTGAAGTCGATGATGAAAAACATCAAGCAGTCTCAGCCGCGCAAAAAAGCATGCCAGGGTTGTACGACCGCCAAGGTTCGGTGCGACCTTGCGAAGCCGAGCTGCTCGCGGTGCCGAGCACGTGGTAAGCAATGTCGGTATTGTTTGGGCTCGGTCTGCTCGGATGGCCTGGGTCTAGGTCACCCCACGACGTTGGGTAACACAAGCTCCCTTGATGACAGCCTCAGCTTTCAGCCAATCCTTACGGGGGGTTCTACGGCCTTTGCCACTGCAGAATTCCTAAGCCCCATCTCTGGCCAGGCATCGGAGATACTACCTATTGGTCCTGAGCCTGAAGCAACGCCCACAGTGGACACTTGCTTGGACTTTGACAATATTGATCTTATGCCAATGACAGATGCAGAAGAGATCCGAGATCGCTGGTTGCGCACTTACCTATTTTCTGCCACCGGAGAGGTGCCTAAGCTGTTCAGCCTCTTCACTGTCCAATTTGTTACCTGCGTATTTCGTTCATATCCCGGCCGTCTCATTGAGAGTCATGGCCTTCCACCGTTTATTCATCCACTGCAACTCAGCAATAAACCGATGCCTGGAACGATGGCCAATTGTATTTCTCTGGTGCGCATGTGGATGAACAGAGTCGCCGGAAGCGAAGCGATGATATTAAGTACCGTCAAACAGGAGATGGAGACAATATCCCGTGGGGTATATCATGTTTTCTATTGTTATATTCTCCCTTCGAGCATGTGTTACTGACCACAGAGTAGGATGCGATAGGTGATCTCGAAACTGTATGCGCTTTCCAGGCGTATCTCATCTATTCAATTACAGCCTACTTCTTCCCGATCGGTAATACGTCTCTAGTCGATGACTCGACTTTGATAACCATACAAAACTTGGCCTTTCGCACCGCGAAGACAGGTTTTACCTGCAAAGCGGAGCTGTCACACATGGCCCCAACTTGGGAATCTTGGATCATTGCCTCGTCCAAGCGACGTACTTTACTCACGATGTATCTCTTCACGAATGTGTACAATTTCGACAAGGGTATCCCGAATTTTTTATCTAAAGAGTTGGGCAATACACTCGCTCCAGAGAGCAAGGTATTGTGGGAGGCATCTGACCGGCTTACTTGGACAAAGGAGTACAATCGCTACCTCTCAAAGTGGGAAGATGGACTGCTGCAGATTTCGGAGCTATGGAAGTCGCCGGAGACGGGCTCGGAGGCAAAAAGAAGGCGCATTGAGCGATGGTTGCAAGCGACAGATGAGTTTGGAATGATGCTCTTCGCGGTTTGTGCACATCTCCATGGGTGTTAGCCGTCCTGAGGGTGTTGGAGACAGAAATGTATGTCCTATGCTTTGTACATCAAATTTTTATGCTAGTGAAGCTGATGGGCTATCAGGATCCGCTGAATAAACTGTATGGTTAACGAAGAACGACTTTTGGGATCTCAATTCGCCCAAGCGTAGTCGTGAAGTAAAGCCTTATTCATCGGGCCCGAATAATGTCTGCCTCAGAGGTGTTAGTCAAGTCAATTTCTCAGAAGTGAAGCTCGTTCTTTTTGGGATTCCCTCTGGGAGTTGTCCCTGGGACTGCTGGATCGGCGGACACCAGATGGTGTTGTCAACATGCGACTTACTAGGAGCATCGAAATTTGACAGAGGAAGTGGCGTTTTTAATGCTGCTGGAGCAGAGAGTGAAGTCGTAAAATAATGCACATCGAGATAATCAAAATGTCCGAGTTCTGCTCCTTAAGTCTCCCTGTGCTGGGCGCGTGCCAGGTTGCACCAATGCCGAAGCCATCGTGTCATAAACACTATTTCGGACTATCAATCTACACCGTGAGCATCTGGAATTTCTTAGACTGCGCCGGGCTTTGGCCTCCGCGCAACTGCTGCAGGCTTTCTTGCGCGGCGGTGGAGGTTTCTTTCTGGGCATGGTCGGCGTGGCCATGCTCGTGGTATCGCATCGTCAATATATTATTTACCTGATGAGTGAATCGCAAACCCTCGAAGGCATATCCGGACGTTCTCGGTAGATATCCTAACTGGACTCCGATCACCACGGAGCGCCTTCATCCTAGCGCTACCAAATCGGGTGCAGGCTCGGAACTCCGACATGACTTGGACGATCCGACATAATATCGAACGTAAATCGAACGTACTGTGTAGATTCGGGAGGGGATGGATATACCTTTGTTGTTCAGGACATAGTACTATAATTTGCAGTACTAGGCTATGATAGTTCTTGCATCGAAAATTTGACTGCCCAAATTATTGTTTGGCGGCTTGGCCCTGGGCAGTTTCTGAGCAGGTGCCACCTCAGAAAGCTGCTTCGTACGGAATTCCGGCATCCCTAGGAAGCGGCAAACTTCGCGGAGTAGCCACTGGCTACTGTACGCTCTGTCCACAATTATTTAATGCGATCCACGCACTCCGAGAGAGCGAGTATAGCAAACTTCGACCATGGAGAGTCTGAACATTTTGGTCCGTGACAGCCTATTCGGTCGGCTGCTCAACTATGCGTCGAAGGGCCTATTTTTTTCCTACAATGGATCTAAAACCTTTAAAGATGAAGACCTCCCAAGCCCAGACCCCCAGCGCTGGATCATAGTAGGCTTCGTTGGCCCTGATGACCCAGATATCCCTCGAAACTGGCCCACGCTGGCAAGGACGGTCGCTGGACTCAATGTATTGCTCTTGAACTTCAGTTTCTATGCAGCATCGGCACTCTTTACGCCAAGTATCTCGGGTATCGAAGAAGCATTCGGAGCTACCACTACTGAGGGCACACTGGGGCTTTCGCTCTTTGTTATTGCATACGGAATTGGGCCTCTTATTGTATGTCTGCGCTTCAAGTAGAACACAGGTACAAGGAATGTACTAATCATGCATGCTTTCAGCTTTCTCCTCTGTCAAACCTGTCGTCCATTGGGCGTTCTCCAGTATATGTGCTTAGCTGCCTTGCTTTCTGCTTGCTCAACATCGGAACGGCTCTTGCAAAAAACCTACAAACTGTTCTGGTACTACGCTTTTTGGGGGGCTTTATCGGAAGCACGCCCATCAGCGTCGGTGGCGCCTCACTCATGGAAATATACAGGCCATCTGAGATTCCCTACGCAATTGCATTGTACGCAGTTAGCGGGGTTTGCGGGCCTATTCTGGGACCGGTATGTACTGCAGTCTACATGCATCTAGATATCCACGGCTTTTACTAATTTTGGCAAAACAGATACTTGGAACCCTTGCCATGTTCGTCATCGTTTTTGAATTGCTGAATATTACCTGACATGAATAATTCTCGTACAGAAAGCGTTGGAAAACCTGGAGAGCAACGCTCTGGCTCCTTTCCGGTCTCACTGCCTTCACGACCATATCTACTTTCTTCTTTCTACCTGAGACGCTGTCCTCGAATATCCTTCTACGACGAGCAAAGCGCCTTCGCGAGCTGACGGGCAATCCTGCATACCATAGTGAAGCTGAAATTCAATCACCAAGCGAAAATCTCGCTCTCCGCATTGTTAAGGACATGGGCAACGATATCAAACTTGCCTGTCTGGACCCAGTCATTCTATTTGTCAACATGCACACAATGCTAGTTTACGGTGTTCTGTACCTTTGGTTTGAGTTCTTCCCGTTCGGTAAGTTAAGCTCTCCTCGAAGCCGTTTTGCGCACGTTATGCTGACAGAGTGATCATATAGTCTTTAACGGCATTTATCATTTTACCGCAATTCAGCAAGACTGTGAGCTTTCCTGAGCTGACTTTGTACGAAGATTGGGCTACTGACATTTCTCTCCAGTTGCCTTCTTCGGTATCCTCGTCGGAGCATCAGTTTCGGTCGCTGCATACGTTCTGTGGTTATACTTTTCCTACCAGCCACGAGTGGCAAATGCAAATATCGTTGTCGAGCCAGAGGCTCGCCTGGTCCCTGGACAAATAGGGGCTGTTTGCATTCCAATTTCCCTGTTCATCTTTGCATGGACATCCCGAGCAAGGTAAGCTAGCCACTTAAGTCAATTGATTCTGGAGAGGATTTTAACCCGCTGCCAACAGCGTACACTGGATCGTTCCGATTATCGGAACAGCATTCTTTGCACCGGGCTTCTACCTCACCTTTCAATCCGTCCTCAATTACCTAGGCGAATCCTATCCGCGCTATGCGGCAAGCGTTTTTGCTGGTAACACTTTCTTCCGAAGTTCGTTTGGAGGGGCGCTCCCACTAGCTGCACCACGCATGCTAAATGCACTTGGAATTGGATGGGCCTCGAGCATACTGGGGTTCATCTCCGTCGCTATGGTACCCTTGCCTTTTATTTTACAACGAGTGAGTTTGCTGCCAGGAATGCGTTCTGTTATGTTAAATTAGTTATAGAATTATTTGCTAATTTGTATGATATAGTACGGCAAGAGACTGCGTTCTTGGAGCCAATTTGCGAACTAAGCAACACATCTCAAGGCCAGTCTCCCCATATTGGCTATACTGGCTTCACACTAGATGCCATAATGTCACCTGCGCTTGCTTCATATCACTTCGACATTAGGTGATAGAACGTTGGCACGGCCAGGTCGAGAAGATCATTTCGGCCAACTCGGCGGTTGATGCCTCTCTCTTCGAGACTCTGAAACCGTCCGCGTCCACCGGCCTCCGCTAGATTTAATATTCCATCAGGACTCTATCCATTTTTTGCGTTCCGTACAATTACCTCCTTGGATTTACCAGTAATTAGATTTCATTACAATGAATAAAATGTTTGTCACACTGCCGGCTCCGGTTATTGGAAAGTACTTGTACATCATGCTCTAGCTCTTAATTCAATATCTATTAGGCAACATCTCTTATACTGCAATCGGATAGCACTTTGAAGAGCTGTCGACAACTCTACGAAACCCAAAACAGCAGAGGAATCTTTATTGGCGAGAGAAAAGACCACAGGGATAATGGACAGCTTCATTCGTGGCTGGATCAGCTCATTGTTTGGGATCAGTCAAGAACCTAGTGGTTCATCCTTCTCCCTTACATTTTGTACATGATCAATTGGCGGAAAAGATTAATTTAGTTCGCACGAACTCCAGGCTCGCTGGTGTGGAAATCAGGATCCTCCTCAATGCTTACACCGGCATCTTTCAGCAAATTAGGGAACCACCTTAGCGTTCGGTCGCGAAAGACCTCGTACCCAGCTCCCTTACGTAGAACCTTCATATTCTCTGCATCGAAATTGACGCCACCACGCCCGTATGCCTGCCATTTCTGTAGACCGTAATCTACCACCAAGTCTACCTCGTCAATCACCCTCGGCTCAATATCTTCGATCCGGAATCGTTGTCCCTGGCCGGTCAGATTGGCCGAAGTTCCGAACGTTAACATGCCCTCGGGGTCCTCATCGCAAAGGCGACCGAGTTCCCGTAGAAATGGACCTTCGGGAACTGCGATACTGACCGTATCACCCTTGGTGACCTGGGCTAGCGTAGCGGGATCGAGGGTTGCCAAACGCGGGTGAAGATTTTCGGTATCGTATTTGGCAATGATCCCGACAATCATCGCCATATCTTCTGTCAGGACCCGTGTCATCTCAAACTTGGCCTCGGAGAGCACATGGATTTCGCGGTGTTGTTTGTATGTCCCGATGATCCCTATGTTGTGGCCTTCCCGACGGTCTTTTGCTGAGAAAATCCGCTGGATTCCAGCCTGTGTGCTAGTCAAGAGTGCGTAGCCGACATCGGTTGGTAAAATGACAACACCACCACGTTTAAGAGTGTTATAGGTCTCTTTAGCATCACGAGGGACGTTGGGGGCGGTATCTAGCTTGGGTATGTAACGGGGAGCCATTGAAGGTTGGTGAAGATTTATAATTTTATGCTGGTCGATATAGGAATATATAAAGCCAAGCGACTCGGAAGTCGAATTCGGACTCCCGCGGAGTGGCGAGTCACCTTGCAAGTCAAATTCGGAATTCCGATCTTAGTTTTCTTACGGACTTTTGCAAACACAAACTTATAAACTGCATTACACTCAATCTTGATTGAATTTTGCCAAATTACAAAATCGCAAACTCGACCAAGCCAAACTGAATACTCGAAAAAGAGATGTCTGTCTACATAACCGACCACTCCACTTCTGTCCTCAAAACCCATAGTTGGCGCACAGCGTCTAATTCCGCCACCTACCTCCTACCGCACATAACTCCGACGTCCAAAATCCTAGACATCGGGTGTGGTCCCGGTTCAATCAGTGTTGACTTTGCCCGCCGTGCAAACAATGGTCATGTCATAGGGATCGAAAATGTCCCTGATCCGCTCGACCAGGCTCGACACCTGGCCGCGTCGCAAGGCGTGACTAACGTCGATTTCCGGCTGGGCGATATCCACGCTCTCGAATTCCCGGATAATACCTTCGATATTGTTCATGTGCATCAGGTGCTGCAACATATTGCCGATCCTGTCAAAGCGTTATGCGAGATGAGGCGTGTTGTGAAACATGGTGGAATTGTCGCAGCAAGGGAATCTGCGTCTATGATCTGGTATCCAGAGAATCCCGGGATCGACAACTGGCTCGAAATTACCCAACGAATGGGAAAGGCGAAAGGCGGGAATCCGCATCCTGGACGGTATATTCATGTATGGGCGGAAGAGGCTGGATTTGATCTGGCCAATATCAGGAAGAGCACCGGGTCCTGGTGCTTTAGTACTCCGGAGGAGAGACAGTATTGGGGCGGATCGATGGGGGAAAGGGTGCGGTCTTCGGGCTTGGCGAAGATGGCTGTCGAGGAAGGGTATGCGACAAAAGAGGAATTAGAAATGATTTCCAAAGGATGGAGGGAATTTGTCGAGGATGAACAGGCTTGGTTTGGGCTGTTGCATGGGGAGATATTATGCTGGAAGTAATTAAAGAACCCGTGCTACGTGCTGCCCAGCCTCTCTGTCTGAACCTAAGACGTTTGTCAAACCCAGATTCATCAACATATACGAGGTGGTACGATTTGCAGTCCGATAGATTATGCTGATGATCATCTCGTAAATTAGCATTTTGCTCTCTAGCACGTTGCTGTGGTCTTTTTTGGCCAACCGTTGGCGATAATAGCTCTCCTAATGCTAGTGGTTGTAACTATAGTCTGGAACTCGTTGTAGAGAACTACAGCTATACTATCGAGGTACAGGCCAGGTTGCTTCTACTTTCCATAGCTAAATCGAATAAGTTTAACACTCTTTTGATTTTGATATCAAGTTACTCTTCTAAATCGTGCATCTTCCATTAGATCGCACGAGCTACCTGTGATCTATTACAAAATCATACACTTACTTCAATCTAATCGTGCACTACACTACGGTGCACCATAAGAACTTAGGAACACACTGTGAAGTCCGACAGATTAGATATAGGACGGAACTTGAAAGCCCGGTAGCATTCTATTGGTTTGTGCAATCAAAACTGTGTTCACTTTCAACCTAAAGACCTAAAAGCGGCGGCATCTCAGTTAGAAAAACCTCACCTGGCAGAGGAAAAACACTCGGTAGAGTGACCTACCTAATTGACAGGCCACTTCCCTGACTCGTAATCTCTTTACAAATAGTCCCCCTTAGTCCTTAGAACGATAGCACGTAATGTTCGTGAGTTATTATGCTCACTTTAATTCGTAACGGAGGTAAAGTTAGGGGCTTGATCCTTAGTTTTAGTCATTTTGAGGGTTAATATTGATCACAAGTCGGTGGGCACATGGTAAGTAGGGAGGCAGTATAGTGAGAGAGGCCGCTGCTAGACGCTCCCAGCGCGCCTTTTCAATACATCCTCCGTTACTCCCCGCATCGGCGGCTCTCAAAATCTTCCTCTTTGTCAAAATGTGCAAAAGCATATTAGGGCAAGGGCTTCACCCCTCTAAGTGAAGAAATTTCAGGTGAGTCAACTGCCGCCTGAAGCGCCCGAATTCACCTAAAGGCAGACTACGTAAAGCGGCGAGTGGCCCAGCACTTAAAAAGGGGCGCTAGGTGAGGTCAGCCATACTTTTGGCTGTTGTATGATATTGTTTTGCATTGACAATCTTGTCAAAAAGCCTAGGCTTATCCCATTATTGGGATTGACCTGATTTTCCTGACGGTGTTTAGCGCTTTCCGAACATAAGGCTCTTTCCGTTCTCTGCCCACCATTGAATATCGTTGAAGTGAGAGATGCTTTAAAAGACAAAAGAAGTTCCTCATCAGACAAGCCGAGGTTTGTAACGAGGCCTCAAAATCAATGATTTTGCGGGCAAGCTGGACTTCGTATTTCGTGCATTTGGCCTCAACGCTAATTGGGACTATCACGGCTGTGGAGCAGGAAAGAGGATCCTCGAGGAGATTTTTTGACAAGGCTGTGACGTTTATCTTGGAACTCAATTCAAGCTTATTTGATCGTGTTCTCAGAGTCTCGGTTTCTTGAGGATCAAGCGTGACAACCTCTTTTCCACCGCGGACAGATTATATCAGGAATCTTGTATCTAAGAGTGTCGTATTAGTAGGAAACGTCAAGAGTAATTGAAATCTTCTGTAATGTATATATTGTCATGGTTTGGTGAATCGTAAACTATTGCACAAGATTAGGAAGGAGGAGAAAAGGAAGAAACTAATGTATGTACACTTTCCCGAGTGACTTATTTTTGGATGTCAATCGAGAGTTTGGACACCGAGAAGGTGACGTTCTTATCTACTGAGAACGCCTCGGTACCGAATTGGAAGATACCCAAGTAATCCGAGTTGGATGGGTAGATATCGCCAGTCAGGGTGTAGAGATCGGTGATGAGGGGGTAAAGATCGCCGGTGAATTCCTCCGTTACCTCGGTAGCAACCCAAGATAAAACGTTTTGCTTTGCCGAGTTTGTTCCGGTGTAGAGTTCGCTGCAAAGAAGAAGATTAGTACCTCCAGATGTAGAACCGAGAACCGATCGACTCACAATGTTGTCCCGTTTAGCGTCTTTGTTGTAACGGCACCGGAAGAAAGACCGATAGGTTGGGCGGAGGAACCGTAATCGGCAAACCAGACCATGACTTCGTATTTTGCGAGAGTGCTGTTTGATGCTTTCGTTTTGTCCGAGTCCAAGAACATATCGATGGCAACGTTGGTCTGGAGATTTGCTGCTGTGAGGGAGTCCTTGTCGGTCGAGGCAGCGACGGTGTTGCCCACGCCATAGGTCCAGTGAAGGTCGAGGTCGACCTGCGTCATCTTGTCCAGCTCAATGGGGAAGACGTCGTCCACCATGATGTTGGGGTAGGCGTGCACGGGCTGGGTTGAAGGGCCAGGATCGAATTGCCAAGTCACGGAGAAGCCTGGGGCAGTGTCTGTGGTCGCGTAGGTTTCATTGTTGAACGTCGTGACCTGGAACGAGACAGGGTCGATTAGTCGCGAAATTGCAATGGCCACAAATACTCATGGGGATACTCACATTCATGCATAGCGAGCCCGAAGTCGTATCTGTCACGCCCCACTGGTTGGGATTGACTATTGAAAGTATCAGTTTCGAATTCGCCCGGAGTAGGATAGACGGGCTTAGAAGATAGCTGCTGCGCCGACTATGGCGCAACAGCGCGAATCTAGCAAGCTGGATTCACAGGCAAACTTACGAGTATAGAGCTGGCCGTCCGACGGTGGTGAGATACCGTAGGAATTCTGGCAATACTGAGTGTTGGTGACGCCGTTATTCGTCGTAGAGCCACTACCGCCGGAGCCGCCCCCAGTGCTATCGCCGCCAGAGCCTGAACCAGTATTGGAGTTGCCGTCGTCGGTGAAGAGTGGTGGTTGTCCGGTCGCTGATCGGTGTGCATCAATACCTAGCAGTGTGCCAACCGAACCTCCGATCGGAATGGCCAAAAGGCCGGTGTTGACGAGTAACCGCAACGCCATGGTGTTGCTGGTCGTGCTGAGCGAGTGTAAAGAAAGCTAAGATGAAAAGAACCCAGATATCAAAGATAAGAACACCGCCCACGGAAATGACTGTTGCGGTAGGTATAATGAAATGCGAAAAAAAATGTATATCAAAAGTATAGCGAAAGACAAAGAGTATGGGGGAGGGGAGGGGAGTGGAGGGGAGAGAGAGTATAGTAGCAAATGGAGGAGAAAAGGTGCAAAAAGGCTATGGCAACGATGCAGTCTCGACTACGGAGCAAGCCAAATCACAATCACCACAGTCAAGTCACTGAGACTTTTTCCCAGCCAGCTCGACGGTTATCAGTCCAGTCCAGCACAAATGACCAACAGCCGGGCCCGAACGACGCCAATCAGCCCAATGGCGCTGCAAACCAGCGATCGAGTGGCCCGAGGCCCTTCCGCACGCGGTTTAGCGGCAGGTACTACGGTCGGATCAGCCGCTTGTGCCTGATAAGTGGGCGAACGGGAGTGGACTAGCTGGGCAGAGTGGACTCTGTGGACTCAGTGGACTAAGTGGAACCCCACACTGCATCTTGCCCCCTGCGTAGTGCCACCCTAATGTCCTCCTAACGCAGCGGGGGGGTCAGGGAGTTTGGAAGGTGACCAGTCAGATGTGACGGGCCGTTTGGTCTAGAGATAGTGCTGCGCGCATAGATAAGCCAAGTCATAGTCTAAGTGCATACGGTACATCCCTAATTACAATAGGTTCGAGAGTTCTACAAGAAGCAATTTGGTGTTCTTGCTTCGGCCTATATCCGGGAGAATATTGTGACTCGGGATGATGGAGCATTACGGAGGCAGCGGACGCAAGCCCTAACGAAACACTACCAATGATAACCAGACTCTCTTGCCACCATGTGAAAAAAACATGGTAAAGAGTCCTCCCCGAGCCCTCGGTTGTCCCTCTTTAGCTAATTTTCTTTTTTCTAAAATTAAAATGCATGGTGGTGGGTCGCAAGGGAACGAAAGAAAACCCTTTGCTAGAAAAATTTCGTTTTCCCCCCCCCCCCCCCTCAATTTCCCTTGTTTTAGTTTACCGTTCCTATCCAATGAGTGCAATTAGTGGACCTAGTGGATGAGGATCACCCCATAGTTGGTAGCCAGGGACCAACCGTAGTACGACATAATCATCGTCAGAATCATCGGGCCCTAGGGTGGCCGGACAATAATGACGCAAGCGGAAGTGGCTGTGACAATGGAAGAACAAGACGAAGGATGATTGTTACAGTACACTCTTCTCCACGAATCTATCCACCCCGATCAATACATTCAACCCATCATATTCATTCGATCGTTCCTCGAGGTACTCCATAGTTACATTGTACAAAGCACATGATTGATGAAGGTCGTGGATGAGGCTAGCCTATCGCGGGTGGAAGGTGGGATTCTATTAATACGCTTGGCGCGGGTGACGGAACGGCGGAGCAGGTCGCACTCATCACACTGACTTCTCCGACTCTCCGACTATCTCCTCGTACGGACGAGGCTTTCCCGCAATGATCTCCCCCAATTTTTTGGAAAGCTAGAATCCCAACTGGGTTTCGCCGATTGGCCGAGCAGCCATAGCGCCCTCGCCCTTCCCAACCCGGATAGCTGAATGGGCTGGGCTGGGCTGGATGGCCAATTTCGACCAGCCACTCACGATCCGGTTGACCTGAGACCCGATCGTCCTTGGATGGAGCCCGGCGATAAGCATGACGAGATGCGTAGGACGGAGTACCACTATAGTTAATACAGTTAGATGAACCTGGGTCCCTGGTACTGTACTTGCTCGGGACTTCCCCTTCGGACGTGCAGTAGGTCATTGGCTAAGCCTCGCTGGTTCCTCTCGCCATCCACTTCATTATTCGTTCTCGACCGATTTTCTTTTTTTCATACTACCTTATTCACCTTGTTCACTTTGCCTTTTCCTCCTCGACCTTCCCAGCCTGCAGCTCTTTGGGCTGGATCACACTCGTTTGAAAACGTCGCGCCGCTGGGGGTAGTTACTAGATTCCTATAGTTTCCTCCTCCTATCTGCTGCCCTCAATTGCCTTTCGTTACCCTTGAACCTCCTCTCTTATCTACTTGCCCTATTTACTTGGTTCGAGTCTCGGTCCGCACACGGTCTCCTCACGCGACTACTGCCGAGTGTCTCTCAACATGACCGGACACTACGGCGGGCAACCGTACGCGGCGCAGTATGGCGAGCAGTATGTCACCAACCCGTATACTCACGAAGAACCCGAAGAAATGGTCGAGTTGAGCAGCCCTCGAGCTTATCGGAGCCCGCAAGGCGTGGATCAGCACGAAAACAACTTCGACTTTCGCTTTCAAGAACAGCCCTCTCCGAGGCCGGCCGTGATCCCGTACCGACCGGGCTTGGGACACAACCCGCCCGACTATACTTCATCGCCAGGTCTTTTCCCAACACCTCGCACCTCCTACGGCCCCGACTCGTTCGCGAACACGCCGTATGACTCTCGCTCGGCTTCGCCTACTTTGGTAAGACATGCTCTGATCTGATTTTGGTCCTTTTTTTCCGGATAAGAATTTACCGTCTAATGTCAATCAACAATCAAACAGTATCAGCATTCGCAACTCCAAAGCTCCGCAAGTCTCGGTCGTGCTCCTCTCGTGAGTACTCCGGCCTCGCCGGGTTTCTCAAAGGATTGGGTTCAGTCGGGATCCATTGCTCGCATCAGTGATCGTGACGATATCGATATCTGGAAGGGCTGGAAGCGAATCGTCTTCAAGTTCACCCCGCTGCTGACCTTTGCCAACACCGGACTCTACTTATTCTACCTGGGTCTGCGAATCTACTGCATCATTTCGGCTCAGAATGCGGCCGGTGTCAGTTATGCCGGTGCATGGGTTTTCGTCGGCATTGAGATTGCCGTCATGATTCCTTCTCTCATGCACAACTGTTGGACGATGATGGCCATGAAAAAGCGCGGCCGACCTAAGTTGCGACTGACCGGTGATGACTGCCCGACGGTAGATGTATTCATCACCTGCTGCGGCGAAGAAGATGAGGTCGTTCTCGATACCGTCCGTGGTGCCATTGATCAAGACTACCCCTTCGACCGGTTCCGAGTGATCGTGCTCGATGACGGTCGATCCGCATCTCTGGAGGATTCCGTCAACAACCTCGCCATCACTCACCCGAATCTCTACTACATGGCTCGCGAGAAAATTCCCGGCAAGCCCCACCACTTCAAGGCTGGTAACCTCAACTACGGTTTGGACCAGACACTCGCCTTGCCTGGTGGAGCTGGCCAGTTCATGGCCGCTCTGGACGCAGACATGGTAAGTCAAAACAAAGCACTCCTTGCCTGGACGCGAATCATCGCGCAAGGGCTAGTCCCCACCCCATGTGTGGTTTGCCTTAATTTAACGCGTATCGCAGATCCCTGAGCAACAATGGTTGCGCGCCGTGCTCCCGCACCTGTTAGTGGATCCCAAGATGGCCCTTGCATGCCCACCCCAGCTTTTCTACAATACCCCTGCGTCGGACCCTCTCGCACAAAGTCTGGACTTCTTCGTGCACGTCATTGAGCCGATCAAGGACGCGCTCGGCGTCGCCTGGTGTACCGGCTCTGGCTATGTTGTTCGCCGCGAGGCTCTCGACCAAATCGGCAATTTCCCTCTGGGCTCATTGGCCGAGGATGTCGCGACTTCGACTCTGATGCTTGGTAAAGGATGGAAGACCGCGTACATCCACGAGCCGCTGCAGTTTGGAACCGTCCCTGAAGACTATGGTGGTCACTTGAAGCAGCGTACTCGCTGGGCTATCGGTACCGTGGATACGGCCTTCAAGTTGAAGTTCTGCTTGTGGGGCGATGCCGTCCGTAAGATGACGATTGCTCAGCGGTTCTCTGGCTTCTTGTACGCGACACTGAGTTTGTATACGCTTCTGCTCACCGCGTCGCTTTTCGCCATTCCTATTATTCTGTTGTGGGGTAAGCAGCTAGTTGCGTACGCGAACCAAGACCAGCTTCACTGGTTGATCTGGGCTTGTTTCGCGTCAACACTCGCTAATCGTCTATGTGAATTTGCACTGTTCATTCCTGCTGGCTATCATACCGGCCAGCGTGGCTCTCGCTATCAGCTCTGGATGTCCCCCTACATCGCCCTGTGTATCGTGCGCTCCTTCATCTTACCCTCCTGGCTCGGCGGCCAGGCGCAGGCCTTCAAGCCAACCGGTTCCCTTGGCTCCGCTTTGAACGAACGCGACCCCAAGCAACGGAAGAACCTATTCGTCCGCCTACGCGTCATCTTGTTCAATTTCATGGCTCTCTTCCACTTTGCCTTTGTCTACGTGACCCTGGTGGCAGTCGTCATTTCGACATACCGCTGCTTCGCCGTGGAGAAAAGCTTCAAGGGAGTCGTCATTTGCTTGATTACCCACGCCTTCTGGCCTCCTATGACTTTCTTGTTCCTTTGCACGTCGCTTTGGACGCCGGTCTCGTACGCGATTGATCCCCCATCGATGCCGGAGCGCGAGGAACTGTTGACACGGGACCCGAAAACGGGCGTTGCTCATCCGACGAAGAAGAGCAAGAAGATTGCATTTGGTGGACAAGCTGCATGGTTTGAATTGGAATATACGGTTGCAACTCTTGCCACGATCTTGATTTTTGTTTACTCCTTTTTCTTCTAGATGTTATCATATACATAATGCATTACGAGGCGATAGGCTACTTGTTGTTACGAAGAGGGTTAATTTTTCCGGATAGATTTTCATGAAATGGTGTTTCTACCGCTTTAAAATTAGAGAACTCAATAATCCAGGCTCAATTGAACGACATCCCGGATTCTTGAGCAGGTGTATTTGTGGAATTGGGTCGTGCACTTTCTTCCCAAGCTTCCTGCTAGGAACACGGGCTTGGGCAGCGATCCACGCTTGCAGCGCGACATGTAAACAACTTTAAAAAACATAGCTGCAGACCTGATGCGATGCTGTCACCTACGAAGCTGTCTGCCATTATACAATATTTCAATAACTCCATTTTGTTTTGGGCTGGACTGATTTCAACCCACGACCGATAACCGGTCATTTCGCCAACGATTCCCGAGGTGCCAACTGTACCTCGGAAATTGTAACAGAGCATGGAGCTTTCTACACAAAGCTCTCTATCACATAGTCAGATGGTATCAATTCTGCTTGAGCATATTATGCGATGCCAAAATTATACAAACTCCACTTTGGACTCGTCTTGAAATTAACAGACCGCACAAGCCTGCAAGAAGCTGCCACGATGCAAATGACGCAAGCTGCAGAACACCCGAATAATCCCTACAATCGCTTTTGCTCAATATTGATGACACGACTGCCCGGCTACCCACTTGGCAAAGCGGCTGGCTCTGCTATGGTCGAACAGGAGGAGCCGTGGCTTCGAGTTGAAACAATGCCAGAATGCGTTGCTACTATGCCGTGAATGAAGTGCGCCTTGTTCGACAAGGATTAATATGTGACATTGCGTTGGATTCTTTGAACGTCGACTCATATATTGCTTTTTGAACAGCGTCTATCAACACTGAAACGGCGTATTATGAACATCATAAACCTCACTCTTCATCTTCCGGTTCGGTCTTCTGCTTCTTCTTTTTCGGCTCCTCCCCTCCCCCATTCTCACCAAACAACTTCCCCCACGAGCCGTCCAAGACCTTTTCGTCATTCCCATGTAATCCCACATCATAAGCGTGCTTCATATTATCCAAACAAATCTGCCTCCTCTTGTCAAAATCAAACATCGGCTTCGGATACGACTGGCCGCCCGCGGCACTGTCGTCATTCGTAACCCGACACCCCCACTTTTTCTGATCGGCGATCGGCGCCTTCCAAGGCTCGTAGATGAACTTCTTGTCGAACTTGGCCAGTTCGGGTACGTAGCGTCGAACAAAGTCGCCATTGGGGTCCCACTTCTTCCCGAATGCGATGGGTGAGTAGCAACGGTAGAATTGTGCGAAAAAGGCCGTGCAAGAGAGCCACATCCAGTTCCCCGCGTTCGAGGCTGCTTCGTCTATTTTTAGGTTAGTCAGTACACGCATTGATAATTACCGCAGAGATGGGATAGCGAGAGCAGTGGATATCATGGCGGGGGCAAGGGGACTGACGGTCAATTAATAGTTCCTCGAACACTTCTGCACCTCGTTCCCAACTGACATAGCACCCGCCGCGAGTCAAGAAACAGGCGACGCTATGGCGACCCAGATGGTGGATCCAGCCCTCTGATCTGAGCTGACGCATCAACGCGTCAATCCAAGGGAAACCTGTACGACCTGCTTTCCACCGCTGAAACCACTCCTCGGCTTCCGGGGAGTCAACTTCATAGTCGCGAGCGGGTAGAGCCCCGTCCTCCTCCATGGCATCCTCGTGTTTCTCCGCGGTCCCAAGCGGCTTTGATTGCAAGTGCCAGTCGATAAATCGGGCGACTTTATTACCGTGTATTCGCGCGAATGGTGCCCCGATCGCTGCTTGCGCCGCAAAGTACATATCACGGAAGAGCAGTTGACCGGGCAAATTAACTGGGACTGAAGCGTTCGGCTTCTTTGCTTTTCTGCGCTTGGTCATCACATCTTGCACATCCCACCAGTACTTTCGGATGGAAAGGGAGCCAAAGTGTAGGTGTGGAGAGAGGAGAGTAGTAGATTGAGGTTCGAATGCAGCCGGAGAGGACTTGGGTTTCTCAAATGTACCAATGTACTCTTCGTCTGCGATCAAGTCGGCCAGCATCTTCAACGCTACGGATTCTCCACCTCGATGAGGGGTCGTGGCCAGAGAGGGATCGATGCCGATCTCCTCCATTGTCGGCACGCCAAAGTCGTTATTCGGACCCATGATTTGAGTATACTGTTTGTCCTTTGTCCCGCGATGATCTGCGTTCAAGTCGGGTGTTGGATTTGCGATCTCGTGCTCAAGATCACTGAGATCCATCCTGTCTTTCTCCCAAGGATCTGGAACACTCTTCGGCGTCTCCACGGGTCGATCCGGCTGTCCGCCATTGATCTTCTCAGCAGCCTTTTCAGTATGAGTCATGCTCATAGTCGCTTTCCCTCCATTCTTCCGGACCAAATCATCAGGATCAAACAGATTGCGACCCATTCTCACAATAACCTCAACGCCAGCATCTTCCGCTAATCGGACAATGGCTTCATCGCGCTCCCGAGCATAAGGGTCGGTATCCTTCTCGAAGACGAGGTGGGTGATTCCCCATTTTTTCCAGAGCTTGGGAAGGACTGTCTGTGGAGCTTCACGGACAAGCCAGAGCTTTTGCTTCGGGTTGAGCTTGGTGTATGACTTAGATAGGTCGGTTTGACATTCTAGGAGGAACCTCCATCTATTCGGCCCGACTCGTGCTCTGTACACGTAGTGAGGATCCCAAGTCCAGACGGGGATAAACACTGATGGCTTCAAGGCTAATGCAGCGTGTAGAGCTGGCGAGTCATGGAGTCGAAGGTCGGTCCGATGCCAGTATAAGACGACTACTTTCGAGGCAGAGCCAGACTTCATTTCGCCGTGTCAGTCGTCTGCGCGGTCGTTTTCGGGGGTTTCAGGTATCTTAAGGAGGACTGACAGGATGTTAGCCTGCAATTCAAAATTGAGTAACTAGAGAACACCGTTGCAATAGAAATGGGAGAAATTGATCGGAGATTTTGTTCATCGGGGTTTTCGATTTCAACAATGCATGACGTCAATCTCGATTGATCTCATGCGGACGGTGAGCCATCGCCCCACTCTTTCTTTTTAACAACAGCAGAGTAGCGGTATAGGAATTTTATATCTACGAGTGACCTAGTATCTTGAACCTGGGTGAGTAGACAGGTGGATGTTGAATGTGTGGCTATCAGCTCTGAATCACATTGGAGCGGTTCGACTGTTCAATATCTTTCTTCGATCATCGATCTCACACTGTAGGAGTATCATCTCAGATTGACGGCTTTATAGCTATATTATGTCTGCTACTTCTATCAAATCGGGTTTTTCGATAGTACCGATCAGTACCCGAGATCGGCCTAAAATGGTCTTCTGCAGATTCGCATAATCACCCTCCCGCGGATAAAACCTCCTTGACCTGCTCGGCTAAAGCACCCTCTGTCCGATTCTAGCGATCTTGCCAATGACATCCTCGATTCATTTAGCTTTGGTCAAAGCCTACCAGGTTATTGGAATATCATTGCGGTGTATGGAGGTAGTTATAGTCGGATTCGACTGGAGATCCACGACGAAAATTCGAGGGGATGAAAATATGGCTGGACACCCATGAGAAGATAACTTATTGAATTGCCTGGAGAAGATCGAATTGACTTCAAGTAGTTTGAGAAGTATTCTACAGATGAGGTCTATACATTCCATTGGTTTACACAATGTAAAAGCAAGCGTCAAGTTTCTAGTAACTTTCCGTTGACCAAAGCTTGGTAGGTCTGGTACTTGCACCCATGACTTTGCTGCCTTCCCTTGACTGCTTTCTACATGAATAGTAAACGTCAATATTTCTCGGCCAATTGAGTTAGTGATAATTTAAAATTCTCCTTGCTATCTCAGATCACCGTGGCTGTAATATCTTCAGTCTATAGTTGCATCTCAATCTCAAAGCCATATTTTCTTAGAGGTGTAGACTCGACTACATTGACCGCAAATATGACCCCATTATATTAGGTTGGCCTCTTCATGTCTTTCCTTCCTATCTTCGCGCATGGATTCTGATTTCATCAACATAAGTCCTGGTGTCATCGAGAACAATAATCAACCCTTCCTAAACTCGGCACTCATCCATCTTTTCGTAACTCGGGAAAGACCTGAGGAAAGACTTGAGACACGTTCTCAAGGTTATACGAGCCTCCTTAGCCCTTTGATCAAGTAAGGCGATCTAACTGAAGGAACAAAGTACCATGACTCACACAACCCCGACACCCACTAAACCCTGATGGTATAGTCCATGCGGGCTGATTCGAGAACTCCGGCGTAAACCGGGCCCCACTTAACACGATAAGAAACCCACGCGGCGGGGTCTGGGGCCTGATGAAGAAAAAAAGTTTTTGGGGTCCCCGCCGTTCCTAACACTCCAGCAGCACACGACAGAATAAAAGTCCTCCAGCCTCTATCAAAGAAAGGTGTCGCGTGAACACGATGGCTGATGATATGGAAGTAATTGAGGCTGCGTCCTCAGCACGGGGCAAACTGCGCATCGCCGCTATTATGACTGCGCTATCTGTAAGGAAAAGAATTCTCCGAAGCCCTTGCATATTTGGTCCATACGTCTTTGTCTGATAAATGATATACAATTCTAGCTCGCTATGCTTATTGCTGCCCTGGATCAGACTATTCTGGCTACTGCTATTCCGACTATTGCGGCAAAGTTGCACTCTGCGGCTGGTTATACGTGGATTGGCGGTGCTTATTTGCTTGCAAATGCCGCTAGTGCTTGTATCTGGGCGAAGCTCTCGGATATTTGGGGTCGTAAACTGATCTTACTGATTGCCGTGGCTTGGTTCTTTGTCAGTTCGATTGTCTGTGCTGTAGCGGTTAACATGGAGATGTTGATTGCCGGTCGTGCGTTGCAGGTGAGTCCATTCATTGCTGAAAAGAGTTGGCCTCGAAGAAACTCGACTGAATCATACATATAGGGTGTCGCTGGAGGTGGACTGCTGCAGCTAATCACAATCATCATCTCTGATCTTTTCAGTGTCCGGTATGTTACTCTTGTCAGTGGGTATCATGGAATCAACTAAGACATCTTTAGACTACGCAGCCTGTACCTTGGCCTTATGGAGTTTATGTGGGCCTTTGCAGGTGGAATTGGTCCCCTCCTCGGCGGCGCATTCTCCCAATACGTCTCCTGGAGATGGAACTTTTGGATCAACGTCCCCGTCTCAGGAGTGACCTTCATACTACTGCTCTTCTTCCTGGACGTGCACAACCCCAAGACCAAGATCATGGACGGCGTCAAAGCGATCGATTGGTTCGGCAGCGTCTCCATGTTGGGACTTACATTGATGCTCCTCCTCGGACTCGACTTTGGTGGCGAGACATTCGCCTGGAGCTCCTCTCAGGTCATTTGCCTGATCGTCTTTGGGTCCTTCTGCTCCCTGCTTTTCATCTACAGCGAGAAGCGACTAGCGAAATACCCGCTCATGCCTCTTAACATCTTTTCGCGTCTGTCTAACATTGCCACGTTGGCGGTGGCCTTTGCGCATGGATTCGTGAGTCTGACCACTGGAACTTTACAAAACGCAACTAACTCGTTCTGCAGGTCTTCATCGCTGGCGAATACTACATGCCCCTATACCTACAATCAGTCAAACAAGCATCTCCCATGCGCTCAGGAGTTCTCATCCTCCCCCTCCCCCTCGCCGAAGCATTCTCCGGCATTGCTACGGGGGCAATCATCCACAAGACCGGTCGATATCTCGAACTCATCTGGGGCGGCCTGGTCCTCATGCTCATCGGAAACGGTCTATACATCCACCTGGGCGTGGACTCCTCCCTCGGCGAGATCGTCGGATACCAACTCATCAGCGGCATCGGCGCTGGATTCCTCTTCCAAACACCCATCATCGCTATCCAAGCTATGGTCTCGCAGGACGAAACCGCAACTGCGACGGCTACCCTCGGATTCATCCGTAACATGGCCACCGCCTCGTCGATCGTTATCGGCGGTGTCGTGTTCCAGAATAGCATGGGTAAGATGAAATCTAGTCTGCTTGCGACGGGTATGTCGGAGGCTATGGCGGACCGGATGACGGGTGACTCTGCGGCGGCGAATATCGAGTATATCAACCAGATTGATAATCCCGCGCAGCTCTTGGCTGTGAAGGAGGCTTTTGCTTGGAGTTTGAGGAACATGTGGATCTTGTATACTTGCATGTCTGCTGTTGGTCTGTGCTTTTCGGCGTTTATTTTGAAGGCGAAGTTGAATAAGGAGCATGTTGAGACGGTTACGGGCCTTCACCAGGAGAAGAAGGCTGTTGTTGAGGATGTGCGACCGGTTGATGAGTAGGTCCATTGGGGATTTGTCTTTTCTTTTGACCATTTTTCGTCCAAATGTACATACGTATAGAATTATGTGTGAGCTTGGTATATACAAGTCCAATCTTAAAAAGGATAATATGGCCCATCAGAGACGTGCAGGCACAAGACTGGACTGTGGAACAATATTCAACACCCTGAAATCAAAATAGGAAAAAGGCAAGGAACGTTCGGGACATTCACTGGAGCGAGCATCCTCCACCAACAATACAAAGCACTGGGGTATCAGCAACACTATTCCCAACCCAAATCTTAACGCCCTCTCCATCGACAGGAGCCTTCCAATCCTGCACCTCAACGTCCCAAACACTCACATCCTTCCTAGTAATCTCCAACGTCAAAGTCTCCGACTGGCCGGGGCTCAGCGTCCCCGTCTTCCCAAACTGTCTAAGCTGCAACAACGGCGTATCCAAACCAAGGCTAGTCGGCAGCTCCACATAAAGCTGTGCAACGGCCTTGCCTGACCTAGACCCCGTATTCTTAAAATCGACCTGCACGGAGAATGCAACGTCGAAAAGAGCGGGGTTCCCACCCTGGCCGCCACCCGCACGTGGCATCAGCTGCGGGGTCGTGCTATATCCGTCCGGATAGGGATAGTCATCCGATGCAGTGATCGATTCCGGGTTGTCGAGGTAAGGGTACAAGTAGCGCCAAATGCGGGTGAACTTTGTAGAGGACCATGAGACCTCGGAGGCGGCGGGGATGGAATCGTTGTAAACTGGGGTGGATCCTCGGGGCGGTGCGGTGGGAGGGTAGGCGGTGCTCAGCGCTGTGACGACTGAAATGGAGGGATTCGAGAAGTTAAATGTTGTATAGGATAGGCCGTGACCGAATGGGTAGCGCGGGGTGACGTTGGCGTTGATGAAATGTCGGTAGTCTATGTACAGACCTTCGGTGTAGGTATCCTGAATTTGGCCGAATGGCTGATTGATGATGCCAACGCTGTCTGGATAATCGGATTCACTGCGGGGAATGGTGTAGGGCATGTGGCCGCTGGGACTGTAGTCGCCAAAGAGCACGTCGGCGAGGGAATTGCCTGCTTCTTGGCCTGGAAGGTGGGCGACAAGTACGGCCTTGACTGATTCGAGATCGATCCATTCTTCCATGAGGATAGGCCCAACGGTGTGGATCACTACCACGACTTGCGAGAATTTCGCTGCTGCCGCCTTTACGAGGTCATCTCCGTTGTGCCAGGCATAGAGCCCAGCTTCGGTACGGTCACCAGGGTTTCCTTCGACGGTAATATAATTTTCCCCCGAATCGGCGTTGATGAAGACGACTGCAATATCATTGGCAGAGGCAGTCACATCAGACGGGAATGAGTCGGTGATGTAGAACTTGGCATTCTGGGTCACGTTCGCGATGCCCTCTTGGGGAGTGATGAGATAGGGCAGCCTAGCCGTGCCACTACCCCAGCCCATGGTCAAAACACCCTTGTCGCAACCCATATCAGTGCAGGAATTGAGCCCATCGGAGTTACCACCGGCATCTGTGCCGAACACCTGCAACGAGTCATTCTTTCTCAGTGGAAGGATGTCGCCTTCGTTTTTCAGCAAAGTGATTGCCTCGCGAGCCACGGCGCGGGCAGTGATGTTGTGGGTCCCCTGGACGTTGACATATTGATTCACGACTCCACTAGGAGAGAAGAGAGCTCCAGGGTAGAGAGGGCCAGTCTTGTCCTCAGTATTGGTCGAGAAGTTAGGCAGAGGATAATCTTCATCCTGGCCCATCTTATACCATGTAGCCACAATGCGAGTCACCTATCGTGATTGTCAGCAACAGGCCCCAACTGAAAGAATTGTTGGCCGTGGCCTGTACTTGATGCATACCATGTCATTCAGCCTATCAACTGGGACACTCCCGTTAAGAATAGAGCGCGACATCTCCGAGCCCCAGTAACTATCACCAAGCAACGGCACAGCACCATCGCCAGGCATGCACATGTCCAAACCAGCCAACGCAGAACCCACACCGGTATAATGACCCAACCAATCCGTCATGACAAACCCCTGGAAGCCCAACTCATCTTTCAAGATGCCGTTAATGAGCTTGCTATTCTGGCTGCACGCAGAGCCATTAACCTAGAAAGAAAAGCGTTCAGTCCTGTTCAGGCCAGAAAACCACCACTGTTAACAACTCACATCATTATACGCTGTCATCAAAGATCCAACACCAGCCCGAATCCCCTCAGCAAAGGGCCAAAGATAGAGCTCATGAAGCGTTCGGTCATCAATATTAGACGAATACCCCTTCGTAATAACACTGCTCATCCGATACATCTCCTGCTCATTCCCGATATAATGCTTGATAGTCGCAATTGCCCCGGTACTCTGCATTCCCTGGATAGTAAGCGCACCAGCAATACCTTGTAAAGAAGGATCCGCGCCAAACCCTTCCCAAATCCGACCACCACGCGGCTTCCGTCCAAGAGGTCCAACGGCAGGTCCGAGCTGGATATTCACGCCCTTGCCGCGAGCTTCCTCGCCAATACCCACTCCGCGCGCGTACATCAAGTCTTTATTGAATGTCGCGCCGACTGTGATACCCGGTGGGAAGGCAGTGTTGTGATCTGAATTGCGGATTCCCAGGGGCGAGTCTTGTAAACAGAGATTCGGGATGCCAAAGCGCGGTGCGCTGCCCGTTTGTCCGACACAGGGTCCCATGTAGAAACCCGTTCCGGTGGTGAGATTCACTTTCTCGGCGAGGGTCATATTGCCGACGATCTGCTGCGCTTTCGCGTAGGCTTCGGACCAGTCGGAGGCCCAGCCGCCGTAGGGCGTGGGATAGTAGGGCGGGGAGTCATACCCTTCTGGGACTGAGTCGCGCTGGTCTAGTTGGACTGCATCGTTGTGTCGGCCTTCTGCGACTGGAGTGGTAGAGACCACTTGGGCGAGAAGAGGCACGAATGCTAGACGCGTCCATGGTGCCATGGCGGGCAGTACGGTATATAGTAGTGCAGGAGCAACCACGACCCTCAGGCAATCCGACTTGAGTAGAAGCGAAGACCTGAAGGTGATATTCTCTGTCGAAAATGATTCGATATCAAACGTTTCTTATCCCCCTCGAGAAAAGGAGGGGGAGTCTGTTTATGATGTCCACGCGACATACTGCAAAGTATTCCGCAGACGATCCTGGAAGGAATGGATCGACGACGACCGGTCCATCATGACTTCGCTTGCACAACCGAGGGAGGATAGGCATAGATGACGCCTATCATAGGTGGAAATTATATCCTGGTCTCGCGACACGTCCCCGCCCAGCTGAAGAACCAGTGGTGGTGGCCGCGAGGCGAGGGCACAGTCAACGATGATCTGCGCCGCACGGCCGATCAATTCCGCAAATGGCGAGCTGTCAGGGGTAGCCCCCCGGCAGGAGCAGGGATAAACTGGGCAGATACCGAATTAAATGAATAGTTCTCACAATCTTTGTTCATAGCCATGGATTGGAGACATGCCCCGAGATTTACCCGATCTCTGCCACATCAAGGATGAAAGCCGTTGTGGCTCACAATCACGAGGTTCCCACTTCTAGAAAATAAGGGCAGTTCATTGCTCAACTCCTTTTTTTTACATGTGACTATTTACCACGAATGATCTTTAGATCTTAGTGTACCGCAGGTAAGGCTTAACCTCGCGAACCTCGCCAAACTTCTTCTTAGCGTCCGCGGTAGAAACGGAGGGAGGTACGATGACGTCGTCGCCGACTTGCCAGTCGATCGGGGTAGTCACGCCCTTCTTATCGCCAGTCTGAAGAGAATCGATGACTCGAAGAACTTCGGCCGAGTTACGGCCAGTCGAGGCAGGGTACATCATGGTAAGTCGGATCTTCTTGCTGGGGTCAATGATGAACACGGACCGAATGGTGAAGGCGATGCCCTTTTGGTCGATGTTATCCAGATCCTGCTGGTCAATCATGTCGTACAGGAAGGCAACCTTGCGGTCGGCATCGGCGATGATGGGAAACTGCACGTCAGTGGAGGAGACTTCGTTGATATCCTTGATCCATTCACCGTGGGAACCGATGTCATTGGCGCTCTAAGTATACCCGTGAAGGGCTCTCGTTAGCTCGGTGTCATGATCGCGCGAACGACAACCCATATTTGACTAACCAGGCCGATCATTTTCACACCCCGCTTGTCAAACTCATGCTTCAGTTTCGCGAAGGCACCCAATTCGGTGGTGCAGACGGGGGTGAAGTCGGCCGGGTGGGAGAACAGGATGGTCCAGCTATCGCCGATGAATTCGTGAAAGTCAATGTCGCCCTTGGTGGTCAATACCTTGAAGTTTGGAGCTAGAGCAAGTTGCAATTAGTTTCCCGTTCATTCTTCATTCGGTGTGTCTGACTATACCAGTTGACCCCAGACGCAGACGCGGCTGCTCCTGGGGAATCGCAGCGAAGGACCGGCGGAAAGCAGGGTGGGCCCGCGGCAGCTGAGCAGAGAGCTTGGCGCAAGGGGCAGCCTTTGGAGTGGATCTGAAAGCCCGGAAAGCCATCTGCGGTGCAATTATTGAAGCCATGATGGAATTGTGAGGAGAGGACAATTGGGTTCTATTGATTTCCCCGGATGATCCGCATTCGCTGAAGCATCGACATGCTCGCGAGGATTATCTCAGCAGATTACGCAATTCCACTAGCCGGATCCGGTAATTAGCTTTCACTCGCGGATTGAGCTTGCGAGATCATTTGATGCCACGATATTGGTATATGGTAAGTATTCCTCTTCCATGCCAGTAGTGGTGTTATTGACGGTAGAATAGGAACACCAGCTCGATGAGTTAGTCGTCAAGGACCATGGACAGCTTCCTCGTACTGGAGAAGCTCGACGAACTGTCTGTCTCTACGAGAGTCCATACTTCAGACTTTGTCCTGGTCCAATAAAGGTGGGCAACGATCGGGTGGCATAGCCCTTCGATGATTACCCCATTCGAAACTCCCCACCACTCTCAACCCTTGGCGATGTCTTACCTTCCGGGGATTGAGTGGCTGCGTAGCGTGGCAAGTGTCTCAGCCCTTAGGGTGACGATCATTGGCTGTGGAACCTCGCATCTACACATCACATCCGACCATCCGGCACTCTGGAAATCCTCCTCGTCAGTTCAACCCAGCCGAGGCAGACGACACTGTTGAGTACAATTTCTCAAATCAGTTCTCCTTAATCCTGACTGAATCTAATATCCTTTCAGGCATACCACCCAAACATCCATCTCAAGCGTCTTATCATATCTGGCAGACCTTGTGGCACGGCGGACCCACCAGGGTCCAGTGCCACAGACCGAATGAGACCCTGAACCTGATTAATGCTCGTACCCAACCAATGACCATGCTTTGTCCATCTCTTCATTCTACCCACCTCACAAAGCAAAGCTATCAAGCCCAGGTCGTAACCGCATCCCAATGCATCGAACTCGGATCACCATTTCCGTCGGCACGGATCCGATGCCGATACAACAGGACCTGGCATAGACGCGATATACACTGACGCTGAAACTGCTAACCTTCCGATACGAGCCGGAGCCATGGGGCTTATCATTGATCTAATTCCGGCCGAACTCAATCTGCAGGGTCCAGCCAGTCGATCGACGTGGGTCTCTGAAAACCTGAACCATTGGGGACACCTTCCCAGGGCTCGTGGGCAATACCAGTTATTTTTTCAAAAAGCAAAAAACCAGGGGGCCCTATAGATCAGCGACTATTATTGCTTTGCAGTACGAAATTCGTACGGGTCTTTTATCAGGCCGACCAGACTGGCACTGGATATTTTTTATCTTCTCCGGCCCATCCCTTCATTCCTAAACCCTCTTGACAGTTGACATTCCAAGGGGAGGGCCCCGATTCATCCCACCATGCCGCGCTCCTCATACTATCTATTAGCTCTCCTACTATCATTCATTGCAACTATTCTCTGGTTCTCATCGAGCGTCAAATCTTCAACGAAAACCCCTATCTTAACTCTCTCATACGGCTCCTGCTCCTGTCCTCCCACCACCGACGAAGCCAACGCCGACCTCACACCCTCCTCACCACCCATCAAACCATCCTCCCTCTCTACAGGAATCACAGTATCCTCGCCTTCACCTATCCCCGCATTCCACCCGGCCTCCGACCCTGACCCGGAACCACCAACATCCTACTACCTCCCATACACACCCACAACCAAACTATCCCGACACCCTTTCCCCTCCAAACTCTGGCAAAAAGCCGGTCCCAACGGCATCGACCAAGACCGCTCAAAGGACATCCAATCTTGGCTCTCCCAAAACCCCTCCCTCCGCCATGAAATCTTCACAGACGGTTCCGCAGAACAGTACGTCCGCGAGCAATTCGCCAAATTCCCCGACATCATCGATATATACACCGACCTGCGCGTCCCAATCCTAAAAGCCGATTTCCTGCGCCAATTAATCCTCTACGCGGACGGGGGCGTCTGGAGCGATCTCGACGTCACATGCCATATACCCATCGACTCATGGATTCCGGAGAAGTACAAGAATGCCACGAATCTAGTCGTCGGTCTTGAATTCGACGGGAATCAGTTCGCTAGTTGGACTGTCATGGCGAAACCAAGATCAAACCATATCGCCGCTGCGATCGAGTATATCATGGACGCACTGGAAGGGTCTGCCGAGCAGGCGAACACGACTATATCGGGTCTGACGATGAAGACGATCAGTGACGTTGTGGCGGTCACGGGACCGCAGGCTATGACGCGGGCGATTCTGAAGAGCATTTCGAGTGAATTGGGGCAGGTGGTTGATGGAGGGAATGTGTCGGGTTTGCATGAACCGGTTTTGCTGCATGATGTTTTGGTTTTGCCGAATGCGGCTTTTGGGGCGTTGCAGGCGGGGTGGCCGACGGATCAGGGACCGTATTTGGTTGAGCATCATTATGCTGGGTCTTGGAAGAATGATCACGGTGGAGAGGGTGGGGGGCATAAAGATGGCGATGGTGATGGCTCTGTCAAGAAGGAGGCTGAGCAGGAGGGCGGGCAGGCGGATGGGCAGAACGGGGAGCAGAAGGGGGAGAGTGAGAGTGAAGAAGTGAAAAGCGAGATTCGAGAAAGGTGATTCATACATAGCTTTGGGTGTTCTTGATTGTCTGGGACCACAGACGGTTGCATAATATGGTCTTTGTCTGGATTGGAAATGGCGTTTGGGGGATTTGTACATCACTTCATAATGGCTGTCGGCGTTGGAGTCATATATCTTCTCTTTCGAGAGAGTATTGATACAGTGTAGGATGATCTTTCACAAGATATCCAACAAAGATCGATATCCCGGAGTAATCTATATCATGAAGATATCACAATCAGTTACGCTTATCCCTACGTAAACCTAGGTCATCTCAAACGATGACATTTCCTCATATTTACAGCTTCGCATCGTCGGAGTCAATACATAAACGTCATGAATACACATTCCACTCACTCTCTCAATCACACCTCTGTCCAACCGAAACCCCAAACGAAGCCAACGCAAGCGCCTCCTGGCAATGCCTCTCAAACTCCTCAATCAGCACCGCCACCTTCCCCCTCGCCGCCTCCTCACTCCCCGCCTGGCCCAAAACAAGCATCGACGGCGGAACCATCGCCCGCATCACACCAGCAACCCACTTTGGCGCGATCTTGTGTAGATGCTCCTTGCCTTCGGTGGTGTATATCTCTTTGTGGATATTGTGGAATCCGCCGGTGCGAATCACGTCGTAGACTTTTGGTGGGGCGAACGGCCATAGACCGAGTTTGAGCATGGCGTCGATGACGGTGTTGCGCATTGTTGTTATTGCGGGGAGTTCGGGGGTGGCGTTTGTGACAAATACAGTTGTGTCGACTTCTTCCCATTGGATGTAGCCGTTAGGTTCTATAGATGGAGATTAGGACGTTCTTCTTTGTACATGGGAATTCTCGAGGATAGTTGTAGATATCCTGTTCGAGGGTGGTTTGTTGTAGATGGTAGGGAGTACATACTCAATAATTCTCGTGCGTTCTTTAATACCACGGCATAGTCACCTTGCTTGAGACCTGCCGTCAAAAGCCGGATGTGTACGAGATCGTAGCGCCCGATATGCTCGGGCGGGTATGGTTGCAAGGCATCGTGGACGGAGAGTGGGATTCGTGTCTTTCCTGGACCTATGATTTCGTGTGCGGTGGGAAATTGGGCGGGGGAGATGTCGAAGCCGTGTAGTTCGAGGGAGGATGGATTCGGGAATTTCGTGGCGAGGTCCTCTAGCCAGATTCTATCGTGTGATGTTAGCTTGTATATGCGAGTGAAAGATAAAAAAAAACAAAACCAAACATACCCAGTGCCCGTGCCGAGATCTGCGACCGCCGTAATCTCCTCCTTGGGTATCGAAGGATGAATCAATTCGTCTCCGGAAATTGCCAGCAAAAAGCGATGCTGTTTATTGAGTCTGGATGCGAGACATGATGATCAGTACATGCAATCGTAATTGCAACGAGAGTAGATCGACGGTTCCCAAACGGCCGAAACGGCGTCCAGAAAAGTGGGCGTGGCGTGGATTGGATGCCGAACTGTCGGGACTTGCATGGCCCCATCCAAGTCCCGAGGAGCTTTGTGACAGCCCCGACAGGGGGTTTGACGGCCCGGCACCTTGGAACGCAGTGGGGAGAAGGTGTGGGACTCTGGCAACGTGGGAAACTTCAAGGAATGGGAATAGGGGGAGGAAGGTTGTGGAATAGTATCGGCGCCAACGGAGATGAGTATTTTCTCCTCGTGGGTATCACGGGATTTAATGCGCTGAGTAGAGAACTTCATGGAGAAAACATACCGTTCGGTCTCGGCCTCATCTCGGCCTAAGAGGTAGATTTTCTCGTCAGACGCGTGACTCCCCATTTCTTGAATCGTTGTTGGTAGTGATGTTGAAAGAAGGAAGAAATCGTGAAGGGAAAAAAAACTGGGACGAGACGGGAGGAGGAAGACGGGAAATTGGAAGAAGTTATGGATTTACGACACAAGGCAAACTCCATGTGCTCTGTTCGCTTTCTACTTTCCCCCAAACTCTTTTCACCAGCACTATGTTTTGAACCTATCCGTGCCATCATTCAACTTTCCGGAAGATGTCCCGAGAGGGAGGATCCATTTTTGGTTCCAGCTCGTCGGGTCGCGGTGGCACAATGATCAATAAACAATAGGCCCGTCCATTGCTCTATTGACAATTTGACAACGCCTTGTCCCCAATGACAAGGACCCAAGAAAGCCTATTGAGTAGTCGATAGACTCTAGGTTACACTAAACTGCCGACCCTTTTACCCCCCATCTGATCTATCCACTTTACAGGATTGCTGACGTGGTGTTCGTTCCTTAAGGCAACCATGCCCGCGGCTTAGGGGGCATAGAATGGCCTCGGCCCGTCGCCTTGCAATCCACATGTTAATACACAAAGGAACTTGTTGACCCCAAGGATTAGAGAGATTAAATTCAATACCTTGTCAATATGAAACAAGAACCATGGCTCCCTCGTGTTTCATAGTGGATTCGGTCGAAAGAAATTAACTATCTGTGTTAGAACCAGCGGAGACGGCAAGCGGGGAAACGAGATAGGAACTACACTGGGTGAGACAAATGGGGGTAACGCCAGCCGATCGACGGACTAGACGCGAGTATCCAAGCAAATGAGTACAGTAATCTCTAGAAGCCTTGAATGCTATGACCCTAAACTCCGTCTGCTCTAGAGATCTCTTTTTGCCTTGCTGTTCCCAGCCATAGACATATCAGTTTCGAGCCCACTATTGGTCGATCAATTGGCATTTTCTTCTCTGTAGATCAACAGACTAGTTGAATCGGCCATAGATTAACAGCAGCTTTGCTATCAACAATCTACACTTCTAAAAGCTGTTCAAACTATAGGAATGGTCAGATGGGACATCCGTCCAGTAGAAGGTTTCCACTTTACACTGAGGATACGCGCGTTTGTTGCCACCGAAGGTTTTACATTTGCTGGGCCTTTGACCTTTCGGGAGTTCTCACCTTCAAAGTTAAGAATTGCAAATCTCTTAATATTCAAACCAGTGGAACACTTATTCCTGTCATTCCCATCAAACACACCCTGGACACAGTGCAGGATTCTGAATGATAGAGCGCTCGTTTACACTATATATAATCAGCACTCGGGCTGGAAAGTAGGAGACGTCATGGCCACTCGCATAATCATGCCACCAGAGACACGAAGGAAGGTATCTAACCAAACACAAAAAAGCATGTGTCTAAAGTGATCAAATACGACCGGTTGAGCCATAGAGCGCCGAAAACTAAATCCACTCGAGCTATATCAATTATACGCGATGATCGATTGTGAATATAGCCATACCAGTGTGGTAAAATATCATCGGCAGTCTTTCAGCCAGCGACATCCTTGCATGCACTAAGGTTACGATTGCGGCTGTTCCTGAGAATAAACTCAAATGCTGCGGGAGGTAATGACGACCCAGGGTTCTACCCGGAGGCAACATCCAGGCAGCTTCTACCTTTCTTCATACACTCGTTTCAAGCACCAGACAACAAATTTGAATAATGTTCTGCCGCACTTCTGGACCTTCCCTCTAATATGATCCCTCATACTTTCCCGCATCTATCGCGAGGAAAGCTGCATGCAATCATGAAATTCTTCAAAGCTAAAAGATGTTAGGTTGTTCGGTGTAAACATGAGGAAGGCTTTCTTAGTAGGGCAGAGCTATCATCGGAACCTACTAAACAGCGAAGTTATAGTTAACAGGAGTTAGGCAATTTTTCTTTCAACTATTGCAGGGCTTAGAGGAGGCCACACATTGAGCAGCTACTTTATTCCTCGCTGCCCTGAAAGCATAGCAGCTGCTTTTCTACGCTTCTTCTCTAAGCTCATCCTCAATATTTTTTTTAACCACCGTCCTTATTGTTTCTAGGAGCCTGCAATGTATGGTGTACGGTATCTCCCTCTTTCCTGCTTTTCAACTACCCCGGGAGTTTCCTCAGTATCATTATAGTCAACGCAATGATATGAATATCAAGGACGCCAACCTCTCGTCAAAGCATTATTGACTCGAAAGTTGAATTAGGGCCCCATACAGACGAACAACACGCAGGAACTTAGAAAAACAAAAATGAAATTGTGAGATAAAGGACGTAACGTAGGAAACCTTTGGAAACCGGCTCCTTCCCTTGCTTTTGTTGGTTGAGTCCGAGGCCTTGCAGGGGTTCGTGATTCTTACTTCTATTGAAGCAGGTCATGCCTCAAAGATTTGTACTCTTACAGCATGACTCACAGAAATATCAAGCCTATTTCTTGCTCAGGTATGTTTCATCAAATCCTTTCTTGTTCCCTTTTTATATGGCCTTTAGAGCTTTCTAGGCCCCGGGGAAATAGAGATTACATAAATTCTATAGGAGACCATCGCTACATATATGCAAAAGATTTCCGTTCCGCCCAAAGAGTGGCATGACTTACCAAGTAGAGATTCTCCATTTGAAAAAGCAAATCAATATCGGCAGTCCTACTAACTCCAGTTTGCCTTGGGAGGTTCCCGGACTGGTGCCGTCAATAATATAGCGCTGTGTATTATTTCTATTTCTTAGCTTTCCTAGGGGACCCCCATGGCTCAGTATTACCAATAAGCTAGCACCGTCGTAGCCTTCATTACTTTCTACCATCACCATGGCTGCATTTAATGTGTCTCATCCAAGGTTTTTTTTTTTTTTTAAATCCCAGAGAGGACTGTCTGTGATCTTAGGGGATGCGGATTCTCTTTACGGAGGGTATTCAGGGGGATTACATATTGGGAAACCACAAATATCAGGGTCAATGTCAAGTCCATGAACAAAGATAGTCATATCTGCACTAGAGAAAGACTTTAGAGAATAGGTGATACTCCTTACTCAGAGCTTTAGACTGGATTAAGGGACAACTGGCTCCTTCACGGTGGTATCATCTTGAATTCGGCAATCAAAGCGATGGACTAAATGGAGGACCCTGAGCACCCGGAGTATACTTATAGGAGAATTTATGCTTGATGATACTCAGGTGGTAGTGTTGGCTACTCTATCGGACTCTTTAATCAAAGAGTGATGAGGCGACGTCTTTAGCTACCGTAAACGATGATCATCTACCGGTACATACGAGATTATGTCAAGCCATGGATGCTTTCATGGCTCATGAGACAAGTAGTCTCTTTACGGCTCATACATCTGATAGGATCCTTTTGGGTCTTTAGCTACATTACGTAAAAATTCCATGGCATGAAGATGCAGAGATATCCATCATGAGTTAATCTATCTAGAGAACTGAAATTTCTACACAGAAGTAGTAACCTGGTCTCGTGAAGTCGCATAGTCTACTCATGCATCTTTCATGCCAGTCTCTTTAAATTGGGCTTCACATTTAGGCTCTAGAGTTCCTAGAGTGTCCAAAACGGCCGTGCAAGGACTCTCAATAGGGGGCTACGCCCTCGCCAAGCTATGACGAGTGCTTGAAATATATATTTAGACCTGTTAGAAGATATATAGAGGCATCATAGTATTATATGGTCCAACCAGTACTCACTGATAAATGAGCATCTACGAAACTACTCTTCATCCTAATTGGATTATATTCAGTAGATGCAATATTAGCATTGGGTAGTGCTGTTCTGCTGGTGGAATAAAACGTAATTTCCCAAAATGTACCTTGCAAGCTCTCTGATCATGATCCCGCTATTTTATCAGTTCATTCTGGTCTGAAATATGTCGACAAACTTTGCTCGACTTAAGAGTATTCTCTTCGTTCCTAACAATGAATCACTTTCACTCCTAGACCGTGTTTCTATTTCAAGGTATATCTTAGATGCCCAGTATGGCAAAGTGAGAACAACCGCTTAATAGAACAGCCCACCCTTCAAAGTATTTATTAGTTTAGTCTGGATTCCTACGAGTGAATACCCGATTAGTCTATTCTTTGGAGAGGTTCGAACAACTCAAACCCAGGGAAACCTTTTATCACAGCTTCGGGAATCTAGGTGCCTATAGTCGCCGGGTGGACAAAGTAAAAGCATTATCATACGAGTCCATATTTTTCACTGCATAATGAGATCCCATCTGTCAGAAATCACTTACAAACCATCCCAGTTCGACTCGGGTTCAGCTCCCCGAGCTTATCTCCCAAACACCCACCACCCACCACCCACCACCATTATAATCCAATGGCATTCCCAACCTCGCACGAACACAGTGCTGACAGGGTCCGCGCCCTCACCACCAAACCCGACGTTTCACCAGAACCAATGGAACTTCCAGAGCCAGCAAATACCAAGAAACTCTAACCGAACAGCCAAGAACCGACGGTTAATTTCCGCTCCTTGACAAACGATCTATTTACCTATCTATTTGCCATGAACTATTACGGAAAAAGGAAAGTGGCCCAGAAAATAAAAATAGCCTTTTTGCTACAGTACTATCCAGCCCCCGCTGAGACAACAGATACCCATCTTGCCGGGCTCCAACTCATCGGGGCATAATCACGATGCATGGTTGCACCGAGGTGCAGAGAGTTCGTCCCAAGGCAATTCCCAAAAGCGGACAGGTTAGGCGAGCTGCAGCACGTGTGGACCACGTGGAAAAGGGCCCGGGCAGAATTAGACGGGGTGCTAGAGAGGAAAAAAAAGGACCTTCAAGGAGAAAGAGACACAAGGGGCCGTTTCAGATTCTGGTTTGTGATGGTGCTGCAGAAGGGCCAAAGTTAAAAAGTGGAAAGGATCAGGCATGGACAAAAGGACGGCGAGACTCCAGTACAGAGGCCAATGACCAATTCTACGGCGCAGTGGACTCGGTAGGGGTCTTGGGGGGAAATGGGGGCGGGGGCACGACAGATGTTCTGCATAAGCGATGGG